CGCCTTGAAGCCCTTTGGTGGCAAGTCGCACTGGAAAAACTCGAGCCGGGCGTGCAGCGAGAGTAGCAAGAATAGCAATCGACTTATTAGGATGAATGGGTTGAGACGATGGGAAGTGGGCGTGTCGATGCGCGCTTTATACGCATATAAATGCCAAACGACGCTCAGGCCCCCACTCTTACGTCACACTCGTGACTATTCTGCCCTATGGAAGAGGCCCTCTTCTATGGGGTGGCGCGCTCTATGGCGTAGCATCGTGTCCTTTGCCATTTTCACCTGGCTCTGTTGCCCAATGTTTCTTCGACAGTGCAAACTAAATTCTAAGGGAGGCGATTTGCATGGCATCTATGACAGTATCAGTCGCGATTAGCTGCAAGTATCGCAAAGGATACGTTCCGGCATAATGGTACATCCGCTGGTGGCAAAGTGTAACAAGCTGACGTGGCCTGCCTTCCCTATAAAATGGGTGATCGACAGCACAATCCAACAGATGATTGTCTTTAGGCGGGTAATTTGGATCTGTATTAGAATCATCTTCAGGCTGGAGCCTCCTCCTGTCCTCGTAACGTTGTGCAAAGATCATTCTTGCACAAGGGGGTGTATCACTGCAGCTCTTAATGAGACGAACTATATGCCTGAGGGCGCACCAAAAGAAAGTTATTGGTCTTTGAAAGTTGAAAATCCATATCGAGAAACTCATGTGTATGTGACGAAGCATCACTACTGCTCATTTTATGGCGGTAAAAAAATCCCTGTAAAGAAGCAGCCCCAGAAGGCAGCAGTACTAATCGTAGCAGCTGGTGATAATCGCTGCCACGATGTTGCAACCTTTGGACAAAACAGAGGCAAAACTGTCATCAAATCTGTCTGTGTGGCAAATCCTGACAGGCTTAGGCCTGGTCATACTGCGCCACCAAAGGGCATGGGCCCAGTTCTACCTGCTGACCAGCCATGGTCGGACCCATATGATCGATGGCTTTAATGTTTCGCAGCGCTAGGTCTGGAGAAGTACCATGGCCCCTTATCTGGCTCTGGACCATCAGACCTTTTGACTAGAATTTTATGTTTTTCAAGTAGCTCGGTTTCGTCAATGGTTTTGTTAACAAAAAAGTCCACGAGGTTGCCAATGATGAGAGGGAAACTAAACCAATCGAGTGACCAGTAGGTATCACCATCTTTAAACAGGATTAAGTCGTGTTCCGAATCGCGGTCACACATATCACACTCCCAGGTATACCAGTCTATTTCGGTTTGAGGTAGCTGATAGAGACAGTATCCATTGACATCCTTGATAAAAAAACGTGTGTAATCCCCCATTTTCAGAATGATCCGATGTGGCCTCGGAGGTAAGGGATGGAAGAGCGTAAGGTAAAAGGGAGGGGGGACTCGAGCGCGTATTTATAGATTCTAGATGGATTCAATGGGGATGAGTCAGGAGCAAGTCAGCGGCATGCATAATGCAGAATTGTGTATAGACAAAGGATCAAGTCAAGACATTCCAAGCTTAATCCATTGATGTGCTGCCGTCTAGCAGGCGAGGTCACCTGCATTGCACTTGCTGGTCCTGCTGTGCGCGCTTCTCAGCCTCCTGCTACTCCCCCATGTCCTCGTGCGATCGGCCTGTCGGCTTCAGCATCACTTCGTGGCGGCCGATCCGCTCCATTCTCGACCCTGTCACTTCTCGAATGAACAGGTCGTAGTGCGATTCTGTCCCAGGGCCCGCATGCAAGCGCCGCAACAGTAAATCACTCCGTTCATGCCGGCCAGGAACATTGGGTGCCTCGCGCTTCACCTCGAAATGCGCATTCCGCTGGACATGCTTTTACAGCACGTCACGCACTATGTCGTGACACAGTGTCTGTCCGCGGATCCATCGGTCTTCGCAGTGCTCGCTGTGACTGAGTCGTGCTCTGATCACCGCGCATGCCCAGCATCCTGCCGCATGGGCCGGACACATGGTCCGTACCTGCAGTCCCACGCTCATGCTGTAGTCCTGAAGGGACAGTGCCCTGAATCGAGGCAGCACCTGCAGCCACGGACTAAACAAAGGTACACTCTGCTCCGGCAGATCCCGGCCCACCCCATCCGGCGCATGCAGAAGGAAATGATCTGCCAGTCTCTTGTGCATGTAGTCCACCAGGATGCCTTCGGTGGCTTCAACAGTCCCACATCCAGTACTGAATGTCCAGGTGCTGCATCGTCTCGTAGGCAAGGAATCGAACCCCCACACAGCGTCCGATGCTCTTCTCTCCCGATACTTTCACTTCACGAATGGACAGACCGTAATACATCCCCCGCCTATAGCCGCTTTTTTGTTTCGTAGCCCAGGAGTCGTACGCCTCTAAGCGAGATTTATGGATGTCATGCTACGGACTTGTAGCCATTGTGTGCTACGAAAACAGTCTCATCAAAGCTTCCCAGCATCTGGTCTCGTCGATATCCATGGTCCTGTGTCTGGCTCCGAACTGAATGACCGTCTCACAATAATCTTGTATTTATCTTCCAATTCCTTCTCGTCAATAGATCTTTCAACAAAGAACTTGACCATAGCATCAATGTCTAGAGATCCAGAATACCAGATAAGTGACCAGTAGGTTTCGCCATCTTGAAACAACATTGTTTCATGCTCAGAGTTCCGATCACACATGTCACACTCCCAAGTAAACCAGTCAACTCTGGTTTGAGGTAGATGGTAGAGTAAGTATCCATTGATGTCCTTGATAAAAAACCGAGTATAGTTTGAGTTCGGATCAGCCATAGAATCAGAAAAATTCTGAAAGAAGAGGGGGGGAGGGAGGGAGAGGGGAGATGCACTCGAAATTTTTCCTTGGTTGTTTTGGGGGAGATGAGTCATGTCCGAGTCAGCGACATGCAAAATGTGGCATTGTGTTATGATGCATAGGATGAGGGAGGAACAATTGAAAGCCATATTATTTTCTTTGTGTTTAACGGCTTGGGTTTCTCTTTCGTGAGGTAGCAAACGGAACAGTCGGTTCGGTAATCGGACCCCACTGGTAAGCTGTTACGTCCGTCAAGAATCCGCCCCTCCCAGTACATTCAAAAGCAGTCCCATCGAAGCAACATAAATAACCTAGCCGAATATCAATGCTCAACGATCTATGCAATAGTCATATAAGTAACGGGAAGAGTAAAGGTTGCCACCCTGAAGCATTACAGTGCATCCTAAAAAGGCATAATGCTGCACGCCAGCCTACTTCTCAAGTGATCCTAAGGAACTCTTTAACAAGCAATGGAAATTTATAATTACGCACCCTATCCTTCTTAGCTCTCAATACTTCATCTATTTTCACAATGCCCAACTGGTTCACTTTATCTTTAAACCTAGTTGGGGACAGTACTTGGAATGGGGTCTTCGATGCCAGACCTAGACAAATCCTAAGCAAATCATGACACTAGCAGTCGTTATTCTTCGGCGGAATGTGATTGTGCAACGCATGATAACACCAAGGAGTTCACATGGCTACTACTGCCCATGTTTCTTATCCAGAATTTTTCTACACGTAACGTATATCGTAATGGAACCATTTGACCCGACCATATAAAAAGGGATGCTGACTTCAATCTCTATTCCCTTACAGCATATTAACCCTGCTCTGTATGCGACATAATAGCACGAATCGTTCAGATAATTCTTGGAGCCTGAGATTCTCGTAGCTCATTCATTCACCAGATAACTTGTTCATACCACGATCGAGAAAGGAGCTCTAAGGATATTCTGGTTTCGAAGGCGTGATGATATGAGGTGGGTCGGGAAAGACAGGTGCTCAAGAAGCGCTCACGGTAAGATCAGCAGGTGGGAGGTCAATGCGACGGGCATGGCAAGTGCAGCTAGTGTGTATCATGTAGATCCGTTACGAAAGTTCTCGTAGACACTGGGAGAGATGACAGAGTGTGAGGGGGCGCAAGTACGACTGCTGCATGAGCAATTAGGCGATTGAACTATCGTTGACAGGGGTCGGAAAGGGCCGGGATGTCCTGCATTTGCTAGGTTACAATGTGACGGTTATGGGCAGGACGGAATTGTGACAATAGTTGCCGATGTAGCTGCTGTGTCTGTGTGTTAGACTGTATGGGTAACGAATGGAACACTTAGAAGAGCACAAGTCTGAGACAGAACTCGGTCCGGTATATGCTCATCAGACATATCATTGGACAAGAATACTGAGCAAGTGCCAGTGCTATTCAATATTGGTTCTCGGAAAATATATAGTGTTATGTAACGAAGGAATTATAACCTCCCTATGCTGCTCGGGATTAATTGCTAACGTAGGCAATCCAATTATCATTTTGTCTAATACCTTCCCCCCCGCTCTCAATGGCTCGTCCCAGCTCTGAAAATGTATTTTTATCTATCTTGAGGATCATACAGCGAGCAATAATTTGATCGAGATCATCTTCAACGTCTAAAATGATGGGAATACTGGAATCAATCCTTTCTTTGATCAAGTAATCAATAAAATCAGATGTGGGATCTAGAACATTAGCTAGTAAAACCCTTTCGACCAGTTGTTGGCTATTAGCAACTATATAGCATGAGATATCGGAACCACAATGAATGGATGTGTGTTGTATCGATAAAGGGAATTGTGGTCATGACCGCAGAGGCGCCCCACGTGTTAGAATTTTTACCATGTGGTTCCACGTGTTCCCCGTAGCAACATCAACTGGGGAGACACTTGCGCGATCTATAAAAACAATCCCACTTTGACGACTCTTGCTGTAGCTATAATCGATATTTTTAGAGAAAATTTTACTGTTGAAATGATTGACAATAACAATTAGGCATACAGCCAGGTTATTCGACGTATGCCAAAAACTTCAGGCTGCTTAACACTTAACAGCTTTGGTTTACGTTTAAATATCGGCACTACCGCACATTGTTGACGATCCTTGCGATGTGCTTAACATTTGACATTCCATTACAATGGACGTATGATACCTAATTGCTACTACCCAAATGGCAACATCCTGGGCAGAAGTTACTCGCGTCCAAATAAACCTTTGGCAATAGTCATGATCTGCCGCCTACCGTCCAGGGGAGGCAGAACCAGGATGACCAGAAGCCCCATAAACACCCAAATTACCGACACCACTAGCCAACCGCTGAAGAATTTTGGTTGGAAAATGAAACGACTCCCATACATCGAGAATGGCCAGATGATCCACACCACAACAAAGGCAAGAGCGCCTGCTACCCCTGAAACGATCGACATCTTCCGCATATACTTTTCTTCATGGACAGTGTGGATGGGTGGGGACTGAAGATCGTTTGGAAATTCAAAGTCCACAGGCGACTCAGTGATCGCTTTTTCTTCAAAGTCAAATGACGTAGGGGTGGTGTCATCAATCAGTTCAATGTTTTGAAACTTGGTCCATTGGAAGGGGGGGCTGGGAAATAAAAGGGAAAGTATCACGGTAAAGATGGCCGGAACAATGGTGGATACGAGAGAGCCCCATAGGCAAGGGAGAAGCAGTCCCGTTGTCTCAACAGAGACGACCCCATGTCCATAATGCTTTGCGGTGGAAATCCATGTGGCCAAGCCACCCGCCATGCCCAGTAGCGGTGACACAATCGCTGCCACCTTAGACTGACGACTCCAAAGCACTGTTAGAGGCATAGTGATCATACCGGGGCATGTAATTACGCCCAAAAAGTACAGTGTCCAAGTCAAGGAGACGCCAGCGTAATTTACTGCAATGGACACAGCGCAGCTGATGATGGCGAATCCAATACAGGCCAAATGCGATACCCACATAATCTGCTTTCCAGTAGCGTTGCGCTTCAAATACGTGTGATACACATCACTCGAAACAATGCTAGACACAGCAATAAGCTCTGCCGACATGGTAGACGTAACTGCCATAAATATGACGATAACGACGGCCACAGCACCTGCCTTTCCTGCTACGGCCATGCTGGCATAAGGCAAGATGAGCCCTGCGTTTAACTCGTTCGTTGAGAGTTCGCGTCCATAAGCAGGCCAAGACGGAAAGTTTTGAAGGGCCAAAGACCCAATACCCATCACGCTTCCTAAACACCACGGCAAACCAAAGTAGATAACCCCCCCTACCAAGTAGCCTGGCACCGCAGCAGCTACATTGGCCGAGTAGGCTTTCTGCCAGTACGAAGAATCCATAATAACGAGACCAAAGTTGCCGAGCGTATGTAAAATTCCAAACTCGACAGCACTCGGAGAGGTCATAGTCAAGTAGGACCCTTTATAATTACCAGGGACTGGAGTTTTGAGTGCGGCATCGTTGACGGTGTTCCATAAGTCATGCAACGAGCCAATTTGTGAGCTAGTCATTGTTTTGAGGGCAAGGTAAAGAACGATAATGAAAAGGGCTACTGTGTGCGCCCAGTCCGTGACAAAAGTGGCACGGAGACCACCGCTGATCGTGTATAAGCATACGCCCAGAGGAAGAAGGAAGATAGATGCTACCACGTGCATGCCAGTGAGGGCGGAAATCGCGGCCGATGCCCCAAGGAGCATATTAATCACAGCAATAAGGTTGTTGATAAGACACAAAGTCATATATACAAGATGAGAAACTGTTCCGTAGCGAGTCTTGACCACCTCAAGGATTGTATGAGCACGAGGGGTTTTTAATTTCGACTGAATCGCCAACAGGGCGAATGTACAAATCTGAACAATACAGCCTGCCCCAAACCAAAAGGCACCACCAATGCCATAAGAATATGTAATTGTACCGCTAGATAACAGTGCGGTGCTCCAGGCCCAAGAGGAGATAACGGCTGTGGCCGTCAATCCCACGCCCACGCTTCGGCCGGCCGTAGAATACGTTTCAAAATTAGAATTGTCTTCATGGTTGTACTTGCGAAGCAAGAAAGTAATGCCCATCATGGACACGGCAAACGCTATGCCTATTCCAATAATGACGCCGTAGCCCCATCCTTGAGAGAGTGGGGGAACGATGCTATCTTGAGCCATACTAGCAGGAGGGGGTAGATAACCGCATCGGACTCTTTTGAACCGGAAACAAGTCTTCCACATAGTTTGTCTGATGGATGCAGCACGTCATTATCACACCCTACCGGCAGTTCGAACTGCCTAAAAAATGGCGTACTTCCGGTGTTTGTCCAATCCTGCGAAGCGTAGGCCCGTGCGACTTTTGTGCAAGTGGAGCTGATGTGCTCGCACCTCCACTATTGCACATTCGATAACGCAAGCACCTCATCTAGTGACATCAACGGACACGGTCATGAAATGTAGTATGTCAACCATCTAAGCTATAAATAGGTGAGGAATAGTCAAGTAGTATCAACATACAAAGAGTTTCATGACTACCCAGCCTCAACCTGTATCCCAAATTCCTGTGGAGCCTTGGACGCCTCCGAAGGAGACCCAACTGAAAGACCAAGTCAACTGGGCCCCTCTGTACACGCTGGATCTCTCCCAGATTACTGGAGAGGGCTATTCAGAGGTTCCTGAACAGATTGTCAAGGATCTGGGTGATGCCCTTGCTGATGTTGGGTTCATTTACGCAGAGAATCACGGCCTGTCGTACGATCAGGTGCTTCGCCAGTACGCTCTGAGCCAGCACACCTTCGACAAGATTTCCCAGAAAGACAAGGAAGAGTTTACAGCCGATATCATAAACACAGGTAGCTACTGTGGCTACAAGCAAACGGGCCACTGGAAGATTGAGAATGTGGCTGACAGTATCGAACAGTGGAATTTCGGATCAGCTGCCTACGCGCGTGACGTGGCTGAGAAGAAGTACCCAAAGTCAATCCATCCATTTTTGGACGAAATCCATGAATTCGCTCGGTTTAACCATGACGTGGTGGTCCGGAAGATCCTGTCAGCCTTGTCTCTTGTGCTGAAAGTGCCCTATGACTACCTGTGGAATCTATCCAAAAAGTACGAGACCGAAGGAGATGACTTTCTGCGCTACATGCTTGTACACCGCCCTCCAAAGGAAGACGACATTGCTTCCAAAGGTGTGCGTATCCAAGGCCACACAGACTTTGGCAGCCTGACTGTCCTCTGGTCACAACCCATTGCGTCACTGCAGGTGCTAGGCAAGGACAACATCTGGCGTACCGTGGGACACAAGCCGAATGCCTTGATTGTCAACCTCGGTGACTCTCTACATTTCCTCTCGGGTGGCTATCTTCGCGCAACTATTCATCGTGTCATTGCCCCACCGGAGGACCAGCTTCAGTACCGCCGCCTCAACGTTCTCTACTTCTCCATGTTTGACAATGACACCAAGCTTCTTCCCATTGAAGAATCTCCGGTGGCTCAAGAGGCTTACAAGTCTCACAAGTTCTGGGAGGAGCGAACCCGCAACGGTGAGTCTATTCCTACCTCTCAGGAATGGAATGCGTGGCGTATTTCTCGCTATGGTCAGAAGTACTCCAAGCTGGGTGAGGATGGTCACCACCATGAAGTAATCGCTGGCCACAATGTCACTTTATACAACGACACTGTACCTAAGCCGTTGCCCGAGGCTATCTCTACATAGGCTTGTAGGAGATAGCACAAAGCAGAACTACTTGATTATCTACTCCAATGGTTTATTTAGTAGCTAGTAGCACAAATAGCCTGGTTGGTTACTCGTGAAGATTGCGAGCCTATCTTTGCATCGTCTCGTAGCTACAGGTGACACTGCTTATCGCAGCCTTTCTTTGCCTCTTTTGTGGCATTTTCAATGTCATACTTCCAGCGGGAAATACGTAGAGCGACACAGGCTTCAAATCCCTCTCTCCAGGAAGGGTCAAACACGGGTAACTTGCGACCTGGCCCATCGTTCCCAGCAAGGTCTCTCAGTGTGTTAAAATACTCCTCAAAGTCTGGATATTGCACAGTAAATTTGACATTATCTCCTCGTTGTCTAATGCGATCCATCTCCCACTGGTATTGCTCTTCGACGGAAGGCAATGTACAGCGTCCGGACCACAATCGACTGACCAGAACTGCTTGCCATTCAAACGTTTTAAATGTCAATCCTGCATTCACAGCACCAATGAATGCCAATGTGGGGTCTTCAATATTGACCACATGTTGATAGAGTCCATGTATACGATTGTTTGATACGTCCTTTTGCTTAAGGAAAGGCAAGCTGAACCTATATCCAGTTCCGAGTAGAATTTTGTCCACATTCGTATCGACAGTGCCATCGTAGTAATACACACTTCGGCTCGCTGCATCGATACGCCGAATGCCTGTATGACGGTGGATAGCCGGGTGAGTAAATACTGTATCGGTAAAATAGGGATGTGGCTTGCCGCGCATGGCGACTCCAACGTGCTTGGCATGATCCACAATGTCAAAGGCCGCGTCCATGGCTGAAATATTCCCACCCACGATCACCACGTTGAGGTCCTTGTAGTCATTGCGGCTGCGAAATCCCTTGGTATGCTCGACACTACCAGGATAGGTAGTTGCCATATCCACCAAACCTGGGATGTCGGGAACGAAAGGCACACTGTAATGCCCCGAGCATATCGCCACAGCATCAAAGTATTCCTGCCACCAGTAGTCATGGTCCTTTTCGGATCTCCGAAGAGTCAAAGTCCAGCCTTTACCAGACTTGGCCACTCGCTCCACTGTCACACGAAACTCAATATACTTTTCGTAGTCATGGCGCTGAAAAAGGCCCTCCACGTAGTGCTGGATCACCGAGTGATGGCGGAAGGGCGTATTGGCACCAAATCGAGCAATCGATTCGGGCGTCGCACGATCCGAAATTGGCTCCTCTGTGAATTCCATGACGTGAACATCAATGTTGGTTTCCAGGTAAGAATAAATCGGCGTAGCGTCATAGCGTTCCTGTGGGCTTTTCTTCGTTTTGGCGGGTAGAACGTCAGGGGGAGGTAGCGGAGGATCAATATCATTTTCCTGAATTCCGATAGGCACTGGCTGATTCTGAACATGCTCATCATTTAGCCTGCTGTAAGATGAAGGTACGTGCCATACTCCGCCGGCTTTTTCACGGCGCTCAAAAACCTTGATCGTATCAAATGCCTGTTCGCGGACAAGGGTGTCCAGCGCCATAGCACCAGAGGCTCCCGCGCCGATAACAGCGATACTTTTGATCTCGCCCTTCTTGAAAGACATATAGAGAGCAGCTATGAAAGCCACATGGCTCTTAAGCTTGGACCAGCCTTTCCCCTCTATCACGCAAGCAATGGTGACAATGCCGGCAGGAGTATCGTCATGTGGAGGTCGATGTCCTAACCATTCGTGATAGGGTCCCAGAGATTGCAACATCCGGCGACAGGTTCGTGTGCCTTCCTAGAGTATAAAACCATGCCGAGAATATGTAGAGCCCCACAAACATGCAATCTACTGTACAAACCGAGACTGTCGCTCAGCCAAAGATCCTTCTCACTACGGGCCCTCTCTCCGATGCGCACCACAGCGCATCTTCCATTCCGATTCGCGCGCCACTCCAAACCACTGGCATACTGGATAACCAATATGCTTTTGAGGAACTGACTCCCGCCATTGGACGTCTGTACCCTACACTTCAACTTAAAGACATTATACATAACGATAAGGCCGATGAACTGATTCGCGACTTGGCCATTACCATCTCTCGTCGAGGCGTGGCCTTTTTCAAGAGTCAGGACATTTCACCTGACGACCAAAAGTTTCTCACCAACCGTCTTGGCCAGCTTACTGGCAAACCATCGAGCTCAGGTCTTCACATCCACCCCGTGTACAATTCGGAGCGCGAGGGTAAAGATTCTGTGATTGACGAGAAAGGCACAAAAAATACTGACTTGGAAATCAGTGTGATCTCGAGCAATCTATTCCGCTCACTTGGAGTCGCGCCGCGTTCGGGTGCTGATGAGTGGCACAGTGATATCACGTTCGAACCCGTACCGGCGGATTACACCTCGTTGAAGGTGCATACGATGCCTGAAACCGGTGGTGATACATTGTGGGCCAGTGGCTACGAGACGTACGATCTCCTCTCCAAACCGTTCAAAAAGCTACTAGAAAGTCTGACTGGCTTCTTTTACCCGCCCGATTTCGTGAGGTCGGCCAAAGAGCATGGTTACCCGCTGTTTGCCGGTCCTCGCGGTGCTGCGGAAAACGTCGGCACACATCTGTCGGCAGAGCACCCGCTTATCCGCACGAACCCTGTCACCGGCTGGAAGTCAATCTTTGGATTTGGTCAGCATTTTCACCATGTGAAGGATGTGCCGCGTGAAGAGAGCGAGCTCGTGAAAAAGTTTGTGCTGGATCTTGTTACGCAGAACCACATCACGCAAGTCCGTTACCGCTGGGGTAAGAATGATCTCGCCATATGGGACAATCGCTCGACCTATCATGCAGCCACGCCGGACTACTTTGACCTAGGCCCTCGTTCGGGCGTGCGTGCCGTATCATGTGGCGAGCGCCCCTACTTTGACCCAAATAGCAAGTCCCGCCGTGAGGAGCTTCAAGGGCGAATCAATTAGATTATGCTACAGTACAAATTACAGAATTACCGACTAGATACAATATCGTGATTGGGCCCATGAATGAGGTGATATTAGTATTTGATCATAGGGTTCCAGCCGACTTTGAGAACGCGCGTAGTAATCATAAACAAACCAGAGAGTGTGAGAAAAACGGCTGAAAATATTTGAGCACGAAGATAGGCCGGGGGCTCGACCTCTAGCAGGGCGCCTGCGATAGGAGGGCCAACGAGAATCCCAAGCGCAGCAACCAAACTGGCGATACCGAGTCTGATATTAACTTCGGAAACGTCTTCGGTGATTACCGATATAATGTTGGGAGTAGATGAAAGAATGGACCCTGTAAAAAACCCATACAATATCACCATAGCAAGGAAACTTCCCTGCTGTTGAACGGGTATCCAGCAATATACAAGCACGGCGGCGATGAGGGTGCGCGGTGCGTATAGATTAAATACGCCGATCCGTGGCGTGAGACAAATAGAAAGGAGGCGTCCCATAATGCCGCCAGCCTTGAGAAATGATGTGGTAAAAGGGAAAATGGAGGGGCTGAATTGGTGGTGCTTGCCAAAAGAAGGAAGAAAGAAATTGGGTACATAAAGTCCAAGCATACCCAAGAAGTAGCCAAACACGTAAACCAGATACGTTTGGTCTTTAAAAATATGCGAGCTAAAGAGCTGCCGTGGCTCCATTGCTTCACGACGAGGTCGATAAAGGAGCAGCGCACACACCAAGAGTCCGAGCATGATAAAGCCAATTGTCCTCATTGTCCATGGATAGCCTATTTTAGGCTCCAGTTTGTTGAAGATTATGGGGAAAATCAAACTGCCGATGCTGCTCCCTAGCGTGGCAATTCCTGTGGCCTTTCCACGGTGCTTGGATGAGTAATATTCCGAACAACAGGTGATACACGGGAGATATAGGAGGCCTGCACCCAGACCAATGCAGAATCCATGCGCAAAAAAAAGATGCACAAACCTATAACCGAGAGAGGCCATCATTTCTCCCAGGACAACGAGCAGGGACCCTGCGAAACACATCAAATACATGTGTCCATAGTCGACCCAGGGAGAAGTCAGGATACCAACGGTGACAGCGAGAAAATGCTGTATGGAGCCAATCCACGCGAGTTCGGACTCTGTCGAGGTGGGGACCAGTGTGTCCTTGAAGTACACAAAAAAGGTGCCGTAGCAGCCAATGACCCCCCAAGAACAAAAAAGAAACAGAAAAGCACTCACCACCTGGCAGGATGCCACAAATGTACCAGATATCAAGTCCCCCTCGACATGTTTCGCGAGGGGTACAATGGGCATGGGACTGGGATCCTCGAAGGGCTCAGATGCATACCGTTGTTGGAACGCAATTTCTCTGGCTCCCGACTCATGAGAAGAAATACCTTTCAGCCTCGATGTTCTTGCAGTCTCATCTTCGGATGATATGGGCTCCATAGAGCTGTGCGTGACCGTACCCATCCGATTGGAGTTCGCCGAGGCCACCGGCTCGCCCATAACGAAGGATCATGAAGATGATGCAAGTCCGTTCCCTATGTTCTCCACGTGCCTCCACATCATCTATAGGAAGGCCTCCAGATTGAATTCGAGAGCAGAGCACGGAAATGCGAGCTCAAAAGCTTGAAGCACGTCTGGATGCAAGACACCTAGTGTACCCACTTGGATGTCACGTTCCAGTGCATTTGACATGTCTTTCATGGAATCAAGACCTTCAGCAGGCAAAAAGGGTCGACGCAAAAAAATGTGTGCCGCACGACCAGGAAAGAAGGAGGGTTCGTTCGCCTCGCGAATGTAGTATCCAGTAGCAGAGTCACGATCCTCCGGTGAAATGCGGGGAATGTTCAGCATAAGCATGAGCTTATCCAGCAGACCGTGAATCACCTCAAAGCCAGCAGCCTTATTACAGTATACGGCCGCAACGTGACGCTCGTTCCGAGCCATACGCTCTGTTTCCGTCGGATCCTTGAAGGCTACATCAGACACCTCGAATGCCTGCATCGGAAGTGCATGGTTTTTATTTTCGCGGATGGTCTTGAGGATTCCTGGCAGCAATGAGGTACGCACAATCTGGTATTCAGCTGTTTTGGGGTTCTCCAGAACAATAGCCGTCTTGCCATCGTCATGACGCTTCATCCACGCAAAGTTCTCGTCGTGGGAGCAAAGAATTAGAGGGAGCACTTCCACCCAGCCCGCATAGGCACATTCGCGGCGAATGATATCGCCTAACTTATTGATTGGTAGGGGCCCACCGACGGTGTTAGTCGTCGGGAACGTCTTAGGTAGATTGTCGAACCCGAATGCCACCGCTACGTCTTCCATGAGGTCACATTCATGCAGAATATCTGGGCGCGTAGGCGGGACAAGTACATTTAAAATATCACTGTCTTGCGTCGTCGTCGCAACATGACCCATGCGGGTCAGAAGCTCCGACATTTGCTGGGCCGTGTGCTTGACACCCGTGCAACGGTTGACGTATGACACATGCAGATTCGTAGAGCGCGACTCAAGGTTCGGCGTAATCACCTCTCGACCGTCAGGGTATACGACTCGGACCGGTTCCACCGTGAATGGCTCAGCACAATACTCAGAGAACATTGTGACAATGATGTTGATCACAATGTCAAGTTTGGTCTGGTCCACGGCCGTCGTATCAATAAAGACATTCCTGGTCTCTAGCGAAATTTTCGAGTGATCCGAGTTAATAATAGGAGGCATGGACAGAACGCGATCCTTCTTGTCAAAGATGATCGGGTAGACAGGGCTGTCTCGGATAATGTGAAGGTAGCGTCCAAGATGACGATCCTTCTCGTAGAGTTCCATGAGTCCCTTACCAGTATACACTTCTGTGCGGTTCAGGGGCGCAAAGCTGAATTCGCCCGGGGGAAGCGCTTTGTAGACAAACGGCGCCTTAATAGTGTCAAGGTCATGCGTACCAATCGCCACAAGGGTGCGCTGCCTAGCAAGGTTCTGGTGCAGTTTGTCTTGAAGATCAATGAAGCTGTTGTACCGCTCCGGGGTGAACTTGACATTCCGAAGAACAGCACCAGCAAAGAACGGTCGGATTTGGGCCGTCGCCGGCTCGACCTGCACAGTAATCATCTCCTGCGGCGCCGTCAATTGATACTTAGGCGGCTTTTCCTTTCCAAGGAAGACTCGTAACGCGCGGAGAATTCCCTCAAAACAAAGGAGATCGTACCGGTTCGCAGGGATATCAATCTTCAGCTGCGGTCTTTCGTCGGTGCCTTTAACCTCTTCCGTTGTGTCATCATCGAGCTCAATACCAAACTGGAAGCAGAGTTCATCAAATTCCTCGGTCGTGTATTTACGCTCGAGCCCCTCCAACAGAAGGGCCTTATCCACGCTGACAGTCGGCATGGCGATGGAAGATCAAATGGAGGTCGGACGGACACCTGCAGTCCTGCCACGTGCCTCCGGCCGAGCTGGATAACTGTGTGCGTACTACGGCATATGGACTTAGGTGAGCGAGTACTGACAGTTAGTTCCAACACGTCCAGCCAACATACCTTGGGGCCACCGCCACCCTCAGGAACAGTCCATGTGATAGACTGGTCTGGTGTCTTGATGGAGCATGTCTTACAATGGATACAATTCTGGCTGTTGATGACAAGTTTCTTGCCGTGAGCGTGTTCTTCGCCGTTGGCATCCTCCTTCGGCACGTATTCGTACACAGCGGCAGGACATACGCGTCCCAGAGGACCATCAAAGGTACCAACATTGCGGTCAACGTGAGTTTTGTAGTCCAAGTCCTTCACCACGAGATGGATTGGCTGGTCCTCAGCGTGGTTTGTACCCGTACGCGACACTGACGTCAAAATATCGAAAGACAGCTTTCCATCCGGCTTTGGGTAGTCAATAGGCTTGCAGAGAGCGGCAGGTTTGGTGTATTCGTGGTCCTGCTTCTGGTGATGCAAAGTCCACGGGACGCGGCCCTTGAGGAACATAGCTTCGAGACCCGAGTAAATCAGGCCCCCGAAAAAGCCAAACGGATGGAAACTGGGGCGGATGTTGCGGACCTCGTATAGTTCCGGCATGATCCAGCTGTTATCCAGTTTGGTTTTGTACTCCGCGATGTCCATCGGCGCGAAGGGATCCTCCTCATTACGCTTCGCAAGCGCGTCCACGGCCGCCTCAGCCGCCAACATACCACTCTTCATAGCATTGTGCGTACCCTTGATCTTGGGTACGTTTAGGAACCCAGCCGAGCAACCAACAATGGCACCACCAGAAAAGTGCACTTTCGGAATCGACTGGTAACCACCTTCGTTAAGGACACGGGCTCCATAGGCAAGACATTCACCGCCCTCTAGAACATTAGCAAAGAAGGGATGGTGCTTCATGCGCTGGAACTCCTGGAATGGACTCAAATACGGGTTTTCATAGTCCAGACCCACAACCAGACCGAGTGACACCATGTTGTCCTCCATATGGTACATGAATGAACCTCCGTATGTGTCAAGCGTCAGCGGGAAGCCCATTGAATGCGTCACAAGACCTGCCTGGTGGTTCTCCGGCTTCACACGCCACACCTCCTTGATACCAATGCCGTAGGTCTGAGGGTCTGCACCTACAGCCTCCCGCAGCTTTAGCTCCTTGATGGCTTGAAGAGAGAGAGAGCCGTGCGCACCCTCGGCCAAGAGCGTGATAGGCGCACGGAATTCCATACCAGGCTCATAGTTATCCTTACGTTGACGCTCCTTGTTCACTCCAATATCGTTGGTGATCACACCCTTGATACCGCGCTTAGTACCATCTTCGGCCACGTCCCATACAAGCTGTGCACCGGCGAAGCCAGGGTAAATCTCAACACCAAGCTCCTCAGCCTGCTCACCAAGCCATTTGGTCACCCGGGAAAGAGAAACAATGTAGTTACCCTTGTTGTGCATTTGAGGAGGCTCCGGCATAGGAATGGAACCCTTTTCAGTCAAAAACACCATTTTGTCTTCGAGAGCCGGCTGGTTTAACGGGGCACCCTTCTCCTTCCAATCAGGGATAAGCTCATCCAGAGCAGTAGGCTGCAGAACAGCACCAGACAGAATGTGGTTGCCAATCTCGGCACCCTTTTCCAGCAGTACTACACGGATTTCTTCACCCTTGGCTTCTGCAAGCTGCTTTGCCCGAATGGCCGCACTGAGTCCGGCAGGACCACCACCGACGATGAGCACATCAACTTCATCGACGACGCGCTCGTCCTCGATAGCCTCCTCAGCCTTCTCGAGAACCTTGCGGCTGAGATGGAAGCTCCGAACCGTCGTCTGCTGAGACACACACGATGGCAAAGGCACTATGCGACGCACATTCGACGTAAAAGAACGTGTCAGCTTCATGGCACCCGGGCGTACGAGGCGAGCCACAGCCGGAACACGGGCAGCGGCATTCACCTGCCTTGCGAGCATCATGGTCAAACGTTATGTGAACCGGTCGGAAGCGTTGACAAGACCTCCGCATCTGCCTTGGCCAATGACAAGCTCCGCTTTCCTAAGCCAAACGATCGCCCCGGCATCCCTAAACACCGGGCTAAAAACATAAGCATGACAAAAAATAGCACCCGACTTTCGGCTCGCACCATAGCACATTCCATTATCAAAACATAGCACATCCGAATTGAAACAACAACACATAAATTCTACCATAGCTAAATCCATTTCAACCATAACAAAAGAAACGCTATTTTGGGAGTATCACCCATAAAGGACAGAGCTATGTGGTCTTATCACTCGTCCGGATAACGACCAGCGTTAACATGGGCGCCTCTGTCAGGCCATTGGCTTAACATAGGAATAACATAATTTCATAACCATGAACAGAGAAACCATATAACATAAGGATAGGCATTGCGACGACAAAAGACGTCTGACTTGAAAAGAACGATTTTAGTTCAGGAAGCTCCACGAAATAGGGAACTCACCCAGGTCCATGTCACCGTCAGCGAGAGCAGAGAAGAGACCCTTGCTAAGGTCGAGCGAGCCGAACTCGCATTCGGGGCACGAGTCAGCAACGACAGCGTGCACAACGTTTCCGTTCTTCTCGTTGACAATGCGAATCAGACGACCACAGTGATCGCTCTTCTTGTCGGTGCTGCCGTACTGAGGAGCGTTAAGAGCGACAATGTGGTCGGCGTTGGTGCTCCACCAACCGCAGTTACCCTCGCTCATAGCCGAGTTGTACCAAGTGGCCTTACCACCGCTAAAGATGTTGCGGGTGTCCAGCTTCTGGGAGGGAGCAGCAGAGACACCGGCGATAAGGGCGGTAGCGGCAAGAACAATAGCACGAGAGAACTGCATCTTGAATATAGGACCTAGGAGCGATGGAAGAGCTTGCTTGATGGTGATACACCAAGGATTCGTCCACCCCCCTAGTATATATACTTTCTCAGGCAATCGTCTGACGCACAAAAGTTATGCATGACAGAAAGTCTAAGCACCCCAATGCCATGCATGATCGGTGCTCCGCACCCCGAAAAGTGACACATCTATGCGATCTTTGAATATGACCGGTACCCCAATTCAAGAATTAGTAACTGGTCCTTTGTTCCGACGCTTAGGATTTATAAACGAAGATCTACACTCCCCTCTTCTTACGCAATCATTCCCGGAATTGAAGGGTCTGATGAATGAAACTGCATATATATGCGCGATGCCGTAAACGATTCGCAGAAAAAGGGTTGTGAAATGATTTATCGCGGTTTACTATCTACCCCGAATGAACTTATACACGTAAGCAGGCTGGAATTTGTAGATGGCCCGCAAAATCGAGGGGGCACGCATCAAGTGTATGATCGGCCGTAAGCGCTAGGGCGTTCGAACGTTACGTGATCAACATGGCAACAGAGACAACGCGTGCGATGCTCACAAAGTTGCAGGAAGTCCAGACAGGTGAGTGACGGTTCTGGCGGGTAGGCTAACACTTTGTAGCTTTCGAGCTTGTTGTCGACTCCCATCAGCAGCTTCTATCGCAGCTGTCTGAGAATCAGCAAGTCCAAAAAGTGCGTGATACCATTCTAACGTCGAGGAATTTAGCTCCTTACCAGGGGATGCGCGTATCTATAAGCGGACTGGCCCCGTATTGGTACCACAAGAGTTTTCTGAAGCCAAAGTGAATGTCGATAAACGTATCGATTTCATTCAGTCGGAAATGTATGTGGGCAAGGTCTTACATCAGTGATCGAGTGGATGTTCGTTTGAAAGATCTGGCGTCAAAACGAGATGGCATTCAAAGTGAAATTATGGCTCTGCAACGAGAGCCGTAAAGCTACATATACCCTACAACTTGTTTAATCATGTTAAGCTGATGCTTGTTGGATGCGCTCAATTTCTTGACGAATTTCTTCCTGATTGCGCTTGAGGGAAGCAACGTCGTCCAAATTCCTTGCTTTCTTTGCAGCCTCCAGGTATTGATCAAGCAGCGCATCTTGCTCCTTCAAAGTGCAAAGTTGTTCTTGCGCCTTGGGCTCCATATGGATGCGATTACCATTCTTGCGTGACTTGTCTGGCACGGTCCACAGGCTTTCAACTGGGAATGTCTGGGTATGAGTCGGAACATATGACGTACGTGTTTTCGTAGGAATAGATTCGCGCGCGCAAGGATTGCCTCGTGTAAGCGCTTTTGTGTAGGGGACTTGAGTCCGTCCACCAAGGGAGGCAAGTCCATAATTTGTTTGGCAAGCTGTTCATAGCGCGTGAATCTCGCCAAAAGTTCTTTACGCGCCTGGACCATGTCTGCTTGAAGGGCACGATTGCCCGACGAATCTTTCAGATCCATGTTCCTACTCGTAAGATGGCAAGCCACGCACTTTAATCCCAAAAACATCTCGTGAAAGTCAGGTAAAGATTCAATAATTTCCCCTTCAAGGGATCGTAGTTCCTTTCCAGTTAGGTATAAGTACATACTTGATACACAAGATCCAGAGGCGTCATCTTGGTTGAGCGACGGCTGAACTGGATACGGTGGACGGTGTTTTTACAGACTCGACATATGCGGATGGCGTTGATCTCGGTCAACCCATAGGATTGCTGCTCAGCCAGTGAGGCATGTAGGTCTGGCCGAGGAGGCATATCGTGTAGGCGTTTGCACGAAGTGTCAGGGACCATGAGAGAGCTGCACGGTTCCCAAGATTTCAGGCTATCAGTTTCGTCAGAGATCTGAAGGAAGGAGGGAAGATGAGGTGAGGAGCAGACAACTAGGCCGCACAAGCGGCAATGATGCCGTCGAACCGCTAGAGAAAACGGCGTGCCACAAAGGGCACAATTTGGGTGGTGCTTATCATCTTGCCACTTCACAACGTCCTGTTCAGCTGAACGACGAAGCTGACGGAGACGATGCATGTCTTTTTCTTGCTTGGAATATAAGACATCCAAAACGAAAGAGCCATGTCGCAACCATGAGCTCGATGGGACAGGTACGTCAATACCAGATTCATGTTCAAATTTTGAAGAATATATGCCAAGAAGTTTCTCCATACGACGTTCCATTCTTTGGTCATCGAGTTCTACAATTTTCCGATGCTTTTCCCTTAGAGCCACAAAGTCATCGGTACGGTACCGTACCACACCCTTGGGCTGGAATCCAGAACGATAAGGCGCGCGTCGAGCAGTAGTTGTGGATGTGACAGATATATTAGACGTTGATTGATTCTGATGTCTAAAGTCTTCTTGATCAGCCATCATGGAAGCATACGAGTGTGGATGAGCACGGGCCATATGGGGTGATGGCGAGCGAAGAGGTCCGTTGATGAGTTGCTGCTTCAGAGGAGAACCACTGGGAGAAGGAGTGGTTCGACGCTGTTTATCTGGATCCTCACCTTTCATTGATGATTGGGGTTTTGGTTGGGAGATGATCCGTCGCAAAGGCGGGGGACTAGGTGATGGAAGCAGTTGTGGCGTAAGTAAGGACTTTTCATTCGCTTTGGACGGTGATGTATTGACTGATGAATCAGAATTTGTGGGTGAAGACGCGATAGTGATGAGAGGAGATATACCTTGTTTGATAATCTGACCCGAGCTAGACCGAAAGCCCTGAGAAGGGGTGCCAAATAACTCTTTAGGTTTGGTAGGGGATGGGTTGGATATGGTCCGCGCAGTGTTCTGTGTCACTGCACGCGTAGGTGTTTTCTTCCGCTGATAGGGAATGTAAGACAGCTTTGCGGGGCTGTGTGCAGATTCTCGTTCTACAGTCTCGACACTGGCCTGGGGCCCAGGCGCAGATGTCATAGAACACGACACGACCCGTCTCGATGTTGTCGCACTCAAGTGGAGGAAGTCAAAACAGCGAGGACGACTTTCGCAAATGTATTCTATGAATGAACATGGCTTAACAGACCCCCTTCTCATAGCTTTCAATGTACAATTTTTGATCATAAGCGCCGGAGAGCAAAAAGCTGCACTTCAAGTTCACAATCAGCCAACGGGCAAGTACTCGGATCTCCCATACGAGACCGAAGCACGTCCCAAAGGGAGTCCAAAATAAACTCGACAGCGCCCTTATTTAATTTTCCTCGATCCCGCAAAACTTGACGGAAGTGAGTTTCATACAAGTTTTTGAACATGTTGATAACATGGTCATTATAGGCCTTCGGGGAAATCTTTCCAGATTTGAGAGCCATTCTTGCCGGCTGAGGCAGACGGAGTGTGTCAGGCTCGCTTTGGAGAACCACAACCTCACCAAAATCTGTAGTGACTTCGCGACGTTCACTGCGCCCTAGTCCGCAGCTCCAATCCAGCGACCAAATTTCAGAGAACTTTTCTAGAACACGCAAGGTCTGACTGGCTGTTCGTGGATGCATCGGTAGGGTAAGCATATATCGTGCCACATCAATCTTCATCATGCCACAGGACACAAGACGCTGCAAACATGGTACAATCATATCCGACATGACTGTCCATATATCGCGATTAAGTTTCTTTACGCTGGGTAATGCATCTCCAGACTGAACAGGTGCGTCTTGCTCAGATATGGCCGCAGGAGACATCACCGAACGAGAGACATCCGCTTGTTGTGATTCACCTTGAAGAGAATTTGTACGCGTGTGTGGACGTCCGACATCAGATTCACGGAAAGAATCTTCAGTACGAGCGATATAAGCCAGTACAAAGATACCGCCACGCCGGAACTCACGAGCTCGGGCGTTTAAACACATAGTAAGCTCGGCATGAGCAATGGTGTGAAGAGAAATATCCGTCGCAGGAGAATGTGTCCAGTGCAGGTCCATGAGGCTGAATCCCAAGTTTAAGGAATCAGGGGGGGCAATTCTGGACCCAAATGGGCGCGCCACGCAGGCGCTAAAAATGGCATTCTGAAGTGGTGGGTTTTGTGATGATTGCCACAGAGGATCAAGATAAGACTCAGAGTGAGTGTCTAGAACTTGTTGGAACCAGCGAAAATCTGACTGAGCCACGTCTTCGTGCAGTACCACAAAATTAATGACATCAGCTGTTTCTTGGGCCAAGCCAGCCATAGATGCACGATGAGATGGTATATGTGCCGCGCTGTCTTGTGAATCTGCGATGGACATAGATTCTGGTTTAACAGAAAAGGCAATAGTGGAAAGCTGCTCCAAAACGGTCCGGAGTAGATGAATAGCACGAGAATTCATACAGCCGTATTCGGCAATCATGACTGTCCGAGAGGGGCCAATTGGCACCGTATTCAAAAGCAGTGGAAGAACGGTATTTAGCTTGGCTCGGAGTCCGGGACCAAAGTGAGCAGAGCCACCGTTGGAAAGGTCCGAAAAGGCACTAATATTCCCTGAAGACCTTGAAGGTCCAGGGGACGGTCGGACAGGCACTGGACTGTGTTGGCGATTAGGTCGTGATCCTGTTTGTGTATTTGCTGGTCGCGCTCTGCTGGACGTCGACATAGGAGATCCGGTGTTCAAATTTTCTGTCAAGTGATAGTTATCTTGTTTTCCTGTTTGGGGTAATGCTTGAGAAGAATCAGTAGACATGGAACGTTTAGGAAAATCTCTCGATGAAGATTTAAAAGAGCTGACACGAGTCTTGTGAAATGGGTCGCCAACCCTGTGAGTTCGAGTTCCCTTGCTTGACCAAGTACTGACTGCTTGTGATTCATTCAATGAGTCTTCATGTACTCTAGACGAATCCACATGCAAGTTCGATAAAAGACGTTCACGTACTGCTTCCTCAGAACCAAGAAAGCTGTAGGCTACTGGTAAATAGTCAGAAAGTTGACTTTGGCTTTGTCGTAGGTTGTAAGTGGACACAGCATTCGTGTCCATGTCAGTCGTTTCTGATGGTGTGCTACCATTGTAAGACCACTGGTAACCACGTATTTTACCGCCTCCTTTTTCGGAATCAGAAAAATCATGATATGAAATCGTCTGAGGAGATGAACTGAGCTTTCCCGCGAAGGTATCGAGGGTTTCTTCGACCACAGAAGGTGGTTCCTTTATTAGCACTGCATCCTCAACAATGTTGATTCTTGAACTATCGTTTGAAGATATTGGTATTTCAGAAGCAGAATTATCCAAAGAAAACGTATCTGTCGTCATCCCTGGTGCAGGGACTATTTAGGGTTAGAAGAATTGAGTGGTACTTTAGAAACGACCGGGTATAATTAAGTATAGTAGAGAAGATATAACTCTTCAATCGTACAATAAAGTTAAAATCAAGCGGACTGGAACAAGAAATGCTCTAGTTCAAAATTCACGGAATAGTAGATCGTGCTCGTGAAAAATACAGAACAATCTCAATCCGGAATGCGGGCCCTAAACCAAGATCGTGACGCCGAGCGCCAACGCTATCACGTGATGATAGCCGGTCTATGAAACGAAAAGCTTCCGGCAATCTGACAATGCGTACACCTGGCCTGTGCGTGGGCAAGTAATGTAGCAATGATCCGGACTTTGGGATGCGAGCTGTGAAATACCCTAAAATTAGACCATATGACGTACCTCTTGAGAATATACCATCCCATTTGGCAGACACATGGGCGGGTTTTGATCATCCATGACCTTTTCCGTCACTCGACATATGAGCGTAGAATTTTCGCGACGATTTCTTGGAACCTTTGCGGCGAGTGATCCGAGCCGGCTATATTCACATGTAGGGCAGTCTCTTTGTGATTTTAACACGAAATTCTCAGGGTGCTGGTCAACCGAATCGTGGCTAGAAGTCGCCATAGGGGTGCACGTTAAAGTTTTTAGGGTTGACAGGCCTGCACTCAAAGCAATATGAATGAGTGGCATGGGCGGCAAATGATATGCCTTTAGAGCTGTCCTCCAAAATGACTTTCTTAGGGTATGCCAGCGCTTTAGGTCGTACAAGTCAGCATAGAAACCACTAGATTTTCTGACAGCAAGTATCCCCATGGCTCGCTGGATACGATCACGGTATTCGGGAACCACATTCGAGTTTCCTGAATATCCCATATAAGAAGGAAAGTGTTTACGCGCATACATTACAGCCTTCCGACGGCCCTCCATAGTTCCAGGCCGCACTAATTCAATGAATTCTTGAAGCCTGAGCTCCAGCTCCAAGCTGCTATTGATCTTCCGAAGCACAGCCCTATTCTCAGAACACCATTCCAGGGCAACATCACAAGAATTTGGCAAGGCATCACCCTCGCGAAAGTGTAAAGAATCCTCAATTTGGAGCAAACGTTGAAATAGGCCAAGGTCCACTAGAGTCTGTGTGAGATTGGACGACGTACATCTAGGCCATGATGTAACGTTATATCGCGTGCCACATCGGTATATCCATAGCGAATCATATAGTCCACTAGGAGCCTTTTCATTCTAATATCGCACCAAGCCGACAAAGACGGTGTGTCTTGGAAAGATCCCAGAGAGTGTACGTGTGCTACTCGATGTTCAATGCGTGTGACAAGGTCGCTTTTCTCAGCCTCAATAGAAAAGATCGTATCACGCAGTGACTTTAAGCGAAATGAAATCGATTTAATAGATTGCTCATAATCAACGTTAGGTTGGGACCGCTCCAAAGCTTCTAAGACACTTTCATAATAGGAAAACTCACGATCACATAAACGTTGGTACGATTTCAGTTGGAGTCGAAGATACTCGACAGCAGTAACTAAACCACTTTTCTCGAGATTAGAGACATCTTTTATGTACATATCCGGAAACTTTGGTCGCGGTTCACCGGATATTAAGGTCGGATCCATGACGGCGACATAGGTCGAAGTTCCTCCACATGACGCACGTCCCACCATCGAGCTAACCTACGATACACTTGCCCAGACAGACGCTAAAAGCACACCTTTCGACCTCGGTAAGATCTAGAAATTTGCAGCTGTTGAAACATGCATTGGGGGCTATAAAACACGATAGGGCAAACATGACTGCGTACGAAAACCAGGAGGGAGTCGTATCACGATGACATGTCGTTCATCATATCCAGCGACATACAGGGTTTTTGAATGACTTTAAATAATACAGGTTCGCGGGTTCCTCATCCATAGTTGAGTATAGAAGTGGACCAATGGCGACCTGCAATGGGCGCTTGCTGTCACATTGGGCCCACAAGGGGAGGAATCCATCAGGCGAACATCTTACGCGCCTCCTCGGCGGCGGCGACCATGGCCTTCAGCTGCGCAGTGCACTCGTCCCACGTGCGAGTCTTAAGACCACAGTCAGGGTTGACCCAGAGCAGCTTAGGATCAATGAATTGACTCATGTCCTTAATGCGCTGCGTCATCTCCTCGACCGAGGGTACACGAGGCGAGTGGATGTCAAACACACCCGGACCAATCTCATTAGGGTACTTAGTGCTCTGGAAGATCTTAAGCAGCTTAGCGTCACTCTTAGAGTTCTCAATCGAGATCATGTCGGCGTCAAGGGCAATTACCGAGTCCATGATGTCGTTAAAGTCTGAGTAGCAGAAGTGGCTCGCCGTGTTCATGGCGTCCGAGGCACCGCTCACCGAGAGACGGAATGAGTCAACAGCCCACTTGAGATACGCATCCCACTCCTTGCGGCGCAGCGGCAGACCCTCACGAATGGCGGGCTCATCCACCTGCACGGCACGAATGCCTGCCTGCTCAAGGTCAACCACCTCGTCACGCAGCGCCAGGGCAATCTGGAAGGCCTGGACGTCCTTGCCAATATCAACACGGGGGAACGACCAGTTCAGGATAGTGACAGGACCCGTGAGCATACCCTTCATGACCTTCTGGGTCAGGCTCTGGGCGTACGACGACCAGCGGACAGTCATCGCCTTGGGGCGCGACACGTCCGAAACCACGATCGGCGGGCGCACGTAGCGAGAACCAAAGCTCTGAACCCACGCATTCTGGGTGAACACAAATCCATCGAGTTGCTCACCAAAGTACTGCACCATGTCGTTACGCTCGGGCTCACCGTGGACGAGCACATCAAGGCCAAGAGCCTCCTGCTTTTGCACGACCGACTTAATCTCATCCTCAAGGAACTTCTCGTACTCCTCCTCAGAAATCTCGCCCTTGGTGAAGCGAGCACGGTACTGACGAATCTCCTTGGTCTGAGGGAATGAACCAATGGTGGTAGTGGGGAAGGGTGGCAGCTTCAGGAACTGGCGCTGGACCTCACGGCGGTGAGGGAATGGCGACTTCCGGCTAAAGTCCTCGGGCTTGATGTTGGCCACGCGCTCACGCACGGCAGGGTCCGAGTTCTTCTCAAAGTCGCGACGAGCAGCAATGCTCTTGGCATTCGCAGCGAGCTTCTCTTGAGCAGCCTCAGAGTTCTGCAAGGCCAGGCCAATTGTGGCAACCTCACCGCACTTCTCGGTAGCGAACGAGAACCAGTCTTTCACTTCCTCCGAGAGCTTCTTCTCGTTGGCAAGGGAAATAGGGGTGTGCAGCAGCGACGACGACGACGCAACCTGCACACGATCGGCACCAATGGTTTCGACTGCCTTCTTGGCGAGTTCAACAGCCTTAGAAAGGTCCGTCTTCCAGATGTTACGGCCCGAAACAAGACCCAGAGACAAGCCAATCTTGGTTGAGGCGACAGCCTTCAGCACAGCGTCAAGTTGCTCAGGGGCACGGTCGAGGTCAATGTGAAGACCGGCGATAGGAAGATCCTTCACGAAGTCAACGTTGTCCTCCAGACGACCAAAGTAAGTGGCAATCAGAATGTTAAGCTCAGGTACGGCCTTGTGCAAAGACTCATAGGTGCTCTTGAACTCGCCAGCAAGCTCCTTAGCGGTGTCCATCACAAGAATAGGCTCATCTACCTGCACCCAGGGGGCACCAGCGGCATGAAGTTGCTTGAAGAGTTCAGCGTAGGTCTCCGTCAGCTTCGGGAGAAGAGAGAAGCGGTTGAAGTTAGGGTCCTGAGCATCCTTGGACACCTTACCGAGCCAGAGCAGTGTAATGGGACCCACAACAACGGGGCGAGCATTGTATCCGGCCTCCTTGGCCTCAACAAACTCATCCACAGGCTTAGTGTTGTTGAGCTTGAACTCGGACTTCTCTGAGAACTCAGGCACAAGGTAGTGGTAGTTCGAGTCGAACCACTTCTTCATCTCGGTGGCAGGCAGATCCACGCCGCCCTTCTGGTGACCACGGGCCATGGCGAAGTAGGTGTCGAGAGGCGAGAGACCCGACTTGGCGTACGCCTCCGGCACAACACCGAAAGTGTTCGACGCGTCAAGAACGTGATCGTAGAGCGAGAAGGTACCAGTAGGAACAAAGTCAACGCCTTGCTCCTTGATAGTAGCGTAGGTGTTGAGACGCTGCTCCTTGGCCACCTTCAGGAGCTCCTCAGCGGAAATCTTGTCGCCCCAGTACGCCTCGAGGGCCTTCTTCACCTCACGCTGGGGACCAATGCGGGGAAAGCCAAGAACGGCAGAAGTACTGTGCTGTTAGAAAGTCACATTCTATAATCCAAGTACGTACGCCATGATTGTATGAGTAGAACGGGTTCTGTTACTGCGAACGAGAGCCGTTCGAAAGGGAATCCGAATGGTAAGAAGAAAGCTGTAGAACGGGAGGGGCGCCCAACGACTTCGTAGCATCCACGTGCACGCTGGAAGGGGATTGCCAGCGCATGGAACATGTAGGATGAAAGAATGTGGACAAATCTGACCAATCATTGGTTGCCTCTGCAGAAGGTCACTCGACCGACGTCGTTCATACGCACCAGTGGATCTCATCTGCAGGGAAGTCACACGCACACCGCATGCATCACACGAAGGATTGTGTCGCAGCGTTCGACACGACGTAAGACATGTAGGCATTCAACTTGGAGTAATTGTAGCTGTCAGTGTCCTTTCCTTTGCGCATCAATGTGTATTTGGGCAGGACCGCACCACAATCTCATACGTCCATAACCGCATAACGTCGCTTACATGGACCGAGGAGGCATACAAACCCAAGCGACATCATAAAGTGAAATCCGGGGATAGATTTCCTTTATCCGGGTAATCAATAAGAGTAAAAATAGTCGACAACTATGTGAAGAGGAAGAAAGAATCTTACAACAATAGACAGGGCGCCAATATAGAGCTAGAGGACCACAAATATACAAATGAAAATGTCTTAGATAAAATGTGGGTCAACTTGAAAACATTGCAGGAGGCACAACGAATTAGTGATATAAGTTGATGGGAAAATAGTCTGACGTTACACTTTAGCAGTATTGGCCAGGGATGACGGCCTCACAGCCGTCCTCATCGTGACCAACATCGCAGTACTTGTCGTTAACACAGCAGCGGATGCAGGCCTTGCCGTCTGAGGGCTCCACGAGTTCCACGTACGAGGAGTAGCCAAGGCAGACAGAACCCTCAGGGTTACCAACACCACCGTTGCCATTGGAGTCGTACTGACCACCATCATCGTGGGACAGAAGGGTACTCTGGACACGCGGGTTGATGCAGCCAGTAAGCTGAACATAGTTCTTGGTCTTCTTGAAGTGCACTTCCTTCCAGAAGCCAGGGTTAATCTGACCCTGCGACGAGTCATACGGCTTAGAACAGAAAGAGCGCATACGACCCGGCGACTCGCTGTCGCCAATGCTCTCGCGGTGACGAGGAAGGATTAGGCAGTAGTCCGAGGCGCTCGTAACCCACACCTGGTTGTCTGGCGAAGCACGGCGATCCATGCTAGAGGGGGCGGCCATCACGGCAGCAGCAACAACGCTCAGAACAGCAGCAAACTTGAGGGCAACCATATTGAAGTGGGGGATACCTTAATCGAAGACGAATGGCTCTATTATAAGGACGAAGGTGAGCTTGATATAAACCTTCCAATGTCGGCTTCGCAAGTATATTACCGAAATTGCCCCCATGGATTTCCGACGACGCGGTCTAGGCGGCTACTTTTCCGCGGGTTGTACTTTCTTGTTGGCCCGATCGTATGTTTTAGACCCAAAAATGAATCTAACACGTTACGATCAGACAGATAGGTCAAAGACGTAAATAAACAACAACATTTTTCTCCAATAAAATTCCCTGCTTGGGTAATGCCAAATACGATCCTCCATAATCACAAAAATATCCAGCAGCTGCAGCCCCGTGCATCTTCCAACGTGTGACTGGCCCGTAACGCTGGCGACCCCGCAAATCCGTGACTGGATCGCAGTCATGCACATGTGGCGCATCAGCTGACCCAACGCAATGGATAATAAACTCCAAAGAGACGGGCGTAACGCGCCTCCAGTCCCCGAGCCTTTTACGACGAACTAGCATGCGATACAGCACCGTCTTGGCAGCGCTGGCTCTGCTCGGCACTTCGGCAGTTAGTGTCTTGGCAGCTCTCCCTGATCAGATTGATGTCAAGGTCAAGAACTTGACGCCGGAGGACACAATCTATGACCGTACTCGCCAGGTGTTCTACCAATCGAATCTGTACAAAGGCCGCATTGAGGTCTACAACCCAAAGACCCAGTCACACTTTAATGTGGTCATTGACGGTGCCTCGTCCAATGGCGATGGTGAGCAGCAGATGTCGGGACTGTCTCTCCTGACCCACGACAACTCGAAGCGTTTGTTCGCTGTTATGAAGAATGCGAAGTCGTTCAACTTTGCCGACCAGTCGAGCCATGGTGCAAGCTCGTTCCACAGCTTCAACCTCCCTCTCTCGGAGAACAGCAAGCCTGTCTGGTCTGTAAACTTCGAGAAGGTCCAGGACGAGTTTGAAAAGAAGGCTGGCAAGCGCCCCTTCGGTGTGGTGCAGTCGGCTCAGGACCGTGATGGCAACTCTTACGTGGCCTTTGCACTGGGTATGCCGGCCATTGCCCGTGTGAGTGCTGATGGAAAGACGGTGAGCACCTTTGCCTGGGAATCGGGCAATGGAGGTCAGCGTCCCGGGTACTCAGGTATCACGTTCGACCCTCACTCGAACAAGCTGATCGCGTTTGGTGGCCCTCGCGCCCTGACTGCCTTCGATGTGAGCAAGCCTTATGCATGGCCGGAGCCTGTTAAGATTAACGGCGACTTTGGCACGCTTTCGGGTACCGAGAAGATTGTTACGGTCCCGGTAGGCAATGAGAGTGTGCTGGTGGGTGCTCGCGCCCCCTACGCCATTTCGTTCCGTTCGTGGGACAACTGGAAGTCGGCCAACATCAAGAAGACCAAGCGTTCGGAGCTGCAGAACAGTGGCTTTACTGCCGTCGCCGACTACTACCAAGGCTCCGAGCAAGGTCTCTACGCTGTGAGCGCCTTCTTCGACAACGGCGCGCATGGCGGCCGCAGCGACTACCCCTTGTACAAGCTTGACAACAGCATCCTGAACTTTTAAGTCAGAGAGCGATCAATTCTCTAGGCAATACGAAGGTGAACCATAGTCTGTCTGGGTAGTCGACTCACGTGTTGTTTATCCAAATACATGTTGATAACTTGCATATATTTAGGCGTGCTGCAGTAACCACTGCGATGTCGTCCCTAACCTTGGCTCTTGGGACTACGGCTGTGGCCTATGTGTATCCACTCTACGCGACATACAAGGCGTTGGTGGGCACAGCACATATGGCTATCCCAGCTGCTCAGAATGAAGGTCCAGTCGAAAAGCCCACTGAGCTAAGTGAGCTGGAGACGTGGACGATGTACTGGTGCGTCGTTTCCCTCTTCTGGGCCATAGATACTTGGCTCGGCTGGACATTCCGCTGGTGCGTGTGCGTTTCTCACAGACAGGGTGACGTTGTATTCGCATGCCAAGTTCCTGTTTGCTTGTTGGCTCGCACTGCCACAAACACGCGTATGTGCTGGACCTAACAGCAGGGCGCTTCAGTGCTGTATAAATTGTATGTGGAACCATTTATGAGCGAACACGAAGGAGATTTGGAGGACATACTCGAAGCAGGACGAGCAAAGGCCCTGTCAGTACTGAGCACTACCATCACTGTCATCACCAATATTGTGCGTTCCGAGTTCTTAGCCGGCCAAGACACACAGGTACCGGCAGAAGGAACAGAGTCCACCGAGGCGCACGGCACCGATGAACTGCATTCGAAAAGAAAAAGTGCCGCAGGGAGCCTTAGCAAGCCGCTGCCCTCCCAGCTACAAGACATGGCTCGGTCTGCCAGCTCCACGGCCAAGCAATGGATCTCCGATGCGGCGCAAAATGTGCCTCCCGAGCCGCCTCGTCGCAAACTGCCCAGCTTCCGTCGAAAGGCCAATTAGCAATATATTGATTGACGCATGGATTGCATCTTTTCCGTGGTGTGAACAAGAATAACAAGCTGTCCTGGTGTCTGGACAGAGCCCGTACGGTATTTGCGCATGTGTGCTGTGACGTGCACTGCCATTAATAGCGCCTCCTGCGAAGCAAGTTGTGAGTCACTCTGCTGCTGCAGCAGATAGGCCCCGATCAAGGTACCTGAGCGCCCAAGACCGGCAGAGCAGTGAACCCAAACGGGACCCTGCGACTCGCTGCGAGGCTGGGAGGCAAGGACCCCTTCCACAAGGCCCATGAGTACCTGGGGATTAAGGATACCATGGTCAGGCCATCCCTCAAAATGCAACTGTGTCAGTTCATGCAGGCGCTCGTCCACCAATGACTCAATGCGCAAGCGCCGTACCCGCAGGCTAGGCACGTTGTGGGCAAGAGGGGTTGACTCGGCATCAAAGACGTCGCGACCTTCTTTTTCTGATAGCAACGAAACCTTCCACAGGTTAGAAACGACGAATGGCTCAGACGTGCTCAGAGGCCAATACTGATCGCTCTTCGAGATTCCATGCTCGACAAGAGGCGTAAGATTCACCAGTACACCCGAGTTCTGCGCCACTAAGTGCTCGAAAAAGGTAGCAAAAGTGCTAGGTATAGGTGCTTGCGACGCAATGCATCCAGTTCCACCATCTGAACTGGGCAAGGGAGGTATCAAGGACGCGTTGATGTAGGGCCCTGGAAGCAGAGCATAGTCGTCTTGAGTCAGTTGGCAAACGTACATGGATACACATTGACATATCGATTGCTAGCCGGGTACTTATCAAACTGTGTTGTGGAAAAATTGGGATCCCCCACTCGCTCGGCATCAATCGCATTTAAGCGTGCTAGAGCCTGTTGCGCCTCCTGGCACAGCTTCGCGTCGGCGCTTGACATCGCAGAACAAAGGTGGAGGCCGACGCGCTCGGACGACGCATCCGCTCTCCAAAACCATGGTGTGGCCGGCACGTGTAGCCAGCGCATCCCACAACAGCGTACCGGAGAGTGAGGTTGCCATCACTGAGATGGAGCTCTTGGAGCAGAACCAGAGGCGTCTGGCCAGCCTGACGGGCCGAATGACAACGATCCTAAACGGGTTTGATCGGCGACTTGTGAAGTTGGAAAGCAGCATCCTGCCAATCCACAAGAGCACCCAGACACTCTCGCGCATTGACCACAACGTGGAAGCTGTTCAAAAAAACCTTGAAGTGAGTTTGCGCCATTATGGTGTGGTTGTGGACGACGAACCTGCAATACTGCGCGGTCCTGATCCCCGGAACCCATGGCCGTACCTGGAGCTCATCCAGCGTTTGTCCAAAGACGCCGCAACAAAAAAGGTAACGCAGGGAACGCAGGAGCGCGTAAAGAGCAAGATGGACATGCTCATTGAGCAGGGTACGCGCAAAATCACAGAGCTTGTGCGCGAGTATACGGCAGCGGAATCCAGGCCTACTGACCCGATGGCATTTGTGGGAACTGGCACCACTGCGCCAATGCCCTCCAAAGAGTGCCTAACATCCGTCAAGGCGCTACTCCAGTTCTTATCCACGCTGCCCGATGCCGCCATGGGATCCGCGAGTGGCCTCAGCGTGGCACTGCAGGCCTTCTCGGCTGTGCGCTCCGTGTACCTCACCTCCACCTTGCAAGGCTTGCAAGAGCATGTGCTGCAAGTAGCAGCACAAATGCAAAACACATCTGTGCGCGCATGTCGCGAAGCCTACGTCGAGTACCAGCGGGGTGCTGCGGCCCTGCAGGAATGGCTGCTTGCCACGACCCGCATGATCCAACAAGAGCAACAAGCAATTGCCACGCTCTTTGACGGCATGAAGTGGGATCATTTACGCAGCAGCACCCTGACCAAAGTGTTGCAGCCGCTCATAACATCCATGAACCATGCGCTCCCCATAATACTGCCCAGGCTTCAGCATGGACTCAATGCACATCGCTTTCTTGTACTGGACTTTGTGGGAGCGTGCCAGGCCGTCCTTGGCGAAGATGTGCACATGTGGGCCGAATACCTTCAGCCCAGTGTGTGTGATGCAAGAGCGCTGGTGGATGCATATACTAGCTCACGACGGGATGCGCAGTTGTTTTTTCCCGAATTTTTGCGCGACATTAAGGTCATTCCCGTTCAGGGAGATCAAGACGTCCTTCACGTGGGCGTCAGCGACCTATCGCAGCTAGGCATGAAATTATTACGGGGCATGTTACCCTTCCAGGATGTGATTCTATGTGTGCTACGGGATATGGGGTCCAAAAACTGGATCGAGAATGGATGGAATACGCCCGATGCCTCCGCCACCACATATCCAGAGCACTTATGGTCCGAGTACTGCAGGGACCTTGTAGGAACCATTGCGTCCTCCCTCGAACGTATGTGAAGCAATCTAACTTCAGGATCTGTGGCCGCTGCCCCTGAGCCAACGATCGCCTCCATTTTCTTGCTAAAGTGCGTATCTATGACTCATACAGCAACTTGGTTTACTTGCAACAGGAACTGCGCGGACTGGCGTCGGCTATGCAGCCCATGGCTGTCCAACTGAGTGAACAGTGGCTGGCTCAGGCTGTGCGTTCTGCGCGTACCTCGTACCTGGAGACGTGGAACCCCGTGGTGCAATCCCTGGTGGACGGTGGCTCGACCCCTCGGCCTAGTGCCATGAGCAAGTTGGGCGCCCTAGGTGACCGTACGCCGCGCGTGGACCCACTGTCGTACGTTATGTATATTAACACGTGCAGACGCTTCTTTGAGCATATTCAAAATATGAGTCAGATCCATCGTGAGCATAGAGTCCACCGAGACATGGGGCTCGCCGACTCCCTCCGAGATGATGTTATTCGGTATGTACACTTGGTGTTAATTAAAGCTTGGTGGGGCCCTTGTATTCGGTAACAATGGCTAAGCAAAAGAACGACAAACGTAGGTGGAGTGCACTCTCTGACCTGAACAGACCGCCCTCCCCGCTTGTCGGTACAGGAATTGGAAGGTATAATTGCCCAGATATTTGCGTAGGTAGAGTAGGCAGGTCTGCCAACAATCGTTGTTGCCCTCCGCTAGCGTGGGGCGTGCACGGCCCTGGTGCCTGTTTATGTAAGCGGGCCTCGAACTTCTACGACGCGATTTGGGACTGCATGGGTGCTGTCGCCAGGCCCAGCAGCCACACGAACGTCTTCCCAACCCCACCACCCTCCCTCACAACACAAGCAGGTCTTGTGTTCCCCTTCCCCCTCTCCTCGTCAATCTACTCTCTTTTCTCCCCATTACGCGACTCTGTAATGTCTGTTTGGACGCTTTCCTCCGCCGGTCGGAGAGTCTCTTTGGGCTCTATCAGTTTCCTGACGCTATCCCTACTAATCGCCCGTGGCACTTGCTCGCCCATGATGGTTCACCGGTCTTATATGCACCATTTGCATGCACGAGCCCCTAACGGATCTACATCGTCGACAGAGTCCCAGCGATCCGCTTCGAAGAGCGACGATGGAGACTCTGTTTTCTCGCCGAAAAACAGCTTCTTCCCTGTCATGGTGGTGGTTGTGACAGCCACTGCGCTTATCCTGCTTGTCGCCTTGTGTCTCTATATTCGCTGGCTGATGAAAAAGCCGCGTTTCGCCAAGGACACGGAAACGCTATCAGCACGTACTATGGCTGAAAAATTCGATGTACCAAGCCAAGAACACCCCTCTCTAACTCTACCTCGGCCTGTTGCCTCCAGTGTCGCACGCGGGTCGTCTGCCCGGTTCAACCTCCTGTCGAACTCGCCAACGCCATTCCAAGTGGGCACTGACTTTATGGACGAATCCATCTATCCGGCATACAAATCGCACCCTGTGAGCAAGTCGCAGCGCAATAGTGTGTTTTCGGACTATGCGTCCACGTTTTCGTTGGACAGCAAGGGGTCGGCAGAAGCGGCGAGCCTCCGCCAGACAGACTTGTCGCAGCCTTGCGTGACGCATGGATCGCCCAACTGGATCATCCAGGCCTATGAAGACGATAATGACGCTGATGTATCCTATACGCAAATGGCACACCCCCGCTGATGCCAAGACGGCACTCTTTCCAACCCTCTTCTAGTCTCCGTAGTATTCACGTGATGACAAGAGACGGCCAGTCCGAGCGCCTGGCTTCCCTGCACGAACCATCTTAGCGGTAGCATGGATGCCGCTCTGCAAGATGCCATCAAGAAGGGAAAGACCCTAAAAAGTGTGTAGGCTAATCTGACTTACATGCAGAGGTGCAAACAAATGATCGATCTGCGCCGGCGGTAGCGGGAAATGCGGCTCCTGGTGCAGGTGTCAGTGCCCCATCTGTTGGGATGTCGGCGCCGCGCATACCTACAGCGCCCCCTATACCTAGTGGACCACCTTCAGGTATCGGTGATATATTTGCAGCGGGTCGTCCGAAACTCCGTTCCGTCTCTGGCAACACAAGCACAACCCCTTCAGGTACGTTGACCTTATCACTAACCTAGCTCCCCAAAGTCGGCCGCCGCCGCCACCCCCACCCAGTGTAACCTCGACCAAACCCGCATTCCGTGCTCCCCAGCCACCTAGACCGCCTCCTCCGCGCCCATCAGTGCCACGTCCGCCGGCTCCTGCACCAACACCAGGCGTGAAGGTCGCCAAGCCGCCGCCACCGGCGCCGCCGCCCAGTAAGCCCGCCTTTCTCAGCTCCAAACCTCGTCCTCCAGCGCCACCACGCACGCTTGTACCTTCTTCGACACCGTCTTCCCCAGCACCTTCGCCTCAGCCGGCGTCTGCGGCAAGTTCGGCAGCTCCACCGCCACCTCGTTCCCGTCCTCCGCCGCCGCCTGCTGCCCCTACACGCGCAGCGCCGCCGCGCCCCCCTTCATCCGCACCCCCTGCTCCTTCTGCTGCTCTAGCATCTACGGTGACCGCGCCTCGTCCGCCCCGAGCTCCAGCCCCACCACCTATGACAACAACCACACAGCCACCTCCTGCGATTGCGGGAGCTGGACTTGGCCTATCTGCAGAACCCGCAAGAGCTCCTCCAGTACAATCGGCACCAAGTTCTTCATTCGTTGCCTCTCTACCTGTGCGTAGTGAGCCTGCTCCTTCGGCCCCACCTCCTCGAGGTATGTTCTATGCTCCGCTTACCTATGCAGCGGTGTCTCCACCACCCAAGTCGGGCCACTGGACCTTCCCTACATCGTCGCAGCTACCACCTCCTCGGTCCTTCCCTCGTACGGTCCATCAATACCCGAGCGGCTCTCAGCATGGCTCGTCGGGCACCCATACGTAGCCAAGGCGGGGTGCGCTGCAACATAGCTGAGCGTGTGATATGTGTGTTTAGTCATATACCTACAGGGCCGGATTTTATGCAACGACATGAGGCCGAGAACCTTGGTCGCGGTTTTTCAGTTATCCAAGGCGGATTTACACGACTCGGAACGAGTCCCCGCCTCTACCACCCCGTTTGAAATGTCTGCAGAGAGTGACGCTCCTCGCGTCAGTGAGGGTGAAAGCACGCAGGTGCCCCCACAGAAGAGTGCCTTGGCACCTGAGCCAGAGGCCGCCTCGCAGGCTGCTTTGACTGCAGCGCTGAAAGAAAACGACATTGGCTCCTCGTCAGACCTGGTCAACGAAGGCCAGGAACTTCGGACGGTATTCCAGGACCCCGTCTCATTTAACGTAAAGCATCCTCTCTACAACAAATGGACGCTCTGGTTTGATAACCCCGGCCACAAGGGCTCCTCTAGCGCCAAGGAGCGTAGGGAAAGCTGGGGTGCAAATCTGCACCGTGTCGTGGACATTACGAGCGTAGAGGAGTTCTGGGGCCTGTACAACAATATTGTTCCCCCCTCAACCCTTCCGCAGAGTGCAAACTACTACCTTTTCAAGGATGGCATCCAGCCGGCATGGGAGGACCCTGCCAATGGCAACGGCGGAAAATGGAGTATTCAACTTCCTCGTGAAAAGCACCGCAGCCAGATTGACAAGCTATGGCTCTATACCATGCTTTCTGCGATTGGTGAGATGCTTGAGACGCCATCGCCCGAATCGAAGCTGCCAACCTCGCGAGAAGAGGAGCTTGTCACCGGTGTCATTCTGCAGGCGCGCTCTAACTATTATCGCATTTCTGTGTGGACCCGCCGTGCCGACGATTGGGATGTGCAGGTGCCGGAGGGCGAGCCGGTACCTGAGTCTGTGGCCGTAGGGCGCCGCCTGGTAGAACTTGGTCGGTTCTTCAAGACAGAGGTGCTCGGATACCCGCTGGATGCCAAGGTCGGTGGCGGTTTCTCGTCCGAGGTCGAATTCCAGAGTCACAAGGACAGCGAAAAGAAGCGCGGCAAGCGCGCCCTTGTGTAATGCGGGTAGTACACGCACTTGTTGGATACGTACACAGGATAGAGGCTTAGTCTCGAATTACTATAGTACAATTACTGTGGGACAGAGTTCGGGACTTGGGCGAGCCACGCGTCCTTCAGAATGTCGTCCGTCATAATGCGAATTTTTGGGTCGGGACACAGCATCTTCTTCAGCAACGGACGGCATTCTCGGGGAGACAGGTTGGGCAGTGGGCTAGGTGTCGTGGTAGCGAGATATGAATGAACAAAGTCCTGGAATGTTGGGTCCGACATTTTTGCGACACGCCACGGCAGTTCCTGGCACTGCATGCAGTAGAAGACAATCGCAGCTGCCCAAATGTCCACAAGACGCGCGTCATACTCCTTCTGTTCAAACTGTTCCGGGGCAATATACGGCTCAGACCCGCATAAGCCCTTGCTGTAGTGTGTCGATTTTTCCCAACACATGCGGAACACGTCGCTCACACCAAAGTCGGTGATCTTGATATGACCTTTGCCATCAAGCAACAAGTTCTCGGGCTTGATATCCCGATGGGCCACGCCCATAGAGTGCAAGTAGTGAATACCAAGGATAGTCTGCTTGAAGTACGAATCCATCTCAGTATGCTTCATGCCTCCTTTCTTGATGGCGGCATACAAGTCACCACCCGGACAATACTCCATCACCTCACACCAGTGTTGATTCTCGTCCTGTACGAGATCCACAGTTTCCACCACGTTGACATGGTGCAGAGTCGATGAAATGCAGAACTCCGACGTGAGCTTTTTAACATAGTCTTTTTCGGACTCATTCTTGCGGCGCTTGCGGAACTCTTTCACCGCATACACTTTGTCCTCGCTTTTGTCGCGCTTGTGCGCAATTCGGACCACCGCACTAGCACCTTTGCCAATTGCCACACGCTCGCATGTGCCATACTTTTTCATCAAACTAGCCACCTCGCCAGTGCTAGTCCCTCCGCCGATCATATTGCCCATACGCTTTTTCTCTTTCGTGCTTTTGCTAGATGCACTGCCATCGGAGCGATGAGAAGCTGACGATCCACGGCGCGCGATCATGGGGCTGTTCATGATCATATCGCGTAGGGCCGAACCAGTACTGTTGCTCTTGCTCTTGTCGGACACAATCGAATTGGAACGACCACGCCTTTCATGATCCTGAAGAGCCGATGCAGTCAAACGATTGTCTGCCGTGCTGTCCGTCGAAAGAGAGTTGTTCCGTTCACGCGTGGGCACAGACTGCGAGGCCAACGGCCAGGCACCCTGTGCGCCAGACCGCATATGTAGGTTCTCAAAGGACTCGGCTAGCTCGACCTCGTCGACCTCGCTGCCGGGACCATTTTCGCGTGGGTCCATGCGAGGCGAGAGAGGCGAGAGAGGGCCATGTTTAAACGGCGAAAATGTCGTATCATGGGGAAGAGAGGCACTCATTGGATCCGTGAGTGGCGGCGGTGCCTCCTTGTCAGCTGCGACTCCGCCCGGCAGCATTCGACGCAGGATGCGACGCCCGCTGCTCTCTTTGGCCTTTTCTGCCTCTAAGGCACTCATGTTTGGGTTGGTGTTATGACTCAAAAGAGGAGGGCGGGCGCTGATCAGGGACTCAGAGCGTGCTGGAGAGGGTGGTGGTATAGACGACGTGTCCTTGTTGGCACTAGCCACATTCAGCGTTTCCAGGGGAAAACGGGCGGGTGCGCTGCCGTCCTTGGCATTCGTACCTGCCATGTGTACAGAAAGCACTTAGCAGAGTCGACCTAATAATACAGATGCAGACACTGTAGCAACGCAATGCCAAGGAGCACAGAGTTTCGTGCTAGACTGACAATTTTGGGGTGGCGAGTCGCGGTCCGCCGCGTGCCGAATTTGCATTCGCGGCCTCCGTCCGCGCTTTGTCTCTCGTAGGTTCCGCCCTGGCCCGCCAACACGTGACATTATCCAGTCGCTATGTCACTAAGTGGAGAATCCATTGCACTCGGCCTTCCGCGTACCCCTCCACCATGAGTCATCGAGAGTATGTGCAATGATATCCTAACTAGCAGAAGGCTGCTGCATTCCAGTATTCGCACGCCACTAGGGCGTCAGCTACAGGCGCAAGGACGGAATCTCACCAAGTCAGCACTGATGTACCCAAGTATGTGACATACTTGCTGACATGAGTTTTTATTACGGACGAGCCGGACAGCAAGGTGCCACTGGGCGCCATGCCGAACCAGTACCGATGGGGCATCAACCGTCTGGAAGAGTTCCTGGGGCCTCTTGTCGAGCGTGGCTTGGCGTCGGTCATTCTTTTTGGTGTTCCCGTGCTCAAGGAGAAGGACGAGGTTGGAACACTGGCCGATGATGTCGATGGTCCCGTTATCCAAGCCATCAAAAAGATTCGCGAGCTTTTTCCTTCCCTGTATGTGGCTGCTGATGTATGCCTGTGTGAGTACACATCGCATGGGCACTGTGGTGTGCTTCTGGAAGATGGCAGCGTCGACAACCTAAAGTCAATTGAACGCTTGGCCGACGTCGCGGTTGCCTATGCGAAGGCCGGTGCACATTGTGTGGCCCCCAGTGATATGATGGATGGACGTATTGCTTCCATCCGTCAGGGCCTGTTTAACCATGGCTTGGCTAGTAGAACCACAGTCATGGCCTACAGTGCCAAGTTTGCCTCCAGTATGTATGGCCCTTTCCGGTATGTTGTCGCCTGAATGTATTGACAATCAGCGAAGCAGTTGCCTCGGCCCCTTCCTTTGGTGATCGTCGCTGTTATCAGCTTCCTGCAAATGCACGCGGCTTGGCACGTCGTGCCATTGTGCGCGATGTGCAAGAAGGTGCTGACATTATTATGGTGAAGCCTGCACTGCCTTACCTAGACATTCTCGCTGATGCGCGTGAGCTTGCTTCGGACTATCCGCTGGCTTGCTACCAAATCAGTGGTGAGTATGCCATGCTGCACGCTGCTGCGAATGCTGGGGTGGGCGATTTGCGCCGGCTAGTGGAAGAGACGATGGTGTCCTTTCTCCGCGCTGGAGCCTCTCTGATTCTCACGTACTTTACGCCAGAGTTACTGACGTGGCTCGACACACCGTTGTCCGCATAAGAGACTATGTGTCTACCTGCTCCTGCTCTAGATCTTTGGGTTCCACCGGCTCCTCGTCCTCGCCAAATTGTACGATATTATCAATGCAAGATAGAATCAGCTCAATGCTATCCTCGTTCGTGAGATCCAAGGGAAGGAAAGACACCATGCTGAAATCTTCAACCTGCGTGTCAGTAGGAAGATACATACCAAATGAACAATAGCTCGGTTCAATTCGAAAAACTTGGCATTCGTTACAGCATGAACTTCGTCGGCTAGCAACAGAGGGTCTGGATCCATGTATCGTTCCATATCTTTACGACGCGCATAGGATGCGGGTCCCTCCTTGTCGTGTTGATAGACCAAATCCATTTTCGTCATGATGTTGAGGTGGGGAATGTCCAAGTTGATCATGGCACTCATTGCACTGAGCACACCAGCAAAGTACTTTGCCTTGTCGTCCATGAAGTGCGAGTCCAGCAAATACGTAGCGCAAACCCGGAAATTGAATTGCTGTTGCATGAGCGACACAAACCGAGCAATCACGGGAAAGTGTGTGTACAATTCGATCTGGCCAGGGCAATCAATGACTAGATAGTCGTTGTCATAGTTGCCCAATTCGTTCTCGAGCCAGTCTAGATTGTTTAGCAAATAGCTATGGTAAGCAAAAGGATACGTACTCGAAGCAGTATATAAGGCCACCGTTTGGACCCAGGTCCATCTCCTCCATTACATCTTCCAAGGTAATCAACTCGCGGATATCAATGGAAGGCTCGTACTCAAAGTACTCGGCCGCGGGGTCCAAATTGAAAAGATGGATACTACGCCCCAGACTGTGCGCATGTGTGACCAGCGATGAGCAAAAGGTGGATTTTCCAGCTCCTGCAGGCCCTAAAATGAGCCTTCTTGCACATACCTGTCACCAGGACAGCATAGCGGCCCATGCCGTCGTAGTGTGGGAGCGTCTCCTCCACACTGTGTAGACGGATTATCGACCTACCAGAGACGCGGAGGCCAAGGGTTGGAGCTACTATACAGGGAAGAGCCTACTTAATATAACGCTGCCTGTGAGCCTGGCGTCCATACATACGCTCATGAATTTCTTATGGAATTCCGTTCCTGCAAAATAAGTGACCAATACGTACGGGTGAGATCGTTGACAAAGCCCCGCTGACTCAAGTTGTTTTCGGCATGGGCTGCCTGGTTCCGGAAAATTAGATCATCGTCCCAACGCTGCTGCACGGGGAGAGAGGCGGCCTGAGGCTTCACATCGCCGTGCAGCGCATGCTCCAAGTTCAGCAGCGGGTTGCCCCGCGCGATTTCCTCTTCGCGAGAGAGCTGCTCCTTAGCCGTCTCTGCTTGCTTGCGACGCTCTTGTTCTTCGTGGCGCTCCTGTTTAATTTTCTCAAGCTCACGCATGAGAGCATCTGTGTCTTCGTCGTCGTCGTCAACTTCATCCTCCTCATCACTGACAACATCGTCGTCATCGTCGAGGCCAGACGGGGCAATTGCCGGCGCGGGGTCCTCTGTAGATTCTTGAGTCAATCTCACGCGCTTTTCATCCTTTTCTGCCTCGAATTCTTGGCCAGGATGGCGCTCAGCGTAGGCGCGCTGTTCTCCTACAGCTAGCTCCGCCTTCATCTCGTCGAGTGAGCGCTTCTGTGTATCTCCAGGACGACGGAACTTGAGCTTGGTGTGAGCTGGTAGTGCATGCTTGGAGAAAGCTTGAGACATGTGCGACAAATCCGACTTTGCTTTGGCCGGTTCCCATGTGGGGCGATGCGCGGACGACATGTTGGCTAAGCTCGCCCCTCGTGGGAGACGTGGGTGAAGGAATTGGCCACGTGGGATGGTCACTGGGCATCCACACGCCCTTTCCTGCGCTACGGCTCATGTATGTACGAGGGTGAGCATGGAGGACCTAGACCTTGTCGCCCGCTACTTGTCGCAAGTAGAAGCGGCATGCAACTCTTGCAATGCATTCTCTCTACTACAGAGCGTGGCTCTGCCCCCAGAGGGCTATAAAGACCTGCAAGAGGCACTGGGCTGCCAGGTACGCTGCTACCCACCGCTGACACAGGCCATCGACCAAGCATGTGCAGGTCTGGACTTGTCCCCCAGTCATGCCGCACAGAGCAAACGACTTACATCCATGGTATTTGAGTTGCTGTCCTACATCCAGTCATACCCGCCGCCGCACTCAAATCCACCCCCGCCTGGCGCGTACGATGCGTGGGTTAAAGTTTATACCAGCGCCAATGCAGTCTTCTCACTACCTGATACAGTATGGATAACACCTGCGTTCAAGTTCATAACCAGGCAACTGGTCTCGCTAGCGATTCGAACTGACTGTGTGGCCCCCAGCCGATTATATACCAAAACTATTGACGCCGCAGGTCGCCTATCCAAGAGTGCAGGCCTAGCCGCCAACGACCGTACTGCGGCCCCTGCACAGCAGACTAAGCGCATTGCTGTTTTATCCCTAGCCAACGCGAGTTTCCGTGCCTACTTTTGCCTGAACAATACACGCTTGTGTGAGACTGTTTTGGGGTCGGTAAACAACGCCTTGCTCATGAATCGCCGTTTTGCAGAGGAAAGTGATAGTGGTGAAAATCCATACACCATGGCAGAGCGCGTGACTTACCACTACTACCTGGGCAAAATTCGGCTTTTCCAACACCGCGTACAGTTAGCGGCCTATCATCTCCGGTGGGCCTTCGACCATTGCACGACGGCACACTTTCACAACAAGCGCACCATTCTTATTCCCCTGGTAGCAGTCTATGCGATTCTGGGGCGATATGCCTCCTCTACACTCCTGAATCGATTTGATCTTCAGTTCGTGTATGGGAACATGCTGCAATACCTAAAGACGGGTAATGCGTATGGAGTTATGCAGGAACTCGAAAAGCATCGCGATTGGCTCCGTCCCCGAGGAATCTACATGCTTCTGTGTGAAAAGCTCGTGCTAAGTCTATGGCGTAACCTGTTCCAGCGCTGCATTCGTTACCAGGCTCAGAATGACATGTCGATATCCAACAGGCCTCCTACGCTGCATATCACGAATCTTGTGCGACCTGCCCAGTTGGCATGGAACGATACCACGTTGGCAGAAGACGACGTAGAGTGCATGGTGGCAAATCTGGTGGAGCAAGTAAGTACGAGACGACCTCTCACGCGACAGGGATTGATGAAGGCGTATATATTGCACTCGAAGGGCGTCGTGGTGCTGCAGCGCGGACCGCACAAAGGCTTTCCACCCATCGCAAGTGTATACCTAAGCTAGTCCCTCCTATACAGTTTCTTCCTTGTCGGAAGTCACGGATTTTGTCGCTTCCTCGTCAGCGTCGGGCACGTCCGGCTCCTCGGCACTTGCGTTGAATTTCCGAGCGGGCAACCCCCGCTTTAGCGCATCGGTCCAGTTGTGCGTCTCGGACCAGCCTACCAAAATCGAAAATACTTGGTTCACTGTCAGGACTTTGCGGGCCTGCATGTGCTGCCCGTCCAGAAATGACGGGTCAATGGGTAGTCTAGCCATTCTGAGGCCGAGTGCCTCGGCTTTTTTGGCACACAGGTGCTTGTATCGGTTTCGATCCACGATGCCACCAATTACATAGGTCTTGCCTGGCTCCAAACACTCAATGGTATCGTCCGTATCAGCGGTAAGGTAGATGACATCTTCCTTTGCACACGGCTCCAGGTTTGAGGTTGCGGATGTATCCCACAGCGATTCGAGCCCGCCATATTCCAAAAGGCAGACGTTCTTCCAACGGCGCCACATACCTCGGCTTTTCCCTTCCATGTGCTGACCCACGCGGTCCTGGAAGAGGGACGTCTCACTGGTGCTGGCTTCTGGGTACGAAAAGGCACCGCTGGGCGGTGGTTCAAACCCGAGGGCTTGACCTGAGAGACTGCCAGCCCCTGCGAAAATTACTTGACGGAAAGGATGAGAGCTGCTTCGATTGACGCCATACAGGTAGCCAAGTTGTGCGGCCAGCGAGGTGGCCTCGTCTGGAGTCATCAAGTCGTCGAAGCCCAAGTCCACTACGACACGTGCATCAAACGGCTCAGGCTTCTTCTTGGGTGACCGTACGAGGGCTACCGCAGATGGGTCATTCTTATCCTTCTCTTTTGATTGTTTTCGACGCTCTTTCCGGCGTGCACGTTCCCGTGCCCTGCGCTCATGTTTCGTAGCTTCTCTCTTTTGCTCACGCATCACGCGCCGCGTTAATTTCTTCGCAGCCGATTTGGTCATCGTGACTGTCTCTCCCGTGATAGGGTGTACTATAGTGACAGGAGGAGCTGTACCTGTGCCAGACAAAGGCTGTTCTGGCTCGAGGGCCGAGGCCGTGCACGGCTCCGCCTCGCTCATGGTGACCCAATGTGCGAAGCCCAACGAAAAATGGACAGTGCAGTGTGGAGAAGTCTTACGTCAGCGATACACCTGGGAGCGCGTACCGCCACGCTCGCTGTCCACTACAGGCGGAATCCGACCCCAATCTTGTGGTCGTGTTCTAGACAGTATGGACACACCATATGGAAATGAGTCCATGACTACACAATCTTATGATACATTTCAATATCCTAGTATGTGGCAAGATCTCTTACTTTAGATGCACGTGTAGAATCTGCCGCTCCAGTGGCGGCCGCTGAGGAACCAGCGATGCCTACAGGAGATGCCAATGCGTTACCGGTGCCTTCCTCGCTGGAAAATGAAAAGGATTATGTATTTTTCCAAAGGGATACGAGTCATATCAGCAAGACGACGCTCGATGCGGCCCGCAGCGCCAAATTGCGCTTGGAACATTCATATCGAATGGCTGTGAGCCAGGCAGTGGAGCGCAACCAGCGACGCATTGACCTGGAAAAGAAGTTAGTGAATCCGCCAGATGGCGTCCCTGTGTCAGTGGAACGGAAAGCAAGGCAGTTGGCACAGCTCGGTCGACGTGAGACCAGTTTCTTGAGGCTGCGTCGCACACGACTGGGCCTGAGCGACTTCCGTACAGTCAAGGTGATTGGCAAGGGCTCCTTCGGCGAGGTACGCGTTGTACAAAAGGTCGATACTGGCAAAATCTATGCTATGAAGACGCTGCGAAAAGCAGAGATGTTCAAGAAGGACCAGCTCGCGCATGTCCGTGCTGAGCGCGACGTACTTGCAGAATCCAATTCTCTCTGGGTCGTGCAACTGTACTATTCATTTCAAGATGCAGCCTACCTGTACCTGCTGATGGAATTTTTACCAGGAGGTGACCTCATGACGATGCTGATCAAGTACGACACGTTTTCCGAGGATGTGACGCGCTTTTATATTGCCGAGTGTGTGTTGGCATTAGAAGGTATCCACCAGTTAGGCTTTATCCACCGCGATATCAAGCCCGATAACATATTGATTGACAGTAAAGGGCACATTAAGCTGTCAGACTTTGGTCTCTCAACGGGATTTCATAAGCAGCACGACAGTGCCTACTACCAGAAGCTCCTAGAGGACCCACGGCAGCAGGCGCACAATAACCAGAACAATCGAAACTCAGTCGCAGTGAACAGTATTACCCTCACGCTGAGTAACAAGGACCAAATCGCGACGTGGAAGGCCAACCGTCGCAAGTTGGCCTATTCGACGGTGGGAACGCCCGACTACATTGCCCCCGAAATATTCTTGCAGCAGGGTTACGGGCAAGAATGCGACTGGTGGAGCCTGGGGGCGATTATGTTTGAGTGCTTGTGTGGGTACCCGCCGTTCTGCTCGGACAATCCCCACGATACCTACCGCAAGATTTTGGCGTGGCGCGAGACGCTCCGCTTCCCCGACGACATCCACCTCAGCCCCGAGGCAGAGGATATGATCCATCGACTTGTGACTGCACCGGAAGAGCGCCTAGGGCGCAATGGAGCACAAGAGATTAAGGATCATCCCTTTTTCGCGGGTGTGGACTGGACCACGATTCGCCGAATCGACGCACCTTTTGTGCCCCATCTGACGAGCGTGACCGACACGAGCTATTTCCCCACGGAAGAATACCAAGATGTGCCCGACGTGCCTCCCGGTGCCGAAACCGACGTGGGTGCCAAAGACCTGGCCTTCTTAGGCTACACCTATCGCCGCTATGAAGCCAACGAGAACGCACTCTAATCCCCACCCGATTCCTGTAAAAGACATAGTGCACTAGACGGACGGGGGAGCCAATTATCAGCGCGCCTGCTCTATCGCTGTCGCACGTGATTGGCGGGGGTTGCAGGAAACTGTCCTTACGACAACGTCCTGGGGCCACCGTGCAGCAGTTGCAGTATATAGTAATTCGCGGTTCCTATCACGAACTCTCCGTCCTCCCTTCATGTTTGCGCTGTCCCGACAGGCTGCGCTTCGCACCAGCCGCTTAGGGCGCTGCGTGCGGATCCAACGCACGGGTAACGTGCTCTCTCAGCCTGTGGCTTTTGTTTACAGTCGCCAGCTTGCGACCGCGTCCCAGGACCCGTTCCATATGGAGACACCGCGGGACTCGGACACTGTCTTTGCTGCCCAGGACACGTTTCTGCGGCGTCACATTGGTCCGCGCCCCGAGCAGATCCAACACATCCTCAAGACGCTGGGCTACTCGAGCATCGAAGAATTTGTCGCGAAGACGGTGCCCGAAGAAGTGCTACTCCCGGAAGGTGCTGTGGATGAGAACTCCATGCCCGCCCTCGCTGAGAGTGAGCTGGCGAGGCGCAGCGAAGAGCTGGCGCGCATGAACAAGGTGTACCGCTCCTACATTGGACTGGGCTATCAAAACACAAGTGTCCCTCCTGTGATTATGCGCAATATCTTGGAGAACCCGGGGTGGTACACAAGCTACACGCCGTATCAGCCAGAGATTTCGCAGGGCCGCCTCGAGTCGCTACTGAACTACCAGACCATGGTCAAGTCACTCACAGGCCTCGACATTTCGAATGCCTCGCTTCTCGACGAGGGCACAGCGGCGGCTGAGGCCATGATCCTTGCTCTGGGTACTGTCAAGGACAAGAAGCGCAAGGTGTTCCTGGTCGACGACAAGGTTCTGCCTCAGACCCTCGCTGTGCTCCGCGGACGTGCAAAGGGATTCGGGGTCGAGATTGTGCAGCAGCCGCTCCAAGAGAACGGCCAGGTGCGAGAGCTGCCGGCGGACCTGAAGGAGCGAGTCATGGGTGTATTGGTGCAGTACCCTGACGTGAATGGTGTGCTGGTTGACTGGGCACCCTTGGCGAAGCAGGTCAAGGAGGTCGGTGGTCTCGTGGTCGCCGCCACAGACCTGCTCGCTCTCACCATGGTGAGGCCGCCGGCGGAGTGGGGGGCAGATATTGCTGTCGGTAATGCAGCGCGCTTCGGTGTGCCACCCGGCTACGGTGGTCCCCATGCCGGCTTCTTTGCTGCGACCGATGCACTGAAGCGCCGAATGCCTGGCCGTCTGATCGGTGTGAGTCGCGATGCAGACGGTCGTATGGCATATCGTTTGTCTCTGCAAACGCGCGAGCAGCACATTCGCCGTGAGAAGGCCACCTCGAATATCTGCACGGCCCAGGCTTTGCTGGCTAACATGAACGCCATGTACGCTGTGTATCATGGACCGAAGGGGTTGCGCCGCATTGCTGCCAAGGTGCACGCGCTCACGCGTATTCTAAAGCGCGAGCTGGAGTATTTGGGCGTGAGCGTGCTGAACACTGATGGCGCTTTCTTCGATACGCTCACTGTTAAGGCTCCCGCGGACAGGGTGATCGAGGCGGCGCATGCAAAGGAGATCAACCTACGTCGTGTGTCGGACGAACAGGTCGGTGTGACGCTCGATGAGACGGTGGCAGTAGAGGACCTGGCCGACATTGTGAGCTCGTTTGCCGAGGCACTGTCGAAACCGAACGTGTCGGCAGAGCAATTGCGCAAGAGCGCTTTGGAGCTTAATCTATCTGCCCAGTCGCTCGACTCGCTCCAGGTGAGCGCCTTCCACCGCACGAGCTCGTACTTGACGCAGTCCGTGTTCAATACGCACCATTCTGAGACGGCCTTGTTGCGCTATATCCATGGCCTTCAAGGCAAGGACCTGTCGCTCGTGCATGCAATGATCCCCTTGGGATCGTGCACGATGAAGCTGAACAGTGTCTCGAGTATGAAGATGCTGTCATTCCCCGAGTTCCATGCGCTGCATCCGTTTGCTCCCGTGGAACAAGCCGAGGGCTACCAGGTCTTGATCCGCGAGCTGGAGGCCGATCTGGCCAGGCTGACGGGCTTTGCGGCTGTGTCGCTGCAGCCCAACTCAGGTGCACAGGGTGAGTTTGCCGGTCTCTCGGTCATCCGCGCGTACCAGAAGGCGCAGGGCGAACATTACCGCAACGTATGCTTGATTCCCACTAGTGCCCATGGCACAAACCCGGCATCGGCGGTAATGGCAGGCATGAAGGTGGTGTCTGTGCAGACGCTGCCGGATGGCACGATTGACCTCGCGGACCTGCGTGCCAAGGCGGAGAAGCACAAGGACGTGCTGGCTGCGACGATGATCACGGAGCCAGGTACCACTGGTATCTATTTTGCCAAGATCAAGGAGGCCATTGACATTGTGCACGAGTTTGGCGGGCAGGTCTATCTAGACGGCGCCAATCTGCAGGCTCAGGTTGGTGTGACAAATCCCGTCGTGATGGGCGCCGATGTGACGCACTTGAATTTGCACAAGACGTTTAGCATTCCTCACGGTGGTGGTGGCCCCGGTGTGGGTCCGATCGGAGTCAAGGCGCATCTTGCCAAGTACCTCCCTGGCCACCCGCTTGTGCAGACTGGTGGTGAGAATGCGATTGAGCCCGTGTCGGCAGCGCCATGGGGCTCGGCGTCGATTTTGACGATTGCGTGGGCATACATCAAGATGCTTGGTTGGTCGGGTATCCGCACGTCCACGATTACCTCTTTGCTGAATGCCAACTATGTTAAGGCACGCATTCAGCACAAGTACAAGGTCAAATACGTCGGAAAGCATGGCAATGTGGCGCACGAACTCCTTGTGGATATGGCTGAGTTCCAGCCACTTGGAATCCAGGTCATGGACATCGCGAAGCGCCTGATTGACTATGGCTTCCACCCTCCGACCTGCTCGTGGCCTATTTCAACTGGCATCCTCATTGAGATCACCGAGAGCGAGCCATTTGAAGAGATTGAGCGCCTGTGCGAGGCTTTGCTGGGCATTGCCGACGAGATGCAGGAGATCAAGGATGGAAATCTCCCCAAGGACAACAACATGTTGAAGCGCGCGCCCCACACTGTCGAGGCCCTTACCGCTGAGACATGGGACCGCCCCTACACCCGTGAGCGTGCAGCATACCCCGTGCCCTCGCTGCGCCAGAACAAGTTCTGGCCCCCTGTCGCGCGTGTGGACGATGCTTACGGTGACCGCAACCTTGTGTGCGAGTGTGGCTCGGTCGAGGATTACTCGTCCAACTAGGCATGCACTGCACAATGCCGACCTTCGCATGGATCCACCCCTGTACTTTTGTCCGAGTTCAACCCGACGGACGATCATCATGTGATATAGGGCCTATGTAACATCTTCAACGATAGGAGCCAAAAAGGCAAATTGCAAGCCCTCTCACTCCCAGCAGCATGAAACAGTGTCCTTAGACATGCGAGTAGATGCCTGCATCCTTACGAGCCTTGGTCATCGCAGCAATCACGGCGGAACCTGCACCAGAGCCATCTTCAGCCTGGCGAGTCTGAATCGACTTGCCCTCCGGCCCCAGAATCTCGATCAGTGCATCATGCAGGCGGTCCGCAAAGTTTGGATACTTTGAGTACAGACTGCCGTCGATACCCACAGTGCAGCCGCCGTCAGCCAGTAAGTCCTTCTTCTTGACAATCGCTGCAATGCCACAGGCGCTTAGGCGCGCCGAGCGCGTACCGATCAACTGGGCAAGACGGCGGAAGAATTGGCGCTCCTCTAGCTCCGTCTCGATAGAGAAGAAGTACTTAAATAGACCCATGACTGTCAAAAGTTCCTCTGTAGGGTCCGTCTCAATGAGCGACAAGAAAGTTGTGTCGAACGAATAGGGCTTCTCTAGCTTGTACGTCTCTTGACCCAGGAACAGACCGTTTTGATACACGAGGTCGCACACGATCAAACGGAAGATTTCGCCAAGGTACAGTCCCGCGATCATCTTCTCAAAGGCTTGCTCGTGAGGCTTGTTCGACGATAGATCAATATGCTCGTCGTAGCGGTTACGCACGCGTGCCAGGTGCTTGTGATCAAAAGAGTCAAAGGCACCGTATTCACAGTTGATTGCCATCATCTCATCACTCGGGAGGTTGAGCGATGCGATCTTCGGCACCTCGCCGATATGCTCCATGTATGCAGCATTACAGCCGGTGCCCAGAATCACAGCAATCTTGGTGGACGGATCCACATAGTTCGATGCAATCAGCGTACCGGTCGTGTCGTTGATAATAGAGCTAAGCTCGACCGGCACGTCGAGTTTCTTCAAACTTTGGCGCAGCATATCGGCACAGTCGTGGCCCTCTGTGTGAGGATTGCTAAAGCCCTTCGTCCAGCGGATCAGCTCACCATGGTCAATCGCGCGCTGAACAGTCGGGTAGCTGAATGTGAAACCGAGAGAAAGCGGATTCGACACCTTTTCGCAGGAGCCAAAGTGTTTCGTGATAAAGTCTTTGACGCACTTCGCGCAGAAATCGAACAACTTCGAGCCATCTTCATGCTTCTGCTCATCAGTAATGCGGAATTTGACCTGCGTCAGATCGAACTTGCGGTTGCCTTTCAGCTCAACGAGACATACGCGGATGTTCGTGCCGCCCATGTCCAGAGATAAGAAATGGCCCTCTTCCTTTCCTTCGGGCCAGCCGAAAACGAAGGTCGGGAGCATAGGAACTACCTGATCCTCCTTCTCAAGACCTTGCCTCAAGACGCCAACAAAATTATCCGTGATTTCGCGCAAATAATCGCCGGAGACAGTGAAAACATCTTCAAAATGTTTCAGCTGTTGCTCCAGCACGTCGTTCTTGGTTGCAGGCGTGTCGAAGCACATGCTCTCGCGAGTAAACTCGCGCACCTAAAGTATTAGCATCACTCTATAAAGTCACGCATGCGTACATTATCAAGGCTCTCCGCAGACATTGTGAAGGAGCGAGACAACTACGTGTGTGGACCGTGCGGGTAACCCCAGCTGGCTCCTCGTGCCAGATAGTGTACTCGGCCGAACTTTTGTCCAATTACAGACGGCGTTCCGAATTGCGGCGACCGTTGACAAAGTCGGGCGACTCGAGCGTCATCTCGGGGCTGCCAAAGAGAGCGCGGTCCACGGCTTCCACACCCAGCATGAACGAGTGATCCTGATTACCCACCTCGTACTTCCACGAGCCGAAGCGGCCGCGGCTGAGAATGTTGAACTGGTCCCGCAGCGTAGGAAGAATCTCCTGGAGTGCTGCGTCACGATCCAGACTGGGCGTCGGGTAACCGGGAGTGAACTTGCGGTGGTATGTGCTGACAATCTCGCTGTCAGGAAGCAATAACTTCGTGTTCACACAGCCACGGATCGTGTCTTCCAGCACTTTGTCATTGTCAACCGGCTTGAGGTGCGACTCGGACACCTCCATCATCAGCGACCAGTAAGGGCCGTCCTGCGGCTCCGACGAAGGCGTGCCATGCGTAGGGTCAGCGTACTGAAGTGTGGGTAGCTTAGCATCCTTCTGCGGGCAGTTGTAGGGGCTGTAGTTAGAGAAGATGGTGGCGCGGTAGAAGGGGCAGTCGTCTTCGGGGAAGTAGAGCCAGCACTTGTCACCGATCCGGTTAGGCAGCTCGCCACGGATACCAATGCCAATGACATGGGTTGACGAGTAGACCAGCTTGTCGCTGACCGTCTTTTGCATCTGGGCCTTTAGAGTGCCTTCAACACCCTCCATCGTGTTCACTAGGTAATCAAGACCCATGGTCGACACAAGGTGCTTGTACTGGATCGACGAGCCATCCGACAGGTGCACTGTGTGCGCCGCAGCATCCACCTTGGTGACCTTCTTGTTGAATTGGAGCTTGTCCTGCGGCAGCGTCTTGGCGACCGCCTTCCAGATGCCACCAGTGCCGTCACGCGCAGGGAATTTGAACGTGGCATTTGGACCCCAGTTGCCAGCCACTTTCTTGTTGAGCGTGTTCGAAACCACCAGTTTCAGATTTGGCGCAGCGACACGCTCACCGAGCCACTTGCACTGCATCATGGTGGTAGGGACAGCCCACACCTTGAAGTTGTAAGGGCGCATGAATAGATCGGCAATGCCCTCACCCATCATGCGCACAATCCACTCATCAAAAGTCTTAGGGGCATCCTTTGCGCGGATACGCAGCTCAGTCGCGTCAATCATGCCCTCAATTGCTTTCACCTGGTCCTCCGTAGGAAGCATAGAGATGTTGTTTTGGTAGGGGTCTGTGCGTGAGCCATGCAAATAACATACAAGGCACCCATACGTCACGACTGCGCACATACGAGATACGCTGGTGCTCGTACCAGTCCTCTGGCCTGGGCAAAGCCTCAGCCAGTACATCGTCAAAGTAAGCATAGTGAGAAAAGATGACATGGCCTCCCACATCGAACAAGAAACCTTCATTGGTCACGTCCGTGGAAGCAAGACCACCAGCCTCAGAATTCGCATCCACAAGAGTCCAGCTTCCGAGACTCTAGACGTAAATTTCACATCCTCTGACACATACCAGCTGATTGAGACGCTTGGCAGCGCCCAGACCTGTGGGGCCTGCAGGTTAGTCGGTCCATTCTGCATTCAGGCACACACGTCTATAAAACAATGCGGCAAAAAGGTAGACCTTAGTGTCCTCCCTTCAACAAGCACTCGTCCATAGCGTGTGAAGCCCTCAACGTACCAGCGCCAATAACAAGAGTATCAACTTGCTGGGTAGACATGATGGATATAGACGTCCGTCCGGGCAACCTGAATGCGGGTGCCTGCACGACAGACACGCACCACGCGCACGCATATATGCGCACGTGGCTGCCTGCATCCGAGTAAGCGACCACGTAAGACAGAGAGGTGCTAGGGCAGGTAGAACTATAATGGTCACGTGTTTCTGTACCAGCGCCTAGCGCCACGAACGCCGCTCTCCTGGCAAGGCTTCGTCTCGCCTCGATCGTCAAGAGTATGTACGCTGAGTGCAATTCGAATTAACCGTAACAGATGGTCAACATCCCGAAGACCCGCAGGACCTACTGCAAGGGAAAGCAGTGCCGGAAGCACACGTACGTTGCGCCTCGCCACGGAACGGAACTGACAGACCAGTCCCCACAAGGTGACTCAGTACAAGGCCGGTAAGGCTTCCGAGTTCGCCCAGGGTAAGCGCCGTTACGTTCGCAAGCAGAAGGGTTACGGTGGTCAAACCAAGCCTGTCTTCCAGAAGAAGGCCAAGAGTACGTACTAAATAAGTCGTGTTGCTAACCCGTCAGCAACCAAGAAGGTTGTGCTGCGTCTCGAGTGCACGGTGTGCAAGTACCGCCACCATCTCGCGCTTAAGCGCTGCAAGCACTTCGAGCTTGGTGGTGACAAGAAGACGAAGGGTGCTGCTCTGGTGTTCTAAGTGCCATGTATACGGGCCTATGTACCTGCTGGTGCCATAGCCACCTCGCCATGCCGCTTGGTTGTATAGCACTGTCTCGCCAGCAATCAAAAGGATATCATGCACTGACATGTTCTTGAATAAAGCACTTGGTGTGAAACTATCGGTGCGGTTTACTCCGGCCGCGTGCCAGGCCCTCGCGGTGCACTAGGATTATACCATCCATAGTCCTTGGACCGGCCATAGCCCTGTCCCCCCACACCAGAGGCACTCGGGAGACGTGGCATGGGTGGATAGGCACTCTTGGACGTGGGTGCACCTGCCATAGGAGCCGTGCCTGGCGGTATGCCTGGTGGCATCACCATTCCGGGAGGCATTACGACGGGTGGCCGTACAGGCCGCATCGTTTGCGGCGGCATACCTGGGTGAGGCGGCATACCTGGGTGAGGCGGCATGCCGGGGTGACCTGCCGGTACGGCTGCAGGAGCCTTGCGGTCGCGGCGATTGCGGTCAATTTCCTTGGATGGCAGATATTTGGGTAGGGACGCAGGATCCGCCGGATACGGCTTGGTCCAGAACCACTCGTGCTCCAAGGCCTCTGCGGCTGTCATGCGCTTGGCAGGATCCAGTACAAGAAGCTTGTCGATCAGATCGGCACATTCACGGCCACAGTCCACTACCGTAGTGAAATGATGCCGCACGTTGCGGGGATAACGACCAAAATCATGACGGCCACGAACATTCGGATTGGGGTCTGGTCGACCCGATGACGTCGCATTTTTTACACCAGGCAGGGTCGACCACCCGGGAAAGTTGTCGTCATTGGGTGAGCCACAAAGAGCTGCAATCAGCTCCAGCTGATTAATTTCGGACGTCCCCTTAAAGATCGGCTTGCGTGTGATCATTTCGGCGAGGATGCACCCAACCCCCCACATGTCGATGGCAGGACCATAGGACCGCAGCCCAGCAAGTAGCTCAGGAGGACGATACCAGCGGGTCACGACCATTTCCGTGTAGTTGTGTGTGCTTTTCCATCCGCGATTGCGCCAAGCTTCGTCCCGGTCATGGAAGGGGCGCGCGAGACCAAAGTCAGCAATCTGAAGCTGGCCATGGTTGTCAATCAGCAGGTTGGCTGCCTTCATGTCACGATGCATGATATGATTCTTGTGCAAGTATAGCATACCCTCGAGAAGCTCGCGCATGTATAGTTTGATTTGGTTCATGGGCAGCTGCACGGACGGGTTGTCCAACAAGCCGTTCAAGTCATGGTCCATATAGGGCTCGACCATGTATACATCGCCCATTTTACCGCGCTCGGTGGATGCACGGTATGCCATGTCAATCACAGGCACAATATAAGGGTGATGAAGCATCTTTAGGAGCTTGATCTCTCGCAGTGCCGTGATGGGAAGGCCGTCTTTCACCTCATAGATAGTGACCTTCTTCAGAGCGACACTCCGGCCTGTGGCCTTTTGTATGCCTTGCTTCACTTCACCAAAGGTGCCCTGACCCAACTTCACAGTGAGGTCGTACGCATCGATATTACTGCATCCGTGGAATTGACGCTCAGACAACGGTGCCGGTTTCTCACGCGCACGCCGGGCCAGTGTACCAGGTCGCGGGCCTTTGCGCACTTTGACGGGGACAGATAGCTGTGGCCGGGTGGGCGGGTCTCGCTTGGCGGGCAGCTCCAGGCGGAGAGGCTGCACGTCACGTCGGGGCTCACGGCGGTCGCGATCATCATAGCGGTAGCTTCTAAAGTCTTCGCGTGACCTAGAATAGTCTCCGCGCCTCTCCCAGTTGTCCCTTCGGGAATCCCGAGCATCGTCAAGGTGGTAGGGCGCAGGTCGAGGACGTTCGTACGCATACTCACGGCGTTGGTATGGGGGTCGATCGCTGCCATAGTCACGCATACGAGAGCCCCGTTCATCACGGGACCTTTCTACCCAGTCATCGGGACGTCTCCGAGGTGGCTCGCGGCTTCGGTAGGACGAGCGCGGAGGTCCCGGCGGAGAACGACTTGGAGAGCGACGACTGGACGACGGCCTGTAGCCGGACGAGCCACGTGCAGGGGGCGATCGTGAGCGTGTTCGTTCACTAGACCCGCGGGGTGGCGATGCATCGTATGGGCGCGACACACGCATGTCCGGCCGCCTCTCCCACTCGTCGCGCGGCATCAGCGGACGAGAACCCACGGAGCGGCCGATACTCTCGGGGTCGGTGTTGGTTATGTAAGCGAGGTGAGTCGATCCTGCGTCGTGCACCAGAGCACTCGCCCCACGGCACTTGCGCGTGCGGAGCATGTCGGACGATCGTTTCCGCGATGCATTTCGACCGCGCGAGACAGATACAAAGAGTAAGCCTAAGGTGCCGCAAGAGGAAGTGAACCCCAATGTACCGATGTACATGGCACAGACGCCATGGTACCTGAACACAGGGGGCAATGCGTCGCTAGAGCACCAGCGGAAACCGCCCTCGGCCAAGGCATCTGCTAGTATCGATGACTGGTATCAGCGAGGCGCTGTGGTGGGTCCAGCTGCTAAGCGGTTTCGAAAGGGTGCCTGTGAGAACTGCGGAGCCATGTCTCACAAAACGAGAGACTGTATGGAGCGGCCACGCAAGAGGGGCGCAAAGTGGACCGGCAAAGATATTCGACCAGACGAAGTGGTTCAGAGCCTCGACGATCTAGAATACAATTACGATGCAAAGCGTGACCGGTGGAACGGGTACGATCCGTACAGTCATCTCGCCCTAATGGAGCGCTACGAGGCCGTGGAGGAGGAGCGCCGCAAGATTCGAGAAGAGGAAGATGCAAGGGCTCGATCTGATACAAGCGCGGCGCAAGCGGCCAAGAAAGAGAAACGCGTACAGCGCGATGACGACTTTGACAGCAGCGACAGTGATGACGATGACGACGACGAGAAATACGCAGATAAGGCCAGCATGGTAGGCCAGAAGATGGATTCGGACAAACGCATCACGATTCGCAATTTACGCATACGCGAGGATCGCGCCAAGTATCTCTACAACCTGAACACTGAGTCCGCGCATTACGACCCGAAGACGCGCTCTATGCGTGAGGCACCGAATCCGGGCAATCCCCTGGACCTAGACCTGGAGAATGAGACGTTCGAACACAGCCAAGGCGACCATGTGAATATGCAAAAGATGCAACTCTTCGCTTGGCAGGCGGAACAGCGGGGTGATGCCATAATGAATATGCAGGCAAACCCCACTGTCCACGAGCGGCAGTACAAAGAAGCGAGCCTGAAGAAAGAGAGGGAAGCCAGCGAAGCAAGATCCAGCATTCTCGAGCGGTATGGTGGGGCTGAACACCTTGATACCCTGCCGCGCGAGCTCCGAGCGGGTCAGACAGAGGCCTATGTGGAGTACAGTCGCACAGGCGAGGTGATCCGTGGGCCAGAGCGCCCAAGGGTGCGCTCGCGCTACGAAGAAGATGGTATGTGCGTGGTCACTAATGACAGTGTACGAAAACAACCACACTAGTGTGTGGGGTTCCTGGTACGACATGGCCCGAGGCGTTTGGGGCTATGCGTGTTGTCACAACACCTTGCCACGCTCGTATTGTACGGGGGAAGCCGGCAAAGAAGCGCATTCTACATCCTTGGGAACATAATTTCAGTGAAGAAGGCGCTTGTGCGCGTCTGCTGACACCTGATCAATTTGCGATGTGTGCTTCTTCGTGATATCCTCCAGCTTCAAGTCAGTCGCCTTTCGTAAACATACTTTTTTGGCCTCCTTCTGGGACTCGTTCTTGCTGAGAACCTTGGCGTCAGTGTCATGCTTGAGGCGCTTCTGAGCTGCCTGGCGCGCCGAGCGCACAGCGGCTTTGGCGTGCTCGCATTCGTTCACGCATTTCTGGACAAGTGCCTTGCGCGTTTCGCCTGTGGCCTTGGGCACATGTACATAGAGAACGCCTTCGCCTTCCTCAGGGGCTGGCTCTGGGGTCAAGTCCTTGTTAGCAGCGTAGACCGCCTTTTCTATGTGCTTCAGAGTCTAGCGTGAGTATTAGAGGACGTACGCTTGGTTCATAGGCGGTGATCAAGAGCACACTGTCCCTCACGCCTACCGTGGCATAATTGTGTAATGGTGCCGGCTTGGCTCCCTTGCCCGCAACAACACGAATGTCATCTAATAGAGCTGGGGTCAATACGCTTGCATACGTACTTGGATCTACACGGCCGAGGGAGCCGACGAGGGCTTGCACGATTTCCTTGCAACGGGCCACCGAGTTCAGCATATGCTTTGCAGTTTCATCCAGATCAAGCTGTGGCTCGACATCTGCTGGTGCCGCTGCGTGAGACGTCTTTTCTGTGTGCTTACCGCCCTTCTTCTTGGCCAGCACGCAAGAGGTGGACAGGGGTCGTGCGGCTGGAAGCGAGGGCTGGCACAGAGCTACGCGTGCTGCGTGGTGCGGGAGAAGCTGGGTTCGCACGGCGAGTCCCAGGCGCGCGGTTCGCGCTGCGCGCCATCCAAGAATCCACATGATAACTCGACAACGTGCGTGCGGTCACTGACGTTGCTCCACACGCGCTAAAAGGGCCAATTATGAAGTACATGGGCTAAGGGTATACGATAAAGCCAGCTGGCCAGGAGGATGCACAAAGCCCAGCCGGCGCCATCACACATGTTCCACTATCCGCCATCGTTCGAAGAAAGTTAGTCGTATTCTTCGTCTTCTTCAAGCGCACGTTTAGCACCGTGCGTTTCATTTGTTCCTACTCCCTGGCCATCGACATCGACCATAGACATGTCCTCCGTCGTTTCGTTCTCCTTTGTCTCTGTAGGACGGCCGTCTGTAGCGGGCTGGACAATCGTGTCACCAAAACGAGTCTCTGGCGGTGGGTCCGGCACAATGGCAAAGTTCACGTTGGTGAGACAGAATTCGGGGGGCGGCAGGCGGATACCCGAGCGGTTCGACACGGGCGGAAGCGGAACACTGTTAAGAGATGTCGCAAGAGAAAGAAGCATCTACTGTGAGCATCGAGCCCATACACACCTCTTTGGGGGGTGGCTGCGTGAAGCTGTAGTTGACTCGGCTTTGAATGGCCAATTGGACATCATCGATAGAAATGCTGCTTCCGCCCTGACGCGAGGATGCATGGTCAGCATAAACTAGTGCATCCTGGAGTACTTGTGTTGTGTAGCCTGCGCATGTAAGTCGACCGATACACGTACGGTGGGCGAATTCCAAAAGTTGCACAAGTACCGCAGGCTCTACATCCTCAATGCCCATGCTGGCAAGAATGAGAGACACGAGTCGAATATCGCGTGGCACCGGTACAGGGGTCGTCTCTGCCTCTGTATTCGCATGCGCTTTTGTCGCCGACATGGTTCGTACCGTCACGCAGCGACGGCTGACAACATCGTCCGGGCGCACTACATATTTCCACAAAACCATATTTCCTAGACAGCCTAGTGCACTAGGTAGTTGTCGGCTACTAGCACCGCTTCGTTCGAGAAGGGCCGCGGTGCACCTGACGAAGCATCGACAATACTGTCAATGCCGATGTTCAGGAGAGGCTGTGCCGCAGAAAAGTCCACTGACACCGGGAAGAAAACGTCGGCAGTGTCAGCTCCACTGGAGACCGACATGTCCATACTAGCCGATGCGTTGTTAGCTGAAACGCTGGGAATACGCCAGGTGATGCGACTGTTGGCCACGTCAAACTCGCAATCACCTTCTTCGGGGCCGGAGATATCCGGTGTAGATCCTGCTGGCACCGGCACACTAATTACCACATCGGTGAGTGTGAGTGAAGGATTCTCCAACTGGTATTCGATATTGGCTTCGCATGCACCATCACCCGAGGGACTAACCCAAACTGTGATGGAAAGGGGCAAGGTCGAATCCTCCTTGGAAACCGCACGCCAGCGGAGCACACCCACCTGCTGGTTCTGGGGAAACTCGCGCTTAGGATCGCGCAGCGCAATGGTGCGATCAGCTGCCCATGGCTGCTTGTCAACATGCGGGTGAGTACGGTACTGGACCTCTGCACCACCAAACCGCTCATCAGCCTTCAAGTGGATGCGCAGACGCGTTGAGGCAGGGTCAGTGATTTTCAACAGCAAATCACCCTTAATCTCAAGCGAGTCAAGGCCACCGTCACGATTGCCCGTGGCAGACACACGCTCTTTGAGTAAGAGGTGAATGCTCTGTGCAGCAGGCGTTTCATTAGCCGGCACTGCAGGTTCTGGCACGGGGGCACCCTGAAGACTAGACCCATGTGCCGCCTGGCCCAGCTCGGTGAGCGACGGAGACATCGTAGAAGGTGCCTGAGCCTGGTCCAAGGCACTCTGGGATGCGCTGCCAACCGATGGTCCCTGCAGAGGGGGAGCAGCTCTGTCACGATAAGAATCTGTGGCAAAAACATCCGCTGCGCCAGCGTGATAAGGGTCCTCGGCAGTCTCGGCGGCAGTGGCATGGCTCTCGACAGGGTAGGCATCTTCGGCAGGATAGGCTTCATCGACGGGATATGCTTCTTCGGCAGGATAAGCTTCTTCGGTAGGATAGGCTTCATCGACGGGATATGCTTCTTCGGCAGGNATCCTCGGCGGGGTAGGCACCCTCGGCGGGGTAGGCACCCTCGGCGGGATACGCTTCTTCGGTAGGATAGGCATCCTCGGCAGGATAGGCATCCTCGGCAGGATAGGCATCCTCGGCGGGGTAGGCATGCTCGGTGGGGTAGGCATGCTCGGTGGGGTAGGCATGCTCGGTGGGATATGCTTCTTCGACAGGATATGCTTCCTCAGCTGAATATTCCTTTTGCGCAAGATAGTCATTTCCAGCAGGCTGAACATCAGTGAGGCCAGGCTCCTCCTTCCAGGATGAAGCGGGCCGAGTGTCTTCTGGCACAGGCACATTCTGAGACGGGACACTGTTTTTCCCCTGATCCGTAGATGCAGCCTGGGTCTCTGACCAAGGATCCGTCACGTCGACCAAATCTTGAACAGATGCGGTAGATGGAGCATTATGTTCGGGGCTGACATCGCGCTCAGAGGCATCGAATCCTTTCGACACCGGTCCAGTCTCGCTCATAGGCACCTTTGCTGGTGGTACAACTGCCGCGGGCTTGGGCACAGGAGAGGGGCCGGATATGGACACAGGTTTCGAGAGAGGCTTCGGCGCTGGCTTGACCGATGGGACGGGGACAGCGGCCAGGGGCTTAGAGGATGGCGCCTTGGACACGGCCCCCAACAGCGCAGAACCCTTTGGTTTTTTTCCAAGCTGCATACCCTTGTTCTTGAAAGGAGCCGCCTGTACAGGCGCCGACGTATCCTCGGGCATACTGTGCACTGGTGCCGCTGTAGGAGTTGAATCGTACGTGCGGGGCATGTCGCTGCCAAAGCCAGACTGACCACGACGAGCTGCGTCGCGCCGCTGCATCTCGAGCTGGCGCGCGCGGCGCTTAAGCTCTTCTTTGGCCTCAAGCTCCTTGTTGCGCTCAATGATTTCATGAATGCGCTCTTCGTGACTGTCCATTTCCAGCATCGTGCGGACCTGCGAGAGCGTGACTTTTTCTCGGTAGCCGAGGGATACGATCTCATCAAAAGCCTCTAAGATCTCAAAGCACGACATAAGGATGTCATTCTCATCCAACGAGTGACACTGGTCACTAACGGCTCGAGCAAACAGCTGTAATGATTCAATGTCCTGGAGAATATTGGAATTTTTCGTCGTAATGAGGATCATATAGAGGTCTTCCAGTGGCTGGTACACGTAACGAACAAACTCTGTTTCCACAAATGTATGCTGAGACCCAGAATGAATCAGCTTCGGGAAGGAGGCAAGTAGTGCCTCGACCCGCGAGCCTGCCATTTCCCGGAATTGGCGTGAAATGACCGCTGAACGTTAATTCTTCTACTTTACGTACGCTTTCCCCCGCGTGTTGCAATGGAAGCGGCAAGAAGGACCTAGTCACGTTAGCTAACAGTGCATTACTCGCACATACCATGACGCGTGTGGTGCCGTGTACGCTCGGGTCGGTGGGGTGTCGCTCCGTTGGCGCGGCGAGTGTCGCCCGAGGATCACGTGATACCAATGCCACGCAAGGACCCGGACGAAGAGTGCATCATGACGCGGAGATACTTGTGTCATAGAGAGAGCTATAGAAAGATGGTTATCGAGCAGGGATCTTACAGGGCAACCTCGCGCACGCCATCCACATCGATGACGCGCACATGGAAGTTGCCTACATCTATGACGAAACGTGTCCGCATCTCGTTAATGCACTTCCGTAACAGGTCCATCGCCTCGTCAAGTGTCATGTCGGGTCGGTGGTATCGATCCATAGTCGACAAAGTTAAGTAGCTTGCATAACCATGTGCAGCAAATGGTACCGGGGCCATTGTGCCGAGATAGTCAACCCAATATAATGCTGGCTCGGCCGTGGGGGCATCGTAGCCGCCGAGCAGGAGATTTACCTGGTATGGACTGCGCGAGCGGATGGACTCTGCCAGTTGGGTGCGAATCCATGATGCAGCAGCCTTGGGTCGCAGGTCGATATTATTGCTAGTCATGAGCGATTAAACGCACATACCGGATAGAGTAAAGTCGCATATTTCGTTCCACAAATTCGGCGAACTGTACTGTATCACCTGCATTTGTTAGTCGAAAGCCCTTTACACATGCTAGGAAAATGAGCGTCTGAACACCACTGGCGGAGTCCATACGGCTCATGCACACGCAACGCACCTGACTCGCCTGAGAAGGCCATCACTAGGCTCTGAGACAGGACCCGCTGCTTGTCCTCGTCGGTCTTCATCTTCACGATGGATCTTGCTGCATTGCCATCAGAAGCAATGATAGCAAAACCCTTGCCTGTAATACCAAACAGGCACTCCATGGTGGCGAAGCAACCTTGTCGCCTACGTACGCTGTGGATGACGACGCTCCCTTTCACGTGACCATCGCGCTTCGCGCCACGGCATCGCGTTGGTGCCGCGCCTATTGTACCTCCACCCCTCGAATCGTGCCATGTCCACCTCGGACGCTGACGATGATAGGGAGGTTGCCCGCAAACATTTGTTCCTAACCGAGTTTTTTGGTATACATCCCCGTGCACTTGTCGACTCCTTGGTCATATCAGCCAACGAGCATCTATACCTTCTGGGCTCTCAACTGGAACAGCACGTGCGCGAGCATCTAGGCGACTCTGCGGAGGCGGATCGAGATGCGGAGCAGGGCGTGCATGCTATTACGACACTGCTGGAACATGCCATTGACCACACCATGGATACTTTTGAGCTCTACTGCCTACGCTCTATTTTTGTTGTGACGCCTGAGCAGTCTCGTTGGGTGACTATGTCGCACCACCGTGGCTTGGACCTGCGACCAGAAGCTAACTCGCACAAAATAACAGACGACCATATTCCAGAAGAAAGATCAGGGAACACAATTTCCGATGCTGAGGATCAATTGCGTCGTCGAATCGCTTGCGCTCGAGCAACGCAGCATCGTCTTGCCCAGGCAGAAGCTGCATCTAAAGTGCTTTTGGAGCGAGCCCAAGCAGTCGCTAAAGCTTACGCTTTTATCCTGAATGGCGCTAGGAGATTGACTGTTGGAAGCGAGGCTCCATCTTCTGCTCTGATAAATATGGCCGATGAAGTGTCATCCAATGTGTACAGCGTAATGGAAGCACTGGACTCCCTTCGTGGGTCCGATCCACTCCGCGTCGCTCTTTCGTGCCCACAAGGTCCTGATCATGACTCGGATGATACAGCATTGGACAATCGTCGCGAGTGGGAGAAAGGCCGTGACGAATATCTAAATTGGGAAGCCAACCGCATCCTGGCAAGCATGAAGCGGACTGGCTCCACTGTCTGAGTGCTACGTCGGGACATAGATACCCTTGCTGGTTACTACCTCGTAACTGTAATTTCCGATGCATTATCTTTGTACACTGTTACGAAGCCTGCTGTTGCTGTTGCTGCGCCAGAGCCTGCTGCCGATAGTATTCTTCCCATTCCTTCGAATAGTCCCGTACAGGCTCTCCATTTTCATTCGTAGATCCCTGCTGTTGCTGTTGCGCGGCCGCTTGGGCAGCGTAATAGGCAGCCCATTCTGCCGTGTAATCGCGCTGACCATCGCCCGCAGCACTTTGAGTATCCGCACCCCAGCTGTAACCAGCATAGGTCGTCGCATCCCATCCGGGGTCCGTGTAGGTAGTGTCTTGCCCAGATTCGCGACCACTGCGACCAGGCCCTGGAGCATTCCAGATAGCGGGATCGCGCCAAGGTGGAATCTTTTCACCCTTCTCGTTGGTCGGGGGTCCCTCGTAGCCAGGAACACCAAGGTACCCACCATGCCCATAACCTCCTGGCATTTCTCCCAGTTCAGCCATGAGAGCGGCGTACTCCGTGTCCACTTGTGTGACACCATCACCCATATCACCACTAAAACCATGCGATTGTGAGAAACAATCACGAGCCACATGACCACTTTGGCCGCAGCGATGGCAAACAATATGCGTAGTCCAATTGCGGTCGTATGGGCATTCAAATTTACGATGTCCCTTTTCACCACAGTTTTGGCATATCTGATTTTCATCATCGCGCAATGTGCCGTTCAAAACCGCTAGTTCACGCAGCTGGCTGCGTTTATGGTCATTCTGGGTCTCCGGCGTCGAGGCAGCTGTAGCCACAACTTCATTGATTAGTTTAATACAGTGCTTCAAAGACCGCTCATTATCAGCCGTGACAATACAGTGCATATCTTCCTCTTCGTTTTCCAAAGAACCTTTGCCATGTTTAACGCTGCCACGGCCACGAATATGAATCTTGGCGCCGCTTTGACTCTCCATCTTTTTCAAAGTATTTCCACGAGGACCTACTAGAAGACCGAAGAAATTGATCTCTGGAAATTCGCGCACAGGTAAGTAAATTTTTTCAGTAGGTCTACCTGTGCGGCGTGTCCCCTGAAATTCAGGTGGTGGGCGGAAAGACGGATCCAGCCGAGATTGACGATCCAACAGGCGTGTGCGCTCTTCCTCGAGCTTGTGGCGGTACCGAATCTCACGTGTGTTGTTCCGGAATCCCTGACTATCATAAGTTGGCGGTGGCGACGGAGATCGCTCCCGCTCTGGCGGAATGACATCCCCGGTACGGAGTTTGCGATTGATCTCGTCCAAACGCACTTGAATAGCGTAGCGATCCAATTCCTGACCCGAAACATTCCCTGAAATAGCAGCAGAAGACAGTTCTTTCCGGTCAGACTCACTGCCCCAGCGTGAGCGTCTCTTTCTGGGTATGTCTTGAGGCGATCCGCGCGACACTCCGTCGTCATATTGTCGCTTAGGGTAGTCACGTTCCGCTGGGTCACTCACGCCCGAGCCCCAGCGGCGCGTATTTCCCAATGGCTGTGCATTCATGCCCGTCCTCTGGGCATTAGTTCTCCAGGACATCGTCAACCGCTCCCTGCTTCACGTATGTGGGGCCGAAGACCTATCGTGCAAGGTGTAACGAGGGACAGCGGAACGCGATCCACCGTTTTCACTCCACGTGGTAAACACGTGGTCAGTACTAAGATGGTCTGAGCGCCTGCTTGTCCGATCCACCGCGAAGGCCATGGGAAAAGGTTCGAGTGGCGCGGCGCGGCGCGCCCAGAAAGCAAAAAACTTGTCCAAGAAAAATGAAAAAGAAGAGAAAAATGTGATACCAAGTGGCCCTACCGATCATGAATCGCAAACAGTCAAGATTAATGAAGAAAGCAAGGTCGATCTATCAAAGTTGGAGCAGAACTCCTCTGAATTACTAGACCCAGAGAAAACTAATACTAAAGGAAAGGGTCAAGATTCAAACCATCATGTGATACTGTCGGCATCGGATGACGCTAACTTTCGTATGTCAAATGATACCCACTCTGCGTCTTCAGACAATGAGCCAGAGCCTGAGACTGGCAATGCGCACTCTGCAAATCACCCTGAGCTATTTAATGCACCACATTCGAATGAAATGGAAATGGAGTCGCTGAAGGAACAAATAAATGCCTTAGAAAGTGAACTTCAGGAAATGCAACAAGCACTTGCTGAAAGTCATCAATCTTTTGCAGAGCAGATTGTGCAAATGTCTGCAACCAAAGATCTAGAGAAGGATTCCGAACTATTGCAATTACAGGAGAGCTGTGAACGGTGCCAATCTGATCTTACAATTCAAAAGGAACGTGTTCGTACGCTGGAGATGCAGTTGGAGGGTCGCGACCGAGCGTTAGAGGAAAAATCAACTATACTAGCTGAAAATGCAGTTGCGATTGCAGATATGCAGGCAAAGATTACTGTACGCGATACGACCTTACTCCAGGATCTTGTATCAAAAGCCTATACGCCGACAACCGAGTCGCTTGCCAAAGTAGCCGTGGATCTTGGATATACTATTGAATCTGACTATGTACGTTGCAGTTGTCTCATAAGAAACAGTCTTTCATGGAGAAAGTACGATATATTTTGGCTAACCACAGCTCCATGCGGCACATAATGCAAAATACACGGCCCTGCATGGTCACTCCCGCAAAGTGCAACATGAAATGAAGGAAAATATCACGAAAGCTATTAACACTATCGAGAAAGTACTAGAATCAGTTGATCCGGCCATAAGAGAAGCTGCCTTGTCGCCGTTGCGGTCTTTGCAATGCGACTGGGAAGCCGGTCTCTCTAGGGCGGAAGCCATATTCGGCCGAAACAATGCGTGTAGCTAAGCGCATATCGTGCCATGCCGTACGTAATTTCTGTGCGCGCAGCCTCCCGTCGCTGCATTGAGCCAAATTTATGAGTGGAACGATGGCGACGAAGCCGATGCCGGCTACGAGTCCTTCGCGTTCCAACTCTCTTGATGCAGGAGGAGCTGTGCTGAGAGCTCTTGCGCGTTCTCCTCACTACAATGAAAATCTGCATCATCTTGACGAGATCCAGCCCGTGCCGCCGTTAGATCTTAATGCCCAAGCCGACAATAGTTCCATCTACCATCTCCTCGTGGTCAAATGGGAAATCCCCCGAAAGTTATTCCATGCGACACCCGGATTTGTTGTTTTGTGGCTTTACTGGAGCCGGACCGACCTGGATAAGATCGTTCAAGTCTTGTTTTATATGTTCCTTTTCATATCAACTGCCGATTTATTGCGGCTCAATTTCATCGGATTTGAGCACTGTTACGAATCAGTACTTGGTGTTTTCATGCGTGATGGAGAGAAAGTAAGTCAGAGAACCGTAACTAACTTGTCAGGAGCGCGTCAACGGTGTTATTTGGTATCTTATTGGCGTTATGGTGAGTCTGCGCCTTTTCCCCGAAGACATTGCATCCGTGTCAATCATGATCTTGTCATGGTGTGATCCATGTGCATCCACATTTGGTCGGTTGTTTGGTAAACGCACTCCCTCACTGCCCTCGCCTCTCTTTGCACGTCGCAAGTCGTTGGCTGGATTTATTGCCGCTACTATCATGGGAACATTTGTTGCTTATCTTTTCTGGGGCACAAGCATTGCTCAGCATGGTGAACGCTCGTCGGGTCTATCTTGGACACCCAAGGGACACGCTCGATTTGGCACATCCCTCATGCCAGACGATTTTCGTACTGGATGGCGTGGATTTTCTCGCGGCTTTGCTTCAGCGGACCCCGACGTGGGCCTCAGCATAAAGACTTTGTTTCAGTCTCAGGCTCCTGCCATCCCCCCTCTTGCCATGTATATCACATGTGGTCTCATTGCAGGTGTCACTGAGGCGCTTGAGATGGGTGGTCTCGATGACAACATTTCCATCCCCATCCTTAGCTCATTTCTAATTTGGATGGTCTTGTGGGTTTGGGGCTTGATGTCCACCGCCTGATCAAAGTTCCAATGTATGATCTACTACAGTACATTAATGCTATACTCTAAAGTTAATTTTAACTCTGTTTTCAACGCGTGCGATTTCTTCGACTCTGAGGACCTCCATGTACACGCTGGTATAGCATTCCATGATATTTTCGAGATTGATGTAGTTGGCGCCATATATATATAGCAAGAGCCATTATCACGATGGCAACATTGACGAACTGATCCATAAGCACGGGCCATTTTAAACATACCACAAATTCTGAATATACACGCACTTCCGCATGGACAAACTTTCCGCACGCACTCCAGCCATGAAGTTCGCGGCTTATCTCCCTATCCGAGCAAGTAACTGCTTGCCGATTATTGTACGGACGACAGTAGGGATAGGCAAGCTTTGCGAGTAAGCTCGGGCATTACTCACGTGGTCGGCCGGACATGGTTCGCAGTCACCTACGGAGTAACATGAGAACTCTGGTTCAAATGCATTGCTTGGCACTGAAGCTGCACTCGAACTTGCACTCATTCGTTGTCGATTGTGCGCGATCGTGTCACAAATGTGGCCCACGCACTGTGCTTCAAAAATATTCTCTAATATACCACTAAATCTCAAGTTGACGATTGCTGTTGCTGTTGGGCGCGCCAAGCATGGGCCATCTTTAGAAGTTTCAAAGCAGGCTTGTTTTGCTCCTCTTCCTCTGGGAAGACTAAATCATAGTACTCCTCCATGGCACCATCGCCTCCCGGCACTTCGCGACGCTTTTTGGTTACACGTGGCATCTTGCTCTGGACAATGTCCATGGATGTCTTGTCGCCATGTTCGGCTTCGAATGCTTTCCATGCTTCGAGTAAAACGACTCGCTCTTCCTTCAATCCTTCATTTCGCAAACTTTCAAGGCCACGCTGAAATACAGAACGCGTCTCTTGGGCGGCTTGAACATGTGCAGTCGTCCGCTGAGCCTGTCGCTCTGCCGAGAGAACCACTTCCTCACCGTTTTCTTGGGCCTCCGCATCTTCATCTTCTTCGAGTGCAATTATAGAAGCCATCTTGTTTAAGGCGTAACTGATCCAGACCTTTACATGGCCCGTCTTCTCTAGCAAACGTTCATACAATGCATCAACACGCTCAAATTCGCGTTCGCCGAACTCAAAGTCAATGTACGACTTCCAAAGAACTTCTGGCATATCCAATCCACCATGATCTGATTCTGCCTGATGAATACCAAGTTCGTAGATTCCACGTGCTCTGTCAACATCGAACAAATTTTGCTCTAGCTCCGCAAATTTGACCCAAGTTGCCGAGCTGCTTGGGTCCCACTTAAGGAACTTTTCATACAGTTTCCGCACACGGTCAAATTCTTTAAGTGCCAATTCCAGCTCGATATAGCCCTTGAAAAGTTTTGGTTTCGGCGCAAGGCCAATGGCAGTTCCCAGAATCTTGCGTGCGAGTGTCAAATCTAGTCGTCGCACCTCGAATTGAGCATAACTCAGCCACAATTTTGCGAACGTAAACTCGCGATGAGGGACAACAGAGACGGCTGCTGCGTAGATCTTCTTAGCACGGTCTAAGTCTTGCGCATCTAGTTCTTCAAACAGGGCATATCTTAGCCACAAGTACACATAGCGTCGCCAAAGACGCTTCTCAGTTGTAGGCGGGACATTAGAAATGGCCCTTTCGTATACATCGCGTACTTTCGCTCGAGAAAGTTCCAGCATTGTTTCAGGGGCACCTTCATCGACGAGAGAGCGAAAAGATTCTTCTTCTAGGCGCGAATAGTCAAACCATATATCATAGTTCCCAGTGACCCCATCGGCTGCCTCAATTTCCTCTTCATACTGTAATCGGCGCTTTTGCGTCACAGTATCTTCAACTCCTTTAATACTTCCAAACTGCTTCTCAAAACGGGTATAACTGGTATAAATTCCTTCACTTTTAGCACGCGGAATCCGCTCAAGCGCATACTTGTAGATCATACGAGCGCGCTCATACTCTCCTTGCCGTGTCTCCATCTTGGCAAACGCGGTAAAGATCGTTTGTGCTCGCTCAAGGGCTCCTTCCTCTTCTCCAAAGAAGTCGAGAGCCATATGAAAGACGTTTCGTGCCTTTTCAAGGCTCCCACGTTCTTCCTCGTACTTGGCCCACTTGATCCACTGCTTTGGCTCTGAATGACAGGTTACTGCGCGCTCCCAAATGGCACTTGCATTCTCATATTCATGGTATCTTACTTCGAAGGCGATATAAGCATTCCATGCGCGCTCATCCGGTTCCCAGCTCATCCATCGTTCAAAAATTTCACGCGTACCACTAACGTTTCCAAGTAGTTCTTCAACGTGAACATATTTATACCAAAGTTGGTCGATCCGTGGCAGAATAGAAACGGCACGATCAAAAAGATTACGAGCATGGTTAATATTACGCATTTTTAATTCTTGTTCCGTATACCGCAGCCAGAGTGGCACATGATGGGGGTCTACGTCTAACGCCCGTTCAAACACCGACCGACACCTCTCCATCTGCCCTTGAGTAGCCTCCCATGTCGCATACTTAATCCATGCGGCCATCTTTAAAGTTAGTGTTAAATATACGTACGTTTCCTCGGAGTCGACGCACTGCGTCTTCAAATTCAGTACGCTTTCGGGCACGATAATCCTCCAGTTCTTCATAGCTCTCGATACGCAAACGGGGGGTTTTTCGCTTTGGGGCAATCTGGCGTTCTTGTGCTTCACGAAGTAATTGCTCTGCAGTAATTTGCAGAGGCGCTGGTGCGCGATTTTTAATGCGCGGCGCACGTCCTTCTGCCGACATGCTGCACAAAGCCGTGAGTGCGACGACGGACCCCATGAGCATTGACTTTGTCATCATTGTCACGTGTAATATTCTACCTCCAATTTTACTGGAAGCATTGGACCAACCGATTTGCATCTGCGAGGGATTATTGCGTAGGTTGTCTTGGCAAAGCCTGTCCCGGCAAAGTTGCTAATTGCCGAGACTATCATCGTAATATCAACTTGTAATCCTTTCACCATCTTGTCTGGTTGTTGTTTGAGTCTCTTACTTCATGCCTACCGAAGGTGAGGCTCCATTGAAGCTTGCTTGCGCCACCTGCATTCAGGGTCACCGTGCTTCTACTTGCAAACATCAAGATGGGTCCAAGGGGCCCTTGGTAGTAGTTAAGCGCAGGGGCCGTCCTCCCTCGCAATGCGCAGAATGTCGCGAAAAACGACTAAGAACCGGAAGACATGCTCGATGTGACTGTAATTCTCGGGATAAAGCCAAGGATGCACTCGAAAACCCAAGAAATACCCCTGCAGAAATGCCCGCAAAGAGACGCAACGTCCGCCCTACTAACGAGGATTTTCAACTTCCAAAGAGGGAAAGCCCATTATCATTTGATTTCATTCTAAATCCTTGCCAATGCAAGGAGGGATCTACCTGTACATGTTGTCGATCTCATTTAGATCATTTTTTCAACCGAAGTCCCGCCACTGGGCTCCAGTCCCCATCTCCTTATACCCCATCAACAAAAACAGCCCATTCCATCAACAACATTAAGCAATGCAAAGATGAAATACTCAGTAAAGAGACCAGCTGTTGTAAAACCGACTCAGACATTAACCGTGGTGCTTCAGAGCGTTCTATGGATTTACTAGTTCGTGCTGCTGACATGTCCAAGTCTTTTACATTTGAATGCCAATGTGGCGAAAAATGCCGGTGCAGTGGTTGCTTGGCTGCTGTGTCTTCCAGAGAAGCTTCAAAAGAAAACTCTGGGTCTACGTGTGGATCTTGCGTTGCATGCGATATCCAATTGCAAAACCCCACAGGAATTGAATCAGTGGATCGTTGGGCCCAAATGACGGACATCAAAAACAACCACAGCCCCAAGCCTTTAGTTTGAGTGGCTCATGCATTTCGGTTTCTTTTCACATTTCTTGGCATATCTATACGTATATACCATTTTTTATTCTTTTAGTTTTTGACAGCACAGAAACAGTCTTGTATGTGCTCATGAATGGGAGAGTCGTGATGGAGCATCTAACAACATGAGATCGACCGAATAGTAATCGATACCAATGTATGTATACAAAAGGTTCTATTACGTTCTCCATATAGACAAAATAAAATGGTAACGCAGCTTATACCCGATTGTCTTGGCAAACCGACTTCACATTGGAACAAAAGGGCCCAACCGGGAATTGAACCCGGGACCTCTCCCAAATTCAGGGCTCCCCTGAGAGAATTTCCAACGTCCCGAAGGGAGTATAATGCGACTATACTATTGGGCCAAGACTCCGTCCTCTCGAAAATACTAACACCTTATATATTGGATTGTACTTTTTGGAATTAAAAAAGGGCCCAACCGGGAATTGAACCCGGGACCTCTCCCAATTCAGGGCTCCCCTGAGAGAACTTCCAACGTCCCGAAGGGAGTATAATGCGACTATACTATTGGGCCTGAACTTCGGCTTTGGTTATACCGGACTACTACTTGATTGAATAACAATCTGAATTCAACCCTTCCTCTATTTTTTTTTATTCCACAACAATTGAGTCGTCGTTATTTATCTCTAGCGTCTACCAAAGACCTCGGCGTTCCTGGCGCTGTGCGCGCGAAATACGCTTATTCATACCCCAAGTTGCCTTCTTCAACTCGATTTCAGCCGCTCTCGCTTGACGCACTTCTTTCGGAGCTGGAGCGATAATGCTTACAAATGTCGGGGAGCAGCCAAATTGTTTGGCAAGCACACCACTGGTGTATGTGTAAGGATCCTTTTGACGAAGATGCTGAATTTGCATGATCTCTTTTTCATTCAAAATTTTCGTAGCATTGCGTGCCTGACGGTGGCGCAGAGGAAGCTGTGGGGGCATACTGGCCGTATCGACATTTGCATTCTCGTTCGCAGATCCAAAAAGGATTTCCGAAACTTCCACCGATGTACGACTTGATGCTTGAGATGGAGGAGTACGTGCGATGAGCGTCTCACCTGATGCCAGAGGAAAACGTGCAGCATAAGGACTCTGGTCCAAAGGATCGCGAGGATGACGGACCGGCGTGTTGCGCATAGATCGGGCACTAGTTGAGAACGAACGTGTGCCGCCGATAAACCCCTTTGGACCAGCCCAAGTACCTTTGACCATATTGTTGTAGTAAACCCAAGGGAAGAAATCTTTTTTCAGATAGTAGAAAGGACGCTGCGGCTTGGACTGATTAATACCAAACTTGGAGAATGTTTCTTTCAATGCGCCGCCGTACTTGAATTCAGCAAGAAGAACCTTGCCATATTCTGTCAGTAATGGACAGGATGTGTAACCGTCATACTTCGCAGTAGGTTCCCGTCCATCCAGACCTGCCAGGAGGTTGGCAACAAGAACGGGCGCCTGAGCCGTAATGGCTGCCGCCGTCTTACTAGTCGGGAGAGAGCTAGAGTCTCCTAATGACCAAACGTTTTGGTACTTAACGTGACGAAGGGTTTCGTTGTCCACATTGGCATAACCAGCTTCGTTGGCGAGTATCGACTTCTTCAAAAACTCAGGAGGACTCATAGTTGGAGTGACATGCAAGAAATCGAAGGTTTTACGCACTTTCTCACCATCTGGGCGAGCAAATACAGCAGTCTTTCCTTGGTCTTCCAGTGCAACCAAGTTATGCTGGAAAAGGCCACCAACACCTCGTTCTTCACGAAGTTTGTTCAAAACCTGACTGTATGTAGGCACACCGAACATAACAGGCAGACCAGTGGCAAAATCAATTTTGATAGGCGAGTTGGAGTCGTGCTTTTTATACAATCCTTTCTTTGCCCAGTGGTCGAGAGCCAGCCACATAATTTTTTGCGGCGCACCGGCACATTTAATAGGAGAGCCTGGTTGAGTGAAAATTGCGTGACCTTCCTTGAATTGGTCAATCTTGGGAAACACCTTGTCGACTGTTTCATACAAGTAGATAGACGTAACGTTGGACTTGTCGTCTTCGAGGGCCTCACGAAGCCCTGAAATCCCATCCAATGTTATAGTATAGCCAGAAGCAACGATCAGATGATCATAAGAAAGCTTTTCGCCAGAGGCCATTGAAACCTGGTTTTCATCCGGTGTCAGAGTAGTCACAGAGTCTTCGTAGAGCTGGATCTTGGGGCTGATAAGTGACTTTTCATTCCGACGGAGCTCCTCACGCGACTTGAGGCCACCACCAACAAGTGTCCAGCCCGGCTGGTAGTGATGGTATGACGATGGTTCGACAATGGCAATTTCGTCTTGTGCGAATTTGCCAGACTTCAAGAGTTGATGGGATACCGACAAACCAGCCGAGCCACCGCCTATGACAACAACTTTGTGCGCAGCATTCAAAAAGCGAGAAGAAGAAGAGAAAAGTCTCTTAGACACTGTCGCTTTAGGCAATGTTGCCGCTCTCATAGCTTGCAGAAGCATCTTGATCGCAGTTCTGGAGAACCTAAATAGCGACTGTATGTGAGCTGATGTTGTCCCGCTTCACGTGACTCGTATGGTGTGCTTCTAATGTCGCCATTCTAACCCTGTGATTGCATTATCCCTGTAACTATGAACATTGAATTTGTAGTCGTCAAATAGCTACCTTGCCACGAGGCTCATAGGGCAAGAATATCATGATGAACGACGCAACAATGAAGGTAGATGCCGATACATAGATTGGAGGCTTGAACTGACCGTCAGGCGTATAAATTGCCACCAAGGTAGATACAATACCAAAAGTTCGTTGGACGCTCATGGCGAAGCCATCTCCTGTGCCACGTTGAGGAGCGGGGAATACTTCATATGTGATTGCATACAAAACAGCATACATAGCATTCTCAGTAAGGCTTGTCGCACAGTTCCAACCCCACACGGCAGCCGATGATCGAGCTGTGGTGAACAAGAATAGGAAGAGGCCAGTCAGGCAGGTAAAAAAGGCCATTGTTAGACGACGTCCAATGTACTTGAGCTCAACTGTTCCAGCTGCAATGAAACTTCCAGGAATAGCGCATACAGCAAAGACCACCAGCTGTTGATATTGTTCTGAGAGGGAAGAAGTACCATCCGATGTGTTCCCAATATCTTTCAAATAAGTTGCGATAAAGGAATTGTAAAGAGGATAACCTAGACCAATCAAACCCCAGCATAATGAAATCAAGATCGTATTCAGTGCCATCTTCCGAGAAGCGAACAATGCTGCAATAGGAGCAATCTTTACCTTCTTCCAGGACTGTCGGAATTGACCGGGAACCCACAATGAGTCGCTCCAATTTCCCAGCCGATTAATTCTAAGAGGCTCGCGAACCTCAACACTAGCCTCAGGCTCTTTTTTGGCCACCTCTTCGCTCCTCCGCTCTGTGTTGTCATTATTGATCTTCTCGATACGGCCATATTTCGCATTTTTTAATTGTTCAAAGGTAAGGCTTGTGGTTCGCTTGTTTTCTTTTGCGATGTACAAGATAACTTCATATGCTTGTTCTTCTCGACCTATTCCGAGTAAGAATTTTGGTGATTCAGGAATAGGGTACACAAAAAATCGAATGATCCACATGACCATCACTGATCCACCCAAGAGGAACCATGAGTATCGCCATCCCCAATTGTCGGCTCGTGGACAAGGTGCCCCATTTTCAGAGAGAACGTCCTCACAATGGAAATTCGTGATGAATGCCCAGCCGATCAACGCAGCATACAGCTGTCCCAAACACCAGAATAGGGAAAGGAACGTGAGGATCCACTGCTGAGGACCTGGAATGTATTCGATGAGCATAGCTCCATCCACGGGAAGGTTTCCTCCCAAACCTAGACCTAGACATCCCAGCAAAACACAAAAGGTCGTGAAATTATTTGATCCACCCACTGCAATACCGAAAGCAGCAGAGATGAATAGAGTAATATTCCAAGAGGGTCGTCGACCGATGATATCTGAAAAAAAACCCCAAAACAAAGAGCCGATTAGTAGTCCAACATATAGGGAAAAGGTAGCCCACTTGGCGGTGTTTTGGCTGGAAAGATTCCATTCTTTGTTCACAAGCGTTAGCGACATACTTAAAATTTCGAACCAAATATTGTCTGCCAACCAACCAAAACCAGCCAGAATGATCAGCTTAACTTGAAACATTCCGAAACCAATTTCTTCATGGATGGCCTTGTTCATTAACGAAATTTGACGCTCATAATCGACGGTCACACCCACTTCTTTAGCAAATAAAGTGTGACTGTCTATTGATTCATTATCGCAACGCGCCTCCTCTTCATCCCCGATTTTCCTCTCATGACTAGTTTCTACCTCGTCGATAATCACTCGGGGTGTCTGTACTTGTTCTGAAGCATTCATAAGGTCATGAATAGATGGAGGTGGGGGTCCACTGTTAGTCTCCTCTAGAGTGGCCGGAGCCGGTAATGTTAAGCGCCTATCATTATCTTAATACCACGTGACCCTGTGTCCATCTGTAGCATCTTGAGCGCGTAAATGAGCTCCATTGCCATGCTACTGGTCCGAGGCAGCTTTCGCTTTTCTTCCACCCAGTCCATCAGGAGCCGTTTTCTGACATCCCAGGCCAAAGGTATCACAAAAAACACACAATCATGGGCAGAAAAATTGGCCACGGCACGCTCTGATGCCTCTAACGGGACACGCACGACAGCCTCTTCTAATTCTGCCAGGCACGAAATGCCTGAAGTACAGGCGCCAAATCCGATGAATGAGAAATCGAATGATTCTCTGAGCGGGAGAAATTGGGAAGCCGGTTTTGATGGCATAGGCGTAAAGCCTTTTCCTGCACAAGTGGCAAGAGTCTTAAGCGAACCTATTGACAAAGAGGATGTTGAGATCAAACCAGACGGCCTTTTATATCTCCCCGAAATCAAATATCGTCGCATCTTGAACCGAGCATTTGGCCCGGGGGGATGGGGTCTTGCTCCACAGGGCGAGGCGGAGATATCTCAAAGCATCCTTAGCCGAGAGTGGATACTTATTTGCCTAGGGCGGTTCGTGTCTACTGCGCGCGGAGAACAAGAATTCTTTCGCCCCACTGGTATCCCGACCGCCAACGAGGGTGCCAAGTCCAATGCACTTATGCGATGTTGCAAAGATCTCGGCATTGCTTCTGAGCTATGGGACCCTCGATTCATCCGTCAGTTCAAGGCCAAGTATTGCGTTGAGGTATGGTGCCAAACGGCCGATGGAAAAAAGAAACGTTACTGGCGCCGCAAAGATGACGAGCCGTTCGCCTACCCGAACAAAGAAGTCGGTATTGTATCACGTTGATGCATGTTTCTGTAGACTACTTTCGGCGTTTACTTATACCCGACCTTGCTTTGCTACGATAGGCACCCGCTTCGACCACGTCATCATCACGATCGCGCTCATCTTCAAGATTTTGTGCCTGTTTCCGCTTGCGGCGACCTGCCCCACTGGCACCTCCGAGTCCTTTCTCCTGAATTTCTCGGAGAGCAACTCGTTGCGCCTCGCCCACTCGCTCAGAAAGTAACATGATCATTTCACGATCCTTCGCACCTGGAAATTCTTCCAACTTCTTACCAATCGCTGCTTCTATCCGTTGAAGAAGCTCCACGTCATACTGGGTCACTAGCGTAACACTGCGGCCCTGGCGACCGGCACGTGCCGTACGTCCGACGCGGTGGATATAGTCTTTCGAATGCGTAGGGATATCAAAGTTCACGACCAAGTCAACAGCTGGGATATCAAGTCCTCGAGCTGCGACATCTGTGCATACCATAATCGAGCGTCCACCTGACTTGAACTTGTTCAATGCGCCCAAACGTGCTGTTTGTGACAGTTGTCCATGAAGAGGAATCGCACTAAACCCTAACAGACGCAGGAGCACAGCAAGTCGCTGAGCATCATGTACTGTCCGCGTGAAAACAATCACGGAGTGACCTGCTTGCTCATTCGCCAAATGAACAAGGTAGGTGTCTTTATGTGCAAAGGGCATGAAGAGATAGTATTGGTGCAATGTCGATGCCGTCGAATACTTCGTACCAATCTCTACTCGGACTGGGTTTCGCAAACTAGCGCGCTGCAACTTGGCCACCTTTGTCGTCATGGTAGCACTGAAGAGCATCGTGCGGCGTTCCTTCGGCATGTTTTGCAGAAGTTTATCAATGATCGGTCCAAAATCAAGATCTAAAAGTCGGTCTGCTTCGTCCATGACAAGGTATTTGAGGCCACGCAAACTGAATCCCTTGGTGTTTTCCAGATGGTCTTGTAAGCGGCCGGGTGTAGCCACAATCACATGAGGGCGTTTGGAAAGAGCAATGGCTTGGGTCATCATATCCATACCACCAACAATTGTAGCACAACGTGCACCAATGGTAGCACCGAGGGCCTCAATTTGCTGAGAGATTTGATACGACAATTCACTGAGATTAGTGGGCAATCACCTACCGAGTGGGGGCAAGTATACAAGCAAAGTACGGCTTGGGATTATCCCAAAGCGCTTGAAGAATAGGTATACTGAAAGCTGCCGTTTTTCCGGATCCTGTTTGCGCTAGGCCAATGACATCACGACCCTGCAGAGCCTCAGGTATAGCTTTGGCTTGGATGGGGGTGGGGTGTGAAAAGTTCAATTTTTCACATGCTTCGCAAAGGGGATCAATCACTCCAAGTTCTTTGAAGGTAGAAGCATGTTTCTCCTCCTCTTCGTCTTCAACACCTGCTTCGTTCCTTGGATCGGCCATAGACATGACACGTACGTGCAAGGATCAGTGCTATGGAATCACGACGTGGCAAAATTTTGCCCTCCACGTACTGCACGTGGCTCCATACTATATGGCCCTTCCTTTGGCACAGACGCATTGGTTTACCACCATCATGCCTTCTCCATGGGAAACCTGGCGTCAAGACTTTAATGACAAAATGGACCGCTGGGGTGAAGATAAACTGAACCTCCGTCCAAATCACTCAAAGCCTTTGCATAAAAAGAACGCTACCTATGAGGAGCGTCTTGCTCGTATGAGGTCAGGTGGTGGTGCAGAGGGTGCCGTCCTTGGACAGACATACCATCGTTCAGTGCCTCCGCCGCCACCACAACCCATATCTAATGAGAATTTATATGCACCTGGGAGCTTTTCTGTGCCTACATCTCAGGCGCCTCCTTCCTCAGGGGCTCCACTGCACTTGCAATTTTCCCGTTTCACTGACACTGACAAGCAAACCTTTTTTGCTCTTCTGGACGAGTATTTCGTGAAAAGATCGTCTGGTGGTGATATGTGGTACGTATGGAGGGTCATTCATGGATAGACAGGCTTGATGATGACTTTGATGAAAAGATTCTTACTACCATTGGCCATGGCCTTTGTTCTACCGTATGCAAAGCACCATTTGCTTCTACATCTGTCGAAAAGGTTGGTGGGGATCCCGGACAGCTATGTATCAAACAAGTAGATGTGGATGTGCAAAATGCCCCTCACAATATCGAGCATGAAATTGCCCTACTCCAGCGTCTTCGTCACGATCATTTGGTGCTAATGCTTGCTTCTTTCACATCTGAACCAGATCATTTCACGACGATATATCATATTGCAATGCCACTCTATCCGTATACCCTCCCTGAACTTCTTAATCAAGAATGGATGTGTCCCGGCGTTACAGATTTTTCCATTCAATCAAAAAACTCTCGATGGACACGTATCCTGGGGGCCCACTCTTTTTCTTCTTTCGTACATTACTTTGCATTGCAATTAGCTGGTGCTATGGCTTATCTTCACCAGGAACGGGTTGCTCACCGCGATATCAAGCCGGCCAATATATTGTTCGATACGAGTGGCCATCTCAAGCTAATTGATCTTGGTGTTGCGTGGGAAGACGGGGTGCAAGAGGCGCCTCCTTTTGTCTCCAAGGAGAAGCAGAGCCGGTCCGATTGCGCACAGATCAGCGACGTTGGAACCGGAGCCTTCAGAGCTCCTGAGCTCTTGTTTGCCCCTCAGCACGGATACGATGCATATAAGGTGGATGTCTGGTCTTGGGGTGCTGTTATGGCATCTTTCTTTACAGACTTGATTGAAGTCGAGAACGAAGAATGTCTTGGTCGTCCCAATTTTGCGTCATGGGAACGTGAGCTATTCCCAGATCGCCTCAGCGAAGAATGCCTGGAGCATTGGCTACCACGCACATATAAACGCTCTACCTTGTTTGACTCTTCGCGTGGTGATATTGCTCTTGCATGCGATTTGTTTAAGGTTCTTGGATTGCCGAGCGATGAAGCTTGCTGGCCTGAGGCAGCTTTTTTCCAGCCGCCCTTAGCCCAATTCCCATTTGTTCACCAGTCTGCTAAAGAGCCTTTATTCGGTCGCTTACCACACTGGCACGCACTGGCACAAGATACATCGGCGCCTGCCCAACGCTTGTATGTCTTTGTTAAAGAATGGCTTCCTCGAATTTTGTCCCTCTCCGCTAGTCAGCGTCCTACTGCGGCCGACCTATATGCATCTCTAGCGAATTCATAAAATGGCTGTGGTGTTTCTATTAGTTAAATGTGTGAGTGAAAAGCCACGGCTCGTCTATGTTCAAGATCCCGAGCGCACAAGATTCATGAAACGCTCTGACTCGCTGCACCCATTGGCTTGAAATTGGTCTAAGGCTTCGGGAAGCTACTCGTGAGCGTTCTTCACGTACCCATTCCTTTATCTTTGATATCCGTTTTGAATTAACTGGATGTGTTGACAACAATGCCATAGCAGTTTCTGCAATGCCCGATCCACTTCTCTCGCCTGCATCCATCCGTTGCCTATTTGTAAGAAATTACCACATACCAGAAATAGACCGCTTCATGGGGGTCATAGCAAGCTTGTGACATGATACGAAGCCCTAATTCATCGGCTTCGCTTTCAATTTTGCGTGAGTTGGGTAAGTTCATCACTAGATTTAACAGGATCCGACTTAGTCCGATATCTAATCCCATCATTTCGAGAATAAATGCCGCGGCGAAGAGGACTTTGGACCCAGCTACCTTTTCAGCTGAGTGTCTCGCTAGCTGATGAGAAATTTCATGAGACATGACGGTGGCTAAGCCAGCATCACTTTGGCACACAGGCAAAATACCAGTGAAGATAAAAATATGCCCTCCAGGCAGCACGAAGGCATTCTTTTGATTCGGGTCTTGAATCACATGAATAGTCCATTGTGTAGGCTGTGCGTCGTGTGTTCTTTGCATATCGAGCTTTTCACAGGCACGAATAATGCGTCTGGCTACGCGTTCCACCTGATGCACGGCAGGCGATGAGGATGGCAAGATTTGTGCGTGGTACTGCTGGAGGGTGCTTTGGAATGCTTGCTCACCCATTTTTCGCTCCTCCTGTGCGGTTATATCGATGAAGCGCCAGCGTCCTGTAGCGGGCACCTGCTCGAGATGGAATATGTAGTATACTCCAGCGCCACCGAGAACTACAAGTAAAAGAATCAGTCTTGGATGATGTCCAGATTGAATACCACGTAACTGAGGACCGTTGCCAACATCTGCGTCGATACGCATGGACTTTTGTAACCGCACAGGTCTGCGCTGACTAGGTAGTCCCGGCCAACGATCGCGAGGCAGTCCTTGTTCCTTCCATTGCTTTTGCATCCTTTCACGAAGTATCTCGGCAAATTCTTCACCATGACTCCGAGGAACCTGCCTACAAAATAAAGGGTCCGAATGGAATCCTCTGCGACTCACCCGCCGTTGTATGCTCAACCATGAACAAGGATCTGCAACCAGACGGACTCTTGGCAGCATGGTTATCATGGTTGGTGCATCGACAGCTTGCATATGCAGTGCAAGGCGATGGACCTCCTGATTCGCTCAATCAAACACCGACTCCCCCCTTTTTCGATAAGCCAAATCCAATTTGAAAGAGATTTTATTTGTAGGTAACAGTGTACCCGTTAGCTTCATGAAGGCATGGAAAGACTCTGAGGCGAATATGAACAGTGTTCTAGCGGCGAAGTCGGGTTCAAAGGCCAGTCAAGACAAGATGGAGAAATCTGATGGATTTGATGGCAGTCTACATGTTGAGCATCAACATGTAAGCGCAATTGATCAAGATATGGATGACGACGATCTTGCTCTTGCCAAGCGCCTTGGCCATCGATCCGAATTTGCTCGCGAATTCAAAAGCTTTTCGACGATCTCCTTTGCCTTTGCCATCATGGGACTTGTGTCATCAATAGCCACTACTTTCAACTCACCTTTTACACTAGGAGGGCCTGCGTCTACGGTGTGGTGTTGGTTCATGGGCTCATGCTTTAACTTAACACTTGGGACGGCTATTGCTGAACTTGTTTCGGCGTATCCATCAGCTGGTGGTCTCTATTCAGCGAGTGGTCTTCTTGTGCCCAAGAAGTACCGTGCTTCTGTGGCTTGGACCACAGGCTGGCTCAATCTTACCGGTCAAATTGCTGGTATTGCAGGTACCGAATGGGGTCTTGCTCAAATGATATATGCATGGGCATTTGTCATATCAAATGGTCAATTTGTGGCCACGAAGTACGAGACAGTAGGCTTGTACTTTGCTCTACTGGTCATTCACGGCATCATCAACTCCCTGGACTCAAAGACCCTTGCTCGGATGACAAGCTCCTATGTGATCGTAAATATTGGGATTACTTTTGTGATTATCATTACTCTGCTTGCTCGGACGCCTCTTCATGAAATGCATGGCGCTGAGTACACGTTTACTGAGACGGTCAATACATCTGGTTGGCGCGGCCAGGGCGGAAATGCATTGGCCTTCTTGTTTGGTCTTTTATCTGTCCAGTTTGTTATGACAGACTATGATGCTACGGCGCATATCTCTGAAGAAGTGCACCGCGCGGCCATCGCAGCGCCTGTTGCTATCTTGGTTGCTGTTGCCGGCACTGGTATGGTGGGCTGGTTGCTGAACATTGTGCTGGTGATTTGTTCGGGCAATGTCGCTGATCGTGACAGTAGTTCGTGGCCTGGTGGCCTTGCCATGGCTGAGATCATGGCGACACGGATTGGCAAAGTCGGCTTCCTTGTCATTTGGCCCTTTGTGTGCCTGGTAGCCTTCTTCGTCGTTACAACTGCAACTCAAGCGAACGCTCGCTCCTTTTATGCCTTTTCCCGTGACCATGGTTTGCCAGACTTTGGTCTCTTTTCGAAGATCTGGAAGCGCACTGGCACAACAGTGAATGCTGTGTGGCTTGTCATTATTCTTTGTATGTTGCTTGGATGCCTTGGCTTTGTGAATCAGACTGCTGTAAACGCCATTTTTGCTCTGGCTGCATTGGGTATGGATATGTCGTACTTGATTCCGATTGTGTGCCGGCAGATTTTCCAAAATCACCCGGAGGTCATGTTTGAGCCTGGTCCCTTCACTTTGGGCAAAGGCTGGTTTGGTCGTATTGTCAATCTAATTGCCATTCTCTGGACATTGTTCGAGTGCACAATTCTAAGCATACCTACAGTGATTCCCTTGACCGCCGACGATTTCAACTATTCGTGGGTCATCATGACGGGTGTATTGTTGATATCCACTTTTTGGTACGTGGTCCATGCCCACCGTCATTACCATGGACCTCGCAGTAGTATGAATCCAGACATGCTTCGCAAGATTGGTGTGGACGCTACTGAAGAGGTTGAAACAGCTCCGCAGAAGAATACGCAGAGGCTGTCAGGGAACATATTTCATCGGCGGCAAAAGTCTCAGTCCCATGAGACTACCACGGACTCTGCACAGGAGAATATGTAGTATAGTACTAAAACATGAATGCTTAAAGGTAGTCATCTAATTTTCAGCGATGAAACGTAGCTATAGAAACATATGAAAGTATCAACCCCAGTCACAATGGATTCTCAGCAGGACGAAAGGAGCGCGAATCATCCCACGCAAGATAGAACATTAGAAATCCGATTTTTCTTCTAATGGCTGTTTCAGACGTGCCTCTAGGCGAGCGTGGCGTTTCTCGAGTTGCGAGAATCGCGATTCAAGTCGAGCGAACCGGGACTCGTTTGCATGTGCTTGTTCGAGAAGACGTTGTTCTACAATTTCTTCCAGTACCTGTTTTGATCTTTGCAATGTCTGCAGGATCGTATTGCTTGCATTGATCTGGTGTTCCAAGGCCATCAAAAGAGCTCGGCTGTCTGACAGCGAATCATAGAAGCTGGAAAAGAGCGACAAAAAGCTTCCTTTGTTCGGTGGTGAGGTATGAAGCGCTTCTGTACCGTGGCTTGTGTCCACTGGTCTCGGCGCATCACTTGACCGATGATAAGGGAGTGGTACATTGCAGGAGTATGCCGGTGACCGCGGCGGTAGGGTTGGAGACGTACATACACGAGATGCCCTATCCGACGTCGGCATATAGCGCATTTCGGGGGTTGACAGAGGTAGGTATGAGGGTTTTGTACACCACGACTGGGCATCATAGTGGGTTTTGTCAGAAGGGACAAGTAAATGGGAAGGAGGTGGAAGTCGTGTTTCATGGGTGAATTGATGTTGTTGTGGGGGAGCACTCTGGATCAACGGTTCTCCGGCTACCAACCCAGGGATTATGTCTCCTTCATGTTCTGATAGTTGCAGAGTGGGTACCCTTCCTGAAGCCGGGTGTCCACGTCGCTGAACAATAGTAAGATGAGGGCTAGAGGGGTGAATTTCATGAACTTCTCGATGTCCGATAGGAAAGTCGTAGACTCCGATCCTTGCTTGCCGCTCTCCCCCTTCCTGAGGGGCTTGCTGTGGATTCCGCTGAAGCGACCGTTTCTCTGCCGTAGGACCTAGCCTATTTGATAGCCGGGTCAGTTGCAAGGGCTCGTCTTCATTCTCCTGCAATAGGATACGGGGTCTTTTGTATGGATGAGCGCTAAAGATGGCAGGGGACGGAGTTTCCTGCGTATCAGCACTTGTGTTCTTCTGCATAGAAGCGATGTCAACTTGTTTTCATGAATGCAATAAGTAGATGCACTGCTCGTCTCGGAAGAAGACGTGCGGCAACACGTTCATTTGAACCCTGCAGAAATATTCCAGAGCTTATGTCATCACAAGTTCCTCGCCTTCAAATTGTTGATTTATCGACCTGACGAACTAGAGCCTTTCCACCGAAACTGACAATCCAGCGAATCGCGCGGCTGTCACGGACGGCCACCAAACTTCGGTCCAAAATTGTGCCTCCGTAGGTACACTAAATGTATCCTCCGCCAGACACGCTCGCAGAGCTTCATTCGTCGCTGCATTCCTGTAGAGGGTAGACGTGTGCTGCAGCGACCAAAAGGCACCTGCAAGGGCGTAGAGCTCAGCTTCAGCAGAAGGGTCGTCACAACATGTGCCACGAAGCCATACTGCTCGCGCGCAGCCTACAAGTAGAGTCAGATCTCGTTGTAAGCTTTCCCAACCCCCGTCTGGGATGGCATGCGTGAGGGCCCTTCCGAATACCAGCGTGTCATCTGTGGCAGGGCATACGCTCACCTGATGGACCCACATAAGGCCGTCGTCAGCGAGAGCGCGTCTGGCATAAATGCGGGCATTGTCGAGTAGTTTCGTTTGGTTGGACTGCACCACGTCAAGGACCTGCGCCAGGGCGTTGTGCGCTCGAGTCAGAGAAATAGACGACAATTCTCCATACATGGAGGCGCGCGTCCTGGAAATCTGCGTGGAAGCATTAAATGGAGTGGGAGCAGGCGTGTGAGGAGCGACCCAGGCTGATAAATTCTTAGGTGCGAGCGTGGGGGCCGATCGGGACTCGGGCGCTTCGAACGGCGCCAAGGCAGCGAGCATACATTTGGCGGCACAGGTCCCTAGCTCCCATGCTCGCGCTGCCGAGTCTCTGTCACCTCGGAGAAGGTAGTCGATGCGCAGGCGTGCCAGCGCATGCGCGTGGTTTCCTAGCGCGCACAGATCCTCCACGGCCGCCTCAACTTGTTCGACGCGTGCCTCTGAATCGGTGCCTAGGCGTACGGATGTGAGAGACTGGGCTGCTGGCGGTGTTTGAAGAGCCATTTGGGCCTGTCCTAGGACTGCCGCTTCGAGTGCCTGCCATCCTTCGTTTGTGGGCCATACGTCCCATTCTGTCGCACGCTGAACCTGGGTCAGCTGAACCTCGATGTAGGCTTGCTGCAGCAAGGCCACCTGCCGATCATACGCGCGTGGAAGACTTTGCGATGCGCCAAATCCGTTAGGAAGTGCATGCACATAACTCTGCGCAAGCTCGATCAAGGACTGCAGCGAAGCGACCCAGCGATCCAGGGTTGGGATATTGCAGGCATGGGGTAGCAGGTCGAGGCCGCACTTGATTTGGTCGTTCCATGTCTCGACCAACGATGCGGGAGTCACGAGTGACGACGAAAATTCACTTTGCTGGGCACCTGTCTTTGACGGCGATGGAGGCATGGCCGTTGGCATAGAGGAAGCTTCGAGAACCATACGCTGTCCAAGTGCGACCTGCTCGAACCAGTGAGCGGCCGCCACATAGAGCGGCACCGGCATAGCCATAGAGAGCGTGGCTGCATCAACGACAGGGGCTGTTAGCGCTTGACAGGCTTCAAAACTATCTGTACAGCCAAAATTGTCGACCAGTTCCGCCAGTGCATACAGGGCATAGCCACCGTTTGAAAGTACGTCCAGAGTAGTGGCACTGGGTATCCCACCGTCTGGTATCGGTGCCAGCTCCAGCGCGTGAATGTAGAGACGACATGCTTGAACAAGAGACTCGTGGGACTCTGGCGGCATGAAAAATTGCGTACCAAGTGTGTAGTGAATGCGCGCTGCATTGTACCGTGCATCCACAGAGGCGGGCTCAAAATCTGCAGCCCGCTCGTACCACAATAGGGCCTGACCGTAGTGCCTAGATGAGTGGCAGACACGTACCGTTGGGCTTTGGCACCGAAGGCAAAGCGTTCACCTCGCTCCTCTTGGTCGACACCTGCATCCATGCATGCATCGAACGAATCAGGCTCGCGTGGGGCCCGCAGCACCTTCCTTGGCGGCATGGCCGTGGACTGTCGGCTGCACGTATCTCCGCCACGCTAGGTGTGGAGCCTCCACCTTCCTCTTGCCATGGCCGCGCCCGGCGTTGGGCGTGGCAAAGAAGCGATGGACCCTATCTCTGATGCGCAGGGTACTTGCTATAAGATTTGCAACCATCCGCACTCTGACAATCCGCCAAAACGCATACTGCTGGGCCCAGTTCCCAGCGTTTACATTTCAAACCAGGCTTTGGTTGACGACGCCAAACGCATGGGCGTCTATTTGGATGACATGCTAAGCGACAACCAATCTGTCATCGATCGCAACGAATCACGCTTCAAAAACAGGAACTGGAATAGGAGTGGCCAGTTCCGGCAAACGAGTTTCATTCGACCTCTGCGACACACCACCAAGCATAAGAGTCGGGCTCAATCGTTCTTTGAGACCCCTCCACGCTTGCAAGCCATTTCTGAATCACCCGAACCGGTCTCTCCCCCTGACACAGAGCGCCTGAAGACGCTTTCTCATTCTCGATCCTTTGTACAGCTCTCTCCATCACTAATGGATTCGTCGCCGCGCCCTCTGCGGCATTCTGTGTCCCTGCACCATATGCCGCGCTCCGACCACAACCTCGCTCATGCCACGTCCCAATCCTACGATGACCTGGATTCTTTTATTCCCCCGCGCCGGGAGCACAAACTTTTCCACTGGCCGCTGGGCCCAGTGCGTCGCCAACCTTCGGCGGGTTACCCATTGTCGCCCATTGTGTGGGACGAGTGGGACTGGGACAACCGACCGATTTCTCCCATCCTGGGACAATCTGATCTCACAGAAGAACAGCGCGAAGTCATCATGGAAAGGGCGAGTACCTCTGTCGGTCACCGAAAGATGGCCGGCTCGTCTTTTGAGGTGGGCAAGAAGTTCTACGAACATGTACTGGCGATCGAACCGCCCCTCGATTCACCCCCCTCCAGTTCCGCCCCTGATCCAGTGCAGGATTCGCCAGTCACCCCCAAACAATACACCAACTCGTCGCCGATCTCGCGCACCTCCTCGCCAAGGCAACCGAGCTCCATTTTGCGCCTGGTACAGCACAAGGCCTCACGCAAAATGTCTCACCCACATGTGGCCTTTTCGCTCCCAGCGTCGGAGAATAATCCAGAAGAAGACCACACAGGCTGGGAAGCGACGCGGAAAACACTGCGCGACCAAGGCACTGTGTCGATTCGCACAGGGCGCCCATCACGTGCCATGCTATCGTTGGAGGAGGAGCTCGAGGCTGAGCGCCAAAAGCGCCGCCGCCAGCTGCTGGGCGAGGCTCCTACGCCCCCTTCTCAGCAGACACCTCTTAACCGGGCACACACCCAAGACGTCGAATACGATTCGCGTATATCTCCAGATGCGCCCTCCGATGAATGGCTGGATGCGACGTCGTCGCGTCGTTTTCCGTTGCGCATCGTACCGCCTGTGGACGTGCAGCGCTTGCCTGAGCATACGCTGATACCATCAGAATCGCGTCGGCTATCATATGATTCTTCTACCTCGCTTGATTCGCTCACCTCCTTGCCTGCTGAGCCAATCCAGGGCGACGAAGCAGCGGCCGAAGTGTCTCTGCCGCCGCTACCGGCTCCAACTCCCACGCAGCAGGGGCCCGAGTCACCATTGACTTCCTTGTTCTCGCATTTTCATTCTTCACATCCATCACAGCACCGCTCAGGTGAAGAGTCATTGCTAGACATAACACAGGAGGAAAATGGCCGAGGGATAGTCACTCGGCACGACTACATTTCGGTCGGCCAAGGTGACGCACTTCCCCGGCCTGCCGAAGAGGTGCTAGCGCGTCCTATGGAGGCGCCTATTCCCATCCCAGCGGCACTCAAGACAAAAAACAATGTAATACTCAAGCGCGACCGCATGCTGGTCAAAGTGCAACTCGTGGGCCGCGTTGATATCGGGAGCGACTTTGACGAGCTCGAGGCACGCCGCTACCATATTCGCTCCTACCATTGGGAAGAGTACCTTGTCCTCTTGCGGCCCGGGCGTGTCGAGCTATGGAACGAGGCGCGCATTCGCGGTCGTCTGCTGGGCGATGCAGAACACCTCAAGCTACGATACGTGATCCCCCTGCGGAGGAAAGAGGTGTCACTTTCGCTGTACTCGGAGGTCGATCGTCTCTTATGCCTCACGGTCCCACGCTCCGAATGGCTACGGGGACCGTTTCCGCTCCGCCGTCACAGTACAACCATCCTGCTTTTGAATGCGCGCGCCTCTTCGCTCGCGGCCGACTGGATGTGGCTTCTGTGGCGCGAACTCGACGGGCAGCCACCGTCCCACATCCACATACATGTACCCGGCATCTCGATGCGCGTGCGTGTGCCACTGCCGGAGCTCCCTAGTGCGCATGGTACGGCACGCGAGTACGATGTCCTGCTAGATCTGCCGTCGACTCTGCCGTACGAGCGGTCTTACGAGAAGATGACTGCCCGCTCACTCATGAATCACACACAAAGCATGATTCAGGCTGTGCCACAGTGGGCCCGACTAACCCAGGACATGCGATCGCGTGGTCTGGAGCCGGTGCTGGCGTGGCGCAGCGGCTCGACGTACCACTGGGTCAGCCATGCGACCACGCCCCAGGGAGCACCTCGGTATTGGGATGCGCTGGCGGGCGCCCTACTCACAAGTGCACGCAGGGCGCCTGAACTGCAGCTGCTGCTAAACAGTCACTATCCCACCGAGGTGATGCATCCCCAAGGTTGCGCGCTGCGGGAGCCGCCTGCGGTTGAAGGATTTGTCGGCCGCCTGCGGTCGATCTCTGGCACAACTACCCGCACTTATTTAACGACGCACGATGCGGGGCTTTACCTCTTGCGCGAGTCGCATGCCTATGCACCAGACCCTTACATGGGCCTGCCTATCACTGGCGTCAACGGTGAGACACGTCAGGACCGGGTCCGCACGTACGTGTCACGCTTTGCTGCCAATGAAATCCACCGTCAGCTCCGCCAAATTCGGCAGAGCGATGGCTTCCTTCTTCTACGGGACGTATGTGCCATCGGAAGCGTCGGCCTCCCTGTCGTCCTGTCCACAGAGCTGTCGCGGCACCGAGTACATTTGGGACATGAGCCGGTCATTTCACCTTCGATGCCTCAGCTCCAATGGGTGTCTGACTACGATGGCACGCGCCAACCGCTCGATGCTCGGCTACGCGTGTTTGATACTGCAATGATGACCGAGTCGGCGCACCACAGCGTCAAGCGTAGCCTGCGGCAGTTCAAACTCTACCTCGAAAATGGCCGCAGCATTGTCTTTGAGGTGGCGAGTGTGGCCCTGGCAAAAGAATGGATTGTGCATCTTTTCATGTTAATTGTGTACTGGAAATGCCGGGAGGGGATGGACACACGCATGCTGGTGCATGCGAGTCAAGCGACCGATTCCTCAGCGCACCCTTTGCGGCAGACGGAGGACCATGCATCCTTATCACTGCCATTCATTTGGAACTGGTGCCGCTTCGGTGGGTGCCGCACCATCAACCTGAGCGGCTTCCTATTCTGGCGCACACATATGCACAGACCCTTTCACCGCCGCTACTTCCTTCTGTGTGATGGACAGCTGCTTGCCTTTAAGCTCGTATCGTCCACGCACTCATCTAAGGCACGCAACAACGAGGGCATTCTTCACCGACGCAAAGGTGCGCCGATCCTGTTACGCGATGCGTACGTGTACAAAGGCGACATTTCCGACCGCTTCTCTGACCTCAAAGGCGACGACATGCCGAATCAACGCACAGGTGGACACCACACCGAGGAATTACATGAGCAACTTCCGCGCTTCTTCCACGGCGGGCTCTGCAGCGCCGAGTCGAGCGACGAATGTACTTTTGTGCTTCGAGTCCGTGGGGGCTGGGACCCTGCACGCCTGCGCCGCCCCAAGATTGAAGCCATTCAGACACCCTACCTGACTCGCCGTGAATCGTCCGAAATCACCTTCCGCGCACGCACCCAACTGGAGCGTGACCTGTGGGTGCGAATGATTGGCCATGAAATCGAAAAGGTAGTCCGCTCGGACCCTGCTCGCGACTCGAACTTGTGCCAATTTGGGCGCATCCATTGATTCTATCATGCACTACAAGGAAGTATCCTTGGGCTTTTTCGCTACATGTCAGCCTGTTCATACATCGTACATACCCCCATACTTGGAGCGCGAAGTCGTGCGGCCCACCACACCACCAAAGTCTAGGGCACCGCGGACGAGTGTGTAGCGCACACCGGGTACATCCTGCACACGGCCTCCTCGCATAAGCACCACACTGTGCTCTTGCAAGTTGTGGCCCTCACCCGGAATGTATGCCGTCACCGTACGCCCATTCGTCAGGCGCACACGCGCCATTTTACGGATGGCCGAGTTGGGCTTCTTGGGCTTGGTCGTAAATATTTTAATGCAGACGCCCTTCACAAACGGACAACCCTCCAGCGCCGGCGTGCGGTTGACGGGCGGCCGGTGCGGCCGACGGGCGCCGCGCATTGCTTGTTGCAGCGTTACTTGCCAGGCCGGCGTTGTTGAAATCGTGCGCACAGGAGCGAGTGGCATGAAATTATACCGCATCATTTCTGACACCCTCATCATAGGGCTCCGTACCTGCGGAGTCCACACGCCGCGGCCCGCGAGGCGCAGCGCTGCCCACATGTTGCAGTGAGAAGGTCATCGCTGCCGCGTGGCCCTCTTCTTTTCGTCACGTGACAGAATCGTCCTCGTCGCTACCGTTCTATGGGACACTTGCTTTGCAACGTCTGTTGTTGCGCTCTAGATCGCCACAGTGACAGACAAAACCTTTCACCCAGGTTTTGTGACTTGTAGCGAAGACAGCTGTGTAGGTCTGCGTTGGACGGCAACAGGCCAACCCTTTGTGGAGGCCACCACCTTGCCCACCGCGATGGAGGCCAAGTCTTCGGCGGAGCCCGCCGGACCCGTACGCCACGCCTTGTACCTCAACGAGGCCTCACGTACACTTACGTGTAATGCACCTGCAGCGGCACAGAAGCATGGATCATCTTTTTCCAACTTGGTGCCGTGCGTCGTTCGTTGGGCCAACGAGGCACCATATGGCCGGCCCGCCAACGTGCTGTGGGGGCATGATACCAGCCGAGCAGTGTCTGGGCGTGGGGCGTCTAATCCTCTGACATTTTTACCGGGATCATATGCCCTCACTAATCCTACGTGCTCTTTTTGTGCAATTCCTTTAATACCTGGCATAAACGCCCAGTATATCCCGAGGTCACGACGATCAAGAGGGCGAGCACGCAATGCAAGTCAAGTCACTCTTTGCCTTTCTTGTCGCAAGCCTTATCGCAAGAAGAAGCCTTCCACGGCCGTTAAATTCCCAGCTGTGCGAAAGAGACCGCCTCTGAAGCAACTGTTATCGTCCAGGACACCGACGTCTACAGCCCAGAACCTCCCCTCGATATCTTCTCCCACCTCTACCACACCCTCAACTTCACGACCAGAGCAACAACCACTCAAATCCAGTCACACTCCCTTAGCGCCCCTTCAAGATACCAAGGCTGGGCTGCGTGCCCTACTACAACAAAAGAAGCAGAAGGATCAGGCCGCGGCCAAGCCCAAGTCGGGCGGGTTGGCCGACTTCCTTAGTCAATTGTAAATTTAGAGACCGGATGTGTCCTACCTACTCCGACTCACTATTTAGAGCTTCTGCATCGCAGCAATGTCCGACGACTGGACGTAGTCCTCAATCTCCTGGACACGCTCCTGGAGCTCGTCCATCGACACCTTGTCGTCCTCGACCACAATGGTGATCTGCAGCTTGCTCACACCGTAGCCAATGGGGACGAGCTTGCTAGCACCCCAGACGAGACCGTCCATCTCAATGGCACGGACCTCCTTCTCGAGCTCTTCCATGTTGGTCTCGTCGTCCCAAGGCTTGACCTCGAAGGTGACGACGCTCTTGGCGACGGGACCAGGACCCTTAGCCGCCTTGCGAGCCTCGTACTCCTTCACACGCTCAGCCTTAATGCGGGCCGCCTCAGCATCCTCCTCCTCGTCGTCCGAGCCGAACAGGTCAACGTCCTCCTCAGCGTTGCCGAAGTTGAGGAGCTCAGCCGCCTTGGCCTTGTCGCCGGAGAGACCAGCGTGCTCAGCCTCGAACGACTTGATGTGCTCCTGCCAACGAGACACGTTGGGGTACTTAGCCGCGTCAACGGGGCCCTTGATGGTCTCGTAAACGGCCACGTCGGCCTGCGAGGCCTCGTGACTGGAATGTTAGTAAATGATCTCCCGGGATGGCACCAGGCAGCCACCGTCTGGACAAGCAGGGTTGTACGCTAGTCAGATAGCTTGGAATTGGGTGTCGTCAATGCAAATGGCGCGGTGTCTTAAGCCGCTGGACTCGGAAACACGGACCAAAGCACGGTTCATCTCTCAGCGCACAGGCCCTCGCTAGCCATCTCCTGGACCCTGGTGCCATTCAGAATACATACCCGTCGATGTACGACTTCGAGCTCAGAAAGTCGTTGAGCTTAGCCAGGTTGTCGGCGTTCGAAAAGTCAGGCAGAGACATGGCAGCGAAAGATAGGTAGTCAACCAGGGCCGAGGCGGACGCTTTTCGTTCTTGCAGCCGCAGACGCCTCGGCCGATCCCTGACCACATACACACGTGCTGGCACCGCGGCGCATGGCCGCCAGTCCTCCACATATGGAGGCATGGGGCCTGCGTTAGGTATACTTGCCTAGTTCCTCTGATCTGCCGCGTGCCACCGTCATGCTACCACCCGACTACCCGGGCCTTTATGATGCCCGTGTGGGCATGTATCCCGGATTAGCAGCATCGCTGGCTTCTCTTCATCCTTTCTTCCCTTATTCGCTCATGCCCGAGGCCCCCCTGTCAGAAGATGACATTTCTCTGTTCATGCTTTTGGTAACATACGCGGATGCCTTGGATGCACTGCCGCTAGAAGCGACACGAAGCTTTTCAGACCTAAGAGAACTGGATGCTGTGCTAGGCGGTAAGTTCTTCTGGCTTTCTCACGCTTTCTCAGCTCATCTTGGCTCGCTCACGCACCGGCTATATCATCTTACCTCAATCTTGGAAAACCCCAATGCCACGCCTGGAGAGCGTCTTCTTGCTCTGAAGGATGTCGCAGAAGAGGCACGTTCCTATAAAATGGGCGGTGAGGATAAGATTCGGGTGGCCTCCAACACAACGGAAATGGTACGCCCTTTGCGCTTATCAGCAGATCACCTCGCATACAGACTATATCGACTCCCTTTTGCGGTCACTGACTTCTCTCCCTTCCTTGGGTCCTTATATTCGGGAGTATCGGCCTCAGTACAAACGTCTGAGTGACCTCAGCTCGTACCCCTTACATGCTGAGCAGACCTTGTCTTTGCCGTTAGCCAGCCCCGGTTACAACGGGAACAGCATGGATGTGGATCCAAGCGCTAGTGGACGCCGATCGAGCAAGGTTCGATTGAGTGATTACCCAGAAGCACCAGTAAGCGCTGCTCGCGCGCGCGAGCGTGACTCTCAAGATGCATCACGGTATAGCAAAAAACGCAAAATTCCCCCTGGCACGACATCGTCCCAACGCTCACGTACTGATCCAAGTCGCAACACGTCCTCAGGGTCCAACAAACGTCGTCATGGATACCGTGATGATTCGGATCACGGTGCCAGCAGCGACGACCAATTTGACATGCCACCGGAGAACGGGCGAAGCACACAGCGGACGGCAAAGAGTGACAGCTTCGGTGCCACTTGGAGCGGTCGTCGCGTGAATGAGGATGTGAATGACACCGATAATCACGACGGATCGCGCAGCGGTGGTCGCGTCCGCGTTGCCAAAACCTCTCACACCAATAGAAGCCGGGATGACCAGGACGATCAACGTTATTGCTTCTGCAACAATGTTAGCTATGGTGATATGATTGGCTGTGATGACGACGACTGTGAGCGTGAGTGGTTCCATCTAGGGTGTGTGGGCCTATCGAAACCGCCTCAAGGCACATGGTACTGCGATGCTTGTTTGGAGCGCCGCACCCAGCAGGCCAAAAACAAAGCTAAGCGAGGTGTGCGTGCTGGGCGCGGGACTCCTGTGCCATTGCCTGAGCCCATGGGTAGTACACGTCGTGTGTCCTCGACGCGGAGATAAGGGTCCACCCTCTTGTATAAGAGACTACAAAGCGTAGATACATGTACTTAGTTCTTGCCGTTGATCGCAAGAAGTTCGACCTCGAAGACCAGGGTCGAGTTCGGAGGGATTACAGGGGGAAAACCGCGGGGACCGTAAGCGTAGTCCGGCGAGCAAACCAAGCGGGCCTTCTGGCCCAGCGAGAGCTGCTGTACACCCTCATCCCAGCCGCGAATAACTTGGCCAACACCGATGCGTGTGCGGAAAGGCTGGCCACGGTCCCGCGAAGAGTCAAACTTGTTGCCGTTGGACTGGAGGGTACCAACGTAGTGAATATCGACAGTGTCTCCAGGCTTGGGGAAAGTCTTGCCGTCGCCAGGAGCAATAGGTTCCACGTTCACACCCATGTCGAGTACGAGTGAATGGCTTGTGCGAGAGACACGGACGCTTTTATGGCCACTCATCCCGCTGTGCATGACGTGTCACTCTTACTTAATCCATCAGTGGAACCACATGGAACGAATCCCCGCCCCATAGCGCCATCGCCGGCCGAACCTGGTTTGTCAACAGGAAGCCGCGCAGGCCATCCTCCTTAGGAGCCGCTACGTCGAAAATCCTACAGATGTAGCATTTAACCATAGTTGAGACTGGGACGTATTAGTTCGACATATAAAACGTACCGGAAGATGTCATTGAACACGTAAAACGAGCCACCCTCCGGAACCAGAGTGAAGGACTAATGTTAGATGTAATTGCCTAGTGCAAACGTACCTGGCTGAACTTGAGCGGATTTTGACCATCGTCGACCTAGGAGTTAGTACGCACCAGGTGCATCGCACATACAAGAAGCATGCCGGTCACAAGCACAACCAGGCTCTGACCATCACCCGTCGGCTGAGCATCGCGCGTGTCAACCTTGTGCTGGACCTTCTGGAAAGGCAGACTCTACACTGTGAATGAACAAAACATACCACAAGCTTCTCAACGATGCCCTGAGCACCTTGTATTTGGGAGCCCTCAAAAGTGAGCATCGAGTGAGGGCGCTGTTCTGTTAGGTCTAGGATCGGCGAAAGACACATACGTAAAGCGAGCCCAATTGGGAGCGATCGGCATCGAAGGTGGAGTAGTAAAAGTCCGTGAACTATAAGGCATGAGAATGGAAACGAAGAGCACGTACCTGCTGAGCCACTTGCTCCATGGTGAATTAGGTGCAAGTGTTGGCCAAGCTGCTCATGCGCTCCAGCGCCTGGAAGAGCTCGGCCGATGCAACACTGATGTGGAGGACACCATGATCGTACCAGGGCGCTAGACACGGCCTCCGTAAGTCGATCTACGCTTGCCTGGCGGTACTACATCGATCTACGCCACACTCGCTTGGACCGTTTTATTTTTACCAATCAAGGTGTGTGCATTTTACTATATGGTCTTTTGCCTACATGGATCTCCACATGTTGAGGTCCCATTCGTCATTTGTAGATGTTGAAGCACGTTCTCTACACTGAATCCCTGTGCCTATACTGGAGCGCGGCTCTTCTAAGCTGCCAAGTAGATACTCGACGCGATCCCGCCGATCGATGACTGGCACAATGACATAGAAGCCCTTGCGGGCGACGCGCTGCTTGGCTGTGCGCACGGATCAGGCACCAATATTTGACAGGCTGTGCTGTTCTTAAAGACTTTGTCGTAGACTCTTGTCAACGTTTCCTTCTTACCCAGCTCTAGGGTGTTTAACTGCGGTACCTTATCCGCACTAAGATATTCAGTCGCTATTCATTGTGCTTGGCCTGACTCAAGCATACTTGCGTTCGTTCCATAACTAACCGTTCTACTAACTTTAGCAGGAAAGTGATTCGTCATGGTCCTACTACGACCACACCTATTACAAATTCTCACCATTCTACTTACCGCACCTTGCCTTATGCACCAACTGATGGGTGACGCGCAGGGCCTATCCAACCCATCTGGATTTGTGTCGGCGTCCGCGTCGGCTCCCCCCGCCAATGTGACCGACTCGCCGATTGATGGCCTCCTTCATATGCCTCTGGATGAAAGTCAAGAAGAGGAGGCAGAAGAGTTTGTTCATCCATGGGTGAAGCTTCAGCAGCATATCAACCACAGCAAGCGGCGCCTCGCCAAGATGAAGGAAATTGAGGAACCTAGTGACGGTGAGCTCCAAGAAGCTATACAGCGTCGACAGAGTATTGTGGAAGAAGAGCTGCGCACCCAAGGTGACTCGCTGCCCGAGTTCCGCCCTCCTCGTGTGAAGCAGATGCCTAGAGGTGAGGTACTGGATGAAGCGCCAGAGTCGATTGTGCGTGTGAGGCACTTCGGTTCGGGCACGTATCGCCCGTCCTCGGACCGCCGGTCTTCCGGCGGCAACGAGTTGCTGCGTGGCGAGTTCCAAGCTCGAGATGGTTATTCGTCAACCGAGGCTAAGGCGGAAAGCCAGTACTCTGTGACGAACGCCCAGCAGGTCTCCGCATCTGACTCAGCCGGTCTGTCGATTGAAGCCAACGATGTGGGCTACTTTGTAAATGTCAAGATCGGAACGTCCAACACCCAGTACAAAATGCTCGTGGACACAGGGTCTTCGGACACTTGGATTACCGGCATGAACTGCAAGTGCGGTGGCTCGAGCCGCAACAAGTTCGGCAAGTCGTCTTCCAACTCGCTCCAGACCAGTAACGACCAATACAAGATTTCGTATGGCACTGGCGATGTTTCAGTCCAGCTAGGCACGGACTCATTTGAAGTCGCGGGTTTAAAGCTGGACAAATTCACATTCGGTATGGCAAGCTCAGAGTCCAACGACTTCGGTGCATCAAAAATTCCATTTGATGGTCTGCTGGGCCTGGGTGGTTCCGGTCTCAGTGTGACTAAGAAGGACACCTTTATTGATGCACTGAAGAAGGCGAACAAAGTCAAGGCACCGATTGTTGGCTACCGTCTCGGGCGGGCGGCCGACGGGTCAGGTAACAACCGTGGACAAATCACGTTTGGAGGCATAGACGAAAGCCAAATTTCTGGGTCACTAACACAGATGGATAATGAATCGAGCAAGGGCTACTGGGAGGTGAAGATGGATAGTGTGTCTGTGGGTGGTAAGAAGGTGAGCGGGAGCTCATCTGCCATCCTCGATACAGGTACGTCCCTCATCATCGCGCCGCAGGATGCGGCCGATGCCATACACCAAGCCATCGATGGTGCTAAGCCGGATGGAAATGGCGGATACACGTTGCCATGTACCACGAAGGCGCGCCTCAGCTTTACGTTTGCTGGTACGTCGTTCACGATGGACTCGCGCGACCTGCTCTTTGCGCCGAAAGACTCGAACAATTTGCAGGGCACGTGTGTCAGTGCTGTCTCGACCGGGTCCACGATGGATAACGCCGGCTGGCTGCTGGGTGCCGCCTTCTTGAAGAACGTCTACTTTGCCACCAACTCTGATGCTAACCAGGTCGGCCTCGGTCAGCTAAACCAGTAAGACTGCAGAAGCGAGCAGTACCGGGGCTGCTTAAGACATTGTATCCATAGAAAAATAGATTGTGTGTATTTCTGTCAACACTACTTGCGGCCACGAGGCTTGCGAGGGCGCAGGGTGGGCTGCTTCGGCTGAATGTGAGGTGACAATACGTACAATCCAGTCTTCGTCGTACGACTTGCCATTTTTGCCGAGGGGCTGCGCCAAAGGCTTGGCAGTCTCCTTGTGCTTCGACGCAGGGGTTTTCCAGCTACGCTTCAGGGACGCACCGTACTTCTCGAAGAGAATGTAGCCGATGAGTATCACCAGGGCGAGACCCGTGGCGTAGACGGACAACAGCTGCAGGTCGAACAGGCTCTGCGGCGGTTCTTCCACCGTGACAGAGCCGCGGTAGAGCGGCACATTGTACTTATTCGACGACGACTGATCCACCACCAAAGCACGGAACTCGATATCCAATTTTTGCGGCTTGAACTCGGAGAAAAAGTCAAAAGGCACCTGGCGAGACTGGCCCTGCGTCAGCAGATGCGCGTCCTTGAGACGGGTCGTCGTCATGTTGCGGAGCACGCGCTTCTTGTGACCATCTTCACGCGAGGGATCCAGAAAGGCACCAGTAAGAGACTCGATCGTGAGCGCACGATCCGTCGACTGCGGCGTCTTGATGGAGAATACAACCCGGTTAGCCTGGCCATTTTTCACAACTGTCTGTGAGTGCAGCGTATACGCACTGTTGAACGGATTGTTAGGGAAAGTCGTAAGTACATTTAGTTCAGGGGCATCTTCGTGCGCTTCGGCACGGACTAGCGCTACGAGTACGGCGAAAAAGCTCAGCACAGCTAGTCCTACACGCATCAGGAAGTCGGTGGAGCAAGCACCGAACGCGGCGACCGCGTCGTCCCCTGCGCTTATATCCTCTACAGGTCTACCTACGCCTCCATCGCCTGGCGGAGCGCGTGGATCTCTTGCTGGTACGCCTTTTCAAATGCACGAGCAATGTCGCAAATGCGCTCATCGCCCGCGTTGAATGTGTAACAGTTGTGCAGCATCAGCCGAATGTCTGCATCGAGAGCATCGATGCTGTCGTACTGGTCGGCACGCAGCTTTTGGCTAATGAGCGTCAGGTCGCGAGCGTTTTCCTTCGGGATCACGTCGAAATAAGTGGGGATGCCCAGCGCCACAGGGTCGACTGCATATAGGAACAAAGCACCTGACGGGAGCTGCTTCAGGCGCCCCATCATGCTTTGCAGCGAGCGCTTGTGCGAGTATTCGAGCTTGCGGACCATGGCGCGACTCCATTCGCGTCGCCAAACGCGTGAGACGGCCTGCTCCATCAGGGCGGGCACCGTACCCGGTGGGTTAAACTGGCGGCAGTTGGCAAACATGAGACGCATATCTGACGCAAAATCGCCCATTGTCTTGTACTGCCCCTGCTTAAGCTTCGCACCGATCGTGCTCAGGTCCATTGGGTGCTTGATCTCCTCATAATACGTAGGCGCCTGGTCACGCACAGGGTCGATCGGCTGCAAGAAGATTACCGCCTCTTTTGTCTTGGACACCGTCTGCAGCACGGAGCGCGCCTTCTTCGGTTGGAGGGGCATGTCTGCCTCGCCCGGCAGCACCGGGTCCTCGCTCAGGTGGCCAGGGTCCGCGTGGGGCACTTTCGGCGTGTCAGATGGCGCCTCGACTGCGTCCCCGGACGGAGAAGACGCCTCGCTTGTGCGCGCCCGCTTGATCTTGAGCACAGGGCGCGCCGGCGCCTCACTGGCCTCTCGTTTCTCGCCCTTGCGGTTGAGCTTGATGGTGATTTTCTTAGGGGCTGGCGATGCACTGGTTCTTGATTCTGTACTTGGCGCACTCACAGGCGGCGCCTCCACCTCGTCGGCTGGCGGGGCCACAGGCTCCTCGGGTGTATCCTCTACTTGGGCCTTCTCAGCGCGCGCCGCCGCCTGCTCAAGTGTCTTGGTAATCCGGTTCCATAGCTGGCGGAATGCTGACTCAGACCGCGACGCCTCGTAATAGATCCACGCCTTGGGATCAGGCGTGTATGTCTTGGCATTGCGGAATATCAGTTCCACATCCTCCTTGAACTGGAAGCGGTCCTTGTACTGCCCCGACTGGAGCTTGTTCGATACTGAGCTAAGATCCATTGGCTCTTTAATCACGTCGAAGTAATCTGGCGCCTCATCTCGCACCGGATCCACAGGGCGCGTAAACGGCTCGCAGTGTTTGTTAGCCATGAGCTTGTGAATACAGGTGCGGCAAGCACTCAGGTCCGAAGCAGACATGCCCAGCGCCTGCCCTGGCTCGGGTGCCTTGGGCTTCTTTGGCTTGGGTGCCTTGGGTAGCACAACCTTGAGCGGGTGGGCCGGCCGCTTTTCTTGCTGCGGCGCATTCTTGATTAGGAGTCGAATCCGCATCACACCCGTATGCTCGTCGCTGGCAGCCACTGCCGCGCGGTCGCTCGCCGCCTTGGTATCTTCGGTGCCCTTGAACAGGAGTTCCGCGAGACGCATCAGTGCAAGGTGCGTGTCGACATGGTCCCGACTAGCCTGGAATGCGGCCAGGAACCCATCGCGTACAGATGCTGACCGCCCAATCTCGCGGCGCAGCACTTTGACGACCTGCTCGACTTGTGCCGCCTCTTGGGCCAGCAGCGACTCCTGCTCCGCTACGTTATCGCGCGGATCACCTTCTTGCAGCATCTCCGGCCGCTGCCACGCCACGCCAAGCTCACCAGTGGCCATTGCGACAGCGAGCGCGTCACATAGACCGCGTGCCAATTGCATACGCACTACAGGGTCCTCGTCCGAGCTGAGTACCGCAAAGTAGTAGCGCGTGAGCACCTTATGTTGCAAGCCTCGCAAGAGGAGCAAAGCGTTGAACGCGGCGACGCGCACCGCGGTCCAGTTACCCTCACGCGTGTACTCGACAAAGTGCGTCAGGTCAAGGGGCCGCAAGTTCGCTAGCACGAGCGCCAGCTGGAAGTCGAGCGCGGCGAGCGTCACGACATTGTGGAACGACGGCACGAGTCGGTCCAGCACCTGCAGCCGTTCGACCTCTTGTGTCGCGAGCTGGCGCAGAGTAAGCTCCTCGTCCGTGTAGACTTCGTCGGCATGCGTCGTATAACCGGTGGTGTCGACGGGAATCAAGGTGCTCGCGAGGGCATTGATGATGCTGGCCAAGTAGTAGTCGTCCACGAAGCGGTTCGTCGAGTTGTCATTGTACCGCAGCAGATTGATTAGGAAACGCTGCACGATCGGCAGCGCGCGCCCACGGTGGTCGCGCACACGCGAAATCGCATGGATGAGGGCGCGACGGACGTAATAGTCGGCCATATCACTAAAGTCATTGGGGCGCGGAATGCACGGGGCATCGAGGGCGGTGGGATCGCCCCCGTCGGGCACGTCCAGGCAGTAGCTTGTGCGGAAGAGCAGTAAGAGGTGGAAGAGGCCGAGCAGGTCAAGATGCGGGAGTGCGCAGTTGGCAAGACCGTAGGCAGCCTCGGCGCGAATGCGGTAAAAGTACTTGGTGACCAGCACTGTACGGGTAAGCATACTGCTTGTGATCAGACTGGGCATCTGGCTCAGTGCGTGAACGGCGGCGAGCTGTGCAACAACGTCGCGATCACGCTGCAGCTGCGATACCCACATGTAGTCCGGCTGTTCGAACTGGATCTGTGCCATCCACTCAAAGTCGGCATCGAGGCGGATCCACTCGTACGGCGCCGAGGCCATAATCGCCTCGTCCTCCTCAGTCCAATCGGCCACTTTCCAGCGCTCACGCTCGTTCTCGTCCTCCCACATACCGAGCCCAAAACCCAGATCCATCATGCCGATTGCTTCGGCAGCGTCTTCGTCGCCGGCGGCGGCCGCGGCCGCCGCCGCTTGGCGCGCCTGGAAGCGCTTGGTATTACGGCGCACGCGCTTGTATTTGGTGTTAAATGGCACGTCGTAGCGCTGGTGCTCATTCTTGATGTCGAGGACATGCTCGTACGGTGTGCCGTCCGCCTCGTGGATACGCACGGTCATCTGACCCTCCCAGAGTGACACAGGGTTCGAGAGTAGTGCATCTTCCGGGCGCGCCTGCGCGTATAGTGCGGCAGGCGACTCTTGGCGCACATGCATCTCGATTAGCAACTTTTTGCGGTTGAAAGTCGCCGTGCACACAAAGCGAGGGCAGCCACTGCCATTGATCCACTGATCAACAAACAGGCGCAGGTCAGCGCCGCTTACCTTCTTGCAGGTACGCAGAAAGCTGTGCGTACCCAGCGCATTGTTCGTCATCTCGCCGGTAATGGCCTGGAGGAACAGCTTGGGAATCACACGGCCCAGACCCAGCGATGCGCCCATCTTACACAGTCGGCGGTCTAGCAGGTAGAGCACGAGCGGTGCCTTGAGATTCACAAACGGCAGGAGCTGTGCGTCCAGTGGCTCGTCGCGGCCGACCTGATAGAGCGGTGGCATGCCAATATCCCACAGGCACAGGCGGTCGCAGTCCTTTTTCATGCGGAAGCGGTATTCGTTGTTGCCAAGGAGACGCCGCAGGAACATGGACGCCAGGTGCTGGCTCAGGCCGTGGATCAGCCACGTGTCCGCCCATGTCTTCTGCACAATGTTGATGCCGACCCACTGGAACGCCACGGCGTGACTGAGAATGTGCCGGTTCTCAAATGCCTGGTCGATCACCGATGGAGGGTGCAGCAGGTCGCTTGAGCACACGGCCAGCGTACATGCGGGGTGACAGTCGACAAGGGTGTCGTCCACAAACACAAGCTTGAACGAGGCGAACGGGTATGAGCCATACTCGCTGCTAATAAACTCGATGGCCTGCCATGTAAACTGCGCCGTCGTGCGCAGCTCATGCTCGTGCGCAGGCAAGCAGAAGGCAAGGGCCTCACACCCGTCCGTGCCGGCCGGCGACAGGCGCGCGAGGACAAAGGGGCCCGCACAGAAGGCCACATGCTGCACAGACGTGGCGACGGGCTGCGTATAGTAGAAGATGGATTTGGTCGGATCGTGGGGATGCACGGCATGCTCCGTCAGCTCGCCCGAGGCGATAACGAGCATGTCGGGCTCGTCGTCCGGTGCGTCCGTGGCGAGCGTCCGCGGCACGACAAACTCAAGCTCCCATGTGCACCGGTCCCAAAGCGAGTCAACGCACGGCACCCAGCACCGCGCGCTGTTTGGGCCGGTAGGGCGGGTATACAGGTGGGGTACGCGATACGGCGCCTCGGCCGTCGGCACCACGACATGGATGGCCTCTTGCACATCAGCGAGGATATAGTCGATGCGCACAGTGATCGGTGCATATTCGTCTTCGCTGCCATCGGTGCTGCCAGGCACGCGCTCAGCGCGCACGCCGTCGGGCAGAGTGATTTGCAGCTCGCCCTCAGCCGCTTGGCTAGTGGCGGAGAAGGTAGCACGCTTAGCTTGCGCGTGCCCATGAACGTCTTTCAGCGGCGTGAGAGTCGCATGCGCATCTGTGTGAGTGAAGCTTGCCACTTTTTCGTTGCACAGCACGCGCTGAATTTCCATGCTTCGCGCGTGCAAATAAATGTGCCGCAGGTCGGCATGGGTCGGCGTCACGGCCAGCTCCGTGTAACCGGCGAGGCCACCGCGAAAACTGAGCTCGAGCGCCACCTTTTGGTGACTCAGCGAGAAGCCACGGTCTGTGGGCATGGCGCACACGCACACGGCTCGTCAGCTAGCGAGCGGGCGTCAATGCACCAGGCAGCGACGAGCGCCGCGAGCCGGTGACGAACACGTGACGGGGCGGCCGGGCGGCGGCCCCCTCCGCCGCGCCGCCATGACGGAGGACGCCGCTGGCGCAGGCGCGGCGCTAGACGGTGCCGAGGCGCCTGATACGCTTGGGCACACCTCTGTGTTTCCGCCACCGCCCTCTGTGTATCGCCATTTTACTGAAAGGAACCTCGCGTGGCTCGCGCTCCTCCAGGAAGCCAAGGCGACGCGAGCCCCGTCGGACGACGCAGATGCAACTGCACGCCTTCGCACGCAGACCGAGATCCTTGCGAAAGCCGTCGGTGAGGGCTCCGAGCTTGTGCCACCGGATCTGGATCTCGAGATGGAGCTGACGCCGCCAAATGTGGCGTGGATCGAAGAGGACGGCGGATTCCAGCTCTTTGGCCAAAGATGGCCTATTCCTGACATCTCGCCGTCGCTCAGCCAGTTGGGCCTACCGGACCTGTGTGGCGTGGATACTGCAGGCTCTCGTGATTACCGCCATGCACTGCATACACTCCTACATACACTCCTCCAGACGTACTGGGAGCTGATAGGCGACTTGCTACGGCCCGTGCAGCCGTACGATGTGTGGGTTCCTGCGCCTGACAGCGCTGAGGCGCCAACGCAGGGCACATGGCAGCCATCATCCCATATTCAGGACCGTCTCAAGCACATGGAGACCACGGTGATCAACTTTCAGTACTTGGTCAACCAAATGCGTCCCGCTCATACGCGCGAGGCGCTACGGCAGCTGCTCGCGGCGCAGGTCGAGCGCCGTCGTACGGCAGCGGCACAGCTGCGCGCGCAGTGTGGCGCGATTCGAAGCGAATTGGAGCACTTGACTATGTAGATACCCGTCGCTAAGGCACAGCATGTCCGTGCTCCTCCAACACCTCGCGCACCAGCCCTACGGGCGTCGCACGCCGCGCACGCTTCGCAGGGTGGCATACTGCGACCTGAGCCGGCTCCTCACCGGGTGCCCAGGCCACGACCGTATGGTTTGCTTGGACCTCGCTCGCGACGTATCGCATCGGCGCAGAGGACGCCGTACTCGACATGGTCCGCAGGCTGCCGACCAGCACCAGCTTCGTTTTAGCGCGACTCAGCATGACATTAATGCGCCGCCGATCCCGCAGCAGCTCCCCCACTACACCGGCCTCGTTTGATCGCACAAGCGACACGAGCACGACGGACCAGTCGCGGCCTTGTGCCTGATCGAGCGTGAGCACCTCACAGGCGCACACTGCACGCAGACAAGCAACTTGCTGTCGATACGGTGTCAGCACACCCATATCACAGAGCTCAATGCCGCCTTGTACAAGTGCGTGAACCAAGGCACTCACGCATGCGGCTTCGCGCTCATTGTCCAATGCACCATCTTGGCGGCGCTCAGCAGCGTCCGCCGCATCTGTATTGACCCAAACGACAGGGTGCGCAGGCGCGAGTGCCTCAGCGAGCCATGGTGCAGGCGCCTCCGCACTGCGCAGGTCAAGCGTGGCATGCGCGACACGGTCGTTTCCGCATTGAAGTTGCCCGTCGTATACGAGGCCATTACTGAGCGACATGATCGCCTCGTTCATGCGGTACTGCGCACACAGCGCGGTGACAGCCTGGGGGTGGGCCGTGCTTAGACGCTCAAAGAGACTTGTTGCCAGACCATGTGCCAGAGCATCAGGATCGCGCACGAGCGGCGGCAGCTGGTGCGAGTCACCCACCAGCACAAACCGCTCACACAGGCGCAGTGGCCCCAGGGTCGTTGGCAACGTAATCTGGCTTGCCTCATCCACGATGCACACGTCAAACGAGCGGTGTGCGAGCGCAGCGTCGCTCGTACCCAGGCACGTAGCAGCCACGAGCGGCGCAGAGGCCACATGCGCCTGTAATTCCTCAGCGCTTGCGTCCGCGGCCACCTGACGGTCGAGCGCACACGCCTGGACTCGCGGGTGAATGCGGTGGACGGGGCCGATGCGCACGACGGGCACGTCGAGCAACTTGGCCACGATCGTGTCGACAGCCGAATGTGTGTGGCTGCATAGCAACACAGACTGCCCAAGCTCCAGAAGAATGCGTACCAGTACGGCAATAGTCGTTGACTTGCCAGTGCCGGGCATGCCGAGCACTAGCGCATAATCCTGGGCTGTCAGCGCACGCTCCACAGTGGCGCGCTGCAATGCATCACAGGCGTGTGCGTGACGCTCGAGGCTCAGGCGCGTACGTTCACCCAGTGGCACCCACGTCGGCGCACGCAAAGACACGACGCGCTCGCGCAGCTGCTGTACACGTCGCGGCGCCTGTGCGTAAAAGAGACAGGCCAGATTATACCGCGGCACGCTCATCATCGTCATAAGCTCGTCGGCATCAAGGCGGAAAGTGAGCGGCTGCGATGTGGACCATCCGTTCCACGCGCGAATGTGCGCGAGGATGTGGGGCAGGGGCGCCTCGGTGCGGATGTGCACGCGGTCCGCGGATACGCACGCGATGCGCCCGCGCGTGAGAAACGTAGGCTGCGGTGTATGCAGGGCCAGGGCGACCATGTCATCTGTGCGGAGGTGTGCCGCCTCATTGTGCACGACGAGGACGCAGCAATCGTCGTCAGCGTGCTCCAGCTGCGCGTCCAGTATGCAACGACCGCGCTGCACGCGCTCAGCGGGGGCAAGCGTCCACATTTCGCGCTGGTACATCTGGAGCGTGCGCTCCTCGTGCGAGAGCAGTGCGTCCCATCGCGCAAAAAAGGTCGTATCAGTGTGTGTCAAATGCTGTGTCGATGCACGGTACAGCTCCGCAACCGGAGAGTCGGTATCAGACACTTTCTCGACAGCGCAGCGGTACAGAAGGCAGGCTTCGCGCGCATAGCACCGCTCGCACTTGTACGCACTGTCAATGGTGGGCGGTAGAAACGGCACCGGCGCTTCCAGGGGCTCGAGTGCAGCCAGCGCTACGTCGTCAAACTCGTCAAAGCTGTCGACAGAAGTGGGCGAGGTAGGCACTGGCGTCGGCCCTGCAGTGCACGCTATGTTGAGTAGCACATCAGGCGCATTAAGTGGCGGGAGGGGCGGCATAGTCCGGCGGTACGCGGCCATCTCGTTGCGCGCCAGAATCAGGCTGCGCACTTCTTTCGTAGCGCGTGGGATTCGGCGGAGCACCCCCGCCTGGGCATAGAGGAGCAGGCCGGCGTCGACAGGCAAGCCGTATTGATCTGCGAGCAGCAGGGTATAGAGGCTCGTCTGCGCCATGTGCTCCATACTGGTCGACACCCGGCCAGTCTTGACCTCAACAGGGAGTAGCGCGCGCGTCGTGCCTGTGTCAGTACGGAACACAGTCTCGACAACAAGATCCACGCGGCCTTTGAGGCCGTACATGGGGGACACGACATCACTCTCTGCGCCGAGGATGCGGACAATTTGTGCGTGCACCACAGACTCCGTGCGTCGGTCCTCGATCGGGCCCCATGGCCCAGACGCGTCGCCAGCATCGCGCGTCGCCAGGTACGAGCGGCCAAACGCGACGAGGCTCGGTACCGCCGCCCACAGATCCTCGCGAGCCTTGGCCGTGCTGGCCTGTACTAGGACAAGTGCCGCGCGCTGCAGGCGCAGCTGGCGCTCCACCTCAGCCGTCAGTAGTGCGTGTGTAAAGTTGCCGAGGTGCGCCCACGCGGCGGGCGCCTCGGCTCGAGGTGACACTTCGCTGAATTCCTTAGTAGGGGCTTGCTCGGCTAGTAAACATGCCTGGAGAAGGCCGTGGATCATTGTGCCGAGGACAGCCACATAACTAGCATCGCTGGGTGAGCGAACGCGTTCCTGAAGCATGGGCTTGCGCATGCAGCTTGTAACACCCGCGAGTCGAGAAGCAGAGATGATTATATCAGGATGGTGGATCAGCAGGTGGCTCTGCTCAGGCGCGGATGCGGGGCCGAACGTACCGAGTGTGATGGATCGCACACCCTCGACCCATGCCCATGCGCCGATCAGATGTACCACGTCGCCCGCTTGCACCGCACACCCATACCACTCGTCACGCAGGTACGCACGTCCAGGGACTGGAGACTCATCCGCTCCAGCATACAGGCTCTGACAACGCATAGGAGGAGCACCGAGCGGATCAGATGTGAGCGTAAGTTCCAGTACCTTTTCAGGCCCGGACCCTCGCAGACTCGCGCATGCATCGTCTTCCACTGCCAAAATAGTCGCTCGCACAAAGCTTCGTGTTGCATTCGCATCGGTCGCGCGCTGGTGCAGTGACGAGCGCTCGGGCTGGCGGTCGTGTCGACGGTGCAGATGGGGCGGTACTGGACGCACCGATGTCGTCGCTCTAGCGGAACTTGGTATTTGCATTTGCGGTATCACGGCAGGTGGTCTTGACACTTTCGAGCATGAACTAGGGAGCTCGCTGAGAAGCTGATGCAGAAACGCATCCTCGTCAGCAGGCCCCATCCACGCGCCGTGGCTCTAGGGACGTATACACACATTTTCTCCACATGATCCCTTGCTATATACCCTAAAATATTGTGCCAAGCACGCGCTTCCACATTGGCTGCGCACGCTTCTCGGCCTGCTCCTGCTCAAGTACTTCGTCGCCCACAGATTCGCGTCGGCCCGTATGAATATCCATCTCTCCCAGGCGAACAAATCGTGTGCGCGCAAATAGCTTATACACCAAGCCAAACACGATGACAATGACTAGCGAGATCATGCCATTGAAAAAGTTTTCCGCGCGATCATTCCCATTCATGCTAGCTTCGCCAATAGGGAATGCGCTCACATAAAAGGTGGCAATCACGACCAGAATACACAGGGAAAGACCGATGTAAGAGCCGATGGTGCCGAGCGGCGACGCCCATGAAAGCTGTCGCAAGGTCAGGCCCTGATACTTCCACGCGGCGCGGAAACGAATGTGACACAGGCAAATAGAGCCCCATGCAAAAATGGCGGAGAGACCAGAGATACTCAGCATCCAGCTGAAAATGGTGCCTTCGTTTGAGGCATAGATGAGGAAGGCGAGCAAGCCAAAGGCCAGGGAAACAATGACCGCCGGGAGGGGGCGGCCAGCACGGTCCACGTACTTGAACAGGCTGGGTGCAAATCCCTGCTCGGCCAACGACAGCATCGTGCGGCTTGAAGCATAGACGGATGAATTAGCCACCGACAATGTCGACACGATAATGACGGCATTGACAATGTGAGGAAGGACCTTGATCTGACCAATCCTGAGTGCAATCACGAATGGTGAGGTATGAGGGTCATAGTGACCGTGGCCGTTCGTCAGACGAGGATCATTGTAAGGCACGACAAATGTTACCAGCAGCAGTGACAGAATGTAAAACAGCACAATACGGATGACCACCTGCTGGCACGCTTTCGGCAGAACTTTGCGTGGCTCGGCCGTTTCTGCCGAAGCCAATCCAACCAGTTCTGTGCCCGCAAACGCAAATGCCACGCCCGTGAAGGATGAACAGAATCCTTTAAACCCAGCATTGAAGGCCCCCGGATTGTGCCATGTGCCCGTGCCCAAGTACTTATTGCTGGGTGTGCCGCCACAATCGATACATATAAGTGTGATAATGAGACCCAGTACCGTAATGACTTTGAGGGCTGTTGCGAAAAACTCAAATTCCGCGTATCCGCGAACGCCAAAAAGATTGATCGCCGTAATGACAAGGAAGAAAATCATGATCCATATACCAGGTGGTACTTTTTGATCGGGATCCCAGAATTGAATGACAATGGCTGCAGCTGTGAACTCAAGCGGCATGACAATGAGCCACTGCAGATAGTAGTTCCAGCCCACCGCAAAGCCCCACGCAGGGTCAACGAATCGCGAAGCATAGGCAGAAAATGCACCAGACACAGGCAACGTTGATGCAAGCTCACCCAGACTGAAAACCACACACATAATCATCACACCGACGATTAAGAAATTGATAATCAGACTTCCTGGGCCACCCGTGGCCAGCTCACTTCCGGAACCAATAAAGAGACCTGTACCGATACCGCCACCGAGAGCGATGAATTGAATATGGCGGTTATGCAAGTTCCGCTTCAGTGCCGACTTTTCGGGGACAACCGCAATACCTCCATTGTCGGTATGAACCAGGCTAGTGGCATTCGCATAATCTTCGTTGCCTAGCACGGCTTTGTCCCCTCCTTCTTTGACGAATTCGCTCGCATAGTCCGGATCAGCGCCGAACTGGGTATCTGCGCGTTTGAAGCTATCGGCCCAGCTAGAAAAGATTCCCATGGTAGAGCCTGCTAGCTGGGGAAATTCTTCGATTCCCCATCTTTATGGGGCGCGTAATTTTGCGCAGTTAGGCTCACTTTGCTCCCTTATCTCGGCAAATAGTTGATAACCGAAATGACCTGTCTGATTGGTCAATACACAGTTGCCAGTTTCTCCACAGCCGCGTTGAGCGTTATCGATTTGTTCGCAAACTATCTTGTCATTCCAGCCTATCGTTGAACATTCCAGCCATGCTGAGCAATTATGCAAGCTGAACCAAGTCTCCGCAAGTACACACGATGACGCTCGTCCCCTTACACAGTCTTCACGTGTCTAAGATACAATAACTAAAACAGAGCATCGACAATTTTTTTCCAACGAGGTCGTTGTTGGAGAGCCCGACGCTCTTGTTCGAGTATCACGTCAGGCTCAGACGGTCGCAAGCCAGAAACCAAGTCGATATCTCGGAGCTTAACAACAGAAGACCGTGTGAACAGTTTGTGGACAAAGAAGGAGAACAGAATGATGACTACAGAAAGATAATTCTGGAAGAAATTCTTCCCTCTGTCGCGTGAGTCCATTTCTCCTTCTCCAATGGGGAAGGCAGAGGTATAAAAGGTAGCCACAAGAACCAGAAGGTTTACCAAGACGCCGAAATAAGAACCTAGTTCACCCAGGGGTGAGGTCCACGGAAGTTCGTTCAGCGAATGCCCTTGTAATCGCCAGGCTTGCCGGAAACGAATGTGACCCATGCACAGCGCCGCCCAGAGGATGATCACCGAAAGACCTGTAATACTCCCCAGCCAATTAAATACCTCATTTTCTGAAGCTGAATATACCAAAAACCCCAGCAAGCCAAACAAGAGAACTACCACGTAGCCAAGCCAGGGACGTCCCTTTTTGTCTTGAAAAACGAGGAAGTGCGGGAGAAACCCATCCTTGGCCATGCTGTGCACCAGGCGACTGCTTGAATACAACGCCGCATTTGCCACAGACACAACCGATATCAAGATGACACCATTGAATATACTAGGAAGCGCGTATATATTGCCTTGCTTGATGGCAATCACAAATGGAGAAGCACGCGGATTCGAGCTAGATCCTTGCAGTCTCGGATCATCGTAAGGGACAAGTAGCGTTACCATAAACAAGGACAGTATAAAAAATAGAATGACCCGGTATACAATAAACTTACAGGCTCGGGGTAGATACTTATGCGGATGCCGCGCTTCGCCCGCTGTGATACCAACGATCTCTGAACCACCGTAGGCAAGCGCAGCAAACGCAAAGGCGTTACTGAACCCTTTAAACCCATTTGCAAAGGCTCCAGGATTATGCCAGGTGTCGGCGCCAAAGTAGTGCTTTCGAGGCGTACCACCGCAATCAATCACAACAGCACAGATGATAAAGCCAATAATTGCAAGCATTTTGATTGAAGTAGTGAAAAATTCAACCTCGCCGAAAAACCGTACACCAAACAAGTTTATAAGAAACACGGATGCCATGATGATCGCAACCCAAATACCCTTCGGTACATGTTCATTAGGATCCCAATACTGAATCACCATGGTAGCAGCAGTAAGCTCAACAGGGAAAATAATCAACCATGTCAGCAGATAATTCAGTCCCACGGCAAACCCAAGGGATGGATCCACGAACCGCGTCATCAGGCTCGAATAAGTTCCGGCTCGCGGAAATGCTGCTAACATTTCACCCACAGCAAATATAACAGTCACGACCATGAAAGCAAGGATGATGAAGTCGATCATAAGAGAACCAGGACCGCCTGTAGCCAAAATGTTTCCTGAGCCAATAAAGAGACCTGTGCCAATACCACTGCCTAGAGCAAGAAATGACAAATGGCGCGAATCAAGTTCGCGTTTAAAATCTTCACTAGGTACTCCCTCTTGGTTTAGCTCAGAGCCGGTAATAATATGGCTCTCTGCATCATACCTGGATGGACTCCTCGATCTTGAATTGGAAGGGCTGCAGCTGGGTTTCACGCCATGACTAGGGCTACTTTTATGAGACATAGTTTTTTAGCGTGCAGCCAGTGAGCATGAACTATGCCGTGGTTCTTTTTCGCACAACGTGGGAGGCAAGGCGCTCGTCCTAATGGACGCAATTTGCGGGGTACCAAAACCGTCTCATTCCGAAGTTCGTATTTCAGGCACGTGACAGTGAAGCAGCTAGGGAGAGCACAAAGTGGTATACTACATCAGAAGATAGCCGACAGACACCGCTTCCACATCGGAAGGGCACGCCATTCCGCACGTTCTTGCTCGAGCACTTCTTCAGAGACAGGATCCCTTCGACCTGTCTGAACGTCGATTTCATCGATGCGAACATAGCGAGAACGGGTCCAAATTTTATGACCGATGAAATAGAGCAAAACAACCGGGAGTGAAAGCATGTTTTCAAAAAAGGTATTGACACGGTCACTTCCGTTCATGGTTGCTTCATCAATAGGCCAGGCAGAGGAATAGAATGCAGCCATAATTACCAAAATGTTTAGAATTAAGCCAATCCATGAACCCCAAGCGCCCAAAGGTGAAGCCCACGGAAGCATTTTCAGAGAATTGCCTTGACGAATCCAAGCAGTGCGGAACCGAATGTGTGCATAACAAGTTGAACCCCAAGCAAAGACCGCAGAGAGACCCGAAATACTCAAAAGCCATGTAAACACGGTGTTACTGTTGGAAGCATAGATTAGGAAACCCAGGAATCCAAAAGCAAGACAAAGCAGTACAGATGGTAGTGGGCGGCCCGCTCGGTCAACGAAGCGGAAAAGTTTTGGAGCCATACCTTGCTCAGCAAGAGAGAGAAGTGTTCGACTGCCTCCATATACTGAAGCATTACCGACAGACAAGGCAGATAGCAGGATAACTGCATTAAAAATCTGGGGAAGCGCATGGATTTGGCCGAGCTCAATGGCAATCACAAAAGGAGAAGCCCGAGCGTCGTTGCTTGAACCTTGAAGCCGAGGGTCATCGGCAGGAACGATGAGTGTGATCATGAACAGAGACAAAATATAAAATAGCAAAACACGCAAAAGCACCTGCTTGCTAGCTTTTGGAATTGCCCTTCGAGGGTTGGATGTCTCCGCAGCAGCCAAACCAACGAGTTCTGTACCTGAAAAAGCAAAAGCAGCAGTAATAAATACCGAGCAAAAGCCTTTAAAGCCATACAAAAAGGCATCCGTGGTATGCCAGCCTCGAGCACCAAGATAGGTACCAGAAGGAGAACCACCACAATCAATAACAATTGCGCAAATGATGAACCCAATGATACCCAACACTTTGATGGTTGTCGCAACAAATTCGAATTCGCCATATCCACGTACGCCGAAAAGGTTGATAAAGGCAATAATGAGCCAAAAAATAGCAATCCACACTCCTCTAGGGACTTTTTCTTCTGTATCCCAAAAGCTGATGAGGATAGTCGCTGCTGTAGCTTCCAAGGGGAACGCCACAAGCCACTGAAGAAAATAATTCCATCCCATTGCAAAACCCCAGGAAGGATCAATAAACCGTGTAGCATAGGTCGAGAAAGCTCCAGTCACAGGGAGAACAGCTGACAATTCCCCCATAGCAAAAATAACAGGTATAATCATAACGGCCACGATAAGATATGCCACAATAATGGAGCCAGGACCGCCAGTGCTGAGATTTGACCCAGAACCGACAAAGAGACCAGTACCAATACTTCCTCCAAGGGCGATGAACTGAATATGGCGACTCTTAAGAGTTCTCTTCAGGCTAGTTTCTTCGGGTACAGCAATGATCCCACCATCCTCTGTTTTTACTGCCACAGTGGTGTTGGCAAATTCATCTTTTCCAAGAGGCTGTTTTTTCTCACTACCTGTATCAGAAGGCTCTCCGCCAAATGCTGGCTCCTTGCCAACACCAGTCTCGGCTCGCTTAAACGAATTGAGCCAATTTTGAAGGGCTCCCATTGAAGCACAATAGTATGAAGGTATAGATAGGTAGACGGTTTCACAGTCCATCTTTCTGCTTATCACGCGCCTTTGAATTCCGCCGGATTATGTAGCATTTAATTGGTTATAACTGTTTGCATGGAGCAGTCGACCCGATCTGGGTTTGTGGGTCGATAACTACAAAAATTCGCCCGTGCGGATTTCATCACCTGACAACAATCTCTTAGGGACACAAAACTTGGGGAGAGGAGTACCGCTCCTTCGGAGGCAAATATTTTCCCATAGCTGTACAAGAACAAAACACTGTTATGAAGATGCTTTTTTAGAACTACACAGAGGCTGTTGGCAGGAATACAGGTGGTAGCCTTTAGTGCAGCTGCGAGGCAATAGAGTTATGAAAACTACCTATTGTGCACCTATTCATTCTTTTCACGTTGTAGTGATAAGTGTCGGGAGTTTTGCATTAGCACGTTTAGCCGATATGTGCAGCAAGCTGACTGGTGTGTCATTTGGCGGGTGAATAATAGCTTCTATATAACTTTCTCATGTCGTGGAGGCGATAGTAACATTTTCTATATTGAGCCTATCGATCCGTACTTTGTCGCAACTATGCTTACAACGTGGCTGATCTGTCTTGGATTCTTATTTGTTTTTGCCTATAAAGCATCAGCTGAACGTGGCTTTCATGGTATGGACGTGGATAATTATCTCTGGGCTTTGACAGGCTACTGGCAAGGGATATGTGATGGCCAACACGTTCACATTCACAGCTCTTTTAACAAACATGTCTATGTCAGTGACGTGCCAAGTTCTCTCGATATGTCCGACACTATGGATGTGTACAGTCTTTATATATGGGCTCATGAAAGTGCGAAGGGAGGACTTTTGACTCTTTGTACCAATGAAGGTTGTAACTCAACCTCAGTCATTCCTGGAAAAGCAACATGCTATCCAACGGAGGAATCCTTCGTCAACGCTACATTGACAATGTAGCCTTAGTACTGTCAAATGATAAAACGCATGAAGGCAAACAGAAAAAGAAAAAAGGCATCTTGAAATGATTGAATATCACATAGCTAACATAGCCCAAGCTGGGTATGTCGCCAAACAAGAGGCATTGAGGAATAATAAATCATTTAAGTCTAGCCTTGTTGCCACTATAAATGCCGCAAAATGATCATATTGAGAGGAGGTGGGTATATAAAGTCGCAAAGCGTTTTAAAAGAAGAACGCCAGAAGTTTTTTGTGAAAAGGTAAGGCACGAGACTCAGCACGCTGTTGTTCCAGAACCTCTAAAGGCTCAAGATACCGCATGCCAGATACCAAGTCGACGTCTTCCAGACGAACAATTTTAGTGCGCTTAATGATCTTGTAACCAAATAGCAAGCACATGAAAATGGGTAAAGAAAGCATACCGAGGAAGAAATTGTAAACTCGGTCATTAGAGGTCATGTCTCCCTCACCAATAGGGAAGGCCGACACGTAAAACTGCGCGACAATAACCATAACGTTGAAAATAAAGCCAATGTAGCTGCCATATACACCCAGGGGTGAAGTCCATGGAAGCTCTTCAACACGGCGTCCTTGCTTAGCCCAAGCTGCGCGGAAGCGAATATGACCAAGACAAGTTGCGGCCCAAGTGAACACGACGGAAAGACCTGAAATACTCAAAAGCCAGCTGAAAACTTCACCCTCATTTTTAACATAAATAAGGAAGCCCAGTAGGCCAAAGAGCAAAGCGAACAAGACGGCCATAAGTGGACGACCGGTACGATCAACATACTTAAAGATGCTGGGAGCCTTTCCTTGCTCTGCAAGCGCATGGATCATACGGCTGCTGGCATAAACCGAAGAGTTTGAGACAGAGATAGCTGAAATTGCAATGATAGCATTTATGATATGAGGAAGAACATGAATGCCAGCACTTTGGACTGCAATGACGAAAGGTGATGTTTTCGGGTCATAAGAGTTATCGCCATGAAGAGATGGGTTATCATAAGGAACAAGCAATGTCACGATGAATAAGGAGAGCGTGTAGAAAATAAGCACTCGGTAAACAACGAGTTTACAAGCACGGGGAAGCTGCTTGCGCGGCTCGCTAGACTCAGCTGCAGCCAATGCCACGATCTCAGTACCACTAAACGCAAATGCTGCGGTAGTCAAAACACTGCAAAATCCCTTAAAACTGTTGTGAAAGGCGCCCGGTTCATGCCAAGTATGAGCACCCATGTAAGAAGTACCTGAAACACCACCACAGTCAATAATGACACCACAAATGATAAAACCGACTAGGGTAAGCATCTTCAGAGATGTTGCAAAAAATTCAAACTCAGCATAACCCCTTGCTCCAAAGAGGTTAATGAAGATAATGAAAAGCAAATATATGGTAATGATCACTCCGTTCGGCATGTGTTCAGGTGTGTTCCAAAAGCTTACCACAATGGCAGATGCAGTGAACTCCAAAGGCAAAGTAATGATCCAATTCATAGAATAGTTATAACCGACGGCGAAACCTACCGCAGGATCAATGAAACGGGAAGCGTAGTCCGAAAAGGCTCCAGGGACAGGATAGAGAGATCCAAGTTCACCCAAAGCAAACAGTACCATCAAAATCATAAGTCCCATAATCGTATAGTTGATTATAATACTTCCTGGTCCGCCTTGATATAGAGTAGATCCAGATCCAACGAAGAGACCAGTGCCGATACCACCTCCAAGAGCAATAGCTGCGAGATGCCTGCTTTTAAGGTTTTTTTTCAAAAGCTTCTTCTGTGGTGGTGAGGGGCCGATGGAGTGTGTCTCATACGACTTTTCATGATCTTCTTGGGACGAATCCTGGCCTGTTCGGGAAGGCTTTTGAGAAGAAAAAATAGATTCCGTCTCTCCCTCCGTTTCGATGGCTGGCTTAAAAGAGTCAATAAATCGATTGAGGGCTTTCATGTTGCCACAATAAGTGGACTAGTGTTGATATATAGTCAAAAAGAATGTTACAAAACTGGTGGGGAAAGGCAAGGCCCTGACTAGATATGAAATTTCGAGTAAAGGGGAAGTCAATTTTTTATTCGGCCGGCAGTCATTCCAAAGGGGCTCTGCAGAACGTGGATCAACCACGTGGCACCAGCACTTGCGCCTCTCACTGCGGGGTCAGAAATACGACGCGAAAAAGTCCTAGAATACTTTTCGATATATAGTATTGTTATGGCATAAATCCTACAAAACTTACTACCTAACGCGCTTATCGGATCTGAAATGTGAATAATTTATTACTTACGCAAAATCTTCCTCACCACTGCGTTTCGTACCTCGCTTGGCCTCGTTCAGGAATTGATTGATAGCAAAAGGATCCTCTGTGTCTTTCTCAAATTCGACAGGACCTGATCTGGGCTGTTGGTTTTGGGAGCCAGAAAAGCCTTTAGTCCTTCCCATGCCGAATCTATCATTGCTCAATTCCTCATTGATACCAGATTCAGTACCACCGCCAAACATATCATCGGCACCACCCTGCCCGGGGCGATTATATATAGCGGCGGCAGCAGAAGATCCTTGGAAAAGGGGTTTATCATACACATTGTAAGAGTCTTCGTCGCCGAATGTATTTGACAGAGCTTCACGGTTGAACAATCTTGCATCGGTCATAGACTCCTTGCTCATAGTAGGCTTTGCCAGACCCAAAGCAACCTTTTCAGATATGTCGCGGTTTTGTTCCTTTGCAAATGCTCTCGCACGTTGTTCCTGACCCATATTGCTCATTCGAAGGTCACGTTCACGTTCGCGACGACGTTCTTCTCGTAAACGATTACGCTCAGCCACTTGCCCTTCATCTTCATCGTCACTATCACTGCTCCCGTAGTTGTTCAGAGCACCAAGTGTATCATCTTCACTTTTCTCCATTCGGTTCTGCGAGCGGCTAGAGGAGAATCCAGCACGCTCCTCCCGTGCACGTTGCGCGAGCATGCGCAAACTTTCTTCCCTTGCCATTTTCTCCTTCGCGGCAATTTTTTGTTGCATGATATTGCGCTGACGCACCTCTTCTCGCGCATGTCGGTCAGCCAGGTTCAATGCCTCGGAAAACTGCGCAAAGTTGTCATTTACATTTACATCTTGGAGACCACGTCCGCTGGCAGCTAAACGCTTATCCAAAGGAATGGTGTACCCTTTATTATTTTTCCAGTTAGAAATACACGGAGGAATCATCCAATCCTTTTGTTCTTGAGCAGTTACCTTGCGAGGGGGACTGCGAAGGACCGGCGGGGGAGGACTAGGAGGACCATTTGGCACTTTCTTGAACTTATGCTTGGGTGGTTCGAGAGGATCTTCGACCACTTCTGTCATCTTTATGATTCTTTGTTTTTTACCATCCGCACCTTGGGAAGCGGGTGTATATCTCAAGTAGCTTGTATTTCCACCTGTTTTGGGTACATTTTTGGGCTGCGCCGCTTTTATCTTACCTTGAACAATTTGCTCAAATGCTTTTTTTGTCCGTTCTGCTGTATCTAAAACTTCATCTTCTGTGGGGCGGTCGATTGAGCGCTGCCGATCCTTAATATCATCCCGCTGTGATAGAGGGACAAGATCTTTGAATTGCGACTGAACATATTGGCCTTCACGGCGACCCTGCTGAACAATGGCATCGTATCTTGCTTTTCCGTCTTTATCGACGTGAAGCGTCAAAGGTTTACCGCCGCGCTGCAATGTTAGATAGATTTGTTGCCTAGTACGTACCAGCATGACGACGCGGAATTTGGTAGGCGATGTCACTCAAGGTGCGACGACTTGTGCCGCACGTGATGAACGCGTGCACAATGTGGGCGTACGAGATGTCAACGTCTAATAAGTGGCATGGGCCACGCAGATGAATTAGTGTCTAATTTACGAAAAGAAAGGGATGATGAGGAAGAGTGTGAGCCTGATAAAGGTTCGGATTTTGAATATCGACCTACTATCACGTATCGACATTTGCTCAGCACTTCTTTTGAACCGAGCAATCCGCTAAGGGTCATTGCACACTGCGATGTGGATGCCGCCTATGCACAATTTGAAGCCAAGCGCGTTGGCCTTGATTGTCAATCTGTGCCTGTTGCTGTGATGCAGTGGAACAAGCTCATTGCTGTTAACTATGTGGCCCGTGCATTCAATGTGAATCGATTCAATTGCACTCTTGACGAAGCGAAGCGGAGATGTCCAAATTTGCGGCTGATACATGTTGCTACTATTGGACCCGGTGAAATGATGCCACAATATCACCCAAATCCAGACGCTCGTACGCACAAAGTGTCCCTCGATTTGTATCGGCGAGAATCGAAAAAAATCATGGAACTGTTTCGGAGTAAGTTGTCGCAGGACCGAGACAGTGGCAAATACGTCGATTATACCTTGCAACCTATTGTTCCTTGTGGCTGGGCACCCTGTATACTTGACATACTACCAAACTCTAGAGAGAAATATATTCCGTTTGAGAAAGCATCCATTGATGAATCATTTTTCGACCTCTCCGTTCATGTCCGCAAACAGATACTTCTGCGATACCCTTTTCTCGATATTAGACCCACTCTTGAAATGATGGACCAAGAAAGAGTTTCTGAGAAACTTGATGAGCCATTGCCAGAAGTCCCTCTGTATTTGCATGAAGACATGATGCCTGCTTCGTGGCTAAATGCCGGTGCATGGCTTCCAGATACTTTAGATCGATCCCGGCCCTTGGAATTAACCTGGCTAGATATTGCACATGCAATTGCGGCAGAACATATGATCTCCATTCGTAAACATGTGTATGAACAGTTGGGCTATACGACGTACGTGTGATGGTATAACAACAGGTCTGCAGGAATCGCGGGTAACAAAGCCATGGCAAAGGTGTGTATGGCAACTTCTGACTGAAGTTGTGCTCCTCTTATCGAAAACCGTACAGTCAGACCATGATACTTCCAGCTTTTGTGCAATCCTTTCTGGGACCCATGCGGTTTCGTAACATTCGGTTTCTTGGCGGTAAATTTGGTGCTCAGATCGAGAGTGAATGGAACCATTCAAGCGTCAATGAATTAAGGCAGGTATCCCTTGAGCAGTTAAGGGACCGGTTTGGACCGGAAGGTGAATGGCTTTATTATTTACTCCGAGGAGTCGACCATCAAGAAGTAAATGAACGGACAACCAATTCTTCGATGATGTCTGCCAAACATTTCCGCCCGGGCCTTTCATCTACGCATGATGTTTTGGCATGGTTATCTACCATGTCGTCTGAACTGAGCACAAGACTAGAAGAAGAAAGAATTGAAAACCCACTGTTAACACCGCGCACGCTTGTTCTGCGATACTTCCTGGCAGAAGCAAAAAGCCCAAAGAGTCACCAGACGCACCTGGGGTTTTTACACAATGATGCCCTTCTTGAAGAGATCAAAAAGAAAGCGTACAGACTTTGGAACGAAAACATGGGTAAGATTATGGAAAGGGTACCCCGAGGCCAAATTCAAGTAATGATTTTATCCCTATCATTTGCCAACATGGATCATGGCTCGAGAGACCAGCAGCAGTTACATGGATTTTTCAGGCCCATATCAGCTAAGCGCGGACCGCTGGAAGAACAGACAGGAACATCTAAGCAAATCAAGCTATCTAAGAACCTATCCACGTACCATGTAGTCCAGGATCCTGACTCACAAACAGACATGATGGTTTGGTCCTGTCGGCAGTGTGATCAAGTTCTGAAAGTACCTGTATTTCAAGATACAAACGAGCAAAATTCACTTGAAAAAGAACCAGAGTATATTGATATTATGGAGAGAATGCGCAAGGAGCATGAGCACTGGCACATGGCGCTGGACTGGGCGACTGAGTCTGAGTCTACGCACTAAGGTTGCATTTGCGAAGTCTCGCAGGTATTAGCAAGGAGGACCGTGCGGTTAGTAATCATAGTGCCTTGTCTTCGAAACGTTCCCTACCACGCCACTTCACCCCAGTCACTTACATGTTGTCGAACCAAGCTCTACGCTTAGTCCCTCGCACACAGATGCGCGGACTTGGTGCTCTAAATGTGGGATATCGTAGATTGAGCAGTGCAAGCGCCTCACGTCGGATTTCCGCTCAGTCCCTGCACTTGGGCAAAGTCGTAGCCGCTGTATCATTTGTGGCGGCTGCATCACTCACCCTCGGCATGACGAACGGTCGTGAAGTATCTGTTGATTGTGATTCCTCTCAGGTCAAGAATGCTATGACAAAGGTATCTAACAAGCCCGATATTTCTACGCTTGACCCTTCTATTTTGGATGATGCATCGATTCCTATCCGGAAACGCATGGAAACGTACGTGAAGCTGTTGCAACGCCGGCTCATGGATGATGTTGAGGCAGAAGAAAACTCTATCCGTTCATCGTATGATCCGAAGCAGTTCCTTGTAGAGTCTTGGACGCGCAAGGAAGGTGGTGAGGGAATTTCCTGTGTGCTTCAGGATGGCAAGGTCTTCGAGAAGGGTGGCATCAATGTGAGCGTCGTATATGGCAATCTGCCGCCTCGTGCTATTCACCAAATGTCCGCTGACCATAATGGACTAATTGATCGTGTTGGCTACAAAATTGAAGGCCCCGATGCTGAAGTGGATGGACTTCCGTTTTTCGCGACGGGTATTAGTGTGGTGATTCACCCCAAGAACCCCAAAAGCCCCACTTCACACTTCAACTACCGTTACTTTGAGCTCATGCATCCAAAGACGCTCAAAGATGGATCACCGAATCCCCGTTTTAATGAAACTGAGCCTGTGGCGTGGTGGTTTGGTGGTGGTGCGGACTTAACGCCCATGTACTTGTATCCTGAGGATGCGAGGCATTTCCACACCGTGCTGAAAGAAGCCGCTGACTCGCAAGATGTTGCATTTTACCCGGCATGGAAGAAATGGTGCGACAGCTACTTTATGATCACGCACCGTGGCGAGAGCCGTGGTATTGGCGGTGTGTTCTTTGACGATTTGTCTTTGCCTTCGTGGAGCAACACGAAGCCGACGTTCATTCCTCTTGTGGATGGCTCCATCCACCCACAGACGCAGCTTGTGTCGACAAAGCAGCATGATAAGGAATCGCTCTTCCGCGCTGTTCGCGCGATGGGTGATGCCTTTATTCCCGCTTACCTGCCGCTGGTGAACAAGCACAAGTACGACACGTTTGACGACCTGAACGTGGAGTGGCAGCAGCTCCGTCGCGGACGCTATGCCGAATTCAACCTGGTGTACGATCGAGGCACTAAGTTTGGGTTGATGACGCCAGGTGCACGTATCGAAAGCATTCTCATGAGTCTGCCGCTCAAGGCGCGTTGGGAGTACATGGATGGCACGACAGGAACGGGCCGCGAGATCTCTGCTGCGGCGAAGCTGATCGATGCGGAGAAGAAGAAAACGAATCCCGAGGGCGAGATGAAGGCTCGTGAAGAAATGCAGCGTGTCCTTGAAAATCCCGTCGACTGGGTTTAAGTTGGAGACACACCAACCAGCCCACCTCTCCATCCATAGGGAATGAACAAATGGACCATTTCTCCACTTATCATGTGCGCAGGGAGAACTTGCTTTGCAATGTCACTATGTACATCTAGCGGCGAGGCGGAGGCGGAGGCGGTACCGAACTAGTCGACCAACCCATTTCATGGTCTGAGGGTTGAGGTGTATTGGTGGTCATGGCAGGATGCGGCCCTTGAGAGGATGCAGCATATCCACTGGCTGTGGCTGTAGAGGTACTTGTCCCTGCCGTATGGGCCTCACCGCGCTTCCTTAAAACTGTGGTGAGCAAAAGATACGCACACTCTTCTACAAGCTTGGCATTGCGGGAGTTAGTCTTGAAGGTGGCGCTGGCGAGATCTCCGACAACCGGAATGAACCCCATTGCCGCGGACATGGTATTGTTCATCACCATTTGACGGATCAGCTGCTCAGGAATACTGGTATCAATGCCAAGAACGTACTCGTCAATTTGTTGCGCCTTCTTAACGATCAAATTGTGGGAGAGAAGCGCATCCGCGATGTCACCTGCAAAGGGTACTAGACCAATAATGAAAGTCCAACCGAAGCGCATCCCACACAGCCTGAATCCCTTGTCAAGATGGTGAGCACGTTTTTTGATCTTGAGCAGGATCTTTTCCTCTTTCTTCGTAAGGCCTGGCGGCATGGGACGCTTTTGTTAGCGAGGTCACTGTCACATACTTTACGGCGCCTCATACGCCCATGGTCCTCGTAGTACTCATAATACGGATCCTGCGCGTGAATGATACAAGCGTACCTCTGGTTCAAATTGATGAGCAAAATTTTCAATGTGCTTTCCTGCTACGAGTTTGGCAGCGCCAGTAACGAATTGAGCCATGGCGGGCAGCAAGAGACCCGTGGTGGAGAAACACACAGACACTTTACTATTGACCTATTAGGCTAACGTCAGCACACTTGCTGGACTTTCTGGAATAGTTGCTGGATCGCCTCGACGGTTTCGTTCACCTGAGATTCAGAGGTTGTTGCCTGCTTGTAATGCATAAGCTTCTCGTGAAGCTTCGGCATCTTGGATTTCAGCATATCATGGAGGCTCATGTCAATACAGATGCGTACTGTTTCAGTTGGGGGTACTTGGCACACTGGCCCTTGGCGCGGCGCGCGGTCATGTCGTGTCCATGCTGAAAGGCCTGTGCCGCCACAACTGAGGCAAAGTAAGCGAAAAAAGCAAGGAACACCAACGACCACTTCATTGTGAGGGTTCCTCTCCCAGCTGACTGCCTTTATACTTTTGGGCACGGATTTGGAAGACCGGAGCTCGGGCCTTTGTTGGGTAGTTTTTAGACACATACTTAGGTCTTTTTGCTTTGATTGAGTTTGGATCACATTCTTTGCTAGCATGGGCCGCGTTTCGCTAGATTTCGACCCGATCCATTTCGGCCTAGGACCGGCTTGCCACTCCTGTGCATTGACATTGGAGCAGGATGTGATGTCGACCGTATGTCAGAGTACGCAATGGTGTAGCTCAAGTAGTCTAGTTAGCAGATGGTTGTCATTGCTGCACATGTCGCAAAGACTACTATAGGCTCTACAACAACTAGCAGAAAAGATGGAGCATCTCAATGACCTTGAGTGCAGTTACAACAAAAGGCACAACTTCACCGATGCCCGCGGCCATGAGGATAGGCTGAAGCAAAGGGAGCACCAGGACGATGGCGTTCGCGATTCTGCCTTAGTTTCTGTGTACACACTCGTTAAAAACCATGCCACCCTCGCTGCATTCGGCGCGGACTGCTAGGGCCTTGCTAGCATTGTTATTCGGGGGCTCAATCGAGGAGGTGGCCATTGCCGTACCAGCCATGAAGAACATCAGTACAATTAGCAGACACAGTGAAAGAGAACGCATAAGGAACTACGAGTTCATCGGCGCGCTTTTATAGAGCATGTTCAGTGGGGGACAGGGTTTGTGGCCACCTCGCTAGGGCCGCGGAGCCATGGCGCAAAGTTTGAGGCATGTGCCTGCAATGTTTCATGGATACTTTGGACCCAGAACGGTGCATCACCGGCGGGGTCCTCAAATAGGTATTGCTTGGACGGCGTCTGCAACAAAAACGCACGAGCCCCGCGCAGTTCAACGTCGACGGGCCACGCGCCGATGGCCGCCTCGCTTATTCGCTCTGACTCGGGGATTCCAACGTTCTCATTAGGATCTGATTCGGACTTGATCATGCCTAATGTCCGCGTGATGGCATGCACGGGCCCTAGGGACGGCTGACGGAGGAGTGACGGCTTTGTTTCACCGTCTGAGGCTGCAGACGCCGATGGCCGGGTAAGCGGGACATCAGCGAGGACTTGAACGCTGCGATTTCGCTCTCTCGTACATAAAAGGCGGGGCATTGTAGTCAGATACATTTGGCACTTTCGCGCGAACATTCCTGTAGCCTGCATGCGGCGAAGCAACATGGGGCTTGAGAAGACAATGTCTTCGGTAGGCAGGAGAATATCGTTGAGGGTCACCTCACCTCGCTGAATTACCTTGGACGATGCGCTGTTTGACCGAGAGGGCGTCGGCCGCGAATCGCCACCCGCACTCCGTTGGTGACTACCACCGGCGTCGGACGACACGGATGTCTCGTCGCCGGTGGGGATCGACTTGTCCTGCGACAAGAGGGAGCTCTCACGCGATAAGCCCATTTCCTCCATGGCCAAATTCAGTTCTTGCTCAGCAGGCTTGGGTTGACTAGCTGGGTTTGCAAAGAGCCCTGTCCGAAGCGGTGGCGGCGGCAATGTCCATAGGGACGCAAAGTCCACGTTTCGGAACATGGGACTCGCCCGGACCTCTTTGGCCGTTGCGCGCCGTCCAGGATCGAGGCATAGCAACGCATCGATGACTTCGCGAGCCTCGGACGGCACTGGCTCCGGGAAGGTGAACGAGCGATGCAAAATCTTCTGGAAGGTCTGATACTCGTTGGCCGCGCGAAATGGAGCGACGCCCGTAAGCATCTTAAAAAGAATGCAGCCCATGGCCCACCAATCGGCTGGTATTCCTACGCACTCGTCGTTGAGTAGCTCCGGGCTCACATAATCGGCCGTTCCGACAAAGCTGTGTGCTTTTTCTGTGCTTGTGCCATCGGCCTGGCGTCCTAGCACACGCGCAGAGCCAAAGTCTGTCACACGGATGCGCATATCCTCCCCCAAAAGAATATTCTCAGGTTTCAAGTCCCGATGCACCACGCCCGCGCGGTGGATCCGTTCAAGGACATCTACGAGCTGCGCACCGTAGTATGTCGCCGACGTCCAGTCCAAGGAGCCGAGAGTCTTGACATAATGCAACAGTTCGCAGTTCGGCGCAAGTTCCAATACGAAGTATAGACTCTCGCGGTCTTGGAACGTATGATACAATTTAATGACCCCAGGCGTCTGCACAAGCAAGCTCAACGCTTCCTTTTCCACACGCACATATTTTTGCTTCTTTTCTTTCAGGATATGCACCTTATCCAGGACTTTGACTGCGTATACCTTGGGCATGTTTTCGAGCACCGGTGGCGTGAATTGTCCAGCTGCCGCAGCGAGCGCATTCGCATGGCTGGCAAGACTCGCGCGCTCACTCTCGGGCAGGTCGTGTACGTCCCACGCTTTGAGTACGGTCGAGTAGGAACCTTCACCCAACACTTCGCCAAACACAAAGTCATGCACGGTACGGCGCCGCGGGCGCCCCGGTTCAGACAATGTCGAGGTGCTAATACGCGACGGGCGGCGCTCATCCATGGGTGGTGGCAGGCTCGTCGTCTTAGCTCGCGGCGTATTGGGCAGCGAGAGAATATCGTGACTAGGCACTGACGGGGATGGTGACCGTGGCACCAATGTGCTAAGCGATGTGCGATGCACATTCGAGGTCTTTAGCTCTTCATCATCCCCGGCCGAGCTTTGGTGTCGCATGTCTGCGAGCCAATGCAAAGTGCGTGCATGCGGCGACATATCGCGTAGTGCCGATCCGGAAGCCAGATGGTCGATCTGCGGCACGTCCAGAGAAAATTTCGGTGCGACTGTCGAGATTGATGAATTTGATAAATGCGAGCGCGCATCTTCGTCCACATGCCCGAGACGAATGAAGGGTGTATCGGGCGAGGGAGTATGCGATTCTGCGCTGTTGGGGCGATAGCCACTGCTTTCCGGTAGCCGTAATGACGTACGGGATGAAGGACGCGAGATGTGTCGGCGCATCTCTTCGTCGCGCAGCGATGACGGGCGATGGGGTAGGCGTTCATCATGCGAAACCACTGGGCCCAACATCGGCAGGCGCCGGGTCTGTCCAGGCCCATTCCGATACATCCAGCGGTCGTTCGTAGACTTGGGTATATACCGGGTCCGGCTCGACGTCAAGGGCGAGGGCGACACAGCCTGCAAGCGCACCACGTCCAGCGTCTCGGGCCGCTCCTCTGTCTTCTCCATGCTCGACTCTGGCGCATCAACTGAATCGCCGAGGTGCAAGGGCGGCGGTTGCGGCGGAATAGACTCTGTCAATGCAGGGTTCGGGGCCAACGAGGATGTCCCGACGCCTGCATCATTCCATGCGGGCGGTGCTTCGAGGGGCACCGATAGGTCCATGGGACGCAGGGCTGAGGGCGACGGAGTCGCCGAGGCCAAGCGTAGAGGACGAATATTCCCTCTAGGCGGTGCACGGAACGGTGCTGCTTCAATGCTAGATGTGCTGTTCGCGGAGCTGACGCTGCTCACAGATTTTGTCCGTTCCACGTCGCTGCCACTGCTGAGAAACTCTTCCTGTGAGTCTTTCGAATCTTGTGCCATATCTTCCAGTGGCGCAGGTGATGTAGCGATATGCGGCCGTTCAGGCACGGATAACCGCACCGACGTAGACACGCCTTCAGGATCCATCCACGCGACGTGCGCCGCACGTACCACACAAACCGTCGCGACCGGCCCCGGCCCTGGCGATGGTCTCATCACGTGATTCTATGGCCTAGGGATTGTTGTCATCCTCCTTGGGCGGCTCCGGGTTGGGTGCCGCAAAGGCGATGGGCGTCTCGCCAAATTGGAAGGAGCCGCCGTGCGCTACACCCGTTGTGTTAGCAAAAGACGGGCCAATGGCCGTCTTGGTAAAGGGTGAATTATCCTCTTTCGGGCTCGATCCGAACGAGAAGCGGTGCGGGGCTACTGGCGGCGAGCCAGCAGCGCCAAACGGCACATGTGAGGCAGGCGACGTAGCGGATCCAAATGTGATCGGTTTAGTTGTGGCTGTAGGTTTTGGGGGCGTAATAGGGTCTTTGGGCGCATCGTCCTTAGGCGCTTTCGTGTTGGCGTCGCCGGGCACCTGACTGTCCTTGGACACCCCCGCGAGCTTCACTTGATTCGAACCAAACGCAAAACCGCCAGGCGGCACGGTCAATGCAGGCGCTTTGACACCGTCCATAGTGTGTTGCGATGATGACTCAAAAAAGGATCGCGCAGCCTGACCTGCAAACGAGAAGCCACCGCTCGGTAGAGCTGGTAGCTTCAGTGCCGGGCCGCTCTCGGCCGTCTTGAATGTCTCATCCTGTTTGCCCGTAGACGGGACGCCCAAATTTTGTGCTTTGTCATTCGGAGTCTCCCCATGAGGGGTAGGTTGGTCCAGTGTGCCGCTTGCCTTGTTCGCGGGAGTCAATGGTTCTTCTGAAGTCGTAGGGACGGACGAAACGGCAGGTGCAATTTCTTGGCTCTCCACGCTCGTTTCGTTGGTCTGCTTCTCGCCACTGTCGCTTACTTTCGAAGAAGCCGACTGTCCAAAGGAAAGGGTAGGCTGGTCCTTACTTGTGCTAGATGAAAGGGTAAGTGCATGGGAAGAAGTACCAAATGAAAAGGCCGGCTTGTCGTTGGCAGTCTTTGAAGCAGCCTCCTCTTTCACAGTACCGAAAGAAAAAGTCTGTGGCTCTTTAGTCGTGCTGAAAGAAAATGCTGGCTTTTCCTCGGCAGTCTTTGAAGCAGGATCGTGTGTCGCAGTGCCAAAGGAAAAGGCCGGCTTGTCCTTGGCAGTCTTTGAGGCAGCATCGTCATTGGCAGTGCTGAGCGAAAAGACCGGCTTGTTCTCCTTCGCAGCACCGAAAGAAAAACCCTGAGTTTCCTTGGCTGTCCTAGATGAAAATGCTGGCTTGTCATCTGTAGTCTTTGGAGCAGAATCATCCTTTGCCGTACCGAAGGAAAAGCTTTGTGGCTCCTTGGCTGTGCCGAAAGAAAATGCTGGCTTGCCATCAGTATTCTTTGAAGCAGCATCATCCTTTGCCGTACCGAAAGAAAAGCCCTGTGGTTTCTTGGCTGTGCCGAAAGAAAATGCTGGCTTGCTCTCGGCAGTCTTCGAAGCAGCATCGTCCTTCGCAGCACCAAAGGAAAAGCCCTGTGGCTCCTTGGCTGTGCCGAAAGAAAAAGGTGGCTTGCCATCAGTATTCTTTGAAGCAGAATCATCCTTTGCCGTACCGAAAGAAAAGCCCTGTGGTTTCTTNGCTCTCAGCAGTCTTCGAAGCAGCATCGTCCTTAGAGGAGCTAAAAGAAAAGGCTCGAGGCGCATTGACAATCTCAGAGGCAGTCTTTTCCTTGGTATCAAAAGAAAAGGCCGGTTTCGTTCCCTTTGTGGACTCATCGGACACCGATGCAGCCTTCACTGGTGCATCCATCGACGAAGAATCGGGCTTTCCTGTCAACTCCATCGCTGGGCTCAGTTTGAAAGCTGGCTTGCCTGTCTCTGCGGCCGACTTTTCGTTGGATGAGCCGATCGAAAAGGCCGGCTTGGCTGACCCCGTTTCTGCATCTGCCGGTTTTCCCACACTCAATGAGAAAGACGGCGAACTGACTGGCTTGACGCCAAATGAGAAGGCGGACTTGCTAGGTCCCGCAGTGGACATGGCCGCCTTCGGTGAGCTCAAAGAGGCCGACTCTGTGGGAGCCGATCCAAGTGCTTGGGAGGAGGTTTCTAGCGTATGTCCGAGCCACTTGCTTGCAAGAGCCTCATGGTGCTCGCGGTACGCCGCGGCAAATTGCAAGAGGGTTGTATGAAAATCTGCCAGCTCATCCGATGCATTCCATACTTGGACGAGATGCCGGATCATAGACCAGTTCAGGCCACGCACACCTTTCCAATATTCGAGCTCGTTGTGCGTAGTCGGTGTGGGCTTGGTCGCCACTGGGAGCACGGGCTGCGACAATGACGTCGGTAGCGGCGCGGGGCCCTTTGGTGCGGTGGGTGCGCTTCCGCTGCTGCTTTTCGGTGTGAGCTGAACTTGACCGAAGAGGGAGCTTGAGCTTGTGGCAGGGGCCAGCTGTGCAAATGGGTTGGCAGATAAGGCCGGTGCACTGGGCGACGGCGCGACGCCCTTGCGCTTGGGCAAACCGCGGATTACGCGTGGCGCTGCCTCTCGCGGCATGTGCGTGGACGCAGCCTCAGTAGTGGCATCTTCAACGGCGTGTGGGTCGTCACCGTCTTCACGCTGGATTTGGCGCTCCGCGATGCGTTTCATCGCCGGCGTCGTACAACGACGCGACGCTTCACCAGCGGGCCTATAAATATACACACCTCCATAACCCGAGAAAGCCGCCGCGGCCCAACGGCGTGGTGCCGCACGCCACGATGGCCGGGCCGCCGGCGCACCTGGATGTGCGCGATGCGCAGGTGCACATGGACACGCAGACGCAACGATGGGTGTGGGAAGACAATGATGGTGCGGAGTACGAGTGGCATGGCCGTGCACCGCGCCCTGGTGCCGACGACATCGCGCGCGTGACAGACGGCGCATGGGTGCGTGTGATCAGCGAGGCGGAGATTGCGAAGCAGCAGGAAGTGTACCGCGTAGCTGGTGTAGACGAGCATGTGCGTGGCTGATACTGATGCAGACGCCCGCGGCACCGGTGCTGAAGCGGCAGAGCAAGAAGCGAAAAGATGCGCCGGAGGCTGGTCCCGGTGCCGAGGCGGTGGCCCCGCCGCCCGCCGCGCCAGCGCGACGCTCGCGGCCCAATACGTCCGTGTTTGTGAGTGGTCTGCCGCTCGATGCGAGTCTGCATGAGATTTCCGACGTCTTTGCGCGCTACGGTGTGCTGCTCGAAGACGACGAAGGCAAGCCACGCGTGAAGCTGTACCATGACGAAGCGACGCAGGCATTCAAAGGCGAGGCGCTCGTCGTCTACTTTAAGCCAGAGAGCGTCGACCTCGCGATCCAGCTGTTGGACGACACGCATCTGCGGGCTGCGTCCGGCGCTACGAACGGGCCACGCATGCGCGTGCAGCGAGCCGAGTTCCACGATGAGCCACGGGGCGCCTCGGACGAGCGACGTGAGCTGAGTGATGCGGACAGGAAGAGTATTCGGCGTCGCATGAACCGCATGCACAAGTACGTGCCTGCGCTGACACAGCAAAATCAACGACTGGGACTCGGGTAGCGACGACGAGCGCGTCCCGAGTGGCCCGAGTGCAGCGGCGCGCACGGTCGTGCTCAAGAAGATGTTTACGCTTGCCGAGCTCGATGAGGACCCTTCGCTTCTCCTTGACCTTAAGCAGGACGTGCGCGAAGAGTGCGAGACGCTCGGCGATGTGACGAACGTTGTGTTGTGGGACCGTGAGCCCGAAGGCATCATGACTGTGCGCTTCCGCGAGCCGGCGAGTGCGCGTGCGTGCGAGCGGCGCATGAATGGGCGCTACTTTGCAGGGCGCCAGATTGTTGCGGTGCTTGTCGACGGCAAGCCCAAGTTCCGCCGTGTTGCGCACGATGAGCCGGAGGAGAATGCACGGCACGACGCATTTGGGGCGTGGCTTGACCAGGCGCCATAGTCTACTTGACACGCGTCACTATCTGCTCGTTTAGCTGCGCGAGCGCGGCGCGTGCGTCGCTCGTCGGCAGCACGGACAGCGCCTTGTGCGCGGCCTCGGTGTGGTATCGGGCGAGCTGCGCCGTGCGTTCGAGGCCCTGCGAGCGGTGCACGAGCTCGAGCGCCTGCTCAACATCGCCAGGCTCGCCAAAACGGCGCGCAACGAGCGTGCCGAGAGGCGAGTCAGCGAGTTCCTGCCATGCATAGAGCACAGGCGCCGTGGCAAGGCCGAGCTTAAGGTCTGCACCGCCCGACGGCTTGCCGAACGCCTCGGTCGTTGCGCGAAAGTCGAGCAGGTCGTCGACGAGTTGGAACGCCATACCGACGTGCCGACCATATGCATAGGCGGCATCACACACCGCTGCGGCGTCTGCACGCTGGGCCGGGCTCAGCGCGTACGTCTGCGTCGCCCACTCGCCGCACCCGCCTAGCACCGCGGCGGAGCGCGCAGACTTGGCCATCAGCGACGCCGTTTTGAGATACGTTTTTTGCAGATAGACCTGGAACTGGCGGCGCGTCGGCGCCACATCAGCATCACGCGTGTGTGGCTCATAGGCCGTCCAAAAGCGCTCGAGCTCCTCCGCGGACGGCATCGTCGACGGCAGATCCGTCACGGGCACCCGCTCCGATACCGACTCTTGCACGCGCAGTTGCATGACCTCGCCCTCGACAAGGTTCGCAATCACCGTTGACATGAGCTCCGTCACCTCCGGGTCACGCAGGCGCGCAAGCGCAATCGACGCACGGCCCAGCAGAAAGTCACCGCCTAGGATACTCAGCTTGTTTCCAAACGTCGACGGCGCCGACGGCGCCCCGCGGCGGAGCGGCGACGCATCGATCACGTCGTCATGCAAGAGCGACGCAACATGGATCATCTCGGTGATCTCTGCGAGCCGCCGCTGCGTCGGCAGGATCGTATGTTGCAGCGCCGGCTCGTACTGTGCCGGCAGCGGGCGCGCTGTGCCCACAGCCGGCGGCACCGGCGCCGTCGGATTCACGTCGTTAAGCACAGTCTCGCGGTTCATCGGCCTGTCGACATCCTCGCCGATCGCGTGCGCACGCTGCACGCCCCATGCCGCGCTCAGCCCATTCGTTGCCTTGGCCATGAGCAGGACTATCATGGGGCGCACATGCTTGCCTTCCGCCGCAAAGTAGTACTTGGCGATGCGGTCCAGCGACGGCTGACCACTTCCCAGCAGAGCCGCTATGCTATGGCGCACCGCCGACACGTCCTGTCCGACCACGTCCAGCGGATCGTGCGTCAGCGCCGATACGGCGGCCGCACCTTGCGCTGCCGACATCGAATCGGGCGCCAACGCGCTCTTCGCGGTCTGAAGCACGTCCGCCCACGACGAGGCAAGTCGCCGCGCACCACATATACGCATGCACGCTTGCGCGCCCCGCAGCGCCGAGACTCGCGCTCCTACCATCGAGGTGGTCGCTAGCACTGCCGCCTGCGAAGACCCCCGGCCGGCTCGGGCTCTTAGTCAGCAGGACGATCGGCCGCCACGGCTGGCTGGCTGCCGCACGGCCCATGGCCGACCGGCACGTCGTGCAGCGCACGGCGCTCATTGTAGGTCTTGGCAACTATACACACCCTACCACGCGACATTCGATCGGTCAGTATGTACTGCCTCCCCTTCTAGAGTGCGTGCAAGCCCACGACTCGCGCGTGCGCGCCCACCTAGCGCGGACGGTCACGCGCTTGCCACCTGAAGCCCCGCGCTACACGCTGCCACCGCCCACGCCCATCGAGCCTTTTACGCTCAGCCGAAAGGCTCAAGGATGGCTTGCACATGCATGCGTTCTGCTCGACTCACTGCCACCGAAGGGCGCATCTGCGCGCCGCGCGCCCGGCTTCCGCGTGGACGCGTGCCCGTATGTGCACATGCATCTGGTCCTCTACATCCCCCGCCTCCTGATGAATGTCAACGGCCTGGGCGTGCGTGCAGTGCTTGCGCAACTTCCGGAGCTCGGGATCACTGATACCCTCCTTGTGCACGACGAACTCCAGCGTACTTTTGGGCAAGTGGCGTTCAAGGCTGGCGGCAGTGCAGCTGGCCACAATGGTGTGCGCAGCGTGCAAGACGTACTTCGCTGCCACGGCACCGTGCGCCAAGAGCCCGACATTGCACGTGTGCGCATCGGCATCGGACGCCCCGCGGACGGGCGAGTCAGCGAGTATGTCCTCGGCCCTATGCCGCCCGAATGGCGCGCGGCTTGTGAGGCCCAGGTCAACACGGACCCTGCCTCGACGCGTCACGCGCAGTCTGCCGCGCCCGTCCTGCAGGCCGTGTGGCATCATATACAGCAGTGGTGCCTTGCACGTGTCGCAGCTACGTAGGTCTACGACGTGCCGGTCCTTTTCGGGCCTTCGCCCTCGGCGCCACCGCTTGATTTGAACGAGCGGTGGTGAGGTGCTTTGGGACCCCGCGTGTGCGCGCGCTTAGGCGGACTCGACGGCCGGCCTCCGTAGGCACCATGAGGCGGCATTGCGCCAGGCGCACCGGCCGGTATGGGTGCGAACGGCGCAGCAAAGCCCGGCGGCGGCGGACGGTATATCATAGGGGGCGCACCTGGCGCCTCGGACGGCGACATGTACGGCTGCTGTGCAGGAAATGGGTACTGCGCCATCGGGTACACGAACGCGTACGGTGGTTGTGCGACGGGGTGCGGGCTCCCCGGCGTGCCAGGCGGCGGAGCGCCAGGCGGCATCATCATGGCTTGCTGTGGCGATGGGCGCGGTGACTTGCCACGCGCCGCACCAGCCGGCGCAGCAGCGATGGGCGGTGAGCCTGCCGCGTGCATGCCCCCTGGCGGTACCGGCGATGCTAGGCCCGACGCGTACGCTGGTGCCGCTGCCACTGGCACGAGCTGCGGCGCGGCGCCCATGGGCATCGGCGCCTCGCCAACAAATGGCGGCTTGCCCCCATATGTGCTCATCGCAACCTGCTGGCGGAACGGACGGCCCGTGTACGACCACCACACGGACGTCTTGGACGCCTCACCCAGCTTTTTGTTCTTTGGCGCGCGGAATTCGTCGCCAATGCGCAGAGGGGCCGTATTGGGTCGGTTCCTAAGCTCACGTGTGCCAAAGAACGGCACACTTGGCACGCTCACACGCGCGCCTGGCGTGAACGACGCCGCAGCCGGGTTGAAGGCTGATGCCTTGGCATTCAGCTTCGTCGGCGCCTTCTTCTCCTCGGCTTTTTTGAACGGAGGGATCGCAGGGATTGTCATGGCTGCCAGCTTCGCACGCGCTTGGTCGACCGGTGGCGCGGGTCCCGTTGCAGGCGAGCTCACGGTGCTTGTCGACTTTGTGTGCGTCGCATCGACGCGCTTCTTCATGGCCATTGCCATGTCTTCGGGCATGGGCGTCTTGAGCTGGAACGATTGCGCCCACACCTTGAGGTCCGCTAGGCGACTCTGCTTTTCCTTCTGCGCCAACTCGGCCTTGCGCACGACGAGACGTTCCCGCTCGGCACTCACAAACTGCCTAAAATCAGCGGTGAGCGCCTTGCCAGAGCCCGTCGTCGTGGGCGCGGGTGCGGGCGCGGGCGCGGGTGCGGGCGCGGGTGCGGTTGCGGGCGCGGGCGCGGGAGCAGGCGTCTCGCGCACCACCGCGCCGTACCGGTCCTCCTCATTCGCCTCCTGGGCGGGCACCTGGTTTCGCTCTTCGGCCACATGCACATTGGACGTTGAGCCCTCGAGAATCTCCTTGGCGAGGCGCTCAGCCTCTTTCTCCCGTGCCTTGAAGTCTTTACCAGACTTGTCTAGCTTGGTCGTGTACATGGTCTCCTCGTAGTTCGATGTGACACCAAAGCGTGCCTCATTCTCAGCAAACTGGTCCCAGGGTCCCGCACGCGTCGACTGCTCTAGCGATGCCGGCGCCGGAGCAGCGCCCGCCGACGAGTCGTCCCAGCGCTGCAGTGTGCGTCCGTCGCCACACGTACCGGGCTGACCACTGATCTCCGTATCCGTACGGAATCCAGAACCGCGCCGCTGCTGCTGCGCCTGCAGCTCCTGCGCACTGCTAACGCGCGCACCTGACGCATCGACTTCGACGACATCTCTGAGCGCGATTGTCAGGGTTGGTAGCACCTCGCCTGCACGGACGCTCTTTTCCGTCGTCTCCAAGACTTGTGCCGATGCTAGCACAATACCCGCCTCGCTGGCGTTCGACAGCGCGCCGGTCGACAGCACGCCAACGTACCGTGTTCCGTCCTGCTTACTCACAACAACCATCTGGCCCACGAGCGTGCTCAAGAGTGCCACGTAGCGATCTGCCGAGGCGTTCTCCGCGGCTGCATGCGATGGACGGTGCCACTTTGCATGACCCCCTCCAGACGCATGTCGCGCGCTACCACCGCGACCCCAGGCATGCGGGCCGCGGTGGCCACCATGGCCACTGCTCTGGCCACTACTGCGCCCAGACGTTCCACTCGTAGCTCGAACATTGCCTCCCGCCTGCGAAGAAGGTCGCCGCCCCGAGGCCGATGTGTTCATAGTCATGACAGCCCACGTCCAACAACGCACCGCCCAGCAGCGCTGGGCGTCGCCCTGGTCTAGTGTCACGTGGCGCCGCGTGGCAGCCTGGCCCTGTCCGTGTCAGCTTGCCCCGCACGGACGGCGCGTGTGGTGCTGGGCGTCCATGGGCCACGGGCCAGCACGCACAGGCACGCTACCACTCGATATCACTGTGCAAATTGCTATCATTGCTGCATGGTCTGACAACGAGCACGAGCGGACTGTGGCGTACCGCCTCGCTCGCACGTGTCGTGCGTGGTGCCGCGCCTTGTTCACTGTCGTACTGCTACCACGTGTCGTGTTGCGCGGCGAAAAGCATGTGCACCAGTTTGCATACGTGCTCTCCGAAAATCGATGGGGTCTCCGTGAACTAGCCGCGCGATGTACTCGCCATGTTACAGTCGCGCCCGCCCGGCACGCACGGGCCCTCTTTGATCCGGCCGTCCATACGCGCCGGTTTACCGCCGCCATCTACGAGCCCTTGCGCACCATCTTGCATATCTGCACACACTTGTCGTCGCTGTGCCTACATGCCGAGCCCAAAGCCCTTGCTCTCCAGCGTGGCAATGTCCTTTCTGTCGACGGCGTACGTGCAGCCCTGCAGGAGGTCGTGTGCCTCCAGAGTCCTTGGGCAGGCGATACCAACGATACCCTGTGGTTCAGCTCTATACCCGGCTTGGCGGCGGCACCGTGGCGGCGTCTCACGCATCTACAGCTACACGGTCCGCGCTTCCGCATGACACCACGCACAGCCGCGAGTCTGGCTTCGCTCCCTGCGCTCAGCCATTTGGCGCTCATCACGCCCCATGTCGTCGATGCGGCAGGCCACCGCAACGCGCATGACGCTCTCCAGATACTGCTAGATGGGGCGTCGTCGCTTGAGCAGCTGCTGCTCGTGGGACACGATGAGCTCCACTGGGTCGGCGCGGTGCGTCACTGGCGGGCGGCACTTGCACAGCTCGAACGCCCAGCGGGCGCGCCGCCTGTTACCATCACGCTCGTCACGGCTGCGCGCCTTGAGTCATCAGCATGGGACCCTGTATCGCGTGCACATGCATCCCTGTACAGCGAATGGATGCTGGCGCGTGCTCAGCAGGGGACACATTGGGCGTTCCTCGATAGCGACGCTCCGTGTACGGATGGCGCGATCGCATACAATGTCGAAACATGGCTCGTGCCCACGCGGCCTGCTGCACAGCGCACGGCCGCCGTCGCTGCCTAATACTATGAGAAAGCACGCTTTGGGCGCGTACCTGTAGACGGCTTTCGCCATGTTTTCTTTCGAGGCGCTGGATCCACAATAGAGTCCCATACGTCGCGCCAGCCGAGTGCATCAACAAGGTCAGCAAGGGATGCGTCAGGATCATTTTTGGGTCGCCGATGGATCTTCGAGGAGCGGCGCCTGGTATTGCTGCCCTGCTGCGTCGTTTGCTGCAAGCCTTGCAACACCGAGGCCCACAAACCTGGCTGCTGCTGCCCCTGCTGTGCCAACTTCCATCCGAGTGCGACGAGGCCTGTTTGAGTAAAGCCGTACATACCATGCATGGAGTTTTGCAGTGTCGCAAGCGCGTGTTGCAGGGTGCCTGGCTCGTCTTTGGTGCTGTACCAGAGCCATGCCCACAACACTATATACAACACAACGCCCCAGCGGATGAGCCAGAACAGCAAGGACACAGTACTGCGCACTGTGCGGTACACCATGCGCATGCACAAAAGAGCTGACAGGGCCAATACCACACCCGTTAAGGCCTTGGAGCTCAGTGGCTGCGTCTCCCACCTGCGTCAGTCGCCCGTACGCACGTCTCGCCCAGCCCAGCCATGTTGGGTGGAGGTGCAGGCCTGGCGAGGCCCCCGTCGCTTCGCTTCGCTCTCCAGCATGTCGGAGCGCAAGGTCCTGCAGAAATACTATCCGCCGGACTTTGATCCTTCTGCTGTCCGGCGGGGCCGTACAGGAGGAGGCAAGCAAAAGACTGTGCGTCTGATGGCGCCGTTCAGTATGCGATGCAATACATGTGGCGAGTACATTTACCGTGGGAAAAAGTTTAATGCCCGCAAGGAGACGGTGAACAACGATGACTACTACGGTATTCCAATCTTCCGATTCTACATCAAGTGCTCACAGTGTAGCTCGGAAATTACTTTTAAAACGGACCCGAAGAACTCGGACTACGCTGCCGAGCATGGTGCGCAACGCAACTTTGAGCCGTGGCGTGAAAAGGACGAAGACAAAGCCCCATCCTCTGATTCTGAGAACGGAGACGAGGGCGAGGAGGAGGAAGATGTCGATCCTATGAAGGCCCTCGAGAAGCGCATGGAGGAAGCCCAGCGCGAAATGGAGGTCATGGATGCGCTGCAGGACATCCGCACGCGCAATGCGCGCTTCGAGCGCGTGGATACCAGCGCGGTTCTTGATGCTGTTGCGCAGAACAAGCGCCCGATTGAAGCGACGGTGGACGCAGCCGACGCGACACATGAAGAGGACGAGGCATTAGTGCGCAAGTACTTTCCCAAGACGCCTGCTGCTCCTGCCACCGATGATGCCAGCGTCGAACCAGCGGGATCCGAGCCCACAGAGAAGGAATCACCAGACGAACCGCCGCCCGCTGCCAGCCTGCTGAGTGATGCCACGCGCCAGCAACTTCAGTCGATTCCACCGACGTCTGCGCCACGTCCATCCACCAAGCGTCGCCGAGGTCCCAATGCTTTGGGTATTGTGCGCAGGGCCTGATGTACTATAGATTCAATGCATGAAAAGTTTGCTCGAGCGCATCCAGGCCGCCACTTGCATTGACAGTATCGCGCAGCTGCCGGCACGCCACGAGGTACTCTTCCAGGGCCTCAGCAAGGGGCATCGATGCCTCGTCTCCACCATACAAGACGGAAGCGATCACCTCATCTTGTGCGGCGGCCATAACTTCGACTGCGTCTGCGCAAGCGTCCCCGTCACAAGCTCGCTTGTCTAGAGACTTGCCGAACATAGGCAGGATCGCCAGCCCCTGTTGGAGGAGCGTATGGACCTGTCTAGCTGTCTCTTTCTGCTCCGAAGTCAAGACCGGGCTTTGATCCCAGGCTGACTCAAGAGGGTCACTTTCCTGGCTGCTGGCATCCATGGGTGTCTCTTCGGCCTCGTGCTCTATTGCCTCCTGCAGCTCGTCAAGGCCGTCGCGCATGACCAACTCGTTTTGGCGCCACACCATAGCCATTGCCTCTAAGTTGCTGCGGGGGAGGCGCACAATGTAGCCAGGTGTGTGTGTGCTGCCGCCCTGCGCTGCATCACACAGACTCCACAGCTTCTTGGTCAAGCTGAGCGATGCCTCACGCGAACACGGCGGCATAGCCACAGGCTGAGCGTTCGCGCCTTCGCGTTTCTTTTGTGCCATGGCCAGAACAGAGCGTGTACGCTCATCCATGAAGCTCTGGCACAGTTCTGCCACGTTCTCCACGAGCTCGGTTACGAGCTTGTGCACCGCACGCGCGAATCGGGTGCCGACAGACGCCGACAACACCTTGGGGCCGCGCGCGTTCTCGCCAAACATAACTTGGGCACCCATGTCCTTGGCCAGCTGAATAGTGGCATCGTGAGCCGCCGCGTCGCTTAGACTGTACACGGCCTGGTGCTTGGTGGCGAGATTGGCTAGGAATGCTAGCTTCGGTACGACATCGCTTGCAAGCGACTGAAGCAGCTGTGTTGCCGACTTGATACTAGCGTCATCTACACCATCGAGTGGTCCAGCATCCGGCCGCGCTTGAGCCGACGGACGCATGGCGAGCGAGAGCGCGGTAACCTCTTTGCGGATCTGTTGAATGAGTTGCGATAGATCACTGAAAATTTGCTTGGCGAGGGCCTGTCCATCCTGCTGAGCTAGCTGTGCATCCACCACATGGTCGGGTACAGCCCCAGAACTCATCGACTGCAGCGACGTAGCGCAGATTACGCACAGACGCAGCAGCGTCGACGGCAGCTCCTGCCGAGCCGACATGGTGGGTCGGAGCTGACTAAGCTACGCGTTGCTTTTAGACCATGCGTGCTGTGCTGCAGCGTGTGAAGCAGGCATCGGTGCACGGTGCGTGTGGGAGCGCTGACTTTAGTGGATGGAAAGCTCGTGTCTAGCATCGGCCCAGGGATTTTGGCTCTCGTGGGTATCACGCATGAAGATGCCCCCGAGCAGGTCGACACGATCGTGAAGCGTATACTCACCACGAAACTGTGGCCAGAAGGTGCTACGATCGGGGGGGATTGCGTCATTGCTCCTCAGGAGTCACGCTCTTGGCGCACTAGTGTCACAGAGCTGGGTGCCGAAATTCTTTGTGGTATGTTTGCGTCAATCACATCAGTATCACAATTCACACTATACGCCAAGATGAAAGGGACCAAACCCGATTTTCATTTGGCGATGGGCGGCGACAAGGCACAGTCTTGCTATAATGATTTTTTGGCCAAGCTGCGCGATGTATATGTGGCCGATAAGATTAAGGGTACGCTGTGGAAGCTCATGATGTCAGATGGACAGTTCGGCGCTATGATGGATGTCTCTCTCGTGAATGACGGTGCGTAGAATACAGGCTAATAAAAGGTCCCGTTACTATAAGTGCGCTTTCTTCCTAACACGCAGTTATCGATACATCAGAGAAAAAATAAATTTCTGTTGTCATAGACCGTACAGGCCGTGTGTCTGAATTAATACCGTCATACACACATGCATCTGAAAGGGCACCGTCGGCGCTGGGTTCAGAACCGTGCCCGGTGGCAGCGTTCCCGGGTCTGGCATGCTCGTGACATGAAGAGAACTGTTTTAGTGTACTCTGCGTACCGTTGTGTTCGCACGTCATCGTAGGTAAGGAGAAAGCGCCATGCACTGCGCCCAAGCACGCTTGGGCCCCACTCGGCCGTCGTTCGAGAGCTCATGAGCGATGGAACGAGACGCTGCTCACTGCTAGCCTCCGGACCCCCTAGTCCACCAAATGCAGTAGACATTTGCATCGTGACGATGATCGTTAGCCGCTCCTGTTCAGGAAGCTGGCTGTCCCGCAGTGTGGTCAATGACCGAACCATGTACTCAATGATTTCAGTGCGTGCCTGTCGCTGCTTTCTCGTAGCTTGAGGTGGAAGCGAATAAGGGTACGTAAAAAAAGACAGAGAGTCCACAATAAGCAGTGATGTTCGTGGCGGCAAGCCAGGTATTTTAAGGACGGAGCTCGCTGCGGTGCCCAGGTATCCAACCAGCTCCCCAAGAGAAGTCGGGCGGACGATGTGAATTCCTCGCAACACGGACTCCTGCAAAGCGGGAATCGCAGCCGCCGCTGAAAATTCCGACTTGGCAGACTCGAGGCCAGCGGTTGTGGCAAGCGTATACAGCTCGTCAAGGTCCTCGGACGTCATCGCATGTTGAGACATTTGCGCTAGGATGCTGGACTGCATGCTGCCTTCCGTGTCAACGAGTACAACATGCGCGCACCATGGCTCAATTTCCTCCTGTAAGAGACTGCAAAAGGTCCCAAGCATGTCCTCCCATCGCTCCGTCTCGACCGCAGGTCCCACCTCTGCCATGTATTCGTGAATAGTATGAAATATATGGCTCCGACGCTCTGCAATTGCCATCTGCATGCACCACCTTGTCTTTCCTGAGCCAGGCGGCCCAACAATTTCAATACCGGAGCCCACAGGAAAACCCCTCTGGGGCTCACGCTGTTCATGCCGTGCGTCGGGTCTTGCGAAAGCCCCACCTGAATGCCATTGGCCCACGTACTGGTCCAGCGCATCAAGGCCACACAGATGCCTGAGTGGCTTCCTGACGATCGGCTCTACCTCTGCGTCCTTAGGGGCGACTTCAAGGGCCACATCACCGTCGTCGGCCTCCCATGCTACGGCGACAGGCTCAGGGGACGGTGGCTCGTCTAGATCCCATGCTGGCGCAGGAAGCTGTGACAATGGTGTCAGGAACCTTTCCTCAGCCCGAGGCGTGCTTGAAAATAATTCCGCCGCGCGGAGTGGTGCCCATTCGGCTCGCTCACCCACGCGCGGCGTTCCGCGGTGCATCACGGCCAGTGAGAGGTACACCTCCACATTCACATATAAGGGGCGCCACGTGCGGGCCGTGCGCGGTTGAGTAGGACGGACCACGGTCCGTCGCCGGCAACCATGTCGTTGGATTTGCAGGAGGTTCTGGATTTTGCTATTGAGCTCTCGAAGCAGGCTGGTGAGGCCATTCTTAGAGGCTCCGAAAAACGCTTCGAGAATGCAGCTGGCTTCGATGAAAAGAAGAATACGGCAGATTTGGTCACTGAGACGGACCAAAGCACTGAGAAGCTCGTTTGCAGCGCTATTCAGGCCAAGTACCCAGATCACAAATTCATCGGCGAAGAGAGCTGGGCGGCTGGGGAGCAACCGGAAGTCACAGATGCGCCTACGTGGATCATCGACCCCATTGATGGCACGACCAACTTTGTTAAGGGGTTTCCCTTTGTATGCATTTCAATCGGATTCGTCTACAGGAGTGAACCGACGATTGGTGTTATTTATGCGCCATTCCTCGGACACCTGTACGCGGGTCGAAAGGGTCACGGCGCCTTTGTTACGACGCCTCTGAATCCAGAGCGCCGTGCTCTTCCTCTTGTACAGCCTCAGCCACTGTCGTCGTTTAAACAGGCTCTCATTGCCTTTGAGTGGGGCTCTGACCGCTCGGTTGAGGTCATGCAGAAAAAGTCGCGCTCCTACCAACGCCTTGTAGGAGACCGTGAAGGTGGCGTAGAGAACGGACAGATGGCACTCGGCGTGCGATCGATGGGCTCGGCTGCCCTTAATTTTGCCCATGTGGCCATGGGCTGTCTCGATGCCTACTGGGAAATTGGATGCTGGGCATGGGATGTGTGTGCCGGTATTGTGATCGCTCGCGAAGCGTACGTATACATGTCTCACAGCGACAGAGGATGTGCAGTCGTGGGATCCAAGGCACACGCCCACAAGGCTGTGACCGAGGGTCTATTCCCGCCGCCTACAACGCCGGACGTTCTCACGGGTCGCAAGTACTTGGTCGTTCGCGCTATTGGCGACTCGAGTGCTGAATCTGGTGAGACATCACAAAAGCGTCTCATCCAAACTTACTATGAGGCTATCGAGGAATGGGACCCATAGATGCTAGTTAGCGATGACGGACGCCGACCAACGGGACACCTTTGAGGCCGTCGCAAACAATGTCCAATGCTTTACTGTCTGAAGTAAGCGTGTTGATCAAATGCACCAATCCCTGCTGCAACGAGCTGAGGATGCGTGCAATTTCATCAAACGATGATTCGTCGACAACAACCCATTCTGTGCCACCCCCCGGATTTTGAGCCTGCATTGCCTCTCTCCGAGCACGCACCACACCCAGCTGTGCCCAAAGACTGTTCAGCTGTGCCCGTAAATGCGCATGTTCTGCCGCAGGATCCGCATAGTCACCCATAGCACCATTTAGCTGGGCTTCGCAGTTCTCCAGCAACCCCTTGACCATATCCTCTGTGGCTGTGAGGCTCTGCCCACGCAGAGCTGGAATTAGAAGAGAGCTATCCTTCACCAGAGAGAGTAGTCGCTGGTGAATACGCATTTGTGTCATCATTGCAGTCTGTGCACGGACTGCGTTTGAAAGATCATGCTTCTGCTGCAAAGTGGCAAGCTGCTTCGTTAGTTCCGCGACCTTATTGCGCTGTCGCGTCGCTTCGGCCATCTGAGCATTTGCACGAGTCTGCAAGTCACCAAAGCCGACCGCCAGAACGGGGTATAGTCGATCAGGCTCAGGGTTCTCCTGTAACGCTTTCGCCCAAAGAGCATCATGCATGGGCCCCACTGCATCCGGGCGTCGAACGCATAGTTGCTGCTGGCTAGCGGCATCAGGTGCGCGGTTATACAGATAGTACTGGAACTGGCATGTACCAAGGTTGGACGTATCCCAACTCATAGCAATGCGCTCCAGCTGCGCATTTAGCGGCGCGCCAAGTTTCTTGTCTTGTACAGGCGGAGCCGCTGTATTTGGTAGGGTTGACTGAGTCGGATTCAGCACATTCGTAGACGTTCCCAGTGGGTTCGTGGCAGTTGATCCAGCCAAAGCCGGCTTTGCGCCAAATAGACCACCTGTCGAAGCCTGTGTCTGTGATGCACCAAAAAGACCACCAGGTTGCGCAGTGTTTGTCTGTGCATTTCCGAACAATCCACCACCCTGTTTTTGGCTAGGCGCTGAGCCAAACGAGCCGCCTAAAGTCCCTTGTGTCTGAGACGAGCCAAAAAAGCCACCTGTAGGTCCGGAGGACTGGCTCGCTTGATTGTTTCCAAATAGATTCGTGGCACCTTGATTCTGTCCAAAGGATGCGGCACCACTTAAGGGAGCACTAGTACTCTGGCCTGAGGCAGTAGCCTGTCCAAATAAGCCACTACTTTGACCCTGGTTAGACGAATTGGAGAAGGATCCCCCCGTCGTACTGTTGGGCGCTGTGCCAAACATATTTCCAGAAGCATTACTAGTGCCAGCTCCAAAAAGACCACTTGACGGCATAGCTGCCGGTTTATTCTGGGTATTGGCCTGGTTGCCAAAGAGACTTGTGCCTGCTGGCTGCTGCTGTGTAGTCTGGGTACCTGCAGAAGAGGCACCAAAGAGAGAGGATCCCTGTTGCACCGGCTGCGATGATGGGGCCGAACCAAACAAACTCCCTGAGCTTGCGCCAAACATATGGTCAGCTCCCGCGGACGCGTAGGGTGTCAAAACGGGAAGTTCATCTTGTCTCAACATTGTACCACCCTCGTAGCTATGATGACTAAAGACTAACAGTCCGGCACTGCGACAGGGATCTTGACTGTGGTGGCCAGGCCACTCAAGGAAGTCTCCTTGTATTTAGTATGCATATCACGAGCAGTCAGGCGCGCTGCATGAATGGCTTCGTCTAATGTGACAGAATGTACTCCATCAGACGAAAGGGCGAGGTTTGCACTAACAACGGCCTTCACAGATCCCACCGCGTTCCGCTCAATGCACGGGGCTTGCACAAGTCCATCCACTGGATCACACGTTAGGCCTAGATTATGCTCGATGGCCGTCTCAGCAGCCTGCTCAATTACTTCAGGACTGCCACCCATGCAGGCCGCAAAAGCACCCGCTGCCATCGAGCAGCTGGTCCCCACCTCCGCCATGCAGCCACCCTCCGCAGCACTGATGGTAGCCCCTCGCTTGAAGAGCATACCAATTGCAGCAGCTGTTAAAAGGAATGTTTTAATGAGATTCTCTTCATCCTCCGGTGTAAGCGCAACAAACTCCACCACGTAGCGAAGCACGGCTGGAATAATGCCAGCGGCACCCAACGTGGGAGCTATGACGATTCGCCCACCTGCGGCCACTTGCTCGTTGGTAGCAATAGCCCAACAAGAAAGCCAGTCCATTGCTGGAAAGTTGGTCCGACGCGGGGGCACAGGCAAAATCTCGTGGTGGAAGGAGCCGCGAATGCGAGGAACCCGCTTAGTAGCCCGGGATGCCACAGCCGGCACCTCTGCACCTGGTGGAACGCGCTTGCTCTTGGTATCCACAGTAGCCTCTGAGGTCGTAGGGCCGCTCATATTTCCTAGGCGACGGGGACCCATGTACAATCCGCGCATTAAACGCGCATAAAGCTTGGGAGCTCGTCTCTTCATGCGCAAAGAGCCGGGCAAAACCTCCTGTTCGCTCATAACACCCGCGCGAATGCCTTCATCCATCACCTGCCAAATGTTCATAATTTTATCATGAATTTCCTCAGGGGTATACCAAGTGAGTTCATTCTCGTAAACGATTTGAGCAATAGTTAAATTGTGCTTCCGCGAAATTGAAAGTAGTTGTGACATATTACGGAAGGGGAATGGAGGCTGCTTAGACTCCTCCTTAGCTAGAGGCTCAGGTTGGCCATTCTGGGAAAGAAGCGGTACAGTTGAGTGGGCATCTTGCAAAGACGCACCGTCTCGACGCTCACCCTCTGCATCATTACGGCGAATAGACTTGTAAAAGACATTCTCTAAAACGTCGATGGGGTGGTGATCTGTCACTTCAGGAGATAGTGTAATCGGTCGCTCCAACTCCGAGTCAGTCGATGAGTGAATTGGGGTAGGTTTGGGCTGCAAACCAGCGGTCGTGGCGACAGCCATTGTCCCATTCAACACAAAGCCACCACCGATACTGTAAAATTCGTTTGTTGCCAAAAGGTCGCCGTCCTCGTTAAATACGCTGAAACGCATGCCATTCGAATGCATTGGCAGCACTTGACCCCATTTCCACTAGACGGTTAGTACAGTAGGCGTACCTCCAAGTCTTTATCAAAGTCAAAGTAAATCTCTTTTGAAGGACCCTGCTCTGTAGAATCCTTGCCCAATGTGAGTCTCTTCGTTTTGATTATCTCTTCGTATCTAACAGGGACACTCTCTGTATCCACTGTTTCACAATCTGCTCCTTCCAGCCCCAAAAGCAATGCCTGAGGCGTCATGTGGCCTTTGCCTGTCGCAGCAAGACTTCCATACAGCGCCAACTTGATCTTATTAACCGAATTGAGGAGCCCTGCCTCTCGGAGATCTTGGACAAAAATAGCGCCTGCACGCATTGGACCGACTGTATGTGACGATGATGGCCCAATGCCAATAGAAAATAAGTCAAACATAGAAATCACGGCATGTTCCGTAGTGTTAGTATTCGACTCATCAATGGGAGACTCGTTATCTTTTGAATGTTTTCCGTCAAAATGAGCATGAGAGAATGAACGCGGGCCGGTGCCATGCCTAGCAACTGCAGCTGATTGTATGGCTCGAACAGTGGTAGCTCTGCCATGGCAAAATCGCAGTTGTGCCGCTACCTCTTGTAAACACGTACTCAGCGCCGCTGCCCGACGTAGCATAAATCTAAGATACGCCTCGCTGCCATAATTATAGACTTGGAGATGACTAAATCCTACCAATGTACGCCAACTACTCGTTGGATTCGAGGTGTCGCAGGACACTTTCAAACACATTCAGCGCGTCTCGCTGCATATGAGCGAGAGTTTGTGTCGTACTGCGAGGGAGAGAGGACGAAGCAACACCCAAATTTGCACGGCTACGCGACAAGCCTGTGCCTGTAGCATGTGTACGTGATACTCGAGGCGGCAACGCGTGAGGAAGATGGAACCGAGGTCCTTGAGACGTGTTTCGACGCCAGAGACGAGGTCCCAGGGGAGATACGACACGGTGCGAAGATCGTGATCGACGCTTGGTTGCGGTATCATCGATAGTCATTTTTGCAAGAGCAGATTCAGGAGGGCCATTGTCAGGCTGTAAATCAGACTCTCTAGTCTCCAGTGTTGGCATGGACTGAATCATAGACGGTGGAACATTTTCTGCCGAATCTTCCGATGCACCATCATCGCATTCTGGAACTGCTTGTGCATCATCGAGGTCCACAAAAGATCGGTTCATCCACTGGAATATATCATTCAACAAAGATCCGTAACGAACCACTAGTGACTGAGCTGCTGCTTCACCTGAGGCAAAGCCGGGAAGCGCCGATTCATACTCCGACCAGGAATAATTAAACAATTCTGGTGGTGTAGGTAGCTTATCGTTCAGCTGAAGTCCGGGTGCATAAGACAAATCCTTGGAGGGCCAGCCAGGAGGAATTCGGCAGTAAGCAATCTGAATTAGCAGTAACGATGGAATTACTCGGAAGGCTTGGATAGCTGTCGGAGAAAAAGGTTTTTCATCGCCTTCAGTTTCTGCCAAAACACCAGTGCCTAGGTACTGCAGTGCATCTGGGTACTGCAACAGAGTTCTCAAGACAATGATCGTACTTTCAAGCGCTGTAAATGCCTCCCTTAACGCCTCCTGCGCCAAATCCTCGTCGCCATTTTCCGCTCCATTTGACGTCTGCTCGCTTGATGCATTCAGGAAGCCGGAACAAAATTGCCGCATAAGTCGTTCGAATACCTGCAAATCATGTAGCTGTTCAGCAACAATCAGAGGACTGATGACGTAGCAGTCCTCTTGACCCATTGGCAACATGGCCTGACCGCGCCAAGCGTCCAAGTCACCTGCCAGCTCAACTGGCGTTTGAATACCCGTCGAGTTCTCAGCTAGCATGCGAGTATGGCGGTTGACGTTGGTTCGACTGACCGACCGGAGGGCATGTGCTAGCTGAGTCGGTGTTGGCACTCGGCGGGAATTAGGATCGTTGACCAACAGTGAATTAAGAATCGAACTAGAAGGAGCACTTCCAGATGTGCGACCAAATGTGTGTATAAATTCAGCATTAACCACAGAAGCTGGGGCAAAAACACTCCTTGAGGTAATTGATACGAGTCCTTTCCAAATTGCATGAATGGCAACAGAGATAAACCACGCTTGTCCATCCTGACCACAGCGATCCACAATGCGCAGCATGAGAAGGCGGTATACCACATCTAGACGCTCTTCCAAGTCTTTGTACCATGGCCCCTTTAGTGCGTGACCATCTCCATCAAGTTCGCGCACAGGTGGAGAGTGACGAGGTTGGAATGGATGAAGGTTAGCCCGTAAGATGCACGAAGTCAGCGATGATTTGATATTCACAAGTAGGGGTTGCACGACGTGGATGATACTTGCTTCCATTTTTTCCCTCAATGGAGAAAGAATGTCGTGTACGAAAGGTGGCATAGGGTGTTTTGCGAGACCCTCCGCAGAAGTTGGAACCAGCAGGTTGGGTGAATGCAATAGAGCCAAAGGAGGGAGTCCTTCCAAACAACGCTCCAAACTCTCTTCAACAATCCACTCCAGGCTAATAAGTGCCAAGTTGAATTCCATTGCCGCGGGAATATTTTGGAGGCCGCGCACTGAGAGAGGAATTTGAATGGAACTAGGATCGTTTCTCCAAGAAACAAGCTGCGACTCGATACGTGACACGAAGTGTGATACAGCCTTCAAAACTGTGCGTGAGACTGCGCGAAGAAGATACGGGTCGACGCTCTCCGCATTGTGAAGCTCGTCCACCACAGTTCGCGTCATTTCGATCACGCACATGCGGTTTGGTAGGTGGCTGGAGCCATACATGATATTTTGAATGCGAGGCACGGAAATAGACTGGCCGGTGAAGGGCGATGTACCCGTGTGAGTCATAGTTGACACATTATGATCCTTAGCAGTTACAAAAGCGCGGTTTACAAGCTCATTCAGTCGCATAGAGAATTGTGACAGACGGGATGGATCGACGTCAGGAGTGGGTGCAGGCATAACAAGCTGTTTGGAAGCTGTTGGTGATGGGGTCACGGGTTGTGCTGGGATAATTTTTGACAACCCAGCAAGAGATAAGACACCTGGTCGGATTCCAAAACGCTTCGACGTCTCGGACGTCTCATTTTCCGGCTGTGAAGATGGCTGGGAAGGTTGTGCGTTTGAATTAAAGATGGCCATATTTGCGAAGCCTAAAATAGTGGTGAATAGTCGATATTAGTCCGGCTCTGAACCAAGGTGTGAGACAAGAAGTTCGTTCAAAATTGAGAAGCGTCGAACAATGGTGGCTGAATCACTATTCTGAGATAGAAGGAAGTTGAAAAGACCAACCATAGAGGTCGAGAGATTCGACCGCACAAGCGTGAGCGTTGGTGGCTTGCAGGGCCAAGGTGGGAAATATATTCCGGCACACTACCGAATATTATGTAACAACTAGTGGTCCAACCGGGTTCAAGACTATAAGGTTATGCACGGACATGCTTTGCGACTTGCTCCTCACACCACTTGGCAACTAGAGTCAGTTTAGACCACGTACAGGCGTCTTGAACAGATAAATCATTGGCAATAGAAAGCGGCTCGCATTCACGAGCCCAAGGAACAAAGTATGCTCCGCCCTTGGTAGCTGCCTCAGGTGCCGTGTTCAGATACAGCTGCGTAATACAACCCATTTCTGGTGGATACAATAAAACCCTGTGTAGAATTGGCATAATGGCTTTGAAAATGCCAGAGGTCCATTCCCGCGTAAGTTCAGTACGAAGTGCACCAGGGTGGCATGAAAAACTTGTGTCAGGCTTCGTGCGACATACAAAATAATGCCCTTGTCTGCAAAATGGCGCTGGTACCACTTGGCACCTGGAATAAGCTTCTTCTACGCACTCAAAATGTTGCAAAACTTGTGTCAGTGATAGTGCGTACCTTGCTTGTTCCGTAAGCGCGCGTGGCCGGTGGCATATAGAAAGGCAGATCCTTTAGGCCCGTGTAATCGGCAGGATCAAAACCATTGCTAGAAGCTTGACGGTGCACCAAGCTGGAGGTGAAACAGACACGAGGAAGGCGATCAGGTGTCGCACGGGCGGATGCCTGCAAGGCTGGCAAGAGAAGTTCGGTCAAATAGTGATGCCCTAGGCTGTTAGTACCAACGTGCAGCTCGTAACCATCCTGTGTTTCAGCACCGACAGTAGGATTCATTACACCAGCATTGTTGAACAACATATCCAGTGTCTTCTCTTTAGAGAGATAATTGTCGGCAAATGATTTAATAGCCTTCAGACTCGCCAAGTCGAGTGGAAGAAACTCCACTGTTCCGGGGAGGTTCATTTTCTTAAGTTCGTCAATTGCAGATTTGGCGCGGTCGGAATTTCTTGTACATAGATATACTTTGGCATTCTTACCCAATAAGTGTTTCACAGTTTCAAAACCAATACCGGAATTACCACCAGTAACGATGGCAATCTGAATAAATTCATTCAACTTACCCTACCACTCTGATCAGGAATATTCTCCACGGTCCACTGAGGTGCAGGACTATTATAAGAACGACTTAACGCACGGATACACAGCACTAATTACCCCGGACATGTTGGCTCTTGACAGATTGTGGAGGGACGGGCCGAGTTGCAAGGACAACGCACGTGCAAATAAGGGAGCTACAAGATAACAACAGACTCGGTGCAGCCTCACGCTCTTCAACGTTCACACACGTAATGCGATGAGCTCGTCGAAAAACTGTGCCACTATACGTTAGCATTTTAGTACATACTAGTATCTTGAACTGAGTTATCATAGACGATTGGTTCAGGCTCTCCTAGACGCGCCCATGGGACGTAGTAACCACCTCCGTCCTTTCCTGTTTCTGGGGCCGTGGCTGCATAAAGATGTGTTAAGGCACCTCTGCTGGCATCTTGAAGAAGATGTGATCCAATAATCTGACCAACAAATACAGTAGAGACCCTTGTGATGCTGCGAGCAATGTCGGTTTTCACAAGGCCGGGATTCACTGCGGAGAAAATTACATCCTTGCCATACAAACGATCAAACTTGAGCATTGTTAAAATGGTCATCATTTTACTGTTCGAATAAGCCTGAATGAAGCTGGGGAAGATACTCTTACTCTTTTCACCAGAGGGGTTACGTGGATCAAATCCCTTTTTGGTAGCGTAATGGTGACTTAGGCTACTCGAGAAACAGACACGAGGAAGATGTCCAGGGTTTTGTCTTTTCGAGGCAAGAATTGTTGGTAAAAGAAGTTTTGTCAGATAATATGGCCCCAGCGCATTCACACCGAGATGGATCTCATAGCCATCTTTTGACGTGCCACCAGCAGCTTCCAGAATGCCAGCATTATTGAAAAGTAAATCTAAACGCTGCTCTTTACTTTGGAATTCGCGTGCAAACTCCCGAATGCTACGCAGACTTCCGAGATCCAAATGAAGAAATTCATATTCGCCACCATGCACCTCAGGATCGCATTGAATCTTATAAAATGCCGTTCGGGCCCGAGCTTCATTTCTCGAAGCAATATAAACTTTAGCGCCTTTAATTAGAAGCGCTCTGAAAATCTCGAATCCAACACCCGAATTGCCTCCTGTAACAAGGGCCACCTAAATGAGCACATTTCTCGTACCTTTCCAGTGAGCTCGGGCATATTTTCGATCCCCCATTCAGGTTCCGGACTGATAAATTAAATCAATATACATACGGGAAGCATTGAGACCAGATGGATGGGTTTACCATGTTGGATGGCTAGGATTTGAACGAAGTAGTTCGAAGGTGGTCAACACGCAACTTTGACTCCACATTACATGACCCATGTCAACTGAGCAGGCTGTAAGTGTGAAGAACCTGCGTACCCTGTTCGAAAATGCTTCTACACAAGCCCCTCAAAGAGACATCGTAGAAGGAGATCTTACGCACAGAAAGAAGGTCAGTGGTGATAACACGGTGTCAACCGCAGTCGAACCTGGTTCTTCAGCTGATCCGACAATAGGGAGTGATGTACATACGGATAACTCAAGGTATTTCAAACCACAATCCAATCTAAGCTTAACAAATACCGAGGTTCAATTTACAACAAATATTCATGATGCCCATTCCTTATCTGAACTGGACCGTAATGGTGAAATACCTGCGAATTTTACGGAAAGTCCTGTCAAGCCCGTAGACCCTCTAACGGAAGCAAGCACAACCCATACAATGATTCCTATGAATGATTTAATACTAAATTCTGATTCAGTCCGTGGCCATGAAGGTTCAAAAGAATGTTCAGAAACTATGCCCCTCTCGGATATCCCAAAATTTAGTACGCCCAAGCCTGAAACCATGGAGTCAAAAAGTATGTCACAGATGCGCCCATCCCGACCTCCGCGCCCTAATTTAAGTACAAAGCCACAGTCTGTTGATGAATTTCCCACTCAGAGCCCGAGTAAGCCTGTTCAAATGACGAATACACCTAGTCTGCCCAAAAGACCTATTATAAAGAAACTTGAAGCACCCGATCCTGGGGCAGATGTGCCTGAAAACTCTCCTGCGATCGATTGCCGAAAGAAAGCCACGACCATACGTCGCTCTGCACCTCTTCCTCCTGCTCGAAGTGCTAAAAACTCAGCGCCTGTACTACTAGAGAAGGTGCCACAGCCTGGACTACAGCATGCACCGGAATCTACTAAATACGAATCGCTTTTTCAAAAATTATGTATCCACCGAACTCCAGACCCCGTTGTTCGAGCTGGTGCTGTGAAACTGGTTTGGAATCGCAGTGGCCTCCCAGCCAAGGATTTGTCTTACATATGGCGCACAGTGACTGACAATGACTCTACGTGCTCATCTCTTACAATTGATCAGTTCATCACTGGAACTCGCATGATTGATAAAAAACTTGAGCGAGTTCCCGCTATCCATTACTCTTAGACTGCTGTCACGACTACGGCCCTGCCGCTTGCGGGGCAGGGCCTTCCTCCACATGAGCGTAGCTGGCCATCTGGTAGCTCTGTAACCGTCGTGGTCTAGATCGGCCGAATAACGGGGCGCACAACCAACGCGACGCGACGATCCATCCTAAGGCAGCGGCGGCTACCGCGCTTATCATGGTTCGCAGTGTCACTTTTGAAATTCGGTGGCATGATACACTTCCCATATATTCCTGTGACTTCCAACCTATCACCTCTTCGAGACTTACGAATGTCTTGGATCATAATTTAGGACAAGGTAAGTGTCAAGTGCAATATCCTAACGCTTCAGCGTCCGGACTTCCTCCCGGACAGAGTCTCTCCGGGCATAGTGAAGCAAGTAAACATAATGAACAACAAGCCCCCGTGCTGGCTGGTGGGCAGAGTTGGCGTCTAGCAACAGCTGGTGGTGACAACAATGTGCGCATGTGGATGATTCACCCTAATATTCCTTCTCCTGCCGCGCTGGCCGCTTCTTCAAGTGCGTCGCCTCATCCTCCCCGTGCTGAATATATGTCAACACTAAGCCGACACACAGGAGTCGTCAATGTCGTGCGGTTCTCGCCGTCTGGTGAGGTCCTGGCGTCGGCTGGAGACGATGGTGCTGTTTTGTTTTGGGTGCGCAGTAACCAAACACAGCAGCCTTTCGGGGAAAGTCGTCTGAGTTCAGCTGAGCCGGACTCTCAATACGACAAAGAGTCGTGGCGCGTGCGATTAATGACGCGCGCCACGACACAGGAGCTTTATGATATGGCATGGAGTCCTGATGGTAATATGCTAGCTGTGGGCGGTACCGACTTTGCAGTGCGTATAATCCAGACGTCTACAGGAGCTGTACTACGAGAAGTATCGGACCATTCACATTATATCCAAGGAGTTGCCTGGGACCCATTGAATCTTTTTCTTGCTACGCAAAGCAGTGATCGCTCAGTGCATATCAGTCGTTTAAGCCGGAATGCTAGCAATGATAAAGTGGACCTTATGCTTACTAGCAAGCATCAGCGCACGGACATGAGAATCAGTCAAGTGACGAAGCCGTCGAGCGGCACTTCTGCTCAGGACGATGCAGCGTCCTCAGAGTTGAAGTGCTCGAATCTACCCACCATATCACCGGCATTACAAAATCAGGAGGAAACTCAAAAATCAGAGTCTGGAGAGTACATGCACAGAATGTATGGTGATGATCGATGCAGCAGCTTCTTCCGTCGCTTGGCATTCTCACCTGATGGGGCTCTGCTTGTCACACCTACGGGGCAGCATATAACTTCCTCTCCGCTCTCCAATGACATTAATAAATCATCTAACGTCTCTACAGGCTCTGTTTACTTGTATGGGCGTGCTAGCTTTGGACGTTCTCATGCACCTATCGCCGTACTTCCTGGGCATAAATCTGTAACATTGATTGTCCGTTTTTCCCCGATTTTGTACCACCTACGAGAAACGCCAGTGGGTGCTGGCAAGGCAAGCATCTTTGATCTCCCCTATCGCATGGTATATGCTGTTGCCACACAAGATTCTGTGTGGGTTTATGATACCCAACAGGCTGGCCCTATATGCTGTTTTAGCAACCTGCACTATGCTTCCTTTACGGACTTGGCCTGGTCGCCAGATGGTCAGCTTTTAATGATGTCATCTTCTGATGGATATTGCTCTACGGCCGTGTTTGACTACCATGAGCTGGGTCAACCATACGATTACGATAAGCAGCCATCTCTACGTCGGATCATTCAGCCCGTTGAGCCTTTGATGCCCATACCGGTCCAGGAAAAGGAGACGCTACCATCTAAAGGGGATATACAATCTCATGCTTCCTTTTCGACCCCATCTCGACCTGTACCAGAAACGAGCCCTGCGGCGAAAGACAGCGAGCCGAAAAAGAAGCGCCGCGTCGCACTGAAATTCGAAGGACCGATCCCGCCGTCTTAAATTAGCCACGTGTAGCAATACATTGGTCACCTCCACGGTGGGGTACACACGACTTAATCTCACAATGAGTGATAGAGCAACTTGTGCGTAGTCAATGCTCTAACCTTAGTGCTGGATATGGGATTCCAAGTGGATCGTGTTGACTGGGCACTACAGGAAACATCAGGTGGACTTCAACAAGCTTTGGATCACTTGGAGGCTCATCAGGATGAGCCTATGCCTGCAGATTGGAAAAAGACGCCCTCGTCTGAGCCAGCAGCACAGGTGGACACCGTCGCGAAATCAATTCAATGCAATACTTGTGGTAAGGTGTTTCGTGACATGGACATCGCAATGTATCACGCGGACAAATCAGGACATGAAGATTTCAGTGAGAGCACGGAGGAAATCAAGCCATTAACCGAAGAGGAAAAGAAGGCCAAACTTGATGAGCTCCGAGCCAAGGCTGCGCAGAAGCGTGCTGCTCAAGAAGAACAGTACGCTAAAGAGCGCCGCGCTAATGAAATTATTCGACGTAAGGCTGGGCAAGAAGCCAAACAAGTTCGTGAAGAGCTTGAGCGCAAGGAGTTCATTAAGGAGGCAGAGAAAAAGAGGCGTGAACGCCAGGAAGATATTGCAGCCAAAGAGCGAGTACGACAGCAGATCGAAGAGGATAAGCGCCGCCGTGCTGAAAAGGCCGCCATGGAGAAGGCCAAGCGGGAAGGGCGCGCTGAGCCCAGTGAGCCTGCGACGAACCCCCCTCAAAATTTGTCTTCTAAGACCAGTTCCGCTACAGAAACGCGCTTGCGCGTGCGTTCTCCAAGCGGTGTGTGGATTGGAACAATGAGTGTCGATGCCACCTTAGGTGATGTGGAAACGGCCATGATGCGAGACGGTAAAGTAACGGGTGCAGCACCTTTAACAGTATGTCTTACTATACACTGATGCAGTTCTCTACGACTTTCCCCCGTAAAACTTACACAGTCGCGGAATGTTCAAAGACATTGAAAGAATTAGGTTTGGTCCCTAGTGCAGCTCTTGAGGCATCATGATTGTAGAAGTAACCATAGGAGCAAAGGGGCAAATCCAATAAGTGACACCTGGTGAGCTACACGTCGGAGAGAACCCACCACGTTACTTCCACGTACACAAAGGCGCCATACGCGGGGACGAGGGTGTGTGGAAGAAAAGTGACTGGGCAGAAGAGAGCCAAGCGGTTGGTATTGCCCGTTCTTGATAAACAAAAAGGCTACCGAGAGAACAAAGAGAGGCAAATATATGCCAGTCCATAAAAATATTTGGTTTGGGAGTAAACATGGCCTGTAGTCAATACCATGATCGATTGACGATAGTTGCAGCCACACATATCCTGGACGACGAACGCCCTCGGTCATGGACATGGACTTGACCGTGACCTCGGGTACATCAGCTGGATCGAAGCCATACACATTGTAGATTTGGTTTTGACGAAATTTTCGGTGTATTACTTCACAGTGATCATGGTCGTCACCAGAAAACACCACCGCTGGCTGGATGCTTCTTAGGACATAGTTTGACACATCCTCTCTCACTAGGTTTTGATATGTATGAGCTGCATCACCACCCTGAAAAATTTCACCGCCAGGGATGAGAGATCGATGTGACTCTCGAAAGACTCCATGAGAGGCCGATCGCCATGGTATGTCACACGACCGTTCCAAGTCTCTGCGTGAAAGTGGAATGTGAGTGAAAAGAATGCGAGGAACTGCGTCAGTCAAGGTAACACACCATCAGGATTAGCATGGTCACCAAGCCAATCAATCATTTTGGATGTCGAAGCAGCACGGGACTTGGCTTCGTCCAAGGCTTCTTCGGTCCTCAAAGGTGCGGCATCGATATTTTCCATACCAACAAGGGCCGGTCCATTCACGAGAACAAGCTCATGTGTTACATTCCCTGAATCACCAATAGATAAGGGAATGCGCGCATCCCAAGACAGTGCTCCGTGCTCGTCGGTGAGTTGGAACTGATCGTCGACATGAGGTGCGTATCGTTGCTGAAACCACTCAGCAGCCATTTTATTTTCCAACATGGGTGCACCTGTATTTGAAAGAGGCAATCCAATATCGTGATTCCCAGGAAGGACCAAAGCAGGATATGGGTCTTCAGGGGCTCGCCGAGTGATGGGCTGATTAGCGCTACGCAGGACGCTGATTCCAGGAAAGAGCATTCTCCAGCTCTCTTGACTCCGGGACCAAAAATCGAAAATTTGATACCAGCGCCCACGATCAGTCATATCACCTAGAAAGACGACAAGGTCCGCAGGCCTGGGCTGGGCCCAAAGCCACGTACCAATGCCCTGCTTAGACAAAGCAAGCCACACTTTCTGCAGATAATTGTTGGAAAAGTGACTGATAACAGCTTGAAATATGGGAGATATAGAACCGTATGTTCCATTTTCAACGATCTGGGGGTCGCTTAGTACAAGGACACGGAAGGTAGACTGTTGTGAGTTGTTCAGACATACCTCAGGGCCTTGAGGAAGGTCACATCGGCTTGCAGCCCAGTAAAATACACCGCGTTCCAATGCAAGTACTACTAGGCACCATGAAATACGTAGCAGCTGAATGTACCATGGTGCAAGCACGGCACCCAGGGCATAGGGTTGCACCCATCGATACCATTGAAGCATCTAACCAAGGAAGTCGCACGTCCGAAACGCTGGACACCTCCACACACGCGAGTAAGCCACTACAAAGCAATTTCTGCCCCAACCATAACATGGTCCGAACTGCATACACCCAGGCGGGGTACTCCGGAATGAAGCACAGATTCTGGGTGAAGCATCAGCAGAGCTGTCACAATGGGAAAATCTGGACCCTCGTTTAATGCAGAAGGAGCCAACAGAATGTAGTCGAGAGTTAATCGGAATAAACTGGAATGCAGCGTCCATTTTGGCTCAAAACTTTCAAGTTGTCGAGGGTCTGTGGGCAAAGGCGATTCCGTTTGATCATAGCGTTCAGGTGCAGTTCCACGATCCTTAAAAAATTCAGCTCCTTGGCCAGCCAGGGATGCGTATGATGATCCATAGGCACTTTGAAAATGGCTCGGCCGGCCAGCAGTAGTAAAGTGACCATAATGAACAAGCTGCGCAGCCGTGAGAAGCTCCTTGTCCAATGCTGGGCGGTAACGACCAAGGATCCGATCTTCATCACCCTGTTCAGAAACAGTCGCAGCATAGTGGAGAGTACGCAGACCGCGCGCTTCATCCACCGACGTGTGAACGACACGAGACGGCTCCAGGTCGGATTCGATTTCACGGATATATCTGTTAGCGTGACCGGTCAACATTGTGTACGTGGAAGAATGAGGCTGGTCGTTTAGGTCGCCTGCGAAAACGATTGGCCACGAGGACCATGGTTGCTCGGTATCTTGACGAAGCTCGTTCAAAACATGTGTGACAATCGCTGCTTGGCGCACGCGCTCGTAGCCATAGCGAGGGTGCCAAAATAGGTGTGTTGTGGCCATTATAATTCCACCTTCTCTTCCAGAAAAGGGAAGAGCCACTATTAATGCAATATTGCGGGTGATACGCGTGAGACTGGGTCCCTGTACTTCGGTGCCCCAAGGAGCCATATCATCCAGGCAAAGAACGCGTTTCAGAATAGGACCTTCAAACGACGGTCTCTCGCTAGTCTTGGTGCGCCAGGCAATCATGAGTCCGTGTTTTTTGTTGGAATAGCCACGCTCGTATTCGTACGCATACCCTAGTTTCTGGACGACCTGGCCAAGTTCGTTAATCGAGTCCACCTCTTGGAAGCAGCCGACGTCAAAGTCGTAGCTGCTCAATTCTGCAATGATCCCGGGAAGTCGTGTTTTATACTTCAGACAGTCACTTCCTGGAAACAATTCACGCCGCACCAGACATTGGGCGAGCATATTCCAAGACACAATTCGTACACGGGTGCCGCTGCTCTCGCTCTTTACGGGCATCCATGACCGTAGATGAATGGCACCTGATTTTTCAAATTGATCCTCATGATCTTGATTTTGCACGGACTGCTTACGGCGGGCACGCTCGGCTCTCTTGCGTGCAACAATTTCGTCCATGAAGCAGCTACACTTGCGACGCTCCACAGATCTTTGCCTCCACTTATCACGGATGGGCAAATCGACCAAGGACCAGCGCGATCACTTTTACCGCCAAGGTAAGCAAGAGGGGTATCGCGCGCGTTCAGCCTTCAAACTTTTGCAGCTTGATGAGCATTATGGTTTGTTTGGGCGAAGTGGTCATGCTTTAGCTTACCGCATTCTGGGGCATGGTGTAAGAGAAGACCCACGACCGGATGCAGAAGCCGTTCTCCGTGCGCAGCTCGGCGATCGCTTGGGTGCGCGTGTGTATTTGGCATTATCTCATGATGTGCATATACCTGGTTATGTCATTGATCTGTGTGCTGCGCCGGGTTCATGGAGTCAAGTGCTAAGTCGCGCGCTCGGGCCGTCAGGCGCGTGCATCGTTTCCGTGGATTTGCAAACAATGGCGCCCCTAGAGGGTGTGACGCAGGTGGTGGGGGATATTACTACCCAGGATACAGCAGATGCCGTGGAAAGTGCCTTCCAGCGTGTACAAGCATCCGAGAAAAAGCGGCTTGCAGACCTAATTGTATGTGATGGCGCCCCGGACGTGACAGGCATCCACCAGGTGGATGAGTTTGTTCACGCGCAGCTCATGGTTGCTGCTATCACCATGGCATTGCGCATGCTTCGCAAGGGTGGAACTTTTGTGGCCAAAGTATTTGCGGAGCCATATACCCCGTCGACCCGCATGCTCCTAGCGCAACTCCGTCGCCTGTTTGCGCACGTAGAATTGGCCAAACCGCCGAGCAGCCGCGCGTCGAGTGCAGAGCACTTTGTCGTGGGTCTCGACTTCCAAGGCTCGGACGCTCCTATGTCGACTATTCAATACAATTTCCTGGGCGACTTGCAAGGGTATAACGCAAGCTAGATACGCGGAAGTAATGTAGCAAATGTCAGATAACTTGTGTGACCACGCATGTGCGGATAAGGGCGGGAATACACATTGGCCTGCTGAACCGGCCGGCGCTCGACCTTTTGGCGGAAGCCACTGCTGTAGAGCATCTCGGCAGGTGGTTCAGATACGGTCGAGCCTGTTGGTGGGAGGCATGTGTCGTCATCGACTGTCGCTTTTCGTTTCGCAGGAACAGACTCAAAAGGGTTGGCATTCGCTTCACCGTCATCCTTATTTGATGCAGCAACAGCATGCTCTTCGGGACGATCATTGGTCGCGCTTGCTGCCCCTTGGGTCTGGGCCTCTTTTTCCGCCTGTCGGCGTTCGCGCTCGAGCTTGGACTGCTGGATCTGCAACTGCCGGCGAAGCTCGCGCTTCGACTCCGTCTGCTGAATACGCTCAACGACTTCTGAAATAGGCTCGAGCGGTGCCACATTTGTAAGTGATTCATGCGTGCGGACCAAACTTTCGTACATAGTGATATCACTAAACCCATGCTCGGAAAGCGCAGCCACCGTGCGGTGTACCTGCTCAATACACGGCGAAAAGCAGCAAATTCGTGTAGCAATGTCGGTGCGAAGGGCCATCTTGGCATGCGGCACAGCTTCCCACGGAGCAGGCAGATCGAGAAAAACGGCATCACATGTAGGGTCGAGGCCGAATCCACTTTTGCACACATTGCGATGGGCGAGAACGACAGCCTTGTCGAGACCATGTTCGGCAAACTCGACACGGGCTTTTTCCACGCGCTCTGCATGGAATTCGAACGAATAGACACGCCCATCAAAGTCAGAGGCCTGCGCCTGGCCGACCATAGGCGTCAAGGCACTGGTACGGGTGGGCCAAGTGCAGTGCGTCTGGCCTGTGCCGCCGCCAGCAGGTGGTCCACGACTGACAGTACGTGCTAGGAAGTGCGTAAAGCTGCCACTGCCTGTTCCGGCCTCAATGACGTGGGCACCCGGCGAGAGGTTGAGCTTCATTACGATAAAGGACATGTCGGGCGCATACAAAATTTGGGTACGATGGGGAAGAGAGATGGTCCACAGTTCCGGGCTGGGCCGCAGCAAATACACAAACCCTTTTTTGTTGGACGAGTGAAGCTGGAATGAGTGTCGGTGGACGCACCTTGCTACCGTACGGACGACCGATCATGTCATCGTGAGGAAACATCCCAAACAAATTGATAAGTTTCTCGCCGCGCTGAACCACAAGAGGGGTTGGTGTGCGATCTCGGGACTAGGTCAGCACAAACTACCTACCGCAAACACAATGATCAAGTCGCCCTCAAGAATCTCGCGCCGAGCCGCACTGGTGGCCATGGCTGTGGTGGACGTTAGGAATCGGGCATGTGATCGGGCCTATGGAACTACGGAGGCCTAATTGCCCTCGTCGTCTGAGTCGAGCATGTGAGCATAGTCCTCGGCGCTGGCAAACTCAGGCAACGCACGGCGCTTTTGACGCTGTGCTGTACGTCCCTTGTTCTTGCTTGCAGGTGCATCATCAGTCTCGTCAGCCGGGCGTTTCCTGCCAGCGACCGGCGTCGATTCCTCGTCAAAGTTAGTAAACGGCACGAGATCATCTTCGTCTTCCAAGAACATAGCCCCATCTTCCTCGCCAGAATCTTCGTCATACCACGCCTGCTGATCATTCGAGAGGAGACTTTCGTCTCCTTTAGACGCGTCGTCCTCGTCCTCGTCCTCGTCCTCGTCCTCCTCGTCCTCGTTCTCGATGCCCAATTCAGTATCGGCCTCGAGCTGCGCCAGCGTATCGTCATCATCACTCAGGTCCTCCGTGTCCTCGTGCTTGGGCATAGAAGCTTTCATGGCCTGCCAGATTTCTTTCTCCTCTTCGTCATCAGTGCTTAGCTCGTCCAGTTCGCCCCCCAATTCAGCGTCTTCAAGGTCCGCGAGTTTTGCCTTGGAGACGGGTTCAGGCTCATTCTGGGAGCGCTTCAGCTTCGATTGGAAGTACTGGTGGAAGAATCGCAGGTCTGCCGGAACATGTTCCGGACGCAGCGACCAGAAGCTGGCTTGGTTCACATAGTCGAGGGGCACATCTGTGCGACGGACGAGCACATCATCCTGCAGATCGCCGCCAAGCGCCGGCTGCATGATGCTGGTACCCTTTAGACTCACATGCTTCTTCGGGTTGCGGAACACGAATCGATCGAGGAAATGCATGAGTGTGTTCAGCGTAAGGTCCGCCGTCGAAGTGATCTTTACGCCTTCCAACAGCTGCCGGGCGTTCAGACTCACTGACGGGTGAAAGTGCTGCAAAAGAGGCAGCAGGTCCCAAAGGGCTGAATCACCAGCATGTGCAAAGCGCGGATCTCGCTTACGGCCATCGTAGGAAGTAGCTTGCGTGACAGACTCATCGCCAGTGCCAGCGCCAGCGCCAGCGCCAGGTGCCTCATCCTCCACGACATCGTGGAAGTGCTCGAGACCCTCCTCCTCAGGGTCCGTGATCATGGAGCGCAGCCCAGGACGAGCTTTAAACACCTCTCCTAGGAGCACAAGCGTACCGATAATGAACGGAGGCTCCTGCATATTCAGAATCTGGCACAGCCGCTTGATCATGGCCTTGACACGCTCTAGGTCATCGTCCGATTTGATCGACTTGTACACAAGGTTCAAGTACATCGCTTGCTTGCTTGTCGTGGCAAGACGTGAGTCGAGCATAGACTCATACAGTGTGCGGTAGTAGCGATCCGATACCTTGGATGAAAAGCCACGGGCCGTCTCACCATGTATAGGAATTGCAATGGCCACCTGGTAGATCAGTTGCAGCGCTTGGATAGAGATGTTGAAGGAGTGCGTGTGTGTAATGCGGAACAAGGTCTCCAAATGACTGTCAAGGCTGCGAGTAAGTAGTCAGTACGTACGCGTCCGTGTCTAGCGTCGTAAAAGGAAACACACGGCGAATACCTGTCAAAATTGCGGCCAATAGGCGACCATGGACATCCGTGGCACCCTTGTTCTGTGTCGCTGGTACTGAGCTCTTGTTCCGATCGCGCCAGCGTTTCTTGTCTTTTGTCTTGCTCTCTGCATCCTCGGGTTCCTCCGTTTCATCGTCCTGCTTCAAGCAGACCTCAAAGAGCTGGAAATACACAGAAAAAATTTCGTTGGCCAGCGGCGCATCGTGGGCCGTAAACAAGGTCTGGTTCATAGTAAGAACGCCATAGTAGGTAGCATGCTGGTTGGTTTTACCTGGCGCCTCTGCATTACGCGAGCGATGCGAGGTCACCTGCGACTGTAGGACTGTCTCGCTTATCTCCCGCAGCACAATAGCCTTCATGGCAGGATGTACTTGCAAGAGCTCCATCAGATGCGTGCTTGCCTTGGAAGCCACACTGCGGTCAGGGTCACCCAGCTTGTTCGTCAAAAGACGCAGCAGATTGTGCTCTTGTTCAGCCTTGTCGCGTAAAAGCACAAACACCTGTGAGACTGCCTGGCGGCGCATAAACAAAAGTGTGTCGTGAGACTGTCGCTCCAGGATCTGTACAAAAGTAAAGTAGGTGCGTTTCAATAGGTCTTCAAAAGCCCAGGCACCTACATGTTGCCGAATCGCATCCGAAACACCCGCCTGGTGCGCGGCTGCCACCTGAGGAAGCAGGGGCTGGTCTCGGAAGTAATGCAGCTTGTCGTTGCCGAGGCCACCGCCGCTGGCGAGCCAATCGGCCAGCGCGCGTGTGGCACGACTTGCTTCTTCGCGGCCCGGCTTGCCCGCCATGGTCATGAGCGTATCAAGCGCTTTGAGGTTGTGGATCGGGCTGCTTTGAAGCAATAACGTCACGGCAGAAATGCGGTCCGACAGTGTACTGGCTTTGCTGGAGGTCAGCAGCGTGCGTGCAAACTGCAGGTCAGAGAAGTTGAGCGAGCCCAGGATCACATTTTTTCCCGCTTCACCAGATGCCATCCGTGAGTATGTGTCGTTCTCGACGGCAAGCACCTCCTTGCCCAGCTCCTGCAGAGAAGAAACCAATGTCTCTGGCACGATAGACAACGGCTTGGCGTCGATCTCTGGTAGTGGCAGGTGCGTCCAGTCAGACGTCGGCTCAATAAGAAGCCTAAGCTCCGAGCGAATAACAGGTTTAGGTTCATCGCCATCAAATACCACATGACGAGAGGCGGAGGCAGGTGCCTGGGATACATTGGGACGCCTGGTCTCGCGCTTGGGCTCGCGCTGAGGCTTTTCAGGAGCGTGCCCCTCTGGATCCTGGGGACGAGATTCTCGTATTTTCTTGGGAATTTTGGCATCCCTAGCCTTGCTCTTAGCCTCATTCTTGGCTTCACCCTTCGGGTTGGCTTCGCCTTTAGGAGACTGCGCCACGCTGCCCTTTCGGGATGGTTCAGGGGCAGAAAAAGGCATGTTTTCTTTGGCCATAAAGGCTTGAAGCTCCTTAGACAGCTCCGAGTCCTGGCGTAAGAGGTGTGCGCGTACCGTGAGAGGGCGGGAGGGCTCGTGGCCCTTTCCCTGGATCAATGCAATATCATCGTCAGTGCCGCCCAGCGCCTGGACCTCACGACGCAGCACGTCTTCCGAAATGTTGTCCTCATCATGATCGTGACTTCCCGCGCCTTTCTTAGGAGCCGCTGCTCGCTTCGAAGCAGCGCCGCTCCGGCTCTTGGGACGAAAGTCGCGCGGCATATGGAGGCGGCTAGAAAAATTGCTTGTGCGCACAATTTTTTTTCTGCAAAGGGTGGGCCACCCCAGCTACAAAGGACAGCTATTCGTACACTAGCAAAACTTCCACTTGTTGTTACAGTTGACACAGGTTACAAACGTCGTCATAGGTTCGTCGGCACTGCGCGTCTGCATCTGGTAGTAGCGTGTCTTTTTGGCCTTGCACTTGCCGCATTGGAAGGCGTCCGTTTCAGCCTCCTGGGCCTCGGCGCCCTTCGCATTGTGTAGATTTTGCTGACGGATCGACTCTTGCTGTGCCTTGAGGGAGTTAGACGCCAGCTCCTCGGAGCGCATGACGACGAGTTGGTGCGCGGCGATTTCGCCACTAAGCACACTGGCGCGGAGCTCAGGGTTGTTCTTGTCCTTGAGATTCAGGCTCAAGCTCCGCACTTTCCCGCGATAGTCATTGTTTGTCGTACTAGCCCCTACCTTATCGTATGCGGCCTTCTCGATACGGAGGGCAGTGGCAAAGATCGTTTTGGGGTCCATCGACGGCTGCAGTTCGAGACTGTTGTACAGGAGCTTCAGGCAGGCATTTCGGACCTTGTCTTGAAGGATCTCAAAATTGATGTCAGTAGGTGGAACGCTTGCTGCGTCCGTCTTGCTAACAGACGCCTCAGCCTTGGGTGCCTCTTTTGCGCTCTTGGCCTTGGACGTGGCGTCGCGGCGCTGCTTCTCCACGTGCGACTTCCACGTTTTGACAAGGTCTTTGGCGAGTTCGGCAACGCGCGCGTCGGTATAGGTCCGCAACTTGCCTACCGCGACACCGACTTTGGTGGCCTGTGTGAGATCAACTAAAATACGTACACGAATCAGCTCCTCCGTAGGCTCCACCGCCTCTTTTAGCTGGTTGAGCAATGCAATGACATCGTCTGTGCGCGACTCGGACGATGCCTTGGCTAGCTCCTTATTGAGGCTCTTGACCTTCTCTATCGACGTCGCCATCATAGAAAACATTCTCGTCGCGCGCGAGAATGGGTTGAAGGCTGTATAGGAATTATGTGACTCGACGATCTCCGACGGACGCAGTCACGCCTGGCTCACGAGCTGGGCGTGGGCGACGACGCTGGAAGCCACTGGACATGGTGCCTTTGGAAGAAAGGCCATGGTGGCACGCACACCTGCATGTGAGTCAGTTTTACTTACCAGGAGGGCCAGCACGAAGCCTGCACCAAAGAGGTACATAGCCACTGCGACGTCCTGCAGATCGTATCCCACGATAAGACCAAGTGTCTGTGTGTAAATGTGATTGACTTACGGCAGCCACGATGATCAAAACATGAAGTAGGCGCTGGGCGAGTGCCTGTCCGTGATAGTCCTGTCATCATTAGAAAGGAAGATATAAACGTACAATGTTTCCTTTTAGTTTGCTCATGGCTCAATTAGCAGCAAGGATCAGAAGCACGATATCGGCAGGAGCAAGGCGCCGTGATGCTGAGACTGAGCGAGGCCGCGAACGAGCGCAGTGCGTGACGACGTGGAAGTAAGCGAATGGGGCGACGTACCTCCACCTCCAAGACACCGGCACACGAGTCGTAGCGGCGTTCGACATGGGTGACGCTTCGCGCCTGCTCGTGCCGTCGCGCAAAAAGGAGCGTTATATATCGGCATCGTGTCCGTATGTCGACTGCCGCGCTTCGATCGAATTTCAACCGCCGACGTTGGAGGCGGTTAAAAAGGTCCCTGCATCGGTCACGACGTTTTCCGTCACCTGCGTGGTTTGTGGTCGGAACTTTGACCCGCCTGGCGCACCCAAGCTGCTACGAGAGGTGCGGTCACAGGGCGCGCATGATGCAAAAGGCGAGCAAGGAGCTAAGCGGCTCATTGGCACGGATGAGCATCCCATCGACATGAGCTTGTGCGTTGCGCGGGACTAACAGAGCCAGCTACGATTTGCTTGGTGTACCGGCCTCTGCGACGCCAGCTGATATTAAGAAGGCATACCGCAAGCTGGCCATCAAGCTGCATCCTGACAAGAACCCCGACGACCCTGAGGGCGAGGAAAAATTCAAGGCCCTGGCCGCCGCGTATCAAGTGCTTTCTGATCCCGACACACGACACAAATAGTGCGTGGATGCCACTGACCACAGCAATGAGTTTGGCCCATCGACGCCTGGCCTTGTGAATGAGGATGCAGTTATGGACCCCGAGGAAGTGTTTGGTGGCCTCTTTGGTGGTGAGCGCTTCCGTGACATTATCGGCACCGTGAGTCTTGGGCGGGAGATGAAGGAAGCATTGCAGAAGGACTCGAGTGAGCTCCAGGCTGAAGCGGAGGGCCAGACTGACCCTGGATCCAAGCTGACGCCTGAGCAGGAGGCTGCCAAGGAGCAGGAGGCACAACGCCTTGCGAAGGAGAAGGAGGTGCAGCGGCAGGAGCGCGTAAATGAGCTGGCCGATAAACTAGCGCGCAAGCTGAGCATTTATGCGGAGAGCGTGCACACGGCCGACAACGAGACGCATGCAGACGAGGCGCGTGCTGGCTTTAGTGAGATTGTGCGCCTAGAGGCCGAAGAGCTCAAGCAGGAAAAGTACGCAACGCGCACTGACCGCAGTTTTGGCGTGGAGCTACTGCATGCCGTGGGCTTTGTCTACACGGCCAAGTCGCGGCACTACCTAGCGGCGCATGGCATGTTTGGAACCCTAAGTGGCTTCTTCCATGCGGCCTCGAGCTCCATTCACACCGTGCGTGAGACGGTATCAACGCTCCACGCGGCGCTCGAGCTGAAGAAGGTGTTCGAGGAGCTCGCCAAGGCTGAGGACGAGGGTATCACAGAGGAGCGCAAGAAGCAGCTCGAGGACAAGGCAGCGGAGAAAGGGTACGTTGCTCGACTGACGCAGTCTGCGCACACTCTTTAAGAGTGCTAAACTCGAGGTCGAGAGCATCGTGCGCGACGTGTGCGATCGCGTGCTGTATGACGAGCAGGTATCCAAGCCCCTGCAACGCCTGCGTGCCGAGGCGCTGGGCCTCGTTGGCGACGTGTACACACGTACGGAGGCTGATGAGACGCCCGCCGCTAGTTCGTAATTAGAGTCGGAACGTGCTGAGCGCCTGGACAATACCATCGTAGACACATGTGTTCTCCAAAGGTAGGTACTGCACCGTGAGAATCTTGATGATTTCCTGTGCCACAAGCCCACCTAGGAGCGCGGCCGTAGCCGGCGTGTCGCTGCAGGCACCGCGGGCCATCTCGCGGCAGGCCTCGGCGAGCCGTTCGTGGTGGTCCGCAGAGAGAGACAACGACACCTCTGCCGCGTACGCCACTGCCTCGTTCAGCAGCGCACGTGCATCACCAGCCACGTCGTTATCGTGCGCGCCAGGACACCGCGCATACCGTTCGATAAAGCGGTCCGCCGCCATAAACGCCAAGTGGTACTGTGCCGTCACAGGATTTACGGGGTCCGACAACGCAGCCTCGAGTGCGCGGACATTTGGAGCGCGCCACTGGTGCGTCAAGCCACGGCCGCGAATGAGCTGCAAAAACGCAGCATGCTTGACAAAGACACGTACCGAATCGTCCGTGAGTGACGCGTCTGTGCGCGACGTACCGACGTCGACCAGCACGGCGTCCAGATCGCCGAGGAACGCATCGAGGTCCGCACGCGCCTGGACTGCATACACGTTCTGAAGTGCGACAAAGTCTTTCGAAGTAGCTTTCATGTCGGGTAGCGAGCTCGCCAAGGGGAGCACGCCATGGCGCTGCACAAACCGGCGAAGCGCAGCGACGAGCAGCCAAAATGGTGGCGAGCGGGCAGAAAGATGGCGGCACTGTGCATCGTCAAAGAGCGCCGTCACGCTGGCCGGAACTGGCGGCGACTGCAGTGGGCGCCACACATGCGGCGCCAGCGCGGCGAGTGCCTCATCCATATTCTCCGTGTCGACCCCAGGCGGCGCTCGCGCACGCATAAAGTCAACAAATGCACGCCGCGACGCCGGCGAGGGCATGGCACCATCGTGCGTGGCCCGCCACGCCTCGAGTGCTTGAAGCAGCAGCACCACAAAAGGAACGTGGCTCATCGCGTACGAGTCGCTCGCATCCACGGCATACTTCCGCGCGTGTTCCTGCAGTGCGGGAAACGGACGCGTTATCCGTAGATCCACAAGCGACTCGGGGTGTGTCTCGACGATGCCCAGTTCGCCAAAGGCGACGTGCAGCACGCCTTGGAAGCCGGAGCTACGCACGCATACGAGCGGAATCGGCGGCGACGCATGCCAAGCGAGTTCTGAGATTCGTATTGCAATGCGGCTCGGCTGACTCACGCACACAACCAACGAATACTGGAGGAAATAGGCAGGATCCTCGCGCAAAAGCTCATCAGGCGCCCGTAAGCATGACGTCGCAGTCGTTGCTGGATTCAACTCTGCGAGACCCTGAGCGAGGGCCTCTGCGTAAGGTGTGCCAATTCGTGAAGCGTTGACAAAAAAGTCGTGTTGCGCGTCTTGCTCGGAAACGATCGCGTCATCAACAATGGTGAATGATCCTAAGCCCGGCAGTACAAGGTTTTTCAACACTTGACCTGCAAGGGGCGACGCACCAACCACAAGCACATGCGCATCCTCGAGTGCAGCCTGACCCGAGTGGTTCCACAACCGCAGCTGTCGATCGTAGCGCTGCGTGTGTCGGCTCGGTCGGTCCGTGCCGCTCGCGCCTGGCGGCACCGTGCTCGCCATCACAGGGCCTTCGCGCCGCGCCGCGCCGCGCCCGGTGGCACCCGGTGGAGGTTTAGTCAGCCAAGGAAAGTCAGCGACGAGACGCTCAGCGCTGCCCAGCGTAGCGCATGGCGGCGACAGGCGCGGCAACGACCGAGGCCCTGCGCCGGCAACTGAGCAGTAGCAGTGCTGATGCAGTTGCACAGGCACTGGCTGAAATTCGCGCGCGCACGCGTCTGGGTTCCGGGGACCTGAGTGACTACGGCGAGGCGCGCGTGCCGCCGGCGGACGAGCGCCTGCGCCTCGCATGCGAACTGTGTGTGGCCGACGTGCTACCGCGTGTATGGGACGCATGGGAGCTAGCAAGTCAACGCGATCTCTCAGCGCTGCAAATGCTTGTGTATCAGGTGCTTGCGCAGCTTCTGCGCTTGCTCTCGGTGCACCAGCCGAACCACGCCCTCGCTGAGGGCGCCATGGTCGACCGCCTGCTCGATGCGACGGCACCGTGGATGGCGCGATTGCAAGAGTCGATATCGTCGGCCTTGCGCCTGCGCGGCACTGGCGGTAACGACGTGCTCGTCGTGCTCACCGGCCTTCAGCTACTCGCCGCACTCGCCGCCTTTGGCCGCGGCAAGCATGCCTATGCCGTGTGGGAGCGCTTCCATTGGACGCAGGACCTGCACCGGCGCCTGCTTTCTATGCGTCGCCGTGCACGCCGCGGCGACAAGCGGTCTGTGTCCATGACGGAACCGGATGTGCGCACGCAATATATGCAATTTCTGCTGGGGCTTCTCGCACAAAGCTTCCATCCGAGCCTCAAGCTGGCCCTCCTGGACCTCGGCGCGGAAGGTCTGCCGGCTCTCTTGCGGGACTTGGTTTCTGATCCGCCTGACGTGGTGCGCTATGTGTTGCTCGTACTCCATGACGAGCTCTTCCAAGATACCCATCTCGCGCGCAGCGCCAAGGCCAAGTTTTTGCATGAAAAAGCGAGTCAGTGGCTCGTTGCCCTGTATGCGCGCGAACATGAGCATGCTGCGACAGCCAGTGTGGCCGATCTCGTGCACCACTTTCTTTTAAGCATCGCCACCCATCCCGGGCAGGGCGTGTGCTACGCGGACCGCGGGTGGTACGGCCGCCACGGCGACGCCTCGACCATCCACAACCACGTACTTCTGACTCTACTGCGCCACCTACGTGTCGCACACGACCTGCGGCAGCAGGAGCTGGCACTGCGCCTCCTGCGCGCATGCCCTGAGCTCGTGGGGCCCGCCCTGAGCCGCCTCACCCCCGAGGTCCGCGCCGACAGTGCATGCTTTATCCATATGGCGTACCTCGGCCGTGTGCTTGCGCTACCTGTCCCGCCCGTCGCTGGCGCAGCGCAGCCGCCACCGGTGACCGCCGTACTCGCGCACACGGCTCCGGAGAACGTGTGCCGCGTACTCGCGAAGGCATGGCGCCACGACAATGCGCTCGTTCAGTACTATGCCAGCGTCGTGACGACCAGCCTCCTCGAGCGCGTGTGTGCATTTCAGCGCGCAGCGCGAGCAATTGCGCACGAGACCGGCGAGAGCGAGACGGGCACATGGACGAGCGCACTGCATACCCTTGAACTGGCGTGGCGCAAGCGCCTACCGGGCGTCGAGGTCGTGTATCCTCTCGTTCAGAGCCCCCAGGCGCTGCGCCGCGAGGCTGCACTGCGTGTGCTGGCCCTGTACATCGAGGCGCTGCCGAGCATGGCCTTCGACACGCACTGGGATGCCGGCCGCGTGCTTACTGGTGCCTTTCTCGACAAGCCAGCATCAGCTGTACCCTGGGAGCGCGTATCGCAGGTGCATGCACTGCGCGTACTCGCGGCCGCTGCGCCCGCGCTCGATCTCGCGGCGAAGGTGCCGGCGGCGTGGCCAGGTCTCGATAAGCGCTCGTTCCTGCACTTTTTACTCGCCGTATATGCCCACAGCGAGACGCATGAGGCAGTGCGCGCACAATGTGCAGCGCTTCTGCGCACATTCCTGCATGCAACGGCGCTGTTTTCGCACGATGCAGACGAGCTGGAGGCTTGGATGATGCCGCTCGCTGCCGGCCCTGTCGCGCTGGCCGAGCGCGCCGTGGTCCTCGCATTCCTCGACGAGTGTATGCTGCGGTGCCTCAAGACGCCGTACCGCTACGCGGAGCGTGTTCGTGAGCTTGCCGGCATGGATGGCTTGTTGAGCCCCCTGCTAGCCACCGTCACGGAGCAGACGCAGATCCGGCTGCAGAAGCGCTTATGGAATGCGCCAGAGGCTGCATGCATCGTGGCGTATGTCGAGCAATTGTGTCGCCAGCTCATCGAGCTGGGCAAGCCCGTGCCACCGCTGGTGCACGTAGCGGAGCGCCTGGCCCAGGGTGCTCACGCGGCGTCTGCACCGGCGATGACGGCCTCACTGTGCGCTACACTCGAGGCAGCCTGCCGCGTGCCGCCGCCGTCGGTGTCGATCACGGACCCTGTGCTCGCGAGCCGGCCCGCCACATACGGCGCGCTCGTGGCACACGTGGGCGATGCGTGGCGCGGCATGCTGGCCGTCTGGCTGCAGCGGCTCGACCCGGCCGCGCCAGATGCAGTGGCACTCCTTGCGCCGACGTTTGATGCGCTCGATACTTGGGCAGCAGCACACCAGCTGCACACTGACGCCCTCCATACCTACGTGATGGCTCATCCCAGCACGCAGCAGTGGCTCGCACACGCGTCACCTCGGCCATTTCTCGCCCGCCTCGTACCGTGGGTGTGTGCGGTCGCAGCGAAAGACGACACAGCATATGCTTCCTGCGTCGCTCCTCTCGTGGATGCCATCGTGGCACGCCTCATCGCTGCGCCAGCGGACCCCGTGTGGATTGCGTGTGCAACGCAGCTGGCGCCATTTGCCACTGTCACGCACCTTACGCACATAATGGCGGCGGTGCCCATCGAAACGGCCACCGATAACCAGCTTCACGCCCTCGCGCAGATGCTCCACCAGGGGCCGACGCAGAGCCTCGGGCACGCCGCATGGACACCGCTGTATACACAATGGCCTGTCCTCGTGCAGCAGGCGAGTCGGTCAACTGCGGCGCGTACCCTTCTCGATACGTTACTTGCCGCCACGCTCCCGGCTGGTACGGATCCATTCGTTCCGCCAACGTACGGCTCCCTTGCTGCCTGGCGTGTGGCGCGGCAGCATGCGACGGCGCCGGCCGACTGGCATGCTCTTGCTCAAGCTGGCGCGCATGCCACGCTCGCGCGCGCGCTGTACCTAGTGCCTGAGGCAGCTGCGTCTGTGTGCGATGTGCGAGCGCCACTTCCGCTCTGTGCGCTCTTGGAGCTGGGTAAGGCGTCACCGCTCAGCGATTCGGACATATTGGCCCTCGTGCCTCCCAGTCTGCACGACACAGCGGCCTGCGTATCTCTCGCTCTCGCGCGGGCAGGCGCGCCGCACACGTGTGATGAGGCTTTGGCACATGCGCTGCGAGCGTGGTCTCCCGATGGTTCCGCAGAGACGGCGTGGCTTGTGTCACAGTGTGCGCCGCCGGTGCGCGAGGCGTGGCTGGACGTGGTACTGCCGCATCTTACACGGCGGTTCGCCGAGGACCCGATTGATGCGCCATCAACGTTGCGACTGGCAAATGCCGCGCGCGCGCTTGCGCGCGGCCACGCTGTGCCGGCGCATGTGGCGGAGCCCGTGCTCGTTGCCATTCTGCACCACCGGCCGCTGGCGCATGTGCCAGTGCGCTTAGCGTGTGCGCTAGCGCGTGCAGCAGTACCGCCGCTGCGTGCGAGCATGGCCGACCGCCTCGTCAATGCGCTGCTCGCGCGCACCGAGGTCGTGCAGGCCGCGCGCGCTGGCCCGCTTCGCCGCGCGCTCGTTGCGCTGCTTGTGCTCCTTGCGCAGCCGGGCGAGGCGCTTGCGTCGCCCACGTCGCTTGCGCGCATGCTCTATCTTTACACAGGCACGCTCGAGCCGTGCGACCGTGCATTGCGGGCCCTGCTCGAGCGGCGCGGCCTGAGTGGCGTGCTAGGTGCGTGGAAGGCGGACAGTGGAACGTCGCCCGTACCAGCCGATTTGGTGCGCGAGTCGGTACTTACCGCCCTGCTATCGCTCGAACCGCGGCACACGTACGCGGCGTGTGTACATATGCCGCGCACCGCAGCAGGAGCCATGCATCCCCGCGTCGAGGCGTATGAGGCATACGATCCATGGTTCGTGCTGAACCTAGTCGCTGGTGCCATGTTCGAGCGTGAGCAGCAAGGCCCCGACGCGCGGCTGACGGGTCTCGAGTGGCTTGCAATCCTACGTACCGGAGCGCTAGGCGTTGTGCTGTGTACGCTCTCGACACACCGCGCCGCCTTGCGTCTTGCCGCGCTCCAGGTGCTTGGCAAGGTGTATGCATCGCTGGGAGCGACCGAGTTCCGAGAAAAAGAGCTTGCACTGCTCGTCCTGGAGCGGGTGCGCGACTGTGTGCCGGCGCCACCAGCCACGTCGGTGCGTGGCACGTACGACGAGGTCCCGTGGCTGCCGACGATGCCGCTCCTGCTTGCCGCGCACGGTCTGCGTGCCCTCGCAGCGCCACACCAGCCGCTGTTTCCTGTGCTCTTCCGCTTCCTACTTCAGCGCCCCCTACTTGATACCGGCGATGTGCCGCTGCTGTACGGGTTGCTGCACTCGACGACGGACGAGGCACCGGCGGAGCGTGCGTGGATACTGCGCTTCCTGACAGATGCACTGCATGCGCATGCGTTGGTGGCCGAGTGTCCTGATAAGCAGGCATTGCCCCGTGCCAAGGGGGAGGGCAAGGCCTTCAAGCGCCGGCACGTATGGGAGTTGGTGCTCAGCCTGTATGGCTTTGTCGCCGGCGCGCAAAGCATGCCGCGTGCTGAGGCGCCCGCCGAGGTGAGGCAGGCCGAGCAGCTTGAGGCGCTGCTCGAGGCGGCCGCGAGCATTCCATACATGGCCCAGGATCTGATTACGCGACGTGGTTTCCTCGCGTGGATCAGCGCGACGGTCAGCGCGGTGCCGCCGCGGAGCGAGTCGCGTGCTGCGTACTGGCTGCGCATCCTGCGCCGCATCTGTGCCCCATCAAGGCTGGATGAGGCCCACGTGCTTCGCCGCCTCGCGTTGATGGACGCCCGGACCGACCATGGGCTGGTCGCGTCGGTGTTGCTGCCGGCAACGCGAGTGTGGGCAACCTTATCGCAGCATTCGCAAGAGTGTGTGTACGAGTCAGCATCACTCCTGTACACGCTTCTCGCTTATTCGACACTCCGTGAGGTGCCATGGATGCGCACAGAGGGCGCACTCGCCACCTCGCTGCTCCAGTCACTTGTGCGAGCCGCGGACCCGGAGCCGGCCGTGAGCGACAAGCTTCTGCGGTGCACACTGCTGCTTGCCTCCCTTGACCCGTCGCCGCATGTCCGCGCTCTCTTTGCGTCGCAGCCACTGTTGGCAAGGCAGCCCCTCCAGTACGAGCCGCGGCAGTGGGCATTGACCACACTGTAGTCCGTAGCCCAGCGCCTCCACACGAAACGGCACCGCCGTGTCTTCCTTCATGGCGTGTGTGCCGCAGCATGTGCGGACACTAGGAGATGCCGCGGCGGGGTGCGAGCACCTGGCCCAGGAGGATGATGCAAGTTTGGATCGGCTACTTGAGCGCTATGCTGCAGGCCTGCGATGGGGCCGCCGCCTGCTCGATGGCAAGATCCGGCCGCAGGACGGTGCGGACGATGCGCTGGCGCCCGGGGACAAGCGCCGCAAGGTACGGCCACACACTGACCGCAGCTTGAGTACCCAACATGTGCATTGTGTGGAATGGATTTGCGCCGGCCATTTCTGTGCTTGTCGTGTGCGCATGCTGCATGCCTCTTCCGCGATCCGGTGCGGGAGGCGACGCTGCCGATCACGCGCGGTGCGTCCAGTGCCGCGGACGGCGCGGAGGTGGGGTCGTCACACATTGGCGTGCATCTCGCCGAGGAGGCCCACCCGTACGGTACGTGTGTGGTGCTGACGCAGCGTGTGATATTGTACATGGCACCCTGTTCTGTGCGTCGTGCGACGATGTGGTATATGATGCGCGCTTCGAGTATGTCCAGCGCACCGAGCGGCACCGATCGACTGTGCGGCGGACTACCGAGGCGAAGTTCGATGCTGTGCTCCGCCAAGACGCTACCTGTACGTCGCACCGCTGACCCAGCCTCCCATGGCCAGTCTCTGGCAGGCGTGTGCCGAGTGCCGCGCGGCCTGCGCAACATGGGATCGACCTGCTTCCTAAACGTGATTCTGCAGTCGTTCATTCACAATCCGCTGCTGCGCAACTACTTTTTGAGTGATCGGCACAACGCGTCGCTATGTGCAGCCGGGCGCGACTGCCTGGCATGCGAGATGGACAAGCTGTATGCTGAGTTCTTTACGCGCAGCGACACGCCCGGACCGCATGGCCCTACATCGTTCCTGTACGCCATCTGGATGGACTCCTCGTCCTCGGAGCTTTCGCGCGCGGGACAGCATGATGCGCACGAAATGTTTATTAGTGCGCTGAATGGGATTCATTCCGCACTTACCGCCCACGCCCACGACCGCGTCAAGTTGCCAATGAGCCCCTGGGACGATGCGTCTACGCTTGCGCAGCTGAGCGAGCATGCAGAGACGCCGAGTGTCGGTCAACCGCGCGCGCCAGACCATGACGCGTCTTGCCCTTGTGTCGTACACCGCACGTTTGGGGGGCGCCTGCAGAGCAGCGTGACGTGCCCAACGTGCAAGCGCGTCACACACACACGCGAGCCCTTCCTGGACCTGAGTCTCGAGGCGCGCGCCGATACGCCTGCCGAGGGCCGCAAGAAGAAGGAAATGGGCAAGAAGCGTGATAAGGCGACGCCTGTGCCGGACGCGGCAACGGATACGCTGCAACGCTGTCTCGTGAGCTACTGTGCACCAGAGCAGCTGCCGGAGGCCACGTACCGGTGCAGCTACTGTCAGCAGAGTGGCAGGGCGATCAAGCAGCTCAAGCTGCACACGCTGCCGCCAGTACTCTGCATGCAGCTCAAGCGGTACGAACATGCGCTGGGTGGTGCCAAGATGGACATCAAGGTGCGCTTTCCCCTGACGCTAGATGTACGTGACTGCTGCGTGCCGCGCAGCGGCGACGAAGAGGTCACAGACCCGATGGCGTACGCGTATGACCTCTTCACCGTGGTCGTGCACGAAGGCTCGCTCCATTCAGGCCACTATACCAACTTTTCAAAGTGGCACAGCCGCTGGTACCGCTTTGACGACGACAAGGTAACGCCGGCCAGTGTCGCACAGGTCCTCGATGCCAAGGCATACCAGCTGTTTTACTTGCGCCGGCGCCTCTGGACACATTCGAGCCATGGCATTCATGTGGAGCGAATGCAAAATGCCTAGTCTATGAGCTGTACAATTTAGTCGGCTGCCGCTTTCATCCACGCAGCCATGCGGCCCAGCGCCTGGCTGCGCTCCGGCTCAAACCATGAGAGTATGGGGTAGATATGAATGCCGTCGGTAGCCCCATCGAGCACCACCTCGCGATCCTCGAGCGGCGACACGGCCTGAGGCGGTGAGGGCGAGCTCCGCACAACTTCGTCGTGTAACGCCAGCCACTCGCTCGACCGGGGGTATTTTTCGCGCCAGGTGCAGCCCTGTGCTTCCTCGTCGCCCATGAGCGAGTCGCCGGAGTACACTGGCCGCCCACGAAGTGTTCCTTCGGCCATACGGTAGGCGAGTGTCACGTGTTGCTCACCGTTCAGCTCCGCGCTGCCCGTGCAAATGAAAGTGCGTGGTGGGAAGCCCTCAAAGCCCCAGTGCGGCATGCTCGCGTGATTTTGAGGATCGAGTTGCAGGGATACGGGCGATAGGTAAGGGTTCGTGTACGCTTCACTGGCGGGGAGGCGGCCCAGCAGCGGACACACCGCCGAATTACGGTACAGCTGTGATGCATCAATAATGTCGCACTCCCGGTTTAGTACCGTCGTAGAAAAAGGGTTGGGAGACTTGAGTGGACCGCTGTGTGAGCGTGACACATCGCACCAAGGCGATAGAAGCATCAGTGAGCGCGGCATCGCCTCGATCTTTTCGTCGCGTAAGTAGCGGCACAGGGCCAGTGCCAAATTGCCTCCAGAGCTGTCGCCGGATAAAATGATATTCTCGGGACGGAAGCCGCACGAGCGCACCAAGTACAAGTAGGCAATCAGCGTGTCGAGAAGAGCGGCGGGGTAGCTGCCCTGTTGGAAGCGGGTGTGCTTCGCGAGGCGGTACTCGACCAGAAACGCACGACGAGGCATGCGCTCATCATCTTGGAGTTGGTCGAGTAACGAGCGGCAGAACTTGGCAGACGGATAGTGTTCCTGCGCCGAGCCCAGCCAGTATGCCCCGCCGTGTAGGTGCACAAGCAGACGTTCGCCCGGCTTTGCATGCACGTCCTTCGGCGCCACCTCACCGTTCTTGGCCACAAAAAAACCGGACGTCGGAACTACCTGCGTGCCTTGCAAGCTCATCGCCCGTCGCAGCTCCCCACGAAGAATTTTGTTTTGTTGTTCCGGCTCCTCAGTGAGCACATCCTTGGGATCAATGCGCAAAAACGTGCTCTCGCGCACCTTGGGCTCGCCAGTCACAGGTTGTCCGGGAAGCATGAGATGCGTTTTACAGATCAAGATGGTACACGAGCGGATGAATGAGACCATCACCGACTTTTTCCACGACCACGACGGCCGCGGTCGCCACCTGCGCGGAATGTACAAGAGCGCGCGAAGCGGCAGAGATATAAAAAGCATGTAGCAAAAAAAACCCACGATATACAGAGAGCGCAACGGTTCCCACGTCCAGATGGGCCGCTGGATAAAAAACTCAGAGAGGGACCCATGCCCCTGATTGGGAAACTCGGTGCATGACATTGATCTAGGTATCGGTCTTGACGCCCATACAGTCCACGGTTGTGTGCGTCTCAGATATTCTTTGGGTGAGAAACCCTTCTCCCGATGACTTCCAGGAGAGTCAGGTATACACGAATCATCGGAGCCATCCGACCGCTTCCCGGAAAATATAGTAGAGTTGGGCAGCCATCGGCCCACATATGAAGGCATTCGGTTAATCACTTGGGCATTTTCTGGTACCACCAGGGACTCTACGCAGTGCTTCATAGCGACGAACAAGTCCTACCTAGTGGTCAGGCGTATCCCCACGAACACGGCGGTAATTCGGTCAATGCCAAGATAAGGCCACTTGGCAACCCCCACTAAGGGCTTATTTCCTATAGTACGTTGCCACGCGGCAGGGGCGCAGCCCCTACGATACGACCGCCTCGTCCCAAGGGCCCCGCATCTCACGCTTCCATCGCTGCGTATACCGCATCCATAGCGGACATAGGATCCCAACAAAGGCCACCAGTATGGGATGCAGGTATAAAGCCACAAGCCGACTATGGGGCAGCATCGCATATATGCTCACCACCAACAGAACGATTGTCAGGGGGATCGAGGCGCAGGGAATCTGGTAGCCATCCGACGTACACAAAGACCCGAATCTAACGTAGATCCGTGTACGTAGAAGAGGGTATATCGCAAACAGCTGAAGGGCCACAAGGAGAAGAGCAAATACATCCAGATCGAGGCGCAGGCGGCTAGATAGGACCACACTAGCGCACATGCCCATATTGAGGCTGATCGTAGAAGTAAGCTGGGACAAGCAAGATGCATTCATGCGGTAGTCTGCAAAAGCCAGGTGTCCACAGAAAAGCACGGCTGCACAGGCCCACACACTGTCGCTGGTGGTGGCCTCGCTAAAAGTGCGCACCACAGGAGACAAGGAATATAGCGTAAACGATAAAACAAGAATGCCTGGTATACTCTGATTGAAAGAAAAAGGATAACCAGCGCAAGCGAGTAGGCCCGACACGGCCACGCTGGTCCACACAAGCACGGACGCATCGACCGTGCCAAGATACAAATGCACGAAGAGCGCGACAAACAGCAGCACTATACACAAGTGCTGCAAAATGCTCATAGAAGACAGAGCAATGGATAGAAACCGGGGAAACTGGGCCGTGGTATTCGTGCGTAGCTGACCAAGGAACGAGGCATCCACGTAATTGTCGGGAAAGGGTTGGCGCCGCCACAACACTCGATCCCAGCTCGACTTAGCAGTGAGTTCTTGGCTTGCGATGCCAGAGCAGACCGGCATCGCGCCAGCTCACTCGTTCGTTGCACTAGCTCCCACGATGAGCGATCCCCACAGGGATCCCTCGAACGTCGCCACCGCCCCTGTGCGCCAACCTGTCCGGTTTCGTAATAAAGACAGCGTGGCTGATTGGATGTGACGTATTCGGGGCGGAAATAATTTCATCTGTCTAAGAATTTCCCTAATGTACATAATCTGATTGCACAAAATCCATGGACGCAGCCCAGTGGACCGATACGTTCCGCCAGCGGTTGTCTGGCTATCCATCACAAGGATCGGGTCCCGTGGATCTCGGGTGTAACACCTGTCAAGATGTCGAGCGCAACGCCAGGACCCATTCCTATCGTAAGGGCAGGAGATAATGGACAAGTGAGTGCGAGTGAGGGCACTCCTCTTGCTCGCCAAGGCAGCTCCGGTAGCTACCTGGGACTGAGCACCAGCCTGGGTGGCGGTAGCTTTAAGGAGGCTATGGCACTGTCGTTTGGCAAAGATGTGGCCGAGTATGTGAATGACTGCCTCGAACTAACGATACAGCTTCCTCGAGTACTCACTAGGACACTTCTCGTCGTCGACAGACTCGGATGCGACGACGATTGCAACACCCTCATCAGTCCGCCTTGAGTCCACATTTTGCCGCAATTTTTCGTGCTGTGGCCGTGCATTGGATGATTTACATGACCTGCTCCAGCACTATGAGGAATGTCACGTCCGCTTCGAAGATGACGAAATCGCAAGTATGATCACGGATGAGGAACTGGAGACCTCTAGTTTGGCCTCCGACGGAGAAGCCGGAACCGAAATAAGCTCGTCTGCGAGCATTAAGTCTCTGGATTCGACAGAAGAGGAGGCCGCGCTTAAGAGAGGGCGCTCCTTGACGAAGGCCGGTACGCCAATGGTGTCCCCAGCCGACGAAAATTTGGAATTCCCCAGCGCATTTGAAACGGCAATCATGCGCTCACCATCCGGAGCCCGCGGGAAAAAGCGCACATTCGGTCAGCATGCCAATGGCTCGACAGCCAACCCACTTTTCCGCGCCTTGGTGGAGAATGGGGGGCGGCACCCGCTAGGCATGTCGAATGCCTTTGCCTCTCCTTTTTCCAGTCCGAGCAGCTCTCGCGCGGGTACACCCACGCTGGATTCTGAGAATGAGGCCTTTTTCGGGTCAACCACGCAGACCAGTATATTCTCGAACCTGTCGATTCGTCCGTCGGCAGCTGAGGAGCAGTTGCCTTCGTGCGCACCTCCTAATCTATTCTTTCCCTCTGCAGCTGCCTCTCAGCGACCGTCAAAGCGTGAGCGCTTTACTGCTACAGCAGGTAATACTTCTGCCAACACGCCGGCTTCTCCCGCCGCATCTACGGCGAATGTTTCGTCTGCAGCGGACAATACAGCGGAGCACCGACCTTACAAGTGCCCTGCACCTGGTTGTGACAAGGCTTATAAGCAAATGAACGGTCTCAAATACCACCGCTTGCATGGTCACTGTAACCAGAATCTTCGCAATGTCAACGGTGTCGCGGCTAGTACAAGTTTGGATGCTGTCGAGGCAGCCAATAAACCTGTGACGCCTGAGAAGGGTGCCGCGTCAACTAGCGAATCGAAGCCTGATTCATCCGCTCTGGGCAGTGCATTCCCGCCGTTAGGCGCCGAAGATGCAGCGAACAAAGGCCCGAAGGGTCCTGACACGCCTAGTAAATCTAACAATAATGTGCCACCCGAAAAGATGTATGTGTGCCAGGTGGGAAATTGCGATAAGCGTTACAAAAATTTGAATGGTCTCCGATATCATTACCTGCACTCGGGTTCGCATGGACTCCTGGGGCTTCAGCTGTTGCATGCAAACGGAGGCGGCGCTAGTGCCAAGGCGGACAGTGTCAGCGGACGACCGCCCGTATCCACGGACACATTGACCCGTGAGCAGATTGTACAGGCCGCTGCTGCCGCACAGGCCCTGCTGAACCAGCAAAATGGCACCAATTGTATCAAAAATCAAGGAACGACGAACCCCAATTTATCCGCGTCTGCTTTCCTGGCGTCAATTTCTCACAATCCTATGTCAATGACAAACTCAGCGAAGCCTGCCTGAGTTCTAACGTATATGTTAGGTTTTCATGTTTCTTGCCCGAATTTGACTTCGACGACCGATGTATTTGTAAAGGTTGGGTCTATGTAGGTAGTGTATGGAGCGTAGACACTTCGTTTTCACTCCTAGTTCGGTACAATTATTGAGGACACTTGGCCGAAATGATCTCGATCCAGTAGTTGTCTGCGAATGAGTTGCGCCTTTGTACGTACCAGGATCCAGAATAAAGGCTGCCCAGTAAGCATGGTACACGTACCGATTGACTTCATCTTCCCGTCTGCATGTCAGGAGAGGAGAATACATACCTGTGAGGCGCTTCTGGAATTTCACACCCAGGCGCTCAAAGCGAGCACAAGCGGCTTCAATATCATCCACAGAAATGGCAAGATGACCAAAGCCCTGGGGCTGAGCATTGCCGTTGTGGTAGTGAAAATCAGGATCATTCTCAGTTCCATGGTTGTGGGTTAGTTCCAAAAGAGCCTCGCGTTCACCGCGCGAGGCGTCGCCTTGGTGCTGGTAACCCAGGAAGTAGAGGGTAAAGTCTGACATGTCCAGCTTGTCGATTAGATCCATACCAAGGACGTTTTCGTAAAAGTCCAGTGAGACCTTCGGGTCCTTGACACGGATCATAGTGCTACATGGTGAGATATAACGATGCGTACTGGTTGAAACGGTAGCTAGCAGTCTCTATACTGTCAGCAAAAACGACACACCGTTGGTGGCGGGCATGGCTGTCGTAGGCGTAAGGCTATAGAGAGGCGTCGTGCGCACGGGCAAATTGGCCCGGGAGTTTCACGTGCATCGAGGGAAATTTGTCAAGACTTTGCTGCACCTACGGCTGTACGGACATATTCTGCATTTGCTCAGCAGGAGCTGCCGAGCTTGAAGCTTCAGCACTTGGGGCGGCCTTCTTGCCCTTGCGCTGTTTGTATTCAAAGCCAGCCGCCTTGGCATTTTCAGCAGCCTCTTCGGGGGTCTCAGCTGAGCCTCCTTCCTCCTTCGTAAAGTAGGGCGCAATCATAGGGTTCACTGGTGTCAATGGCATAAATTACATACACTTCTTGGTTTTAATCTTCTTGGCCTTAGGCTCTTCCTCGGGGTATGCTTGAGCCTTGATTTTTCTGAACTCCTCCTCAGAAGCCATCTTCTGGATTGGTTCTAGTAGCGTGTTCAGGGCCTGGGCGACAGCAGGCTTTAGATCCGCTGGATGCACCTTTCGGTCTTTAAAGTCCTGAACCAAGTCTTCGTACTTTGAATAGAAAATTGGGCCACCAAACTTCTCTGGGCGCATAATGCTAAAGAGTGTGCCCTTGGGGGCCTCCTCCGCCACAAATGAGCGAGAGCAGCCTTCCTGCTGGAGCCCATCTGGGTTCATTTCGAAGCGCATACGAGCAATCGGCATCAACACAGACCCCACAAAAGCGAGCACACCATTGTTTTCAATTTCGCCCTCCATGCAATAGGCAGCCTTGATCTTCCGGGAGATATCGTTCGGTGAGTCCAAGAAGTCAATCTTCGAGTCAACATCCGACGACGACATCTTGGAACCATTCATACCAGGAACCATAGCATTCATCAGGTGTGAGCGCTTTTTATAGCCAAGTTTCGGCAGGTACTGCTCAGCGAACGTGAAAATTTTGCGCTGGTCAACACCACCGAATTGGAAGTCCACGTCCAGGTATTGTTCGTCAAGCGCCTGTAAGCCGGGGTAAAGGAGGCCACTCAACAAAGGGCTAGCAACCTGCTTGACAACCTCGGCACCAGCCTTCTTAGCATCATGCTCCGTAACGACCGCAGCGAGACGGTAGGCATCAAAATTATAATTTTCAGAAAGTTGGTACGAAGAACCCAGCACGAAAGTGAGGCGGTCTGTCGGCACGCCGATAGCCTTCATAACACATACCAGGATCTTCTCATAATAGATAGCGCGGTGTTTCACGAGCTCGATAGGCGCCTTCATGTTATCGAGGAAAGCATGAATGTCAGCAAACAGCACCTTGACTACCACGCCTGCGCGCAAAAAGTCAGCGAGTTTTGTGAGAGGCACCATGTAGCCGACGTGGGGGCGACCCGTAGGTGCCGTACCCCAGTAAGCCCGCACTGGACGCTCATTTTGTTCGAGGATCTGTTTTATGGCATCCCCGCCAAGCACTTCCTCGATGCCTCGGGTAATCAATTCGTAGCGCTGCGCCGGCGTCCAAGCCTCTGTCATGAAGTTGACGGATGAAAAGACGTTCTGTCAGGGAAGCTTATGTAAGTCGATGAGGGTGCGCATTGAAGGTGCACGTAGCAAGAAGGAACAGTCATATTATTGTACCGAGGTGGCCAGGAGAGTCAATCTATGCTACAGGCTTTCCTTATAGAGACACACTGAATAAGATACTAGACGCGGAAGCGCGATGAAGACCCCCGGTTGAACAAGAGGCGCACGATATACACCTGTCCCAGAGAAATACAGACGATAAATAGACCCTCAATAAAGCTGTAACGGAGGATGCGGTGGCTAGTGTTAGTAGGGTCAGACATACCGAGTAAGCTCGACAAGTGAATATCCTTGGTTCTCGCGCATGCGGAAGTATCGCAGGGTGCGCTCAATGGCCGTCAAGTCAGAGTCAATGTTGGACATAGAGTCCTCCACGGGCGTGGATTGCTCACGAAGGAGCTTCGCCTTCGAGAGTGGGAGCTCCAAGCGCGGCTCAGACTCAACGGTGATGTCGAAGTCGATCTTTTATTAGCAAAAGTACGTACGAGTTTCTCGCCATGTGAACTGTGCTGGTTATGGAAGCAAAACCGGTATTCTCCCATTTCATTGCCCGTGAACACAAAGTCCTCTTGTGAAGACTTGGTTCCTTCCAAAATAATGCGTTCAGATGGTGATACGACAGAGTAGTCGATATCAAAATTACCGCCCTCTTGCACGGCAAAGTAAAAGCCCACCTTTTCGTATTGTTGGTCGACCCATGTATAGAAGCATGCTTCCTTCTGCGAAGGCACCCGTGTGGACAGCGCAGCTGCATCCACACGATCCACTACAAAAATAGCAAGAAGAATGCTTGCGACCAGCGCAATAGTAACTTGACGAAGCATCGTTGGGAACAGCATTGCCTATGGTCGATAGGCCGTCCGAGCGGATCGACACAGCACTCCTCGATCACGTGAATAACACGGAATGGCTGGCTACAAGCTATGGTACAAAGCGCTCTGGGTCAGACGCGGGTGAGAGGCCACGAACAGCCGAGACAAGTTGATGGAGCTGGTGTGAGGTAACTATACGTACGCCTTCGGCTGTAGCAATGCTCCAGACCTCGAATTCAGAGGTCTCTTCATCAAGGGTGCCTCTTCGCGCAAGGGCATGCGGTCCTGCCGCCTTGACTCGTGCTTGCTCGCGGAGTCCCAGTTCACGACTAAGCTGCTGAGCAATAGTGCGTCCAGGGCCAAGACAGACAAAGCGTTTCACACCTTGAGATACCAGGGTGTCAATCGTCTTGAGCCAGCAGACGGGTGTGTTCAAAGATATACGCAAATCGTGTCGGATGTCGTCCACGGTTTTGACTTCACGGCCATCGACCGAAGAAATGAGCCGCATTGAGGGCGAAGGCGGCTGAATCGGAAGCACGTCCACTACTTGTCCGTACGCGTGAGCCGCATCGTTGACAAAGGACGTGTGATATGGACCAGAGACAGGCAAGTTTACAGCTCGTGCGCCCATGCCCCGGAATGTCAGCCGATCACACGCATAATTCACGCCCACTGTTGTGCCGGCCAATACAATTTGTACCTGTGAGTTGACATTGGCGGTTGCCACGAATTCCTGGGGCGCGATGCCTGGTACAGCGCCTTGTTCAATTTGCCGCTGAAGCGCCTGGACCTCCTGCAATGCGCGATCCAACATACCCGGTCGCAGTACCACAGCGCTAACCTGCGTACCACGCCAGTGTGCCTTCTGCGTTCCATCCTTAGCGGTCTCTTCAGTGGCGAATTCGAGCTGACCGCCCTTGCCGCTGGATATATTGGCAAAGCCCCATGTTTCAAAAATGCTGGCAGGCCGTTCGCAGCCTTCTGGAAATAGGACGGGATGCTGCTCGAGACATCGCGCAATCTCAAGGCCTCTGTATCTCACAGCACGTAGGGCATCACAGAAGAGTAGAGACCTTGTGGCAATCAAGGAAGCAAAGACACCAGACCCATGACCAGCCGCCCAATGTATGTGGTCTTTGATCAGGTCCACGCCAAATTCACGGCGCAAGACTCGCATGAACGAGAGTGTGACTGTAAGAATGGCTGGCATGGCATTCTCAGGTCGTGTGAGCTCCAGCTGCGATCCACCAAAGACCATGTCGGTGAACCAGCCAGGTCGACGATTCAACCCCGGAGGACTGACAAGACGGTCGAGGGCCTGGCCACGTAGCAACTGTTGTTCAAAGGCATCGCGCATAGGATGATCAGGTGCCACTGCCACTGGATGTCCCTCAATGAAAGAAGACAAGTAATATTCTGCCTCCTCCCACACCTCACGAGCGGTGCTGTACTCATTATAGAGATCATGTGCCATGGTCACATACTGTGATCCTTGACCGGGCAAGATCAGAGCAGTAGGCTTGCGCTCAATGGTGCGACCAGCATAGCCTTCACCAACACCAGCTGCATTTCTGCCAGCTAGGGGGGGCGCGACGCCTGAAGAGACCCATGAGGAGGCATTGAACGAGGAGGACGGTAGTGAGAACGTTTGGGCCTCAGGGAGAGGCCTGTCTGTACCGGGCGCAAGTTGCCTGCGGCTCTCAATTTCCTTATTCGTTTGATTTTTTCTTTCAGGAGATCGTCGGCGCATGCCATAGTTCATAACGGTACCTTTGCCCTCACGCGCACGCACAAACTGTACAGGGTTGGCTCGGCCGCTCACCATAGATGCCGTCATAGCCTGCGAACGCGACCGAAAAAGATTATCGCCATCATCTTTTGTTGAGAAGCGGCGGAGATTGAGGCGCTGTTTGAATGCAAAGACGGATACTCGCCGAGATAGCATCCTGTCCCACGACCCCGGTGTGTGGGGCAGACTGGACCGGATGGCCGACCTTCCCCTGACGCACGTGGCACTAGCACTTCACCCCCACCAATGGAGAATGCGCTGGGGCCCCCGCAAACGGGGCATGCCAGCTATGGGGAGGTCCGCTCTCCATCTCCAGTATGGCTAGTGAATCTTACCAGCATGTTTCTAGGCATGTGCGTACTGGCTCCTTTGTACGTGACGATCGTGTGCTAAGGCAGCAATGCGATGGTCTATTCGATTGAATATTTTCGCGACGCGTTTCGCGGCACAGTACTGGAGCAAACGTTTGCCAGTGGTTTAATCATGACGTTCAATATTGTGGCTGTTATTTGTACTGTGCTCGCTACGATGAGCGGAAGCAAAAAGCAAGTGTGTACCGCGCTACTCACTGGCAGACCACACCATCGTTGCAAATCCAGCGCACGTTGCAAGCCTTTCTAGGCGTGAATGTCATGATGCTAGGATCCATCCTGGTGCTAGATATCAGCGCTATTCATCATCCCTATCTTTACTTTCTTTTTTTATTGTTCTCGTGTGTAATATCCGCGATGTTACAGTCATATCTGCAAAGTGCCACGATGAACTTTTGCACACGACTGGATATTGGCGGTAACGTTCTCAGCTACATGCTATTGGGTCAGGCATTAAATGGCGCTCTAGGGAGTGTAGTGAACCTGATAAGCTCCTGGATCGCTGCCCAGTACGGCACACATACACGCACGAGCACCCACTATCTTCAAAATAGTCGGGCGACCACTGCTGTATACTTGTGGACTCTATTCCTGCAATGTCTGGCGCTAGGTCTGCTTCAGACCACACTGCGTGACCCTGTTGTGAAGGGCAGGATCGAGGCGTGGATGAGTCAATCCTATGATGCGTCGACGGAGGACGAAAATTCGCCCTGGTCTCGCATCGTCGCCGTTCAAAAACGTATTGTGCCATGGAGTGCGAGCATATTCGGCTTGTTTCTGGTCACACTGACTGTATACCCTGGACTGACATCGCGTGTGCGAACTCTGACACATGTACCCTGGTTGCAGAATCCCAGTGTATTCGTTGCGTGGCACTTGGTAGCAATGAATATGGGTGACCTAGTAGGCCGGCGCCTGCCCCTGCTACTCCCCTGGCTCAATGTGCGCAATAGCCGCATCGCCGTGGGGATCACACTCGTTCGTGGGTTGTTCCTACCCGCCATACTGGCATGTCATGTGCGGCCTGACCAAACAAAAAGCTTTTCTGACATCACCTTTTTTGCCCTTGTTTTTTCACTCGGACTGACAACAGGACTGCTGTCAACGTCCTTCCTAGTGTCAGGCTCCCAGAGTGTGCATGATTCCTCGGGCGTTTGTCCGGAAGATGTGATGTTGCTCAATGTGCAGCAAGAGTCACAGATGCCAAACGTGTGGGCAGACGAAGATGCAGCAACGGCCTCGATGATCCTGGCATTCTGGTTAGTTTGTGGGCTAGCGAGTGGCGCATTCGCAAGCCTCGTCGCGAATGTGATTATGGGTTAGGGAATGCATCCATATTCCAAGCTACGCAATATGTGGGAAGAAGAGGAACGATTATTCGTCGTCGTAGCCGGACACAGCCTCGCGAGGCCCCGCGGGCACTGGAGTCAGTCGTGCATAGTACATACAAGGATACGACACAGGAATGCGCTCAGCGGGCTTCCAGCCCATCTGCATGCGCATTGGGGGCACGGTCAAGACAAGGGCAGGGCCTACCGGTGTCAGTATAGGAGACATACCAATCGCGCCGACAATGATCGAGAAGAACACCACAGGACGCTCATGAGCCGCTTTGCGCTGAAATGTCAGACTCGCCACTTTAACCACATACCAGGTAATGGACCGTGTTCAGTAAGGGCCGCGTAATTACGGACATGGCTGGTTCGGCGGAGACGGAGTCGCCGTGCTGACCTGAACGGCAGCTGAGCATGTGGCACGTGGGGCCATGTGGGGCCACATGCGCCGGGCGGGCGATCGTCACCCAAACATCTACAAGGCGCATTGTCGGCGGGAAATTTTCCCTGGTGAACAACTCTCTCCTCCAAGGGCCCGAGTTTCGTGCTCTCGTCCACAACAACACCGACATCTGGACCTGCCGTGTTCAGCGGCTCGTGATCGCGTGAGCGAGCCTCCCACGCGTTGGCATCCTATAACACGACTTCCATTTCTATTGATGCACTCTGACATGAGTTCTCCTTTCATGGACGCAGCAGAGCCGCTCACTTCGCCTTTGGACTACTTGGATACAGCTCCTGATTTTGGCTCACATGCATTTGAAGATACGGTGGCAGGGTCGCCCGTGTTTGGTCACGTAGGCACAGCTCTCACGCGCACCCAGTCTGAACTATTCCCTTCGGATCTGCCGACGAGCTTTAAATCGGACATTAGTGTACCAAGCCCGTTACAAATGAGCTTATCAACAATGCATCCTGATGATTTCACCGTCAGTCTCGATGGCAGCTCGTCAAATACCAGTTCGAGTTCTCATGCCAGCTTCAACAAGCTGGCAAAGGATATGACACCACTGACTTTAGCACACCCCCTGGGCCTGAGCAGCGGAGATTCTGACAGCGAACATGGAGAACATGCGTTTCTACGCGATACTACAGCGGATAAGCGGGATAATAGCGCATCGAGCGATACAACAAAGCATGCGTCGCCACCTTGCACACCCCTACAGACAGGGTCCTCGCTGCCAGGCATTATGCCGGGGCATGTTACAAATGCCTCTCCGACACAAGATTCCGTGCAGCAGATGCAACATCTGCGTTTGAACTCGCTTCAGTCCAGTCCCATGTCGATGAAATTCCCAGACATGTGGTCAGAGGCTCACACCCAAGCACCCATCATGTCGCCGATACGCAATCTGATCCCGCCGAGCTGGTCAATGCTTGGTTTGCAGCCGGGTACACCCAGTCCTTTCACACCGCTTGGCTTGCAAGACAGTTCTATATTCGGTATTCCAGGTGTGCAGCCCGGTGCATACCAGCCATTTGTGGACCCCTCGAGTACGCAAACACCCACCATGTCCCCCCGTGACTCTGTGGCATCAGAGCGAGGCTTTTGGGCACCCGTTGCCTCGGCTCAAGGCCCCACGTCGATCATGCAGACATCTGCATCAATGATGCCATCGACCCATACAAAGAACATGTCGCCCGGTCGCCGGCGCTCAGCTATGGCGGGCATGCCTCGCAAGGCCCAGAGCACGCCGCACTTCCAGAAGGTCAGTTATGAAGCAACGCCGCTGGCCTCTACGCCCCACTCCCCCTCCAAGTCGCGCTCAAACCCCAAGACAGTGCGTCGTCTTACGAGTCAGAAGCGCATGTCCGTGCAACCCACGGCCACAGCCCCAGAACCGACGAAGATGCAACCTGGGCGCCTGCGTATGCGCGGTTCTATGGCGGCGCTGCGAGAGGCAAATGCGATGCAGACTTCGTCCAAGAGTTCTCCAGCCACCCAGCGCAAGCCTATCACGCTGAGCTTTGTCAATTATGGTATTGAACATGCCGAAGAGCTCTGCTCTGCTGTCGCACCGAGTGGGAGCTACAAAGTACCATTGCGTGGCTTCAAGGACTCGGACGACGAGGGTGAGTCGCAGTCAGCCACGCCACCCGCCACACAATCTTCTGCCAGTGCGTCCGGAGAGTCGCAGACACCACACAGTGGCTATGCGAGTCATCAGCCAGGGACCTCTAAAGAAACCTCGGCACGACATGAACCTAAACTGCGCCGAGCCACAACTAATCTCCGCGACTTTGTCGCTCATAGCACGCATACGATGACATGACTGTAGATTCACTCAGATTTTGCAAAGAAAAGATCTAGAGATGCGCCTGGGGCACGTCCAGACCCACTGTTCGCGCCGTCGCACGAATGCGCTCCTGCTCGGACATGCCGTAGAGCGGGTTGTACATCTCCATCAGTGATGTGTGAATGCGCTTACTCCGAAGAAGAAGCTCCATATCGGCCAGTATTTTGGAACTCGTGGGCACATGCTGGACATAGAGGTCCACCATGTCTACCAGTGAGCCAGACAGGGTATCCTTGTGATTGCGCTGCGAGTCAGTGTGGCCAGGAGAGCTGCCTACCGTAGAGCGGAGCTCATGGATTACTTTGTCGGCGACATGGCGTGCAGGAAGTCGGGTCGCTGCAGCTTCGAGAGACGCAAGGCTGAAAAGAGCCGACGCCGATGCTTTCTGCGCCACCGTCGACATGAGTCGGAGACGAGAAATCGCTGGTTTTCAAGTTGTGGAGGCAGTCCGTGGCACGGCCCGGCCAAGCGCCACAGCGGACCAGACAATGCTGCGCAGCAGGCACGGCTCGTGGGCGAGGCGTCAAAGTATGTCACTATGAGATCCCATGATTCAGGCGTCAAGGCTAAGGGTAAGTAGACGAACTAGACGTACTCGCTGATACATTCCCATGCACCCTTCAGGTTTTCCTTCCAAAGCGACACCTTGCCGTCGCCGCAGCTGACGGCCAGTACGTTGCCGCTCAGGCTCCAGCTCACGCGCCAGACCGTGTCGGGGAACTTGGAACGGTCTTCAGGCTTCTGGCTTGGGAGAAGCGGCGTGCACTTCCATGGCTCATGCACACCGCTTTGTGTCCACACGAGCACCGTGCGGTCCTGTGACGCCGTTGCTAGGTACGTGCGAGCGAGTCCGACGCTCGGCGCGAAGGCCACATCACGGACCCAGTCCTTATGCTCCTTCAGTTGGTCGACCTCCACGTATCGGTTGAGCTCATCGTTGAATTCCCAGATCTTGACGACAGTGTCGCAGCCCGCCGTAGCGAACCGACGGGTAATGGGTGCATCCGGCACATCTGACGCCGGCACTGGCATCCAAGATACAGCGTTGCAACCCCCGGCATGCGCGGTTACAAGGTCTACTGACCAGGAACCGTCCTCGTTGAAGGTCAGTACAGACACACGGCCGTCCGTCGAGGCGCATGCCAGTGTGGCCCCCAGCTCGTGGGGCGCCCACGCGATAGAATTGACCGACGCCGAGTGCAGGGCATGGTCCTTAATGCGGGTCCAACCCGTAGCGGAACCATACGCACCGCTGCTTGCCTCGTTTTTCCAAATGAAGACCTTGCCGTCGTACGAGGCACTCGCCAAGATAGTACCAAACGACGGGTGCGCCCAGGCCACCTGCCACACGGGACCCTCATGTCCAACAAGAGTCTCACCTGCTCCAACAGCTTCTCCGTTTTGCACATCAAATACCTTGACGGTGCGATCCGACGAGCATGTGGCTAGCTTGCTGCCGTAAAAGTCTAGCTGTGCATCGTGCTGCCAAGTCAGTCGTTCTAGCACATACCACTGCATCCTCATGGAATGTCTCCACTGTCTTTGTATCGGCACTCACACCAGCCATATTATCAATGGGCTCCTGTGGGTAAGACGCTCGGACGCACCATTCGGCGGGGGGTGGGAGCGGCGGGCGACGGCCACGACGTGTCGCGGCCCTCCACGACTCACGTGACTCAATGCACGACGTCTGCAGGCGTCGCCCCTTTGCCGCTTCACAACCATGTCGGTGTCAGGGCCCTCCGCCTCGGCAGGCGAGAATCCTTACTTGGCACACCGGAAAGACCAATGTGCTCAGGTCGATGAACTTAAGGGACTCACGCGCCGGAAAGTGTCGGGGGCCGAAGCTCGGCGTGTGCTCGATGGGGAGATGAATCCCTTTGCCGCCGGTGGTCCGCGCCCCTTTTCTAAGGCATACAAAGACATTTTGGCTAAGCGCAAGGAGCTGCCCGTGTTTTCACAGATGGACGAGTTTTACGAAAAGTTTAACAAGAGTCAAATCATGGTCATGATCGGTGAGACGGGCAGTGGCAAGACGACTCAAATCCCACAGTACGTGGCACTTTCCGATCTGCCTCAACTACACAAAGTGCGTGGGGCGGACGGTGTTGAGGCGCCGCGCATGATTGCATGTACACAGCCTAGGCGTGTTGCTGCCATGAGTGTCGCAAAACGTGTGGCGGAGGAAATGGACCTTACGCTCGGCAAGGAGGTCGGTTATACCATCCGTTTCGAGGATATGACGGAGCGCGGCACCACGCTAGTCAAATATATGACGGATGGTATGCTTTTGCGTGAGGCGATGAATGACCCGAATCTCGAGCGCTATAGCACGGTCATTCTCGACGAGGCCCACGAACGCACGCTTGCCACCGACATTCTTATGGGTCTACTTAAAGATGTGGCAAAGCGACGCCCTGATCTCAAAATTATTGTCATGAGTGCCACGCTGGATGCTCTTAAGTTCCAGAAGTATTTCAACAATGCTCCGCTCCTGAAGGTGCCAGGCCGCACCTTCCCTGTGGAGACTTTCTACACCCAGGAGCCTGAAAGGGATTACGTCGAGGCGGCAATCCGCACGGTACTGATGATCCACCAGGCTGAGGAGCCTGGTGATGTACTGGTGTTTCTCACGGGTGAGGACGAAATTGAGGATGCTTGCCGTAAGATTCGCGCCGAGGGTGAGAAACTGTTGGCGGAGGAGCCAGACTTGTGCGGTCCTTTGAAGGTGGTACCCCTATACTCGTCTCTTCCACCGGCGCAGCAGCAGCGCATCTTCGACTCGGCGCCTGAGGCGGCCCGTCCGGGCGGCCCCCCTGGCCGTAAAGTTGTCGTGAGCACAAACATTGCCGAGACGTCGTTGACGATTGATGGCATTGTGTACGTGGTTGACCCTGGGTTTAGCAAGCAGAAGGTGTACAATCCACGCATTCGTGTTGAGTCGCTACTTGTTAGCCCTATATCTAAGGCATCTGCGCAGCAGCGCGCGGGTCGTGCGGGTCGTACGCGTCCGGGCAAGTGTTTCCGTCTGTATACGGAGAGGGACTGGGCTAGCGAACTGATTGAGCAAACGTACCCTGAAATTCTGCGGTCTAATCTGGCCAACACGGTGCTGGAGCTCAAGAAGCTGGGAATTGACAACCTCGTTACGTTTGACTACATGGATCCGCCAGCACCTGAGACAGTGATGCGGGCATTGGAACTGCTGAACTACCTCGGTGCCTTCGACGATCAGGGCCACCTTACGCCGCTGGGTGAGATTATGGCTGAGTTCCCTCTGGACCCGCAACTGGCAAAGATGCTGATCGTATCGCCCGAATTCAAGTGCTCGAACGAGATCCTGAGTATTGCAGCAATGCTGTCTGTGCCCAACGTATTTGTGCGGCCGAGCCAAGCATCACAGCGTCAAGCAGCAGATGCTGCACGCGCCGAGTTTGCGCATCCAGACGGAGACCATCTAACGCTCTTAAATGTATACCATGCGTATAAGACCAACTGCCCTGACATGAAGACGGGCAGCGATTGGTGCTGGCAAAATTATCTGTCACATCGGGCATTGATCCAAGCCGACAATGTCCGGCAGCAGTTGCAGCGCACAATGGAGCGTTTTGACTTGGATCTGGTGTCTCTACCTTTTGAGGATAAGCGCTACTACACCAACATTCGGCAGGCCATTGCGTGTGGCTTCTTCATGCAGGTGGCTCACAAGTCGGCGGGCGGCGGCAGCCGCGGCGCTTACACGACGGTTAAAGACAACCAAATTGTCTCGCCTCATCCGTCGACGACACTGGACCACATGCCTGAATTTGTCGTGTATCATGAGTTTGTTCTGACCTCCCGCAACTTTATTCGAACTGTAACAGAGGTCAAGCCTGAATGGCTCCTGGAGTTTGCTCCCTCGTACTATGATCCCCGCACACTCGATGGAGAGCTGAAGCGAGTCTTTGAGGCGCTCATCAAGCGTCGCAGCGAGGGTCGCCAGAGCAAAAAGGCCCGCAGGTAGACCAAGCCAGGCCCTAGGCCCGCGCCCAGGGAATAATTCCAATTGTACCCCATTCGTCGCCGACGCACCTGCCGCGTCGATCGTGGCTCGCGCGTGGCCACAATGGCATCCAACAGCGATGCGCATGCATCCGCACGCATCAGCGTACGTACTCGCGGATCTCATACGAGAGTTCTATACCCACTCCTTTACCATCTTTTCGTCGCTGCAAAGTATCGCAGCAGCTCAGGCAAGCCAGTCGAAGCCGGCTGATGCCGCGTGGTTGGCGGCGGGCCCTTCGGTGCAGACGATGCAGTACTATCACCGGATCGGAACCCTGTACTGCGAGGCTATCCAGTCGTATATGCGTGCGCTCGAGTCTCCTCAGTCGGAAGAGACAGAGTACGAGCGCCACGTCCAGGAACTACACATGGTCTTTCATCTCGCGCAGGTGCTCTATTTTCCCGAGGATGGCAGCGGTATGGGGGTTGTCGGCGAAGAGCTGCTGCACTGGCTCAATGCGCACGACGTAGCTCCTACTACTGAGCAGGGTCAAGCCATCGCGCAGACACTCCCGCCCCATGCCCACCCTGACTATTGGGATTACATATTTCGCTGCGTTCTGCGTGGCTTTTACGGGACAGCGGCTACTGTTCTGCAATCCTACGTTGAGAATCCCTTGTCGCCAACTTTGCAGAGTATCGCGCGCGAAACGGTACAAATGCTCAAGAGTCTCCCGCGCTCAACGGCACATGCGACGGAGCAGTCCTTCTTCTCGTCTCACCGTCATTGGCTTACATCCGTGCGCGTATTTCTCAGTGGCTTTCAGCGACTCATGGATCAAGTCGAGACCGAGCTGAAGGGCCAAGTGCCCTCTCCCACCGATATGCGCCTGGAGCTAGAGGCACAGTTCCACTGCCTTTTAGAACTGTTTTGTGGTGTGAAGGAGCGCGTGCTCGAATTCTCGGAGGACTGGAAGGAAGCCCTGTGTGCATGGGGTACGCTCGTGCAGCCGGCAATGCGGCGTGATGACCTCCCAGAGGTCCTACAAATTATCACCGATTCCCTACCGGTCGACGGCACACTGCAGCGTGAAAGCATTTTGTCAGCTCTGCTGCGTGGCGATCTGGTCCAAAGTATTAAGATATGCCAGTCTTTCGATGAATGGCTCGCGACTCATCTTGGCGACTACTGCGACAAGGCTCAATTGTTGGAGGGCACCGAAGTCGATACTGAGGAAGCAGTGCCGCTGATGGAGCAGATCCTGCGCACGTGGGCCGATACGCTGCTGAGGGAAGAACGTCTCTGGCGCATGGCCGTGTCGTATCTGAATGTCATTGACTCGCCAGCGGCTCGTGCACAGATGCGCACCATCCTTTTCGAAGTGCCGCTGCTAGATACTCCCATAACGGGGGAAATGTCGGAGGCGGATGCTCAATTTGAAAAAGTGGAAGAAGTGCTGAATGCATGCATTGAGTATGGCATGGATGATGAGGTCCGCCTCATCTGTCGTCGACTGGGACATGATCTAATGGAGCGCCAGAAATATGGCCTCGCAATTGCCTACAGTGTGCGAGCGCGCGATGCGCGGCAGGTCCGTGCCATTGCTGATCGCATGCTCCATGACTATGTCGTGATGGGGCCAGACCACTTTGTCGCCAGTGTGAATACGGTGCCGCGCGTCCTGATTGATGATGCAGCTGCCTTGTCCTCCGATCAAACAGACGGGAATGTTTTTTCGGCGATGGTACCTTCGGCGAACATCTTTTCCCAACAAACATTTGCTCCGCTGGTGTTCCATTTCAAGTACCGTGACTTCCATGAGTCTTTCCGTCAGCCGGAAACTTGGCGCGACGCGGCTCAGATCCTTGTCGAGTTGCTTATGAGCGATGTTACACCCGAATCTTTTCTGAGTGTGCTGCTTGTCGACGCTTTGCCTTTTCTGGAGTCACCCACACTTTATTTCACTGTATCGGAAACCTATGAGCTTCTGCGGATTACAGAAAAAGTGGCGTCGGTGGCGGAAACCAACGAGAGCACTGAAGCGGCCGACTTTTATTTCCACTGGCTCGAGCAATTGCTCACTCATAAAGAAGGCAAAGACAGTCCAAGCGTCTCTGGCCAGCGCAAACTAGCGCAGGAACGCATGTCGGTCGTGCGCCTGGCCCTGTCTCAATACCTTTCACGTATCTTAGTCGAACACCAAATTCCCTAGCAAATCGTAGAATGAGCATTTGCATGGTATGAGCACAAGTTTCTAGATACCGGCCAGCGAACTAGGGGCAGCAGGCCCTATATAGTACTCCTGTGCGAGCGCAGCAAAGAAACGCATTTTTGGAAGAGGCCATATTTAGACCACAGTACCCGCGTTCGACGCGATACGCGGCCACAGGTCCGCGCACTCCTTCGCGACGGGACCAGTGATGGCACTGCCCTTCATCTCACCCTTGGGGTTGACAATCACGCCGGCGTTGTCCTCAAAGTACAAGAAGACACCGTCGCCACGGCGCCATGGCTTGCGCTGGCGGACAATCACAGCGGGCATGACTGCATATGTTAGAAAATAAAGCATCATTAGTTAAACATACCCTTCTTACGGAGCTCAGGCTTGCCCTTCTTCACGGAGGCGACGAACATGTCTCCTGCCGAGGCCGCCGGCAGGCGGTTCAACGAAGCACCGGCACCAAAGACAGCAATCACGTACAGGTTCTTGGCTCCCGAGTTGTCAGCACAGTTCATGACGGCGCCGACGGGAAGACCGAGCGTCATGCGGTACTTGTTACCCACGGAGATTTTGCTCATGGTGCTTGCTAACGATGGTAGGGGACCAACGAGTCGGCTTCGTTCTTGGACCCAACGGTGGCTCACCATGCCTTAGAACTATATAACACGTGACTACTATGTTAGTAAAATTATGGAGGTGAACACCAGTTGGCCCCTTCCACGTGGCTAGGCTGCGTGGTACTGCGGCGCACAGTCATGGCACACGAGGTACGGCAGTTGATGCCTAGATGATGTATACTTGGTGGTCATAGGACAAAAGATGGTATCATTTTCGAATCAGACTGAGAAATTCTTCACGAGTCTTGGCACGGTCACGGAACACACCGAGCATACAGCTCGTGACGGTCACAGCACCAGGTTTTTGCACACCGCGCATTGCCATACACATGTGTTCGCACTCCATTACAACAGCCACCCCACGCGGGTTCAGCGCCTCGTTTAGAGCCAGAGCCACTTGTCGTGTTAGACGTTCTTGCACTGAAAGACGCCTCGCGAAGGTCTCGGCGATGCGAGCAAGTTTGGAAAGACCAATCACCATGCGGTTGGGAATATAGCCAATATGGATCTTACCCTTGAAGGGAACGAGATGATGCTCACAAAGACTGTACACCTCGATATCACGGACAATCACCAACTCGTCGTGGTTCTCGTCGAAAATAGCATGGTTAATCACATCACAAAGGCGCTCCTCGTATCCTTTCGTCATCCATAGAAGAGCTCGTGCATAGCGCTGCGGGGTATCTTTCAGTCCTGCACGATCAGGGTCTTCGCCCAAACACTCGAGGATTGTCCGTACGGCCCCAGCCAATCGCTCTTCGTTGGCGGCAGACTCCTCCGCCGTGTAATTCACACGGTCAAGAGTTGATTTAGCAGGCCACCCCAGACCATGCTTGTTTAGAACAGCAGCAATAGGGTCTCTTTCATCAGAGAATCCGCTGATCACTGTCATAGCCCCAGTGGGTGTGCCAAGACCACCCCCCTTTTGGTTGGCGCTTACCGACGAGCTCATGGCTGGGCTCGGAAGCGCCGTTGAATCTGCATCATCATCTTCATAATGACCATCCTGGACCTGTTAATGGACCCATCATGACTTACCTCCAGCGGGCGCTTTGTCCCTCGCTCCGCCATCTTCGCCAGGTCGTGAATTTCAGGCCGACAGATTGTGTTCAGCGCGCAAGCCCGCCGACCTGCTTTGTCATGTTTTGTCATTCATCTATGCGAAACGTCGTTGATTTCATTGGCGCATATACAACGACCCGGCTACGTCGGCCGCCCACGGCAAGTCCCCACACTACCATCACCATGTCTAAGTCGATTACTATGGAAGAGGTGAAGCAGCATACTTCTCGTAAGTACTCAAGATGCACTCAGTTTCTCTAACTCTCTTTCAGAGGACTCTGCCTGGGTTGTAATCAAGGGTGACGTTTACGATGTCACTGATTGGCTCGACCAGCACCCTGGCGGCAGCAAGATCCTGCTGAAGAACTCCGGCAAGGATGCTACTGACAAGTTCGAGAACTACCACCCCGAGAATGTGTTGAAGGATGTCGGTTCGAAGTACAAGATCGGTACTCTGGCGGACAATCCGAAGCTCTGATTCACTTTCACAATTGTTCGGCATTGCATAGGCCCGAGGCGATCTGTACTTCGTTATAGTATCTAAATTGATCGTTACTTGGCTCTATGCAATTTTCATACTAAAATGATTCGATAGACATAGGCAAATGTCGGCCCGCCTATCGTGTCATCGACCTAGTAACCTAGGCTAGTCTAATCGGTTTAGAGCCAGCCGACCTTGGTACATGACGCTTGCTCGCGGGGTTTCATGACCAATTCTGACTAACGGGCGGCCCCGACACGAGGGTGGAGCCATAATGTGGGCGACAAAATGGCTAACCCACTCCCACAGCACCCAAACTTGTGGACTTCACAAAGCCAAGCTGGCCGCTCTAGTGTGCGCGCGGAGGCAGTGTCCGTTTCATTGCTGATCTACAACCTGGTGGAACGCCTTTGTTGCTCCTAATCTCTATCTCCCGCGCTAGTCGGCCTATTCTTTATTTTATTTTTTTTCTATACATATACTTTTTGAGCGGGATCTATGGCGCACCACCCATCGCCGGGACAGGGTGACAGCTGCTTGAGCGATTCTCTTGTCGTTGATGATGGATATGGCTACGTTCCTCCACCCCCTCTCACAATCCCCTCCAACTCTGTCCAAAGTACGCCTACGGGCAAAGTCGATCTGGGCTATTTAGCATCAACTGGCCAATCTTCTACCTCATCACACCGTCGCCCCAGTTCGCCCTTGCGTCCCGTCAAGCCGGATCAAACCACTACTTCTGATATGAGTAATACAGGCTTGGTGGATCCGGAGGCCTTAGGCGCACTTTCGCCTGTGCCGCCAACCTCGACTCCCTCTGCTCCGCCTGCGGTATCAGCGACTGTATCACGCTCTAACACCCATCCCCGACATCGACTACCGCAACCGAGTCCTTCTACGCTGCAAGATGCGTTTGTTCCTGTAACCAAGCCACCACCGACCGAGACAGTCTCGAATTCGTTGCATGAGGAGCAGCTTCGATGGACCTTGGGTGATTATATGGTGGGCCGCACGATTGGGGCGGGAAGTATGGGCAAAGTCAAGTATGGTATATGCAAGTCGGATCAACGCAAAGTGGCGGTGAAAATTATCCCTCGGCATACTAGTGTAACCGGTGTTCTGCAGCATGGTCGAGGCAAGCCCAAGCATCCGAGTCATGCGGCTACAGAAGCAGAGATGAATGCTGCTCTTTCGCGCGCGGCCTCTAGAGATGCTTCTAAAGAGGTTCGCATTGTACGAGAGGGAAGTCTACAGATGTTGTTGATGCATCCTTACATTTGTCGCATGCGCGAGATGATTGTGCACACTAACCACTATTATATGATCTTTGAGCACATTAACGGCGGCCAAATGCTCGATTATATCATATCTCATGGTCGTCTGAGGGAAAGATCCGCCCGAAGCTTTGCGCGTCAGATCGGCAGTGCCTTACAGTATTGTCATGCCAACAATATTGTTCACCGTGATTTGAAGATTGAGAACATCCTTATTTCGAAGTCAGGAAACATCAAAATCATTGACTTTGGGCTCTCCAATCTATTCTCGCCCCAGGGTCATTTGAATACATTTTGTGGCTCGCTTTACTTTGCTGCACCCGAGCTGTTAAATGCGCGTGTTTACACGGGGCCTGAGGTGGATGTATGGAGTTTTGGTGTGGTGCTTTTTGTGCTCGTGTGCGGGAAAGTGCCGTTTGATGATCCATCCATGCCTGTGCTACATCAGCGCATCAAGAGTGGGATAGTTGAATACCCTGCGTGGCTAAGCTCTGAGTGCAAGCATCTCCTTTCAATCATGCTGGTAACAAACCCTCATCAACGTGCGTCTATGCAGGAGGTCATGTCTCATCCTTGGATGATGAAAGGATATGATCAACCTGAGCCGACCTATCTTCCAGAGCGCGTGCCTCTACGTGCTGGGCATCTAGACAGAAATGTCATTGAGAGGATGACCGGATTTGAATTTGGACCGCCCGACCATATCGAGCAGCAGCTCGAAGTAATTCTACGCAGCGATGCCTATCTCAACGCTGTGGCTCACCATGACCGTCTAGGAGATCCGGCACTGGACGAAGCGCCCGCCTCAGCAACAGCTTCCCGCCACCGCATGTCGTTACCACTTGGTTTGCCATTTTATCGTCGCAAGAAGGATTCAGATGACTTGGTCGACAGCAATGGCCCACCCGGCATCAAAGGACCGGTGCATCCTGCGTACGGCTTTCATCCACTGATCTCGGTCTATTTCCTAGTCCGAGAGAAGATGGAGCGTGAAGCCATAGGCATGGAAAACCTACACTCCTCTGACCTGCTGGACCGTCCTAATACAGCCCAGCCATCTCACTCGCTTTCTGCACAAATAAACAATGTCCTTGTACCTCCCGAAGATGCTGCTATCACTGTAACCGAGGTAGCAACTCTGGAAGCACACTCCCTGCCGACCTCCCCCGCGCCACTGGATATACCCAACCCAACGCTACGCCTACCAGAAAAGTCTTTGGTATCGTCTCGAGCCACAGACGTAAATGTGTCACCCGTTCTTCATTCCCCTGTGCATGCACAGTCGTTTGCACCTCCTGAGTCCGATTCACTACCGACGCCCGTATTTGAGTCACGGCAAAAGTCACAACCTCACGGTCTCATGAAAGGCCCGCCTCGACCCCGTGCCAAAGTAGAGGAGCTGGAAAACAAACTTCTTACAAGCAGTATCCAAGAAGCCAAGATTCGGCGTAGCTCGACACTCTCACGTCCAAATGCACTCCAGCGGAGTGTCAGTATGCATCATACACAGCAGAATGACTTGCAGCCGCGCGCCTTTTCGTCAGGCGCCGCAAGACCTTTGCCTTCACTCAGCACAATCCAATCGGAATGCGCTGTGTCGTGCAAGTCATCGCAGTCCATTTCACCCGAGACGGAAACGCGCTCTATGCCTCCGGCAACCCCGGAACAAGGACTCTCGCATAGGCTTGGGTCAATGTCGGTAAAAACGCCTGTGCAGTCGACGCTACCGACGGGGGATTTAGGAAACATGCAAGAACCAGGTCGTGATACTCCTACGTCTATGGCTTCTCTTTCTTCCCCTGTGGCAGACCTGCCTGTGTCTCCACCCATGGGAGACGAAGCGACTTCCAAGCCAGTATTCCTCAAAGGTCTCTTTAGTGTGCAGACGACTAGTCGCCGTCCCCGAGCCGTCATTCGTTGTGATTTGGTCCGAGTATTGGAGCTGTATGGAATTCAGCACAAGGAAATTCACGGTGGCTTCGAATGCATCTTCCGTGGTCAACTATGTGATATGGAGCTCCCAAGTTCTTCTTCGTCACCTACAGGCCAAGCTGTCCACGAGACAACGCTCACGTCTCATACACCGCAGGGAGACAAGGATGTTTCTTCGCTGATTCCTCAAGATGTGAATGAATTGGTCGCTACGGGCGTGGGGGATGTTGATATTTTCCGCTCTACCGGAGCTCCCGATCCGGTGTCTCTGGCCCCTCCCCCTGAGGTAAATGCACCGACGAAACGGGAATCAGCCACGATGTCTTCGACCGACGTTGAAGTTTGCTTTGAAGTCTTTGTTGTTAAAGTTCCCCTGCTTTTGGGTATTAACGGGCTTCAGTTCCATCGTGTATCTGGCAATCCGTGGCAGTATCAGACGCTTGCCAAGCGCATTCTCAACGAGCTGCATCTGTAGTGTAGGAGACGGTATGTATAGGAATTATGTACAAGGATTTATGCCCCAGGTGCCTGCGACGCGGCCTTGCTGCTTTTGTCGTCCTCCCGACATGTCTGCGATCGAGCTCATTAATCCCCGCGCGGAGTCAGTGCGGCGACTCCAGGCTTTGCAGGTCAACATAGCAGGTGCTATTGGCCTTGCTCAGGTAGTGCGATCTAATCTGGGTCCGCGTGGTACACTCAAGATGCTGGTTGATGGCTCGGGCAATCTGAAAATGACAAAGGATGGCAAGGTTCTTCTCACAGAGATGCAGATCCAGAACCCTACGGCGGCTATGATTGCACGCACCGCTGTGGCTCAAGATGAGCAGTGTGGTGATGGCACAACGAGTGTGGTACTCTTGGTGGGCGAGCTTCTGAAACAAGCTGAGCGCTACATTCAGGAGGGCGTCCATTCGCGAGTTGTATCAGATGGCTTTGATGTAGCTAAAGCAGGGGCTCTTCAATTTCTTGAAGAATTCAAGCAAAAGATGGACCCTGACCGCGCAACATTGGTGGCAGTGGCAAACACTGCCTTGGCTACGAAGCTAGCGCCGAAATTGGCGAAACAGCTAGCTGACAGCGTTGTCGACGCGGTACTTGCTGTTAAGCCTCGTGCGCCCAGCTCTTCTGAAGCACCTTCGTTGAAGGAGGATGGAAGCTCAGAACGTGTGGATGAGTGGGTTACACGCAACCCTATTGATCTTCACATGGTGGAAATTATGAAAATGCAGCACAAGAGTGCCACTGATACGCAGCTAGTGCGCGGCTTGGTAATGGACCATGGAGCACGCCACCCCGATATGCCAAAGCGTGTACGGAACGCATACGTGCTGACACTGAATGTAAGCCTTGAATACGAGAAGACGTGCGTATATTTGTGCTAACGAGACAGTGAAATCAACTCAGGATTTTTCTACTCTTCGGCTGAACAGCGTGAAAAGTTGGTCGAGTCTGAGCGACGTTTTGTGGATGCAAAACTCAAGAAGATTGTTGAATTGAAGAATGCGGTGTGTGATGCCGATGCCAACACTCCTGAGTCGGAGCGCAAGTCGTTCGTCATCTTTAACCAGAAGGGGATTGACCCCATGTCACTTGATGTGCTCGCCAAGAATGGCATTCTGGCTCTCCGACGAGCAAAGCGACGCAACATGGAGCGCCTGCAGCTGTGTTGTGGTGGCGTGGCGCAAAATAGCGTCGATGATCTGTCTCCCGATATTCTGGGTTGGGCTGGACTTGTGTACGAGCAGACACTGGGTGAGGAAAAGTTTACTTTTGTTGAAGACACTAAGGATCCAAAGAGTGTGACTCTACTCATCAAGGGACCCAATGCGCACACTCTCAATCAGATTCAAGATGCTTTGCGTGACGGATTGCGGAGCGTGAAGAATTCCATCGAAGACGGCGCGCTAGTTCCTGGCGCTGGCGCATTCGAAGTGGCCGCCGCTGCACATCTTCTGGACAATGTTCGACGCACGGCCAAGGGCCGCGCGAAGCTCGGCGTCGAAGCATTCGCGCAAGCTCTTATGGTAATTCCCAAGACACTAGCAAGCAATGCTGGGCTTGATATTCAGGATGCTATTGTAAACCTGCAAGATGAATGTGCTGAAGGTCATATTGTAGGCCTGGATACCCAAACGGGCGAATGTATGGATCCCGTCAGCAGCGGCGTCTGGGACAACTATCGTGTGAAGCGTCATATGATCCACAGCAGTGCTGTTATTGCTTCCAACTTGCTTTCTGTGGACGAAATTTTGCGCGCGGGTCGTAGCTCGCTTAAAAACGACGCGCCAGGTCCGTAGATTCGAACCAAATGCGTTTAGCACATATGTAGCGCGCTGTAGCTTTAAGGGTTGCCCTCCACTTTAGTGCTGGCCCGAACGGGGCGATTTTGACAACTTCGTCAAGTGCGATGTCCAGTCGATTCGGGCCTGGTAGGGAGGGGATAGGTCCATCTCTACAGGTTTCCTATACTCTCCCTCCTCTTATTTCTTTCAAAGATGATCCTTATCGCAGGTATCTTCGAGGTGGAAACCCGGCCACTATGCGGTCATTACCGATACTTGATTTCCCACCTCCCAAGCCGGCATACTCGTCACAAATAACACAAAACGTGTCTACGCCCCGTGTGAGATGTTCACATAAACCAATGATGGAATCCAATCAGTCATTGCTAGGCAATGCTCATGAGCAACATATGCGCCCCATTAGTGCCTTACAATTATCTGCTACGGATGAATCTACTACACTCTACAGTGCGGGAATGGACGGTCTCGTTTGTCAATGGGATATTAGTTCCATTGATCAATGTGCCACGCCAAAGCTAGTCCAAAGTGCTCGCCCCCACCGCAACTGGATTTGGGACATGGCCCTCTGCCGTGGTCAAGAAACTGTGGTTACTTGTTCATCCGATTGCACTGTAAAAGCATGGAACGCTGGTACAGACGGTTCTTCGTACGAACTGGGGGCACATGAGGACTTTGTCAAAGCGCTGGCCTCTGCACACGCAGCATCATGGGTGGCAAGTGGATCTCTTGACCGTACCATTTGTCTGTGGGATCTCAAGGAAGGGCGCCAGGAACCCATGTGGCGCGCAATGGCCCCTGCAAGTATCTACTCAACGACCTGCAACTATACAGGCAGTGTCACGGCCACTGGTGGTGTTGACCGCACAATTCATGGGTGGGACCCCAGGATGCAAGACTCTACCTTCGAGCTGTTCGGGCACGATGACAATGTTCGTACAATGTGTATGAGTCCGGACGGCCGCTATCTGTTGTCAGGATCCTCAGACACAACGGTCAGACTATGGTCTGTCGGTGAGCAACGTTGCATTCACACATTCTTGCATCATAATAGCAGTGTTTGGAGTCTATACTCCAACGATCCACAGCTGACGACATTCTATTCTGGTGATCGGGACGGATACTTGTGCAAGGTCGACTGGAATCAAAATAAAGATCTATCGGAAGGCCAATGCATTGTTCTAGCACGTGAATCCAGCAATGAAACTGGTCAAATTCCCAGTATTCTCAGTATTGCGGTTGACAACCCACAAGAGGTTATATGGTCTTCGACCCTCGCATCATCAACATTTCGCTGTTGGAAGGACGTACCTACTAACTCCAATTATCAACTCACTAGGGAGGGCGACCTGCCGAATTTGCGCCAGCTCCCTCTAAAGAGCCAGGTGAACCTGAAACCAATTCGTCACTCTGACTTACTTAACAGTCCTCTTTCTTCGAATTTTTCACAGGCATCTCCTGCTCTGGTCGAGGCCTTGAATTCCTCACAACTACAACTACCTGAATCTGCAGAAGAAGCCTCGCCGCTCTCCACGTCGCCGCTTATTGAAGTACCTGGATCACACGGTATTATTCGAGCATGCATGTTAAATGACCGCATGCATGCTCTGACTATTGACTCTGGCGGTGTTGTGGCTCTTTGGCATATCCCTAAAGCACGGTGTTTGGGTACCTTTGACAATGATTCATTACATGCGGCAGCTCATGCCCGTCAAGCTAACGATGACTGGCGCCCCCAAGATAAACCTAGTGACACTTTAGATTTGGTCCAAGGAATTATTGAAGGTGATGGCGTGACACAATCCTGGTGCTCGCTCGATACTTCAACTGGCATGTTGACTGTACACATCGATGAAAGTCGCGTCTGGTCGGCAGAGGTCTATGCCGATGAATTCAATCTGGATGTGGTGTCTGGAGAAGAACAGCCTTGGACAGAAGACCGCGTGGTTTTGGGCGTCTGTGTTTTGCGTAATTTGTTTCGCGGCCTACTGCTTGCCGAGACCGTGTTACATCCTCCTGAGAACAATGATGGTATTCCTCAGCTTGCAAGATGGCTATCTTCACTGCAAATTCCTTCCGAAACTCTTCTACACATGCCGCTTTCGCAGCTTCCCAATGCTATACGAAGCGACAACACGGATCAATCGTTGTACTCTATCATGGCCCATATGACAGGCACTTTCACATCCACTGCAAGCGGTAGTGTCCCTGCGCCAGCACAAGTGGCGGAATCACCTTTAGAGACAACCTTGCTGCAATTGCTCAACAAGGTGCAAGCTCATTTTTTCACAACACCGTCCAGCGCAACCAGTATATCTTCAGCCGATTCCAATGGGTCCTTGTTGAATGGACTACGTCGCGGGGTACAAAAGCCACAAGCTCGCTTGGATTCTTCTAACAGGACCGCTCTTGTCAATTTCGAGCAAGATTTGAACGCACTTCAATCCATCCTCCAAGGGCCTCGTCGTTCCGCGCCTCCTTCTCCAGGCACGCCAGGTATCTTCTACGCTGACGACCTGCCAATCGAATTATTGCAAGATATTTGTCAAAGTGGTGAGTCGAAGCTGGTATATCGAGGTTCTGTGGTGTCGATTGGACGTGATACGCCCTTGCTTGAGCTCCTGGCTCCTCTTTGGCTTCTTAAAATTCTCTTTGTACGACAAAACCCGAACAAAGAACTACCGCGGATTAGGGTCCACCTAGAAAAATGGACCCCGGCGCAGGTGAGTGGGACTCAACCCATGAAGCATGCACTAGAGGCACCTCAATTGTCAAATAAATATTCAAGTGTAACTACACCTCGTCTGTTACGCGTCGCCCGGATTGCGGAATATGTGTACCAGTCTTTAATTGCCTCGGGTGTACAGGCACCTTACACCTACCAAAGCTCTTCTTCTGTGGACGTACCTATTGATATTATGTGCCGGAATGTGACTCTTCCACCCCGTTTAACATTAGTGCAATGTCTACGCCATTGGACAAGAGGCACGGGGGATAATATGCAACTGCAGTATCGATGGAAAGCCCCTGCGCTATAACTTGTTTTAAGGTCTTAATCGTCATTAAGAAAACGATATGTTGGGGCACATAGCGGAGTGGTTTACCGCATCGGTTTTCGGTTATGCTGATTCCCGAAGGTCATGGGTTCGATCCCCATTGTGCTCTTTTTAATTTTATAATTTTGTTTTCCACCATGGATTGGCTATACGGAGTTATGCCACAGCTACATAATTTGAAGGTACCAGAAGGCACTTTTCGTTCCGTAGGATGAGCCACCAATTTTCGTCACTTTGGTCGACAACTTGAAGCAATTCACCCTCGTGAATTGTAGCCTCCTCCGGTGAAGATGCCTCATAGTCGTACAACGCCTCCGCTGCCACGACCGAGTCTAAAAGCGCAACATACGCAGTTGGGATTAATCCTTTCACCTCCGGCAGTGATGCCAATGAGCCATATGTCCAATCTCCCTCGATTGGTACGCCGTTAAGCTTTGGATGGATCAACAAGACAGAATTTTCTTCGAATGAAGCCATTCCCTCTCCGCCAGCAAATGCATACAGTGTGCGGCAGCGGAGTTGCCGGTTTGTATCGAAGTCCATGTGCGACTCTTCCATCATTTCTGCACCAGGTTCTGTGGCAGTGACGTTTTGAAGAGAAATTGTACTTTCAGGATCAACTGCTGTACTCTGCGCAGTATCCACTTCAGGTTCGACAGATTTACCATAGACACTCATAGGCTCGGCACTTTCAGGTTCGTCGTCGCTACTGTCCACAACTGGCACAGAGGATGTTGAAATTCCTGCAGGTGGTGATGATGAGCCCAAAACTGAGCCTGCTGTTAATGCACCTGACCTATCCCTGGTAGTTGTCTTCTTGAGGGTTGTGCCTCCCCGGATTTGCGATAGAAGCGCATTGCGATCACCACCATTTCCACCTAGAGGCGCGGGTAATCCGTTCGATGATGTCACCGCCTCAGCCGAAGGTGCCTGAGCGCCTTTCTTCACCTCTGGCTCAATTGGAGCAGAGGATGGAGCAGGAGGTATGGGTGGCGGCGGAGGCACAGACGTTGCCGGTTGCGTCGTTGGCACCACACCACTGAAAAGTTGTTGTGCCAAATGTTGGCGCGTAGTACGGGAGCTTAAAGGGTTTTCATCTTCATCCTCATCCTCTTCTTCATCCCAATCATCGTCATGTGACGGTGGCAAGTGTACAGAACGAGTAGGGGCAGTCGCTGGTGGCGTAGGTCTGTGGGGTTGTGGCGGTTGAGGGGTTTGAACAGGGGCATGACTGGACATAGGCTCTTCTTCGGCCATAGATTTAGGTTCTGGTTCACGGGGAGGATGAAAAGCGGCAGTCAATGGGGGCGGATCTGTCTTGAGATCTGATGGTAAAACCTCAGGTGCTTGGCGGAAAAATGGGTTAGTTGAAGGCTTTGCGCGAGCAGAGGGTGTTGGCATTGAGTTTGGCTCAGGTTCAGGTTCAGACAGGGGATTGGATGGAGTTAACGGCGGAGGGTCAGGTACAGATTCTAGTGTTGCCTTACGTTCTGGCACCTGAATTGAATCATGCTTGGGAAGATAAGATACAGACTGTCCCTTTTCAGATGGCATAGTGGTTTCTTGAGGAACGGGCGCAGAGTCATGGGACGACAGAGGCTGCTCCTTTTTATGGTCTTTTGCTGGATCAGGCAGCCTTGCTCGAGTAGGCGGTGGTGGTGGCTGTTTATGTTCACGCAGACGGGCTTTGCGTGCCTCCTCACGAGCCTTCGCCTCTTGCTCAGCCTGTGCCGTTCGAGCTTCTGCCTCGCTCTTTTCAGAAGCAAGCCTCTGCTCCACTGAGGCGTCAACAGAGGGGGATTTGTCCACTGTACCCGCCACTCCTAGCATGCGCATACGTTCCTGAACACGTCGCTGTGCCTCTGAACGAATCCAAGCCTCGCGCTCCGTGCCTGAGAGTTTGGGTGCTGATGGCGCAGGCATTGGTGTAGAAGGCGGTACCGGCGACACAGGTTTCACGGTGTCAGATGGCTCCGATCTTGGCTGCTCAGCAGTTGAGGAAGGAGGCACAGGTGATGAAGACATTTCCAGATGCGAATATTTGTCATTGTTTCGAGCATCACGGAGTCGGCTTGCTTCAAGCTCTTTCTTGCTATCCATCGTATGACGTTTGTCCAGACGTCGTTCCAATTGAGGCAAACGCTCATGGAGAAGTTGCATGAGCGTGCGTTCTGCCTTCCGACGTTGCTCTCCAGCGTGGGGTCCCTCGCGACGGTTATAATACTCAATATCATCCTGGAGGCGGCGAATAGCGTATCGAACATCTTCCATTTCATTTTGCAGATCATGATCTTCTTCTTCGTTCAAATCTGTACGTTCCAACATGCGCTGTGTCTTTTCCAGCTGCCTTTTCATCTCACCAAGATCCTCAGCGGCACTCTGACCATTGAACTGGACTTCTCGGCGATCGAGGTAGCGACTCCGGCTTCGGTAACCAGCTGAATCAGACTCCCTATGCTTGTATGCAACAGCATCACTTGTACGACCCGCATCTCGTTCCACAGGATTTTTGTAAAACGAGCGCGTTTCAGTGTATTTGGCATCCTTGTTTGATCCTGGTTCAGTCAAATTGAGAGCTGTAGCGTTGCGAACATTTGTATCTTGTTTGAGTAGATCCTTCAAAAAATCGACACTTTCGCTCAAGTCACGAGATGATGACGGAACGAGTTCCGCTGGAAGCTCTTGTGGAATTTCATTGCCATTGAGTGCACGATAAATAAGAGCCATGGCAATATGGAACTCAGCGATGTTTAATTTACCGCGATTCTCAGCATCTGCAAGATGCCAGATCTGAAGTAATTGCTCGCGAGAAAGCCCACTTTGGCCAAAAAGTTCACGAGCCACATCCCCATTAATCCATCCCGTCTTCTTTGCATCCCAGGCACGAAAAATATTGTCATAACTCTTGCGCTCATCCTTGCTCATTGTCCAAGGTATCCCAGTCTTGGCCTTATTGGGCTGCTGCGTAGATATAGTCTGAAGTTTGTTCTGAAACTGATCAGGCTGCAAACTGGCTTGATGGAAGTTCATGTTCGAGGGTACGGGTACCCCAGAGTAAGGTTGCGCAGCAGGCAAGAACTGCGTATACATTAAACGCATTCGGGGATCTGAGAAAGCTCCGGTCATTTGTGCAGCCATGGGAATACCAGTTGACTGGCTCATCATGGGTGATATGCCTGTTGGCTGGCTCATCATTGGGGTCATTCCTGTTGGCTGGCCCATCATCGGAGGCATTCCCGTTGGCTGGCCCATCATCGGGGTCATGCCTGTTGGACGCTGCTGCATCATAGATGACATACTCGTGGTCTGTGGCATCATCGGTGATATCCCAGCTGCCTGATGTTGCATCATAGGCGGGGCACCCATTGGTTGTCCCATCATAGACCCGGTCATCTGTGACATCATGTTGGGAGGCGGCGGCGGCGGTGCCTGGGGACGCGCAATAAACGATGCACCAGGCATTCCTGTACTTTGCATATTCATAGGCATTTGTCCCGTCATCTGAGGCTGTGGGTAGACACCATAACCTGGTGTTCCCGAACTGCCCCATTGATTTATAGGGTACATTGTACCACAACGAGGCGATGTAGAGGCTATCAAGCCGTGCGCCTAAGGTGCCAACCGGTAAATCACGTGCACTAATAGTCCCAGCGACATCCTGCACGGGCCTAGCTGTGTGCTCTACAACTACATGGTGAAATACTTGATCGGCCGGTACGCTTAGAATCACCAACGACAGTTTTTCCGACCCTATTTTTGGAGTTGTAACAGGTGTTGCAGCCTATATTCTATGGGAGAACGATCCGCGTAATGCTCAAGACCATGGAAACGGAAACTCACTATTGGATCTTATCAGCCGTCGTCTCCAAATCGAAAATCCGGTTCGGAAAATGACTCATTCTATGCGACAGCAGCTACAAAGCCGTTCACCAGAGACAGAGAAGAGGATTATTTAATTTTTATCTGCCCGGTAATGCTTTGCCCAAGCTGCAGTAAGCACAGGATTGTGATGTACGTACAGGTAAAAGATGGCGCCAATGAAGCGAAACAACGCGAGACCTGCCACTGCGTAAAAAAGAATAGCCATGTATATGTTATGCACTTTGCGTGGTAAATTTATAATGGCCACACCCAGTGCCGCATTTGTCAAGGTCCATGCCAGCAGGACATTGGTGCGCACAGCCGCATAGTAATCTTTCTGTTCAAGGTCTAGGTCGCGCGTCGCAGGAGTTGGCTCTGGGTTGACAGCTAGCACATGGCATGCATCTTCGTATGCTGCATCAATATCCTGAGTCTCATTCGGCAGTGTGACGTTTACGGCGTTGCCCGAAGCATCGACAGCTTGACCCAAGTCTGACTTGGTGTTAATTGATCCTTTTGTACCCCAGGACACGTCATGTATGTTGGAAAAGGCATCTGCAGTGTTAGAGGAGACAGCTTACATATATTGATGACATTAATAAAGCTTCGGGTTAGCATTCACACTCGTACCTGGGTGATAGGAGCAGAAATTGGAGTAAGCTAGTGAACAAATGCCATGGGTCAAGCTGATGGTGAATAGATCTCCACGTACGAAAAGGATGGAAGAAATAAGCCAAATACCAAAGGTACTTAGTACTGAGACAACGATTCGAATAAATACGCCATCAGCAATGATATGGATCCCTTGGTTGTTATCCACCTCCTTTCTGACGCTCACATAGGCCAGATATATGACGATGACCATCATATACAACATTAACAGAGCAAATATAATCATAGAAAAGAGATATCCATTACGGTTGCCTTGCGGTCGGTTGCCCATCGACAGCAGAAAACAGTATATCAATATGGCGAGATAGACATACTCGCAAATGACGGAGGGTATGTGCAACCAGTGCACAACATCAGTCATAGATTCGGCCAAAATTTTGAAAGTAAGATAGTAATTTGCCAATGAAAACCAAGAAAACAATAGTTGCACCAACTGGTACACCATCTCAATATGAAGGACGGTTTTCCGGAAGAGGGAGTGATTGGATCGGTAGATATAATTGAACTTGATAATGGAATGGATAGCAGCAAAGAAGGATCCATTCAACCAGCGTCGTCGCTGCGATATTAGCTCGGGTATTTGCGTAGGAACATCAGTTTCACCATGCGCTCGTTTCACAAACCGCAAAACCCAGGAAGCATTGCGTTTGGTGACAAGTTCCCAGCATAGTACTCGGTCTTCTGCAAGGTACATGTTTTTGGTGAAAATGTCCGCATCTGAATGACCACCATATAATTTTTCTCCTTTAAAATAGGTAGACAGGGGTCCGTGTCCCATCGCATCGTTTTGCAGGGCTTCGTATCGATACGCACTAAACGCTCCAGGGAGCACGCTGATATAACCAAACGCACTTTCCATGGGCTTGTCCAATACATTGCTCAATTTATACTCAAAGTTTTGCGCAGCAACCAAAGGGTTAGCAAGAGCGTGTCCCATTTTCCCTTTCAAAGCCACGATCTCTCCGCACGCACCGCCTACATTTTCATCTTGGTCGAATGCTTCCCAGAGACGGTAGATACTCCGAGCTTTCGGCATAGTACCCACATCAATGAGGATGCAGACGCGGGGCTGTAGCATGGCACTGAAAGCATTGAAAGCCCAGCGATGGGAATTGATTTTCTTTTGATTGTGCTCCTTGATGCACAAGAGAATCTGGACCGGTACAATTCCTCGCTCAGCACTGCGGAACTTTAATGAAGGATCGACTGAGATCTGGGTTGTGTATTCGTACATGTGGGCCACAACTGGCACATCCTGAACAGTGTTCTTCCCCACACCTTCCTGGTAAATGCCCATAGCCGCCAAAACGCTTAGTACACGGCTGTGTATCTTCATGCGGCCATCAGCGATAATCACCACGGATACCTTTTTCCAGCTGTCCGGGCCCCATGTAGCATGTTTTTTTAACGAGCAAAGATAAGCAATATTTGTCATGACACCGTGCATCGTTCGCGTAAAAAGCTTGTCATCTTCATTATAAAGAGTGAGGATTATGCAAATCTCAGTAGGGCGTGGGGGATCATACAAGATCTGTCGCAACGAGTAGTTCTCTGATACAAAGCGATCAGGATCACATGTAAGTGCCGTGTATCGCATGTGTGAGAATTCGCGCCCTTCACGAATAGGAAGCATAGAATGTAGTTTAGGGGGGATAGGACAGTCTAGCACGAGGTGACCATGATCGAGGGGCACACGTTTAATGGTATTGTAACGACGAGGCCGACGTTGAGGAATATGACCATAGTACGTTTTTTCTCCATCATCATAGTATTCTTCTGAATTTGATGACGCAGGCTGTATTAGAGCAGTAGAACTCGGGCCATAAGCGGAAGAAAGCAATCCCAGAACCGTTTGGTTTGCTTCATCATCCGAATGTGTAGAGCTGATGGCTTCTTTGGACACGGCATCCATCGGCTCCAGATACGGCATTTCACTCTCTGACCATCCGACATTAGAGTGCTGAAAATCTGAAGTATTGGCTGCTGGTTGAATGGACTGCATCGTATACGCGTCGCCAGTGGTTGAGTCGTAAAACTCATTGTTATCACCAGACATAGTCAATCTATTGTCGTAGTACGACTCATCAGGGTATTGATATACATCACTAGTGTATACGTGTTGTTGATCTTCGCCGGCGCCTGTATCATGATAGTGCTTATAAGTTTCCTCTGACGAATATTCATAGTTCTCGACAATATTCTGCGTCACGTCATAAGCGGCCGCTTGACTTTCATATGGGTTAATGAGCTGCTCTTGCTCTAGCTCAGAGTCACCATACAAGTGACTCGTCAAAGTAGCTGGCGTCGTTGCAACGCGACGCGGACCAAAGATCGCCCGCGCCGGCATCTCGTGGTCTGAGTGTTTGGGCAACCTGTGTTAAATCGGGGCCTCATCGGGTCACCCACGTAAGATGCGTTGGCGGGCAGGGGTCACCGAGCGAGCTTGTCCTGTCGCCATGCCGGACCTCCCACGCGCACACATTCTGACATCGCAATGGGAGCTTCATGAGCGAAAGATTGTTCGCGAGCGATATGGAAGCGTTCTATCGCGAGGTTTGATTTTAAAGCGTGATCATAGTGTAGCCCATGCGGAGATGACCAAACACGATGCGATCGCCTTAGAAGGTGCACCCCTGTTTCGCGAAGCAGACATGGATTTGGGTGTCTTTGGGGTGTGTCAACCTACCATTCTTGGTCTAAAGACAGTTCTATCTGCTTTGCACTGCAATCCCACCGAAGATAAAGCTGACTCACGTTATTGTGCATGGGTCTGCACACGGGAAGAGCCCGTTGTCTATGTCGGAGACCGGCCGTTTGTGCTACGTGATGCACTGAATCCAAGGCAAACAATGAGCATGAGCAGTCGTGCTGAGAATCTAGAGGCTATTGAAAAACGGCTCAAGCACGATATCCTGACGGAGGCAGTGAAGAACAATGGATTGCTCCTCGTACATGAGGAGCAAGGAGACTCGCAAGACCTCAAATCAATGTGGGTTGCTGTGGAGAAAGGAGAAGTTCGTACAGTGCGTGAGGTCTTTGCGTGGGTTCGATCTCAAGGTTGGCGCGTTTCGTACCATCGGCTACCAGTAGCACCAGATCAGCCTCTTGAGCACAATTATCTGGATGCCTATACCCAGGTAATCAAGGATACGGACCCGCTCAAGACCTGCTTTGTGGCCAACTGTGGTGCTGGTGTATTTCGCACAACTTTTGCAATGATAGCAGCTGTGCTGGTACGCCGGCGGCAGCTGGTGCTGCTCACCAACACTGACCCGATGAAGGAAAAGGACGGACAACAGCTGGACACACAAACATTGCCCACTACGCTTGGAAATACATTGCGTCGGGCACAAGATAATATGACGCAAAACCACAATCTTCTGCGTCTTATCTATGTGCTAAGCCACAGTTTGACCACCAAAGATACAAGCGGTATGATTGAGCAGCTGCTAATGCAGCCGGTCCTTCTAAAATCACTTCAAGAGGCTAATCTGGGGGACTATGGTATTATTCGTCAACTTTGTGGACTATTAGACAATGGTTTGGAGTGTAAAGCATCTGTTGATATGGCCATCGACGCATGTGCCCATGTTGTTAATCTGAGAGAATCAATTTTGTCGCGACGCCTTCATTATTCGACAGCCGCCGCTATCGATGAATCACAAGCAAATCTGTTTTTGAGGCGAGCATCCAAGGCCTTAGAAGTGTACTACTTTCTGATTGCCTTTGCAAGCTATGTCGAGGAAAGTCGGACAGCCTTGTTTCGTTACCGATTTGCAGAGTGGCTTAAACAGCGAGCAGAGATTTGGCGCGGTATTGTGCGCATCCGTACGCTGCGTCATCATCTTACGTTGTTTGAGCCAGTTGCAGACTTATCCATGATCAGCCGCGGTGATGCTAGCGCATTGGCTGCCCCTAATGACTCGGTACGTCGACGCTTTGGTGAGGTCCTAGCGCAAGGAGCACTGGTCACAGGCGATGAATTTGCTGAATTCGTTGTGCATAACAGAACTGGGACCGTGTTGCGTTCGGGTTTGTTGCTGAAGCGCGATGTCTGGCGCGAGTTTTCCCTCGATAAAGGCAACCACTTGCGTGGCGTTGTGAATTTCCGTCGCGTCCTCGATACCAATATCTTTGGCACGGGCCAACCATCCGTGGAAGGGTTCAAAAATCTCCTCAACTACGTACTGGATGAACTGACCAAAGAGGGAGAGACAGAACACACAGTGTTATGGATCAACCTGCGGGAGGAGCCACTCGTGTATGTGAGTGGACACCCCTATTGCTTGCGCCAGCGCGAGCTATCACTCCGGAATATCACGGATTATAGTGGAATTACACCAACAAGGCTGGCTCAATTGGAGGAACGACTTCGGCAGGATGTCGTGCATGAATTGGAGACAAGTGATGGTAAATTGTTACTGCACACGGAGACGGAGGACGGTACAGTTGTGCCCCTGTGGGAAGATGCCAAGCCGGATGATATTACCACAGTCCAGGGAATCATGGATCAAGTGGCTGCCTCACTTAAACCGGGTATACATCTGCAGTTCCGTCGGGTTCCTATCACGGCGGAGAAGAGTGTGGAATTTTCGGATGTCACGTATCTTTTACATGCTGTTCTGGACAGCTATAACGCAAATACACCTATCGTGGTGAACTGCCAGCTGGGTCGTGGTCGTACCACGCTAGTTTCCGTGCTAATTTTGCTAATGGAACGCTGGATCCAGCGCGCTCCGCTACCAGAGCCTGTAGCAGAACCTGCCCCATCTTACCATGTCATTAACAGCCTTTTACGTGTGGTGCCTCATGGCCAAGAAATTAAAAGAATGGTCGATAATGCAGTCGATGCATGTGGTAACGTGGTCAATATTCGGGATGCTATCGAACATGCCTACATTGCAGCTAGTGAAGCTCCTGAGGCTGAAAAGCAACGCTATATTGTACAGGGTGTTCAGAATTTGCGGCGATATTTCCACATGATGCTCTTCCAGGCTTACTTGAACAGTGTCAATCCTAGCACCATTTTCCAGCATACATACGAGCAATATGTCCAGAAGCAGCCAGTTATCACCACGATTGCGCGTGATCTCAACAAGCTGGAGCTGGTAACCATCAACCCACTCCGCAAAATTGACATTGGAGATGGAATGGCACTCAGTGATGAAGTGGACGAGGTAGTTCGCAATCGATCTGGTACGATCTTAAGCGCGTCCACGATCCTCAAGTCAGACTTCTTCAGCGGTATCCTCAAGGCTGGCCTTCCCTTGCGTATTGAAGGTATGCCTAATTTGCGCCGTGTGAATCCATTGGTTGGCCTGTTTCCCTCCAAAGACGAGTTTCACAGTACATTCCCTACAGCACAGGAGGTGTGGGGTTGCGGCATGCCCACCATTGATGGATTACGCAGAGGATTAAAGCGCATGGGTGCGGATGTAAACGCACTAAAGCACGTCGTGTGGACCAATTTGCGTGAAGAACCCGTGTTGTATGTCAATGGACGCCCTCATGTACTGCGGCTGGCAGAACAACCCCTGACCAACATGGAGGCCACCGGCGTCACAACCGACGTTGTAGAACGTATCGAACGAGCACTTCAGCGAGATCTTCGACAGGAAGCTCAACAACGCGATGGACGTGTACTGCTACATGACGAGGTACCAAAAGACGACGGTGACTTTACCATTGTGCCTGTATGGGAGACCGTACATGAAGCTGATATCCTTACACCTCGGGAAGTATATGAGCGCATGCGCCAAGAGAGTTTCCGAGTTGATTATGCACGCGTTGCCATCACGGATGAACAGGCGCCTGTGCCCGACGTCTTTGCTGAACTCGAAGAGCGCGTGGAGCACGCAATTGACACGCAATCTATCTGTGTCTTTAATTGCCAAATGGGTCGTGGGCGCACAACAAGCGGTATGATCATCGCCTCACTGATTGTATCTGTGCGTGAATTCGGTCAACTCTGGTTGGAGCGAGGTGAATGGCCAACTACAGATGATATGCGACCATCAGGTGATGCCCGAGAGCTCTTAGAAGACGAGTTGAGAGTGGATGGAGAATATCGCTGTATATTGCAGCTCGTTGGCGTCCTTACTCATGGTCGCTTGGCTAAAACGTTGCTGGACCGGGTTATTGACCGCATGGATACCATCCAGAACTTGCGCAAAGCTATTAGTATGATGAAGCTCCGTGCAGATAATACAGAGCCTGGTTCAAAGCGTCATATGCAACTCCGCACGGTGTTCAACAATTACCTCGCACGGTACGGTTACTTGATTGCCTTCACAAGTTACTTGCTGGACAAGATACAGTGGGACGAGGACCAGCGCGAGGATGATGACATCTCTGTCAGCTCTTATTCGCCCCGTCGCATCAGTTTAAGATCCATGGATGAATCTCTTATGATGAATTCATCAACGACGGAGTTATCGCCGAGCTTCCCGATATGGCTCAAGAAGCGGCGCGAAATCACCGGGATCCTTGAGAAGGACCACCTTGAGTAGACTTTCTCATTTCCACTGACCATAAACTCATAGCCTTTTGAAATCTTTCGCGATGTGAAAGTTTGGGGTCCTCCTTCGCCAGTCGCGTAAGTTGCTCACGGATAAATCGCTGATACAAGCTTGTACGTGGTGGCTTCTTACCCTTGCGAGCCATGTTCGTGTGGAGGTGGGTTGGAGGGATGCATGGAGCTCACGTGGTTTCAGGATTTGAAAAGTTTGCTCGCACGGGCGTGGCACAGCATCCTTGCGGCGATGGCAAAACAGCCAGGGATTGATATACCACGGCATGATTCTCCTTCGGAGCCGCATGGATCTCTTCAACCAGATAGATCCTGGCAATGGGAAAGGCTAGCCATATCAGGTAATTCAGGACAGTCTCTGCCAATGTTACGACAACAGGAAACCCCGCCTGATCAAACACCCAGCTCCGATGACAGTCGAACAGCTTTCCATCGCACAGATACCAAATTCAATGCATTCTCGTTGCCACTAGGCCGAATTCCAGGAAAATTATCTGCATCAGAGAGCTCTAAAGGAGCTGGTAGTATCTTGAATCACTTGCGCCATTCGTCCTCGCAGCGGAAGCCTAGGCGACCAAGTCGTAGTACATCGAAAGCAGCTGAAATCTTGATGGGACGTATCTCAATTTCAAGGCCACTTGATCGAGAAATGGATGAAGGATTTGAATTTGGAAAACCCGGTGCCACCTTCCGTCTGGGTCGCACCATTGGCGCAGGCGGTAGCTCCGTGGTATTTGAAGCGTATGCACTTGATGAGAACAACAAAAAAGTCGCTGTAAAAGTAACACGCCCAAACTCGACCGATTTAGGAAATGAGCACAAACACGAGGCAGACATTTGGAAACAGCTGCCTCAGCATCCCCATCTATTGGCACTATTGTATCATGAGAAACGCATCATTACGGATGGTAACTCGGACAATCAGAAAACCCGCGAGTTCATTGTGATGGAACTCAGCCATTATGGAAATCTTCTCCGACTCATACGAGTTGAAGGCACGCCGACGGGCACATCGCTTCAGCAGGAACAAAGCGATGATACTGTGACATCGCCTTTATCTTCGTCGCGGCATTCTTCATTGAATCTTCCAAAATTTCGAGGTATTTCTTTACAACAGACACGCGATATAATGCAGCAGTTAGCATCTGCTTTGTACTGCTTGCATAAAGTGGCACATGTTGTACACAACGATTTGAAACTAGAAAACATTCTTGGATTTCCCTCAGAAGATGAAAGCAAGATAACGTGGAAGGTAGCAGACTTTGGCCTCGCTGAATGTGTAGTCCCACAAGACGATCCATCAAATGTACCTCCGACACCTTGTGGTACCATTGAATATATTGCTCCTGAAATGGTCCGGTATTTGGATACCGATATGGAAATTTTTGACACAGTCCCTTCGCACGCAAAGCCGTTGCCACCCCCCGATCTTTCTCCCTATGCTCGAGATATGTGGGCATTAGGGTGCATTCTCTATGCACTATGTACGGGATCTTTGCCATTCACAGATGCGGTACAGTCACGCCTCTTGCAACGGATCAGTGACGGCGAATATGAAGTCCCTTATGGTCTTCTCACCTATTCAGAGCGCACAACAGTACCTGCCGAAGACTTTGGTAATGATATTGAAGATACTGATGAACATCGTGAACAGGCTCGTGAAGTATTGGAGCATCTTCTGGACGTGGATCCATATACTCGATGGGATATTGAAAATCTCTGTCAATCTCGCTGGCTGAATATGTAGATATGTATGTTATAGTAATGTTTGTAAGAATTTTAAAACAGATTGGCAAACTTGTTTCTGTGCCTCAGCATTGTCAACTTTGTGGTTGGCACCAAGAATATATTCTGTGTAGAAATGCTGACCTGAAAGCGCCTCAGACCAGCGTTTCAGTAGTTGTAATTTGTCAACGGATGCAGGTACATATTCGCTAATATGTTAGTGTTAGTTATACATACTCTTGCTCGCCCATGAGAAACAGTAGCGGTGCTCGGGACAATGCTGGCATAATACCTCGGCGGATCTGATCATCACTGAAGTTGTTGCTAAAGAAGTCGTCATCACCGTTACTGTCATTCAAGCTTGCAAAACGGTACGCTGTAAAGGCAGGGTTCAGAACAGCTTCAGAGTTACCTGTGCCACGACCATGCAAGGATTCCGGTTTGTGTATGGATTTGGAACGGTCAAGCAATGCAGATGGCTGATTTTTAAAAAGCTTGTCCCGGCATTCTTGAAGCTGCTGAGCGCTATGAGGCGTAACATGAGCTTCAAAATAATCGTGGTCAGAGACAGGAGCCTGACAAATGCCGCCATCAACATGGATGCATTCATCACCAGTTTCTTTGGATAGAAGGCGATCCTGTGAAAGAAAGGTCAACACATCCTGGCAGCCCGTCGAATGTCCCATAATTACGAGCTTGCCAACGCAAGGGTCGGAAGAGCGTGTTTTAATATGTTCAATTAGCTGCGCAAGTTCTTGTGCATCCCCTTCGAGCGATGAAGTTCCAAAACCTCCCAGATCAGAAGATTTGACTGGCTGAACAAGTGAGTAGGAGATACTATCAAGGTTGGCCGCCAGCTGAGGCAAGTATGGCACCACACCGATTGTATCCGTTAAGCCTGGTACGAATATGAGCTTATTTGGGTGATGAGGATTTGTCTCGAAATAAGGAAGGGAAATAGGGCAAGTTTGATACAGTCCCAAGGTACCGGTGAGCAACGGAGGCGGTTGCCTGCATTCGCTCATAGCGGTGATAGTAGTGATGCGGGAATCCACATTTCGGCTGTGGAGATAAACCTGCCGGGTATGCTCAGCACGCACATAAGACCAGTAGAAATATAATATGGGAAGAGTTTCATTTTTGGCGAAGGGCAAGCCTGAGTCCCACCGCGCAGAGCGCTACTGTACTACGGTATCAACCGAGACCAGATCGAGATCAGAAAAAGTGACTGGTCCTATCATGCTTGGAAGCCGATAGTTCCGGAAAGTATACGAACTCAAGTGAGAGGTCAACACACTTAAGCGGACTGCGCAGGAGCAATGGCACGAGCAGCAGCCACACGCTTCTTGGCAAGCTGGCGCTTGTTAAGACGCTGAGGAACTGCAGTAACGGTCTTGGGAACCTGCTCAAGAGGCTCTGAGAGATGGATCTCAATGTGGCAAGGCGAGCTGCGGTAGGGGTTAATACGACCGTGCGCCCGGTAAGTGCGGCGGTAAGTCGTAGGGGCCTGTTGAACGACAATGTTGCGGATAACAAGGGCCTCGGCATCCAGACCGCTAGCCTCGGCGTTGGCCTCAGCATTCTTAAGAAGACCAAGCAGGAACTTGACTGACTTGACGGGCCAGCGACCCTGAGTAGTCTTCAGACCGTTTACCTGAGGAGTGCGGCCCACACCACCGTTGAAGCGACGGAAAGGAATAGCCTGCTTGTGCTCAACAACATTGTCAAGGTAAGCATAAGCCTTCTGAAGCTTCATGCCGCTAATAGCAGCTGCGGTCTCACGCGTGTTCTTAAAGTGAACGCGGAGGTAGGCACCACGCGACTTTGCAGTCTTCTCCGGCAACTTGGTATCGTCAAACGCGTAGCGAGCCTGTCGAGCGTTAGTTCTGTCTCATAATAAAAAGCTGTGCGCCGCAATTATGTAGTCGTAGAAGCAGCCCATAGCTGTACGGCATACAGAGCATGCGCACACTGACGTCGTACTTACCATGTTGAACCTGACTTGAAGTCGTCAAACGATGAAACCTCTGGCGACTACACGCCTAGCACTCCGAAGATGCTGCATAGTGAATGGGAAACTGTCACGTGTGCTATGCAGTTTTATCACCATGTGGCACCACGTGGTATAATGGGCCTGTGCTAAGATGATGACAAAACGTGTCGGAAACGCGCCACCCGCACGTTCCACCCCTCTCCACCTAACATGTCGAATAGCGGAACTTACGACCCTTACATCCCCACTGAGAATGGAGCAAAGGCTACTACAAGCCAGGGAAATTCACGAACGGCACAAATTCAAGCTCAAATTGATGAGACAGTCGGTGTTATGCGTGAAAATATCAACAAAGTGAATGAGCGTGGTGAAAATTTGGATAGTCTCCAGAATAAGACAGACAATCTTGCTGTGTCAGCACAAGGTTTCCGTCGTGGTGCTAACCAAGTGCGGAAACGCATGTGGTGGAAGGATGTAAAGATGCGCATTGTGATTATCATCGCCATTGTTGCTCTTCTTTGTGTGATTATTATTCCTGCAGCTGTTACTACATCGGATGGCAACAACGACAAGGATAGCTCGGATTCGTCATCAACATCACCCTCTGCTACATGATATACCAGAAGTACCAAATGATCTTTTACGTTCTCGTACTGTCGTACCAACTTTGTAAATCCAGTCTAGAAATTCTTCTTAATGAAGTACTACGGTATTCGCAGTTTCTTGGCATCCTTTCTTTAAAGGAAAAACACGATTTCTATAGAAACCATTACGCTTCGTCGTGAACGCTGCGGTTCATATCAAATGCACCGTTGACATATGCACGAAGCTCGGCCAGATGAGCACCCTTGTTACCAGTAGCAACAGAGCTAGACGGCGGGCGAGCAGAAACCATGAATTCGCGACCCTTGTGGTGCTGCGTCTTGGTGCACAAAGTACGCAGACGAGGCTCAAGATACAGCCAAGCACCATTGTTCACGGGTTCTTCTTGGGCAAACATCAAATCAGCGTTAGGATACTTGTCAAGCGCCGCAACAATAGTCTCATAGTCAAGAGGAGCAATCTGTTCAATTCGAGTAATAGCGACATCTTTGATCTCATTCTCACGACGATGGTTGAGCAAGGCATAATACGACTGACCCACAGTAAGGATATGACGCTTAATCTGCTCAGGAGAAACGAGAGCATCTTTGCCCTCAGTCTCATGAGGCTCGGGAATCACGCGCTGGAATGACGTTCCCGGACCCATTTCCTCGAGCTTCGAGCGAGCCTCGGGGTGGCGCAGAAGCGACTTGCTGAAGAGGTTGATCAGCGGTTTGCGGAAATCGCGATGCACTTGGCGACGCAAAACATGGAACAGATTGGCCGGCGTGGTGCAGTAAACAACAGCCATGTTGGCATCTTGATGCTGACGGGCCACCTGCTCACTGTTAGGGAATCGGTACGGGTGGTCATCCATCAAAAGAAGGAAACGTTCAGGACGGGCACTCGAGTGCTCAGGGCCCTGTCCGTCGTAACCATGAGGCAGATTCACAACCAGACCCGTGCGCTGCAGCCATTTGTGTTCACCCGAAGCGATGAATTGATCAATAATGCACTGCGCGTTGTTGGCGAAGTCACCAAACTGAGCCTCCCAGATAGTAAGGTTTTTGGGATCCACAAGAGAGAAACCAAGCTCAAAGCCCAATGCACCAAACTCCGAGAGCGAACTGTTGCATATGGTGAACGGCGCTTGGTCATCAGAAAGATGCTGCAGAGGAACATAGGTGTTCTCACTCTTCTGGTCGTGCAGAACAGCATGACGTTGTGAGAAAGTACCACGCTCAACGTCTTGACCAGAAACACGGACCATATTATTCTCCATAACGAGCGATCCAAAAGCCAGAGCTTCGGCAGTGGACATGTCAATACCCTCGCCAGTCTCCAGAGTCTTCTCGCGGTTCCTGAGAATACGCACCAAGTTACGGTGAACAGTAAAGTCTTCAGGGAACGAAGCAGACGCCTTGCCGATGTAGCGCAGGCGCTCGACGTCAACACCGGTCTCGCGTTGTTCGAGAATGTGCTCCTTGAGCTCGCGGGGTGAAGGGAAGCCTTCCCATGCACTCGAAAGCCATTGACGCTCCTCAGGTTCATACGTCTTACTCTTCTCGAAAGCCTCCTGAAGCATGCCCCAAACCCATTCGCAGTGGTCGTTCAGCTGCTTCTCGGTGAATGTGCCTTCTTCAACAAGGCGGTTGATGTATTGCTTCAACGTCGGGAGTTGTTTACCAATGGCTTCGTACATGCGAGGCTGTGTGAACGAAGGCTGGTCAATCTCGTTGTGGCCATGACGACGGTAACAGACCAGATCAATCACGACATCCTTCTTGAACTTGGTGCGCCAGTCCACAGCAAGACCACACACATAATTCACAGCTTCAACATCATCACCATTGACATGGAAAATAGGAGCATCAATACCCTTGGCAATGTCAGATGGATAAGGAGTCGAACGCGCGAAACGAGGGTCAGTCGTAAAACCGATTTGGTTGTTGACAATGATGTGAATAGTACCGCCAGTAGCAAACTTGGGCAGATTGTACATACCCATCGTCTCATAGACAACACCCTGCCCAGCAAATGCAGCGTCGCCGTGCATCAGCAGAGCCATAGACTTGTTGTGCTCCTTGTCGCCCTCAAAGTCTTGCAGGGCACGGGTCTTACCGAGAACAACAGGGTCTTCGGCTTCCAGATGAGACGGGTTAGCCACGAGCGACAAAGCCACCTTTTCACCTGAGGGAGTAGGGCGAACATAGTTGGCACCTAGGTGATATTTCACATCACCACCCCCCTCTTCGTTTGACTTGTCAGCAAATTGGTGGAGAATGCTTTCCAGAGGGCGACGAATGACATTACCAAGCACGTTAAGACGTCCACGGTGAGGCATACCCATGGTAATGTTACGAACGCCTGTCTCCACCGCGCGGTCAATGATAGTCTTTACACCTGGAATCATAGATTCACCACCCTCAAGGCCAAAGCGCTTTTCATTGGGATATTTGGAGGCAATAAAGCGCTCAAAGGAGTCGGACCAAACGAGGCGATCGAAAATACGCCATTTCTCGTCCTTCGTGTACTCAAACGGCTTGGGCACTTCAAGATGCTCACGAAGCCAGTCACATTGGTTGCGATCAGGCACATGCACGTATTGATAACCAATTGACCCACAGTAAATTCGGCGGCATGCATCGATTACCTCGCGAATGGTCAGCTTAGTAGTACCAGCGGCGGCAAAGTTCGGGAGCAATCCTGTGCCTAGCTGCATTTCTTTATCGAGATCAGAATCGCTCCATCCATAGTAGCTGGGATCGAGCTCCTTGGGCATCTTTTCAGCACGCTCACTGTCGATAATCCTCAGAGGATCAATCTTGGCAATCTTGTGGCCCTGTACTTGAAAGGCACGCACGAGGAGCTGAAGCTTCAGATAATCATTGGCAGGATGGGACCCTGGTTCAGTGACAGTCCCAGTACCTGGCATGCTGAGCTGGCTTGGGGCAGGAGTGAAAGCCTGTTGACTCGGCATACCAGAATCCATGCCAGAGAAATAAACGTCCCAGCTACTGTGAACAGACTTCGGGTCTTCTTTCCAGCGACGATACATCTCTTCAGCATAATAGGAGTTGTTAGTCGTAGCGAAAGAATCGCTAGGGGAAGGAGAAGATGGCTTGGGAATAGGACCAGCCATTACACGAACCGAGCTAGTCATCATGCGGCATCCAGCAGACCTAGCAAAGACTGTGGACACGCGTGATGTCGTTACAGCGCGCATAGGCGCCTTGTGAAATTGACGCAGCATGGTGAATAGTGGTGGAAATGCCCAACTTTCCCGAGCCGGACAAAGAAGGCAACGATTTTGCTACGGTTACAGTCGTAGCTTAGGAAGCTGAATCAACTAGCCTTCTGTGGCGAAAAGCTGGCCCATGTGGAGTCGAGGAAGTAAGCACCGGTCGGAGTTACGGCAAACACTTGCATGTACCCAATCAAGTACTGGTCGCGCGCGGGCCATCTATCCCAAAGGCCGATCCGCATTACGAGACTGAGTGAGGACATATTCTACGAGTGCTCTAACATAGACGAAATATGGTTGTAAAAGTCAACATGGCTTGCACGGGGACCTTTGGCGTAAACAAAGCTGGCTGCCACCTGAGCAGCAAAAGCGCTCTTTAGATAGCTAGAAGGCACACGCTGGATTAGCTCATCCATCCCAACCTGACGGACCAGCGTAGGCGGGAAAACGTGGCCTAGCACTGTATTTCGTAAACGTTCCTGATCGTAAAGATTCGTGTTTTCAATATCTTCGGAAATCGAGTTCAAGGTTGTTGAGAGGTCAGTGGATATTATCGAACGAGGTTTCGACGTCTCCATGTGTTCCCTCCATATCGCCTCAAATTCTCCCTCGGCATTACGCCCAATAATGTCCTGAATGTCATGAACATAATTCATATAGAAAGGGGTAGGCTTCCCATCCACAAACATCATGTTAGATATGTATTCTTGATCCGTGAGGCCAAGCCCCACCAAAACTTCCAGGCTGCTGGACGTCACACCGCCTTTATTTGCACTAGCATCCGGATACAAAATGACGCCATGTTCTTCTAGTGCTAACCGGGCCTGTCGAGTAATAAATAGATTGGCACCTTCAACAATAAATTTGTAGTGACACTTATTCTCGCCGGTAATCATCTTGCAAACATTCGAAATATTGATAGAATCAGGGCGTCCGCCGCATGGGACAAACAGATCTGCTTTGTATAATAAGTGAGCTTGGTTGCGGAATGTGACACCATCAGATACTACTTCACCAGAGGGAAGCTTGACATTTCGATCTTCCACCAATACACGGTAACCATCTTGGGACAATTTCGATAAGTCAAAATAGGAAATCGTCTTTCGCAGCTTGGCTAAACGAATAAGCTCCTCGCGATTCAGTCCATTTGGATCGTGTATGACACCAGAGCCATCAATGATGGCTATAGTTTTGTCTTTAGATAGTAATATTTCATTTGAACCAAGATCCCCATCCGGTCCACCAGTCTGCACCTTCGTGATATCTTCCTCCTTCAGATTGTTCTTGCGCAAGATTCCGAAGATATACTGACGCACCGATAAAGATGTCATTCCAAAAACGTCGTGTGGAACACCGCCTAATGTAGCTGCAGTTTTACCTGTGGTAAAAGACTTCCACCATGGTGCGCCACGTTCACGAGCATGCTCAGCACCCCAATCCATGAAATCAGCTGTACCCTCGTCAGGACCTAAGAAGAGGATCTCTTCCTTTCCAACCAAATCCACAATTGGCTCTTTGACACCGGGTGTCGTACCCTTAATAAGCAAATCAATAATGGCATCGACGTATTTTTCGAAACACTTGCGCGGGTCAACATCCATATTAGGTAGAATAGTGCCCTTAGCACCTCCTTCTGGAATATCTTTGTTTTTCAAATGCTGGGTCCTAGCAAGGCCGTAATTTTCATCAAAAAGAGTCCGTTGGTTGATAGAATAATTTTCGCGGTTGCGGCTCCTAATAATTCGGATACCACCACGAGCTACGTCGCGGAATCGAACATGGAATCCACGGAATTCAGACCCCACGACGAAGAATATACCGTAAGGTTTATGAGGATATTCACTTGTCGGCAAAAATGAAGGATCTAAACGGAAGCTCAGTGCCACTTTAGTTGGCGTATAAAAGTTCGTCTTGAGTACAGCTTTATTGAAAGTGAGAAGCGCTAGAAGAACTTGACGTTCGTGAGAATTGTTGGCACTTTGAATAATAAAGTCATGCATTTGTTCATCGGACAGCAATGTTTCGCGAGTGAGCCTTTGATGACTTAAGGTGGGATTGATGCCTCGAGAGCCTGTAAGATAGGGATAATGAATATGAGCAAAGTGCACATAAAGTAAACGGACAATGTGTGGAAAACTTTTAATAACTTCAAAGATAGATTGACGAGTGAAAGTTTCCTCTCGCAAACGCAGTTTAATATCATTCAGTACGGCAGCTTGGTGGGAATTAGTTTCATCGATGATTTGACGTAATGCTTCATAAGTAGATCCCAAGCGATTACAGAAATGTTGCGCAAAAAGCCAACCAACATATGCATATGTTGCTTCCTGTACAGCATGACATTGTTCGGTCTCTTCGCCAGAAAAGAACGGATTGTCTGGGAGAACAAAAATAAGTGAAATCTCTTTCAGAATTTGATGAATACTCAATTCAATTGGAGGGGCTCGAGATGTATTCAAAGGGTTGAGGTAAATAGACACAATGGTGATCCCATTGCTAAAATGTTCAACATATTTACGCGAAGAGTAGAGGTCATAATAATGGTAAAGATCCGAAATAGCACTGAAAAAGTTAGACGTTGAGCCCATACGGTAGCCAATAACAACGCGGCGTTCTTTGACTCCTTCTACTTCGAATAAATCGATTACTGGACCATCACGTCGAAGAGCTTCCTCCATAATACGCTGGTAAACATTTAAAGTATGTGCGCTTGCTTTTGATAGAAAGTCTTGGTCAGAGACAGCCCGAATATCATGGGCTGCGTTTGAAGAGGGGTCCGGAATGGGTTGAACAAATTCACATTTTTGCAAGAAATAGCAACGAAGATGCTCTGGAGTATTCGCGGAAGCTGAGCCCGTAGAGCGATAGGTTTCCAAACGGAAGGCACACTGTGTGTTAGATTTGTTAAGATATTGCCTATCCATGATTTGTTCCCATTGTGGACCGCCAAGACGCCTAACCCCAGGCTGACTTGAATGAATAAAGACAGCGGAAGTATCTGACTTTTTCTGAAGGTCAATGTTGAGATGACCCGTATTGTTTGTGTATTCCGATATCTTCGCTCCATATAAGGATAAGATATGACTGGCAACTGTCTCAGCTGATTCACGCTTGAAGTAAATATCATCGATTCCAAGATGTTCGTAAAACCAAGCGACTTCAGAAGCAATTAACTCCTGGGGGATGAATCCATTTTCTTCTAAAATTTCTTGAACTTTTTCCGCTTGCATTTTCTTCTCTTCAAAAACTGTGACTTGGTATCCACTGTGACGTTAGAGGACATTCACGTACATATTGTTTTTTAAAATATGGTCTCGGTCAGGGGTGGATGGATCAATAGTAGTCTGCTCTAGAAAAGCATGACGCTTCCTTCCCATCTGTGATAAAATGGCAGATACATCTTCAGGATTACTTTTGTCGTAAGACATGGCAACACAACACAAGCTGTGGCAAATGCTGAAAGGACCCCCTTAAATTATTTCTTGACACACGGGCCACCTGACACAAAGCCCAAACAGCCCAACAGTGTTTAAGTAATCATTCTACGGGGTTATGCAAGTTTGGTAGTGAACGTTTTTAAGCTTAGTTTGCTTGTTTGCGCTTGCGAATAGCACGCTTTTTCCCGATAAGAGAGCCCATAGAGAACTTTGGCTTCTCCTTTGAGACTGTCTTTGATGTATTAGCTCGGACTGCTTGTTGTTTCTGTTCGGCTAGTTTAGACGAAGCTGCGTCGTCACGGTATTCTTCGGATATCTGGTGTAAGTTAATCATACGAACTTTACGACGCTTCGACGCCTTATCACGCGCTTGCTCTTGGCGAAGAACACGCTTTCTCACAGTCGTAATATTTTCAATCGAAAATTCAATACGCAAAACGCCTCGAGCCTCTGATTTGGAACTAGACTCGAGAGTATCCAACGCCGAAGAAATTCGCTTAGACCGAAGTTTAGCTTCAGACGATCCCTCAGCATCTAGCTTATCTTTCTCAGACTTGAGATCTTCGCGCCACCATTGAATAAGTAGCTCGGAGACCTTCTTGTTTCCATTTGCCCATCTTAGTACTTTCAGTGCATGTTGGAACGAGCGCATCTCTAAGAATCCGTATCCGCGCGAGCGACCTCGGCCAGTCAACGGATCGATTCGCTCATTTTGTCGAACAACTTTGGACTGAACCACAATCGAAGGTGGAGGGCGCTTCTTGCCAGTTGCATTTTGCTTAGCACTTGAGCTGTTGGAAGTGTCTTCTTTCTCGTCGACGCTAAGGTCGCTCCGATTACCACTTTTGACTTCTTCTTGGAAAGCACGCACCGCATGTAGCGCAAGACGCTTAAGAACCTTATCCGAAACAAACAAAGGAAGTTGATGCACGGCAAGTCGCGTCTTTGACACATGTAGCGATGGATTGGCACTTAACTGGGCACGACGGATGGAAAACGATTTCATTCGTTTTTCGATCTCAATTTCAGACAAATTGTGAACCAGAGGGGAAGTCGGAAAAGGTACGCCTTCACGCAAGAGCCACGTGTTGCGCCTGTCCCCCTTTTCCCTTGCCCGTCGAGCGGAATCTTCCAGGTGTGACGCAGTATCGCGAGTCACTGCTCGAACGACATTCAAAACACGACCATGAAGAGAAAATTTTGACACAAGTGGTGCCGAAGGGTCAGCTGTGATAACAGATGGCACAGTGAAAGGGTTGGTCTTTGGTAAGCTAGATTCTAGCTCTGTTGCTGCGGTTTCGTTAGCAACAATAGCCGCTTCACGGAGAACTGCATCTGCTGAGTCGCGATTCCAGAAGCAAACAAAGCCCGTACCGCGGCTTCTGTTTGTGGATAAGTCCATTGTGATGCGTGCATAACGAAGCGGTCCAAAAGAGCGGAATAGTTCTTTAAGTTCCGCTTCTGTTGCTTGATAGGGTAAATTGCGAATGAAGAGAGTGGTGCCAGCTTCGGGAGTAGCCAATTTAGGTGGTTCGGCAGGAGTATCAACACTGATATTATCATCATCATCATCATCAGCATCATCATCTGATTCCTGGTTAGATTCTTCCGTTTCGCCGTCCTGTTCACTAGAGGCAGAAACAGTTCGATCATTAGAATAAACATCTAGATCGTTTTCATCGACGTCATTGTCGGAACTCTGTTCTTGCTCTTGCGCTAGCCAGTCTTTCTGTGACACAGACCAATCAACAGCGACAGGACGAGCTGGCTGTGCATGTTCTTGCACCCTTTCAAAAGCCTCCTTGGCCAATTCTCGTCCTTTTTTTCCTTTGGCCCTCCTCAAAGCACTTTGCTCAGCTGCACCGTGTCGCAATGATACGCCATTGATGGCCGTCATAGCATTGGTCGCATCCGATTTAGATACAAACCAAACGAAAGCAAATCCACGACTCTTCGGGAATTGATCTTCATTCTTCGGCTCTTGTAAAGGGATGGAGACATCGTACAGGGCGCCATATGGTAAAAAGACGGCTCGAAGGTCATCCACAGTCATGTCAAACGGCAAGTTGCGGACAATAAGTCTGCTTTCTCGACTCAATTTACCTGCTTTGGAAGACCAGGTACTCCCTGAAAGTTTCTCGATCTTTTCTTGTACGATTTTTTGCCTCTTGCGTGTGTCCTCTCTCATGTGTAAATCACGGCGCATGGCAGCATCGATCTTTTTCTTGAGTTCTACACTCAGTTGAGCACCTTTAAATTGATGTGCATGAAGTTTAGGAATAGCCATCATCGCATGATTTGGTGTTCGGAAACGAACATAAGCCACATCACATGGAGACTCACTCTTGTCAGCGAAAAGCACCTGTTCAACATCGCCTAGCTTGCGCACGCGCTTGTAGAGCGTCTTTTCATCTGCCTTGGGAGAGCAACTTGCTAATCCAGAGATGACAATGGTTCGAACAGCATCCGGGTCTCGGTCAGGAAGTGTGGACGAGCGTGGACGTTTGCGAGTCTGTCCATCGTTGGTGACAGAGTCATTTCCGGTCTTGCTGGAAGCATTTTTCCGATCGGCCCATTGAAGTTGGATCTTCCTCTGACTCCCATCAATACTTGTGCCTTGTAATTTCTCTAGCGCTTTTTCAGCATCATTCGAATCTGTATAGGTCACATAACCGACACCTTTTGATGTATGGGTTTCTTTGTCGGTAACAACAAAAGCACGGCGAAGGGGGCCAATATCACTAAAAAAGGTTTCCAGATCAGTGTTTGTGACGCTAAATGGAATACTTGTAACGAAGAGTGTATTGCCATGTTTCAATAATTCCGTAGTAGGCATCTTGCCCACACCTTCGTCAACCATTTCCCTACAATCGCTGCCTGCAGCAAATGGAATTGGCGCCGATCCAAAAAAAAAAATCGCGTCAACATTATGTCATTTTGATATCCATAAAGGCATCTGCGCCTGCTGCATGATTAGCTAATTTCACGCAGACTTCCAAGGGATATCTGGTCGATACGCCGCGCTCAATGGACGAAAAGCCACGTGGGCGAGGCTGTGTCAATCGCACAGGCCCGGTATAAAGCAGTATTTTGCTGATCCTCCTGCTTTACGTCTACCATGTTCGGCTTGCGAACCGCGACGTTGGTGGCGGCAATCTTGCTGGCATTGCCGCTGGTAGTTCTCTCTGCTCCATTTGAACCCACTGTACATAATTTGGAGCGCCGAGTTAACGCGAATTCCAACACTTCCAACCAACCAAACGATCCTGGCATTTTTCCCGGTGGAAAAGAGTCATTCAAGTCCCAAGGATGGCGTGTATTACCCCCCTTGCAAGGTGCCAAGATCGACAACACGACCTTCACTGTTGATGATCAAGGGTCGGCAATTACTACTTACATTGATGAAAACTATGACCCTCAGAAGATTAAACGCGTGGTCATTCAAATCCATGGACAATATCGTGATGCTTGGAATCAGTGGATGTACCTTAATCTCTCCCGAAGTGATGCAGCAAGTTCAGGTGGCTTTTCGCCTGACGAAGTGCTTGCTGTGGCACCTATGTTTTTTGCCCTTGTCGATGTGGGAGCCTACCCAGTTGATTCTAGGAATGTAAGCAACACGAAGTCACTTGTCTGGGACAATAATGGATGGGGTGATATTAAGGATGCAATTTATCCTGTTTACGACAAGCAGGGAAAGCTTGCGAATCCAGCGTATACGGCTGGTCCTAAGAAGTCTAAGTCGAGCAGTAATAAGAACAAGCGTCGCATTCAGGGTGTGAGCTCCAAAGAAGCCCAACAGGATGGACCGAAAGTTTCCTCGCTAGACATCCTGGACACGTATTTGAATTACTTTAGCGACACGAAACGCTTCCCCAACGTGAATAAGATTGTCGTCTCTGGATTCAGTATGGGTGCACAGACCGTAAACCGCTACGTGGCTTTGCGAACAGATACTTCGTTGGATAAGAAGCTGTACTACGTCATGTCTTCACCGGCGTCTTTCATGTATGTTACAGATGATCGCCCGGAAAACATTCCAAGCAACTGTACGGACTTTAATGATTACAAATATGGGCTAAAGGGGACAATGCCCGCATACTTCCAGCGCCATCTTGATCAGAATGATGTGACTACGATTCGGAATCGGTACTTGAATCGTGCTCAGTTCTATATGGTGGGTGTTGATGACGACGCCATTACAGACAGTTCTTGTGAAGGTATGACGCAAGGTGGTGGGCATTTGAACCGCATGAACAACTGGGTAAACAAGGCTCTACCTAGTATACCTGGAAATCCAACACCAGGAAAGCTTCCTGACACGGTATTCTTTGGTCGTATCAAGTATGTTTCGCATGATGCCTTTGGTATTATTACCTCGCCGCTGGGCCAGCAGTTCCTATTCTTGCAAGAGTTTAATGGTCAGGGTCAGAATGCCAAGGGTCGCATTGTGATGGAACACTCTGGTGATGGTGGTACTTTTCTTCCTAGCGATGCTCCGGATCAGGGTTCTTCGAATGAAAATAACCACCGCTCGAGTGCTGTTGCGTCGAGTATTTCCCGGCCTTCACTGATGGCACTTGCTTTTACAGCTGTTATGGTCTACATTGCCCACTCAAGCTTGTGAAATAGAAGGCCTGTACATATTTGCAGAATATTTTTAAAGACGTTTTGTTGGTTCATCGTTCTTGCGCTTTAATTTATAGCCTGACGATGGAGGAAGTGACTCAGTTGGCTTAGTAGTGCCCTCTTCTGTTTTGATCGCCTCGTTGGCTGGCTCATTTGTCTTGAGTACAAGACTTCTTTGATACGTCGCACTACTAGAGCTAAACATTCGGTCATCAGTTGAAGAATTTTGGTGACTAGGGGTTCGGATTCCTGGTGTTGTGCCCACATTGGCTTTCAAATACGTGTCGAAGCCACGAATCACATTGCCGCCACTAAGTGCAGTACTGTTGAGGTAAGACCCTTCATAAAGATAGATCTGTGACTCTAGGTCCGTAAGGTCATGGTCCAGCTGTCGCTTCTTATCCAAACCTTCCTTTAACTGTTTTCTGAGCTCCTCGTATCGTTGATTCGCCTCCTCCAAAGATTGAGGCTGCGGCATGTAGGCATGTGTATGACCAACGCGATTGACCCATAAATCCCACACACGCACGAATTGGGGTGCCTCCATTCTGCCACCCCCTATGAGACCATGGACCCGTTTCAGGTCCGAATGGAGTTTTTGGACCTATTAAAACGGCTTAATGCGAGTCAACAATCGATTCGGAAAGTGGTGGGGTTCGCCTTGCGCTATGCTACAAAATGCCCCGATGATATTTGGGATTGTGTTATGACAGAGTGTGCCAAAGTGTGTTTCTGCTACTCACATGCAGGAAGCACCGAGTGCGCGAATTAACATGCTATTTATGCTAGATGCATTTCTTGCAGATGATTTCCAAAATAATTCAGATGTGGCAGTATATCGTGCATTAGCTGTGAGAGATTTGAAGGCTTTGGTGGATATGGTCGTGCCAGCGAATAGTTGGGATGCTGTGATCAATGCGGGAAGCACTCGACAGGTGCGTAATCTTTTAGATTCTGATGCCAGATATTGATGTCTTGGAAGAGCAAGCATATATTTGACCCAGAATTTCTGTCACAACTAATTACAATAATCGAGGACCGTGTCCAATCGTAAGCACTTGTTGGCTCACAGGTCAGTATCCGTGCCAGTGGTCATACTATGCCGGATTTGCCACGGGTATCCCACACAGATATTTTACGGCGTATTGAAGAAGATCGGGAGCGTGTATGTGTGTTCCTCTGACTCCAGCATAAGCGGATACGCGAAAATTGTTGGAAACTCCCCCCCATGTCTTACCTCTTCTCCTTCAATGCTCCATCCGAGTATGCGGATACAAACAATGCTATATCATTGGAGTTCGAGCAACAATGGGAGCGTGTTAGCGAAATAAACGAGGATGATTTGAACGACGTCAGAGAGGACGTGGCGCATTGGTGGGGTGACAACGCACATGATACGACCAATAATGTACCTGTTCCATAGCATTTGAGTCGCGTAGCTCTTTGTGGAGGTCCTTTATCTCATCATGGCGAGTCCACGAGCGCTTCAGCGGTTGACTACGCTGCCAGGACATGCAGAGGCGGTATGGCACATCGCGTGGAACCCTAAGCAGCCTATATTAGCTTCTTGCTCTACTGACCGTGATGTTCGGCTATACTCGTTCGCGAGCCTACCGTCGGGTGTGACAGGTGACGTGGAAACCGTTTTCAATTTGCGCGAGGTCATTCCCACTGGTCATAAGCGCACTGTTCGCTATATCTCCTGGTCACCTTCTGGTGAAATATTCGCTACAGCTTCCTTTGACAGCACGGTCGGGATATGGGAACGAATTCCCGAAGGTGTGAGGGACGGCGACAATGGCGACCCCGAGTGGGACTGCTCTGGAACGCTGGAGGGCCACGACAGTGAATGCAAATGCATTGAATTTAGCTATAATGGCAATCTCTTGGCTAGCTGCAGCCGCGATAAGAGTGTATGGGTTTGGGAGGTGCAGCCAGATTCAGACTTCGAGTGCTTGGGCGTACTCATGGAGCATACACAGGATGTCAAAACGATTGCATGGCACCCCAAAGAAGAGGTAAGCATACTCCTACTTATGTTAGCTTCTCGCCTCTGCGTCTTATGATGATACCATCAAATTATATTTAGATGATCCGACCGAGGACTGGTTCTGCTATGCTACATTGAAAGGGCATAGTTCCACTGTTTGGTCCCTTGCTTTCTCGCCTTGTGGCAAATACCTTGCCTCTGCCTCGGATGACAAGACCATCAGAATTTGGAGAAGGTACTCGGAGAACGAGTGCAACGAAAAAGGCATCCGACCCGAGGGCAAAATTCCTGGGCGCGCCGGGGACAGGTGGCTGGAGGTATGCAATTTGGAAGGCTACTTTACACGCGCCATCTACAGTTTGAGCTGGGCCCTGGGCGATACTTCTGTCCCAAATCAGTCTCTTGGAAAGCTAGCATGTGCAGGAGCTGATGGGAATATTATCGTCTTCTATCTCGTGCGTCGACAAACTAATATCAGTCACATCACCAGGATCCATCGTCTGATGCACCTCAGGTCGAGGTAGCCGCACAGGTCGAAAATGCTCATGGCTTGTCAGAAGTAAATTGCATCGCTTGGGAACCGAGCAAGAAGGAGGGGCAGTCACCTCACCTGCTCGCAAGCGCGGGGGATGACGGCCAAGTGCATATTTGGATAGAGCCGAGTCCCTCCCGTATGGCATAGATCTCCACATTGACAACCTTGCACTTAAATGAGTACAAGGATGGCTGGACGTCCGGCTGTTGAGAGCCTGCTGCGAGCAGCACTTGCGCACGTACCCTCGAAAGGGTTCACCTTGGTATCTATCCGATCTGCAATTCCTACGGCGTCCCAATGGAAACCTTCGAACGTGGATCGCGCATTGTCGGTTATGTTTCCGGGTCCTGATTCCGCAAGCACATCTGCGCCTCGCCGGCTTTTCCAAACGTGGGACAATCACGTTACAGAAGAGCTTAACGAAAAGTTCAGACATGTCACAGGGCTATCAAATGATGAGCAAGCTGTGCAATGGTTGTGTGACCGCTTGATGAAGAGTGATGCAGTGAAATCGCACCTTCTTCTCGTAAGTGCCGATGCTCTTAACCCTTCAGCCTTTGTCACTAATTTCCAAAGAGTCTTGTTTCACACCAATCAATACTTCGGTTTTGCTAACGGTTCCGATTTCTGTACCGAATCCTGGTCCACTGATGATGCGCGCTGTGAAAATTGCAGAAGAAGCTTGCTTCGCGACTGATATGATCACAGAGAAAGGTGTATGTATGCTTTTCTTACGCATAGCCTCTTTGGTATACGACTCGCATGCGACTTGCATTTGCATACGGCGCTGCTGGTACGCAAAGAAACTTACGTGAGAATTGGCATTGGCGACGCTTCCCTCTGTGTCTGCACAGGAGGCCGTGGGCTTATTCCAGCGCATTTCTCAGACTCCTGGTGTATATGATATTTCGCAGCATACGCTTACAAGTCTGAAAATTTGGGCGACGTGGGGCGGCCGTGGATGGTTGGGTATGTAATGTGTGTCTCACGATAGGTATACTCCGAAGCTTTGGTTTGTAAATCTATGGCATCTAGACCTCTCTACTCGCGAACTTGAATGACTACTTTACCCTTGGCGTGCCCAGATTCGACATAGTCCAACGCCTGCTGTCCCTCAGACAAGGCAAAAGTACGATCAATCACAGGCTTGATCTTGCCTTGTTCAATCAAGTCTGTAATGCAATGAAGTTCCTGACCATTGGCTTCCATGAACAGAAACTCATAGTCCACACCATAATAATAAGAAGTGGCAGTGATGTACGAAGAAGCCAGGGTCAATAAAACCGTCGGCACAAGGCCCAGGCCAAACTTGACCGCGATACGGCGGTCAGGGACACCGGACACACTTAACACTTTTCCTCCCTTCTTAACAACCTTAAAAGACTTGATCAAATTATCACCGCCTAGGGTGTCTAGAACAGCGTCGTAGTCTTGAAGTTGCTGCTCAAATGCCTCCATCTTGTAGTTGATAATCTCGTCAGCACCCAAGGCCTTAACGAGTTCATATCCTTTTTCACTGGCAGTTGTAGCAACATAGAGGCCCATGCTCTTGGCAAGTTGGATTGCAAAGGTTCCAAGACCACCTGCACCTGCATGGATAAGTACTTTTTGCCCTTCCTTCAGCTGCAACGTATCATGAAGCGCTTGGTAGGCAGTCAAGCCAACTAGCGGGATACTACTAGCCTCAACAAAGCTTAGGCCTTGAGGCATTCTTGAGACATAGCTTTGGTTGATAGCTATGTACTCAGCAAACGTACCGGATCGTCCCCTCGGAGCTCGAGAATACACACGGTCGCCAACCTTAAATTCTGTAACCTTGGCGCCAATCTTGGTAACAATACCTGCACAGTCATTTCCCATAATAAATGGCATTGGGCAAGTGTACAAAAGCTTCACAACCCCATTTCGATTTTTGAAGTCAATTGGGTTCACACTAGCAGCATGAATCTCTATAAGGACATCCTCATCGAACACTGTCGGGATGGGAAACTCCATCTCCTCTAGAGGAGAATTTTTGCCATACTTCCGTATTGCCATACCTTTCATTGTAGCTGTCATTGTGAATAGTGTTAGTTAGATGTCGTCGACCACTGATTTCGGCCAAGTCGGAAATCTCCGCAACGATTCAGGCGTGTAAACGCATTTACGATCTAGGTGTATGCATGCCCTCCACATTTCGGGAAAATTGACGACACTCGTGCACTCCAAGTGTTGTCACGTGCATGTTGTGTCAATGCCCGCGGACTTGTGAGGCGTTCAGATACCTCTGGATTCATACCTTATCGTAAGGCTAAGGCAGACGCTCCCAGGGTGAAAGACGGGCTGATGACAGCTCCAGCTCAATCTTTGTCAGAACATGGCAGAGATGAAACACTTGAAGGGGTTCATTTGCCTCCGCCTGTGTTTGCCGTGAGTTTAGAGGATGCCACGCGTCCGACCGTGGAGTTGACAACTTTGTCATCAAATCACGTCGCAAACCAGGAGCATGAATCACATATCTCTCCGAAGGCTGATGCCAGTAATTTCTTCTTTGGAGAGAAAACTCCTGAGGGGTACTCAGATATCAACAATGATATCCATGGTATCGCTTTGCAAGCCAGTGAAAAGCCTTCCAGTCCTACAACGGTTTTGGATGTCCGAGAAGAAGAAAATAAGAATTCCGGATCAAACATGGGATTTTTCAGGCGCATATGGACGACTTTGAGAGGTGGTAATAGCGATGCCCGTGAACTGGAGGGCATGAAACAGGAACTTAAGGAACGTATGTGGCGCGATCCTTCGCCATTCCATTTGAAAGCAGGGGATCTTTGCTCTCTCATCGATCCTGAGAATTTTGAGAAACTTCAACAGATGGGCGGAATTGAAGGTTTGATGGCTGGACTCGATACAAGTGCTGAGAAGGGTCTATCTGCTGATCCAAAACAGAATGGTTCTTCAAAACAATATACTGGCTCAATTGAAGACAGAGTCCGAGTTTATGGTGCCAATCGTCTACCTCCGCGCAAGTCGAAAGGCCTCCTTATGCTCATGTGGCTAGCACTACAGGATAAGATCCTAGTGTTGCTTATCATTGCTGCTATTGTGTCTTTCGCATTGGGTCTATACACTGACTTTTCCCCCCCACCGGAATACACACCGTGCTTGAATCCGAAACCAGGTATGGATGAATGCCCCGCACCCCCCGTAGACTGGGTGGAGGGTGTGGCTGTCCTTGTGGCTGTGTTAATCGTTGACTTGGTGGGCTCGCTAAATGATTGGCAAAAGGAGCGTCAATTTCGAACTTTAGATGCCAAAAAGGAAGCTCGCAACATCACGGTCTTGCGTGGAGGTAAGCAGTGCTTGGTGGACGTGCACGATGTCGTTGTGGGAGATATTGTCACTTTAGAGCCTGGTGAGATCGTCGCTTTTGATGGCGTCATGCTGAGATCTCACAATGTCAAATGCGATGAGTCCAGTGCGACAGGTGAATCAGATATGATTCAGAAGGTGACATATGATGAATATATACGCGAGATGGAGAGTGGTTCAGTTAAGCACAAGAGTGTATTTGTGCTTTCAGGCTCGAAAGTCCTAGAGGGCGTAGGCGAGTTTGTTGTTACTGCCGTTGGCCCTCTGAGTATGAATGGTAAACTCATGATGTCTCTTCGTGAAGAGCCAGCAAATACTCCCCTTCAAGGAAAGCTCAACAGGCTAGCTGAACTAATCGCAAAGTTAGGCACTGCAGCCGGGTTTTTGATGTTCGTCGCATTAATGATTCGGTTCTTCGTCAGGTATGGGCGAGATCCTCACCCGGATAGCAAGAAGTATGGCGAATCTTTCATCAACATATTGATCATTTCGGTTATTGTTATTGTTGTCGCCGTTCCTGAGGGATTGCCGCTTGCTGTAACCTTAGCTCTCGCTTTTGCAACACGGCGAATGTCTAATCAGAATCTGTTGGTGCGGATCTTGGGTTCATGTGAAACTATGGCCAATGCTACATGTATTTGCACAGATAAGACTGGTACACTGACTCAGAATAAAATGAATGTGGTGGCTGGTTGTGTGGGCTCTGATTTGCTGTACCTTGATTCCATCAAGCTTGAAATTGAGAATACACAAATAAATGAAGAAACAGTCGATTTGGGGTCGCTTACAGAGCATCTTTCGCCCGACCTTCGTGACGTCATTACAAAACTTATTTGTATCAATTCTACAGCATTCATTCCAAGTGACACTGACAAAGAAGATCATGTGATTTCTTCCACGATAAAGCGACCTTGGTGGGCACGAATCATTTCTCGTCCCAACAAGTCGTCATCGTTGCTGAATGCAGCAAAAAGCGAATCAGGTTTTATTGGATCTAAAACCGAAACAGCCCTCTTAAACTTGGTTCAGCGCCTCGACTGGGGTGAATACGATCAGATTCGCAATGCCTCGGAAATTATCCAAGTGTTGCCATTCAGTTCCTCGCGAAAGGCAATGGGTGTCGTAACCAAGTTGGACAAAGGTTACAGGTTTTATGTGAAAGGGGCTAGTGAGTTGCTCTTAAGCAAATCCACTTCAGTGGTTCTAAGCGCACAGAGCAAAGAGTTGGGAGGAATTCAGTGCAAGACATTAGATGATGTTACTCGCACAGAGATGGAGAAAATCATAACCCACTATGCATCCCAGTCTCTTCGAACCATTGGACTTTGTTATCGAGATTTCCCTTGCTGGCCTCCTCAAGGTATAGCATTGCAAGACTCTGGTGAGGTTGCGTTTGAAGACCTTGACTCTGATCTTACTATGTTAGGAGTCGCGGCGATTGAAGATCCCCTACGTTATGGCGTGACTGAAGCCGTACGCGCATGTGGTCGTGCCGGTGTCCGTGTAAAAATGTGCACCGGTGATAACATCTTAACAGCAAGTTCCATTGGTAAGCAATGTGGTATATATTCGGCAGGTGGTGTTTCAATTGAAGGACCTGATTTTCGGCAGCTGTCAGAGGCAGATTTGGCAGAGCTGGCCCCCCACCTGCACATTCTCGCGCGATCAAGCCCCGAAGACAAGAAAACCCTGACAGATATGTTAAAGAGTATGGGGGAAACAGTGGCTGTGACAGGTGACGGTACAAATGATGGTCCCGCTCTCAAGTCCGCCAACGTTGGTTTCTCAATGGGTATCGCAGGATCTGAGGTGGCTAAAGAAGCAAGCGATATCATTCTATTGGATGACAACTTCTCTAGCATTGTGAGTGCCATTATGTGGGGGCGCTGTGTCAACGATGCGGTGCGCAAGTTCTTGCAATTTCAAATCACTGTGAATATTGTTGCTGTGGTGGTAACATTCGTTACCTCCATCTCAAATAATGGTGAATCCTCCGTTTTGACTCCTGTACAGTTACTGTGGCTCAATCTGATTATGGATACGTTGGCCGCCTTGGCTTTGGCCACAGACCCAGCAGACCCGAAATCACTGGAGCGCAAGCCTGATCGTGCTTCGATGCCTTTGATTACAACCGAGATGTGGAAGCAGATTTTCATTCAGTCTGCCTATCAAATTATATTGATCTTTGTGTTGTACTATCGTGGTAAGGACATTCTCAATATGCATAATAAAGTTCGTGCGATTGCCAACATGGATAATCTCGACCTAGACACCCTTATTTTCAATGTATTTGTGTGGTGCCAACTATTCAATCAAGTCAATACCCGTCGTTTGGATCGCCACTTGAATATCTTCCATAATATTCACAAGAATATATGGTTTATTCTTATCATGCTCGTTGAGATTGGATGCCAAATATTGATTATTTATGTCGGTGGCGCTACCTTTAGTGTGAAGCGCATTGGCGGTCGTGATTGGGGAATTTCCATTGTAGCCGGGTTGGTCTCCTGGCCTCTTGGCGCACTAGCACGACTAGTACCTACCGAGCCTGTTGAGAGGCTGCTGATCAAGTTAAGGCTTGCGCCTGATCCCAATGCCTTGCCACTATTTTCGCCAAGCCGGACTGAAGCCAGTGACTCGTTGTCGAATTGGAATGAGCCTGCAATTGGTCAGATTGCGAAGCAGATTGGTGCCTTCTCACGTATTCGAGGGGGACGTTTGCGAGCCAGTAATCTTGTTTTAAAGAGCAATGCCAAACTTATGAGAGAGCAGGACATTCATCCTCGAGAAATTATGGCTATGGTCCCTGCCTTCATTGGCACCAGTGTGGGAGGAATGTGGAAAATGGAAATCCAAGAAAAATCACATCAACAGCAACAAATTAAGCGACCAGCTTCTGTCCTCTTTAAAGAAGGAAAGATCCGTTTCCATCCTGACACTCCATCCAATCATCCTTACTTGTTGTCTCTGAAGCAGCAGTGAGAATTACTTCTTTTCACTTGACATCTTTGTAAATAGCGTTCTGTTTGTTGAGTAGTTATCATATATATATATTGAATTCGTGAAAATGTTACTTAGAAGGATTATAACAACAGGTCTGCGGAGTACGAAAATAGCAAAAACATAGTCCAACCCGGAATTGAACCGGGATCTTATCCGAACGGAAGCCGTTGTGAAGGATACGTCATAACCATTAAACTATTGGACTGTTACGATTCCTATGTAAAAATTTGATATATAATCAATTCCTCCCAAAAATATCAGACTAAAAAGTGCCAAAACGTAGTCCAACCCGGAATTGAACCGGGATCTTATCCGAACGGAAGCCGTTGTGAAGGATACGTCATAACCATTAAACTATTGGACTGAACGCTGGCTGAGCCTGTAGTAGTTGCATCTAAGTTCGGGAAAAGGTTGAACATGCCCCACATCGTAGTGTATGTTGACTGGGACGAAACTATCACTACCAAAGATACTCTTTCACTTTTGGCTCCAACGGCTGAGGAAGTGACAATTGGACCTAATTTCGAATACTATCAAAATGAATATTTGAGTGATCATCAACAATTTGCCCAAAATTTTGGAGAGATTAGAACCAAAGAGGACTTGTTGAGGTTTGTGAAAGATGTGAAAATGTCAGAAAGCGAGACGATCTCAAAGATCATAAAAGGAGGGTTATTTTATGGTACAACTCATAAACAGAGATGTGGAAGGCTAAGTTCAGTACAATACCGCGATGGATGGACAAGAATGGCGAAGCGGATTGCCGAAGAAATACAATCTGGTACCATGAAGGCGTATATTGTGAGCGTGAATTGGTCCAAGAAGTTCATTGCAGAGGGATTAAGACGAGCAAGTAACACAGTGCATCTGTTTGGTTTATATGATTCAGGATTTACCGACATCTATTCGAATGAATTGGAAGAGGACGCTGAAACTGGCATCTGCACGGGCCGTATAGTTGGACCTAGTGATGCGGGACTCATTTTAAGTGGTTTTGACAAGCTGGCTTTCTGTCAAAACGTAGCTGCGAAGAATCCAGAAAGTGTGCATGTTTATGTGGGGGATTCTTTGACGGACTGGCCGTGTCTATTGTGGGCAGACGTGGGTATCTTGATGGGAACCAATTCAAGTCTGCTGAAGAAATTACACGCAACAAACTGGCACGAAACTATCTGTCCTATTGTGCAGTGGCTAACATTGGACAAGGATGAAAAAAGGTCAAAGGTCGTACACGCTAATAATTGGAACGACGTACATGATCTGCTACACAAAGTTCAGACTAGTAAATGGGGATCATGAGTTCGTCCAAAGACGTAAAGAACTCAGACAGTGATGGGTTGGATGCGAAGCCTGGATCAAGCATCTGAGCAGAAAAGACAGAGGCCGCGTCCGCCACGGGATCTGTTGCCGCAGTCGTTCCAGTACCCAAATGAAACAGATTGCTCGTATTTTCGTTGTCCATGCCGATGGGCAACGTAGACGAGGGATTTGTCACTGACTTGGATGAAGCATTAGCAGCATCCAACTTTTCTTGGCGCGAGTTGGCAGCGGTCAATAGCAACTCAATCAGCTTTAAGGCCACTTTCTGACACTGAGGCAGTGACTGACGGATCTCTGCAGAACCGGAAAGATAGTCCATAATCAGACCAATATCGCCTCGAAGCTGGTGAGCCACCTGAGACGATCCTTGCGCGGTGTTGGCGAGTTCGAGCAGATGGAGCGACAACACAATAGCAGCCTGGAATAGATGGTGACGGAATGAGGCATGACGTTGAACAGAGGGATGAACATTGTCAATTTGCTGGCGACATGAAATCATGGTGCGCGCGGCATCGACAGCGACGCGTGTAGAGTATGCATACTTTTTGTCACGGTGGCCAAGGCACATAAAGTCACGGTGCAGCATAAGAAGACGATGGTTGACAGCCTCAAAGACGGAAAGACGGTGCATAGCAAGGTAAGGGCGTTGTGCCTGCTCATGGCGAACTTCCGGCAGCTGCTCGAGAGTGGGATCGGGCCTCAGATAGATGGGCAAGGTCGACAAGAGGTTACGGAACTTGGTGTCTAGCTCGAGCACAAGTGTGTAGGAGAGTGTACCGGATTGGACCATAGTAGACCATTCGCGACCCAAATTCGCAATCTGATACAAGTACGGTGTTAAGTTGTTGATAGTGGGGCGGCCATCTTCCTTGAGAGTGGGTAGGATGTGGGATTCGCCATCGGGTAAATCCTCTTCGTCGACATTCAAGGGCGCCATCGTGTTCGCCCTAGAGGGGTCGATCTGTGATACACGGCGAACGACAGTTCCCAGCACCATGTCCTTCACCATAATCCGATACCACAGTCGACGAGCAGCTTCTCGAACCAAGTGTGAGCGATCAGGCAGGCTGGTAGAGGTCGTAGTTGGGCGAACCCAAGCGCCAGGGCGACTAGTGGCGGTCACGGCTGACACGCAGACCAGCTTGCTGTCCGGAGCCTGCTGCCACTGCTGCTCGTCTTCCATAGCGGATCCAAGTTGGTGGTAGCCTTGCTGCTCAGCTAGACGCACCAAGGTGGCCATAGTTACTAGCGGCTCCAGCAGACGCCCGCGAGACGCATGGTAATCCACGCTAAACAAAAGTGCAGCGATATGGTTCCAGTTGGTCTTGTGAACACAGTCATCCGCTGCCAGTAGTGATTGTGCAGTGTCCACCCATGAATCCACATAAGGGTCGACTTGATCGGTAGTGGAGCAGAACCCTTGCTCGACGAAAAAGCGCGAGTCAGTGTACTGCGCCGCGAGTCCCAGCAGGACAAGGAGCAGGGCCAAAAAGGATGCATCCAAGCTGTCTGGTACAGGCGAGTGCATGCGGTTCCAATTAGCAATCTGGGCGCGCTGTGTGGCGAGTTGAGCCTTGACCAAACGCCAACTAATTCCATAGGACACATGCAAGTCGACGGTCTGTAGGATCTTCAAGAGATAATCAGATTGTTGGGTATCAGGAAGGATATCCAGAGCCGCACGAATGCGGACTACAGCATTGTTCATTCCAAAGGCCGCATTGTCAAGAAGAGCATTGACGATACTGTGACGCGGCATGGCTTCCGAGCTCGTGCCGACGGCGGCAGATCGACCAAGAGTCTGCTCATTGCCAGCCAATGTGTTTTGCTGGCTGTGCCGAGCAAACATGGCAAGAGCATCTGCGGCAATATTTTGCTCTGCCTGCATCTGTGCCATCTGTGCATTTTCGCTGGACTGAGAGGGGCGCTGGTGCTGCTCCATCTTGGCGCGCCAAAATGCCAACTCGGCCGCCACAGCTGCGTCTTGGGGGATGGTGGCTGCACTTGGGCGATCGGTATTCACATCACCCAGCGAAAGACCGGTGCCGGCAAGGAGGATGGGGTCGATCTGCGTCTGGCTCGTCGAAGAGGACGGCAGCTCGTGGGATGAGGGCTGGGACGCACTACCCGTGGCTAAGCGCTGCTCAAGGTGGCTGATACGCTCAATCACTGCGCGTGTGTCGTTGTCCAGTGCGAGTTCTGTGCCCTGTGCGCCGGCCCAGTCACTTGCGCTCAGGCCCATGGATGCGTGGGACGCGTCCGGTTTGGAGTACGCCATGGCGGTGGCCGCTGCATTGTGCATGTCAGCGGAGAGTGCCATATCCGAGGACCAGATGCAGCGCTCCGCCGGAATACGGTGCTTCTGGCACTGTCCACAATAGGGCTGCTGTCGGTCGCACTTAACCTTACGCTGCTTGCAAGGAAAACACGTGTTAATTTTACGTCGTTTGGTCGAAGGCGGCTTGGTCTGTGGCTCTGGCGCTGTCATACGATCTCGTGCAGTGGGTAAAACGTTGGAAGAGAGCGCATCCACGGCATGGTAATGCTGGCCAGCGTGTTCGTTCATGCCAAAGGCTTGAGGGGGGGGCACGGGCAGCGTGTGGGAAGGTATGGAGTCGATGGCACTACGCTCCATCGACATAGACTCAGACAGAGAGAGAAAGGAGCCGTTAGTGATGAAACAGGTCTTCTGCCGGCAGCACTAGGACCTGCAGTGATGGTATGTAGGACGCGAGCGCGTCAAGTGGAGGGTAGTCGGCCGATGGTAAACGCGCCTGGGGAGACGCGTCACGGTGGTGGTAGCAAGAGCGGCCGAGAGCAACGGCCGAGACGGTGTGGCGGCCGAGACCGCCGTGACCCGGGCCCGACGGTAAAGCACGTGAGAGGAAAGAAGACTAGGGAACAAAGAGCTACGTAAGCAGGGTCTACGCTCGACGACCGAACCAGCTTGCGAGCCATCCACGTGGGCGCTGCGCTTCCTGCGCACGTTCCTCCTCCTCAGCCAGCGCGTTGGCCGGATCGAACGGCGCATCGTCGTTGCTCATCGGCATATCCACGGGCGCATGGTCCTCGACCTGGGGCTCCATTTCTTCCGCGTCCATAGCTTCGCCAGCCGCCATGTCCGCTGGGCCACGGGCCAACTGAGCCTGGGCCTCCAGCAAGGCGTGCTCCACCAACGCTGCATCGAACGAGACATGGCGCTGTGCATGAAAGTAGAGCGTTTGGCCTGACTTGGATGCACGCATAGACGCAGCAGGGCCATGGTGTCGGGTGATCGCCGAGTAGACGTCCGTGCGCGCTTGTTCTAATCCCTGCGCTCGCTGGGCGAGGGCGTCACTGCCGCCTAAGAGCTGCGGAGGGAAACTCGTGTCCTCATCCTCAGCACCATCGGCAAGCTCCAGCGACTGCTCCGCCTGTCGAATATAGAGATCTCCGCGCTGTAGTAAAATGAGTGCTTCGCCTAGCAGACCATACTGCACAAATGCATGGGCCAGGTATTCCATGAGGGCAGCACAGTAAAAGAATCGCTTAGCCTCCAACAAATTGGATACATCAGGTTCGCCTTCAACCATGACGAGGCCACCAATGGCAAGAAGGCTGCTGTCAATGCCATCCAGGAGCTTGGCAAGGCCAGGCACGAGCCGCAGGCGGCGGCGCTCCGCTTGGCCCTCGGCAGCCCGCAAAGCGCGCTTCGAGCGCAGGACACGACGCTCGCTTGCGAGACGGCGTGTACCGCTGCGGCCCGGGCGCCGCCGGAAGGCCTTGGGCTCAGCGCGCGTGCGCTTTGCGCGCGAACCGGGCTGGGGCCGCTTTTGGCTTGGCGCCGCCGGTCGAGACGGCCGCACGCGCGCCGAATGTGCTTGCTGGAGCGACTGAGCACGCGCTTCGCGCTTGTGCGCGCGCAGCTGTACACCATGCATTAGACGCACGTTCCGCGCAATGCGAACAGAGAGCAGTCGGTAGGTAAGCCACTCATGGGCGCGGCGCAGGTGGACACCGCTTGCCTCGTACCGCGTCGAGTGGGTTTTTGCGAGTGCATGAGAATTTTCGTCCACAAGTGCGCGGGCGGTCGCCTCGGCATCCGCCAGCGCAGACAAAACACGGTCGAATGGGTCCCATTCTGCATTGTTTGTGCGCGCGACACGCGCACGCCCTGTACCGCCGCGTCGCTTGGCATTGCGTTCAGCATGTGTGAGGCGTGTGCGTTGCGACTTGGTCCGCTCACTTGGCGCCGAGAAGGTCGGAGCCTGCACAAAGCGGGCCAGCACGGCCTCCTCAGCCCGCACGCGTGTAACGACGTCATATAGCTCCACTGTATGCACGGGAATCGTTTGAGAGCGCCAATGAAGCTCGAGGGGTTTCGGTGGGGCGGCCTGGTGGGAGCTGCGCAGCTGCTGGATCGTCTCAGCAAAACCAGGCAGCACCTCTTCGCACACGGCGGGTGTCGCTGTTCGCTCGGCGGCCGCATAAGGATCGTCGGTCTCGTTCATAGAGTAGGCAGCGAAGCGGATCTGCGCGTCCAGTGTGTCGAGGAAGCTGCTCGCCAGTGCCTCGTCACGACTCGTAGGACTGCTCTCGGCAATGTTTGTCAGCAACTGGCGAGTGACGGCCGCCACCCTAAGCGTCTCCTCGGAGCGTCCCTGGATGAAATGCAGTGCACCACGCACAAGGCCGACGTAGGCAAGCGTTTGTGCGCGTCCGGGCAGCGTCACTGCCGGCAAGGCTTCGACAAGCTCGCGGAGCTCCTCGGCGTACTGCACGGCGCGACGCGCTCGGCTGAGACTGTGACGGCGATGCACGGAGCGATTTTCGTCCGTATGCTGCGACCAGATCTCCTCCGCAGATGCCCAGCTGTGCTCCGCCTCGAACAACAAGAGCTCCAGGGGACGCGTGTCGCGCACCTCATCCAGTGCGATCTCTCGGCGTACGAACTGATGGCCGCGCCCCTTGTTTGCAGCACTCTGCATCTCCGGCGTCATATTCATGCGGCGCTTGCTGCGGCGCTGGCCCTTGGTCGCTTTGCCGGCCTTGCCCTGCTCAGCGGCGTGCGTTAGATGCAGCGCGGAACGCACGCGCTGCGTCTTGGTTGCGCAATACCGGCGGTAGCGTGACCAGTCTTGCTGACGCATGCCATGTTCGTTGCGTGCCTCGACAATCAGCTGCAGAAGCGGGAACTCGAGCGCGCCAGTAGCCAGCGGCTGGCGCCCCTCTACGGCCACGTCCATGGTCGAAGAAGCACAGGATGTTCTTCGATTCGGCCGAGCACCCAGTATCTGTGCGCACCTCGAGCGGAACAGGCGGCGCGCCTTATGGGCTCGTCGATGTCTGCGTCGTCTGCCTCAGAGGCGCTGTTGAAACCGAGTGATACCGTGTCAAAAGAAGCAATCCAGTCTCCTGTATTCACGCGTTTGCGTGGAAAGCGGGTCATTCTGGCGAGCGGCAGCGCGAGACGGAGAGATCTCCTGGCTCAGATCGGTCTGCACCCGGAGGTTGTGCCCAGCACATTCCAGGAAGACTTGTCTAAGGACGATTTCGTAGGGGAAGCTATTTACGAATACCCAGTGGAGACCGCGACCCATAAAGCCAAGGAGGTGTATGAGCGCCTCGTCCGCACCGAGCCGCACCACCCGCCGGACCTCGTTATCGGCGCCGACACAGTAGTTGTGTTCGAGCAGCAGGTGCTAGAGAAACCTGTGGACAAGATGGACAATTTGCGCATTCTAGCAGATCTCAGTGGTCACTCGTGCACAGTCATTACTGGAGTGGCACTCGTGCATCCGATCTTGCAGGCACCCGGCTATCAGATTCGCACCGTCTGCGAAAAAACGAAAGTGCACTTTGCGGACATGCCGGCGGACGTGTTGAAGGCCTATGTGGACTGTGGCGAGGGCCTCGACCGCGCCGGTGGCTTTGCGATCCAGGGTCGCGGCGCCCTGCTGATCCGCGGGATTGAAGGAGACTTTCACAACGTCGTTGGCTTTCCCGTGTTTAGTGTGTTCGAACTGCTACACAAACTGGTGGAAAATGAGGAACTCGACCTAGAGGGTCTCGGTATGTAGCAGACCATCGGGTATGTCGAATCTATCTATGCAAAGATGCACCGATGCCGAGGTAGTCATCTGGCAACGACGATGCATCCGCCGGTGCGGCGGCACCATCGCTGCCCGAGGTGGGCCCCACGACCGCCCCTTGTCCATGACTCACGCTCGACGCCGCGGCCATGTACAAGTCGCCACCAGTGAATTCGGTGTGGGCGCGCTTGACGCGCTGACCCCGAGCGGTCGTTCCGGCACTCGAGGAGCTGTCGAGGGAGCCTGTGCCCGTAGATGAGACCGCCCACTTGTCTAACTCACGACCCTCCTTGAGGAAACCGCGCTCCGTCTCCGAGAGACCCATATCAGCCCCCAGGCTGCGAGCCTCTAGATTGGCGTAGCGCATACGAAGCTCACGCTCGGCTTGGATGGCATGATAAGAAGCGATTGTACGACGATATGCATCAGACAGAGACACACCACCGACCTCGCGCGTCTTGAGTGTGCACTGGATGACACTGCTGTTAGCATGACACACATACTCTTCCACGGTGGGGTTCATGCGGCTCCATGCCGAAAGCTCTGGCCAGGTGCCCGCGGGAATCTCGGGTACCGGGCTGTTCTCCAGCGTATAGTCCATCTCGACCAGCGTTTGAGGACGCGTGGCCTCCCAAGGGTGGTCGCGGAAAAATTGGCGGCGGATGCGGTCGGCCTCGTATACGATCGGCTGCGGACGCAGTGGCGGCATCTGTGAGCGAATTTTTTTACGTGAGTTCAGCTTTGATCGGCCCCCAATGGCTGCAGCCCGCTCGTGCGGCTGGCGCAACGTGGAGCCCTGTAGCGAGCGCGGCAGATCTTCGTCGGGACGCTGCCGTGTGTGGTGCGGCGGCGGAACCAGCGGTGGGTGACGCAGCGTTGCTTCGTACCAGGCTGGAGGCGCTTTCATATAGCCGCCCTGCAGCAGGCGGCCGACGGTCTGAGTCACCTGGTTCGGAATCCGGCGCGGCATGCTTTTCCAGAGGCGTCGCAGATGGAGCGAAGAAGGTCGTGCAATGTCCTTACATAATCGAGACGCCACGGCCGAGGAAGGCTAGACTCGGGTCACTACGAGAGCAGGCGGGTCTGCATACAGCGTTAGCTCACCAACACGACAGGGAAACGTACCAGGATATTGGCAGGAGTCTTGCTCAGGCGTGTGTAAATGTCCTGGATGTCAGACTCGGACACATCGCTAATGTCCGCCAGTAGATAGGCAATCTCCTTCAGCGAGTCAGTGCTCTGTTTGTCGACATTGTGCCGGCCAATGATTTCGTTGACAGCAAGCAGGGCACCTGGTTGGTTGTGATGCACGTAGCAAATACGTATCGAGCGGGTCTCCTGCTCAGTGATGGGCCGAATGTTAACCTCTGGGAAATTCACGGCACCAACGCTGCCGCCAAAGTTGATGTAACGGCACAGTGCATTGCCCACTTCAATACCAATGAGGCGCTGTGCTTCTTCCGTACTGCCACCAATGTGGGGTGTCATGATTACATTGCTTTGTTTTTGTAGTTCCGACGCCCATGCATTCAGATCGTTGTTGAATGCGTTCTCACCATTTTTGGCCGGCTCCTTCGGGTACACATCAATCGCACAGCCTGCGAGATGCTTAGACTTGAGCGACTCGACCAACGCAGGAATGTCCACTACCGTACCACGAGCATTGTTAATTAGGTACGAGCCTGGCTTCATCTGCGCGAGCTCCTTTGCGCCAATCATGCCGCGCGTCTCAGGTAGCTCAGGTACATGGAGACTCACAAAGTCCGCCACGCTCAACAACTCCTCCAGCGATTCAGCCTGTCGCGCACTGCCCAGCGGCATCAGCGGCAGTACATCATGGTAGATAACGTGCATGCCCATTGCCTCCGCGAGCACTGACAGCTGGGAGCCAATGTGGCCGTAACCCACAATGCCCAACAGCTTGCCACGCAGCTCGTAGCAGCCCTTGGATACCTTGTTCCACGTTCCGTTGCGCATCTCTATCGAGCGATCAGCAAGCTGACGGGCCAAGCAAACAAGCTCGCCGATCACAAGTTCGGCCACAGAGCGCGAGTTGGCAAAGGGCGAGTTGAACACGGCAATACCACGCTTAGTAGCCGCCTCCAGATCCACCTGGTTCGTACCAATGCAGAAACAGCCGACCACGAGGAGCTGGTGTGCCGCATCAAACACGCGCTTTGTCAGGCGCGTCTTGGAACGAATGCCGATCGCATGGTAGTCTCCGATCTTGTTCACAAGCTCCTCCTCTGACCAGGCACCGGTGAAAAAGTCCACCTCGAACCCTTGCTCGCGAAGCATTTTAACGGCTCCCTGGCTCACATTTTCAAGAAGAAGAATTCTGATACTGTCCATGTTAAAAGGCTGCAGAATACGGGGCGCATTCGCGCCGCCTGGGATCGACACGGACCGGGCACGGCCGTGCGCAGCCTGCGAAGGCGACTGTCCCTCAACCACTGGAATCTCTTGGGCAAGAGGCTCACTTGCCTGTTGCATCGCCAACAGCGAAGCAAATGGAGACTCCCCCTGCATGGAGGGCGATGACGGCATCGCTCGCGTGAAGGCCTGGTTCGTCATGGCGGATGGCTGCAGCCGTGCTCGACACCTTCCATCGTCCCCATGACTCGGATCGTTGTGTCACGTGAGTAGGACGCGTGACACACGTGCGGCGGTTCGCTCGGCGCGCGTGCCTCGCCCCGCCATCGCCTGGTTAGGTGACCATCGACAACTCGTTCGTGACTGCACCTTTCTACCAGTGATGACTTCCATCGATAGCCGTCGTCGTCCTGCCAAGAAGGGAGTGTCCTTCTGCCTCATGGTAGTTGGCGCAAGTGGCACTGGTACGTATCATGTTCCTTGTTGACATCCACAGGTAAGACCACTTTCGTGAACACCCTTTGCGACCAAAACGTCATTGAGCACAAGGACTCTGAAAACCCTTCCACCGCTAACGTTGAGATGGGTCTACAGATCCAGCCTGTCAACCTTGGTATGTGCTCCATGCGAGGTATATCTAACCCCTAACAGAGGTTGAGGCTGAGGGCATGCGGATTGGCCTTACCATCGTGGATACACCGGGCTTTGGCGACAGCATTGACAATGAGTACATGTTCAATGAGATATTGTCTTTCATCGAGCGCCAGTATGACGATATCCTCTCGGAGGAGTCGCGTATCCGCCGTAATCCTCGCTTCCGCGACAACCGTGTCCATGCGCTCATCTATTTCATCGCACCCACTGGCCACTCGCTTCGCGAAATGGATATTGAGCTGATGCGGCGTCTGAGTCCGCGCGTGAACGTGATCCCTGTGATTGGCAAGTCAGACTCGCTTTCTCCCTCCGAGTTACTGGAGTTCCGCAAGCGTGTCATGGAGGATATTGAATACTATGGTATTCCCATCTATAACTTCCCTTATGATGAAGATGAGGACCACCCAGACACGATTGCCGAAAACAGTGAGCTTCGCTCTCTCCTGCCGTTCGCCGTGATCGGCTCAGAAGATCACGTCGTGACGCCTACCGGTGAGATGGTTTTGGGCCGTGCCTACCCATGGGGCACCGTGGAAGTAGACAACCCGGACCACTGCGACTTTGCGCGCCTGCGCGGTGCTATTTTTGGCACCCACTTGAACGATCTAAAGGAAATTACTCATGACTTCCTTTACGAGAACTACCGAACGGAGAAGCTGTCGCGCGGTATGCCCAATGACTATGCGGCCGATGCTTCCCTGCAGAGCGAGGACCTGATGAACCAGAGTGTTCGCTTGAGGGAGGAGCAGTTACGCCGTGAGGAGGAGAAGTTGCGGGAAATCGAGCTGCGCGTCCAGCGTGAAATCCTGGAGAAGCGCCAGGAGCTTCTTGCCAAGGAAGAGAATCTCCGGAATCTCGAGACGCGCATGCACCAGCCCACAGCTTGACCTCTCTCTCTCTAAATTATCTCGCAGCTCCATAGTGCCATGGCGTGGCTGGTCAGCCTCGGTACATAGCTTCCTTGCTGACGTGAGGCTGCAGGTGGGCCTTCCGTGCACCGGCATTTGCCCGCATGTTAGCAATGTCGACCTACAAGGACACTGGTGTGTGCCACATGCGATTCGCCAGTCGGAGCGCCGCCCGCGACTTTACGAGTTCCTCGGCGACGACTCCTGCCGAGCATGGTGTTCTCCTTCGGCAACTATGAAGGTGTCTGCCAAGGTATGGCGATGGTGTCTTGCCCTCTTCTAGGAGACGATATGGGACGCGTGCCAGAATGCTATTCTCGTAACATTGACATCAACAATACCATTATATTTCAGCCAGGTTTGTAGTTGTCTCCCTGACCCAGCCACCTGTCTGATTCATATGGCTGCGATCATTATGACGGCCATTATGCTCTGGCATGTGCATTCGAAATACACAGCCGTCGGTACGTGTATATGAGCGAGTTGGTCTAATCCGCAGGTCGTAAAGAAATTCTCTTATTTTTGTACATCTATGCTGTTTCTGAGTTCCTTGTGATGTTCCTGGATTCTGCTGTGATTCCCACATACACTGGCGCTTATTTGGTACGTTTGCTTTGACCAACATACAGTGGTTCACGGCCATATACGTTGGTCTTAAGTGCGCCATTTTCTGGTGCCTTATGCTAAATGGATTCGTTGGTTTTCAGTTTGCAGAAGATGGATCCGCCGTATCCTTGTGGACTATGCGTATCAGCTCGATTGTCGTTTTTATCGTTTCGTTGATTGTGGCAGGGGAGACTTACAAGAAGAATTTGGGTGAGGGTGGTCTCTGGTTCTTTGAATTCCCCTTCCCTATCATAATGGTGCTCATCTATGTCGTGTCACAGGTGATTCTCGTGGTGCGTACACTCGATGAGATCTGGCCCATCAACGATATCATTATGGGGTGCCTGGCCTTTGTGTCTGGTTTGATTCTCATGTACGGCTTCAACAACCCTATATGCGAGAATGTGAATCACTACATCGATGGCACATTCTTCGGGGCCCTGTGCTCCCTATTCTCAGTCATGATGGTGTACAAGTTCTGGGACTCCATCACCAAGGAAGACCTCGAGTTTAGCGTTGGTGCTCGCCATTCAAATTGGGACGCCAAAGAAACTTTGATTCAGACCGATTTTGAAGGGTCTGTGCAGAGTCATGATATGATTCCCCGTGGCATGTCTAAGACATTTGAGCCCTCACGCACTCCCTCGCCACCCGATCACAATGACTCAGCTCCCTCGGGCTTTCCGTATGGCCGGGGGATGACTCGTGAATCTTCGGGCGGGAGCTCTTTCTATGTTCCTGATTAGATTAGGGTTTTGCTTCTCGCATATTGTTTGTATGACGGCGATGGCTCGGTGCATATGTAGCACACTGTACTTAAGCTTACCAATAATGCACGTGGGAAAAAAATCTCTTCGACGACAACCATCATGTCGGACTCCCTGAGTGTGGCAAATTCACTTGGTCAGGTCGACGTTGTTCGAAACGACGTGATTGTTCCTCAGAGAGAAATGCAGCAGCAGCAGCAGGCTACTGTTCGAGATGGGCCCGTCCCTATGAGTATGCCAGCGATATTGCGCAACCCTCGAGTATCCCAGGCAGCACCTGTTGCTCGCCAATCAAGGGATGGTTATGCTCGGTGTGGCACAGATATGGCTCGTAACATTGGCAAGCGTCGTGCTAGGCGCAATGAGAATGGTGTGTTTATGCTTGTCTCACCGTGCAAGGCAGGTTTGCATGGAATCCACACGCTGTACGTCCTGGCCCGGCAGACTACTTGATCCCTGCAAATCAAGTACAGTCTACGTTCACAGAGCAGACAGCTGTGGTATTGGGTGACTTGTGCCATGATAGGGCATCGTTGATGGATGCGTGCACGCTGATGCATGATTCACCAGCTTTTGAGATTGAATCTGCAATGAAGGGCCAGTTCACGATGAGTCTGCGTGATGCACATGGGTTTCTGCGTGCACGCCTGGGGCATGCTGAGTTGATGCAGGCATACCTGGATGCTTTGAAGACAATGACCTTCCCTGCTGTCTCGGCAACAAGGCAGTGTCTGTTTTTGGAGCGCCTTATTTTCACGGCCCAGAAAGAAATTGGACATTGGCTACGCCGAACCGAGTATGTGCATATGGACGAGGAAGGGTGCTCTAGCCGTGTGATTTTGGCACACCCCAGTGGTCGCGAAGAGGGTGCCCTAATTGAGTTGAAGCAAACCCCGACGCTGTTGATCTGGCGTTCGGAAGATGCATGTTCGCGTCTAGCGATTCATTGTGTGGCACGTACCTTGAACTGTCCCAGTTTCTCGCGTACTATTCCCGCTTCCGGTACGGACCCCCTGAGTGGCACCAAGAGAACTACATGGATTCTCCATCCGAACCCTTTGTTGCGCGCCCGCACTACACAGCATACAGTAGTGCGCCGTAACAGGCACCGGCGCAACAGCTCTGCTAGCACGAATAGCAGCGTCACCTCAACCGCTGTGCCGTTCCGTTCTACGATGCCGCTTGCTATGGGTCTCTTGCAACAAGGTTCGATTGGCCTTGAAACGCCACCCAGTACAGATTATGAGTTGACGGATTCGACCGATGAGTTTGTTGATAGCGATCTGGCTGGTTCGGCTTCTGAGCTAGATATGTAGGATAGGATACCCAGCCATTTTGGCTTCATGCCATTTGCACGTGAGCGCCTAAAAGAGCGCAATTCGCCCATTTCGAGATAGTAGTGCAGGAATCGTGACTAGACGTGTGGCAAACATGCTGCGCAAACTGCGCCCGCCTGCCCGAGATCACTGCGCCAAACAGAAGCACAAGGACCCAGTTCTCTCCCCTCACTGACTATGAAACATGTTTATATAGCTGAGCTTGCAGCTCTTCCGCGCATGTGTCACTCTCGACCTACCTAACTGTTTATGGTAGTAAAAATCAATAGTGCAACTGGATAGCTGAACGTCGAAATCCGACATTCGCCAGTAAAGAACACTTAAGGACACTAGCAAACGAGCAAGAAAAAAAAAACACTAAGTGATGGCGTAGCAAAGATTACAGGTCTATTCGGTCGAAGAGCGGACCAAGCAAGCATTAGTGCAAGGCCACCCCTAAACGAAGAACAGTCGGAGAAGTATCCATTACTTCTTACCCTACAGAGCGTCAGCATCGACACACCCAAAGAGATGTACATACCGCAATCAAGTTGTAAGCACCGACCGTGATACCGGCCATACCAGTCCAGAAGATGACCTGGAAGACGCCAAAGTACAGGCCCGAGCGAGGCAGGCGCTGGTAGACAGGGCGGGGGTCAGCCTGGAAGATGCGCTGGCGCTGAGGGACAGTGTTGCTAAGTATGTGTTAGTATTTTGTTCAGCAAGTCTGTCCAGACGAGATGCACCGGATGCTTACATGCCTTCTAGCGAAGAGCACATGCCGGGCAACCAGCCTGTCCAGACCAAACACGTACTGCTTGTACACGAGAGGGTCCATGTCAAGAATTATAAAGGAAAGAGTCACTGGATTCTGCTCCCAGGTCACGGCTAAAGCCGGGAAGCCTACCACGTGGCACCAACCTTCATGTGCGCCTCAATCAGCTATCTAAACGGGTCTCCACCTGTAGGGACTTACTCTAGCCGGGGGAACGTGTATGAGTATTGCAAAGCACCCGCCGCATGCCTTCCGAGTAGAGCACGAGCAGCATCTTCTACCCAGGTAGGCTGACGCAGGAAAACACGACCCAAGGCAATGAAATCCGCGCTCCCCTCCTGGAGCACCTTCTCAGCGAACAGACCGGGCGCATCAGGGTTTTCTTCTGTTCCGCCCTGGAGACAACCCACGGAGCTAACCTTCATACGTTTGAGGCCAGCCGACTTTGCTGCTACCGCACCGGGGACCTGGTAGCCGGGCGTAGACAAAAACTTAATCTGGCCCACCGTGCCACCACTGCTAATATCTAGCATGTCAACACCGGCCGAGTCTAGCAGCGAGGCCAAAGCCGTCGTATCCTCATAATTCCAACTCTCTCTTTCATCCTCCTCTGGTAGACCATCGGTACCATTGAGGCGCACCCACAGGCCTTTATCAGGGAATTGTTCGCGAATGCGACGCACAATATTGAGCAGCAGACGGGTGCGGTTCTCCAGGGTGCCACCATACAAGTCTGTGCGCTGGTTGGCCAAGGGAGAGTTGAAAGAGGACAGCAAATAGCCGTGAGCCGAGTGGATCTGGACGAAATCGTATCCAGCGCGGTACGCACGGTCAGCGGCTCGTACAAAATCATCCTCAATATCACGGATCTCACTGAGCGACAGCTCATGAGGGACCAAGTGGCCCTCGCCATAGGGGATAGCCGATGGACTCACGACAGTCTTATCCCAACCACCGTCGCTGACAGGTACATAGGGAGTATCATGCGGCGTGCGGTCATAGGGGGGATACGTCGAAGCCTTGCGACCTGCATGTGCCAGCTGGATACCAAAGTACACATCTGATGACACGGACTTGACAGTTTGTACAAGCGACGCATGCGCAGCAACGTGCTCTTCTTTGTACAAACCCAAGTCGCGGGAGGAAATACGTCCAGCCGGCGTTACACCTGAGGCTTCCACAATGATCGAACCAGCACCATGCAAAGCGAACTGACCATGGTGAACGAGATGGAAAGGAGTGGGAAATCCATCCACACTCGAATACATGCACATAGGTGCCACAATGACGCGGTTTTTCAGGGTAACAGTACTGTTACCGCTCGGGACCTCGGTGTGCTGAAACAGAAGAGGACATTCCACACCCTCAGGCAGAGATTTCGGATCCACAGCACCTACAGGCAACCTCTCGTCGGGACGTGGCGCATAGTACGAAGGAGATATAGCGAGCATGGACATCGGTAGTCGGTAGTCGGTAGTCGAATATTAGTGACATACGCTTTATTTCTATGTGGCGTCACAGGGTCCTTTAGTCAGACAGCCACAAACCAACCTCATCACGTCATTGACACATCTACCAAGGTGGATCTTCAAGGAAACAGAATGGTAGACTCGATAGTTCGCTGGAAGGGAGAGTGATGTTCCATACCCTTATTTAACAACGATGTATAGAAGATATAATGAATAAACTAAAAATATGTACTATGAATTCTTTCAGCTAACTTTCCTATTATTATGCCAGAATATCAGCGCAACATGGATCCGACATAGGCGCAGTCCACAAAGCAAACATTACGTCCTTATCCTGCGTGCACAGGCACTAGTAGCTAGTATCTCGAAATGTCCGAGCACAAATCAGGGTGGAGGCCTTGGCATGTGGGGGCTGGGGGTAGGACGGCGTTTGTGTCTCACGTGCCACGGAGAGCCAACCAACACGAGACTGGGTCAACAAAAGTGGTGGCTCGTCGCCGACCGGTGGTTCCAGCATTACGAGTTCGCACGAAAGCAAATTTAGGTCGAATTCAGGTCTCAGGTCGACGCGCGGAGACATGGAAGGAGAAAACTGGCACGCACATGCACAAGCCATGGATGATCTCCCGTTGCCCGTCCGCTCCTTCCCTCATCGTCGGCCTTCTCAAATTGTGAAAGCTCGACGGCGAACATCTGGACTAGGATACATTCGGGATGAGAATGGTAGTCATCCCGAAGCTGAGCGTCGAAACACATGTCACACAGGTCATATACCCTCTGTGGCAACCAAAGAGGGCCACAATTGGTCGTCTCCAGAGCTATTCGGTCCATCACCTGAGCTGCATCGTGGCTGGCGTATGCCCGGACCATCTGGCACATTTGCGGAGACGAGTCCACATGCATTAAAGTCATGGAAATACATGAGTAATTTCAGTTCGAGCAATGACAAGGCCTTGCCCGTGTCGCGGCTCGACAAGTTTGAATTCTATGCACCCAGCTCTATTACTACCAATTTGAGCTCACCTCCCTCTAGTAGCTCCCCCATGTTCTCCGAGCCAACAACACTAACGACCAAATCACAAGAAATACCACACAGAGCTTATCGTGCATCCACAGATGTTTTCTTATCACCGCCTCTACATCCTCAACCTGTGCATCCTCCGCACCCCGCCTCGACGACTCGTTCTCCGCCAAACTACGGTCTCGGGCTTTCCATATTGCCAGAAGAAAGTGGGTCATCTCGTCGTCGCATGGCTATGGACTACCAGGGCTCGCAACAACGAAGAGCCCGACGACTCATGTCTATGCCTGTGTCTCTCCCTTCATCTTCGTCATCTGACTGTCCCGATGCCCACTTAAGTCCATCACACAGTGGTCTTGATCGCTGGTTCCCAGGACTCATGTATGCTTTTGAACCACCTTATGATTCACACAATACCCCTGTTACAGAGTTCGTTGGCGACTCGATTGGTCTGGATGAGGAATCCTACTGTGAGGATGAACCCACTAGCCCCGGAGAGCCGGCTTCGCCACCGCTACGCTCGTTGCAACTTGTATCAAAATATTTTGGTGACGATACCGATATATCCTCTGCGGAGGTCTCCCTTCCGGAAACAGCACCCCACCCACGGTCACGAAGAATGTCTGCCGGGGAACTACACGGGCTAAATTTTGTCTCGCCTGGTGATATTGAGCATGATATGGATGAGCCTGTCGCTCCCACTGTGTCGCACTTGCGACCTTTGCACCTGGCTGAAATGCACCGGTCAGATGCACATGTGACATCACGACACACGCATTCATCCTGCATGGGACGCACTCCTACTTTATCTATGAGCGAGAGTAGACCTCATGACGACGAATCAGATGCTTCCAGTTGGCACCAATCTCTCACCAGGCGAAGCCGCGTCCCATTTGCAGCTCTGCACCCGCGCCCGGAAAATCCCAAGGGCGATCCAGATGCGATACAGCTGTTTTGGTTTGGCTTCATTGGCATGCCATGGCTTTGGCTCCTCGGCGGGTGGTGTCTTAATGACCATGGTGCGCTATTATCGCCTTGGTCGCCCCCTTCGTTTGCCGCATATCGAGCAGGGCTGCACCCCTATGGTCCACCATTTGCACTCTCGCTCCATGCAAAGAACAGGCTTCTACAGCGGATCTCTCCCCACACTATCAGTCCACTCACAAAAGATCCTGTGGTCTTTGGAGATGACCACCGTGGTGTGCAGTTTCTGGCACAACACCCTCCTGACTCAGTGCGGCTGTCTCAACTTCAGCAGTGGCAGCATGTCGAGAGATTTGTACTAATCAATCGAATTGCTGTGGCTCTCTCTTCATTTACGTTCTTTGCGTGCTGGTCATCCGGGGTATGGACCATCGTGTCCCATTTTTGATTCGCCTGCGGCTCAACCGAGTCACGCCCTCCTCCGAGCCTGGAACAGCTCTTGTACTAGAAATGCTTCGCATATTTGCCCGGGTCGCGCGTGCACTCGTCGTGAGCGCCTTGGTGCGCCTATCACCTAGCGCTCTGTTGCCTGCCGTGGGCACCCTTACCCGATAGGCCATCTCCTCCACCCACTTCATTACATAAGCCCATAGTGTATCTTTCCTCCATCGCTACGATGCCCGAGAGCGAAGGACCCGCGGACGCGCTGCTGTGTCTCAGGGCCGCAGTGTCGGCTGATCCAGAAGATCCCATGGCGCTTGTGAGGCTTCGAGATTCCAGCGGGAATGATCTGGATGGAATTCAGGGAGCTACCTCCGTTACTTTCTTGTCGAAGGAGTCGAAGGCTCCAGTGCAAACATTCGATGTGCATGTACCAGCACGTATGCTGCGTAGCCGCGAGCTTTCATCAAGAGAGGGAGGAGCTCCCAAAATCGATTTAGAGCCTGATGCCTTTTTCCCGCTCAGTGCCCTTCTTTTTGCGATTTTGCAACGCAATGAACGTGCGGGTTCATACCTCCGCAACGCGACCACAGCCCAGATTGTGCCGATATCTGCACTAGAGCGTGCTCCTATTCTTGAATACCTCACGGGAAAGCGCAATGCCTGGGATGGCATCGTTTCGCCCACTGATGTCGCTGACAGCGGCGCTACAGCGCCGTCGGACACTGCAGCGCCAGCAGCTCTAACAAAGGACGACGCCGCTGAGCGACCGGTCACCTCAAAACGCACTTTTCAACCTGATGCAGCCGATGCGGAGTTTGTTCGACATCTGCGCTCCAAGTATGAGCTAGTGCTGCTTAGTCGTGACGACGCTCTGCGAGGATCTATGACGGCCGATACGGACGATGGTACGACAGGCGCGCGGGCTGGCGGCGACCTGCTTGGACTACGAGCCATGATGGCACCACGCATCGAAGCCGCAAAGAAACGCTCGGTCTCATCTAACAAGTCATCCACATCCTCCTCTCGTTCAGCCCCGTCCGCAATCAACCCTGCTCGGAAGTCTCGAGCACAGGACCCTATTATATTGCTTTCTAACTCTCCAACTGCCCTGGTTAATATGTTCAATGTGAAAGCACTGCTGCAGGACGGCGTGTTTATTCCACCTGAGGAGGCTCGCCAACAGGCTGGCGGCATCCCCGAGCTTGTCGTAACGATCCGAGCACCTTCATCGGATGAGCCAACGTCTGGACAAGGCGTGTCACTATCCCGCCGCATCCTTGTGGTAGACAGCGCTGAAGCTGTCAACCGACTGGGCAGTGGGGCGCCTGGGAGCGATCAGGACCCTTGGTCCCGTGTTATTTGTGTCTTTACTACGGGTCAATCCTGGCAGTTCAAGTCGTATCGTTGGTCGGACCCACGCGATCTTTTCCGAAATGGTACGTATTTGCCTGGCTGACCGCTCCAGCCATGGGCGTGTATGTGCGTTGGTCGAACGAAGCACCCAGTGTGCAGGTGAAGAATTGGAACGTGACTCACCTCCAGGTAGGTACCTGCTATGCTCTTGTCCCACTAACTATTGTACAGGTAGACCGCACAAAGAGGCACACCGACAAACAGCTGGTTGCATTCTTTTGGCGATCCTTGGACAGTTGGGTGCAGAGGAAAAAACCTCGCTTACACCTGTGATGGTACAAGTTGTATGCTTCAGCCCATGCCACCCCAGACTCCCCGAATGCGCCGAGCCAACTGAATGTCTCTCTGCATAATTGTTACGCGCTTGGCATGAATCGCACATAAATTGGCATCTTCAAACAAGTGCACCAGGTAGGCCTCTGTAGCTTCTTGAAGCGCCAGGATAGCGGAACTCTGCCACCGCAATCCCACTGCACTTGCGCTCGAATCATAATTCGCCTCAATAAAGTCATCAGCAACCTCTCGAACAACGCGTGCAAACGGCAGCTTGGATATCAACAGGTCCGTCGAGCGCTGATACTTGCGAATTTCTCGCAGTGCCACGGTGCCTGGCTTATATCTCCGTTTTTTCTCATGAGTAGACACATATGCTTGTTTGTGTTAGAAAAAAGCGCAAGAACATACGATAGTAGTTAGATTCACCTGATACACGGAACTCTGTTGGCACATACTCCATACGTTGTTGTGCTGACATGGAGGTGAGTGCGCTGTTGGGGTATTTACGTGGAGGGCACATTTGCCCTTGGGAACCTTTCAGGCCGGCCGAAGCCATGCCTTGACTGGACAACACGCCGTCAACCCATTACTGATTTGAAAAGAAGTACCTGATATTGTTTATCTATTCACATAGGTACACTCAATTTTTGGAGAGTATGTCTGTCCGTAGCAGAAACGGGGGCAAACCGCGGTCGAATCGGTCCATAGCCGGAAGTTTTATAAGGCAAAGCCGCGGGATAAGGAGGGCATCTTGGCCCGTCCGCACACAGATTAGCCAAAGCCTCTAGTGTACCCTTTTCGGCTTCAGAGGATCTCGGATATTGAAGAGGAGGAAGCTGGGGCCGTGGTGCAGTGTATGTATACGGCCCTGATTTAGAACGCGGCGTGTATCCAACAGGCACTGAGCTCGTCGATAAGGGGGGTGTAAGGGGCAACATGTGAGAGGCAGTATCGTAGCGAGATGTCCAGCCACGTTGCTCAGGGTAATAGGAATAAGATGGCGAGCGGCTGCGGTCATAGCGATAGCGCTTCATAGTCACGTTATCATCCCTAATCGCATAATTGCTGTTCATCGCTGGATATCTTGTATAACCGCGATCATAGGATGGATATGCCACTGAAGCAAGCCGTGGGGCGATTCGGGGATGGGAAACCTGCTCATGTTCATCTGAAGCTGGCGAAGACATAGTGGAACTCTCATCAGACAGAGTACGCTTCATTGCTCGCTTTTCATCCGTGACATATGGTGGTTGCCTGATATCCATCACAATGTGATTAGGTAGACGCTCGTTCTCTCGGCTCAAGAGTTCACCGAACTCTTCCTCATCCACTTGCACGTTCCATGACCCTGGCCCTCTTCCGCTAATTCGAGGGTCCTTGCTTACACGCTGCAGCCGGCCCATCCGAACGTCATTTTTAAGGAAGTAGGATATCACATGCAGTTTCCGATTCGACGCAGTAGTAATGCTGAACGATTGCTTGATCAAGCCATCCTGCTTGTACAGATTGCCTCGAGGCGCCTCTTTTGAATTATCTGCATTTTTCTTGCGCATTTCAAGCTCCCGATAGGTAAGGAAACAGCCACTGACGCGGCTTGCACTCCAACAATGCCCATCTGTCCACCGACGCATCCCAGCTTCGCGTTCATCCCACACAAAAATTGATCCAGAGCGAATCAATGATGCGCGCTCGTCATCGAGCAAACGACGCGAAATGCGGCGGGGAGGTGGATCCATACTCGGGTCGTTAGGGACTTCCGGAAGATCGCAAGCAGCCAGCAGTAGAATGGCATCTGCAGGAGTCTTGATGTAACCGAAATAAGTGGGCCGGCGTTCACTTATATTCAGCTCTCGGTTAGGGTCTCGATTAGAATACGGGTTCCACCTCACAGTATTTTTAGGCGATGAAACATGCGGTGGCGAGACCGAAGATGTCCTCGAACTAGGAGTGGCGTTATTCGAATCATGCGACAATGGCAGTAACCGTGCTGGTGGGTCTGAAAAGTCAGACATGATACCACAAGGGTAAGGTTGGACTTTTCAGTTGAGGTGTCAAGTAATAAAGGTCACTTGATGACAAGGGTATTTGATATAAACTATACTCGTAAACTTCACACTGTGCGATTTTTGGGCTTTAGCCCAACTCCAGAGCATTCAGGCACGCGGAGTTTACGGCCTCAGAAATTTAAATCGGATGTACAGCTCGCTTGAAATTTTTGGGTCGACAAATGTGTTCCGGGCTTGGATACATGTCTCATAGCTCAATCTAGCGAATCACAGACATGACTGAAACTATCGTTGCGAGCTAATCCAAACTAGTCACAATTCTACAACATCATTTGACCCTTTTTCGAAAACAGTCTCGCTTATTTTGTGCCGAGACTCACCTGAAAACCTAGTCATAAGCATTGCCACATTCTTGACAATGCATAACTTCTAGGTAATTAGTCATCTGGACTAAAACAGGGTTAACGTCGATTGCGCTTGAAAGTACTATTGGGGTTATGATGTACAGCCATACTGGGTCAAGATCGCAATTATTACCAAAGTTTATAGTAGAGGTTTTGGACTAATCAACTAATCGTACAGCAGTTCAAAGCCACTGTCTCCATGTAACTATTTTTGCCCTAACTCGGAGTCGTTTATCATAAAACATACATATTTGTAAGAAAATGATTGGTTGTAATTCCACCCTCGTGATCGCAAGAACATATTGATTCCCAAGTCGGGACGGACGGTCTGCTAGAAGTAGCAGCTTACTCGCGATTCAGCCCCTGACCTGATCATGCTATCCAGTGGAGCCTGGTTGAAGGCCGTGATAATAACAGGGGCCACCGCCAGTATGGCTCGCGCCGGTCCTTTGGTGGCGGACTTGGCTGATAAGAAAGGTTATGCTATTGCGAATCCCATGAATAACCCTATTGGTTTCAAGGATGGCCAGATAGTACCAAACACGGCACAATCTGACCGAGGATTTTACTACTTCCAGGCGTTCCCACACAGTCGGGTACCTACGGCCTCAGTTACTTGTATCGCTATCCCAGTTGCTTTTGTCATTATCTTCATGGTCATTATTTTCTTTATGAGAGCCTGGCTTGGCATTTCGTCCCGCTTTGCTCCGAGCTTGTCCTCTGATCGCGAAAAGGCTCTGGAAAATCTCCGTGTGGTGGGCGTTCGCATGGACACTACTTCGTCTACACAAGACCATGATGGTGAAAAGGTCTGGTCGGATGCTTCGGTTGAAAAACACTCGGATGGTCCCTCAGATGAGGTGCCCACAACTGAATTGGGCGGTGGTCACGCTGATGCCGACCCGCCTGCGACACTTGTTTCGCCAGCCCCAGTTTCTGCACCACCTGCTGTCCCTATTACTGTATCTCCTCAGCGCACTTCCGAGAAGAAACTCAAGGATGCTAATGAGATCTCTGGTCCCGTTGTCCCTGTGCTGCGCAACGATGACCCTGATGCCCTTTCTGGCGATGAAGACGATTCCTATGATGAATACGATTCCAATTACCCTAGTCGTCGCACGTCTGCTGTCCCCTCTGAATTCAATTATGCAAGTCGACGCGTTTCTGCGGTGCCTTTCGAGAATTCCCCGCACACGCTGGAGCCTTACTCGGAGAACGTTTTGGATCTCCCGAAGGATTCGAATGAAGCCTCGCTACCCGATTTGCCGCCTCCCATTGATGGTAGCGCCGCAATTCCTACATCGATTAGCAATGCAACAACTTTGCACGAGCCCGAAACAACTGAGACCAAGGATCAGAACTCCCTCTTCCCCTAATGTTGCTTTTGATCACAAGGTTTGGCCCATTGGTCTTCCTAACAGAAGTACCACATGTTATCTTCACAAAGCCCATGCGACTATGTAAATGGATTAGATACACAACGTAGTAGGATCACAGTATCGCTATGGCTTGTTATTTGCCTGTCGTAGCTTATTTCTGTTCGCAACGCTAGTCACTCACGTGACTCTATATTGTCTCGCGAATCCAGCCGGTGGAAACTCATCGCGTTCCATGCCTGGTGCACCTGCCAAGTCGCTTGCCGCGCTGCAAGCGCTACGATGCCAGGTATTTGGTACGACTTACAACCCAGGCAATGTGCGAAATGGTGCAAAATACTTGAAAAAGTCGTTAGTCGGAGGAGCGATGCTCAAATACTATCCACCTCAAATCAAGCTGTCGACCATCCGTGCAGCAGTCCCTGGCATGCCAGAGTTGATGCTGTGTGAAGAAGTTCAGCGCTTGAAGGATGTGGAAAGGAAGCGCATGCTTGGGAAGGGTCCACCAAAGAAGGGTATGTGCTAATGATTTGGTCACTAACTCGATTCAGGTGAAGGCCGCCGTGCGACGATGAAGGGCAAGAAGAAGTAGCGGAACTGCTACTCATATACCACTGGATTCTGCTATGGAAGCTCTTCTTTTGTAGTGATGGGTTGCGTACTCAGCAGCCACGCTGGCGTCTACTTAGGCAGAAGGATGATCGTGCTTCTTCATGCTCTTGGGCAATGCAGCCACGGCGGCCGGGTTGATACCGCTGGCCGCCTTGTCACGCGCGCACTGGCCCAGGTACATGTCCATGACCACTAGAGCTGCCATGGACTCCACAATGGGCACAGCGCGTGGTACGACGCATGGATCGTGCCTGCCGCGGTTTTCCAGCACACCAGGCTCTCCATCGTAGCGGGCCGTCTGCTGCTCCTGCGAGATCGTAGCAGGGGGTTTAAAAGCCACTCTAAAAACATTAGCAGTCAACTTCGTACGTACCGGAAGTAGATGTTTTCACCATTGGAAATACCACCCTGGATGCCGCCGCTCCAGTTGGTCGATGTGCCCAGCGATCCATCCGCCTTCTTCACAAATGGATCGTTGTGCTTGCTACCTGGCACACATGTTCCACGGAAGCCTGAGCCAATTTCAAAGCCTTTTGTCGCGGGAATGCTCAGCATAGCATGGGCAAGCTTTGCTTCGAATTTGTCGAACGAAGGCTCCCCCAAACCGATAGGCACATGACGGATCACACAAGTGACGGTGCCACCGATCGAGTCACTCTTTTCCTTGGCTGCCATGAGGCGCTCGCGCATCTTGTCAGCCACCGCCGGGTTGGGGCACCGAATGTTTTCCTTGTCCACCTGCTCGCGGGTCACTGTGTTGAGAAGGTCCAGATATTCTTGGCTCAAGGGTTCTTCTTCGTTGTCGGACTGGAAGGCGGGCAGTTGCACCTGGCCCACCGACGAGACAAACGCCACGATTTCAACACCAAGAACGTCACCGAGATACTTTTCAGCGAGAGCACCGGCAGCGACGCGCCCAATCGTCTCGCGCGCACTGCTGCGACCACCGCCACTACTGGCTTTCACGCCATACTTCTGCAGGTAGGTGTAGTCAGCATGACTTGGGCGGGGTATGGCATCAAGGTTCTCGTCCGTGTAATCATGAGGGCGCTGGTCCTGATTACGGACCATCATACCCATAGGTGTACCCAGGGTGACGCCGCGCTCTGTGCCAGACAGAATCTCGACCTTGTCTTTTTCGTCGCGGGGTGTGGTCAGGGCGCTTTGGCCTGGACGCCGGCGAGTCAATTGGCGCTGGATATCCGCCTCACTCACGGCAAGACCTGGGGGAACACCATCCACAATGCACCCTACAGCTTTACAGTGCGATTCGCCAAAAGTAGACACACGGTAGTATGTGCCAAACGAAGACATGATGGCCTATATATGAATCCGACGGTGGCCCCGTCATCGCGTTGTTCCAGGTGGAGGTGTGTAGCCAGCGAGCGGACGCCTACGAACCATTGCGGCTGAAATCTTCCAGGTACTGCGAAAGCTTGAGCGCTCCGGTACGAATCGTTTCGATTCCTTGCTGTACATCTGGGTTTGACATGAACTTGCGGTAATAAGCGCGTGCCGAGGCCTCCAGTTCGGAAAAGTCATCGCGCTCCGACGGCAGCTCGCCCTCGTCCTCTTCCTCACGGCCACTGTGGTCAGCGCGAGCAACGTACAAGTACTGGTTGGACGAGATGGATGTCTTTCCCTGAAAATTGGCCAGGTGTGCCTGTGCTTCTGCCGATAGATTCGGGTCGTAGCCACCGCGCTGGAAGTACTGGTCGCTGGAGATCGCTGGTGTGAGTCGAGATACACATACATTTTTGCGAGGCAAAGTTTTGCCGCGCGTAGCTCGACTCTTCTGTGTCGCCAGTGGTGTTGGTACTCTTTGTCTGCAATGCTGCATTCGTGCGTGCTTGTGCCAGGCCGAGACGCGAGAATCCCATGCCTAGACGGTCTACACCGGTGTTGCTCTTCATTGCCGGCTTGGCGGGCACCTTGGCTGCCTCCGCCGCTTTCGCGTTCGAGGTCAGCGCACTCTGCTTCTGCGCCTGGGCCAACTGCTCTTGCAGCTGGACTTTCTCGAGCTCCTCCTGTGCCGCCTTCTCCTGCGCCTCCTTCGCGGCCCGTATAGCCTGCTCTTGCTCCAGCTTGACGCGACGCTCCGCCTCATCAAAGTCTACCGGCGCGCCCGTTTTGCGGACACCCAGACCCAACTTCGCAGGGCGTGCGCCAAGCGCGGCGCTGCCTGTTCCAGCACGCACCGCTCCCAGTGCACCGCCGCGCGCACCGCCGCGCACAGCTCCTGGACGCACACCCGCACGAAGAGACGTAGCCACAGGGCGCGTAGGCGCGGTCGTAGGTGCAGCCGAAGGAGCAGGCGTCGGCGCTGGAGCACTCACCTTGTCCGCGAGGGGCGTCTCAGCGATCGGCGGCGCGGGCACCGCGGCCGGTGCATCGTCGGTAGGCGTCGCCGTCGCTGACTCCCACTCGTCGAAGAAATCCATGTCGGTTGGCTTCTTGGCGGCGGCACCGGCTTCCACGGCGCCGGGGAGAACGAAAGGATCCATGAGCGTGAGTCCTGCGGCGTCCTGAATGGCGCGGCGGTGCAGCTCTTCCTTGTAGCGCTGAGCAACCTGAGACGTGTACTTGGCCTTGCCTTCCGTCGATGGAGCCAGGAGAGCGTTGCCGCCATGCGCCGCAAAGAAGTCGCTCGCAGCACCATTGCCGCCAACCTTCATCAAGCGCAGCTGTTGCCACGTCCATGAGTCCAGGTTCGTAGACCGCACGAACGTGATATGTACGCCCATGTTACGATGCACAGACGAGCAGTCCAAGCAGATGTACACGGCGAAGGTGGCGCTGGCCCATGTCGGATTTTTAGCACCGCAGTCGAAACAGACACGATTTAGTTTGTGAGAATTTCGAAAGCTCTTGAAGATTTCCGCAATCTGCTCTTTCGGCGGCCCAGATGCCATCTCGAACGCGATGCGCAACAACAAAGCGCGGTGGAACAGCGGGGGACAGGGTGGGTCACGCGCGAGTAAGTGCGACCTACTAGGACGCCAAGTGGAGCCAACGGCCGGGGGATTTTCGCGGCTGCTCCAGCGCCGTGCTTCGCGTTCGACTGTCGATGGCCTTGCGTGGATCCATGCCGAACGCAGCGAGCAGTGTATCTTCTATGAGCTCTAGGTATGTCTTTTTTCTTTGACTCCCTCAGTCGACCTACAACCAGTAATCCCGGCCAGTCTATGGGCTTTGGCTCAGGCAGCGGCCTATCTGGCGCCCACCCAGGCTATGCCGCGGCGGCGCACTCGGGTGCTTCGAATCTAGACATGGCTGAATTCCCTGCTCTTGGTTCCCAGGTCTCATCACATACGAATAGCGGCTCTTCCTCTGCTGGTGGTCTGTTTTCTTCGTATGCGAGCCATGTGGGGACGGGCGGTGCCAACTCGGGGGTGATGCTATCGCGGAATGGCACTTCATTTGCGCAGGAGGAATTCCCAGCGTTGAACCGTTCTCATGTTTCAGAAAACCGTGGCGCACACCCCAATGTGCATGCATATGGAGCCGAGCACACAGCGGTGTGGCAGCAGGAGCAGCAAAGACAAACAATGGTACGCCTATTTCACTCACCTCAGGCACAAGAACTGGCGCGAAAGCAAGGAATGAATGCACCACAATCTCCCAGCACGACACATGGGTCTGCAGGGTGGATGCAGTCACAGTCGTTTGGCACGCAGCACCACAATATCCTTCATCGGATAGGGCTGGCTGCACGCAGCGCGCATGAGCCGTCTGCTCTGCGGTCCGAAGCAGGTTCTGACCCATCTGCGGCCACAGTTGATGCGGTCCGTGACGGATCAGCGCGTGCGGCCTACATGGCGGCGAGTGGCGACGAGGCGGCCTTGCCCATCCACCAGGTGCTGGTGTCTCCTGTGGATCGGTTCGGGCTCGTCGGCTTGGTGAACCTCCTCAAGACGCAGGACCCTGACGTGGCGATGTTAACGATGGGCAATAACCTGCAGAGTCTTGGGATGAATCTGGATGCGACAGAGAGTCTGCATCCCTCGTTTGTCACGCCATGGTCACAGGACCCAGCACTGGCGTCGATGCAGGTTGAGCCTGCCTATCAGCTGCCTAACTGCTACAATGTGCAGCCACCACCACCAGCGCAGACCAAAATGGCGAGCTTTAGCGACGAGACGCTCTTTTTCATATTCTACTCGACACCGCGCGATGTGCTACAAGAAGTCGCGGCACAGGAATTGTACGCACGGAACTGGCGATACCACAAGGGCTTGCATTTGTGGCTAACGAAGGAGCCAAATATGGAGCCTCTGCAAAAGACGCCTACGTACGAGCGCGGCACCTATGTGTTTTTCGATCCTGCCTCGTGGGACAAAGTATCCAAGAACTTTGTACTCATGTACGAGATGCTCGAGGAAAAGCCCTCGTCTCAGAGCCTTCTTGCCACAGCCTCCGTTCATCAAGGGACGCCGACCCTCCCTGCGCAAGTGGCAGGCAAGGCCTTGCCGTCCCAGCCTATGTCCGCTGTAACTGTAGCCGCTGCGGCTGCCTCAGCGCGTGGCTCGGCGCAGCCGTCGCCGAGCCAGGGCTCGCCACAGACCTTTTCGTAGGTGTATGTGCACAAAAGAACATGAAACATATGAGATACATGACTGGGTCTTTAGAGCGCCCACAGGGCGGCCAGAAGCCAGGACGCTAGGCTCACGACTGGCGCTACGGCCATGGCACCATTGCCGACGCCAGGTGCCGTCTGGGGTGAGTAGGAGGTTTACGCACCTGCAGGGCTCCCGGCGCAGGTTGCAAATCACTTGCGCCGGGCGTATGTCCTTGCGCTGCGAGCACACTCGACAGCGTTTGATTCGCGGGACCTGGCACTGTCGAGTCGGGCACCGTGTACACCCAGGTATAGCTGCTGGGCATACCGCTAGGCCCCACACCTACAATGCTTGTAGGATGACCTTGCTGTGCTGTTTCAAAGGTCGTGGCAGGCGTAAAGGTTTTCTTGGGCGTATAGTAATCATTGGTCACACTTTGGGCGAGCGAGGCTTGTGAGCTCGACGGAGAAGGCGCAGCAGACTGCGACTGTGTGCTGTTGCTACTGCTCTGCGCGAGCACAGGCACCACGAAGAACAGAGCGGCAGCCACACGCATGGTAGCACGAATCTGCGGCGACAACTGTGCAGCAAACGTGGGGCGCCCCAACAGGTGGGGGCATACTTCCTCTACAACCAACTAAAATACATGGCCGGCGTGGCGCGCGCTACGACCAGAGACCCTCGCCGCTGGCTCCCTCCGGGCCGGCCGTGTAGCTGAAGCCAGCGAACTGCTCTTGCACCGCTGCACTGATCATGTGGCTGTCATCCACGACGCTGTCCGTCGCAGGCTCCTTAGTGAACTCGGGGTCAAAGTTAGATGTGTCGAACGCAGAGGCCACGCCAGGCTTGTAGGGTGGCTGCACCTTCTTGGCAAGCAGCAGGTTCCAGTCAATGTACTTGGTGAAGAAAGGATGAGTCTTGATGTCGGAGGCACCACCTGGCGGCGAGCCTAGCCGCTGTGCGGGGTCACGCTGTAGCAGCCGGGCTAACAAGTCGCGCGCGTCAGGACGCACGTCCGCGGGGAACATTAGCGGCTCGTGCAGAATTTTATGATACATCTCGTTGACATCTTCTGAGAAAAACGGCGGCAGACCAGTGAGCATCTCATAGAGGAGCACGCCCAGCGTCCACCAGTCGACAGCTTTTGTGTAGCCGCGGCCGAGTAGGAGCTCTGGCGCGAGATACTCCGGCGTGCCACAAAACGTGTGGGTGGTTTCCTTATCGCCCATATTCAATTTACAAAGGCCAAAGTCACACAGGGCGATGTGACCGGTAAAGTCGAGCAGGATGTTTTCGGGTTTCAAATCACGGTAGATCACATGAAAACTGTGCAGGTGCTCCAAGGCACAGAAGAGCTCCGCCGCATAGAAGCGCGAGCGCTCCTCGCTGAAGCGGCCCTCGCGTTGCAAATGGTGGAATAGTTCGCCTCCATTCACAAATGCCAGACCCAGATACAGCTTGTCGGGGCTCTGAAATGAAAATTTGAGCGGCACGATAAACGGGCAGTTCACCTGTGCCAGCACGGTGCGCTCGGCCAGGGTATGTGTGACCTCGGAGCGCGAGATGATATGCGCCTTGCGGATAATCTTGAGCGCGTAGATCCGCGACGTATCCTTCTTTCGTACTTGCATCACCTTGCCGAAACTGCCCTTGCCAATCACCTTAAGAAGTTCAAACGATTCAATGGACAGGGACTTGCCGACTTGGGATTTGAATGCCATTTGCACGCGGATCTCTCCGGTGCCCCCACTCAATGGGAGCCATGTGTCGATGATGCGCGACGTGTCGAACGAGGGTACCAGCTTCGCCATGCCCATATACACATCGTTGGCGCCCAGGATCTCCATCTCATTCTTGGGGCGCAGCTCCCGTGATGCCACACTGCCCAACAAGGCGGGCGCCGGACCGGTGGCCGTGGGTCCGGACGCAACCATTTCGGCCCGGAGGTACACATGCAGCGTCACTTCGACGCGCCGCGACACGTCAAAGTTCGCTGTGAACTGCCACTGTGGCGAAGATAGGTCGCCACCAAGCCCAAGGATCAATACCTCGTTCTTATCGAACTCCAGCACCACATAGGGCAGACTCATTTGCCGCTGCCGCATCCCTGCTTTGGTGGGGGGGCTGGGCGCAGGCAGCGCCGGTACCGGAGAAAGCAACTTGCCCGGTGGTAGGGAAAGTCCTCGTGCATTCACGACACTCACCGTCAGAAGATCAGCATGCGACGTGTGTACCGGCCCTTTCGTACCGCTGCTGGGGGCGGATAGTAAAGATTCATGCTCGGCCGCACGCGGCTGGGTCGGCGGCGGTGGTTGCGGCGTCGTCGACGACGATGTCGCCGATGACAGACCAAACGGAAAGACGGCACTGTCCTTCAGTTCTGCGTAAGCTCCTCCCACGTACTCTTGCCAAGTTTCCACGACATAGTGGGGGCAACCGGCTCTGGCGCAGTATGCAGGCGGGTCCCCCTGTGCATAGCTTAGTCATCACGAGGGAAGGGCCGGGGGCGACGCGAAAAGTCTTCAGCTGCCGCCATGGAGGGGTTGGATGCCAGCGCCGTGCGCGGCAAGATCACGCTGGTATGCTTTACGGTCTAACTTGCAGTTGCCAGGCAGCGATGAGGAGCTTACTTCTGTGACGTTCTGCATCATGGACGAAGATCATACCATGGGCAATGCCCTACGGTACATGCTGATGAAAGAGTACGTATAGACGCAGGGTCCCGATGATTCTACTCTTTGATCCCGAGACGCTATTTGGTCATGGGGGCTTATCAATAATGGAATTCTTCGTTTATGAGGGACTCTGCTTTTTCCGAACAGCCACTAACACTCCAGCCCCCGCGTTGAGTTTTGCGGCTACACGTACGTGCTGTGTCTTGCTGATTCCAGACTCCCTCATCCGTCCGAGAACAAGGTTCATCTCCGTGTGCAAATGCTGGGTACGTGCCGTTGGCCAGGTTGAGACGGGATGACATTATATCCACCTGAGCATCAGCGCTGAGGGCGGACTATATACGCATTTCCAATTGTTCCTCCTGATCATCACTGTCGTCGTAAGAACAGGCTTACAGCAGAACATACGGTCTCCGCCGTGGACGCATTCCGCGATGCCCTTGCGCAGCTGGACCAAGTGTTTTCCACGATTGAGGACAGGTACCGCGAGAGCCTGTCGGCCGGCCATGTGAACAAAGAGCCTGCGCCACAACCGTCCGTGCCGCTCCGTACGCAGTTTTCTGCCTAGTGTACTTTATTGATACCACATTTTTACACCACGGTAGCTACAATTTTACCGATATTCTTGTTCGCAGCCATCTCGTCATGCGCCAAACGGATGTCGTTCCAGTCGTAAATGCGGTGCAGCACCAACCCCAGTCGATCAGGTCCCGTCGATCCATCGGCGCCGCGCGCGAGCGCTGCCAGAGCGCCGCTCTGTACAAATTGCTCCACGAGTTTCCCCTGGTATTCCAGTGAGCGGCTGCGCAGCGTGCTGCCGGTTACTCGCAGGCGGTGCGTGAGCAGACGGGCGAGCTTTGCACCTTCTGGCAGTTCGGCGCCACCCATCATTGCTTGCAGCGATAGACGGCCGTCGCGGCGCAGTGCTTTCAGGTTCTTTTCAAAGTAAGGAGCACCAATAAAATCGAGGATCACATCGACGCCACGCTGCTCTGTCGCGTGCATCAATGCCTCGTACCAGTCTGTCTCCTTGTAGTTGAACCCATCGGTTGCCCCCAGTGACTTACACACCTCAATTTTCTCAGGTGTACCGGCCGTAACGTACACCTTTTCGGCACCAAGAAGGCGCGCCAGCTGAATCGCTGCCAGTCCAACACCGCTTGCGCCTGCATGCACCAAGACATGATCACCGGGTTGCTGCTCGTTGAGCACTTGCAGTGCCTGAAAAGCCGTCAGGTAGGCTTCGGGGATCGACGCTGCCTGCTCCCAGCTAAGTTCATCCATCTTTCTTAGCGTAAGGCTGGCAGGCACGCGCACATACTCTGCGTACGTGCCCCCCGCGCACAGGCCCATGACTGGATCGCCCACGCGGTGGGCGCGCACGTTGGCGCCGACATCAACGACCTCACCAGAAAACTCCACGCCAAGGATCTTACTAGCACCCGGCGGGACTGGATAATTGCCTTCGCGCTGCATCAAGTCCAGGCGGTTGAGAGCAAATGCCTTGACTTTGACGAGGAGCGAGTTGTCATGCGTAGATGCTTCCAGTGCCGGTACAGGCACCTGGCTGATGCGAAGCGCACTCGACGGGCCCACACCATTGTCAATAGTGACGGCACGCATCATCTGTGGGAGCGCTTGATTTGCCAATCGGCGAGCGACCGAGGCCATCGTTGCCACTGACGTAGCCGCCTTCAGCCGGCGCCCGTGCACGGAGTACTATGACTAATTACGTGATTACTGTAGGCTGAGAGCGGCCCGTGTGGTGCTGCAGCGCACTCAGCTCAAGCGCGACGTCAATGATCGGCTTTAGCGCCTGCTGAACGTCTGCATCGTACTCGCTCGGGTCTGACGAGTACTTCTCGACGTACAGGCGAATAGTCGCACCAGCGCTGCCGGTACCACTAAGTCGGAACACGAGGCGCGAGCCGTCCTCCATTTTAACATAGAGACCTTGGTTCTTGCTCACGCTACCGTCAATCGGGTCCGTGTACGAGAAGTCGCCCGATTCGGCCACAGTAAAGGGACCAAGTTTCGTGCCTTTGAAGGAAGCGTCTCCCAGCTTGGTGCGCAACTGGTCGATCATCGCCTTGGCGCCGGCGCTGTCGACCTCCTCGTAGTCGTAGCGGCTAAAGAAGTTACGGCCGTACTTTTGGTAATGCGCCTGCAACACATCGGCGACCGACGTGCCGGGCTGGCTCTTGTGAGCACTAGCCAGGATGCTGAGCCATGCGACCACCGCCCACAGACCGTCCTTCTCGCGGATATGGTCGGAGCCAGTACCGAAGCTCTCCTCACCACAAATCGAGAGTCGACCAGCGTCCATGAGGTTGCCAAAGAACTTCCAGCCCGTGGGTACCTCGAACAGCTCATATCCACGCGCCTTGGCGACCCGGTCAATGGCGCCACTCGTAGGCATGCTGCGTGCCAGACCGCGGATACCGCCGTGGAAGTAGGGAATGGCTGTCTGCGCCCAGTCGGCAATAATGGCCACGCTGTCGCTGGGGTTCACAAAAGCGCCCTTACCCAAAATCATGTTACGGTCACCATCGCCATCACTGGCCGCACCAAAGTCCAGACCCTCGGTCTTCACGGCGTCCACAAGCGACTTGGCGTACGTCAAGTTAGGGTCGGGGTGGCCACCGCCAAAGTCGGGCGACGGCACAGAGTTCTGGACAGCCGAGTCGGGCAGACCGAAGCAGTCAACGAAAAGCGCACGCGCATAAGGACCCGTGACACCATGCAGCGCGTCAAAGCGCACCTTGAACTGTGTCGCGGCAAGGAACTCTTTAATCATGCTGAAGTCGAAAATCTTGCTCAGGTACTCGACGTAGTCCTTCACCGAGTCAATAACCTCAACCTGCATATTACCGAACTGCGTGGTGCCCAGCCGGCTCAGGTCCACGTCCTCGCCCTGCTGAATCAGGTAGTGGTCAATCTGCGCCGAGAGCTCATAGATCTTGTTCGTCACGGCCTCCGGAGCAGGTCCACCATTCTCCATGTTGTACTTAATACCAAAGTCCGCGTTCGGACCACCGGGGTTGTGACTCGCGGTTAGAAGGATGCCACCAGTAGCCTTGTTCAGACGGATGACATGCGATGCCGCAGGCGTAGAGAGGATACCCTGCTGGCCGATGAGCAACTTTGACACGCCATTTCCAGCGGCCAGGCGGATAATCTTCTGAACAGCTGGCTGCGAAAAGTAGCGACCGTCACCACCGACCACCAACGTAGCACCCTTGGCACCACCGGGAATCGCCGACAGAATGCACTGCACAAAGTTCTCCGTGTAATGTTCTTGTTCAAACACTTTCACACGCTTGCGCAGGCCCGAAGTACCGGGCTTTTGGCCTTCAAAAGGCTTGGTCGCAATCGTCTCGACAGACATAGTGGAACAAGAGTCGCTCGGGCTCGACGGGCTCGACGGGCTCGCCAGGACCACCGAGCACGGGGCATGCACGTGGGCATACTATCTAGCTTCGTGCCACATGATCTTGGACGCCAGCATGGCATCGGGCAAGCACTATGTACCAAAGCCGGCCCAGGCCAAGCTCCAATAGATCACCTGGCCCCATGGCGTGTTGACATCATCATCAGCACCCTGCTGCCGCCTCACACGGGCTTCCTCATCGTCTGTCACGCTGGTGTTCGCCTGACACAGCAAATGTGACTTTTTCACCGCTGTGCCCAGGCGTCCGGCTGCGACGATATGGTACGCTGGCATGGGCGTCTGTGGGGTCTCCAGCACAGCTGCTGTATAATGTGAATGATAGCGCAATGGGTCTCCCGGATACACCACAAAATCGCCGCCAAAGCGCAGACCTGTACTGAGAAAGTAGCCCTTACTGTGTAGATCCTCAAACACTGCGCATCGGGCACGCTCGGTTAGGGTGCTTGGATATGTCCACACACCTGCCGCATAGGCGTCTTGTAGTGTTGTGTACGTGTTGATCCGCGCTCCCGGCATGCTCTCCTGCATTGCCGCAGTACAAGGGCGGTAGCCTGGGATATGCGCGGAAGTGCCAGGGGTATCATGCACATATGGCATACGATCCAGGTCTTCGTTCTGGGAGGCACTAATAGGGGCGCTCTGTGCACTCTCTGTACCAGCGTCGGACGCAGCACTGCTAGCTTTAGCAGCTTGTCGTGCCTTGCGGCGTTCGAGGGCCCCATTCCCGTCGCGCGCGCGGAGTTGAGCCTCGATTTTCTCGCGCTGCTCTTTCTGCTGTGCCAGCGTCCGCATCTTTTGCTGATGGATCTTCTGCTCTTCGCGTTCCCAGAACTCAGCTCGTTCCTGCTCAGTAGGTGCAACATAGGCTTCTGCCTCGTTGATTAACAACGCAGCATCTATGTGTAAGTCGCAAATAAGCATACACACCATGACGCAACAGGTACGCTACTTCCTCAGGGAGAAGACGAAGTGGAAGGCCGAGGAAAACATTCTGCTGAGGGATCAGCGGTAACGTGCCACTCAGCAGGCCGCACAAATTATGTTGGGTCCGCGCCTGTTTCAGATCTTTATGAGCACAGAACAACGTACCTTCAGGCTCCCACAGATAAGCCACCCCGTTGGACAGGTGAAGAGGAATTCGTCCCGGGTATGCCGCGCGGAGAGCGTCCATCGCTGGCTGATCGGCCAAAAATGACCGTGTGGAGACGAGCAGCTACGAGTCACGCTACTGACGGAAGTACTGAGCCATGTTGTGAAGACGGTCGAACATGGTCGATATGTAGGACGTCTCATTGAGTAATGCTTCAAACTGTTGCACAGCGATTTCTTCGCTCACATTGAGCATAAACTTGTCCTGAATCTTGAGCACGGCCTTATCTGGTTCCGCGCGTATATCGGGAATATCTGCTTCGACCATCAGAGCGATCAAGTTCAGGATCAGATTTGCATTTTTGCGAAGGCACGCAAAGGCTGTATGGCATAGCTTCTTAAAGCGCATGTAGTACATGGAAGATGTCCCGCCCATTGCATCGACCATCTCCTTGCAAACCTTCACGGGCGGCGGAAATGGCTTCGGGTCCCGCCCGAGAATGTAGCCAAAGTCGACATGGAAAAAGTGCCCATCGGCAGCAATTAACAGGTTGTCCATATGTCTGTCACCCACACCCAATAGGTATGTAATGACGCAGTAGCCAGCACAGCTGCGTACAAATGTATCAAGCACGGCGGCCTGGACATAAAACGTGGCAACACTGTCGGCGTCGGGATACTGGCTTCGCATGTAACCCAGTAGGTCACCATACTCTGCCACGGCGGCTGCCACGCTCATACTTGGAATGTACTGCACAAGGCCATCGTTCGAACTTGTGGCTAGGACATGGTACGGTGTAATTTTTAGGTCCAAATTCTCGTCACGTAACAGTTGGTCCATGAGGGCAAATAGTTGCAGGACCAGTTGGTCTTGACGCAAATCGTCCCCATTTTTGACGATCACCGTGTAGGAATCACGCTCGCCGCGGCATTCAATGCGCAGGGGAAACAGGTTGCTTTTAAACACTGTGCTGTTCTCAGCCACCACGCCCGTCACATGCACGTCGGGGTCGAGCGGCAGCGCTAGGGGCGCCGAAAAGGCGCGCAGGCCCGTTTTTCGATCGGCCAGCCATGTTCGCAGTTTGTCAATCTTAGTGGGTCGCACATCGCGTGATCCACGCAGCTCCGCCGCTTTGCTCGTTAGCATATCGACAAAGAGCCGTTGCCGCTCCAGCATCTCAACGAGGGGAGCATTCTCTCGCGCGAGAAGGGCGAGAAACTGATCATGCACGCGTCCAAACAGCTCACCATGTCGTTTGTCGTTGCGTTCCACCATGACATACCAAAAAAACATGGTACCCAGTGCGGCATTGTGTGCACTACGACTGCACAAGAGATCAACGAGGCGCGGCGTCTCCTGGTGCGTACTCGAACTGTACAGAGCACGTTGCTCATCATCCGCGGCCTGGAAGGCCTCTTCATCGAACTTGAGGGCCTGCACTAACTGCAGCAGGTACAGTTGGAGCTGGTCATCCCTCGCTTGGCGCAACTGCTTTACCGCGTACGCCCTCACCTTAAGATGCTGGAATGTTGGACCCAATAATTCTAGTGCATCGGACAGCTGTGGCTCAGCCCACATCGGCAGCAGCAAATCCGTTGCTTGTTTCGCCTCCTGGGCATCGGACCAGACGACTGACTTGACAAACTTGGTCAAAGCTGACGAGTGGCGCGTTAAGTAGAAACGAAATGACCAGATCAGGTCCATTTCTGCAGTTGTTAGTACACGTGTAGGCGGATACAGCAAGAGGGTCTAAAGAGTAAGTACAACGGACATACATGGAGCTCATCGCGCACCGCCGCGGTGGGTTTCCGCTCGCGGTCCAAGGCATCTAGGCGCTGGCTGCGCACGAGTCGACGGTGCTTGGCCTCGACCAAATTCTCACTGGAAGCATCAAGATCATTGATCGTGAAGAGCGAGGGCTGGATCCATGTGCGCTCGACGTTCGCGTCGGGCGCTGGTCGTGTCGTGGCCTGCGGCAGCGGCTCTGGCATAGGCTCTGGCTCGCCGTACACGATAGGCACGTCCCAAGCAGGCATCTCGATCGTGAGTACGAGATCTTCAGAGCGCTGAATCTCTTCGGTATAGATGCGGTCCACGGCACGGTGTGCAAGGGTATCGAGCCATTCATTGCTGGGCAGCAGCCCACGCTGCTGACGCTTGCGTAAGGTCTCGAGGCGTGTGCCTTGCGAGGTCTCATTAGGAATATTAGGTGTCGAGGATGGTCTGTATGGATCTGCGTGCTTTCCTCGCCATAGGCGCAGGCGCTGCTTGCCACGGTGCAGGGCGCTGGCGTAAGTGGGCGCTCGATACGTACCCGCAACGGTTGAAGAGTGGCAGGGTCGTGCCTCCGATCGGAGTCTCCGATGACGGTCCGGCAACATCGAGCACTGTCAGTGCCAGCTGGGTATGGAGCGGCAATTCCGCCACTTGACACGGCAATGTGATCCACTCGTTCCATCTGTGACGTCAGCCGAGCCTACGTACGTGTGTGCGTCGCTCTGCGCCGAATACTGCGTGTGTACAGGAAGTGACAGGGGCCGATTGTCCGCATAGAGCTCGCATCGCACGCACAAGGGCGGATAGCGGCTGCTGTCAGTAACTCATCACGCACGCCTGGTGGATGCCCCGGAACACATGCGAGGGTTCCGCGACAAGCTGCGCGGGCGTGTCGCGCTCGAGCATGCCTTCCAACGAGACACTGAGTTAGATTTGTTACGTACATGCACACGCTGACATTGCGCGGCACGTCACACGTCGCGACGAATGAGTACACGTCCCCATTCATCGTCGCCGTGGCCAGGGGAGCCTCCACATGAGCACGTTCACCGTGCCGAGGCGACCCTGCGTGGGTTCTCTCTTTGCGCCCTGACAAGATGAGTCACTATTTCGAGCCAGAATTCTGGCTACGCATATGCGGCTACTTTCTACTGACGTTGGTGGGCGTAAACTGGCTCTCACATGTGGCCTGGCGTCAGGCCCTGCGAGACACGAATGCCATGAAACGCCGGCGGATCCTCGAGAAGCTGGGCCGGGCGCACTCGACGGTCCGGTATATGTTTGTCGGTTTCTTCCATCCATTTAGCAATGCGGGAGGCGGTGGAGAGCGCGTGCTGTATGAGGCCATTAGCCACCACCAGCGCCGAGATGAGAACATCATCTGTGTGGTGTACTCAGGCGACATTGTGCCTGGCGAGGGCTGCGTGACCAAGGAGCAGATTCTAAGTCGGGTCCAGGAGCGCTTCAACATTAAACTAGACCCCACTCGAATTGCCTTTCTACCGCTGTTCCAGCGCAAACTGGTAGGAGACAAGTTCTGGCGTATGTTTACGCTGGCCGGCCAGGCGTATGGAGCGAACCGACTAGGCTACGAGGCGCTGAGCCAGCTGGTCCCTGATGTGTTTATCGACACGATGGGCTATGCCTTTGCGCTATACCCCGTGAAGAACTTCTCTCGCAGGATTCGTGTGGGTGCGTATGTGCACTATCCGACTATCAGCACGGACATGCTGCAGCGCGTGCGCCGGCGTCAGGAGGGCCACACGAATGCGCCATGGATTGCTACTAGTTTGCCTGTCTCCCTCTTCAAGTACGTGTACTATCAAATTTTTGCCGCTTGCTATGGTGCTGCACTTCGCTCGGCGGATGTGATTGTGTGCAATGGCAGCTGGACCAAGTCGCACATTGACGAACTACTGCCCCGTCGCGTGGGGCGTCCGTGGAAGATGGCCCCTTTGCCAAGAGTGCACATTGTATACCCGCCGTGCGACACGGCGGCGTTTGCTGAGCTCCCCTTGGAGGGCCGCCAGAACCGCTACATGGTAAGTGTGGCGCAATTCCGCCCTGAGAAGGAACACGAGATGCAGCTGCGCATCCTGCGCGGACTCCTGGACAAGTACCCGGAACTTAAGTCGTCGCGCGGCTCGAATCGCCCATTGCGCCTGGTTCTAATTGGCAGCTGCCGCGATGACGAGGACCGCGCCCGCCTATCGCAGCTGCGCACGCTGGCCAAGTCGCTTATGATCGAGAACCATGTGGAATGGCATGTGGATGCGCCATTCTCGACCGTTGTCCAGCAGATGCGCCACGCCAGCATCGGCCTCAGCACCATGGTCGACGAACATTTTGGCATTGCGGTCGTCGAGTACATGGCCGCTGGTCTGCTCACATTATCGCATGCCTCTGCGGGGCCATTGCAGGACATTGCCGTACCAGTTGACGGCGCCGAAACGGGCTTCCATGCAAGCTCGCTGGATGACTATGTGACCACGGCGTATCGGCTCATGGTCCTGCCGCCTGACGCAGCGCTCCGTATTCGTCAGGCGGCTCGCACACGTGCTACGACTACGTTCAGTGCAGCTGAATTCGAAAACAACTGGCGCAAGTACATGTGGGACGAGCTCGTGCCCGCCTCGCTGCTGGCCGAGAACAAGCAAGCACTGGAAAAGCAGGCCGCGGCGCAACGGCACTTGCAGCAGCGCGTAGTCCCCTCGCAGGCCTCAGAGGCGGCATCTACGATCGAAGCCGCGAAAAGCACGGAGGGCGCGGCCAATGCGGATGGCGGTGTCTCTTCTGCGGTGTACACGTCGCAGAGCGCTGTGCCTCGTCCGGCTAGGAGCACTTAGTTAATTTCAATGGATTTGGGCGCGCCGAACGCTGCCTTGGTTTGCTCATAAATCAAGAACTGACCGCTCACCAGGATCGCTGTCATGAGGATCCTGGTGGGCAGGCCGGCCCAGATACCCATAGGTCCTGCTTCCTTCGCGAGCACCCACAGCTTCTTCAGCGCAGAGCCGCGACCGCCACCACCCTTGTTGATCTTGGAAAGGAGCGTGTCGGCCGGGTGCGAGAGCACAGCCGCCGCCACACCAGCGGTCAGGCCACACCCAAGCTGTACGGTGATTTCACCAGCCTTGCCTGTCTTCCGCAGAGTCTCTGGCGACACAGTCTTGTTCACTAGGTTGTGCATCATCTCGTTCGTGTAGAACTGTCCGATGGCATAGGGTACCTGCTTAAACAGGATCGGCACATAGCCAGCATAGAAGCCGCCCAAGCCGCCCTCAGACCACAGGCGCGTCAAGGCGCCTGCGAGGCCGCGGGCGTAGCCGCGCTCCGACACGAGACGGATACGCGCGGCCTCCAGGGGCGTAAGTAGGGTTGTAGCAATCACCTCGGCAGCGCTCGCTGAGCCAAGATAGATCAGCTGGCGGTACTCGCGGACCTTCGCCTCGTCCCCGAGAAAGTCGATCGATTGTTTCTTGAAGAACTCGTAGCCGCAGAACTTGGCGCCACCCTGGATTAGGTAGCCCACTGCTGTGGGACCAAAGCCTGCCAACAGGCCGCCGGGACCGTCGCTAGCGACAATGCTGCGCGTCATGCTCATCATCGTCGCTTTGCTGCCGGCCGGCTCCAGTTGCAGTCGCGTCTTGACGACATCAATGGGCGTCAGGCCGCCATGCGTGAGCGTCGCGCACAAGCCGCCAGCCGCAAAAAACTGCACATAGTTGGTCAGTGAAAAGTTCGGCGTGAGGGTAGTGTCGGGCATCGCTAGTATGCGGACGACGGCTGCAACTGATCTAGACAGGTGGCCCGTGTGGCGGACGGCAATATGTGCAACAGCCTAGTAGGTTTCTAGCGGCCCACGTGGCGGGGATCTATGAGTTAAATACGGCCCGCCTCCTTAAGCTTCGCGATCAGCTCGTCGACGTTCTCGACCTTGGCTCCGCCCTCGCGCTTAGGAGGCTCTGCGACCTTGAGGGTCTCGAGTCGGGGCTCGATGTCCTTCTCGAGGCCGAGGTCCGCGACCGTGTACTTGGTCATCTTCTTCTTTTTGGCCTTCATGATGTTCGGCAGCGAGGCGTAGCGTGGCTCGTTCAGACGTAGGTCCGTAGTAAGCACGAGCGGGACCGTAGTCTCAACAATGGCCAGACCACCGTCAACCTCACGGGTGACACGGACCTTGTCGCCCTTGTCGCCCTTGCCCTCGAGCTCGAGCTTCGAAGCGAACGTCGCCTGGGGCCACTTAAGCAGACCCGCGAGCATCTGGCCGGTCTGGCTAGCATCGTCGTCAATCGCCTGCTTGCCGAGGAGGACCATACCGATCTCATCCTCGCCCGCTTCCTTGTCGACAACAGCGCGCAGGATCTTGCTCACCGCGAGCGGCTCCAGAGGACCGGGCACATCCACGTGGATGGCATCGTCGGCACCCATGGCGAGCGCGGTACGCAGCACATCCTGCGACTTGGCTGGGCCAGCAGACATAACTGTAATGCGCTTCACCGCCTCCTTGTTGCGCTCGCGCAGGCGCACCGCCTCCTCCACGGCGATCTCGTCGAATGGGTTCATCGAGTGCTGCACGTTCGTGTCTACACCCTTGCCGTCCGAGGCAACGCGGATCTTGACAGCTTACATGTCAGATATCACAAACACGAACCATAGTCAATCGTGCGTTTCACAGGCACAAGCACACGCAGCTGGTTCACAAGAGAAGCACGCATCGTTGTAGTACCGGAGAAGCCGTCACGGCGGAAGGCGACCTCCGGCTCAGACCCACGTGGCACTTGCAGCTCCTCTCACGCGCCGTCGCCGGGGGACCTCATGTCGGTGCACTTGCCCGCGCCGCCGACCGCCGCGCAGGTGCAGGCCTGGTTGGCGCGGCAGCATGCATTGTTAGCCTCGGAGCGTGAAGAAGAGCGTACCCAGAATACCCTTCTGCTCTCGCAGTGCGCCCCGCGTGTGCTCGCGCGCCATGGCCTCGCACTACTCGGTCTTGGCGTATCCAACGTGCGTGTCGGCCCGGGTGCTCGAACGTACGTTCATGTCTCTCACGCAGTCTTGTGGATCTCGAGAATGCAACAGCTCTACACACCAGCTCTCTACTGGGTACCCACACGTTCCGGCCTGGCGATGTATGCCAGATCGAAGACCACCACGCCCAGCCCGCGCCGTCCGGCATGCGTGGCGTCGTGTACCGCGTGCACGAGTCGCGCATTACGTTGGCCCTTGAAGAGCGGTCTGCCTCTCAGAACGACGAGGCGGACTTTCCTCCCCTCGTGCGGCTCGTCAAGCTCGCGAACGAAGCGACATACGCCCGTCTTGACCAGACACTCGCACAGCTTGCAGAGTCCCTCGGCGTGCCGCCGCCTCCTTCCGCTGAGCCGGCCACCGAGCTCGCTAGTGCGTCCACGCTGACGCGCGTCCTACTTGGCCTCGAGCCGCCGACGTGGGCACCGACGGCGCCTGCGTGGACGCCCCTGCACCCCCGCCTTAATGCGTCGCAAAAAGAGGCCTTATCCTTTGCATTACGCGCCAACCACTTTGCTCTCCTCCATGGACCACCCGGCACAGGGAAAACCACAGCTATGGCCGAGCTGATCGTCCAGCTGGCCTGCCTGTACCCAGAGGCACGCATTCTCGTGTGTGGGGCCAGTAACCTCGCCGTGGACAATTTGCTAGAGCGCGTTGTGAGCACGCCCGAATACCGCGAGGCGCTCCAGCATGCGCGTACCTCTGTGACACGGATCGGCCATGCGGCGCGTGTTCTCCCTGCGTTGACGGGCGCTACGCTGGACGTGCAGAGCAGCGAGTCGCCGGAGGGCCAGCTTGTGCGCGACGTCGCTAAGGAAATCAATGAGCTCATGGCCGCACTGTCGCCCCCGCCGACCGCGCGTGCCGGCAACAAGAGCGCACGCAAGGCGCCGCGCCCGCGGGGCGCCGAGCGTCGCCAGATGTGGGAGCAGGTGCGCGCGCTGCGCAAAGAATACCGGCAACGTGACCAGGCTGTGGCAGGCTCCGTGCTGCGCCGCGCACGCATTGTCATGGCAACGTGCCACGGAGCGGGATCGCGGGCACTTGACCAGCATATGTTCGACTTTGTTGTGATTGACGAGGCGTGCCAGGCGCTGGAACTATCGTGCTGGACACCAATTCTCCGCCTGGCGTCCCACGGACGTGTCTTTTTGAGTGGCGACCCCCAACAGCTGCCGCCGACGGTCCAGTCAACGCCGCCGTCTGTGGCGCCAGGCATGGGCGCGCTGCCACTGCCTGCGACACTGGAGACCACCCTGTTTGACCGCATGCTTGCGCTCTACGGCAGTGATTGCAAGGCGCTGCTTTCTGTGCAATACCGCATGAACAAGGAAATCATGGCATTTTCCAATGCACACCTGTATGGAGGGCAGCTACAGGCGCACGAGAGCTGTGCGGCAATCCGGCTTGGCGATTTGGGCGTCGACGGCGACGACGACGACGCGCATGGCGCGCCGCTTGTATTCTACGACACAACCGGTACGGGCATGTACGAGCGGACAGACACGGCACTTTTGCAGCGCCACTCGCGGTTGAATGAGAATGAGGCAGAGCTGGTTGCGCAGCACATTGCCCTGCTCGTGGAGCGAGGCGTACCCCCCGCCTCCATCGCTGTACTCTCGCCCTACGCGGCGCAAGTTGACATGATCGACACGCAACTTCGCGCTGTGTATGGTGGACACGTGGAGGTCGGTACGGTCGACGGTATGCAGGGGCGTGAGAAGGACGTGGTTGTGCTCAGCCTTGTGCGAAGCAACGACGCGCACGATGTCGGATTTCTGCAAGACCAGCGCCGCCTCAATGTGGCCATGACGCGTGCGAAGCGGCAGCTGGTCGTGATTGGCGATGCAGATACCATCGGCGAGGTACCGGCCGGCAAGTCGGGGCCTGCGCGCCTGTTCCTGCGCGCGTGGATGGAGCACCTGCACATGCACGCACTGGTGGAAATGGTGCCTACTTAGTCCTATGATACAGGGGTGATCTTTTCTATACGAGGCCATCGTAGAGTGAGAGTGCCTGTACAATGGAGGGATCCTGCTTTGAGCCCTCCTTAAACTCTTCAAACGACAGCTCTGCATTCTTATCGCGGTCCATCAGATTAAAAATTTTGTCGACGCGCTTCTCGGGCGTGTCTTCGTCCTCCGGGAGCTTGACCATCTCCCCGGTCAGCTTGTAGATGGCCCGCACAATGGTGAGCATTTCGTTGTAGGTGATCGTGCCATCGCCATCAATGTCGTACAGCTGGAACGCCCAGCGCAGTTTCTCGTCGAGCCGGCCGCGGCTCGTCACGCTCAGAGCGCAGATAAACTCCTTGAAGTCAATCGATCCATTCTTGTTTTCGTCAAATACATTGAAGACGTATTCAGCCAGCGGCGCAGGGTCGCCGAATGGGAAGAATTGCTTGTAGATCCGCGAGAACTCGGCCTTGTCCAGCACGCCCGAGGGGCAGTCATTCATAAATCCCTTGTACCACTGCTGCAATTCCTTGCGGTCGACTGCATTGGTGAGATGCGTCATACATACAGTAGGTATTTTTCTGTAGGTCCGAGAGCTGCTCGGGCGTGAGCTTTGACTGTGTCTTTCCCATGGTGGGCTAGCGAAAGCGTGTGGCGAGGCGCGGCGTCCACCGCACGGCCCTTTCGGCCGGGCTTCGTGGACCCCGCAGTGCCACCCCCTCCCGTACGACTTGGCATGCCGCATTCGTTGGCCACGTTCAAGCCTCTGGTGAGCCAGCTCGTGCAGAGCTTGGCGGTCCCACCGCCGCCGAGCGGCAAGATGCGTCCCCCCGCTGCGCCGCTTACGCAGTCGCAGCTGGAGGCCCTGCTCCTTCACCTCACGGATGTCGAATTCACATCGGACGCGGCGCACTATGCGCAGATCGGTGCGGCCCTCACGGCCCTGCGCATGAGCGGGCTGGATCGCGAGCCATCGACGCTCGTGTTCATGCGCGACCATTTTCTCGCGCAGGTAGCGCCGATCGCCATCCCAGAGCTGCCGGCGTCGCCCCACACGGACTACCGTGGCTGGGTAGACATGGTCGGCACGGGCGGCGACGGCCAAGACTCGTTCAACGTGTCGACTACGGCATCGTTCGTGGCAGCGGGTGTGGATGGCATGCATGTGTGCAAGCATGGCGGCAAGGCATCCTCGTCGTCGTCCGGCTCTGCTGAGCTGCTATTCTCGCTAGGGCTGCCGCTGCTCGACGTGCCGGCCACTCAGGCAGCGACACTCCTTGGCCAGAGTTCCTGCACCTTCTTCCTAGCTCCCTTGTTTCACCGCGCGATGATGCCGCTCGCTCCCATTCGCTCGGCGCTGGGGTTCCCGACGCTCTTTAATATCCTGGGCCCCCTCATGAACCCTGCGCGCCCCCAGCGTGGCGTGTATGGCGTGCACAGTTCCGGCCTCGGGCCCCTGTACGCCGAGACGCTGAAGCGGACAGGCATGGAGCACTTTTGGGTCGTCTGTGGCCAGGAAGGCCTCGATGAGGTGAGCCCCGCCGGCCCGACCGACGTGTGGGAGGTGCGCGACGGCGCGATTGAGCACCGCATTGTGCGTCCAGAGGACTTTGGGCTGCCGCCGCATCCACTCGATGAGGTACGCTCCGGCACCGCCGCACAGAATGCTGCCGTTGTCCTGGAGCTATTTACACTTGGCCACGAGCCGGCGCCAGGCCGACTGATCGAGGCGCGGCGTGTCTCAGCGGCCCCGCCAGGCTCCCAGCTCGAGGAGATCCCTGCGGGTACCAATCTGCGTGCCCTGTGGGACTATACGTTGCTGCAGGCCGCTGCGCTGCTGTACGTGGCAGGTCAGGGCGGAGGCGATCCCCGGGCGTGCACCGCACTGGCGCGCCAATCGCTCGTGACCGGACGCGCACTGCACGCACTCGATCATCTGCGCACACTGATGCACCAGCTTCGTTCGTCCACGACTTGTCCCTAGCTACACTACAGGTCTCGCAGAAACCCGTTCTTTTTCATCCGATACTTGTACGGCATGCCTGCCTTGAAGCGGTCCACGTCATCGCGCGGCTGCGCCATGCCACTGGAGCCCTGGCCGAAGCGAGGCCGGCCGCTCGCCTCACGGCGCGCTTGGTCGAGCCGGATCTTGCGTCCAAGTTCCGTTTCGCCATTGATATGGTCAATGGGCGCGCGCGCAGCGCCGCTGCCCGCAGCAAACACCGGCGGCTCATTCGCCTCGCCAAAGTTGCCCTGCGCAAGCACCACGTTCTCCTTGGTAGCCGCGACCTTTTTCGGGCCATTCGGCGTCTTGAACGTGTGCTGCTCCGACAGCAAGTCGCGGCCAGCCGCCCCCAGCTTGCTCATGCGGTCAAAGTCCTTGGCAGCTTCGATATTTTCGGCGGTGTACTGCCGCTCATACGGGCTCTCGTACGGCTTGCCGGCGCGTAGGGCCTCGGCCTTTAAGCGCTCCTCCTCGGCGATCGAGGGCATGCCTTCTGCAACGCGCTCGCGCTCTTCCTCCTCGCGCTCGATGCGTTCGTGTTCGCGGAAGTGCACCACATCTTCCGGATGCGAGTACGCCTCGTCCGTCTGGTCCTGGGGCCGGTTGTGGTATAAACTCTCGTGGTGCACATAGTACTCCGACTCCTCGTCGTAGTGGTGTCCGAGCTCATTCTTGCCAAACTCGGGGAACTGTGGCAGGCCCTTTACACCGCCATGCAGGAACTCAGCGCGTGAGACCATGCCGTCATGGTTGTAGTCGAGTCGGCGAAGCACCTCGCGCACAATCTTGTCTGCCTTCTCGTCATGTACTTCAGCGTTGGGCGAATGCTTACGCGAGAGAGAGTGGTGCACACCATAGATCGCCTCAATCTCTGCGCGCTCTAGCACGCCATTGCGGTCCAAGTCGTGCAGCGCGAAAAAGCTCGCGAGGTCAAAGGCGCCAATGTGGTGCTCAGCCGCCATATGTTCCTGCATGTAATTCTCGGGATTCTTGTCCGCAAACACGGGGCCTTTCGGTGCCTTGCGCGCAAGCACCAGGCCCGCAACCGTAAGAGCGGCGAGCGATGCCGCCACGGCACGCATGTCGAGTTGGTTGGAGAGGAACAAGCGGAAGTGGCTTCCCTCCACGCGCGTGGTGTCGAGAGTTTGGGCCAATCACCACCGGGTGTAGAATCTCCTTGCAGGGGCCTACGAACTGTCACCCTATCCTTGCTTCTCGAGCGCCTGGAGTGCGACGAGGTTCGCATAGATGCCTTGGCGCTGCAGGAGCGTGGCATGGTCTCCTGCCTCACTCACGACACCGTTTTCAAATGCGTAGATACAGTCCGCCTGCGCGATCGTCGCGAGGCGGTGAGCAATAGAAATGGTAGTGCGTCCAGACGCGGCACGGTCGAGCGCCTGCTGCACCATCTTCTCCGAGTCCGAGTCAAGCGCACTCGTCGCCTCGTCGAGAAGCAGAATCTTGGGGTTGCGGATCAGCGCGCGGGCGATCGCGATCCGCTGCTTCTGCCCACCACTGAGCTGCGCACCTTTACCGCCGACCTCCGTTTGGAAGCCATTCGGCAGGCCATCAATGAACTCCATGATGTTAGCTGCTCGCGCCACATCGTGCAGCTGCTCTTGCGTCACGGAAGCAGGATCATCTAGCGCTCCAAGCCGCAAATTGAACTCGATAGTCCCGTCGTACAGCGTTGGCTCCTGCGAAACGAGCGCCATGTGCTTGCGCAGAGAGCGCAGATTCAGCGTGCGTATGTCATGCCCGTCGATCAAAATGCGGCCACCTGTCACGTCATAAAAGCGCTCAATCAGCTGAATCGTCGTCGACTTGCCGCATCCACTCGCGCCGACAAGGGCACTGTGGGTGCCGGGCAGCATATCCAGATCCACGCCGCGCAGCACACGGACACCGGGGCGCGATGGATACTCGAAGTGCACGCCTTCAAACCGCACATGGCCGCGGCACACGGGCAGGTCGATCCCCTCCGACGATTCAGCGTCCATGGTGGGCCGGCTATCGAGCAGACGGAACAGATTCGTACCGGCACTCGCTGCGTTCGACACGTCGGGCACAAAGTTGAACACGCTGCCGGCCTGGATACTGCCGAATACCACGGCAGTAAAGATTGTGAAGAATTGCGACGGCGTGTACTCTTGCCGCATGAGCAGCTGATATCCATACCAGAATCCAAGCGAGATGACAAAGTACGACGTCGACTGCGAAAAGGCATAAAAAATATTGCCAAAGAACGCCGCTTTCTTGGCCACCATCGATGCGCGGTCCAGTGCCGCATCGTAGCGCGCAAGACAGTCGTCCTCGCGCGTAAGCGCAGCGACCGTGCGGATAGCGGCAGCCGACTCGCACGCCATCTGCGACGTGGCCAGATGCACCTGACGAACTTTGACATCCTTTTGGACAACAAGCAGCAGACGCACAAAGCCCGCACACAGCGTGAAAGGTATGCAGGCAATCACAACCAGTGCCAGCTTCCAGCCATACACGAGCGCAATGATGGCACCCATAATCAGCGTCGAAATCGACTGCATGATCGAGCCCATCGACACGCCGACAAAACTGTTGATCTTGAGCGTATTCTCCGCGAGCGACGAGGTGAGCGTTCCACTGTTGTGCCCATCCTCATCAAAGTAGGAGACGTCGGCACGCATGTATGCACGGAACATCATGCTGCGCAGGCGCTGCATAAGGATGGCGGAGCCCTGTTGGATCAACGAGATCTGCACCATCGTTGCCAAAGTCGACAGGATCGCAATCACGAAGAAGTACAGGGCATGGTGGTTGGCTGTGTGTCGCATGCGATCACGTATCGGCTCGGGGCAGGGCGTACCCGCCGAGCCCGATGGGCACTGACTGTAATTGTCGAGCGCTAGGCCAAACAAGATCGAGAAGCAGGGGTACGCTGCACCGGTCGCAACAGCACAGAGTATGCCTGGCAGGAAGTATGGCGGGATCAAGTCGTGCCCCACCCGCGCAAGGCGCTGTAGCAGCCACACCACACTGCGTGTCTTGTCCTTGAGCGGCGGATCCATGGGCCCTGTCTTGAGGCCCTGCATCTTCATCACCTGTGTCAGTGTGCTCTCCATCGACACGGCACTCGCACGCGACCGGACCGGCTGCAACGGCACGGGCGCGATGGCCGGGGGCACGCTGGGCTGAGTCGTGCTGATCAGATTTTGCGTTTCGTTCGTGTGGATGCGCTGCGTCGCGACCAGACTCGCATACAGTCCATCGGGAATGTCGAGGAGCTCGTTGTGACGTCCCTGCTCCACGATGTTCCCTCGCTGGAGCACGACAATGTGATCCGCGTTCTTAATCGTGCTTAGTCGGTGCGCAACGGTAATGGTAGTGCGCCCGCGCGAGGCGCGATCGAGCGCCTCTTGCACGATACCCTCGCTCTGCGTGTCCAGCGCACTGGTTGCTTCGTCAAGGAGCAAAATGCGGGGGTTCTTCACAATCGCGCGTGCGATGGAGACGCGCTGCTTCTGTCCACCGCTCAGCAGCGCAGCGCGCTCGCCGACCTGGGTGTGGTAGCCCTCGGGCAGCTGCATAATAAAGTTGTGTGCATTGGCAAGTTGGGCCGCCTCCTGAATAAGAGCATCCTTCTTTTCGTCAGGCCAGTGCTCGTACGGCGTGTGCAGTAGGCCAAACGCAATATTCTCCCACACAGTCGTGTTGAACAGTGTGGGCTCCTGTGACACGAGCCCGACCTGCGTGCGCAGCCACTGGATGTTGATGTCGCGTAACTTGACATCATCGAGGTACACGTCGCCTTCAGTTGGATCGTAGAAGCGCTCGATCAACGACACAATTGTGCTCTTGCCGGAACCAGACGGGCCGACCAGCGCAGTCGTCTCGCCGGGACGCATTTCAAGGTTCATGTGCGTCAAGATAGGAATGTCCGGCCGCGACGGGTAGGTGAATGACACATTGCGAACCGACAAGTAGCCGTGGCATACCGAGGGGCGGAGCCCCTCGGTGCTCGACGAGTCGATCGTCGGCACGCGGTCGATCGCCTCGAATACCTTTCCGCCCGCCGCCTGTGCAAAGCTGAGTGTCTGCAGGTTCGGCGCCAGCATGGCCATACTAAAAGCCCCGATCAGCACACTGAAGATGACGTTCATCACAATGCCACTCTGCACCTCGCCATCAGCGACGAGTTTCGAGCCGAAGTAGAAAGCCAACGCATAGGCACAGTAGATGCAGAAGAAAAAGGCGCCAATTCCAATGCCCGCTGCGATCGCCCGGCGGCGGCTTGCACCGAGCGCGCGCAGGTTCTGGGCCTCATACAACCGCCCGAGCTGTGCGCCCATATCGAACGCCTTGACCGTGCGTACGGTCGACAGCGACTCTTCTGCGATCGACGCGGCCTTGGCCACCTGCGCAAGCTCAATCTGCTGGTACTTCGACACGAAGATGTTCATCACGACGGCCGCGCCGACGATGCACGGTAGGATGGATGTCATGACGAGAGCGAGTTTCCAGTTGCGTACATACGCCACGACAAAACCCGTGATGAACGTCGCGATGAATGCCATCATCAGCGGCAGCTTGTCGCTGATGCCATCCTGGATCAGCTGGATATCGCTCTGAATGCGCGTTGTGATTTCGCCAGGGCCCAGCTTGTCAAAGTATGCAATGTCCTGCCGCAGAATCGCACGCAGATACTCTTTGCGGATGCGCTGCGTAATTTCCTCGCCTGTGTATACAAAAATGGCCATGTACACATAGATCACAACAAACGACACAATGCCAATGACCACGAGGTACACGGCGTCCATATTCACAGAATCATTCGCCTCGATGGCTCTTTGTATGACCTCCGTCGTCGACAGCCCCGGGTCATTCAGCGAGAGAAACTTGGTCGTGAGGTTTCCGAACAGGATCGTCATCACTGGCTGTGCCGCGCCCGAGGCCATACCACACAGCAGTCCGATCCAGTTCAAGAGGCGCTCCCATGGCGTCGCATAACGGAAGAGCTCACTGAGTTTCGCTGGCTTGGGAGCAGCCGGCGGCTTCTTGGGTGGTGGCACACTCACAGTGGCAGACGCAGTGCTTCCGGCCCTCTTCTCGCTCTCCACGTCCCATCCGTCCGACGGACCCCGCAGATGCCGCGCAAACATGGGCGGCTCGTCGTCGTACGCTTCCGCATTTCGTGGCGCATACATCGGTGATGCATTCCATGAGGTAGAAGGACTGATCGGCGAGTAGGGCATCCCACGCGACTTGGCATCGAACCGCGGCGTGTTGATCAGAGTCGCATGCTCATCCTCGTTCCAGACCGTAGAGGCAAACACAGGCCCTGTCGACCAAGTAGGCGAGTGCGCATAGTCCGGCAGTTTCGGCGTTCCCCCATTGCTGTTGTATGGCATCGGCTCCATGGCCGGCGCCAGGAGATGCTGCGACGCCGTGTTCGGCGGTCCTGGTGTGTCTGCCGCGGCCCATAGCCCCGCGTGGGAAATGTTAGCAGCGCCCACTGGCGGCCTCATTAGTGTCTTGGGTATTTCTCTGGGCATATCGGCCGTCACGGTCGGTACATCGGTTTCAACGTCAAAGTACAGACTGTCCCTCTCGTACCAGTGAGGCGTTGCGCCGAGAGGATCCGGCGAGGGCTGGCCCTGTGCCAGGTAGTCAGTCGCTTCTTCGTGCAGCACGGGCTTTTCCTCCTGCGGCCCTTTGGCATTGTCGTACACCTGGGGGACCGTTTCGTCCGCCATGCACCACAAAATCACCGAGCTGACACCTGGTGGCGGGGGTAGCGCTTGGAATCTACGGAATTTAGACACGGGGTGAACCTCCACTAGCAGCACTGCCGGAGCATCCTTCCTCCGCGAGTGCCGCACGCGCCTCGGCCAACGAGCGCACATTCATCAGCACAAGCGAGTTTGGCACTGCTCCGGCTGTGCTGATATGCTCGTTCCACGGGTCGCGCGCGAGCACATGGAGGTCGAGCGGGACGAGGCTTGGGGCCTCGAGCACATGCACCGGCGCCCGCATCGGCGCTCCGCGCACGTGAGCAGCAGCCAGCGCCTCCGCTCGGTCTAGCGCCTGTACCAGCGCCGCGCGGTCGCCCCGCGCATTCGCGCCGACAACCACGTAGATCTCAAGGCGCGCATCGATAATGGATACCTGTGCTGAAGATACACGCGCCCACGCAAAGGGGACGGCTGTAGGCTCGAGGGCTGGCGCATACAGCTGGGCCTGTCGAACGTCGGGGGGCAGAGCTGCGTGGTGGCGGTGGTGCCAGCCATCCGCCATCTCGTGCCCGTCCACAAGTGCGAGGAGTGCGGCCGTATCGATACCATGGTGCATGGGTGCAAGCCCACGGGCCCATTCAACGGCGCGCTGCTGCTGCACGTCATCGCTGCCAACACCATGCCACACATGCACACCCTGGGGGGTGACGAGCACAGCACTGAACGCTGTGCAGAGCGAGGCGGCGCACACGGGCACCTCATCGATCCAGGTGCCATCCACGTCGCTGCGCACGATAAAGAGGCGGTGATCTGCTGGCTTGCTGTCGCGCGCACCTAGCATGGTCGCCAGCAGTCCGCCTACGGCACGCAAAAAGACGGCCGATTCGAGACCTTGGTGCTCTGTCGAGCCGCGCTGCACGCACGCTTGGGCATCGCCCGGGATAGTGCGCTTCGCGTGGCGCCCGAGCCACACGACGGACGACGTGCCCCGTACCCAAACCACGTCGTCCTCGTACACGATCAGTGGCTGCGCTATCGGTATCCAGTGGCCCTGTGCGTCAAGACGCAGAAACGTGGTGGCGTCCTGGGTTGCCTTGGGCGGAGGCACCGTAGAGGTAGTCAGGGTGCGCGCGCCCGAGAGAATGTCGGCCACGGCCGCGACGAGAATTTCGTGTTCAACAGCGTGCATTCGCGTTTCAAGGTCCTCCAGTAGCTCATCCTTCACGATCGGCACGGGGCGCACAAGGATGGGAGCGCCACGATCAACTTCCGCGACGACCTCGTGGACCATGACTCCGGTATGCTCGATCTTCCCGGCTTGGAATGCCTCGTACGCGCGCTCGATAGCGTGTGTACCATCAAAGGTGCCTGGAAGCGCAGGGTGCAGGTTAATGACCGGTACAGGGTGTGCGGGCCGCTTGACCGTCGCGGGTGCCTCAGCAAGGGACGTAGCATGTCCCATCGCACTGAGGAACGTCTCTGAGACGATGTGCATAAATCCAGCGAGTACAACGAGGTCGGGCACCCGTCCATCGCCAAGCACCTTCTCTGCAAGCACCAGATCGTAATCGTCACGAGTCTTGCCGGGGTTGCGGGTCTGGTACGTTTTCAGGCTGTGCACCACCGTGGGAATGGCCGGATTGACATTCTTGGCGCGCTCCAGGCCATAAGCATTCTTTCGGTTGGAGATTACACGCCCAATATGCGCACCTGGGATACGCGGCGAGTCGCCGCACGTCGCATCGATCAAAGCTTGCAGATTGCTCCCGGAGCCCGAGATGAGCACGACAATTTCTTTGCCGGTGGTGCTGCGGTGTAGGGGGGGCGTGGTCTTCTTTTCATCCGAAGAAGGCGCAGGCTTCTCAGGCGCAGGCGCATTGGGCCCATCAGCGGCCGGCACCTCTTGCGTCACGGCAGCCTCGGACGTGGCTGCGCGACTCAGCTCAGGATGCAGCTCCTGCTCCCGCTTCGCTAGAAAAGACGCAAGAGAGCCTTCCTTGGCTAGTCCGGGTAGCCTCTGAAAGTCGTCGGGCGTGCTGTCGCCAGTGTACGTGCGGCCATCTCCCTCTAGCTTACCGAGCGGGGCGGCCTTGGCTTGGCCACCAATGAATGAGCTCAGTGAGACGGGTTCGCACGAGTTTCCCGCAGAGGCGTGTCCCGTAGGTCCATTTTCACCACCATAACGTTCCAACAGTGCATTGGCTCGTGAACGGGGAGGGTGGCTCGGCTCGGACGCACCCATGCTGTGGACCAGGTCCAGGCACCATCGCCGTCGGTCGCGCCGACTTGTCACGTGGAGAGGGGGTTGGGAACTAAACACATCACTACACTACGCCGTCGCAGCTTCCAAGGTCGACGGGATCTCTTCCTGCACAGACACACAACGTGAGGCGGTCTGAAGGAGCCACTCAAGCGCCATTTCGGCCTGCTTCTCTTGGGACTCGGCCTTCTGCACGTCCGCGCGGCGCTGCGTGATGACAATCCGGAACTTCTCCTGGATGTCCCAGCTGGCCAGGCGCAGCACCTTGCGCACTTCGCGGTTCACGCGCATGCCATGCATCGTTGCAAACACATTCTTCGAATGCCGTTGGAGCATACCGTTATGTCCAGGAAGTGTCAGGACACCCGTACCGGTCATAAGCTCCTTACGCAGGTTGCGGCCCACGTTGCGCGGCACTGCCTGCCGCATATCGGAGACAACCCAGGCCACTGCACCCACACCCAGCACAAGCAGAGCGGGGCCGGCCCACCGGCGCACAGCGCGGCTGCCTAGAATGTCCGTAAGGCGCACAAAAGCTTCAGTGATCGACCGAATGCTCAGTGCATGGCTGCCCACCAGACTAAGGGCACCCAGGCCCAGTGTGAAGCTCGGAGAAGCAAGCGAGCGCTCCTCAGTGGCTTTGCTGTGGCGCTCCGTTGCGCCGATCACCATATCAACATGGTGTTGAATGTCAAAGAGGTCAGACATGCGCACTTGCACAACCTCGATGTTGACGCCTAGGCCCGCCAATGCGGTCATACCCGGCTTCTTCGAGAACATGGCCTCAGGTACAAATACGCGCTTGGGCAGCTCCGTACCCGGCGGCAGGAACGCCTCACCGGCCTGGGTGATGTGTGCCACAGCGTCAGTCGTTGCGCCGCGAGCCTCGCCTTCGCACTCAGTCACAGCTGCCTGCAGACTGGCCAGCAGCGCACTGCGCACATCCTGAGCATATTGCCAGAGACGGAATAGACCAGGGTAGGTCGGCAGCGCTACCGACGCATGGGCGGACTCGCCGCGTCCGATTGTGTCCAGTGCGCGAACCAGCGTCTCTTCGGTGCTTTGCGTGATCGATGAGACCAGCTTGTCTTCCTCGCCTTCCACCAGGCGCTGGGCCTTGACCGAGTTAGACTCGCAAGAGGCCAAAGCCGGGCGGCTCTTGCTCAGTTCACGGCGAGCCTCGGCCAACTCCTCCTGTGCAGCGTTCTCGTTCAGCTGTACAAGGAACAAAATATCGCCCAAGAGGCGCTCCATATAGGTCTTGGCCGGCAGTAGTTTCGACTTGGCGCGACGACGCAGCACAAAGTCGTGCAAATTCGTTTCCAGAGAGGCAAAGCGCTCTGCCTGATCACCCTCCGCCGATTCACACATCGAACGAGCATCGACAAAGTGCACGAGCTCATTGGCTTCTTCGTAGGTGCGGGGGCTCAGCTCACGGATCTGCTCCAATACACGGCGGCGGCATTTTTCCTTGTTGACAATCTGGTCATACTTGTTTACCACAACAAAAACATAGGCCTTCTCGTTGCTCGCATTCTGCAGAAACTCGCATGCGCTTAGTGTGAAGTGGTTCTCGGCGCTGACAACAAATACAACCACGTCAATTTCCTCTTCCCGGGCAAAGACGGCTGTCGTCTTCACACTGTCCTGATTCAGACCCGGTGCATCGATCAGCGCAATGTCCACAGCGCCATTGTGCAGCAGACTTTCTTCTGCCTCGCGCGCGTTGGAGCAGAAGCACTTAAGTACAGGAAGATCTTCTGTTGCCTCTTCCTCCTCGCTGAAAATCTGTTCCAGCTCGCTCAAGTCACGGCGCGTAAACGTCGTCTCGTCGTTCACATCGTATTGGTTCATGTCTCGGATCACATGCACCTCCTCAACACCATGGTTCTCACGAGAAGCATCATGTATTTCGCAGAACACAGTGGTGCACGGTTGCTGGTCGGTGGGGACAAGAGCACGACGCATCAATGCATTCACAAACGTGGACTTGCCCGAGTTGAGGTCACCGGTAACCAACACCTTCGACTGCGTGTCGCTGATACGCACACGCAGGCTCTTCAAGTGCTGTAGAGACCGACTCATGCGCTCGTCGAGAAGCTGGCCAACGGAAGACTTCTCCAACGAGTCTACCAGGGTGTTGGCCTTGGGCGCCGCGCCCAACTTGATGTCGAGACGCAGCACGGAGAGTGGTGATGTTACTTCAGAGCTCTCTGAAGCGGACGGGTACCGCAGGATCCATTGATCCTTGTTAAATTTGCGCAGTCCCTCTAGGATCTCGTTGCTGGCATCGATCGAGGAAACAAGGCGATCCCTGCCCTCGACAAACAATTCTTGGTTCATATCAGCGGCAACAGTAGTAGTAGCCTTCGACTCATCATGTGGGTCGCCAGACTTCGCTGCCAATGGCACGTTGGCAGGCTTGACATCCATCAGTGAACTCATGTCAGCAAGCCTTCGTAGAGAATCAATGGGACCGATCTCAACGTTGGTGGCGTGAAAATTTTATTTTCAAATATACCGGCGGGATGGAGGTTCCGTCAACAGGTGGAGGAGTCTCGTGACGGCGAATTCCCTTTGCGGTGCACGGTGCAGGAGAGTGCGGAGGAGCGACTCGCTTTGCCGCAATATGTTCGGCATGATGGGTATGGCGCGCAATGCGCTCCTTCCAAGAAAATTCCGCTTCATTATTGAGTATGCTGATAGCGAGCCCAATGCGATTGTGGAAATGATCAGCCGGTCCTGCCCTAGTTTGTGTGGGGCACAGGCTGCCACCGCGACACGGTGGCTTCCTTCAGGTCATGCGCAGACCATTTGGAGCAGTGTCGCAGATTTTTCTGAGGTGGATAAGGTTGAATATAAGCGTAAAGTAATTATGGTACCAGATGGTGGTATCCTCTCTATTGATATGGCGCCTGTGTCGCTAGCTGACCCTGCTCCCGACGACACACGCCCGACGGTGGTGATTTTGCATGGGTTGACTGGTGGTTCCCACGAGAGCTACGTGCGCAATTGTGTTTCAAAACTTTCCAAACCAAAAGAAGAGGGCGGTCATGGTATGCGATGCGTCGTTGTCAATTTCCGCGGCTGTGCGAATACGCCCTTGACGTCAGCGCAGCTGTATTCGGCCTGCAAGACCACCGACTTCTCGTCCGCTTTGCTCTTATTAACACGCATGTTCCCTCAGTCCCCTATGGTTGCCATGGGTTTCTCGCTAGGAGGTGCCATTTTGGCTAAATACATGGGCGAAGCAGGATCTCATACGCCTCTGATTGGCGCTATTACAGTAGGGGCACCACTTGAACTGGACACGACGGCAAAGGCCCTTGAATCAACTTATATTTCGATGATGTATGCATATGCACTGGGTTCCAGCCTTAATGCGCTGGGGAGAAAGCATTTGGATACTTTGGCCTTGTCGCCCGATCTTTGGGACGCACTCGAAATGGCGTTCCGTACTAAAATACATCCGGACAAGAAACGACCTGTGTCTAAGTACAAGGGGCGCGACCCCAAACCCGGCACGCTACGTTTCATTGATCACATCATCACAAGTCGGGTTGGCGGTCTGCCGACGCCGTATGGCAGCTTTCCCTATCCATCAGCGGACGCGTACTACGCACACAGCAGTCCCTTGCATCTACTGCATAAGGTCGCTCGGCCCATGCTGGCTCTGAATGCGGATGATGATCCCGTGGTACCACACTCTACACTCCAACATATGATCAAGAACATTCAAAGCAGTCCGAATGTGGTGCTTGCTCACAGTCGTTGCGGTGGTCATCTAGGTTGGTTTGCGGGACCGTCAGGCGAGCGTTGGATCTATCAACCTATTGGGGAGTTTGTGGATGCGCTTTGTGACACATTTGCCCAACATGCCAGCAAGAACAACCAGGGCCTGGGGTCGGGAGGGCCGCGTATGAGCCCGTGGAAGACAGGCTGCATTGACAAGCGTATGGTGCAAGTAGAGCTGCTCCCTGTATCTGCATTGCCTTCGATATTAGGCCAGCAAAGTACCACCACAGCCACGACTCCAGACAACGAACCTATCATGCCATGGCTCAAGACGCATGTGCTGAAGCATATGCCCCTTGTTCACCCTAAGGACTCTCCTCGAGCCACAGAGCAGGTGCCTGAAGGAGAAATTCTTTCGCTACCGTTGGTACGTTTTGATACACTCATGTCTCCAGTACAGCGAATCTTTGCATCCTGAAGTGGGCTATATCGAGCTGCCAGTGAGCGTTAGTACGGGTACGCAGCCTAGAGCTAACGCAGGCGGTAATGGATCAGTAATCTCAGCCGACGCAAGCGCGGTAACAACGGCAAAGGAGATTACAGGGCTGTAGAGTAAGGCCCTGTACAAGTAGACCTACATAAACAGGCCAAATCACAGACAAGTACCATGCAAGAATGGTACTAAAAACAGGTTTATCCATGGTTGTATCACCTACGTACATCACGAACAGAGGCATATACTGTACAGTGACGTCTTTTGGATTGCACATCGTACGATGCGACTTAAATGAAACCAATGCGGTTCGACACGTCAAGAGCATCCTCGTCCGCAGTCAGACGGATGAACGCCTTCTTCTTGCCGTCGGGACGGATGAGCGTGTTCACCTTGGCAGCGTCGACGTCGTAGACCTTCTTCAGCGCCTGCTTAATCTGGCGCTTGTTGGCCTTGCGGTCAACAATGAAGACAAGAGTGTTCACCTCCTCAATCTTCTTCATGGCGCTCTCAGTGTTCAGAGGGAACAAGAGAATCTTGTGAGCGTCAGTGCGCGGCGCATGAGGGGCACTCTTGCGAGGGTATTTCGGGTTGCGCGCAAGACGGAGAGTCTTAGGGCGGTGGAAAGAGGGCGAGGTGTACACCTTGCGCACACGCTGCTGACCCGAGCTACCCTTCTGCACGACCTTCTTGGCCACGTTCGCCTTCCGCGTAGGCAGGTTCTTCTTTTCTGTGTTAGTGTTAGCATCGTCGTTCGTAAATGATTAGGAGGTTCATCGAGTGTCCATGCGCCTTCTAAACGATGGCATGGACGTCGCTGACCCTCCTTCTGCACGTACCAGTAGCCGGCGACATGATGGATGACAGCGGTTGTGTAGGATCAAACGGTTGTCCTATGGACAGGAGGTGCACGTCAACTGGTATTATCACGTGTTTGTCTGTGATCATGTGATATGTTATAGTTCTAGGTGAAGGTCCGTGCGAGTGTGGCCTTGTGGAGGCGGCAAAATATGGGTGGAGTACAGGTACAGATCGCTGCCACATCCAAGCGCCAGACACAGGCCCGGCGCTGAACCATCAGGAGGTGAAATATTTGTAGCTGGTGAACACCATTGTAATGCCGTAATTAGAGTGGGAAATTCGTGTTCTTGTCTTGCTGAAGGTGACTGCAAGTAAGCAAGGGGTTCCGGCTCATCTAACGACCATATGCGCACTCGGCGATCATCTCCTGCACAGGCCAGTAGTCGCTTTGATGGCTCTATGCTGAATCCCTGTGTAAGTCACATTGTACATACAAGACCTTGCCGAAAATGATTGCAATGTCCTCGAAATGCTCGAGTGGGCTGGCAAAACATGCGCGATACATCGCCAAGAATCAGGTCACCATTCGAATAGGCACAGAGAAATTCGGAACCATATACAAACGAGAGATGGCAGACCGAACCGCGAGGTCTAAATTTATAGTGAGAGTCCTCTGTATCCACTGTGAGGTTGTCATCGATGTTTAGGGTATATAAATGGATCGTTCCTGCGCGTGTACCTACCAAAAGAGTTGCGTTTCGTTGTGTACGGGCACCGACAGACACATCCATAATATCACTTTTTAGTGGCAGAGAGTGTTGTCTCCATAGAGCGTTACTGTATCCAAGATGGCTTCCTATTATGAGGAACACGGTTTGACCGACGCCAAGTGCTATTAGTACACTCTCGCCACCAGAGCCAATGTCACAAGCGTCCATGCATCTTAGATCCAATTGGGGCCTCCTAGAATAGTCACAAATGCTTTCTCGTATAGAGAACGGGCTAGCAGAAGTAGAAGTAATTGTAAGTCTCCATCGATGATGCATAGAGGCATTGATTAAGTAGTGTGATTGTTTGGTAATATGGTATAGATCACATTGGGCTTGAGACATAATCACGAGAAGCTGCTGATCCCTCTGCCAAAAATTGTAGACAGAGTGCAATTCATCCTCATCTTGGAGTCGCGAGGAGGCGTCGTACAAGTGGTTTCCTGTCATGCTGGACATTAGGTATTGTATACGTACATGAAATATTTTCCATCCCCGGCCAGCATAGCTATAGTGCACGGTGTAAGGGGTAAGTTACAAGACAGGAAGTCAGTGTGTTGGGCGTACAATGAAATTCGTCAAAGTGGGATCGTCAGGAAGAGCCAGCTGGAGATTATATGGTTCAGATGGGGTAAGCTTTTGAACTAATGACTTGGTAAGAAAGCTTAGAATAAGCTTGACGCACGTACCGCCGATAGACAGAAGTGGAAGAGAAGTACACATGACCATGCACCATGCCTGGAGGTCTACATTCATTCTTTCGATGAAAGAAAGATACGGAGAGTGTAGGTTTTGACGTCGGGACCGCGTTCACTTGTGATCGTGGGGCACTCGAAGGTCCCTCTTTATCACGATTTGTCCGGAAAAAACGATTTCGACTAGCCTAATAAGTGTGTGGGCGTACATGGGATCCCATTCAAATCCAGGGACGATGAAAGGTGGTGCGTCAGACATGAACTGTCTACGTGATCGATGTACAATACGCACGGTCCTGCGCTCGCCCAGATTGGGCCTATTCTCCACTTTTGCCCATCCAAGAGACCGTACATACTGTGCCCCTAAACAATGAGATCACCAGGAACGAACGCAAAAATCCCTACTTGATAAATACAGGATTCCAATAGAGATACAAAAATCGTGACAATGATCAAAGGGCCAGTTATGATTGATTGCATTTGTAAAAGATTATATGTGATCCTTAACCTACTCTTGCTCTGATGTCTGTTTATGTGGATTGGGCGGTAGTCACTGTCGACCGCTGTTGCTGTGGAAACAAGATCCGCCTTCTTGCATTCACAAACCAGTTTGAGATTTGGCAGATATCGAGACCTGTGCGGTCACAAAATTCCAATTTCTCATCTTCAGTAGGGTATGGGTGATCGGCATGTTCCAGCAACCATGTCTTTAACATGTCTGTAATGTGCTTAGGCAGTTTGCCACCCCGCTTCGGCACAGGTGCTGATTCAGTAGAGTCGGATTTTAAAGACGCATTTGTCTTCGGTTCGCTTGTCTGCTCATGAGATTGATTTTGAATATATGGCGGATCTCGTTCGATCCTTGTGTTCTCTTGTTCCCTAATCATTTTCCTAGAGTATGCTTCATCGTAAGACAGGCCCCTACGCCAATACGATTCAGGATGGATGCCATGTGCATTATCAGGCGAAATCGAGCTCCGGTATGGTGCCGCGTCAGCGTAACCTGACCGGTATGAATAAACCGGATTGTTATACGAAGCACCCATAGCTCGTCTGTAGCGATCATAGATGTCTTCATGGGGCACAGACCACCGGCCTTGATGTTCACGTGGATGGGCATATCGGGATACGCGTGGTTCATCTGTGGAAGAGTAATCCGAGCTTGGGGATCCATAACTTCTCGATGACCTATCATGGCCAGAGGGTAAATATTCTCTTTGAGAATCCCCCAGCTGATAATTTGACGCACCCAAGTTCTGTGACCTACGCTCAGCGTCCCACTTAGGTCGTCCCGGGTACCAGTATTTATCCTGGGAGTCTAAAGGGGAGTGTGTATCCTCAACTTTGGTTGACGACGCAGGATGGAAACGGTTTCGTGAGAGGGTTTCAGGTCTTTGCTCCAGGATTGTACTGCTTGAACGTGCATATGGATGAGCCCGGCCATAGAGAGATTCTTTTAAAAATGGGCGATGATGCTCGGGTCCAAAACAAGACCCATGCTCACGCCCAAACGTGCTGGGACTATCCAGCAGGCTGCGGCACTGGCACCTCCCATTGCATGACCTTGGCGGAGAATTAAATGTAGCTCCTCGCTCCCCATTTGTTCTTGATCTAGACATGGAATTGATGGGCGGGAAAGATGGTAGTGACTGAGATTTCAGAAAAGGCATGCGGGCTAGGGGAGAAAGGGGTAGTTGCTGATGTCTTGAATAGGGCGCATCCATTGATGGCTGTCGATAGGCCATTGGAGAAAGCGAAAGCATGTTTGCTTCTCTTTCTTTCTTTAGCTGTGCAAATTCGGTGCTGACATACTTATCCCCATGATGTGCCATTGGAGATATGGCTGCTTTCACCTCTTGCTTGTATATATCAGAAGGCCCTCTCTCCAACTGCACCATAACTTACGTCAGGGTAATCGTGGTTGTAATGTCAGTATTTGAAGGTGGTCGTTGAACGCTATTGCTGGTGAGATTGTAGAGCTAGTTCGAATTGTGAGATTCAAACGCGAGTCCGGCGATTTGCAGTAGCTCTCTTACACATTTCATTAGACAGTCTTGCATGCGTCAATCAAAAACCTTCAAAATGACGAGCTAGCACACGCATCAAATCCGTGTCAGAATTATTCCTGCCAAACTATATCCAATCGATTCCAATGACCATTTCCATATTTTTGTAGGCCTATCTTTTGTTTACGGTGAGACGTCAGCCTCCGTAAGTACGAGGACTCGGATTGCCCAATAAAATAAGATAAGAATAGAGTTCTTACCTAATGACCCAATCTTTATTTGATTTCGAGGAACGACGCCAGACATTACATAAATACACTCTAAGAGGCAGCCAATGCAGCTAAACTTTTCTGTTCCACGTGGGTGCATATGGGACCAATCACACCCAAGTGCTACATGCACAATATTGGCACCCAATAATCCCCTCAAGAGGATAGCAGCGCAGTCCGATAGCCCCGATAGATCTTATCGGACTTGGCCGTCGTGAGAACTGACATTTGTACGCGATTCCATAGCCCGTGTCGTTCTTCTATTCCGGTGTGTCAGCATAGTTGACGAGCTTTTGGTTCCCGCGGACTTGGGCACGGGAATAAAGGTCGCTTTGGCATTATCGGCCGTCGATCGTGCGGCATGAACAGGTGCAGCCGGTATTGAGGCACTCATTTTTGGTAGATTTTCTTTAACGTCGCCTCCAGTTGCCGTACTTATGCGCGTAGCAGTGGTCGATAAGGACCCAATGCGAGACGATTTCACAGCATTCCGTTGAGGAAGCTGACGACGCACCGGTACATATGGCTCTTTTTTTGTGATGGATCTCACCGACCGTTGCGTCATGGGCGTGAACTCCGAGTTCACGCGCTGCGTAATATCATTGTCGGCTCTGTGTTGGGTGCTCATGCCTTTTAGAGGGTCAGGAACATGAAGGCTCGACTTGCTCATCGCGGCTGGCCGTTGATTATCTTGTTTGCCGTACATGTCCATAGCATATTGGGACGGCTCTACTTTGCTCTTCTGCGTATCCATTTCCAGGGCGGCCCATACGCTGCCCAAACTCATATCGGATGCAGTTGCTGTATTTCTCTCATCGTGGTAAATCAGGTGGCGGAAATCTGCCATAGTCGACTCGGCAGTCATGGTAGGTTTCGGCTCCGCAAACACATGTTTCAACAAGTGCATGTCAGGCGTTGGCAAAGCATCCATTGACTGTCTGTTTGATGGTGTGTACGATGAATTAGATACGACTGGCTCTGGTGGATGAACAAGCAGTGATGACAAGGCTGGGATGTTGTCATCCTTAGTCGTGGTCGTATCTGGGTCGTCGACCTTGCCGGTCAACTCATCATCTGTATCGAAAAAGTCATCGTCATCACTTTCCTCGGATCGCTGTATATGCGCGGTGTCTTGATCGTTTTGAATGGCGACTTCTTTCTCGTGTAGAATACTCTTCTGAAGCTCGTTATCGACACCAGGGTCTGGTCCTGTCTTGGTCGCATCGGAGGCTTTCTCTGCTGTTGCTCGGTTTTGCTTTCCCGGGGAGAGCTTGCCTTTGAGCCATTGCCATGAGCTTTTGTGCTCCAACTCTGTCGCAGATGCATTCGTGGAGAGGCGACTGTATTCGAGTGAAAGCCGTCGATGCGCTGGATTTTTACCCCTTTCAACTTGAGGCGTGAGGAACTTTTGTGACAAAACCCTAGGCTTTAAATATATTCCGTGAGGTGTGTTTGTGGCACTAGGAGGCTCTTCCTGTGCTTCCGGGTGCACTTGCAATTCCAAGCTCCGCTCTACTTCTGACTCGTCGTCACTGGACGAGTTGTCAGATTCTTGCAGTGGCATTGTAGAGCTAATATCCATATCCAATGAACCTGAAGACGCAGGTTCCGCGAACTGAGCCGGCAATGGGGTACGGCGGGTCGTCTCTGGGATTGGGAGAACTGGAAGCTGAGCACTGCGCTTGAGCAATGTTGCTGTGCGAAGGCTCACCTTACGCGATTTGGATGGCGACCATATAAGCGGAGAGGGTGTACCGTTTTGCTGCCTTGCCACCATCGGATATCTCGTCCCAACACGAGCAGGACTGCTTGAGCTAGTGGGCTCACAAATAGGCTCCGACTGTCGCGATGTATCTTCCATCCTGAGTCCCACGGACCCCACAGATGCATTCTCATCGTTTTCGTCCACATCGTCCCAAGCATCATCTTGCTCAGCTTCCTTACAGTTCGGGTCCATGCTGGACAGGTCCATCTCCTGAGATATGTCTTGTTTCGTGGGTGATGCTGCGAGCGAGAAGGGTGGATCCGTGTCATGCAAAGCATGTTCCTCCTCTTTCGATGACGAAAGTCTGTCGTCTTCAACGACCTCCCGCAAAGATTCATCTGGAGGCGCTGGCTCTCGTTGACGGGGCCTAATTTTACCTGTGCTTGGTGATGCGAGATCCAAGCGATGATGCACAGAAGTAGTGGGTAATTGCGTGAGTGGAACGGGGCGCAACGCCTTTTCCGGTGTCCAACCGTGCCGGAGAGAGGGCAAACTTGTACGAGCCCTGATACGAGCACTCCGTCGCATCGGGGTTGGCGCAGCTTGCTGCTTCGCTGTTTTATTGTCGGGGCTGGATTCTGTGCTGCTAGGACTAGGCTGAGTCTGCTGCTCTGCTACCGCCTGCTGGGGCTCTTGTTCACAATTTTTTCCATTCTCTTTATTCACTGTTGCGTACGAGAAACAGAACTTGTGCTGAGAAATGCGGAGCACATCGCCCTCGCTCAGCGGCCAAGGCGTAGGAGGCGAATCAGGTTGAATAAGCTTGTCGTTGTGCCAGAGACCATTGGTTCCGAGCACTTCCAAAAATGCACAGTCATTCTCATCCATACAAATTCTGGCGTGCACACGGCTCACATCTCCAAGAAGCAAGCGGACATCGCTGGTCATGGCCCTGTCATGAGCTTGCATCGATACGTACCGTCCCAGCAACGTGATTTTCTTCTGGATCCAGAATCTGGCTGCATCTCCTTCATGGTCACCCAATAGTGTCAATGTTCCAAAGCGACTACATGGCTCATCGGGATGCCCGGCCTGCGCCAACTGCCACACCATGATGTGGGGCGAGCCGGTGTTGGTGCCACCAGCCTCCACGCGTGTTTGGACGCGCAGGTTCCTTTATCACGTGATACAATTCTCGCTGCGAGGCGACTCACGACGATCATGGCACCCGTAGCGCTCTCGCGCGCTGAGCGGAGCTATGTGTTGGACGGTCTATGTGCCTCTCCAGCGCAGAGGTCGGATGGAAGAGGTCTGAGGGATGTGCGCCCCATTCAGCTGGAATCGTCGATGTCGCAGCAGGCTGATGGGTCAGCACGTGTGGTGCTGGGCAGCACGGAGGTGATGTGTGGCATCAAGGCCGAGGTGGAATCTTACTTGTGCCCCCATGTGGGCTTAGAGCAGGATGGAGAGCCATCACAGCAGCGCTTTGCTCCATGGCTGCCACCGCGTCCGCGCATTGAAGTGCTCGTCGAGTATTCGCCTGCTCTTTTGCACGAGCACAGTGCCCCAGAGCTCGGCATGATCACAGGTACTGTGCAGGATATGGTGCAAGCGTGTTTTGCTCCATATGGTGACAAAATTGGGCCATTTGATGCACGACAATTTGTGGTGGTGCCCTATGCCAAGTTTTGGCGTCTGTATCTCGACGTATATGTGCTATCTTGGAGCGGCGGTAATGTGCTGGACGCTGTGTTTGCCGCCGTGTTCTCAGCCCTCTGGGATGTGCGTATCCCAGTGACACAGGCCCTGTCTATTGATAGGGCCTCGCAGGGTGTCTCTACGGATGCCACGGACCCAGCCGGCATGAAGTTCCTCACGCGTGGCCGCCAAGCGACGGGCGGTGCAGCGAGCTCTGCGTCCAGCGGCACCGTAACGCAGGCTGTGGACTTTGCCCTGACGAGTGAGTGGGATGATGGGCATACCCTATATGGGCGCGAAGAAGTGCCAGTCTGTGTGTCTGTGTACCCTGTGCAGGGCACATTTCTTCTGGACCCCACGCTCGAGGAAGAAAGTGCGCTATCATCGAGCGTGGTTGTATTCGCGTCTCAGAGTGGGCGCGTGTACGGTGTGCGGCAACGAGGTGACGCATCCCTGAGTCTGTCGGCGGTGCATGAAGCGACGGACATAGGTGTGTACTACGCACGGCAACTCGCGCAAACTCTGCAAGGCTTTTTGTCGTAGAGCCATGTATGCAATTACCAATCTATGGTCGCCTTCTTCAGGCGCGCTTCGGCTGCCGAGATGCCTTTCCCGTACACGACGCCATTCAGCCACGGCGTATCAGTACGGTTCTGTTCGAACGCACGGATCTCGTTGTCCTTCTGCAGTGTGAGCGCAATGTCATCGAGGCCCTCCAGCAGACAGTGGCGCGTGAACGGAGCCACTTCAAAGCTGAACGATGTGCCGTCAGCACAAATGACCTTCTGCTGCTCGAGGTCCACTGTGACCTCCTTGCCCGCCTGGGCGTCGCGGAGGACATACTGGATCTCCTCTGGCTTAAGCACCACAGGCAGCTGACCGTTTTTCGTCATATTATTGCGGAAAATATCCGCAAAGCTCTCAGCAATTACAGCGCGAATTCCAAAGTCCAGCAGCGACCACGGCGCGTGTTCACGCGACGAGCCACATCCAAAGTTGCTACCAGCCACCACGAGAATCTGTGCGTGGTCGTAGGGCGCCCGGTTGAGTACAAAGTCCTTGAGCGGCTCACCTGTCTGCACATCATAGCGCAGCGGCCAAAAGAGCGCGGAGCCAAGTCCTGTGCGCTTGATCGTTTTGAGGAATTGCTTTGGAATAATCACGTCTGTGTTCACGTTCGAGCGCTCCATCGGCGCAGCGATACCCTTCAGCACACGGAACGGCTCCATGCCCTGCGGTGATGCGCCGGTCGCAGTTGTAGCGGAAGCACGGGGTGCCGTCTGGGCGGGCGGTGCCGACACGGCCGGCGCATGCAGCGCACCGTCGCTCACAAACTGACGGGGGTCCTGCGTGTGGATTTCGAATCCAGCCGGCGCCGCCGCAAAGCCAGGCAGCTCACCTGCGGTCAGCTTGCGCACGTCCGTCAGGTAGCCGGTGACAGCCGCAGCAGCGGCCATGGCCGGGCTCATTAAGTGAGTGCGACCGCCCGCACCTTGGCGGCCCTCAAAGTTGCGGTTCGAGGTCGACGCGCAGCGTTCACCGGGCGACAGCTGGTCAGGGTTCATACCCAGGCACATAGAGCATCCCGCTTCGCGCCAGTCGAAGCCGGCTGCCTTGAAGACGGTATCGAGGCCCTCGGCCTCAGCTTGCTTTTTCACGAGGCCTGAACCAGGCACCAGCATAGCCTGCACATGCGGTGCGACGCGGCGGCCGTACAGCACGCGGGCCGCAGCGCGCAAGTCCTCAATACGCGAGTTAGTGCACGAGCCAATGAACACCTTGTCGATTCGGATCTGCTCCACAGGCGTATTCGGCTCGAGGCCCATGTATCGCAGGGAGTGCGCCCACTCGTTGGCCAGTTCCGGCGACGGCGCATTCTTGGGGTCCGGTACGGTGCCATTGATCGGCACCGTGTCCTGGGGGCTGGTGCCCCATGTCACCGTTGGTGGAATGTCCTTGGCATCAATGCGCACGACCTTGTCGTACTGCGCACCCTCGTCGCTAGCGAGCGAGAGCCAGTGCTTAGCGGCACGATCCCACTCGTCGCCCTGCGGCACGAGCGGGCGGCCCTTGAGATACTCGAGCGTCTTCTCATCGGGGGCAACCAGACCTGCACGCGCACCTGCCTCGATGCTCATGTTGCACATGCTCATGCGCGCTTCCATCGACAGGCCGCGGATCGTTGACCCGGCGAACTCGAGGACACCACCGGTGCCACCGTCCGTGCCAATCAGGCCGATGACATGGAGCATGACGTCCTTGCTGGTGACACCCTCGGGCAAGTCGCCGTTGACCTCGATAAGGATGTTCTTCATGCGCTTCTGGATGAGGGTCTGTGTCGCAAGCACATGCTCGACCTCGGACGTGCCAATGCCAAAGGCGAGCACGCCAAAGGCGCCGTGTGTTGATGTGTGCGAATCACCGCAAACAAGTGTGGCGCCCGGCACGGTGAAGCCCTGCTCAGGACCGATAACGTGCACGATACCCTGGCGGCTATCGGTCAGGCCAAAGAACGTGAGGCCAAACTCCTTCACGTTCTGTTCAAGTGTTATGCACTGCAGGCGCGAATCGGCCTCTTGCACGAATGTCTCAGTGTTTTGAAAGTCTTTGCGGCTGACCGTCGGGATGTTGTGGTCCACCGTCGCCAGAGTGCACTCCGTGCGGCGCACTGGGCGCCCGGCCATGCGGAGGCCCTCAAACGCTTGGGGCGACGTCACCTCGTGGACGAGATGGCGGTCGATATAGATCAAACATGTGCCATCCTCCTCTTCCGAGATGAGATGAGCATCAAAGATCTTTTGGTAGATCGTCCGAGGCTGGTCGATCGTCGTCATGCGGAGGGTCTCCCCAGCCCCGCTTCGATAAGTATGTGACTCGGCATTTCTAATCTGAAATCACGTGGATAGCGGCCGAGACGGCCCGTGGCATTGGGCGGCGGTGGCAGCCAGCGGGATCCGCGAGCGGTACGCGCCTCAAGTGCTTTACCACCGAATTGCACGATGACTGAGAATATCAACCTGGATCTCTGCCCCGTGTATGCGCCGTTCTTTGGTGCTATGGTACGTGGCCACTGCATTCTTACTCTCAGGGTGTGACGGCTGCCATCGTCTTCACCTGTCTGGGTGCTAGTTACGGTACTGCCAAGTCGGGCGTTGGTATCTCGGCGATGGGTGTGCTCCGGCCTGATCTGCTGATCAAGTGTATCATTCCCGTGGTTATGGCTGGTATTATTGCTGTATGTGCTCATTCCGTGCCTGCTGACGCGCCAGATTTACGGTCTCGTCGTTAGTGTGCTGATTTCGGGAGACAGTACGTACGCCGCCACGCTCACCGCCAGTCAAGTCGCCCATGACCCTGTACGCCGGCTTCATCCAGCTCGGTGCGGGTCTCTCGGTCGGTCTCGCTGGTCTTGCGGCCGGCTTTGCTATCGGTATTGTCGGTGACGCCGGTGTGCGAGGCACGGCGCAGCAGCCCCGTCTATACATTGGTATGATCCTGATCCTCATTTTCGCTGAGGTTTTGGGTCTGTACGGTCTGATTGTGGCCCTCATTCTCAACACCAGAAGCCAGGAGGCCGGCAGCGTACGTACATTTTCTCTAACGCCAGTGCACGCTATAAGCCCTTATGTAGCATGGTCCACTAGATCGCACAAAGCTTGTCCCCCATCTAAACTATCCGGCTATCGACGGCCAGTTCAGGAGGCACTTAGTACAGGAGCGTCGACATGTCTGCGCGGATACGGTTGTAGTCGAGGAGACCCTCAACACGACCCGTAGCTGCCAGGGCAATGTCCTTGTCCCACAGGTACTTCTGCGCCACGCGCTGGATCTCGCCGGGCGTCACACGGTCAATCGCCGCTTCGATCTCGTGGGGCGTGAAACGCTTGCCGGTGGTCACCAGCTGGCGGCCAATGTCCTCAGCAATGGCCGTGGTGCCGTCCAGACCGAGCAGCAGCGAGGCCTTGAGCTGCGACTTGGCACGCTCCACCTCCGCAGGCGCAGGACCCGTCGAGGCACGCTGCCACTCCTTCAGCGTAAAGTGCACAAGGTCGTCGAGGTTCATGTGGTTCTCACTCACGAGATACACACCCCACAGACCCGTGTCCGAGTACGAGGTGCTAAAGTGCATGAACGAGTTAGCCAGGTTGTTCGACGAGATAATGTGAGACAGACGGCTCGACAACAGTGGCGACGAGCCCAGCGAGCGGTCCCAGTTGCCAAAGATCGACTGCAGCACCAGCATCGGGAAGTAGTCCGGCGACTTCCAGCTCGCACCCTCCACGGCAATGGCCACATTGCACGTCGACGAAGTGTCGTCGCGGATGCGCACCTCCGAACCGATGAAGCGGCTGGGCTCGTACTGGTTCTCACCCAGCTTGATCGGGTTCTCCGACACGGGCAGGGTGCTGAAGTGCTTCTCCGCGAGCTTCACCAGCGCCTCGTGCTCGACGCCACCAGCACCGACCAGCACCATGCGGTCAGCGGTGTACTTCGACTGGATGTACTTCGACAGGTCGTCGCGGTTGATCGACAGGATGTTCTCCTTGGGGCCGAGGATCGTGCGGCCTAGCGCCTGGCCCTGGAAGGCCACAGCGTGCAGGTGGTCAAACACGACCTCCTCGACCTGCTTGTCGACCTCCTCCTGCTCACGCAGGATCACATCGCGCTCACGCTCGATAGCCGAGGCGTCCAGCTTCGAGTTCTGCAGGATGTCCGAGATAATGTCCACAGCCTTGTCCACATCGTGGCGGAACGACTTCGCGTAGAACACCGTCTGCTCACGGGAGGTGTACGCGTTCAGATGCGCACCGAGGTTCTCGACCTCCAGCTCCAGACCGTGCTGCGAGCGCTTGTTGGTGCCTGACGTGAGTATTCGCATACGCACCCTTGAACGCCATGTGCTCAAGAAAGTGGGCCGTGCCATTGGTGCGCGCGCACTCCGAGCGCGAGCCAGCATCAATCCAAGCACCCACCGTCGCCGTCTGGGCACTCGAATTCGATTCCGTCGCAACGGTAAGACCGTTGGGCAGCATCGTCACCTGCGTCAGAGGCTGCACGTTAGCACCGGGCGCCTCCTTTGAACTTACCTGGAGAGTGGCAGCCGTGGCCAGCGAGCGCGAAGCAAGCGGCACGCGGAGGTTGCCCTTGATAGAGTTTGCCAGGAACAGACGGGCCGACATCACGACTATGTGGGGGCGACCGCGGAAAATGTCTCAGAGGGTAAAGGAGAAGAACCAGGCTTGCGCCGCAGAGCCCGGCCCCGCTGGGCGGGCGGCGGCTCGTCGAATGGTCATAATTCCATTTGTGCCCCCACCACGGCCCCCGGTTTCGACCGAGACACACGGAGGCCGTGCGCTAGCATGTGGAGGCTGTTTCAATTCTTCGCGCTGCTGCCACCGGGCTCGTGTGTGGCGCATGTCCAGCGAGCCCAGCGTGGACGACATGGTCCTGCCTGATGTTTGGGAGGTGCGCGAGAGCCCATCAAGAGCTCATTCGTCCAGTCCCATCGTAGACTCTATGCGGTCGATTGTTCCTCTTAGTGACGGCGAAGATGACCTGCAAGTCGAGTCCATCCGCAAGCTCTCAGCGTCGCAGCTGCGGCGACAAAAGATCGACGCTGCGCGGGCCGCTATGAAACGGGCCACAGAGCGCCAGTCGCGTCCACCCCCTGCGCAGCAGACCCTTTTCTCCTCGTACCGCTGCCCCATCTGCCTGTGCCCGCCGACGAACATCAGCGTCACACCCTGCGGCCACGTCTTTTGTGGCTCGTGTCTCTTCGACACTCTATCTGTTCACGCAAGGCAAGAGCGAGAATATGAAGAGTACCGTTCCGGCTACGGCGGCAACCCTTTCACGCCCTCAGGCAGCTCTGGCGCGCTGGCTCTGGCGAATGCAGCCGGCGCAGACCTGCGTGGAACGCGCGCACTATTTAACGAACTGGTGCAGCAGCGACAGTCGGGAGAGTCACCTTCCGCCTCGCCTACGGTTAGGTCGCCTCCGGTATCTGCAAGTCGTTTACGTGCAACCAACGGCACGGAGCGGATCAAGGGTCTGTGCCCCGTATGCCGCAGCTCCATCAAGGGCGGCTTTACTGGCATCGGCCGTCGGGGCGTCTTGGGGCTCGAGATCCTGCTCGGTACACCCGAAGAGCCGCCTGACGAAAAGTCAACGTCCCCTCCCTCTACGCCATCAAACAAGCGCCTCCGTGTAACATAGCCATAGATCCTGATCATGACGCTCATGCTTCAGCGCCCGAGGACGACTCCTTGGGCGCATCGCCCGTGAGGAATCGGCCGTATTGTCCTCGACGCGGGCTAAAGGTAGCGCGATGCTCCCGCTGCTGACACAGCGTCGTCGTGAGGCCGAGGACCGTAGATTGCTGCGTTAGTGCGTGTGCGTACCAAACGCGTAGAGAGAATGGTATACAGGTCAGGGGCTTGATATACGCAGTCGTGGATAATGTAGAACGCAGCAAGCGGTGCATCCACTGCAACATTAGACACACAGCATACCTAGATCGGGCGAGCGGCGCCAGCGCTTGTGGACCACAAAGCAGCCAGGAGGACGCGCGTGTACCAGGGCGTATTCGAGCCCGGTGAAGCGCCTGTCGTTAGCTCATCATACGTACCGGAGCTCTTCCTCCTGCCTTTTCGTAATAGTACGCATCAGCTCTTCGCCGGAGAGCGGGGTAGTGGCCATGATCTGCGCGACCAGAGCGGCACTTTGCATGCGCACATGCTCGTTGTTGCTGCGACGGTCATAAAAAGGCGATGTGCTAAAGTATTCCATCACGTTGTTCACATCCAGCACCGACTGACCAGCTCCAACGATCCCTTTCTGCGCGCCTAGAAAGGCGAGGAGCTCGGGATTCTTCCACTGCAGCTGCAGCGGATTCACACTCCCGTCCTCCGAGGGGGCCACCATGCTCGGATGAGTGGAGGCGCCGCGGCACGTGGGTCAGCGGCCTGGCGGCGAAGGGACGCGTCTTTCGAAGCCAGCACCATGTCGCAGCGCAAGGGCAAGACGATGAATGAGGAGCTCCTGTCTCAGTATGACGACGTGTCGAACATGATGGATGATACTGGTGCGTGCGAGTGCCTAACATAGCAGAGCAAGAGCAAGTCATCGACAAGCTCCGTGCAGACAATGACAAGGCCAACTATTTGTACCGTGCAGCCCTGCTGGTGGTGTATGCGCTGGTGGGCTTCCTGTACCTGACGCCCATCCCCACCTATCTGACGGGAAGCCACCCGAAGAGCCACATCACCCTCTTCCTCCATCACCAGTCGATGATCGGCACTGAAGACGACCTGACGTATTTGCCGGCTTTGCCCATCTATATCGCTGTCCTGCTCTACCTTGGCTACATCATGTACCTGGCTACCTACGAGCTGGCTACACGTGCAGGAATTCTCCAACCCAAGGGCGTTGCCTACCCTGCGCAGCCGCACCCGTTCGGCACAGCCCCCCGGTGGATCGTGCCTGTGCTGCGCGACATTCGCCTGCAGCCGTCAGGGAGTGCCCGTGCGGACCCTGACAAGCAATCCACGAAGACAGAGCTGACCAAGGTACTGCCGCCCCCTATTGTGTACCTGGGCTTCCTGTGGGTGTGCACTTGGCCCGTGCCGCTGGTCACGTTCGGCGCCGGGGCCTTTGACGATGCGGCCTGGTGGTCCTTCCCCTTTGGCGCACTGTCGCTGCATTTGCTCGTTGAGTGGTGGATTTACAAGGCAGAGCGGGACATGGTTGGCCTGGCCGGTCTCAAGTACAACTACAAAGGCGCGTAACTACCACATTACATCGAGCATATCCCCCTCCTCGAGATCCAGCTCTTGCACCTTGCTGGTCCGCGCGAGGCGCTCTCCCTCGAAGCTAACGTATGCATCGCTGGCTTCCTGGGGAGATAGTGCGTCCGCATGCTTGGTCACAAAGTGCTGCAGTATCGTTGCCATTTGTGTAGTGGGTCGCACCCGAACATCCACCTCCAACTGCCGCGCGCCCCGTAGTGTGAGCAAGAGCGTGTCCTGGGATGGGGTATCGTGGGCGTGCGCCGCCTCACGCACGAGGCCGGCTACGTCGTCAGCAGGCGCAGGCAGGTCCTCCGGCTCCGACGAGTCGTCCACCTCGTAGACAGGCACAGCCGGCGCATCCTCCTCGTCTTCGAGCAGCGAAACGACCTGCGCCTGCTCTTGGCGGTCAAGCTCGCGTGCCAGCGCGCGCTCGCGCAGCTGCTTAGCATCATGGCCTCGGTAATATTGTGCCAGGTCTGCATTCAGCTCCAGGGAGGTGTCGGGGTCCGCCTCCTCGCCTTCTAGCACCACATCTAGCGCGGCTATGCGGCTCGTATGCTGTCGTTTCACCTGCTCAATCGCCCGAAGAGCATATGTGCGTGCCTCCTCTTCCAGTTCAGGTGGTGGCGGCGACACACTCGCGCTGCGCTCGCGCTCCACGGCCCCAGGTGGCTGCGGCGCAGGCTCCGGCGACACAGTGCTCGACGAGTGCATCGACCCGCTTTGTGACACCCAGTCAAAAGATAGCGCCTTGCGCCGCTTGCGTCCCCGACCGACGTCGTCTTCGTCGTGGTCGCCCGCGGTGGCCGGTGCCTCCGCCTCGGGCGCCATGTCCACCTGGCTCGCACGCGGACGTGACGCAATAAAGAACGTATCATCAACACCCACCAAGGATCGATCGTCTACCGAGGCCTGCTTCTTGCGTGCTCGAGGGCGCGGCCGCCCCGCCATCGTGGGGTTCGCGCAAAGGCAGTGGCGTGTCAGGGCAACCTCCACGTGGCAGCGGTCGCTTGGGGGGACCCTACCATGTTCGCATCGCAGGCGCAGGCACTCCAGCCTCACATGTGGCGCCGCCAAGTGGCGCAATTCGTCCAGGTTCTGCATGTGATTGCTATGGCACTGGCTGTGTGGAAGGGACTGAGTGTCGTGACAAACACCGAGTCGCCCGTGGTCGTCGTGTTGAGCGGCAGTATGGAGCCTGCGTTTCATCGCGGCGACCTGCTTTTCCTGACCATGACAAGCAAGCCTATTGAGCCTGGCGAAATCACGGTGTACCGCGTGCCCAACACAGATATTCCGATTGTGCACCGTGTAATAGAGGCACGCGACAAGTACGTGCGAGCGACTGACCGCAGCGGACGTCGGGGGCAGCTGCTCCTCACCAAGGGCGACAACAATGAAGACGACGACATTATGCTATACCAGGGCCCGCGATGGATACGCGACGACCAGATCGTCGGGCGCGTCCAAGGGTTCGTACCAGGCACTCACCCAGCTTTCTTCCGTATGCAGGGTACATCACTATCCTTCTAAATGACTACCCGGCACTCAAGTACGTCGTTCTTTCGCTGTTGGGTCTCTCCTTGTTCTTCGAGCGAGAATGAGCGAGCGTCCCACAGTGTGGGATCGAGCTCCTCCATGTAGCTCACATAGGGCACCAGCTGCTCGTGACTCGCTGCCACCTCATGGTCGCGCTCCGTGCGATCCAGGTAGGACGCACGGCGCTGCCCAGAACTGGGTGTACGCGATGCCCTCATTACAGGCTTTGGCGACCACGTAGGTAGGGGGTGTATTGAGGTGTGGCGCATGCCAATCGTGCCATTAACACCGCGCGGCGACGCGAAGGCCGACGCACTTGGCGTGGCATCATTGTCGCCTGCAAAATAGCTGTGAGACGTGTGTGCTGCCTGGTCACCCGTAGCTTTAGGCGGCACAGAGCAATCCACAAATGACTGGATCGTGTCGCGCTTCGACGCCGCGTCTGCCGCGGCCTTTCGGATGCACCGCCTGCGGAGCCACCAAGCCAGCACACCCAACACGACGGCGCCCGCGGCCCCACTAAAACTGCCAACCAGCGCATTTCGCATCTCAGACGCCACATCACCATGGCGATCGTTGCCTTCACTCTTTGCATAGGTCAGCGGATCAAATGTCGGGTCAACTAGGCTCACCAGTTCCTGCTCAACGTTGCTGCCACTTTGTTGGTAAAAGTTAGAGTGCGGATCCTGCACCATCTCCTTTAGCGCTGCTGTGCAGGCACTGGGAACGTAGCCCAAGTATAATGTCCTGGTAAACCTCTCGTCTGACGACTTGAGCATCATGAGCTTGGACGTATACACTTGGCTCTCACTAATATTCAGCGTAGTACTGAGGACCTTCGGCATGTACGTAAAGATCTGGGCAGTAGTAGCACGCTGCGTCACAATCCAGTACCATGACAAGCTGCGCTGGAACAAGATGGCAATGAGTGTTGTATTAGAGGGATGCGTCCCATTTGTATTATTTGGTACCACAATCTCGGGCAACGACGTTGGAACCACCGTGACACTGGACGTTGTAGCAGTCGTTGTGCTTATTGAGGACTCGGACATCGGCATATTCATATCTGACCGAGTAGGGAGAACCACAGACTGCGTATTCAGAAACGCATACCCCGTCGTGGATGTCACTGTAGGGCGGCTTTCCATGCTCTGCGAAAGCACGGCCGCCGGATAGGTCTTCGTAGGTCGGGCGTTTTCCGTAATTAATGTAACGATGACTTGTGTCGTGGCAGGGGGGGCAGACATCATTGGCGTTTCCTGCGGCTCAAGCGTGTTGACAGGCGAAGTCATCCAGATGGGATGCATATCTGTCGGTCTGGAGGTACGTCGTGACGCTGTCAATGAATAGCGCATTGAATAGGCCGGAAGGGGTGGGTTGGTCTCCCAAGACGACGTTTGTATCGTGCTTTCAATCGTTGTCACCCACGGCCACCAAGTCTTCGTCAGCAAGCGCGGGTTTGCTGTTCGACTGCGCACACGCGTGCTCTGGGAAGAAGTTCGCTGACTCGAACTGCCTGTACTAGTAGTATATCTTCGCGTCGACGCAGAATCGTACGTTGTGCGACGAGATGCCGAAGGATATCCCGCAGTAGGGTGGTTGGTTGAGACAGATCTTGTGATCTTAGTGCTAGAGAGGGCCAGGTGTGGTTGAGACGATACCGTTGAGGCTGACAGGTGTGATAAGGCCGATGTAATGTGTTTGCTAGATAAGGCCTGATTTGACGGAGACCGTACTGACGAGGAAGCTAGAGGTGATATGACCGATGTAGTTTGTATGCTTGTCTTTGCAGCGGGTCGCGATGCACTTCGCGTAGATTCTGACGTGGACGACCTTCTTGTGCTAGACGCAAGTGGTTTGTGACTGGGCGCAGGTGCTTTGTGGCTCGTAATGGACAAGCCGTGTCCAGAGTCGAATGAGCGAGAGTTGGACTCATTTGCAGAGGCGGAGCTGGGCGTCCTCGTCGACGGGGTCGTCCGAGCATGGGTGCGGGTGGGCGTCGGCCTTTTCCCGAGTTGCGACGGTGTTTGGCTCGTCCATGTATGCGAGTGCTGACGATATGTCGACGTGCTTTTCACAGAGCTCGAAGACAGCCATGATCGTGTTGAATTATTCTCCTGGCTAGCATGCTCTGTTATCGCGCTTGTGGCAGGCTCGTGGCTCCGGCCTTCTAGCAGTTGGCTGGCAGTCCATACGGCCAAGACGATCCAGAGCGGGAAGCAGCGCATTAACTATGAGGGAAAGAAATCCTCTCACACGAAAACTTGCTTTATGTACATATTGTGTTCCGAGCGTGTGTCGCTCCAGGCTGGCCCAAGCGGCCCGGGCTGGAGCGTTGTATCATCGTTACATGTGGAGGTGATAAGAGTGGGACGTGAAGTCCGTCCACTACCCCGCGAAGCCACTCGCGACCGCGTGTTGAGAGGTTTCTACCTTGAGGTCTATGCATACATGGGTGCTACATCGCTGGCGCAGATGTCGGGGCTGGTTCTGACGTGGAAGCGGGGACAGATTCCGCTGCTTTAGACTTTTTCGCTGACGCTGTCGTTTCCTCGTGAGAGCCTGCATGCTACTGTCAGTCTTCCCGTAACGCGCCTTGTTCTTTGTCTGCTTGCTAGAAGCCTTACGAGGCCGCGTATCTCCATCGAAGACATAGTCGGGGAGATGAGATCTTTGGTGAGTATCGCAAGACATACCCCTTGATGTGGCGCACCACGATACCCATGGCCGCCTCATCAAACTGGTCCCATTGCTTGACCTTTTGCGTAAAGTCCATGGTGGGGTATGAAATGTCAAGACGGCGTGTCGGTCCCTCGTGCGCCTGACGCGGCTCGATCTTGAGCCCAATGTAAAAGGTCGTTGTGTAGACGGTGCGTCGCCCGCTTTCGGCGTCCGACTGTTGCACAGCCTCGTCCTTCTCCTTGGCTGCGTCTTCTGTCTCTGGCAGCTTCTTCAGCTTACTTCGTTCCGCCACCTCTGGCGGAACGTCGCCCGTAGCGACGCGGCGCACCTCCTCGTCCGAGAAGCAGATGTTCTCGTGCTCAAAGCTTTTTACGAAGGGATGCGCACACAGCACCGTCGGCACGAGCTCCAGTTTCATTACGAGCTGGCGCAATCGTGATTCGACAGTGCCCTCCCACTTGAGCTGCAGGTCAGCAGAGCCCGACGACGCAATCACCTGGAGATAGTATTTGTACTTGTGGAAAAAGTCGTGCATCTCAAACAGATCGCTCCACTGCGCCTTGCCCAGGAAGATCCGGTCGACAATCTCGGCGCCGCGCTGGAACTCTTGCGTCATGATCATCTGCGTCGACTGATTCACATTGTGAGTAGCGCACATGGACGGATACGCCGGCGTGATAATCGGCATCCGATGCAAACGGTCCGTAGGGTACAAGCGTGGATTCCACACACGGATCGGCAGGGGTCCTTCCTCGACGTTTTTCAGCAGCACGGGCTGCGGCCACTTCCACTGCAGCAGAATGATAAAGAAGCGACTGACGATCGCGCCTGCCACCTCGTTCGGGTACAGCTGGCAGATGCGCGCTACCAGCATGGCCCATGCTACACCACCAAGGAAACCCATCACGTTCGAGTAGATGGCCCGCCGGCTCGCCCACAGCTTGATGCATCGCAGCGCGAGACGAAAGACCTTCACATTGGGAACAAGGCTCAAAATTTCGTCAGTGACTCGCGAGCCACCCAGGCTGCGGACTTCGCGCTCGTCTAGGTTCTTGAGCAGATTGTCGTCCCGCAGGTCGAGCGAGTCATCAATGCGCGGCAGGGCAATGCGCGCAAACAGAAAGTCGATGGGAACACCCATGAAATTGGAGGTAATGAGTGGTACATACGCTTCAGGCACCGCGGCTACCTCCGTCACGTCGTCGCGCTCCTTCAGTAGTCGCTCAAAGATCCGGAAAAAGTCCTCCCGCTGTACGTGTTTGGGTGCGACACAGAGCGTGTCGATATCGGAGCCGGGCCCATGAACACCGAGGCGGTACGAGCCGAACGTGAAGATCTTGCCACCAGCCGCACGCGCGGCACTCTCTGGCAGCCCATGCTCAATCGACGCTTGGTATACAAACTGCTTCACGAGCGCATCGACATGGCCCAGCACGACCTCTCTGTTGTGTCAGTGAGCTAAACGTACCGCAGCTTGGCCTCCTCGGTCGATTCAAAGACATTGTGCGCCCGAAGCTCTTCCTCGAGCGACCTGGTCATCTCAATGTCTCTCTCCGTAGGGCCACTGAGCGAAATAGGCGGTGTCACGCCCAAGTACGTGCTCATGTCGCGTCTCGTGAACCCGCTCGACGCTCGTGCGCCTCGATGTACACTCAGTACGCTCGGCCGAACTGCTTCGCCAGGCACGTCCGTGCTCGATGTGGTCGGTGCTGCTCGTGGGCGTGGCTGTCTGGGCGTTGCTGCTGCAGGCCGTGGCACGGTACAGGCTTGGATCGCCCGAGCTCTCGCTCCTCTATGCCCCTCTCTTGCTGGGAGGCGCCCGCATGCGCATCCCCCTGGGCGCGCTGCGCTACGAAGCATCACACATGCCCCCTTGGATTGCGAGACCGCTGCGTGCACACGCCGGGAACCTCTCTGGGCGTCTCTGGTTTGACATGGGCATTGTGGTTGCGAGTGTGTTTATGCTCAGCGCGCTCGTGGTGCTTTGCGTCACATGTGCACAGGTTGTGTCGCGGCTTTGGGTCGCGCATCTGCCTACGACTCCCTTCAGCAAGCGTGCTATCGACGAGCCGGCATCGCCTCTGTGGATCACCCCGCTGATATGGAACGTGAACCTGACAACTTCTGAACTAGCACTGCTCCTCAGCATCATGGCTGTCTCGCAGCTTGTGCACGAGGCTGGCCATGTGCTGGCTGCGCTCCTGCACAAGGTCCGACCCCTGCGCTGGGGCCTCACGCTCGTATTTCCCTGTGTGGTGATGGCGCACGTCACGTTTCCTGATATGTCGCATCTGTCTACACGGAAGCAGCTGCGCATCGTGGCTGCCGGCGTGTGGCACAATGCGGTCACGCTCGTGGCATGGGCCGCGGTCGCCGCGCTTGCATCGGGCCTCTGGGTCGATGCGGCCGGCTGGCGCGTGGTGTCGTGCAGCGATGCCACGCTCGCTGCGTATCTGCACCGCGATACGACGGTGACAGCTGTCAATGACATTTCGCTCGAGGCGATTCCGCCGCAGGAGCGCACAGTGTGGTGGCATCGCATGCTCGACGATGCGCTCCCTCGCGAACCAGGCTGGTGTATACCTGCCTCCAATTGGTCGCGCGCCGATGCAGCGTGCTGCGCAGCATCCGAAGATGCACGTGGATGCTTCGTCGATGAACACCGCACGTCCAAGTGCTTCGACGTGCTTGACGTCTTTGAGCAGGTGGGCACCCGCTGCGACGAGTCGTGCGATGGTGCTTGTGCTCGCGTCGATCCTTTCCACCCACTCGTCCGGCTCCATCTGCGGCAGCCGGACGGATCGGCGGACCATGTCGTGCTGCAAGGCACGACCTCCAGCCTGGCAGCACGTGTCCGCGTCTCGCCGTACCGTCTTTTTGCGCCCCTGCGCGTGCTGGTGGGCCACCGCGTGGCCGATGACTTGGCAGACATACTGCGCAGTGTCTCGCGCTATGTGTATATGATCCATGTGTCCATGGTACTCTTTAACATGCTTCCCATCGACGGGCTCGATGGCGGGCACATGGCAGAGCTAGGGCTCCGGACGCTATGGCCTGCTGCCACGGCCATACCACTGTATACCCCGGGCACTTCTGCCCCCTATACCCTCCCGCTGCACGTCTCGCCTAGCAGGATTTGTTCGGTGCTGGACCGGTTGACCAAGGGCCTCGGCGTCGTTGCCCTGCTCGGTAGCACCTGGCTGACGCTCGCCAATCATCGCACGGTGTAGTGCTTTGTAGCTACAACAGATCAAACAGGTCATTCGATCCAGCCGCCTTCGGTTTCGGCGCCGACGAGGCCCACACGCGGCTACTCGTCTGGTCCTGCGCCAACTGTGCCATGGTCTTTTTGCCGCTGCCCTCAGTGGTGCTTGACTTGCCGCGCGACTCGGCCCACAAATCGTCGAAGAGCGATGCCGACGACTTGGGCGGCGCAGCAGGCGTCACAGGCTTGGCGGGCGGAGCAGCCGCAGCGGGCGCCACCTTAGGAGGAGCCGCCGCAGCGGGCACCACCTTGGGCGGTGCCGCGGCGGGCGTCGCGGGCTTGGGTGCGGCCGCCGGCGCGCTTGGCTTAATGTCTAAAAAGTCAAACATGGGGTCGTTCTGGGCTGGGGGCACCGTCTGACTGGACGCTGGTGCCGGCGGCGCTGCCTGAAAATCATCAAAGTCGTCGAGTGGCGCAGCTGCCGGCGGAGCCGCCGGCTTACTCGGCGAGGCGGTGGCGGCTGGCTCGTCGTCGAACGAAAATAGATCCGCGACGGGGGGGCCTGTCGCTTTGGTCGAGCTCGCTGCGGTCTGTGATGGCCCCTGCGTGTCTTCATCGTCACCAGCGTCGTACTCGTCGTACTCGGCCTGGTCGTGCGTGCTGGCCCCCGATACGCCATACGTACCCGAGGCGCCGCCACTTGCATAGTACGAATCGCTGCTGAATCCGCCGTAGCGTCCGCCGCCGCTGCCTGGCACAAAGTCTGTGTTGCCAGTGCCCTGGTACTTGGAGCGGTTGGCACGCGCCTTGCGGCGCTCAGCGCGGATCATGTCGACGTCAGAGAGGAGCGCTGCGAGCTCCTTGGCACGGTTGCGGACTGTGTCAGTGGGGTCACGTACTGTTGATGCCCTGATCCTTGCCCTGGTCGTCAATGTAGTGGAAGTTGCGCAGAATCTTGATGGTCGCGAGGTGCGCGCGCGCCTCGTCGACGACCTTTTCGGCGCCGTTCTTGACGAGATACTCGAGGAGCTGGAGCGCCTTGTAGATCTGGCGCCAGTCTTTTGCCTCCTTCTCGACAAAGCGGCGGAAAATGGTCGGCATAATCTCGTGAAAGTCATGGCTGATGTGAGTGGGACACTACACACTAGTTGTGCGTGCTGTGGTAAGCGCGTGCGACGTACGCCTGAGCAATCTCCTGCATGAGCGTGGAGCTCGCGCCCCATGGGTCGTCGTTGGTGGCCTCGCGCACCTTGGCCTCGATCTCGCTGATGTTCAGCGCATAGTTTTTGGCCTGCGTATAGAACTGCTTGAGGTCGTAAAACGTCAGGTTCGAGAGCTTATGGCCGCTGATGTGAGACGATCACACCTACATCTCCTCGAGATCCTGGCATGAGCGTGCGCAGACGTACCATATTCGCAAGGTCGCTCAGGGAGCCCATGGCGAGTGTCGGTCAGACGGTGTTGGGCGGCGCGCGCCCGGCCCCAGCGCGTGCTGACTCAGCAAGTGATCGAGGCGCCTGACGACCGCGTAGGGACCGTCGCTGACGCTCATGTTCCTCACGCGGTCCGAGTACGGTACGTTGTCGCTACTTATACAGACCGGGGTGTCAATACATTCTCGCCCGAGGGGCGGCTGTTCCAGGTCGAGTATGCGCTTGAGGCCATCAAGCTCGGCTCTGCGACCGTGGGCATTGTGACGCCCGAGGGCGTCGTGCTCGGCGTCGAGAAGCGCGTGCAGTCGTCGCTGCTCGAGGCAAGCTCGGTCGAGAAAATCATGGAGATCGACTCGCACCTGGGTGCTGCGATGTGCGGGCTCACCGCGGACGCGCGCACCATGATCGACCATGCGCGTGTGACGAGCCAGAACCACCGATTCGTCTACGACGAGGCTATCAAGGTCGAGAGTATTGCGAATGCCGTGTGCGATCTTGCGCTGCGGTTCGGCGAGAACACCGAGGACGACGAGGCGCTCATGAGCCGTCCTTTTGGTGTGGCGCTCCTGATCGTCGGCATCGACGAGAAGGGTCCGCAGCTCTACCACGCCGACCCGTCTGGCACGTTCGTGCGATACGAGGCCAAGGCGATCGGCAGCGGCGCGGAGGGTGCGCAGGGCGAACTGCAGGAAAAGTACCGCCCTGACCTCTCGCTGCACGACGCGTCGCTCCTCGCACTGCGCGTCTTGAAGCAGGTAATGGAGGAGAAGCTCGACGCACACAACGTACAGCTCGCGCAGGTCACACCTACCAAGGCGAAGGACGGCCGCGTGACCGGCCAATTCCAGATCCTCGACGAGCCCGCGCTGCAGGCGCTCGTCGAGGCCATGTAGCGCCGTAGCATCACGTGCAGAATCGGCCTCCGCGCAGCGGCGCAGCCCCGCGGAATCGACGCGTGTCGCTTGCGGAGGCTGGCAACGATGGCGTCGCCGGCGAGTGCGACGGGCGGCACGGAGCCCGTCGTGCTCATCACCTACGCGACACACTCGGTGCCCTCGGCAGCCACGCAGGCGGAGCATGTCGTCTCCCTCCTGCGTGCGCACCTGCCCCTGCACAACCTGCTGTGGCGGCCGTCGGCGGCCGTGCAGTGCCTGCGGCCCGAGGCACGTACGGAGGGCTCGGCGTCTGTGCCGGCGATCCGCACGCTGCGGGATATGCCCGTGCAACTCGTACCTCTGGCGGCGCACGACGCGTCAGACAAGCGCGTACCGCTGCTGTACCGTCTCCCGCCTGTGCACCTTTTTTTCGTGTCGTGCGACGACAGCGATCTGTACCGCGCGCAAGTCCGCAACGAGATCCGTCAATGGATAGCCGCACTGCCCCACCACATGCCGCACGACTACGCGGGGCTGCGTACGACTGTGGATGGCGGGCGCGACGTGCCTGCGCACCTCGTGCCCGAGTACCTGATTGTGCTGCTGCCGTCCGGTGCCGCGCAGGTCGGTGCGCCTGGCGCGAGTGCGGGCAAGATGGGCCGCTTTTACGCGATGAACAAGGGCACCGTGCTCGAGAAGCTGCGCGCCGATTTCAATACGAGCACCACCGAGCATGTGCTCGCGCTGCACCGCGTGCCTGCGAGCACGGACGACAATGACCCGGCGGCGTGGATCGAGCTCCTCGCGCGCATGAAGGAGGCCACACTTGCCTCGATCGGTCGCCTCGTCGAGCTGCAGGACCGGCTCTCTGTCACCTACGATGCAACGAGCACAGCGCCGACGTGGTCGCTGTGCACGTCGATGCTGTACAAGGAGCACCTCGTGCAGACACTCGAGGGCCTCGGCCTCGTGCGCGAGGTGCTCTCGCTGTACGAGCAGATTGCCGACCAGCTCACACCTGCCGCGTCGTTCCCGCCCGGCGGCACGGACGAGGGCGACGACAGCCTCCTCCTGCTCGGCCCCCTGCGCAAGCCGTACGTGGCGCAGCTTGAGCAGGGCACCATGAATCTCTTTGATTGGCACAGCTACCTCTATGCTCGCACGGCCATGCTCCTTGGCACGCTCGGGCAGGTCGTGGCCGTGATGGAAAAGACGCCCGCGTTTATTGATACGGTGACGCATATGCTGCGGCCACACACGCACACGCTTCCCCGCGGCTTTCTCGAGACATGGTCCTTCTCCATCGCACTCGACGCCGTTGAGCAGTGCCAGGCATGGCTCGTCGAGGCGCAAGGCGAGCGCGAAGACGAGCTGATGATGCGGGCGTTCCACGCAGCCAAGGCCGCGCTTCTGGAGCTGGCCGTACGCCAGATGGTCCGCATCGGCGTGTGGACTGCGCACCTCCCTAACGAGGAGCCCTTCTCGTTCTTTGCACCCGCCTCGCACACATATGCAGACGGCGCGCGCCTGTCCCGCAAAGAAATTGTCGAGGCCATGGCCAGTCGCGACGTCTTCGACTCGCAGTGCCGCAACATGCTGCAGCGCACTATTCACGCGGCTACACTCAGTGGGCAGACGCACCGCCTCCTGCGGGCCAAGTACCTGCTCGCAAGCCTCGAGAGCGTGCGTGGCGCGTATGTGCCGGCGCTAGCCATTTACACGGAGCTTGCACAGCACCCGGACCTCCCACACACACTTGCCCTGTACGGCCCCGTGCATGCACAGCGCCTGGCATGCCTCGCTGCGCTCGAGCCGCAAAGCGCAGCGTGGAGCGAGGGCGTCCAGGCCGCCCTGCACTGCCTCTGCCGCCTCCGGTGCCTGGCACCGCACCGCGCGACGGGCCTCGACGAAATGGCGCTTCTTCGCGCGCTCGCCGAATCCGATACCACGGTGCCCACGACCCTGCTTGGCTACAATGGGTGCGAGTTCCGTATCACCCATGCACGCGCAACGCGCCGCGGCGATACAGTGCACATGACCGTGCCGATCGTATCGCATCTGCCCGCCGCCCTCGGCGTCGACGCTGTACACATGTGGGTTCGCAACTACCGCCAGGACCAGCTGCAGTTCACCTGCCCGCCCATGACGCTGCATCCCGGCGCGAATCGTGTGGAGCTCACATGCGCGACGCCGCTGCACGGCTACTTTCACGTCCAGGCGACGCAGATTCAGCTGCCGCACGTGCGCCTCGAGAGCCTCGTGCAGGGCACCGCTTCGCTATCGAGCTTGTCGGATGCACAGCAGCTCGAGTACATGCGCCCGCGACTGTGCCTTCCGGCTGACGGGACAGCGGCGCGAGTGCGCCTCACGGTCCCGCGCGAGGTGCGCCTCGATGAGCGGCGCACCGTGCGCTTGCACTTGGACAGCGGCGCCCAAGCGCTCAGCGATGCGCACGTGGCGCTCTTGACGCAGGGCGAGACGCACCTCGTGCCTGCGACCGAGTGGCTCTGTGCTGCGGGGGACGAGCCGCGCTGGACGGCGCCGGCCCCCGACCTTCTGCACATCGCACACGTGCCGGCACACACATCGTGGGCGTGGGACGTGCCACTCGCGTCGGTGGCTCGCACGGCGCAGCTGGACGTCCAAGTGACGCTGCGCTACCGCGGCGAGAGCGACTCGCAGGAGCGCCTGTGGCACCGTGCCCTGCCTGTGCCGCTCGCCCTGCCCTTCCACATCCACATCCAGGACTTTTTCCGACTCGAGACACTTCTCTCTAAGCTGTCGTTCGAGGCCCTCTCCGAGGCGCCTGTGCGCCTGTGTGCGCCAACCATCCGTGCTGCGCCTGCGTCGCCCATTGAAGCGTCGGTGCCGGCGAGCGGCTCGCCGCTATGGCTCGCTTCGCGCAAGATGAGCACCTTCCTGGTCCAGTTCACGCGGCGCGCCGGCGAGACGCGCCATGCGAACCCTCCGTTCGAGCTGTCGATCGCGTACCGCACCGCACACGACGAGCGATGCGCGCTTGTGCTCGAGACTCTCGCGCGTGTACTCTCTACGTCTGAGCAGCTGGGCTGGGAAGACGGCGACGATCTCCTTCTGCAAGAGGCGCTCTGTGAGGCACCGACGCTGGACGACGCAGCATGGCGCCGTGTCCTGCAGCGCTGGTGCTGGGATCCTGCGAGCGCGCGCGCGCGCACCGTGCTGGACCTTGTGCACCGCTTGTCCGCGTCGATGCCGAGCGAAGGGCCCGACGAGACGCTCGAGGCATGGCCCGCCACCCCGCCCGCGGCACGCGCGGCGTGGGAAGCGAGTCGCGCGCACCTCGCGTGGCGCACGCTCACCCTGCCTGTAGACGTCCCCATCGTCGACGTCGTGATTGCTTTGGCATGGGATACCCCGCCAGCGACGCATGTGCTGATGGGCGCGCCGGTCGCTGTGTCGGTCCAAGTGACAACGTCGTGGGTCTGGGGCCTCGCGTCGTCCGACGCCGGCCTCGTACACCTGCAGTACAATGTGTTTGTGGACCACGATACCTGGGACGTATGGGGCGCCAAGAAGGGCACATGGGCCCTCGACCCATCGCAGGGCATGTGCGCGCGCACCATCCACGCCACGCTCCTTCCGCTGCGCACGGGTTTCCTACCGTTCCCCCGCGTCCGTATGGCGCCCGTGGCGCCGACCGCACGCCCCATCCGCTGCGAGACGTACGTCACACACGCCTCGCCCGGCCTCTATGTCGTGCCGCCCCCCGGCCCCAATACCTACTGGGTCGATCTGCGCGCCCTCGACGCGCCGGACGCGCCGGCCGTAGGCGCCCCATAGTCCTCCACATACAGCCACACCGGGCGACCGCTGCTGCCATGGAGCGCATCCGCCCGCGGGCGTCCGAACTGAACGATGTGACGGACGAAACGCTCATGGACTGGCCGCCTGCAGCGAAAGCCGTGCGTGGCAAGGCGCCGTCTGTTCTCACGGCACCGGCGGACTCGCCGAGTCGTGCGCCCCCAGCACCTCCCTCGCCGCCACCTTCACGGCCCCTCCTGGGCGGTATCTGCGAGCGCGACACGCTAGCAGACGCACGCACTTCCGAGGCGCCGCGACCTGCTAGCGCCAAGCCGCTGTCAGCCTTTCGTCGTGCGCGCCTTCAACGCGCAGGTGCAGGCGCAGGCGCAGCGCCCACCGCCCCTCCCCGCGATGCGCCTACGGTGCCGCTGCCTGAGCTTGACCCCACACGCGATCCAGGCGGCGGCGCTGCGCCAGAGACGGTCTCATCCATTCTCACTGACGTTGCACAAGAAAACGAGCGTAAGATTGCGCATATGAGCTACGAACACGTCGAAGAGGAGCTGCGCGATGCAGAGGCCTTCTTTGGTAAGGACCTCCTGGCGAAGCTCTCCCAGCGCCGCGCGCGGACCGCGCAGGGGTGGCCAGCCATGGAGCGCTTGGAATTGCACGAGGAGGCACCTGCGCCGTCTGCGCCGCAGGCCGCGGCGCGCGAGCCACGCTCGGACGACGCCATGGCGGACCTCGAGGCCCTGCGCCAGACATACTTTCCCGACGAGCCCGCGACAGTGCCGCCGCCCCTTGCATGGACGGTCGACATGCCCACGGACCCCAGCAGCGCACAGGTCCGCTTTGACTTCTCCGGCCACGTCGTAAGCCGCCCAAGCGACGTGTTTGCCGAGGCTCCGGACGCCACGTACCTGGCCGGTCTGCACCACCACGGCCACGATCCAACGGCGCCTGGCTATACCCTGGACGAGATTTTGCACTGGACGCGCAGTCATGTGGCGTCGCAGCGGTGCCTGGCCCTCCAGCTTGTGCAGCGCATCGCCACCGCACATCCCCTCGCTTCTCCACCATCTGAGGCGCACCGCGTCCTGGACGCCGAGCATGGCGCGATCCGCGCACGTTTCCTCTTCACCGCCCGCTATCTCCTTGATGATCGGCACCGCAGCGTGAGCCGTGCCGCTGCCGAATGCCTTGCGGCAGCGATCCGATCAGTGCGTTGCGTTAGCACCGATGCCCTTCTCGTCGCCGAGCTGCCCATCGCCGCCGATCCCGAGCTCGACTGGACCCACGACTCGTCGGCGCTGGACCCGACTGACCTACATGCGCAGCCGCCGCCGTTCCATGCGCCCGACGCCTCGCACCTGGAGCTCCTGCAGCACAACTGGGTCGACGGCCTATTGAGCGCGCACATCCTCGATGCACTGGAGGCGCGCCTCTTGGACACCGATGCACCGACCATGCCTGTGTGCGACATCCTATGTGGCATGGCGCTGCACCGCGGCGAGGCGGCACACGCGATCGCAGCCCGCCCCCGCCTTGTTCGCGTGCTCGTCGCCCATGCCGCAACACAGTCGCCATGGCCCCTCACGAGCCTGCCGTGGCCCCACGTCGATGCCATGCTCGCCCTCCTCCGCATCGTGCAAGTCTCGCGCACCTGTGCGTCCGCGCTCGTGGCGCAAGGCGCCCTGGACCCCGTGCTGCGCTACATTGTCCTACCCCCCCAGGACCTGCATGCGCAGTCATCCGAGGACCTCGCTGCGCATGAACACGCGCTGGCCTCGGTGGCCTTCCGCCTCTATGCGGCCCTCGGCCGCTACGGCGTGAATAGCGCAAGCGTGCGGGAGGTGCACGCCGCGCTGCCAACATGGGCCACTTGGGCCGCGCGTGTGTGGCCTCGGCTGCGCGCGGACGACGTGCGTCTTTCTTCGATCCATGCCCTCTTTGACCTGCTGGCCGTGTGGACACGTGCTGCCATCGATGGACCCCAGCATGGTGACCTCGGCGCGAATGCGCCGGCCGTGCAGGACTGGGCGGCCTTCTCGATCGCTTTGCTTTCCGAGCGGGGACCGTCTTCGAGCCTGGCCCTTGCCGTGCATGGCCGCGCCGCAGCGCACCTGGCTACGTGGTGCGAGGTAGTGCACCGCCTTCCCACTGACATCGACCGGACGGCCGTGCGCGCTGCGGCCGAGGCGGTCCTGGCACAGTGGGCGCATGGTTCGGAGACACCAACGTATGCACCGAAAATTACCGCGCGAGCCGATGCCAGGACGGCGCACGACGCCGTAACCGCTGTCTCTCGCCATGCAAGTGCGTGGCACGACTTTTTGGTGCTTGCACATGCCACGTCCCATGCACAACTCGCAGCACACGCACAGAGAGAGCTGCTTGCACTTCTTCGCCTGCCCCTGCGCGAGCTGTGCAGCCGTGTCCGAGCTGCTGATGGCTTGGTCACCGCGCATCGCACGTGGATCGTCGCCTCATGCCTGGACGCCGAGGGGCCTGAGGCTACGCTGCGCATTCTGCACGCGCTTGGTCCGGAAGAAGGCGCGCTGGCCGCGCAGATCCTGCCGCGCATCGTTGCACAGGTCGATGCACGCGTATGGGACATTGTATCGCCCTTCCTCCTGGAGAATGTTCGTCCCGCCACGGCTGGACCCTCGCTAGTCACCGCAGTTCGCGGTGAAGCGCCTTTGACGACTTTGCAGGTGCGATGTCGCGCCTCCCCTGCTGTCGATACAGACCCTCGCACTGGTGCCGAGCTGTGGCAGAGCCGCGCGGCTGGCCTGCCGCTGCGGGCCGATTGGCCTCTGCTAGCCCTGGACGACCTGCTTCACAGTGGCGACGCACACGTCTTTAATGCCCGAGATGTGCTACCAGCCGCCTGGGACTTCAGCGAGGCGGACATTGTGCAGGCGTCGCTCGACCTCGCCCTGTACGTGGCGGAGCAGCGCGTGATCCCTAGTGCCTATTTATGGTTTGGCATGATGAAGGTGTTCCTGCTTGAGCTGGCGCCGCCTGCGCATCCGGACGCGACAGGCGCCATGACAGGTCGCGACCTATACGCATCGCCTCCGATGGCCGCACGCCTCGAGCACTTGATGGCCGCAGCCGATGCGCCCGACCAGGACCACTCACTCTTGGTGAGCGAGGCGGCGGCCCACCTCCTGCCTCCCAGCATGCCCCTGTACCAAATGTACACGGACCTACTCGGTTTGTACGAGTCCATCTCGATGAACGATCCGCTCTTTGCACGCGTACTGCTGCCCCCTCTGGCGATGGCCTACGAGGCAGACTACCGCCGCCTCTTGTGGCGCGAGTACGCCTTGATGCTGCCAGGTATCCAGGTCGCGATTGCCGACGTGCCGTGCGTGCGAGGCCAGCGTCTCGATGCATACTTGTGGCCCTGCGAGACGGACAAGGATGTGCTACTCGCTTATGCGCACGCCCTGGCACAGGGCCGCGTATCCCCATCGCAGCCCTTCCTGTATGCGGTCGCCGTGCATCACGTCAGTGCAGCGCTCTGGCACGACGAGGGGGGCTGGGGCAACGCAAACATACCGCCAGCAGTGCAGGCCTCGCTGGCGCGCACCGTGCTGTCGTCGCCGTGTAGCGACGCCCTCCTGGCCTATGCGCCCAATCACGCAGCCGATACGGCATTCCGACGTCGCCGGCACGCCGAGTGGTTCGCTTAGGACGGCCGCGCGTCGGACATGAGGGCACCCGCGTTCGCCGCCACATCCTCGACGCCGCCAATGCGCCGCGCCTCTTGCACCATCTTATCCGCATATAGCAGCTGCTCCAAACGACCTAGCTTCTTGCGATCGTGGCGAAGCGCATGCTTGAAGTCGTCAAGTTTCGCGCGCTGGCGGTACGTCTGCATTGCCGAGGCCTGACCACAAAGCGTGGCGCTCGATACAGGCTCACCTTGCGCTTCGCCGGCGCTCTGAGCCAGCTGCGACGAAGTGAGGCCGAGTGCATAGACGGACGGCTCCGCCCGTAGACACAAGTCCGTGAGGAAGTCCACCGTCATCTCCTCTAGAACGGCCACACTCTCTGGCAGTGGATTCGGTACATCTCCATAGGCATACATCAGCACACGCAGGTCCTTGTGGAACAGACCAGGCTGCTGGAACGGCCGGCGTCCACGTGTGGCGGGATCGCTGCGAACGGAGGAATCGGCACCCGCATCATTCATAGAGCGAGCACGATCGCCATCCAGATTGTACGGCATCGCTCGATAGCCTCCGTACGAACTCAGGGGGGTCAACGGTGGCATCGCGCCCCACAGCGTGTCGTGGACTGCCGCGCCGCGGACGCCGCCGTTTCGGTGCACCACGTGATCATAGCCCGTTTCCCTCTGTCCCCACTCATGTCGGCGCTCCCGGTCCATTCTCTTGCCGCGATCCGCCCCATTGGCCGGTTCGTGCACAAGATTCCAGGGCCGGTACCTCGTCTTCAGCAGCTATCGCGCCATTTCCCTGCGCCTATCCATACAAGTGCTGTGATCGCTATGCCCCCCGTCCGTGCGCCCGATTCTCATTACGATGTCCTCGTCATCGGCGGTGGCTCCGGTGGTATGGGTGCCAGTCGCCGCGCTGCCATGTACGGCAAAAAGGTCGCGGTGGTCGAGGAATCAGGCCGTCTCGGCGGTACCTGTGTGAATGTCGGTTGTGTCCCGAAGAAGCTCATGTGGCACGCCGCGGACCTGCAAGAGAAGCTGAAGGAGGCGCATGAATATGGCTTTACCGATGGAGGCTCCTCCTTCCAGGTGCCTACCGTCAACTGGCACTACCTAGCCGAGAAGCGCGACGCCTATGTGCGCCGCCTAAACGGTATCTATGACAACAACCTGAAAAAGGATAATGTGGCGTACATTTCCGGTCATGCCAAGCTCCTGGGCAATGGCCAGGTACATATCTCGCCTGGTGTCGACGGTGCACTCGAGAAGGACTTCACGCTCACGGCTGACCACATCGTCATTGCCACCGGTGGCCGCCCCACTGTGCCGAGCGACGATCAAATTCCTGGCGCCTCGCTGGGCATCGACTCGGACGGCTTCTTTGAACTTCGTGAACAACCGAAGCGGGTGGCCGTGGTTGGCGCCGGCTACATCGCTGTGGAGCTGGCTGGTGTGCTCTCGACACTCGGTTCTGAAACGCACCTCGTGATCCGCAACGAAAAGTTCCTCCGTAACTTTGACCCGATCATCTCCGACACGTTGATGGACTACATGGGTCAGACTGGCCTACAGGTACACACTCACTCCAACGTGAAGAAGGTCGAGGGAAAGCGTGGCAGTCCACTGCAGGTGCATCTCGATTCGGGCGCAACGCTGGAGGTCGACTGCCTACTCTGGGCGATTGGCCGCCATCCCAACGTCGAGAATCTCGGCCTGAAGGAGGCAGGCATCAAGACAGATGACAAGGGTCAGATTGTTGTCGACAAGTACCAGAACACGAACGTCAAGGGCATCTATGCCGTGGGTGATATCCAGGGTAAGGCCCTCCTGACTCCTGTGGCGATTGCCGCTGGACGTCGTCTGTCGAACCGCCTGTTTGGTGGCCCCAAGTTTGCCGACGACCATCTCGACTACACCAACATCCCCACGGCCATCTTCAGCCACCCGGCTGTGGGCACTGTGGGTCTGAGCGAACCGGAGGCTCGCAAGGCATATGGGGATCAGAAGATTACCATCTACCGCACGCGCTTCACGCCCATGTACTACGGTCTGCTAACCCACAAGGCGCCGACCGCCTACAAGATTGTGTGTGTCGGTGAGGAGGAGAAAGTGGTAGGCGTCCACATGGTTGGCATGGGCTCGGACGAATCTATCCAAACCGTCGGCATTGCTGTCAAGATGGGCGCTACCAAGAAGGACTTTGATAACACTGTTGCAGTTCACCCTACGAGCGCCGAAGAACTGGTGACGACGTACAATCCGGTAAAGGACTAGAGCTTGCTCGTTCGGTCAGGCACTAGTGACATAGCCTCACGTAAAAATTGCTCCACGGTCGACCAATACAGGTCGGGAAACTGACGGGCCATTTGGCAATGGGACGGCGTATCCCATATGAGCTGCCGCGTACGAATTTCGCTAAGGGGCGGCCACACTGGCGGCGATACGAGGCGCTCCGCGTCCAGCATACGCGAAGGCGGTTCACCATTCACGCGCTGCGCTTCCGCTGCATGCTCGGCCACCGACAAAGGAGAGATGTAGGCATCTGGCCGGGTATAAAGGTACAACCGTGGTGGCAACTTTTTTGATAAAGCTCCTTGCATTGACCAATGCCAAGTGCTTGGGATGTTTTGGTACCTCTTCGCTGTGTTAAGGTTGTCCATGGGGTGATAGGCGTAGCCAAACCACGCTGACCGCAGAAAGTACAGTCGCACTAGTCCCAGAGTCAGCCAATACTTCCATGACCCCGGCGGATATGTCATGGTAGCCGCATCGGACAAGATGGACTGCGACAATACACCAGGCACACAGTCAAAAATCGTGGCCATGGGTGTCGGCATCTCGGCATCGTGCAAGTGCTCCATCAAGGTGCTCAGCGAGATTAGACCCCCATTGGAAAAATAGTGTACAGCCATTTGAGGTCGGACCTGGACTCCCGGCACGGTCGCATCGCGCCCCGCCCGCAATAGTTCGTCCCTGATGAGCTCAGCCGTGGAGCGAGTCGCGGCCGGCGGGCTCAAAAAGGTGGACTTTAGTGTCGATAGCAGAATAAGGATCGTCGCGTTGGGAAACATACGCTTGTAGGGGGCGACATACTTGTGCAGATACTTGAGCTCGCCATTCATCCAACCGCAAAGTAACACGGCACAAGGCGCACGAGCCACCCTTGATACCGTCGATGCATGTGGGCGGTCTACGTACAAAATAGGAGAAAGCTGCTGTATCGTTCCGGACTTTAAGCGAATGGTTTTCATCCTGTAAGCGCGAATCGAGCTCAACAACGGGACTGGAACACCGTCGCGGCACGTTTGGCAACGCACGGGGCAGGCACGTGATTGTGGACTAGGCGTATGGAGAGTACCTGCGCTTGCTCGAGTCGATGCCGGTGAGGCGAGGGCGTCCTCCATGCGTTGTGCTAGGATCCGCAGATGCACGCACAGCTGCTTCAGGCGGCTCCGATTGCTGCAGTGACCAGGCCAGTATGCGGCCATCCTCACCACCCGTATAGAGCAGTTGTTTCATGTCGTCCCATAGTACGCAACGCACAATATCAGAATGGCCAAGTCTCTCTGGACTGGCACTGGGCAAACGAGCATGCAGCATCCATTCTAATGCAGGGACTCCATCTGCCTGCGCATAGGTCTCAGCACTAACCCAAGCCAAGCCACCCCTGAGGTCAGCACAATCGCTCTCACATACTCTTGATCACCGACATAGAGGCCCACAGCCGCGCGATTTCCTTGCATCTGGAAAGGAACCGTCACTGAAGTATCAACAACATAGTCAGTAACCCATGGAGGCCGGAAGCTCGTGGGTTTTCGAACTTCGATATCGTCCATCAGGCAATCAAACTAATGCATCAGCTCTGCTACATCGCGTACCTTGTCAGCGTCCCATAGACTCATGGTTTGCATGTGGCTTATGGCATAAACAGGACCAAGACCTGTTCGACTTGGGGCATTGGATAGTTCTAGCTCGTTTGCGTCCATACCCACGTCGGTAAGCTCCTCTGGCGCTTGAAACCGGTAAGAAAGAGGATGGCATGCCCATCCAACACGGGCTAGACTGGCGTTGGTGTTTCCCACAGAAATTACTGCATCCTCTTCCTTGTCCAACTGGGTATCAATGGCACACACAAGTCCATCCATGCCACCACTCAGAAGAATTCCCGGATGCTTCGCCATATCTCCGTGGAAGACTAGTGATGTGATGTCGTCAGAGTGCGCTTCCCCATAGTTACGAACAGGACAAGACGTATTCCTAGCGTCCCAAACGTCAATCCATGCATCACTCCCTTGAAGTTCCGTACCCGCGGCCATATACATGCCGGACGTCGCCAGCGACAAGTATGCTGCACCACTCGGTCCAACAAGCTTGGATGCTGGCGCATGGCTAGCCGTGCGTGCATCCCAGAGAGCCAAAAAGCCACTTCGAGATGCACCCACCCATGCTGTATTGATCTCTTCTAGATTGGCCAGAGAAGTGATGGCCTCCGATTCTGTCGAGCGAATAGTTCGAGCAGGCGCACGCCACTGCGTTTTGTCGAATACATGCAGCGTGCCGTCGTCACACAGAGCCACCAGATGCGAAGGAGAGGCCATGGGACTAAGAAGCTGCGTTATATACGGGACACGATCACCTGGACTCATATACCCGTCGACCGCTTTCGGTGGGCACACCACCTGCGGCGACACATGCAGCGCCATCGTTACCAATAGACGAGCCGAAGGAAATTTGGTGGTGTGGAGGTCCACACGGATCTTGTCGCCTGCCATCCAAGCATGATCAGTGCGTACCTAGATGCTTACAGTAGTTGTTGGACTTTCTGGTGGCATTGCCTCAGGCAAGTCGACTGTTTCTCGAATCCTTCAAGAAAACCAGATCCCACTCATTGACTTGGATGTTCTTGCCCGCGTTGTCGTCCAAAAAGGATCACCCACGCTGAACAAGCTCGTCAAGGAATTTGGGCCTACCATCTTGAATCAGGATAAATCATTGAACCGTGCAGAACTAGGTCGTTTGGCATTCTCTAGCAAAGATCGTACTCGTGCATTGAACAAAATTACCCACAGCGCCATCCGACGCGCGTTGGTATGGCGTCTCCTGCAACTCTGGTTCACTGGAACTAGACGTGTTGTAGTGGATACGCCACTGCTCATCGAGGCCGGCTTGTACAAGTGGTGTGCAGAAATCATTATTGTACGATGGTGCGTCATCTCTACTCACAAAAAGTGATGAGTCTCAGCAGCTGAAACGGATGCTCCTGCGTGATCAAGAGAAAGGCCTTACAGAGGCAGATGCCAAGAGCCGTCTTGCCGCACAGATGCCTCTGTCGAAAAAGGTATCTTACGCAGATGTGGTCATCGAGAATGGCGTCGATGCTAATGAGTCATCTCCGCCTCGTCTGCGCGCCCAAGTGGGCGCGCTTGTATCCCGCTGGCGCCATGAATCACGACGCACGTCTTTCATTGTGCTCTGGCTTCTTAGCTGGCTTGTACCACCTTTCGGACTGCTATATGGGTTGGTCGTTATATATCTCCGCACACGACGTCAAAAGCGACGCAATAACAGCAAACAGGCCTGAGCATTTATGACCCCGCGTTCTGACCGCCTTTGGGCGCACTGGGCGCCTTGGTACGCGTGGGGGGAATGGGCAGGGAGCCTGGGAATGGTACACGCAAATTCCAGTTGCGCTCCAGATGAAGTTGGATATCTTTGACTTCCAAGCGATCGCCCTTGCGATGTTTCGCCAATCGACAACCAAAGGACGTGACACTTTCGATAAATTCGTCCGCGATCTCAAGAAGGAGATCTTCCACGTCACCTTCCAGCTGCTCGCTCGGATCAATTTCGCTCACGAGCTCTTGCACTTTCCGCTTCGTTAATAGCCGGTTACTTCCCGCCGCTGCACCAGTAAGACCCAGTGTAGCAGAGGAGGAGCCTAATAATTCCGCCAGCTGGGATGATACAGTATCGCTGTCCAGGCTTGGATGAAGTCCTGCTTCTGTGGTTGTCCCATCTCCAAGGGACAGCAGCTCATCCCAATTCTGACCGGCACGTGGTGTGAAAACGTCCTTGCCCAGGCTGCCCGCCCGACCGACGGGATTCGGTCGTACCAGCACAGGCGGCGTATTCGTTACAGGCGACATGCCCAAGCCTTGCGTGAGTGTGGGACGGGGCCCTGACGCATTGGGGAACGCTTGTGGTGTGGACGTTTGTTGGGCCAGCATCGTGGCCAAGGAACTGTTGGGTGCAACGTTGCTCTGCCCGTTGTTCTGCAGTAGGTTGGATGTGGGTGTAATTGCAGCAATAGGTGTTCCTGTGGCCCATCCGTTCTGAGAGGCACTAGGGCGCATAGCAGCCATAGCCGTGTTGGGCGTGTCCGACGCATCTTTGCGCACATTCGCATCAGCCGCCTTGCTCCCAGACTGGGGCGTCGACGGAGCCATGGCACGAGATTCCTGTGCCTGAGGCGTAGAGTGAACAGGGCTTCCAGCCGATTGTTTTTGGCCACCAACGCTATTCGTCGCGTCCATGGCGTTAGATCCGGGCTGTGCTGGACCAGGCATCGTCGTACCTGCCTGAGGCTGAGAAGACAGCTGCTGTGACTGAACTTGAGGGACTGGCTGCTGCGCTGCAATTAGAGGGGACCCCTGCTGCGCAGCCATGTGAGCAGGCATCTGAGCCTGAGCCTGTTGGGCCTGGGCCTGAACCTGCGATTGAACTTGAGCTTTCTGCTGCTGCGATTGCTGCTGTTGAAGAATCAGTTGGAACTGCTGCTGGTCCTTTGCCCGCGCTTGCTCCCGGGCGACGGCCACTTGACGTGCCAGGCTGAGCTGCTTGCTTTTTAGTTCGTTGTACAAGTTTTGCTGCTGCTGCTTCTCCTGAGCAGAAATAGAAGGGTTGCGCAGAGAGGCTTCCAACTGAGAAATATTCACCATGAGGGGGGACATGACACGGTTGAAGTTTTCCATCAATGTAGCTTCATGGCGTGGTAATTGGGATTGGCCAACAACGCCCTGCATGGAGGCTGCCTTCGACTGATTCTGCTGCACAGCCGCTTGCTGAGCTTGCATCTGAGCCTGCTGCTGCAACATGTTTGCCGAGGACTGATTGATGCCGCCCGCTTCATTCCCATATATTGTCTGCACTGGACGTGCCACATTGACCTGCTGCTGCCTGTTAATAGCAAAAATACAAACCTGAACAGCATTTTGCCTCTGTTGCTGTGCGAGCATGGTACGAATCTAGATGAGTGAGAATAGTGGTGCTTACCTGCTGGAGTTGCTCCTCGCTTACCCGGCCTTGCCGTGCCGCGTTGACAATAGCCATGAATTCTGGATTGTTAGCGAGCGCTGGCTGGAGACCTTGAAGCGAGTTCATTTGAGCACCAGGGTTTCCTTGTTGGGGACGACCCTGGAGATTCACATGCGTCGCATTCGGCGGCATGCCACCGTTGCCTCCGGGGGCGTTCGACCCCATAATGGTGAATCGGTGCAGCGCGACGCAGCGACCGTCTACAACGTAACTCACGTGACTGGCGCGAGACGTGTGGAGAAACACACTGCTGCACCAAGGAGCAGTGGCTGGTGCGCTCGTCAGGGCGCACATGATACCCACGCCGGATACGTCGCATCTGCGAAAGCCAGAGTATCGAGATAGTGTGTATGACCCTGCAGAAGATACATTTTCTTTGGTGGATGCACTTGAAGAAGACGCCACTGACCTACGAGCGTCTCCGCCACGTCTGTGTGTTGAAATAGGGTAGGTCACGCCAATGGCTGACACAGCTCGGGGAGTGGCTGCGTCTCGGCCTTTGCTGGAAAGATCCTTTCAAGTAACTCTAGTACGTTTCCTAGTCGTAACAACTTTGTACAGCCTATGTGTGCACAGATATCAACACGGCGGCCGCAAATTGCACACGAGAAACAGGCCACCGTAACGATGTACGTATCCCCGTCCAACTTTTCAGACATGTCTTGAGCCAGTTGTGACTTCTACCTTGGAGGCACTTTTGCCCCGCATCGAAGGCATGGTAGACCTACTCCTATTCAACCCCCCCTACGTCGTCACATCGGACGATGAAGAGCGTCTTGAGCAGAGCAGTGCCGGTCTTGGTGGCGCATTGGCTGGTGGCGTGCATGGTACGCACCTGATTAATACTATGATTCACAATGGCATCATTGAGCGTGTCCTTTCTCCAGGAGGGCGCTTTTACTTGGTGGCAATTCGTGCGAATAATCCACCGGCTCTAATAGCCGCTCTACAAGCGCGGGGCTTGCATGCTGAAGTACGTACACCGCTCTGACACTAGATTGTGCTGCAACGCCGGGCCCATCGTGAACACCTCTCCATTCTTCGAGCGATCCGACCTAATTTACAAGTCCCATAGCTTAGCGCAGTCGTCGACGGGCATGGCACGGCGACTTTCGTCCAAAGGTGTGTCACCCGCCGGCGACGCCTCGCAAGGGAACGCATATAAGCGCAGACGCTTCCGGGTCTCGCGCCGAACTGCCGTCTCCATGTTACCCGATTTGTCTGCTAGCAAAGCAGGTACTGATAGTGTGATATCGAGAGGAGCAACAGGGGGTGGTGCCACCGGCTTCTTCGCACGCTCACGCCGCTGTAGTGTCTTTTTGGTTTCAGTCTCGAACATAGTTGAGTACGTCGAGTCGAGAAAGTCTTCCAGCATGTACTGCTGCTGAGTGAAAGGCTCAGCAAGAACTGATGCAAACGTTGATACAGAGCCCAAGTAGTGTGTGTCACCGCCGCTGGCCACTGTGGCACCCTGCTGGCTCGATTGGCTTAGCCGATATGCGCCAAACGAAGCAAGTTCCCATAGTGAGCTCTCCAAGGCACCCGTATGCAGCGGGTTCGTCTCATGGGCATTAAAACCGTCCTGCACACCACTGGGGCCCAACGCTAGGTGGTCACCATCCCACTCTCGGTGAATCATCTGCATACACCCAGGGTGCCGTTTGAGCAGGTTCCAGACAAAAGGCACAATTTCCACAATCGCCGCCGGGGTAGCCCGGAGGGAGAGACGACTTGCGCGCTTGATGAAGGAGGCGACGATAGCCACGGGCAAGTGTGTGGAGCCAAGGAATGTGTCAAGCATACGCATAAAGCGGCTGCGGTAACGCGTGTGCATCACCGACGCATCCAATAGCGCATATAGTCGGGTGTAGAAGGCGGGATAGTCCAGATTGTGATACACGATGAGCGTAAAAAGCCCATTGAGCGCCAACAGCGCAGTCGTGCCTTTTGAATCGAGGCAATCGACCAAGAAGTCGTGCAGCATGGTGGGCTTGGTCAGGTGCGGAAGAATCTGAGAGTGCAGCCGTACAAGGATATCGTGCGTCTCAGCCAAACTCAAGACGCCACCCAATGTGCCTGTCTCGCCTTGGCTATTGGTTTGGTATGCAGGTAAGAGGAGGCTAAGCCATGCGGCCGAAAAAGCTTGCTGCTGAGACCCGAGAGAATGGAGGGCGTTGAGGAGTCCGCTGTGTCGAGATCTAGTGCGACCTCGCTTGCGGGCATCAGTAGTCGGATTTTCTTTAGGGTCCTCGTCGTCTGATTCCCAAGGAGCGGCTGGGATCTCACCATCATCGCTGTCGCCATCTTCCGACAAGACTGGCTTGGCCTGGCCCTTTTGTTTCTTCCTCTTGGCAGGCCCCTTGGAGAGGTGCGGCACCAGAAAGTTGTTCAGATGCGAGGGTTCAGTGGGAATCGCTGTGATGCGGCACAGCCATAAGCGTGTATGTGAACGAACACTGGCATTCTTGGTGGACAGATCTGTGATACCACGGAGGCACCGGCTTACTTCCTTGCAAAAGAAAAAGCGCACGTCGTCGTACGTCTCGAGATAGCCCTCAGCGAAAGCATCCATCAAATCTTCATGGACGTCACGCCAGAGCAAGTTGCGCACGAGAGCACGAAAAGGCGTGGAAGACCAGCGACCAGTGGGCGCGTCGGCACATCGGTGCTGGGATTCGGACGCCGCCACTTGAAGCGACATGCACACTTCCAACGCCACCATTCGCACTGACGAAGCATCTGAAAACAAAAGATCTTCTGTGAGAAGTGCCACAAATGCATTCCACTGCTGCTTGAGCCAACGAGACACCTGAGAAGCGGCGTCCGTCGCCTCACCAACGACGACGCGGCCATGCTCGTCAATTGGCTCCAGTTGCAGGGCATTTTTGTCGCAAAGAGCGACAAAGCTCTGGCTCACAACTCGCACAGCAAGCGCCACGGCCTTGATGAGTGCACGCTCGTCCTCGGCGCCTGGCAACTGCGCATGCAGGGCCCGAGCGTCTTCGAGCAGCTCGGCCATGGGGTTCAAATCCGTGGACGAGGCAAGGCGCGCCTGCTTCTCCTTCACGCTCTCCAATGCAGACTTACCAGCCTGCCTCGCGGAGGAAGCTGGATGCGTGGCCATACCGGGCCGGCTCTGTGAGCTGCGAGCCATGCTGCGTAGTGGAAGGCTAGAAAAAAATGCACCACGTGGGCGACCTGTGCGCTTTCTCATGCATGTCGGCAAGGCATGGGCTGCTATCGCGGTGATCCAAAGCTTATGTTCTGCTACTCTAGCTGCACATCTTTCGCATGAAGGGCTCTATGTGAATCTGCCACATCAGTTTCCGCTGCTCCTATACGTCGATCGCACGCAAGAAGTGCTGGAGGAGGCTACGATCACGGTCACATCGACAATGCAGCGCACGCTCCCAGAGGTGCAAGCGTGTAGTTGGCATGGTCACAGCAGTATAGAAGCCTGTGAGCAGCAAGACCTGCATCTCGAATGGACTAATACATCATACACTGTGTCTGACAAGGAGGTTCACCCCGATGGCGGTATTGTCGTGCCTAGCGACCCGCTCGAGATCCTGCGCCATTCCAGCGCATCGACGGTCTTGCGCTCCGTCGTTATTGAATGGAGTGCTAGGAATTTATCTGGTAAGTTGCACCACCAGCGCTGGTGGGTGGGGCATGTGTCTATGCCGGAGGAGCAGCGAGCCAGGTGGCCTGTGGGCCCCGGCGAATATGTGACACGCGGGGGTGTGCCCAACAGGGCACCCGTGAAGCCATGGGATGGCCGCGACATGCCACGAATCAGTGGTGGTACGTATTCGCGACTAAGACAGTCATGTCCGACCCGTTCATGACCATCCTGTCATCGACGGATGCGCCACACAATGCGACATGGTACGAGCCGCGACGCTGATGCAGGTCACGAGGGCTGTCCGTCCGGTTGCGGACGTATGGGGAGCCGGTACCTATTCGGGCCCCGGTCCAAGGAAAGATTGTCTGGAGCGACCTATTTCGGCGAGCTATGCCTCCTTGGGAAGGGCCTGAAGCCGGCGTGAATGATGAATTTGTGTATGCTATCCAGCTGCAGGATGTGTGGGGGTTTGTTCACCAGCTGCTAGGGTTCGATGAGCAGGCCGTCCTTGTGCAAGTCGGCATGTTTGTGCAGCCTGGCCATATCCTGGGATACGCGCCCGTTGAGCCTGTGAGGAGCCTGCCTCCCAGCACGCAGCCTCCCGCGGACCCGCCTCAGCGATACAAGGAAGAGGGCTTTGAGCCGTTCCCATTTCGATTCCGCAAGCTTGAAATTCGCGTGGCACGCCCACCCTTTGCCTGGCGTGGCACCCTGCATGGTCCGAATGCAGACGGATGGATGTACTTGCACCCACAGCTCGTATACCATCCGGGACGAGGACGCCCCTCGCAGATGGCTCCGCTGTATCAACCGAATCCGATGAAATACGCCCATGTGGACAAGATCAAGCCAACCTCCCTTGTTATGTATCCGATGACATTGGCGCCACCGCTGCCCACAGATGTTGAGCTGTTTGTTAGCTTCTCTACATTTATGGAGTCGCCAGGAGATTTGGACGATGCTATGGACCCTATCACGCTATATTCACTAGAGTGGGCCATCGTACCGGATGAAAATGCGACTCAATCTCTTTGTACAGACTCGCGTGTGTACTGGCGCCGCTCCTTTGAACACAGCAAACTCGAGCGCCGCGCTGGACGCCTGGACGACCCTGACTTTTTGTTTGCGCACTATGTGCCACGCTTCCGTTTGGGTGGCCTGATGGGCAGCAGTATTCCCGTGGATCGACGCTCACAGTTTGACGAGAAGGTGCGAAGCATTGTTTATGCTGTAACTCGGACGCGGCTGGGCGTGCCTACGATACAAGGCTCATGGAATACTTCGCAAGAGGGTGGGTCAGGTATCTACCGCCTAGCGGTGCGCGCGCGCGGCGTGACGGGGAACGCAACCTGTCTGGAAGACATGGTCTACCTCGAGAATGTTGCGACTTGGCGGGGCTCCTTGATACAGACCATGACACGCTTCCTGCTGCACCCGCCTGTTTCAATGCCGCTGCCAATTGCGTTCTTCCCCATCTTAGAGAGTTTTATGCGGTGGCTCGGCACGCTCCGTGACCTACTTCAACATCCATAATACCCCGATTGGTTTTCTATCACCTCTACAAGTACGAGCGCATGGAGTAAAGCAGCACACGGCCGCGGGTATTGCCGATCGCGAGGTACTCGCTGTGGGCCGAGAAGCCCAGGGAAGACACGTGGCCCAAGGGCGTTCCTGCGGTGGGCCAATTGGCGTACGTCTGCAGCGACGCAGTATGAACGACACGCAAGGCGTCCTTCTTGTGGCGGCTCGCCATGGCCAGGAGCTGCGCATCATGGCTAAAGTGCAGGGACGTCGTGGCAGTGGTAAGGTTGCCCAGAGACTTGCGCGCTTGGAGACTGACGTCGTCCGTGACGGCAGCTGTCGCTGGTGTGGACAGCAGGTCGTCAAGCAAGTCGCTGGAGGTTGCTTTGTCGTCGGCGCCGCCGTATACGTTCAGGATACCACTGCTAGAGCCAATAGCCCACATGGAGGGGACAGCGCTCAGGGGCGGCGTGACCTCCAGCCCCTTGGCGCCAAATAGACCCGTATCGAACGCTGTCACAGGGCAGGAGCGGCTGCGCACGTCCCAGACATGCACACGGCCCTCTGTTGACAGCGTCAGCAGCCGGTGTTCGCTATCCTGCCCTGGTGTAGCCGCCCAAGCCATACCCGCGAGTGGTGCATTCATGCGCAGCTCGCCAATGCGCTGACCGCCCATCTGACCAGCGGCGCCTGCGCCCCAGTCGAGCAGATGGATCTGGCCGCGCCTACCACCCACAGCAACAAGACGCGAGGCACCGCCGGGCTGGAAGCGAACAAAGCTGAGGTCACGCTCCGCACCCGCATCAGCTTCCGTGCCTGCCGCACTCGACACAATGCGCCCTGCACCGCGCCAGGGACTCGAGCACAGCGTCTTACCTGACCGAATATCATAAGCGTACAGGTACGGCCGCGGGCCCGCAATGAGCACGGACGAGCCGGACGGGTGAAATTGGGCTGTCTTGATCGGAAGGTCCGGCACATGCAGTGTCTCTAGCAGGGGATTGTTCGTGCCATTGATCTGGAATAGACGCACGCGGCGGTCGCGCGAGGCAGTGAGCAGCACATGCGCTCGTCCGCTGGGATGGAACTGCAGCTGCTCAATTGCCGCCGGCTCTGCGAGGCGTCCCTGGGCCTCATTGGCGTCGCGCAAACGCTCCACCTCCAGCTTGGCTGGTGAGAGCAGAGAAGAGCGCTGATGCCGGCTCAAGAGGCCAGCGTCGCTGCTCAGCAAATCCTGAAGGAGAGGTGCGCTCCACGCAGAGTCGCTGCTGCGCTGGCCCACGGAAGCCCACGCAGGACGGGGATGCATGCGCTCAAATCTAGTGTGAGCGCAACATACATACTGTCGCCGTAGGCGCCGCTGGTACTCGACACCCGAAACTGTCGTCTCATTGGGATCGGTGCGTAGCTTACGCAGACGCTTTGTGCCACGCACCGAGCCATCCGGGGCACGGGCAGCAGCGCCAGCTAGCGCCACCGTAATTCGCTCGTCGTCTTCGTCATGCCACAGGGCAGGCCGCTCCGTCGGTGCCGACTGGGTGCCGTCGTCCTGGGCCTCTTGAGTGTCGAGCGTGAACAGCTATTGGTCAGCCAGGGAATCGTACCATGCTGTCATCAAGGCCCTGGATATGGGAATCAGGCGCCTCAGATTCATAGGCCTCCTTTGTGCCGAAAAGCCTGTTAGTGAGCTCATGCTCGCGTGCAGCTGCACGCTCGCGTTGCGTCGACATGCCGGAGCCCAGCTGGCCGAGCGGCGCAGCGGCGCGAAAAAAAGCCGACTCACGTGACACAATCCACGAGAGGCTTCCTGACCCCAGCCACCATGGCGTCGTCAGCAGACGTGGTCGCCGCGGACGAGGCCAAGTGCCCTGTGCCGCATGCGAAGAACACGCCGTTGCCTCCGGGACACCCCAAGGTGGAATCTGTGCCTACCTCGAAGCTGCGCCCGCCAGAGGGCGAGCACTGTATTTTCTTCCGCACGCGCGAAGATACGCCGTCGTCGTCGATGCACGAGTCCACACCAACGACTGAGTCTACGGTGCCTACGCCGCCCTTGTCCCCATCGGAACTGGAGCACTCCCTTGTGCTCTCCTCGCGGAAAAGTGCGCTGGCCGTATGCCAGGCAACACAGGTGCAGCTCATGCTCGAGGCGCGCTACGGTGCGGCATCGCCAGCGATGGCGCCAGACGCCGATCCGACGACGGATCCCGACGTTGCACAGATTCATGCACTGCTTCGGAGGCACCAGCCGGGGACTGAGCCGCTCCGCTGTATCGAGTTTCCTGTGCGGACCATGTCGACGCAGGGCGACAACAATTTGCGCGCGCCGCTATACGTGATTGGCGGCGAGGGCCGCGCGATCTGGACGAAGGAGCTGGAGGTTGCACTCGCCGCCGGCTCGGTGGATGCGATCGTGCACAGCCTGAAGGATGTACCGACGACGCTGCCCGATGGTCTGGAGCTGGCAGCGATTCTAGAGCGCGAGGACCCGCGAGACGCACTGGTCGTCAAGGCAGATCTGCCGTACAAGTCGCTCAAGGAGATGCCGCGTGGCTCCGTCATTGGGACATCCTCGGTGCGCCGCGTCGCACTGCTGCGCCGGGCGTACCCCCACCTTATGTTCAGCGATGTCCGTGGTAATATCCAAACGCGTCTGGCCAAGCTCGATGCCGACGACAGTCCCTACACTGCGCTCGTGTTGGCAGCAGCCGGGCTTAAGCGCATGGATTTGGAAGATCGAATCACCGCGTACGTCACGGCGCCTGTGATGCTGCATGCAGTGGGGCAGGGCTCCCTTGGCATTGAGGTGCGCACGCCACGCGGTCCCTTGGCGCAGCGCGACGAGCGCATGCGGGCGTTGATCCAGAGCATTTCGTGCTGGCGCTCTACGTGGCGGTGTGCGGCTGAGCGCGCGCTGATGCACCGCATGGAGGGCGGTTGCTCCATCCCCCTCGGCGTCGCGACCGAGTTTGAGGACCACCGTGATGTGGAGGGCCAGTGCAACGAGCGGCTCGAGACGCCCTCGGAGCTGGCGTCGACGGGAGTGCCGACGCCCCGGATGGCGACGCGTGCACCAAGGCAGCCGCCGCCTGATGGTATATACCTGACGATGAGCGCGATCATCGTTTCACTAGATGGCTCGCAGTCGTGCGAGCACACAGAAAAGCGTCTCTGCCGGACGGTCAAAGATGCCGAGCAGCTCGGCACGGACGTCGCGGACCATCTCGAGCACCACCACAATGCGCGTGCGATCCTGGAGGAAGTGGAGCACCACCGACGCCTGGCGGAGGTCGCGGACCAGAAACGCCGTGAGGGCCGGCTCCCTGGTGCCGCTGAGGTCGACCGCCGCTTTTTGCCACGCGACGACGGACAGCCCAAGGTATGGGAGGTATAGGCAACTGTTGCTACAAATAGGGAGCCCATCCCACGTACATCTGCGAGAGATTGTACGAGCTGGTAGCATCGCATATGAGCATGTGCACCAAGTTCTTCGTGGTGTGCCGCTCGGTGTCTGATAGGCCAGGACGCCGCAGGCGCCCGTCGAGCTTGTCGGACACGCCTTGTAGGGCTTTGCGTGCGCCAGCGCCGCCGCCCGTACTCGCGCTCTTGTCACCGCCATGTCGCTGGCGCGCGCGGCGCTCAGTCGCGACCCACTCGCCGAGAGGATCATGCACCATGGCCTGCAGCACGCTCATGAGTGACTCTTTGTTGTCGCGTAGAATGCCCAAAGCAATCTCTGCCGTACGTCGGAACGCGCCCTCGACGCCAGCAACACCCAGCGCATCGACCATATTGTGCGTGAGGCGGAACGGCACACGCTCGGGAATCTCGAAGGTCGTGCCTTTCTCAAACAGGCAGTTCAGGTCCACATGCACCGTGTCGCCGGACCCGGCATCAAAGAGGATATTGTCGCCGTGGCGGTCACCCAGCCCAAGCACAAAGCCCACCATGGACATGACAGCAGCGGTCCGTGCGTACGCTGAGCGCGCCTTGAACCAGGCGCTCGGCTCGGGGAACGTTTCGAGGAACCACGCATGGAACACGGGGGGGTAGCGAGACAGAATCTGCGTGTCAAAGAGCGCGGCCGCATTCTTCGGCGCAGCGCGTGCCTCATCGAGCAGTGTGCGTAGATCTTGCGTGTACAGGGGCTTGTCAAGCGCCGCATAGTGCTTGGCTAGGATCTGGCGGTACGCCACGGTGTTCGGCACCCATTCGATCAGACCGCATTCTTCGTTCAAAATGATGACCGCATAGGTGCGGATATATAGGCGGCGGCGACGTGACTCGGAGCTGCTCTGGAGCAGCTTGTTGATCATGGCATCAAACTCCATCAGCCGTGCATCCTTGCGCAGATCGTCGCGTGGCTTGCACAGGAACGGGTACCGAGCGCCGTCGGAGGCATGAACGACAATTTTGCGCGGCTTTTGCAGTGAATGCATTATGTCGATCGTGTCGTCAAAGCCCTGGATCATGGGCAGGTTTGGTGGGAACGGCCGGTGCGTCTGACTCGCCTGGCCATTGGGAGGGAGCAGAACTGTCATCGACGACTGCAGCGGTAGGACCAGGGGCGTCTTCTGGACAGCCGCCAGCAGCGCAGGAAAGTGCTTGCTCATGCTGAGTGTCGCTTCCTTGTGCACATGATAGTCGCACAGATGCAGTAGCTCCATCGATACACGCTCCGCAGCCTCGATAATCGGCACGACCTCGCGCATTGCACGCTCCGGTGAGGAGGCAATGCGCTCCACGATGCATTCGTATCGCTGCTTGCGCCGCTTGTCCTTGGAGTGCGAGCCGGCAATCAGGGCCCACACGCCCTGCTGAGGGTAAGCCGCAACAACCGCGACAATAATCTCCAACAGCACGTGCCACACTGCCTCGTTCTTGTGCACGATGCGCGCAACAAGCTGTGGCATCACGGCAAACCATTGGTACCGAGCGAGGTGCCGCACCGACTTGAGCATCATATCGTTGATCTTGTCAAACTGCTGCGAGGCCTGCCGCGCCTCTTCCTCTGTTCGAGCCTCCGACTCAGCAAGCTCATTACCTGCATCTAGCCAAATGGTCAGCATTCGCGGCAGTGTGCGGTACAAAAACTTGGTCCCATGCTGCGCACTCTTCATGTAGAAGCGACAAACACTCAGTTGCAGTAGCATCTGGTTTCCCACGGGGCCGCCACTAGGCGTGTCGTAAAAATGCCCGAGATAGTACCAAATTTTTTCGGACAGGGGGTCCAGACTTGTGCATGTTTTGTAGTGCTGTACAATGTCGTTCTGCTGGAACCGCGCCGTATCTTCGACGAGGCGCGCTCGCAATAGATGCGCATGCGCCAGTGCGTGATTGTCGCCGTCCGTAGGAGGCTGATGGCGCAGCGCGTGGTTCAGCGTCTGCAGCGCACCTTGTACTTGGTCCGTGTGAGCCAACAGCTTGGCCTTTTGCACAAACGCATAGGGAGCACCACACTGCATCGCCTGCAAGATGGCGCTGTACGCTGTCTGTGTATGCGACGCCTTGCGTGCTGTCTTGGCACTCAGGATCCAGCACGCCCCCAGCGCCGTCGCTGGTGCTCGGCACGCCTGGAGCGCCGAGCGTCGCAGACTCAACACCGGCTCACGCGTACGGAATGATGGAAGCGTCGCATTGAAGCGTGCGGCAAGACTTGCATCTAATGCGGCCTCGTTGCCCCGCGCCTGGAATATGAGCTCCAGTTCACATAGCATGTGTAACTGCGTGACAGTGTCGTATGCTTGCGCATACGACACACGCATCGGGCCCGTGAGCCGCCGGCCCAGCTGCTGGCGCGCATCATGGACGGCCAGCGAGAAGGCAAGCTCATCCGCCTCGCGAATAGCTAGTAGTGCACGCGCCATGCCCAGCTCGGGGACCGCATGTGCCTGCTGCACGAGGCGCCGCACGGCATCCCAGTCAGCAAGGATGCAGGCGCCCTCAATCTGGAACGGCGCGAGCTGTGGCTGCCATGCTTCGTGCATGGCCAGCACGCCACGAATGTGTGTGCGCATCGTGTCGTAGTGGCCCAGATTGCGAAGGCAGCGAAGGAGCCCCATATGGAGCCGCACGTCGTCGGGACGCCGCTGCAGCTCGACTTCCCAGCAGCTCTGTGCGTCGGTCCAACGCCCTGTGCTTTCATGCTCGCGGATCTGGTGTTCGAGCGACGGCTCCAGCACGCACGTCGAGATACCCTCCATGCCGTCAGGATCGTCCAGTGATGCGTAAATCTCATGCATCGTTTCGTAGTACGGCTGTAGTTCCTCCGGCCGCTGTGTGCGTGCCGCAGCCCGTATGCGGTACTCAAAGTGCAGCAGTGCACGCGCATAGGCATCGCATTGGAGCGACGCCTGTGCGAGCAGGTCGGGAGATAGCTCATCCATGAGTGCCTGTACATCCACAAGCGCATCGCGCAACCGACTGCGCTTGACCGCGCGCGGCGGCACGAGACGCATGCGCCGCATCCAGTGGCCAATGTGGTCCAGCACGACGAAGAGCGTCTGTGCTGTCATGCGGCGGCGCTCCGGCTCGTAGCCAAGCGCTGGCTGTGCTTGGTCGGCCAACACAGCGCGCAGCTCCTCCAGGATCATGCGGCGCTGTTCCGCCGAGCCATTGATCAGCACGTGCAGAACCAGGTGCGGCAGTAGTGCCTGAGCGATGCCCACGTCATGATCACGCACCACCGATTCGAAGAGACTGAAAAGCGCCGCTGCATCGCCAGGCCGCGCGGCGCGGATAAGCAAGAGGACCCACGCCTGGATCCAGTCGCGATACGACGTCGAGTGCACATAAAGCGGCATGCTCCGCGCGCGCGGCTCAGGGCTCTGTACCACATACCGCGAGTTGAGGAGTGGCAAGAGAGTGGGTAGGATGCCCTCAGGCAGTGCGGCCCAGCGCCGACGCAGCTTGTCAGGCACAATGTGGGGAGCCGATGCATCGAGAAGCGCAGGCGTAAACTGACAAAACTTGAGCAGCTCCTGGATCGCGTAGGCCAGGCCTGCCTGATGCTTGGTATCGTGTGTGGCGCGAAATGCAGGCACGACAAGGTCGACGAGCAGGCGCTGCGCGAGTGCTATACTCTCGTCACTCTGCTCAAAGTCGTGGAGCAGGACAAATATGGGCTCGTCTGGTGGCATATCCAAGCGATCAGGATCAACGGCGCCGAGGGCGCCGAGGCATTCGAGGCACAGTGTCGCCACATCGGCGCTCAGCTCCATCCGCGTCGCAACTGCCATAAGTACTCGCACGCAGCGCCCGACCAGTGGGTGGAACACGTTACCCGTCGTCCAGCCACTGATGCACGCGCGCCGCTCGTGTAGAAATGCACGAAGTTCATGCAAAGACTGCACACAGATAGCTGTACGGTCGTTCGACACACGCTCGAGAATGTGCTGAAAGCATGCCTCGTCATCCCACACGCGCCGCGTCGCGCGAATCCGCTGCGCCACGTCGGGAACGTCGTCGGCAATCGCATCCAGACTCGGGACATCATCGAGGAAGCTCAGGTCTGTGGTCCTCTCCATCACAGCAGACCGTAGCACGCGCGCGGCGACCTGGCGCTCGGTGTAGTCCAATCGCGGCCATGCAGCGAGTAATGCGGCCGTCGTGGGACCGATAATGGCACCAAGATCGGGACCGCGCAGCTCCTGCACAACGCAGAGCCAGCTCTCAAGCGTCGGCAGTGCCAAGTCGGACTGCTGCAGCGTACTTGTCAGGCTCGCAAGTACCTGAGGCACTACGCGCGCAGCTACCGCGCCGATCTGCTGCACAAGCGCACCAATACTGCGCACAGACATGGCCCGGCGGCCGGGGCGCAGCTTGCCGTGGACACCGCTGAGGTCGTCGTTCACCCATGTGAGGATGGCGAGTACTTCCTCCTGTAGAAAGGCGGTCAAGTCCATACCGCGCCACTTGCCGCTCGTTGCTACCGTGGTGCGCACAAATTCGAGGCCTTCGAGCGCTTGTGCACGACACTCGTCCGACCCGAGATGCACGACGAGCCAGCCGAGCACATCATGCAGGCGGCTGCGCAACAGACTAGCAACTGTGACGCTGCGGGTGCCGAGCAGAGTAAGTAGGCTCTGCAAGCTCGCATCGCGTACAGCCGCAGGCTGCAAAAAGATGTGGTGGAACAGGTCAGACACATGGGAGAGACACATAGTAGGCACAGACTGGCTCGTTGCTTGGGCCATGGCCTCCATGGCGGTGCCTGCCTCTGGCTTCCCCAGGGCGTGCTGTACAAGGAGTAGCGGAAGGGTCGAGCTAAGCGTCGTTTGTAGGAACGTCGTGGCGTGCATACCCACGAGCCGTGCGAGTTCGCCTAGAGCAGGTACAGGTGCGCAGGGAGCATCGAGCGCAGCCTCGCACACCAGGTCCAGGTGCTGTGAGAGCAGTTGGAATGCAGTACACCTGCGGTACACTGCTAGCTGGACAAATTCTGTAGTGACGAGGGCACGGAGAAAGACGTGTGGCGTGTAAAGGACATGGACGAGTGCTGCCATCACGGGAACGAAACACACGTCATCGTGAATGCGTCCCAGACGCGCAATACTTAGCACGGCCGTCTCTTGGATCTTGTGGTCAGAGCTCCTCGCTGCTTCTGTTGCAAGACGCACGAGCCGCTCGATTGTGGCAGCCCAGGTCGCCGGACGCTGGTCGCGAGGCAGGGCAGCGAGACGTGCAACGGCAGAGGGCAAAACGCGGCCGGCGAGCACGCGTACGCCACGTCGAATATGTGTGAGTGTCTGACCAAGCAGAACATGAACACTGTCCCAGTCCCATCCCGCGAGATCCGCCTCGGACAGCTGCGCGAGCCACACCTGCAGGGTTCGCAACGTCTCGCGTGCGCGAAGAGGGTCGGAGAGTGACGCACCCTGCACTAGCGCACAAACGTCGGAGGGCGTCGGTGCCGGTGCCGGCGTGACGGGTGGCTCCTCTGCTTCACTACCGTTCAGCCCTTGATGCGCACGAACGAGTGAGGTGCGAGGCCGTTTCGCGGGCGGCCCGGCGCTGACGCGCAACGAGGGGCTCGCGCTGCGACTCAGGGGGGCATCCTTCGCCCATCGCGCAGCTTCAGCGGTAATTCTCCGGTCGTCCAGCTCCAGAAGTGAGTCCCACTGCTGCGCGGTGGGCCCTTGCTGCTCCAGCAAGGTCAGTGCGATACAGAGCTGGGCCACATGGATCTGCCGCTCCACGCCCGTCGTCTGCAGGGCATGCTGAATCCACGTGTCAAGCACGGCACGAGGGTCGTCCAAAAGTCCATGAGCTTCCGGTGGTAGTGTCGGTGTGCGGCGAGCCACCAGGGCATCGTACAGGTGGTCCAGCACCATGGCGAGGGCATGCATGGCCACATTGTCTGTTTCTGGCCAGAGCTCCCATGCCAGCACCATACGGGCCACATGGAAAAGTGTAGGGGATTGGCAAACCACCGGGACAGCAGCGACAAGGGCCTCGAGCAGGAGCCGAGATGGTGTGGATGATGGATCGTCGATGACGAGAAGTACGCGCACGGCTTGCTCAACGACGTCTTGCAGGGCCATGGGAAACACGGACGCAAGTTCCGATGCAATTCGCGTACATAGAGACAAGAGGGATTGTGCCGCCCAGGCGCTCTGAGGTGCACGGATGGGCAAGGAAAGTGTGGCTGTATCGCTCGAGGTCCATGCATAGGGCGGCGTGTTGGGGGCACGTGCAGGCAGTGGTGCATCGGTGAGCGGAGCCAGCGCAAAAGGTGCAGGCACCGTGTCCATACTGCACAGGACCCACGCGTCCATAGGCGCTTGGTCCTTGAGAGCAGGTGGGATTGCCAAGGTACGTTCGTGTTCGCGAGGCCACGCACCTAGGCTCACCAGTGTGCGCACGCCTGAGCGAAGGGTATCATAGAGAAGAAACCGTACATGAGAAGTCTGCCGCGTAGCGGACAAGCATAGGTGAAGCACTGTGCCGACCAGGCGCATAGTGGCGGCGATCGTATCCTGCGCGGTGTCAAGGACAGCCGCCGAAGGGCGAGCACCTGTCTCTTCCGCCCAAAGCATATGCGCATGCATCACAGCGAGTGCAGCAACTAGACGAGGGACCATGTACGTGTCCAAGGTCGTATAGTCCATGGCATATGCGCCAGGAGGCACGGGCACCAGCATGCATTCCAGAGCGCGAGGAGTCGCAGTGAGCCATTCGCAGAGCGCGTCAAGTACATCAATAGGATTTGGAGTCGCATGGAGTGCTTCCTCCAGCGCGTCCCACGTCGTTGCCCTGGCAATCGGCACGATCTGGCAGTGCACGAGCTGTCGTGCTACAGCATGCAGGGCATAGTCGCGCTCGTCGGCGGATAAATCGCCAAAGAGCTGGTGTCAGAGATATGTACTTACACCTGATTCCGTGACCCAGGAAGGCCACACAGGGGTATCCGCGGCGGGCATCCGCCGTGCGCGCTAACAGGCCGTGACGAGCGCCAGCGGCGCGATGAGTGGAGGGGCAAAAAAGGAGCGCGTCAAGCAGCGGGGAAGGCCGTGATGGGGGAACGACTCGCAAACTCTAAAAGCACTCTATGGCGTGTGACGGAACTTGTAGCCCTTCTGCGTTGCTGGCTGGTGTTTACCGGGCTCGACTAGAGCAGCATAGTCAGGGTCGCTCTCGATCAGGTCAAAGTGCTTGAGCTGATACGTCGTGCCCTCGGCCTCGCGTTGCTTGCGCAACGCCCGCTGTTCGTTCTCGATACGCGACTTGTCCTTGGATGCCATGTCATAGTTGCTCGAGCGGATGCCATCAGCGACAGTCTTCCACAGGCGGCGGCTCTCGTACTCGCCCATCTCTTCGAGCGGCTTGACGGTGATTTCCTGTCGGGGATGCGCATCCGCATTCCAAAATACGGAGCCAGGGGCCTCGAGAGTGCTCTTAGTGATAGTGCTCTCTCCTGCCCAAATACCAGAGGCTTCGAAGAAGGGCTGCGAGGGCGCCGACGACTTCGAAATTGAGGTTTGGAACGAGTGCGCCTTGCCGGTGAAGTAGCCGCGGCCGCTGTAGTGAATCTTGGCCAGCATGCCTGTGGAAGAGTGGATGTACGAGTCGCCGGTCAGCTCAATGTACGGCGAACCATACCACAGGCCGTCGATCGAGAGGGTCGGCAGTGAGATGAGATAGGTCTCGACACTACCGTCCGAGCGCTTGGCACGCAGAATAGCGTGGCCGACCTGCACAACAGTAATCGCATGACCGTTGAACGATGTCTTCTGACCACTGTGGCCCTCGATCGAGACGCCCAGCTTTTCATTCTCAAGGTAGTAAGCCGTCACCGGCGGGTGGTGCGACACCTGCTCCGAAGTGAGGCGCAACTCGCCATCGCCGGTCGTGTCGGGCCAGTGGCCATAGAACACCTCACCCAGCACGGGGTTGAGCGGCTTCTTCTCAGAGCCCATGGATGTATTGCGCGCGGTGTACTGGCCCTTGAGCGTCGCAATGAACCAGCGCACCACAGCAACCATGCGCTCTTCGGGCGATGCGGCCTCCTGGATAGGCCTCAACGTATCCGGATGCTCGCCCCAGCTGCGGTCAGGACTTCGCGACGTACTAGGAGGGATACTCGGTCAGCGAGACGGGCGATAGGATAAACGATGGGGCCGTCATCTTGCTTAGATCGCCGGAGAAACTCGCAATTGACTTGATAAACTGGTGTTAATACTTCAACATACGCTCAGCCAGCCATGGCGGTGTTCCTGCGGCAACGCCTCGCCGTTCTCTTTGCCACTCATTAGGATGACAACCGGGGTGGAATGCGTGGCAAGATCCGCGAGGCAGCGGGACACCACCTGCGTTAGTCAGGCTGAGTAACAGGGTTTTTTTCTCCCCCGGCAGCCGCAAGGCCACCTCAGCAGCGCGCGCCATGGTGCGGTCGTATGAGCGCCATGAGCCGACGGCGGCCTACGCCCTCGTATGCTCGAATGCAGCCAATGCTCTGCTCGATGAGGACGGAAAAACAGCCTTTCTTCCAGCGCTCGAGGATGTACTTGTTTGGGACATGAAGCGCGGCGAGCAGGTACGTACATTATGGGCTCACGCCAGTGCGGCATGTGGCATCAGATCGGCTATCGCGAAGGCGTCACGGCCATCGCGCGTACGCCATCTCGAGCAGGAGCACGCTTTGCTGTCGGATATGCGGATGGATCAATTCGCCTGTGGGATCCAGCCACTAGCTCCGTACTGCTCACGTTCCACGGTCACCAGCGGGCCATTACGCAGCTGGCGTTTGACGCGCAGGGCATGCTGCTCGTCAGTGGCAGCCAAGATAACTGCATTATTGTGTGGGATACAGTGGCCGAGTCTGGCCTGTACAAGCTCAAGGGTCACAGTGATATGATCACGGGCTTAGTTTTCATTCCTTACTCTGACGATCATGCTCACTATCTGGCCTCTACTGCGAAGGATGGCCTTTTAAAACTCTGGGATCTAAAGATCCAGCACTGTGTGGAGACGGCTGTGTCGGGTGACGATCAGCTATGGAGCCTGGCCGCCCGTTCCGATATGAACGACGATCCGCTGTTGGTAACGGGCGGCTCGCAAGGCCATGTGCGTCTGTGGACCGCCGATACGGAGGTGCTACGCGGCGGCCTCCATAACAAAGAACCATCGGCGCCTTTCCTCGTCTCGCATGGAATGCTTGAGCTGCCCTCGAGCCACCGTGTGGCCCAGCTGGCTTGGTATGGTTCCTTTGTCGCGGCAGCAGCCGGGGACCGCGCCGTGCATGTCTACCGCCTTCGCACAGCGGAAGAAGCCCACAAGAAGCAGCAGCGCCGCCTGAAGCGTGCGCGTGAAAAGGGTGTCGAGGCGGCCGCGGAGACGGAGCTTATATCATGGCTCATGCGCCTCGAGCCGTACGTGGTGGTGCGTCCCACAATTGGACGCGTACGCAGCTTTGCGTTTCCGCAGGGTGAGGCATTTCGTACCGACGCGCCTGTGCCGCTGCTGTGCGCTCTAACGGCCAATTCGGCGGAAGTCCACACGATTCCGCCGCCGCCACGCAGCAAGTCGGAAAAGCAGGGTGCCCTGGAGGCACAGGTTTCGCATGTGCTGGAGCTTCCGGGACACCGCAGTGATGTGCGGGCGGTGGCCCTGTCGGGAGACGATGCGCTTCTGGCGTCCGTGTGTGGTAGCGGGCAGCTCAAGATATGGAATGTGCGAACGGGCCGTTGTGTGCGGACGTTGCCTGTCTCTGCTTTTGCGCTGTGTGTGACGTGGCTACCGGGTGACCGCTATGTGTTGGTGGGCTGCAAGGACGGTACGCTTCACAGCTTTGATATTCCGGCCGGCCTGGCACTGGAGACGCTCGAGGCGCATGCGGGTCCGGTCTGGAGCGTGGATATCCACCCGAATGGGCTCAGCGCTGTGACGGGCAGTGCAGACAAGGAAGTCAAGTTTTGGGACTTTGAGATGGTCCAGAGCGAATCCGAGTCGCAGCTCTCGCTGGTGCATGTGCGCACACTGAAGCTGACCGACGATGTCCTTTGCACGCGATTTTCGCCTGACGGTCGTATGCTTGCCGTGTCGCTCTTGGACAACACGGTGAAGATTTTCTACGCCGACTCGCTCAAGTTCTTCCTGAGTCTGTACGGGCACAAGCTACCTGTATTGTCGCTTGACATTTCGGGCGACTCGAAGCTGTGTGTGACGTGCAGTGCTGATAAAAATGTTAAGATCTGGGGTCTGGACTTCGGCGACTGTCACCGCAGTCTCTTCGCTCATGACGACTCGATTATGCAGGTGGCCTTTGAGCATGGACTCCAGGGAGGCGGTTTGATGGGCGGCAAGGAGGGTGCCTCGCACCGGTTCTGGACCGTCGGCAAGGATGCCAAGGTCAAGTACTGGGATGGTGACCGCTTTGTGCATGTGCAGACAATGGAGGGACACCATGGTGAAGTGTGGGCGCTTGCTACCGGGCACCACGGGCGCCTGGTCGTGACGGCAGGCTCGGATCGGAGCATCCGCGTTTGGGAGAAAACGGACGAGCCACTGTTTCTTGAAGAGGAGCGCGAAAAAGAGCTCGAGAAGATGTACGAGAGTGCTGCCCCCACACAGGCAGAGGTGTATGATACCCAGGCAGAAGCAGAGGCCGTGTCTAAGCCCACGACAGAGTCGCTCATGGTTGGTGAGCGAGTGATGGAAGCGCTCGAGACCGCAGACGCCGACTTGGAGCAGCGCGCACAAGCCCAGCGTACCGGCCAGGACCCCAACAGCATACCCATACACCCACTCATCCAGGCGGCCTTTGGTGAGATGGATGAGCCCGATACGCACAAGTATGTGCTGCGGGTCCTGGAGAAGATCCCACCCACTCATTTGGAGGACGCGTTACTCGTGCTGCCGTTCGACCGCGTCGTGAGTCTCTTCCGCTATATCGATGTGTGGGTGACCAAAGAGTGGAATGTGTCGCTGGCCGCTCGTATCCTATTTTTCCTGATGCGCACACACCACACGCAGATTGTGGCCAACCGCGTGATGCGAACCACGCTGGTGCATTTGCGCTCCCATGTCAAGGACGTACTGGGCAAGCAAAAAACACAGATCGGCTTCAACTTGGCGGCTCTGCGGTACTTACAGCAGCAGCACATTGCGCGCCGCACAACCGAGCTGTTTGATAAGCCAGAAGTGAGCCTCGATGAGCTCGACGAAGCTTCTGTGCGCCAGCGCATTGAGGAGCAGGCCAAGCGCAAGCGCAAGTTGGTAGTGCGGTAACTAGATACATGACGGCGCCGGCCGTGCGCCAGCATCTACCTCGGCAAAGGACGCCACAAATCGCGACACGGAGATGTAGCCATGATGGATAGCCCACACGTCCGTTCCAGGCTCTGGGTCAGCAGGGCACATCGCCCGCGCCAGGTTGGGGCGGAAGGCTAGGTAGGGACCGGGAGAATCGTCTCCCTCACTCTCATCAGGATGCACGCCCAGTGGCTCAATGCGAAGGGGAACATCGGGCATAGATGGCAGAGGGTATAGTTGGACATGCTGACTTGCCCACACCTTCGTCCAATGCACTTCTGGACGCTGGAGCGACTCGCAAATAGGCACATTTATAGAATAGGCCTGCACTTGTGCATCATGATCCCACGAATCCCACAACTTTGAGCAAAGTTTTGCACTGTAACGGCAAGCTACGCTTGCGTAGTCAGCAAACTGTTCCTTCGTGAGGGGCGGCGCCTCGCGCCGGTCTAGTGTGGGCGGCGATTTCTTAAAATGACAAAAACTGATGGCGATAGAACGCACTCCACTCAATGAGCCAGCTAAAGCACCTCCGAGAGTGCCGGAGGAGAGTGAGAACGCAGTACCGGTGTTGCGCCCAAAGTTCGGTCCCGACAGAACAAGGTCGGTAGGATGGTCAGTCTGAAAGAGAGCGTCACCGGTGAAGAGCCCCACATTGGTACACGTCGACGGTGTGCCATCCACTAACACCCACTCCCCAATTTCACCACGCTCCGTGCAGACGGGTCGCCTCTCAAGACTCCAACATTTATGGGTTTCTGGGTGCAAGCCCTGAAAGTTATCTCGAATAGGATAATAACTGCGTCAGACCACATTTACATACTACCAGTATCGCACATGCGTTTGGGATACACTGTAATTGGTGCCACTCCATGACTTCTCTGTCGGTCAAAGCGGATGCACGTACGGGAACTTGGTAGGACGACGCGCACCTGCCACCCCATGTCCAATAGATACTGATACAGCTCCAAAACATAGGGAGATGACTACTGTTAGAGATATGTACGAACGTCGGAGGGAGGTCCATCATCGTTCACAAGCAGCACATGCGGTGTGTGCATTGCCATGATGGAGGGTCCGATAACGCAACGTGGCTCGCACGAGCCTAGTTCGCGTGGCTCGCGAATTACACGCGGCTTTGTCTGCCGCCCGAGGCTGGCCCTAATTTGACCCGGCCGAAATGACGTTTTCCGCCATCAACTTCAGCCGACGCACACACTACAAAGCTGGAATCAAGAGACAGGTCGCATTTTTAGTATGGATGCACAGCTAGACCAAAAGAGGAGTACATAAAAGGACCTGGTGGATCCCTGGTCCAGATGCACGAGGAGAGGGGATCCTCGTGCTACATCCGCACATTCATGGACCACTTTTGGATATCCCAAGTCTATCGCAACGCTTAAGCGTGCTTCGACTTGGCCGAGCGAAGACGACGGATGTAGAACTCGAGCTCCTGGCCCTCGAGGATGTAGCCATCCGCACGGCCGGACTGACCAGGACGGCTCGAAATCACGGCGTAGAGGCGACCGGCAGCAAACTGCTGCTCAACAAGGAGGTCCAGCTTGGCATCCTTGCGGCGCTCAACCAGCTTGCGCTCAACGTGGTTGCTCTTCTTCACCTCCTCGGTGGGCTGAGCACCAGCAGCACGACGCTTGGTCACGGGCTGGCCGTAGTGCTTCTCGTACGCCATGCGGAAGGGAGTAGCGTCAATCTGGATAACAGCACCCTTCACGAGTGTGTTCGTACGCACAAGCTCGTTGTTCGAGGCGTTGTAAACGACACCCAGGATACGAGACTTGGCGGTAATGTGCTCCGAACCCCAGGCAAAGTTGCCGCTGTCGAGACGGAGAGCACGCGACTTGATGTTGCCGCCGCGAACGCGCACATCGTGGATGCGCTTAGGACCAAGACGGGTGTTGGCAGCCTGGCGACCGAGCTCAAACTGACGCTTCTTGCGGTAGAAGCTGGGGCGAGCACCGGTGGCCGACCGCTTGTGACGCGAGTCCCGAGTAATACCCATATTGAGTCTGCGCTATGTTAGTCTTCTGTTCAGGATACACAAAAAGCCCTGTCACACTGGCCTTATGCTTGACGTGCGTAACCAGAGTGACGGAGCCTTCAGCTTTACTCACCTTGACGACGAGTGTTCGAGGGTAGGGCTTGAGCCGCAGCGGAAGACAGATCCTTCCATAGCCAAGCGGTGATTACACGTGATATACTGTAATTGATCACGTGAGGTACAAGAGGGTGGAGGGCACCTGCATGGGCCACGTCGCCGTAGATCCCCACAGCATTCACACATATGCCAACATAAGCATTTACATCATTCATACAGAGCTACAAGCAAGCTAGAGGATACGACGTGCTTCCCAAGGACGTAAACATGGCATCAGTTTTTTCCTTAGGCAACGGAACATCCACATCAACATAGTCATATATAGGAAACAAAGGAGCATTCAGGTCCGGCGTCGAAAGGTTGTCCATTGTAGGTACAACAGGAGCATCCCACTCGAAATCGCTCGGAGAGTTGGATGATTTGGTATCAGAGTCGCCCTCCCAGTCTTGTAAAGGGGAATAGGCCGACATCAGAAGGCTGAGGTCGGGGGCTGCTGTCTCGTCGATCAGGTCACAGGTTGAATTCGAGAATACTTGCTCAACACCATGGCCAGCCGGTTTTGCGGGATTTTGAATCGGAGCCGCAACATCGGTGTCTTTTCCGTTCCAGTGAAAAGGCGTGTCTTCGGGGGGGATCGCAGATCTGAGTATATTTGCGGAAGACAGTAAAGCATCGGATGAAATCCTGCTGATGGACGGAGAGCCCTGTTCAACGATGTCGTCAAAGTCAAGGCTGCTGCCATTGGACGCTCCAAGCGTCGACACGGCCGGTGAACAGCGCTCGTCGGCAGACTCGGGCTCGTTCCCGCAGAATGCACCCGCTGCTGGGCTAACACGATGTCCAAGGGCTTCGAGCTAGTCGCCTTCACTGCAGGAAGGCGAGTGCAAGGGTCCGAGTGAACTGCCGTCGAATGCACATTCGCCACCAGGGTCGACGCAGCGGCCGGCGCTGCACTTGTTTGCGCAAAATTGAGCAAGGACTCGTACGTCTTATCAGCAGCAAAATCATCCTTCTGCTGTTGCATACCAACCACAAATGCATCAGTTTTCTGAGATTCCGAACCAAGACCATCTTCTTTCACTTTCAAAAGCATAGACACGACAGATTCGAGCCGATGAACCTTTGCATTTAAATCATTGATTTTCCCTTCCAACTCCATGCGTTTGACCGTAGCTAGTTTTTCGCGTTGTTCACTGACTTGCTTCTCGGACCGCAATACGGCTACGTCATGCTCAAGTTGGTCGATATATGCCTTCTTCTTTTCGCGCGATACTTGAGCTGATTTCCGATTCCGTTGCTGGCGAGCTAGTCTACGCGCCAGTTTCTCTTCCTCTGACGATCTAGAGCTCTTGTAAGAATGAGCAGAAATTAAATCATCGTCCGCTGAACGTTTCAAAACCGGTGGCGGCGATGGTGAGGCGGATATTGTGCTAGAGCTCGGTGATCCATGACACCCGGACTCGGCACGCACAAGTAACATTGGATCGATAGCTGAAACACTTGCAACCGACATTTTTGAGGTCTCTCTCTGATCACAGCTAGTATCCGCAGTCACTTGCGCAGAAGCCGAGCCGAGCCGACCCTCGTTATATAGGCGGAAAGCACCACGGTCAATGTGGCGACGCTGACGTGGAAGCCATTCATGGAGCACGTGGGGCCACGTGTCTTCCCACCCCACAAATTGAATGCACAATGAGACAGCTTGCATCAGCAGATCGCGAAGCCGAACGCTTTGAATCACCGCATGTTCCGTGGAATGGGCAACAGGCGCAAGCAGGCCAGGTCCAAGCTCGTTGTTACTGAGGATGATGATGCATTCAATGCGGAAAATGAGAAATATACGGATGTCAGCACCAAGCGATCAGAGAGCGAAGTAAGTACATCAGAGGAATCGGATGAAGAGGACAGTGAGGAAGATGATGAAGAAGATGATGACGACGACGACGACGACGACGACGAAGACGATGACGACGAAGATGATGATGATGATGATGATGATGATGAAATTGAGGAAGACGAGGAGGAAGGGGAAGACGAGGAAGACGAAGAGGATGAAGATGAGGAAGACGAAGAGTCTGGCAGCGGAACTAAGCTGGATGATAAGGACGATGCATCGAGCGCAGATACGATGAGGGAAAACCAAGAATCCAATATATCTGAACTTTCATCTGCATCTATACGGGAGTCTCGTTCTGAACCTACAGAGCAGGACAATGCCCCTTTGGATGTAGACACAGCGAAAGCTATTTTGTCCAATGCGCCTCGTCCTGATCCAATCTCACCATCAGTGGGTGCTGCTTCTATGATTGAACCAGAACAAATTATTGAAAATCCTTTTGCAGAACCTAAAAAACACGATCGATCCGACCCCCGTGTAACGGAAAAGGCCAATAAAGCGTCAACTCTCGATGCATATACAGAAAAGCATAAAGCCGCTTCCGAGAAAGCAGAAAGGATCAATGATACCGAATATGACCTTATATTAGCGCGCATGGTGGCGCAGAATCGCAAACTGAATCAGGATCCCAAAGCGATGCGGCGCTCTGCTTTGGGAATTGGCAAGCTGCGGAAGAGCTTCGAGCGACTGCAGATCCGCAATCAGCCCCGAAGCGAAGCTGAAGCTGATGGTATGGGAACTGGGAGCAGGGATTTCGGACTGAATTTGGATGGTCAGAATGAAAGAAAGTCTTTGAATATGGAAGAAAATGCAAACCAGATCGACTGGGAATTCTGGGGTGGTCTGATTAAAGGTATGTTGAGGACTACTGATAGCAGACTACGCCAATATTCTTGCCACGAGTCCAATAGAGCTGACCAAGGCAATCTACACCGGTATACCGGCTGTACTCCGTGGTATGATGTGGCAGCTTCTGAGCAGCAGCAAAGATGAAGAACTCGAAACGCAGTATGCAAAATATCTATCACTTTCATGCCCTCATGAGTCGTTGATCCGACGTGATTTGAGTCGCACTTTCCCTTCACAAGATTTTTTTAAAGATGCTAAAGGAGTGGGACAGGAGAGCCTCTATAATGTGGTGAAAGCCTACTCTCTATATGACCCTGAATGTGGCTACTGTCAGGGAATGCAGTTTGTGGTGGGCCCACTGTTACTGAATATGCCGGATGAAGAAGCATTCAGTACATTTGTGCGGTTGATGCAAAATTACGATCTGCGTGGTCACTTTATTCCCAATATGCCAGCCCTGCAGCTCCGATTATATCAATTTGACAGGCTCCTAGAGGACATGCTTCCTGTCCTGTATAACCATTTCCTGCGCCGAGGGATCCGGAGCAGCATGTATGCAAGCCAATGGTTTATGACACTGTTTTCATACCGATTCCCGCTGGAGATTGTATATCGTATTTTGGACTCTATCTTTGCGGAAGGTATCGATGCAATGTTCAGATTCGCCATCGCCTTCCTGGAGAAGAACGAGGAAAAGCTGCTCTCGCTTGACTTTGAGCGCTGCCTTGACTTCCTCAAGATTAATTTGATTGACGCGTATCGTACTGAAAGTGGCACGGAGCCCATGTTCCGTACCGGAGAGCTCGTTCGAGACGCATTTCGTGTAAAAATTCCACAATATATGCTCGAATCTTATGCCAATGACTTTTATGAGCAGGCCAAGGCCGTCAATGATCGACAGATTGAAATGGAGGCACTGCGCACGGTGAACCGCAACTTGCGCATAAAGGTGCAGGCATTGGAGGATCAGCTCAACCAGCTCAATACCGAGCATGTGAATCTAATCAAGCGTGTCGTTATGGAAAAACTATCACAAGAGGAAATGGCAGAGGAGCTCGTGCGTTACAAAGTCATGTATGCCGAGGCCGTGCTCCAAAATGAGATCTCGTGACACGCGAGAGTATAGACGTACCTAGAAGTTGCGTAAACCGAGCCATGCAGTAGTCCCAGATTTAGTCAGCACCCCAGCCCCAGAGCGAAGCGTGACGCCAGGTGTTCGTGTGTTCAAGCACGCATCGTCATGGACGCAAGCAAAGCCAGGGTATTGTACTCGGGCTGGGTCCTGAAGAAGAAGAAAAAGAGAATGCAAGGTAAGTCTTGTCTAAGGATCTTACAATGAGGCTATGCCAAACGCTGGCTCATCATCTTTGAAGATGGCGTGTTGTCATACTCGATGGACCCAGAGAGCAGCTCCCGGGGAGCTATCGCCGTACCTCACGCCAGTGTCAGCTCAGATGTTCGTCATGGTAAGATACTACTGCGTTGAACTTACTCCCAGGTACAATTCATGTTGACAGTGGTGCCAATGTTTTCCGTATGTACTTTAAGAAGTCCGCTAACCTGCCTAGATTTGAAGATGCTCAAAGAGAGTGACTTTATTGTTTGGCGTGCTGAGCTTCGCAAGTTCTTGCATCAATGGGTAGGTGAAGGCACTGCTCCCGCCAATATGACAAATGCTTCGGAGGGCTCTCCAGCAAGTGGAACATCTCTTGTCCTTATGGACCATGCAGATGGCTTGTTGGAATCATCTATTCAATCTCTCTCGCAACTCAATGCATCTCAAAGCTCTTTGGACATCAAGAACGTGATTGTTGCTCTTAAGCAGCTTCAGGAACAGCACGGACTTATCCGTCAGCAACTCGTACGTCGTCCCCGTGAGAGTCTGTCGCGTTCAGGAACGCCAGCCAATGCTGGTTTCCTTTCCCCACCTTCGCCTGGACGTGATCATCTGATGGCAGCAGGCATGTCTCTCCGAAATTCGAATGGATCGGTTTCACCGTCCTTCATGGACGATGGCGACCATGTGTTTTATGATGCCGATGACATGATGAATGGTGTGGAATTTGAGATGCGTGGCGAAGACGAAGAGCAAGTGGATATTGTGTACGATGACGACGACGATGATGATGACTATGACGATGGAAGGATTGTGGATGCAGTAGACGATTCACCCGTCAACACCGTGGTGCCCTCGCAGCGTTCAATTGTGTATCGCACAGAGCTTCCCGCACCAGTAACAGGGGAAGAGTTGTCCCTCTTCTCTATACTAAAGAAAAATGTGGGCAAGGATTTGTCCACCATTTCATTCCCTGTGACATTCAACTGTCCACTATCCCTGCTACAGGCTGCGGCGGAAGAATACGAATATGCACCCAACCTGCTAGAACGTGCCGCGCAGTCTTCGGATAGCGTAGAGCGTATGTTGCTGGTCGGTGCATTTTCTGTGAGCGGCTATGCTTCCACGGCGCATCGCACAACGCGCAAGCCCTTTAATCCTCTTCTTGGAGAAACGTTTGAGTGTGTGCGAGCGGATCGAGACATGCATTTTATTGCCGAAAAAGTTGTCCACCGCCCACCGGTGGTGGCTTCGTACTGTTTCGGCAAAGGCTGGAAGGTCTCTTCCGCCATTTCGGTGAAGAACAAGTTCTGGGGCAAGTCGCTGGAGTTCATCGCTGAAGGCGCCCAAATTGTGGAGCTTGATTCAGGGGACAAATACAGCATTTCCAAGCCGAGCTCGTTCATGCGGAATTTGCTAGCTGGAAATAAATATCTTGAGCACGTTGGTGAAATGGTAATTACGAATTTGCGCACCGATGAGCGCCTCGTCATTCAGTTCAAGGAGGGCACCTTGTTCGGTGGACCCGCCAACCGGAACCATATTGAAGGTACGATGTATGACCGGAATAATGGTGTTATGGGTACCATTAAGGGCAAATGGGATGAGCAGGTGGCGCGTGTGATGGGCAAAGACCACCTGCAGGTGCTATGGGAAGTGGATCCCTTGCCCCCGAACCCCGCTCGCTACTATGGCTTCACGCGATTCGCCATCTCTCTTAATGAGATCACTGAGGATATTAAGGATGTTTTACCACCCACCGACACTCGTCTACGCCCTGACCAACGGGCCCTTGAACAGGGTGATGCTGACCGAGCTGAGGAGCTAAAATTGGTTTTGGAGAATGAACAACGTGAGCGCCGCAAGCAGCTGGAAGAGTCGGGGCAGGAGTATGAGCCTCAGTGGTTCCATCCAGGCTCAGACGGTCTTGATTGGGTGTATGGATCATCGGATGGACGGGAATACTTCCGAGAGCGCACGAGCGTGGAAAGGGGACATGCCACTTGGAACGTGAGAGGGGCGAGCATTTTCCAACACTAAGGTCGTAGGGTCTCCTATTTTATGCATAAAATCAGCCTTTACTTCCAGATACGGCCGGTTAGCACAATTGGTAGTGTGTCTGACTACGATGGGTTAGCCCAGTTATCAGGAGGTTGCGGGTTCGAGCCCCGTGCTGGTCAACCTTTTTTGACCCCATCAGATAGGTCAATTTGCCCTAAATTGCCCTCTTTTTTCTTTCCTGGCATGTATCGATGAAATAGACTACAATTCGATTAATTAACTAAGGCGAATCGATTCGAACAAATCATCTAAGAGACGTCCGTTGATATTATCCCAGTCCATCTCCTGTACCATCTCGTTTTCATAGAATGCCCGTGATGCGTGTAAGAAAAATGGCACAAGATCTGATAAGGACCGTGCCCGCGAGATTTGAAGCATGGGTCGACGCTGTTGGGCCATGGTTAGCACACCATGACCTTGTGTGTCGACTTCAGGGTGATCCTGTGTAATTAGATCGCCTAGAGAGTCTAGAAGCGACTCGGGCGCCCAGCTCGTCGACGTACGGAGTGCATCTGGCGTGTCAGTGATGAGGAGCCACTGGTGAATCTGAAAGTCATCCGTCTGCAGCGTAATGAGAAAGTCGGCGAGCTTGGCCACACTGAAGAGGAGGTGCAGCTTGCCCGAGTTCTCTTTAGGAAGTTGCGCTTTGGCGTCGCCCAAGATGCGCAAGACTTCCGTTAGGATGATAGGCCAGAACCCTGTCAGGTGCTGCGAGTCGAAGCGGCACAACAGCACACGCATCAGTAGATACAGTTCGGCGTGTACGACGTCCGCGGGCCCTGACCGCAGGATTTCGACCACTTTCTCCTGCATCTGCGGTAGCTGTGCCAAGAACGCATGGCGCTTCTCGGCATACACTGTGTACGAGAGTCGTCGGATTGCGCATACACGCGCCAGGAGGTCCGACTCGCGACTCGTAAAGAGATTCGCCGAAGGTGCCGGCACAATACGCCCAATGATGTCTGCGAACCGCTCGCGCTCGGCCCCCAGAAGCGCGGCCACGATAGGCGCCCACTGCTGGCCCATCTGCGGCGACTGGGCAAAGAACTTGGGGTCCATGAACGTCTCCAGTACCGGTGTGCGCCACGTCTTGCTCGAGTGGGGCACGCGACTCACATGCGCCAGGGTATCGAGCACAAGCGGCTCCCAGTCCCCCCCCCGTGATCGCGCCTTGAAGCCGGGCGCAATGACGTAGTACACCAAACTCGTGCAGAGCGCCGTGCTTTTGTCGGTATCGATCATTAGCGGACCGAGCGCTGGCACAACCCGCGCACCTAAATATTGCACGACCGCAGCGGGCGCAGGTGCCGGAGGTCCCTCTGCGCCCTCCTCCCGCTCACTGAGCACCGATAACGAGTCGCTGTCTTTGTTGGAGGAGGACAGGTCGAGTGTGCGAGCGTATAGCGTAATCACAAGCTCATAGAGTCGCACAAAAGCGTCTTGAATGTCGCGCCGCATCCGTGCATCTTCAAACGAGCGTGTTTGAGCCAGTCTCGTGCCCGTCTCCGTAACGAGTCGCAGTGCATCGAATGCCAAAGCCCTGTGTCCAGAAGTGCTAACACTCTTAACGAGCATCGCCAGCACCGGCCAAACCTGTGCGAGTGACTCGGCGTCGAGCTGGGCGGCGTATGTCTCGAGAAAGCGGAACAAAATTGACTCGCTCACGAGCCCCTGGCGCGGGGCACGCTTGCTGCGGTCCGTCACAGGCATACGCGCTGCAATCGAGTCGCACAGCGAAGTGAAGATGATCTGGGCGCTGCCAGCCAGCGACTCGAGCAGCTCGATGGTCTCGGCGTGCACGCGCTCGACAGCCATGTTGGAGGCGCGCATGCTGCTGCTCCACCAGTGCTCGACAAGGGCCTCCAATGTGGCTTCGGCGTGCAGCCCGTAGAAACGTCCCAGGGCCGAAAAGCTGCGTGTGAGAACCGAGTGCCAGTGCGTATCGGCATGGGCGACGACCCAGACATACATGAGCCTCTGCACAACCTGGGCAGCAGGGCGCAGCATGGGCGAAGATATATGCTGCGCGGCTGGTACAGCGCCGCTGTCGCTGAGAAAGACACTGGAAATGTTGCCCAAAAAGCTCCCTGCCGGCTCACTCGGGCGCGTGCTGCGCTCTGACTCGATCAAATGTCGAGACGAGAGGGCCTGCACGAGCGCGTGCTCCAGCAGCGAGATCATCTGGTTGATTTCGAGTGCTGTGCTCGGCACACGCGCCACGTCCATCTCGCTCGCGGGACGCATGGCCTGCCGGTGTGCCGCGTCGCTCTGGGGCATGGCCTGGACGAGCATGGCCTGCACACACACACACAGTGGCAGCATAAACTCGTTGACAGACTGGCGCGCGAGAGGCAGCAATGTGTGCGCCAAGTCGGTCCATGCAAAGAACACTGTGTCGGAGGGCGTGGACATAAGACCTCGACGGACGAGCTCCAGGAACTGCGCGCTCGCCTCCTCGCTAAGGGGCGCGGCGTCGTATTGCACGAGGAGCACTTCCCGCAGCGTGCGAAGTACCATGACTTGCGTGTCAGAGTCACCACGGTTCATGGCCAGCAACAGCACATCGGCCAGCGCCGTTTCTACATCCCCCCACCAGGCGGCCGGCGGTTCGATGACCAGCATCAGGCGCAGAATCTCGAGGCACAGCGAGGTGGTGCTAAGCGTCGCACACGCTGCATCGCCGGGCAGCGAGCGCAGGAGCACGAGGATGTAGTTTTTCAGCACATCCGCGAGTGGAAGTGTCTGGTCCATACCATAGCGCTCCACGCTGTCGTCCCAAGTATACGTCACTTCCTGCGCGGCCCGCAGAGCGCGCGAGCCCGCGACAGCAAGCAGCGAAGCCAATGTCGCCAGGTAGTAGTCTGTGTACGCCTGGTCAAAGGGCGCCGCATACGCGTATGCAGGAATGGCGCGATCCGCCACCGTAACAGGCTGCCACACGCGCTCCGCTTCGACACGCACCAAGTGGTCCACGAGCATTGTCAAGAGTGCATCATACGACGAGACATACGCACAGAGCCACAACTCACACTCGTGCTTCTCTGCCGTGTCGTGCGAGCGCAGGCGGTCGAGGATGAGGAACAGGCACGCTTCCATCTGCGAGCACGCACGCTCGTCTAGGCGCCATACGGTGCCCAGCGCGCTCATGACGCGAGGGCGCAGGGGACCAGGTTGTGTAAGGAGCGTGCACAGCAGCGTCGTGGCATAGTCGTCTGCTGCCAAAGGGCACACATCGACAAACAGAGCCACGGCCGCCTCGTGGTGCCAGAAGGCGTCCGGCTGCAGGTAGGTCAGCAGCTGCTGCATCACCACATCCAAGTGCTCGTGCCGCGACAAGTCGATGCAGAAGTCCAGTGAGTGCGACGCGCTCATTTGCAGCGCCATGCGAAGGACATCGTGCACCTCCTCGAATGCCGTGGCCTCAGAGATCGCGTGAAACAGCGGCGTATTCCAGGACGCGAGAGACAGCACCGTTTGTGTCTCGGCATCCGCCTGTGCCTCATCTAGGAGTGCCACGATGCGCCTCACCACTGCACACACAATGCGTGTGAGGCTCTGGCGATGCCCCGTACTCCACGATACGTTGGGGGCCAGCTGCAGAGCCACACGCAGAAGCGACTCGAGCAGCCCGGTCAAGTACGTCGGGTCCTGCATCGTAGATGGATGATCGGGCGGTGCATCACCGAACCACTGGCGTGCAGGCTCATGAAGCGAGGCAATGGACTCAGACGGCGTGTGCAGTCGGAGCGCCCGGGTGTCCAGGCGCTGCACCATGTCCTGCATCAGTTCGAGGACGGCGATCGCAAGAGGACCCGGCAGCGTGTCCGCGGCCATACCGTCCTGCAGCTGGGCAGCCAAGGCCATGCATAGGATCGGCAGGTACACCGTCTTGACATCCTCGTCGTGCGGCTCAAACAACGACAGGATGTGTCGGAGAAGGCCCACACGATTGCACTCGGTGCGGCCATGCACCTGGTCAACCACAGCGCGGTAGAGCTGCTGGTACAGCACATGCGCATCCAGGGCTTCAAAGAGGGTCTGGGCCGTAGGGTATACATCCTCGCGCACAGCCGAGTCGCGCTGCAGCGCCGAACACACATCGAGCACGATCGAGCTTAGCAGCGGCTGTGCGAGCGCTCGCTTGTCCATGAGCGATACCAGTACCTTGAAAGGTCGCTGTAACTCCGAGTCACGGCTCATGGCACCCCGCAGGGTTTGCGCCACGCTCTCTAGTGCATGCTCGCAAAAGTATGTCTGCTGCGCTTCGTCTGTGTCTGCTGTGCCGAGGAGCCACGCGTACAGGCGGCGGTTCAGGCTGATATCGCGGCGCAGCACTGTTCCCAGCACTGCGTCCACCAGCGACGCGCACTGCGGCGGCGGAAGTGCCGCATAGATTGGCGATGTGAGGGCCATGTGCTGCACCAGAAAGTCCAGCGCCTGCCGACGTACCAGGAGCGTATCGTCCCGCAGCGTCTGTGCGATGGCAGAGCTGAGCAGCGATACATGGAGACTTTCCAGCGGCGGCGATGCTGGCTCGCCGATGCGGGGCATTCGGCGCGCCAGGTAGTGAAACGCACAGAGACGCACGCTGGGCGTCATGATCATGACATGCCACATAGTCTGCAAGAAGAAGGACAGCTGTACACTGTGCGACAGCTGGTCCAGAAGCGCCACCACGCGGTCGAAAAACTCACTCGACTCCTCCTCCAGTCCGGGGAGCAGCGACAGGAGCATGGCACGCGTCACAGGGCGCAGGTCCACACTCAGCGGCAGATAGTATGTCTCATACAGGCTCAGGACCACTGGCTTAATCGACGTCGCGGCATGGGGGAAGAAGGGCAGCAGACCAGGCGTCCACACAGGGAGGTCACGCCTCAGTCCATCGACGCCGATGACCGCAAAAATGTGCCTGTACACCTCCAGTGCTCGCGCATGCACTCCCGATGGTAGTGCGGGGTTCAGGCACTGCGACAATCGCTTGGCAACAATCAGTTTGCTAGGGATCACGTTGTACTTAGGCGCCGCCTGCAGTGCCTTGAGCAGGCGCCCGAGAAACGAGATGAAATCGGCCCATTCCGCCACACTGTCAAACCTCGCGAGCACCTTTTCTACTTGGCTCTGGTGCCTCTTAAAGGCACTGTCTTGGTACAGGGCTGCGGTGAGCCACTCGCACGTACCTTTTTCGCTCTGCTCGGCCCATCGCTTTTGCTCCTGTTTGGCCGCCGAGCTTCGCCATATATCTCCAGCATGCATATCCTCTGCACTGGACGTCGCATGCGTCGCGACTTGGCGAGTTACGAGCGTATCCGGGCGGAACGCCATCACCACCGTGCGCTGTCCCAGTGTGTGGACGAGGCGCCGCGGCCAGGGGTGATCTGCTTACATAAAGCACACCTGCGACCTCAGTCGCCCGTGCCGCCCAACCCCGCGCCGCACGGTCGTGGCTGCCATGTCGCGCTCGCAGCGTTCGCGCCCCGCGACGCTCTACGGAAAGAGTGGATTGGACGGACATGAGCCGCTACCGCGACCTTCGAGAAAGCCAGTGCAGACGGACTCGCACGCTGAAGACAAGGTACGCAACCGTTTGTCGATGCGATACGCGTCGTCGTCGATCATGCCCGCGGTCTCGTTCTTGAGCGGGCTGGATCACTTGGCGCCGGTTGCTGGAGGCGGTGGACATAGGTCGCCTATGCCCTCCGTATCAGAGGAGGTGCCGCCCGTCCCGCCTGTGCCCGCGATGGTACCCGGACCTCATGCTTTGTCACCGGGCGCGACGCGGTCGCCCGTTCACACTCTGCATCCCAGCTTCGCAGTGGAGTCATGGGAAGCACATACCGTGCCGGGTGTGAGTGCAGAGACGTTTGCTGCGGAGAATTTCGATCCCAGTTTGTTTGTGTCGCAGCAAGTGCAGCAGCAAAGCGAGGCAGGGCTTCAAAACCTGCGAGCCACTCTCGGCCAGATCCAAACGACAACGCAGAAGCAGCTCAAAGAGCAGGTTTTCAAAAACTATTCAGAGTTTATCATTATTAGTCGCGAGATTGCGACCTTTGAGAACGACATGCTCGAGTTTAAGGAGCTGCTGAGTGAGTGGAAGGCGCTGCCGCACCAGCTGCAGATCGAAGACCCTCTCGGTGAGGGTATGTGGGACAATGAATCATCACTCCGCGCGATGCAGAAGGGACACCGCAACAGCTCTATCGATCTCGAGCAGATTTACAAGGCACAGCTGACGTCGTTGTGGGAGAACATTGAGGGTTCGCAGAAGTTTGTGCCGATTGTGCCCGGGCGCCATCTGATTGCGGAAACGAGCCAGTTTGTCGAGCTCAATGCGGCCACCTACAAGCCCAAGCAGGCCGTCGCGCTCTTCCTCTTGGACGACCTGCTGCTCATCGCTGTGCAGCGCAAGCGTCCATATGGCAGTCGCGTGCATCTCGTGGCCGAGCGCTGCTTTAACTTGTCCGAGATTGTCGTGGTCGATTTAAAAGATACCAAGGATGTACGCAACGCGATCAAGATCAAGCATAGCAAGGAGTCGTTTGTTTACCGGACAGAGCGCTCCCAGGACAAGCGCGCTTTGCTGCGCGCCTTCCGCGGCGTGGGTGAAGCACTGGCAGCCCGGCTCAAGAAGGAGCGCAAGCAGCGCGCTGCGGCCAAGCACACCGAGGACGGCATGCTCGGCGATTCTATGGACCCCACAAGCCAGGACCTGGGCCTTGCTGAGAAAGCTGCAACGCCTGCACCCACCCAAGACGACCTTGCGGCGCTGGGCCCGTGGCTCAACAGTGTAATTGATGCACTCGCCGTGCACATTGCCTTGCGCGAGTGGGAAGAGGCAGTCGCTCTAGTGGAAGAGGGCAAGAAGCGTCTCGCCTCGCGGCCTGTGTCCGAAGGCTCGCTCTATCTGCTCGTGGAAAAGTTCAACGGATGCGCATCGGACCTGGTCAGTGCCATCAGTGCGGAGCTCGTGTCGCCTTACCAGCGCAAGGGCATGGTCGTACGGAATGCGGGACTCCTTGTGCGCCTCGACAAGGGTCGCGAAGCTCGTGATCTGCTGCTGGAGGCGCGCTCGGCGCTGCTGCAGCGGCGAATGCGGCAGATCAAGTACGAGGGCGATGTGAGTTTGTACATTTCGGAGCTCGCCATGCTGTACTTCACGCTGATCAAAAACACGGGTGATTGGTACATGGCAGCATTTAAAGATTACAAAATGGCATCGGGTATGTTCTATGACTTATACCAGGCTTTGTGCAGTGGGCCTCTGACCAAGTATGTGCCTATGCCGACACCTTCCGGCGGCAGGTGTTTGGCGTAGACCAGGACCCCCGTGTGGTACAGGAGGCTATCGATATCACGCACAGCTGTGCACAGATCCTCAATGATGTGGGCCTGGGCCTGGGATTCATGTTGGAGTATGTCATGTATACTTACGCAGCGACTTGCTTAAGCCGAGCGATACCATGTCAGCGCCGCCCCCGACGCTCGTGGTCACGCAGACATCTGCGACCGATGCGCTGCTCGCGAGCCGTGAGCGGCGGCCATATGAGTGGCACAGCGAGCCACCCGAGTAGAAATCACATTATACCGCAGTCTCGAGGCGTTGTCGGCGCCGGACAGACTCAAGGTTCTGCTTCGCGTTCTCCAGCGTGTCGATCGTACGCTGCTCCTGCAAGTCCCTCTTCTTAGATATGCCCTTGATCGACCCCAGTATGAACGACCTGCGGTCCTCTTCCTCGTCGTCATCGCCGTCATCGCTAGGTGGCTTGCGCTTCACAGGGTAAGGCAGCGGCAAGTCACGGATGATCTTGAACGAATCAGCGTTGCCCAGGTGCTCGTTTTCCAAGCGGATAAAATTCCATTGCCAGCGGCGGAGCATTTCGAGCAAGGCGGCCAAGAACGAGCGCAGCGGCAAGCTGGCCGGCCCGCCAAACAGATAGATCACCCAAATAAAGCGGATAAACACGTTGGTCGCCATGGCAACATAGTACATTGGCCATACATCGTCAAAAGCCAAGTGCGAGCGAAGCAGGGGGTAGCGCGCGTTCGACTGCAATAGGTTCCAGTCCATGATCAGGTCCCAGCTGCTGGTATACACCGAGTTGATCGAAGCGAACAAGATCCACAATGCAAAGGAAGCCGTGCCCTGCGAGCCATGGTGCCGGTAGAGGAAGTAGAAGAACACGTTGAGAATCGACGAAGCATACTTGGCCGCATTCACTAAGTGAATGCGCACCATGCGGTGGCTGTCCGAATAACGACGGAAACACTGCGTAAGACGCAGAAAGGCAGGCAGTGCTCCTAGCACGGGCACCCACCAGCTCACCGACGTGCTGCACTGCGATGGCATACGCCAATGATGCTGGTACTCACAGCCAAGCAACCACAAGTTCATGAACGAATACGACAGACTGTTCAGCTCATCGCCAATGAAAAAGTCGCGAAATTCCACACTGGTGAAGACGCCACCGTTGCCCACGCGCGCAAGCGTGCGGAGAAACCACATGCGCGACGACTTGTGCATTATTGGAAGTGGATTGCACACGATGAGCACCAGTGCTACAAGCCACACAACCGGCCAGGAGGTGGGCGAAATGACAGGGCTGGTAGTGGGCGTCGAGAAGGTCAAGTAAAAGCAAATGGAAAGAAGCAGAAGGAGCAGTGCGGGAAGCTCAAAGTACTGCCACGGCTCAAGAGCATTGCCCGCGTCCAGCTCAAAGATAAACACTGAGTTGATCCGCACGCGCTGCCAAGCAATTAGATTTAATCCAAACATCAGCGCAAACAGGGTCGGCAGAAACTCCATGCCATAGACGACGAGCAGCTGCTGCCATTGTGGCAGCACGGCCTGCACACGTTCCTGCATGGCGTAACGCAGGCCTTCAATTGTGAGACAGAGTGCGATGCCCATAAATACGCCGGTACGATATGCACTCGAGTAATGGAATGTCGTATGCCCCATCATTGTATGGGATGCACCCTCCCGGAGCACATCGCGTGCGCGTTTCTTGTCGCCGTGCTCGAAATAGCCTGTAAAAATCTCCTCCAGCGCCGTCAACATCTTTGGCACGGCATCAGATTGGACAATGGGCGTATGCGCCACACGCTCGTCGTAGTACTTTTGCATAATCTGCGACTGCATAGTCTTATCAAATTTCTTCAGGATCTTGATGAAACCGTTACGATTGAGAATGCGGTAGTTGTTGAGGATTTCCAATGCGCGATAGTTTTCAATGACAGCAGTTCGCAGCTTTTTGCGCGCCGCCTTGTATTCGACCGGATCGTGCACTAGCACTGATGGTGCAGGTGATGCAGCCCGCATTTCGCTGATGTGCAGGTTTTGTATGTGCTCGATGACCTCGGCACGGCGCTTGTCACCGTCGTCGTCATCGCTGGACGACACATCATGCGGCTTTTGCGGTTGCCGGTTCTGCGTGCTGAGCTTCAGCCGGTGTACCTCGTCGCTATCCAAGCCGCGTGGCACTTTAGACAGGAGGCGCTGCAGGCCCAGCTGCCCGTTGGGAATCTTCTTGGTTTTGGCCTTGAATTCACGACGGTGCTCTGTGAGCTCAATCAGCTGCTCTACCAGCGTGGAGAAGCGCTCTGTCGCCTCATGCTCGCGCTCCAGGTAGAATTCGAGAATTCGTTCCGCTTCGTTGTCGAGGGCCAAGAAGAATTTTTGTTCCTCCTCATCAAATAGTTGGGAAACGATCTCCGAAACACTCATATTGGGGAACCCTGCGTGTAAAAGAAAAAGTACATACGGTCTGCTTGGGGCACCACCCACGTCGACGAACGGCGCGCCAGAGGACGATTCTCGCCAGAGGATGGGTGGCTAAGGTTCTCGTCTGCTGGCGCGTCGTCATCATTCATGTACATGGGCTCGTCCGTTGGCTTCCCAAAAAAGAGATGATACGGCGGTTCCGCTTCCGCATCCCTGCTCTCATCCAAGAGACCCAGGCCGGTCCCCTTCAGCGATACAGGTGGCACCGATGGTTGACCCTCGTCGTTCCGTGTAGTGGACCCGTAGCCCCCTTCTTGACGAGCCCCACTCGAGAAAAAGTGAGATCTGCTCCGCGCTAACAGCCGAGTCGCGGAGCTTTGCACGGAGTGAGTCGTATCCGGCTGGGTTCCGCCCTGAGTGCACGTCTCGCGCGCGGCGTGGTGCTCGGCCACACGTTTGATGAGTTTTTTCAGGCCTCGGTAATTAATATAAGCTCGTCTCCATTCATCCACGGCATTCTCCTCGAGATAGCGCGCGCTGCGCGCCGTCAGCCGCGGCTCGTACGTACAATTTCATCGCGGAGGCACACGAGCAAGGGCTGTCCGCCTAGTTGCACGTGCCACGTGCTCAGCATGCGGAGCCAGATTTTGCCCGCTCTGACAGATGGCAGTAGCCTGCCGCGGCTTTTCCGCGCCATTCGCCAATGTGCTCTACACGCTACCTACGTACCCTCGATGGGTGCGACTTTGAGAATGTTTCACAATGTTTTGGCTCTAGACCGTCATCACCGAAGCGTACAGCCTAGATTCCTATATTGCGAAGTTGCTCTCGTCCCCGCGAGGACCATTGGCCCTCTTGGCACCCATGCCGCTGTGGAAAATCGGTTGGGTGTGGCTCAGGGCTATGTGTCAGTAGACCCTACAACATACACTTGCGTTTTTGATCAAGAGACGAAGAAGGGGCGCGGCCGCGGTTGACCTTCTCGTCACGTGACTTTTGACCGCCGCGTGCTGGCGCCTGCCTGCTCTTCGCACGTCGGACGTTGGTGCAGCATGTGGCCGGAGAGGTTCATGGGGCCTGCGCGTACGCTGCTGCGTGTGCCAGTCGCCCTCTCACGTCCTGCTTCGGCATATATGCACACAAGTGCCCCTGTATGCGAGAGCAAACGCAAGCGCGCCTCGCGTCTGCGCCGCCAGCAGAACCTGGCGCAGCGCGAAATCAAGCAGCGTCTATTTGATATGTCGAAGCCGGATCCCGTCCTGGCGCACCAGCTGAATGAAGAGGGCGAGAAGTACTGGAAGCAGTCGGAGCTGGCTAAGCTGATCCTCTCGAAAGAGGAGGTCTGGGGCTACCAGGAAGACCGCCGCGGCCAGCTGCAGCCCGTGGAGCCCGTGGCGCGCCCGGAGGACCAGGACATGGATGCGGCTGTCGCACAGTACGGCGGACCCCGGCGCCTGAACTTTGGCCTCGATGTGAGCGATCGGCGCACACTCTTCCAGTCTCTGCCGCGCGTCATGGCCACCGATCGCGCGATGGACCTTGCTGACTCGTCGCTGAGCCAGGAGGGCCCCGATGCGCTCGCCAAGGATTTGGAGGATCTTGAGGCCGAGCAGGCACAGAGCGCTGAGACGCTCTCGCGCATCCTGGATCTTCGCAATGCCAGTGGCAAGGGTATCCAGGTGGAAAACACGCGGCGCATTATTGCGCACTTTGGCCGCCCGACAGAGAGCGGTGGCCTCGATACCGGCTCGCCTGAGGTGCAGGCCGCTCTGCTGACGTACCGCATTCGCAACCTAGCCGAGCACCTGCTGGGTGCGCGCCACGATAACAGCAACCGCCGCTCGATGCGGCGGCTCGTCCACCAGCGCGCCAAGGTGCTGCGCTACCTGAAATCGCGCGACCCGATCCGCTATCAGAGCTTCCTGCCGCGCATTGGTGTGGAAGCGCGGGCGATCGAGGGCGAAGTGGTCGTGCCCGGCAAGCCGAAAACCAAGCGCATGTAGTCTTAGTCGATGCTACGAGGCAGCCATCCGATATGCCACTGTCCTAGTACGCGGCGGGTGCGCGGATAGATGAGGGAGCTCACACGCAGCGTCTCGGCGACCTCGTCGCAGGCGTCGCGCGGGAGAAGCAGCGTGCTGTATGGGACAGGCGGCGCCACGGGCACCAAGCGAAACAAAATCTTGCATGCATGGTACAGGGGCTGTCCGGGTATCTGAAGTTCGAGCCATGGCTGAAAGAGCCACAGCAGTAGGCGTGGGCGCGTGTCGTCTCCATCGGTCTCGCTGAGGAGGAAATGGTGAACGGCCTGACGCTCCGTCTGCTCCAGCATGTACTGACTCAATACCTGACCTAGCAGGTCACGAGGTGTCTCGCCGCCGCCGGGGACGACGCGGAAAGGCAGCCACTGGAGCACGACGGGCGCGGGCCCCGGCTGCTCGAGAGCGGCGCCCAGAGTCGTGCCGCATGTCCGGCACATGAGGGGATACGAGGGATGCTGCTGGTTAGTGTACCGCTCCGTGTGACTAGCAAGCCCATAGCTGGTGGCTGCAGCGTATAGGGGCGAATGCATCTAGGACTCGTAGTATCAGCCAAAGTGCTGCGCACTGCATGCACCGTCCCACGGCCAGTGCATGCCACGGTGGGTATCGCGTGATGGCTTTCTGCTAGCCCGTCTGACCTGCCACGAAACGTACCTCCCAACAATTGTTCTGCTTGGCCGGCGAAATACATACGGTGCCCGGGTCGAGGTGCGTGCTCGACGTCTTCACCAGGAAGCTGCCGACCCACACTTCAGTGGCGGCAGGCAGGCGCGCGGTCCCTACGCTCTCGCGCCCCCGCGTCACGCTTACATTGAGTCGCTGATCGCCGTGGCACATCCATGCATCGACGAGCTCCTCCCAGCTCGCCGACGGAAGCGCGCGCACGTCGGCGCGCACGGGAAAGGTAACAAGTCTTGCGCCACAGCCAGCGCACTGCAGGGAGTCGAGTGTGTGCCACTGCTGCAGCCACGACGCGCTGAACACGGCGTGCATCGGCTGCGGCGCCACAGGAATCGCTACCTCGAACCCGTCCTGGAACGGCGCCGTGTACACGCCAGGTTCGAGGGGCCACCGCACATCCACATGAAGGTATGCCAGCTGCGGATGCTCCAGCACGACACGCCACACGCCCCCGTCGGCAGGCGCGACTCGGCATACTAGGTCTGCGCTGAGCGACTGTGCGGAGTCCGTGTGCACAAAGGCAGTCACGCGCTGAATATGGCGCTGGTACTCGAGCGCGACGGTAGCCTCCTGCCTATCCGCGCGAGTTCGCGGGACAAAAGTGCCATCCGGCACCTCGGGCGACCGCGCGCGTTTCTGGGCGCTCGGCGCGGCCATGGTGGGCCTGCGTAACTTACACGAAACTACCGACGCCTTCCGCCTTCGACTCACGTGCCAGCATATCGAGGACCTCGAGGTCCCAGCCACCCGGCTCACCGACGGCCTCTTTGGTAGGCGGTGTGAGGGAGCGTGCCAAAGCAGGCCATTCGTCTGCGGCAGCCTGCGACACGTAGGCCTGCAATGGCGCGAGCCAAAAGTCCCATATGAGCCGCAGCACCGTCTCGACCGGCTCCGCGAGGCCCGTGCCTGTCGGCGCCAGCGCAAAGATGGCATCCATATCCTGGAGCGCGGCAAGCAGGCGCGTTTGTGCATCTTCGGCCTGGAGCAGGCGTATCATATCTTTGCGCACGCGCTCGCACAGAGCCCAGGAGCGGTAGAGGGGGTACGTGAGAGCACGACGATAGCTGGCGCGCAGGACCGCCGCGATCGGTGCGGAAGGCTCGACAAAGCACGCGATCGAGCGGCATAGCTTGCAGAGCGTCCATGCCGACTCCGGAGATGCGTCGTTGTACGACACATGCAGCTCATACAAGTAGGCGAATAAGAGCTGCACGAGGAACGCGTGCGCTGCCGCCTGTGGCGGCACCGGGCCTGAAGCAGCGCCGGACGACGCCTTGCACGCGCCCGAGAGGACGTGGGGCTCGACCTGGACGACGGCTGCGACATCGCCATCGATATCGACTACATTGTCCAGGTACATGCCCTCGTCCCACTTTTCCGTCTCGAGCGACTCGGCGCGCGCTTCGCGCTCGCGCGGAGGCATCTGCGTAGGATCGTCCACATCCAGATATGGCACACGGCCGCCGCGCACAAGCGCCACATAATCTACTGGCAGCGGATCCGTCTGCCCAAATCCGTACGCATGCGAAGCAGGAGCACACGCAGCGTCACGCTCCATCTGCGCCTGCTCTTCATCAGACAGGAGCTGAGGCCGCAGCCGATCGAGATCCGGAAACACCTGGCCGTGCACACTCTTGGCCAGCCGCACATGCAGGACCTTTGTGTGGGTATCATAGGTGCACGCAGCCGTGGCGCTGCCCTCGCACAAGGGGATACAGTCATGCAGCGTGGCGACCGAGTAAGGAAGACAGAGACTGCGTTAGGGGGGCATACGTACGGGAGGTAGAGCGGCTCAATAAAGCATCCAAAAGTCGTACCCTCGGCCGCTACACGCGCTTCTGTGGCCGCCGCTATGTCCGCATGGACATGTACAGTGACGAAAGCCTCGTCCTGCGTCACCTCGAAGGCCGGCGTCGGCAGCTGCATCTAGGAGAGTGTGGAGGTCGATTTTCGCCACCATGGACGAAGCTGCGCTCCGTGCGATGCTGCCAGCAGGCTTTGGGCAGGCCGGCGGTGATCCAGAGGCATATTCTGCCGTCTCTGAGAGGGTGGATGATGGCGAGTTCGCGGATGACGATGAGTTTGAGGATGAAGATGAGGAGCCTGCGAACGAGGCCCCAGCGGAACGACGCGAGTATACGGACGAGGCTCAGGCGGAGGCGAGCGGGTCCGGGGACGAGGCTCAGACGGGGCGAAGTAGGCGAGGGGACGAGGCCCCAGATACGGCTGCGCAGCACGAAAGACGGTGGACACACCTTGCTGACTATGCGAATATGCCACTCACCCAGAGCATTGTGCTTAAAGACCATACGAAGACGGTGAGTGCGCTGGGGATCGACCCGTCTGGCGCGCGGCTTGCCACTGGCTCGCACGACTACCTCGTGAAGCTATGGGACTTTGGTGGTATGACGACGAGTCTCCGCACATTCAAGTCGTTCGAACCGGCGGAGAATTACCCCGTCGTGCAGCTGGCTTTCTCGCCGTACAGCAAGAACCTCTTGTGCCTATGTGCCTCGACGCAGGCGCGCGTTTACGACTACGATGGCCATGAGATTGCCTTGTACAAGAAAGGTGATATCTTTATGCGCGACATGCGCCATACGACCGGACACATTAGCGATATTACGTGCGGCGGGTGGCATCCCCTCGACGACCAGGTCTTTTACACCGCCGGCTCGGACAGTACGGTGCGCCTATGGGACATGCACCACAAGGCCAGTCAGACGTCTGTGATTGTGGTACGCTCCAAGGAGCGCGGTACAAAGACCAAGGTGACGGCGGCGGCGATGGCGCCAGACGCGCAGTCGATTCTCGCCAGTGGACAGGACGGCGCCCTATATGTGTGGTCGACGACAGGAAACCTTGCGCGCCCCTCACTCACCGTGCAGCAGGCGCACACCCCCGGCACCGGTGCCACATGCCTGGCGGTGAGCGCGTGCGGCACCAAGCTGGCCTCGCGTGGGGCCGACGATACACTGAAGCTGTGGGACCTGCGGCAGCTGCGCACGCCGCTGCATGTGCGTGACGACCTGCCGAATGGAAACGACCACACAGACGTCCTATTCAGTCCGAACGGGCAGCAGCTGCTCACTGGCACGGCGTCTGTCACGCAAGGCTCCACGACGCCGACAGACCTGCGGAGCCAATGGGGCCAGATTGTCGCGCTCTCCGCTCAGGACCTAAGCATGGAGCTCGTGTACCCTGTCGATCGCACGAGTGTGAATCGTGTGGCGTGGCATCCTCGTCTGAACCAGGTGTTTGCGACGACGCGCGGTGGCGACGTGCATATCTACTACGACGCAGAGGCTTCGCAGCTCGGGGCGAAGCTTGCACTCCGCAAGCGCGCGCGCGACCGGACCAACCACTATGCGGCGGACCCGTCGACGACCGATCCGTATGCGGACGTGCCGATTATGGTGCCAGAGGAAGAAGAGGACGACTACTTCGATCCCGTGTACAAGAAGCCACAGTTCCCTCGCGACCCACGCAACACGCGTGTGCCGGAGCGGCCACTCGAGGGCCGCGGCAAGAACGGGCGCATTGGGCGCTCGGCGCTACAGCCACTCGTGGCCGAGCTGTGGGAGGGCGACCTCCGTGCCGAAGATCCACGCGAGTACGTACACAGAACACTAACGGCAGGGCATTACTCAAGTACGCGGACAAGGCGAAAAAGGACCCGCGGTTCACATCGGTGTATGCCAAGACACAGCCCAAGACGATCTTTGCGGAGGACGACACCAAGTCGCAGGATGCTCAGTGACGCACATTGTCATAGGCACTCTCGGGATACTCGATGTGGTTCATGGAAGAATCGAGGTTGCCAAGCTGATGTGAGTGTGTGGTACGCACTGTTTGTGCCATGCAGCGCACGAGCGAGCGGTCGTGCTCTGCGGGCAGGTCGCCGCTGAGCTCCCAGAACATGGCGCCCCGCAAGCCCTGCTTCTTGATATACTCGGCCTTGGCGCGCACGGCCTGCGGCGAGTCGTACGAAATCCACTCCCGGCCATCGTACGACCACGACGCGCCGTCGCGCTCGCTAAAGTGTTCCTGCGCGCCAGGCTTTGGTAGCTCCTTGTACATGTACACGCCGCCCTCGGCAGAGCCCTGACTTACATGCTCGTACGGCTGGCCGGCGCCGGCGGTGCCATCAAAGCCCCGGCCATACAGGGGCACGCCGACCACGAGCTTGTGTGCGGGCGCACCGGCCCGCTGATAGTCTTGGACGGCCTTGGAGACGGACACGGAGCCGCCCGACAGGTTCGCCTGGTGGTTCGCTGCAGCGTCCCAGCTACCACTAAAGTCGTACGCCATCAGGTTCCAAAAGTCCAGGTAACGGTCCATCGCCGGAATATCGAGCAGCTTGTACTGCGCAGGGGAGCACGGCGCTGCGATCGTGAGCAAGTAGGGCGCCTGGCCAGGCGTCGCCCGCTGGCCATACGCATCAAGCGCTTGACGCAGACCCGCGAGAAGCGCCACGTAGGCCTGGGCCTCCTCGCGTGTCTGTGGATACTCCCAGTCGACTGGTGTGAGAAAAAGCACGTACTGTCGAGGCCGTCCAGTCCATGATCAGCGAGAAGGCGAACCGCCGACTCGATAAAGCGCTCGCGCTGGGCGGGCTGGACCATGCCGCGGAAGTTGCTCGAGTAGGACCAGCCGCCGATCGAGAGCAGCAGCTTGAGGTGACGGTGCCTCTTCTTGTACTGGAGGAACTGGAAAAAGTTGCCACACAGGTGCGACGCACTCGCATCCGTGTCGCCCTCGTACTTGACCTGCTGGTCGGCCCATGCGTCGGACAGCTGTACGGTGCCGGTAGCAGGGTCAATGTTGGCAAATGCATAGAGAATGTGCGTCAGGTACGGGAACGGCACATGCTGGGGCTTGAACCCTTTCTGATAAATCGACCAGTTGGGAAAGTAGCCTACGGTCACGAAACCCGACGTGTTGGAGGAGCGCGCCGGCTTTTTGAATCGCAATGGCAGATGGAAGGGCATGAGCAACACGTGGCCCGAGCGCGGCCGTGTCGGGTCTACGTAAGCCTCTACCAAGGATTGTCAGCGGCCCAGGGAGGCAGGTCTGGGGCGCCGGGCAGAGCAGCCTTTTCTTGTCCATCGAGCGGTCGCGGCGATACGAGCGATACGTGCTGGAACTCCTGTGCGAGCTGCGCTGCCTCGTCCGAGGAGAGTCCATACTGTGCGTACGAGCGTTCAGGCGGAGCAGGCGCGTCGCGAGAGGGTATAGGACCTGATGAGGCGGCGCGGGCCAACTCGCCCGTCGCCTCACATGAACACGGGTCTTGGGTGCTTTGGCTGGGGGCATCGGTCGCGTCAGGCGCCAACGTCGCACTGGGCTCAGGCGCGTCGGTCGGGACGCTAGGCTCGGGCGCTTCAGCTGGCGCACGGCTCTCGGGATCAGGCACCTCAGCTGGCGCACTGGTCTCTGGCTCAGCCATCTCAGCTGGAGCATCGGCGTCGGAGGCCGGCGTCTCGGCTGATGCAGCCTCCATGCCTTGAACAGTCTCAGTCAGTGGGGGCACAGGCGTCTCCGGCAAACGCTCTGGCTGGTCGTCGTCCGCTGGCTGGGCCGGTGGGCGCTTCAGTGGGTCGTCATTGGCTGGAGGCGCTGGTGATTGGGTCTTGCGCTGGAACAGGTGGCGAAACGGGAGCACGCCACTCTTGGGCGGCGGCGGTGCTTCCACTGGCGTGACCTGCTCGCGTTCGGGCACATTTGCAAGTGACTCAGGCTCATCGAAGTAGTCGGCGGTCGTCTTGAAGCCCAGCTCGCCCAGTACGAGCGGGGTCAGAGCGCGATAGGCGAGGTGCCCTGGCACCAAATGTGTCACGTCCACATTCTCAATGCGACAGTCGTACGTCACAGGATGCAGGCCGGCAATGCTGCGCACACCACCAGCCGTAGCGCGATGCAAGTACGCGAGAAGCCAGTCGGACCGGGAGTACGCTGCGTGAGTGTCAGCCACGTACCATTTACAAAGCGGCCCGACACGGTGCTGCGAGCGAGGCCCCATTCTTGCTCGCGCACCGTGATGGGCGCGCCCATCAAGTAGACATTTTGCACGATACCAAACGCCTTTCGATGCGCCAGCTCAAGAAGTGCATAGAAGATCATGCGCGCACCAAGGCTGTATCCCACGAGCGTAATAGGCCGCACGCCTAGCTGGCGGTGAATGAGCGTGTCGGCGAGAATGAGACCCGCGGTGCGTGCGCGCTCCGTCGCATTGGACCACGGGTTGTCAATGAGGTAGTTGAGCTTGGTCAGCCAGAGCGGCCAGGCAAGCGCTGCGTTAGTTCATGCCACGTACCGCTAAACATCGCGCCGGCCACGGTGGCAGCGAGCACCTGCTGCACACCCTGCACAAGCGTCTCGTTCCACAGGATCGACATGGCATTGCCCATATCGCGCATCATGTCAGGCTCCCACATAATGCTAAAAGCGTCGCCCATGACGGGATCAATCACACTGTAGGGTAGCGTCGGATCGTCGTCAGGCCCTTTGAGGAACCCAGGCACAGTAATGATGCAGTTCACACGCTTGTGGTAGTGCAGAGGGCGGAACTCGAACGTGCGGACGCTCTTGACGCGCCGGCTCATGCCGCGCCCGCCCATCGTCGCGCCACTAAGTGTGCCCGTCGTAGTGATGATTGTAGCGCCGCCAACGCCACCAAGGAAGGCGGATGTGCCGCTGATCCCGACGGCGCCGAGCGCCGCGCCAATACCTGCGCCAATCACGGGCGCCAGTAGGCCAGCTGAGAGGCCAATGACCAGGCCACCGCCGAGCGTCGCGAGGCCCATCATGACCATGCGCCGATGGCGCGATAGGCGCTCCCGCTGCTTGGTGATGGCAGGGTCGTCCAGCTTAGAGACGTCCTCCTCGATCGCCAAACTATCCGTGATGCGTTTCTCAAACTTGGTCACATCCATCCATGTAAGACCCAGGCACTCGGATAGGCGCTCGAGCAGCACACGCGAGCGCGCATCATACACGCTATCGGCCGTGAGAACAAGAAAGAGATCACACAACACGGTCCAGCGGATATCGAGTGTGATGGTCTTGAGTGTGTCGCTAATCTCGGTGGTGACGCCCTCGAGGGTGGGCGTCGGGCCCGGGACATGCGAATGACCTGGACCCTGCGGCACCGCGTCGAGCGAGGCTTGCGTGACCGATGGCAGCGTGCCAGACGGTGGCTCCGAGTGTGCCTCGGCCGTCTGCGCCGCTGAATTCGGATCCGTGAGCACCGGGGCCACCGGTTCAGGGGCCGGCGGTGGTGAAGAAGTAGGCACCGCATCGACTTTTGGAGGTGTGGGTGGCGCCTTGTCAGAAGGCGGCGCTTCACGGGCCACTGCCTTGGCGTGTCGGGGATTGTACGATGGGTTCGGAATCGTATGCGTCGCTACGAGGCTAGGCGCCAGATCCGTCGGCCGTATACCATGCTGAGACAGCGACTCGATCATTGCTTGTTCTGCGGTGAGCCAGCGAGACGTGCCTGTCGGTTCAATATCCAGGTGCTGATACAGACGGATCATTACGCGAAGTGCCCACTCTTTGCCGCTCTGGACCGCGGCCTGGCGGTCCTTCATCGGCAACCGTTCTGTCTCTGCCAGCATCTCGTGCGAGAGTGTGCTGCAGAGACCCACATAGGCAATTTTTTGGGGCTCCGAGAGGAGCCGCTTCGTCAGTGCTAGCTGCGAGATGGGCGCCGCCGCAGGATCGTCTTCATGCTCGCCAATGCGGTTCAGGTCTTCCTGAAACAGGTAGTCAGTCGCTACCTGCAGCTCATACTCTTCCTCGTCCTCGTCCAGACGCAGCTGCGTGTATCCCTCTGTATCGGGCGCCGCCTGGCTAGGCCCTGCATGATCAGGACGCGTGCGCCAGTCATAGCCACGCACGTCGTGCACGTCGAGGTGCTCACCGACAACATTCGATGTGCCTCCCTGCGCCGCTGTGCGGCGCCCACGGAGGTGCTCATGCCGCCGACGCATCGCCTGCGCCTCGCGGATCGCGCGCTGCGTCCGGGGTGAGCCTGTGGCATGTTCGTCATCGTCGCTGTCGTCCAGCAACGAAGTGGATCCCAGCGGCATGTGTGACGGGCTCATAAGCGTGCCGCCCCCTCCGACACGCTCGATGGGCATGTCCTGCCACTCGTCCTCCGAGTCATCGAGCATGCCGAGCGCTGGGGTAGGACCACGACAGGCTGGGGGCGAGGACGTTTTTGTCACGTGATGCTCTTTGAGCGCGGCGCAGGCCGTCGCTGCTACGTTGTCCTGATGCGTGTCGATGCGGACGAGGTAGGTGGCGGGCTCTAACACAGTTCCTGTCGCGCCTCGAGAAGCTATTTTCCGAGACAAAGGACAAGCACTCTGTGTTTGTCACGGTGAAGCGATGTGTGCGTGCTGGTGCCGACGGCGTAGCGTCCGCACACCCTGACGGTGCGTCTGGTGCTGCGCCTGCAAGCGTTCTCTTCCGCGCGACCGATGGAAAGAGCACGGGGCGCACAAAGATCAGCACGGTGGTATGTGCGTGGAACTCACGTCCAGGTGGCGCCGGATCACATGCTGGCCTTCCGTGATGCATACGGCGCGCTCGTGCGTGCACAGCTGGCCGAGGCGCTCAAGAAACGTGACAAGGCCAAGGAGCGGCGGGTAGACAAACTGCTCCTTGCGTCGCGCAAAAAGCTCGAGGAGAACGGTGGTCGCGTCCTGATACGCGGCGCAAGTACGTGGTACCTACTTATGGCAGAGCGTGGCGCAGGTCGCCGGCAACGCATGCGCGCTCGCCAGCGCGCCCAAAAGTTGCGCGTACAGCGCTATGCGCAGGCGGCACCGTAGCGGCGCGAGCGCCGACCATAGTCTGTGATGACATAAGCGACGGGGCACGGCCGCCGTGCGGCGGGCCGCGGTTTACGCACGGCCATGTCACGGAGCGCGACACTGACGACCTCGGCGCTGCATGCCGCCATGACGGCCGCACCATCCTGGGCACCGGTGCTGGGACTTGCATTCGTGACGTTTTCGTCTATTTTCCAGCTGATTCTCGTGTGCAGTATTGGCTACCTTATGGCCCAGCTTGGTGTGCTCGATAAGCGCATGCAGGGCAAGATGAACAAGCTGAACGTGTCGGTGTTTACGCCCGCGCTGCTGTTCTCCAAGGTGGCCTTCTACCTGTCGCCGGAGCGCCTCGTGGAGCTGGCGATCGTACCGATCGGCTTCTGTGTCGTGACATTTGTGTCAGCGGTCGCCGCGGCGGTCGCGAACCGACTGCTCGGCATTCCGCGGGGGCAGCGCCCGTTTGTGATGGCCGTCTCGATCACGCCCAACTCCAACACGCTGCCTGTTGCGCTTATCTCGTCGCTCGTCGAGAGTGTGCCGCAGCTGCACTGGATCCGCGACGGCCGCGACGTCGACACACCCAACGACATGCTGGGTCGTGCGCTGACGTATCTGGTCATGTTCTCGACGCTCGGCACGGTACAGCGCTGGAGTATCGGCGCCAAGCTCTTGTCGCATGTGCGAACAGAGCTGCCGTTCGTGCCGCCGTCCGAGAACGAGGGCAACGCGTCCGGCTTCCGCGACGATGTGACCGACACGCTGATTGACCAGCGGCACCGCTCCATCCTCGCGGACCGCGGCTCTATCCTCTCCCACACGCCCGCTGAGAGCTCGCCGCTGCGGAACGAGCTGCTCACCGACGAGCCAGACGAGATCTCTGTGGCGCCCACCGAGCGCCACGGCGCATGGCACCGCTGGGTCGTGCAGCCGTGGCGCGCGTTCGTTGCGTTCATGACGGTGCCGCTCTGGACGGCGCTGGCAAGCTTTCTCATTGCTATGACGCCGCCGCTGCAGCGCTTCCTCGTCACCCTCACACCGCTCGTCGGCGCGATCGACCAGATGGGGCAGTGCAGTATTCCGCTATCGATCCTCGTGCTTGGTGCCTACTTTGCTGGAGACGACGCGCCTGGCACCGGCATGATCCGCCGCTACTCGACCATGGAGGATTCGCAGGACCGCGAGCGCCGCGAGGCGGAGGAGCGTGCTGAAAAGAGGACGATCTGGCGCACCATTATTGCCGCCTCCTGCAGCCGCATGGTCCTTGCGCCGCTGCTCATGCTGCCCCTCTTCACCTACGTGTGCCTCAAGGTCCGCTCGTCTGTGTACGTACACGCCACTCACGCAGCATCGACGATCCCGTCTTTATGACATGTGCCTGCCTGTTGTTCGGCTCGCCGCCTGCGCTGACCCTCGCGCAGATCACGCGCCAGCGTGCGGCGCCCAACAGCCATGTCGAAATGCTCATCAGCGGCACCATCTTTGTGTCATACATTGTACTCACCGCGCCCATTACAATCCTGCTCGTGTTCCTCGCACTGTACCTGGACGAGGTCCAATCGCGTGTGGTCCTGGCGGCCATCGTGCCTGAGAATATGTCACGCCTATGGACATAGCTATAACGTTTGCGACTGCCACTTTTGGATCAGGGCACTCACACCCTCCGAGGGCTCCGACGCCTCCGTCGGCGAGACTGGCATGCGTGTGGCACGTGTCTCGTGGCTGCCTTGCGTCTCGCGTTTCGTGAGGCGCACACCTCGGGCGTGCGCCTGCGCCGCCGTCTGCGCCGACGTGGAGCGCGTGAGTGGCACTGCATGCCGGGGCGTTGGCGCCATGACCGTTGTGCCCGCGTCAATGCCGTGCGTGGGCGCCGGAGGATCCTTGGCCGGCACAGGCAAGGCCAGGGCCGGCCGACGGGGTGATGTGCTGGCATCCACATACGTCTTCGCAGGGGGCGTTGGCTCGTCCCACTGGGGCGCACGCCGCGCGGCTGGCAGTTCGTTCATTGCGAGCAGATCGCCGGTTGGCACGTCAGCGACGGGTGATTCTTTGGGCGGTGTCGTGGATGCGGTGTGGCTAGCCACCTTGGTCTGCGAGTCGGGCAGCACAGACGTCGCAGGTGTGTGCACTGCGCTGCGCCGCGTACCGGCCGCCAGGGACAAGGCAGCCGGCTTGGGCCGCACCATGGGCTTGCGCGGTTTGGGCGGCGCCGCGCGCACCGCGGGCATAGACGGCGCACTGCCCGCATGCGGTGCCGCGGCACGCTCGTGCTGGTCGGCAAGACGGGACGGCGGCTCAGCGGGCGTCTCGCCCTTCAGGAGTCCTTGTAAGGCCCGCTCATGCTCGGCCAGCGAGTCCAGCTCGGCCGTCTCAGGCGCACACACAGAGTCTGTCGTGGTATCGGCATCGCCCTCTGCATGCACGAGCAGGTCATGCAAGGCATCGGCCGCGCTGGGCACGATGGACGCGGGCGCCTCAGCAGCTCGCTGCGGGTCCGTTGGGCGCACACGCACACGGAATGTCGCCCCGGCGTCCTCCGGCTCATCGTCCGAGCTGGAGCTCACATCGACATCCACGAGTGTGTGCGCGGGCGCTCCAGGGCTCGATGCACTTGGCTCCATAAGAATCGACACAGAGAGGGGCCGCTCACGCGTCGATGGCCGTGCACTTGAATTCATCTCCGCGACCATGGCCCGCACGGAGCGCGCAGCGGGCGGCGCCGGCGGCTCAGGATCGGTGGCCGCGCGCCGCGGGGGATCGAGGTGCGCTGACAGTTCGCCCACCGAGGGGAAACGCGTCGCTACCTCGTCCACATCGAGGATGAGCGATTCGGGCCGCGCGGCGCGCTTCGGCGGGTCGGCCACGGGGCTCGGTGCCGCAGGATCAAGCTTCCGTCGCACATCGCGAAGCAACGTGTCGATATCGGGGCGGTCCTCGGGCCGTACTTGAAGGAGGGAGCGGATGAGAGCCTGGAGGTCGCGCGAGTACGCAGGCGTGGCTGGCACGTCGTAGCGCGCGTGCATAATGGCTGGGGCGCCGGCGCCCGGCGCCTCAAAGGGCGTCGTGTAGTAGCACAGCTTGTACAGCAGCACGCCCAGGGCCCAGATATCGGCCTTCTCCGTAATCGGCACGTGCTGGCGAAGGTCGACCATCTCCGGCGCACGGTACTGCATCGTCGTGTGCTGCTGGAGGTCGAGCTCGAGGCGCCGGATCGCGTCGGCGCTGCGAGCGGGCAGGGTCGTCAGTACGGGTATGCACGAGCCAAAGTCGCACAACTTGAAGCGCGGTGGGTCCGCGGTAGAAAGAAGCACATTTTCAATCTTCAGGTCGCGGTGCAACAGCACAGGATCGAGATGGTGCAAGACCTGCACGCCTTCGCACACGTCGCGGAAGATAGACAGCACCTCGGTCTCGGAGAGACGGTGCTGCAGACGGCTGTTTAGAAAGTCGATCAGCCCGCCGCCGCGGCAGTACTCCATCAGGATAAATATCTCCCACCCGCCGCCAGCGAGTGTGGCTGCCGACGCTTCGACAAAGTGCACGATGGCCTCGTGGCCCTGGAGGGCGCGCTGCGTGAGTGCTGCACACGTACATGATGGTCGACTTCGGCGCGGACCGTTGCCAGCGTCCCCTTATCCCAGACGCACATGTGCTTTAGCACGAGCTGCGTGTCGCCGGGCGCAGGCCGCCCAGGCAGACGCACGGGCGCCTCGGCCTGCACAAGGTAGACACACGCGAAGCCGCCCTGGCTCAGGAAGCGCTGGACCGTCACGAGATGCGCACCGATGCGTACGCGCATGCCCGGCTGCAGCTGGCGCTGCCCCCGGAAGGGCTGTAGCGCACCGGGCACGCCCTGCGCCATCGGAGCGGCCATGGAAGGGGGCACCGCTGCGCCGGCGCCGGGGCCACTGGGAGGGGCACGAGACGGGTGGCTGAGTCAGCACAAGACCGCTCGCGACAGCGCGTCTGCTTGTCAGGGCATGCCGAAAGTGCGTCCGGTCGTGGGGCGCCGCGCTCAGCGTGCGCAGCGCCACAATCCACTGCATCGCCCGCAGATTGAGGTGCAGACGGCGTCCGTGGAGCAGGTGGTGCCCGCCCTCGCCAAGCTCGGTACCGGACCGGATGCGCCTCCCGTCGACACAGGCGACAAGGTGTGGGCGCTGGCGTCCGTATCGACGCTTTTGGCCGACGATCATGAGCCGCACCGCCGCCTTCTCCTTGCTCACCAGGTCGTAGGGCGTGTGCTCTATGCGCTCGAGTCGGATACAAATCTGGAGGTGCGTCGCGAGGCTAGCGGTGCGCTGCGCAACCTGTGCCTCAGCAGCCGCTCTACCGACACGCTCGGCGAGCTCGCCAACAAGCGCGCTGTAGAGATTGTGCTTCAGGTGCTCCGGTGGGCCGCACTAGGACTGCAGAGCCACGAACGCCGCTTGGAGCGCACGCGCGCGCCGCTCCTGGCTGAACGCGAACGCCTGCGCACCAAGCCCGTCGAGCAGATGAACCGCAAGGAGCGCCGCCTCGCTGCCAAGCTCGCCCAGGGGCGCGTACCTGACACCGCGGCTGATGCGATGGCCGACTTTGATGGTGACGACGCCCAGGGCACGCTGGATTTCCATGGCTGGGGCGCCGATGCAGACGCCTCGCTCGCTGGGATGGGCTCCGCCGCTGCGCAGTGTCTTGTCGAGATGTGCGAGAGCCTCGTCACAGTGCTAACGTGCTTTTGCGAGGCGAGCGATAAGCTCCTGGCACGTGTGCTCCAGTGGGACTGGCACGAGCCGCGCGGCACGGCGCTCGCCGGCGAGGCGCTGTGCGCCTGGCTATGCCAGGCCTTGCACCTCGGCGTCCACGCTGCGAGCGGCGCGCCGTCTGCCGCAGACCCAGCGTGTGTCGTGCCGCAGATCGCGCTCGGCATTGCCAGCGCACAGGCGCTCAGTGCGATCACGGATGAGGAAGGCATGGCACAGGCACTCGCCGGCCTCGGGCCGGGGCCGGGGCGGGCGCCGATGCCCTCGCCCGCGCAGCTGCGCGATGCGCGGGAGCGTGGCGCAGCACGACTTGCCATTCTCGCAGATGCTTCTGCGCTCTTGCAGCGCGATGCGGCGCCGCGGCCTGCGATGCTCGGCGCTGCTGCTGGCGGCGTGCTGGTGAATGTGCTGCGCAACGCGCGCAACGACGCAGAAGATGCGCCAGCTGTTCGGTCCGAGCCGCTCAGCGCGTTTGTGCATGAGGCGCTGCTCCAGCAGCTAGTGACGCTCCTGGCGCCTGCGTCGGTGGACTCGGTAAAGGATGACGCAGTGGCGTTGCTTGAGATGTGTTTGGAGCTGGTCGCTGACTTGGCGAGCGTGCTAGGTACGCCGCTCGATACTGTACACAGCGGCACAGCGCTGGCGAGTGTGCCCGTGACCGAAGAGGGGGGCCTAGGCGATTGGGTCGTAGCTCGCTGCATGCGCTCGACCCTCGTCGAGACGCTGTTGCGACTCGCGACGCCGCACGAGAGCTCCGCCGCCGAGTCGCCCGGCGCAGCGCGCCGCGCGATCGAGACGCGAGCGCTGGCCGCGCTGCAGAACTTGCTGCTGCGCCTTGCGCACTTTGCACCGCCGCCGCCGTCGCAGTGGCCCGAGGACGACGAGGAGATGCTTCAGCGCATCGCGCTGTGGCGCGCATGGTTTGGCACCTCGTACCTGGATGGCGCAGATCCGGCACAGTCGGCATCGGATATGGGCACGATGCTCCGCACACTGTGGGACCAAGTGTTTGCCATCGCAGCGCACTGGGCGAGCGTGGATAGCGTGGCCAATGCGGCTCCCGGTACCTCTGACATGGACGTGTCCGTGGCGCAGGACGGACTCGCCATGGTCGATGCGGGCCTCGGTGCGCTGTGGGCTATGGCGCGTGTACTGGAAGGGCAGCTGCCGCTCACACAAGACGACGAGGCTGCGCCGTGGGTGTCTGCCCTGGCAGCCGCGTACGATTCGGCCCAGGACGCGTCGGTGCGTGTCAAGAGTATCGGCACCCTTGCGTGCCTTGCACGCTCGCAGTACTACCGCGTGCACGGCGCGTCGGCCCCGCCGCCCGTCTATGAGCGAGTGTATGCAGAGCTCGCATCGTTCTGGCTGCAGGTCGCGGCGCATGTGCCGGACGCTGACACACTGACGGCCGTGCTGAATGCCATCGTGGATACATACGCGAACGAGATGGCGCCTTGGGACGGTGTGTACGCGCAGGTCCACATGCAAAGCAAGCTCAAAGCGCTCGTGCCGAGTCTGTCGGCGATTGCTAAGCGCGTGGATCGCCACGCGGACGGCCCGCTGTATGCGGCGGCCATGGAGAGTGTGCAGAACCTACGGGCCTTTTTGGACTACCGGGCCAGCTTGCGCTGAAGCTCGGCGCGGCGGAATACGCGGCGGACAACGTCCGCCCACGCCACGGGCGCCGCATCAGGGCACACGGGGCACGAAGCTGTGGTCGGTAGGCAGAAGCGGCGGACCGTGCGCGGCTCGCGCTCGATCGAATAGGTGGCCAGACACGTAAGATGGAAGGCGTGTGTACCCGGTGATGCCGGCTCGGGGCCGATAGGACATAGCGTGTAGGAGAGGGGCCGTGCCAGATCGATAGGAGCGCGACACAAGCCGCAGGAGAGTGCAGCACGATCGGCATGAGAAGCGACTTGGTCAGCCTCCTGTGTCGCCTCCGCTTGGGAGGCGCGATGCAGCGCGAGCCACGGCTGCGTCTCTTGGGGCGCGCGCTCGAGAGCGTCCCATGTGAGGCCAAGCGTCTTCGCATCGCGCGCAGGCGGCGGGCACTCGTCCCATACAGTGTCCGATGCTCGGCCCGTGCGCTGCTGCGCCGACCTTGTGGCAGCTTCAGGGAGCGGCGGCATGGCCTCCGACGTAGCCGTGCGTTGCAGCGGCGAGTGCGCACCCAGTACACCGCGAAAGTCGCACAGCACGGCCGGGTACCCGGGCGGAAGGGCGCGGCGCGTTACGCGCGACGTGTGCCACTTTGGCGTGGGCGACGTGCGCTCAAGAAAGCGCCAAACGCCGTACGCGTACTCAGTAAAGAACGCGACGCGCAGACCCCAGTGACAGAAAGGCTCGCTGGACAGCAGCGCGCGGAGCACGAGGAACTTATGCTCAGGTACATTCGTTGAGCGTAGTTTCACGCGCCGCTCGCCTTTCCGCGACGTACCGTACGACTTGCGACTGGCTGGGAAGAGCGGCTCTGCGCTGCGCCCCGCATACACGGCGCGCTGCTGGCCATGCACGACGCGCAAATGCCGCGAGAGATGCGGAGTCTGCCAAGACCATTCAAACTGGGGTAAGACAGCAGCACGGACCTGAAGAGCAGCCAGCTTCGATGGGAAGCCATATACTATCATGTCCATGACCCAGGGTCGCGCGAAGCGCGTGTAGAAGGCACCATTTTTCACAAGCCCATTGTGCTGCCGCAGGCGCCGTACAGGATCCGGCGTCGAGCCCACGTAGGTCTGATTCGGCTTGGATTGCGATCGCAGGCAGTAGCATGCGTACACAGGCGGTATCGCATGCCGCGCTACACTCGAGGTGCGCATCTTCCTGGCGGACAAAGGACGCGTCGGCCGCGTGCCGCAACATCCATGTGGGGAATTTGGCCGGACCCCTACCCGCCCCCAAGAGGAGAGCAGGTGTCTGACCACGCAGCCCCCACGCCCTTGATCGCGGTCGTGCTGTCAGGCGCTCGAGCTCACGACCAGCTGCACAAAAGCACATGGCCATTCTTGCCGCACGCAGAAATACGGACTCCTCGACACGCAGCAAGGCCGAAGCTCGAGGAGAGCACCATCTATGTAGTTGGGCATGGCACTGACGCCCTCCTTGTGAAACAAGACATACAGCGCAGCCATGCTCAGTCATGCTTCGGGCGTTGCGCAACGGACAGAGAAGGTTTCATACGAGGGAAAATAGCGTGGTGACTACATAGCCACGTTACTCAGGCTTGACCTGCAGCTCGCCCTCGCGGAACTGGCGCGCCCACTGCGGTTAGTGTATAGGAGGGAGCCACACACCATCTGCGAAGGAATCGGGTGAATCGGTGCCTGGTGGCGCCACTGCCGGTCAACACACCTTCCACGTACCTCGCGATCAGAGCTTAGCTGCCACAGGCCATAGCAGATCACGCCAACGCCACTAGCAATAACAAAAGTGTTGCTCGCCCAGTTCTTGGGACTGTTTGTCAGACCCCGATGAGGCACTTACCGAGTCCACCAGCCACCTGTAAAATGTCAGCTACCCTCTACACATACCAGTCGGCGTCCAGACTTCCTTCGGGTACGGGTAACGAGGACCTGCGCCCTGTCGAGTTAGAGCACGCGCTCACGCACCATGATAAGAATGCGTCCTCGGGAGCAACGAGCCTGTCGCTCGTCACGAGCAACGGGTTCTCCTGTGTGCACTCGGCCGAACATGTCCCCCGCAGCGTAGCGCGCCGCGCGCATTGTCCCAGCTACAGGTGCCATGTCGCAAGAGGCACCTATCACACTGGATGAGGCGCTCCAGTGGCTCGAGCACCAGCGAAAGTATGTGAAGGAGGCTTACCTGTCAGAACGCTAGCTCGCGAGCCGTTCCACGTGGTTCGCTACGGTGAATGGCTTCTTGAGCACAAGCAGCTTGGCGCGCTCGGACAGGATGTGTGGGCCTTTCTTGAGCAGCTGGGACTTGCTGCTGCAGAACTCGGCAAGATCGATCTTGCTGAGCTTTGCCTATCACGCCTGATTGTTCGCTTTAGTGACTCTGCCCGCGTCCTCGTGCTCAAAGGCGTCATCCTGGAGGCGGAAGGGCGCTTCGACGAGGCGAAGCGAGTGTATGAGCTACTCCTCCGCAAGGAGTCCTCGAATGTGGTACGTTGATGTGACTGATCGTTTAGCTCGTCAACAAGCGCCGCCTCGCATGTATCAAAGCAGCTCCGAATGGCATCCCGCTTGCCACAGAGGGCTTGGCAGAGCTTGTGGATATCTTCCCGACAGACCAGGAGTCGTGGCTGGAGTTGGCATCCCTGTATCTGCACCAGAACAAGTACGAGCAAGCCGTGTTCGCGCTAGAAGAGCTGGTCTTGCTGGCGCCACAGAACAGCTTCTACCTGCTCAAGTACGCCGAGACGCTCTACACGGCAGGCGATATTGTCAATGCTTACAAGATCTACCTTCGGATTCTCGAACTAGGTGAGGGAAATCTGGCACCCAATTCGGGGCACAAGATGGACCGTGTGAAGGGACCATGGGTCCGAACGCTCTGGGGCCTAAAAATGGTATGTTCTATGCCGTCTTACACTAGTGCGCATCCCAGCTCTTGAGCAATCCAGCGCAGAAGGACTCGGGCGTCACCAGCGTGGAAAGCGTCGATACACTAGTGACAAAGCTACTTCTCGAGTCGGTTTACGCGCCAAATGCGGACCCATTGACCCCAGCTAGCTGCCGTTCTGCTGTGCGTGCTGTCTTGGCGCCCTCTTCGTCTGCCTAGCATACCCATGTAACGCCATAGCCCACAGTTCTCGCGCCCGCGCTGATTCTGCGGCTGGCGCCTCTAATTTCGCCCAACCCTTCCCACTCTGTTTTGTCATAAAATAATTTCAAACTCCTCTCGGCCGTGCCAGCCAAACACCCGGGATGGGAAAACTCGCCCGAGGCCACGATCTCAGCCGCTCTCTTCGCGCAAGCTTGTCCGTCCCACGGGCTTGTTGACAGGGTATCCACGGTCTTAGGAAAAAGGGCGACTGTTCCATCGGTTCTTGAGTGTCTGGCAACACTCTGGTTCTAGTACCCACCTTTCTTCGCAGATTGGATTAAGGGTTGAGAAGCTTGCGACTTGGCTTTTGTCTGTGGCACAAATTTATGTATGTACACGGGCCGCGCACATGAACTGCCGTGGACTCTTATGAGTGTGGTCAGAGTGCATGTGCAGGTCATCTAGCGTAAGAACGGGGACTGACACAAAACAGATACAATGGCGGACAACCAAACTGCTGAGGTCGATATAGACAATGTGATCGACCGACTGCTTGAAGGTACGTTGCCATTATGGCTCACATACCAGTGCGTGGTTCACGTCCTGGAAAGCATGTCAACTTGGAAGAGTACGAGATCAAGTATCTCTGTATGACGGCCCGGGATATCTTTATCAACCAGCCGATCTTGCTTGAGTTGGAAGCACCCATCAAGATTTGCGGTATGTACCCTGTGTAACCCGCTTGCTAATGCCGCAGGTGATATTCACGGTCAATACTACGACCTGCTTCGTCTGTTTGAATACGGAGGCTTCCCTCCAGAAGCTAACTATCTCTTCCTGGGTGACTATGTGGACCGAGGAAAGCAGAGTCTCGAGACGATCTGCCTCTTGCTTGCCTATAAGATCAAGTATCCGGAGAACTTCTTTATCCTTCGCGGCAACCACGAGTGTGCAAGTATCAATCGTATTTACGGATTTTACGACGAATGCAAGCGTCGTTTTAATATTAAACTGTGGAAGACATTCACTGACTGCTTTAACTGTCTGCCCATCGCAGCTATCATTGACGAAAAGATCTTCACAATGCATGGCGGTTTGTCGCCGGACCTGCAGAGCATGGAGCAAATCCGCCGCGTCATGAGGCCCACAGATGTGCCGGACACGGGTCTCCTCTGCGATTTGTTATGGTCCGACCCCGACAAGGATATATCGGGTTGGTCGGAAAATGACCGTGGCGTTTCGTTCACGTTTGGGCCTGACGTGGTGTCACGCTTCCTTGCCAAGCATGATATGGATCTCATATGTCGCGCACACCAAGTGGTGGAAGATGGTTACGAGTTTTTTGCCAAGCGGCAATTGGTGACGCTGTTCTCGGCCCCCAACTACTGTGGTGAATTTGATAATGCCGGTGCTATGATGAGCGTGGATGAGACGTTGTTGTGTTCATTCCAAATTTTGAAGCCTGCAGAGAAGAAGCAAAAATATGCGTACGGCGGTATCAACATGGGCCGGCCGGTCACACCTCCTCGCAAGCAGAAGAAGAAGGGTGGTGCCTAATGTCCGACAGGATATGTATATACCGACTCAGAGCTTGGGCATGCGATTTGCAGGGCTATCGAGACACACATGTACCTTAGGCATCCTTGGGAATCACCTATTGGCTTCGATAGAACTGGATTTGGATCTAGTTCTCCCGTAGAGACTTTGCCCGTCCCATGGATCTTGTGACCAACCCGGAGATCGGGCCAGCCGCGTTGGTCGACTTCACGTGATCACCGACTCCGCACGGTGCATGTAGGCGTAGGCATGCCGAGACTAATATCCGTTCCTCCATGAGTGGCAAGAGCGACAATCCTCCCGCGTATTCATCCAACGATCCCAAGAGCACGCAGAGCGGTGACACGAGACCCCTTCCTGAGGGATGGGTGAAGCAGTGGGACAACAAGTATGTGTACTATGATTGACAATGTAGCTACAGCCGCCACTTTTATGTGGACACGCGAGCCAATCCCCCGCGCTCTACCTGGGTTCACCCTGTCGATGAACAGAATCAAAAGTACCAGCCGCCTGCTGGTCCCCCGCCTGGTGCTGCCACGCAAAGCTCGTATCCTCAGCAATATATGCGTCCGCCGCAACCACAGCCCGTATATCAGCAGCCTGTGTACCAACAGCCCGTGTATCAGCAGCCACCAATGATGGGTGGTAGCCGCTTCGGACCTGGAGGCGGTCTTGGTGGTGGCTTCGGCCGCATGGGCGGTGGCGGTGTCGGGCCGATGGGTGCCGGCCTTATGGGTGGTGGCCTCGGTCTGCTGGGCGGTATGGCGATTGCCGATGGCATAGGTATGTTCGGTTCTGGGAGTAGCAGCTTACTCCAAAAGATGATATGCAGGATCACGCCTACATGGAAGGCATGCATGATGGCCAGATGTACGACTCTGGCGGCATGGGTGGCGACATGGGCGGTGATATGGGCGGCATGGGTGATATGGGCGGTGATATGGGCGGCTTCTAGTTTTGCCCGATGCCTCGTCTATAACGTCCCATCATCATACTATGATGAAGTCGTCAAGTTAAGTATCTTGCCAATGTAGATTCTGGTTTGTTAGCGCAAATAGAACGCACCCCAATCAGCGCAGTGACACTCGGCAGTTTACCTGGATGAGGCGACAATACGGTCAATTTTTTGCGGTTGGTATCCACATCAGATCTGTCAAGTAAGCCGGAGAGTCACAACGTACACATGCACAAAACCAAGCAGACTAGCGCCCAACAGTTCGTCATCGGTGTATTCTCCTTCCGCTTTCCCATCTGCACCCTCCCTAGGTGGCGGAGTTTCCACCAAAGCCAAGACAGACTGCAGCAGCATAGACAAGTCACTTGATGAGTTTACCGGATCGAGCTTGACCACTTGCATTTCAGATAGAGCGCGCTCAGCTCCAATAGGTAGTGCCGAGGATGGTGCCACGCGGTCTTGGCCAACGCGATAGATCTGCAGTAGATCAAAGGGAATCGTGGAAGAGTAGGGATTCAGCGAAGGAACCCCGCCCAAGGGCTCGTCAAGTCCCAAAGCTGCCGCCGCTCCACTCTCCTCAGAGCTCAGCTCACGCGGTCGACACAGGGGCATACCATAAAAGTAGGATCGAATTTGAAGATCATGCAGCTTCTGTTGATACACCTCATCAACTTCCACAGCGCCACCCGAGCGAGGAATCTTGACAATTTGGGGCGCACTGCCAGTCGGAATGTTAGCATAGATACGGGTGAGCTCCAAGTTGAGCTTGTCGTGGCCTACGACGACGACAGTGTCCACCTTCAACGCGCGAACGCAGTATTGGATAAAAGCATAGCGAGTGCGCGCATCCGCCGTGATCACACCGGGCGTATCAATGAGAAGGCCCGACATTCGAGATCGCATATCCTTGGCCATGCGTTTCTCGATATGGAAGGCTAGCCAGTCGACAATGCGCCGTGAGTGTCGCTCATTCTCGCGCACATTTTGTTTCCCCATCCATAAAGAGAGGGGCATCACACTGTGCACCGTAGATACACCTGGAGGCAAGGCTCCGGTGGTCTCAGGCGTCACACCATAGGGTAGAGCAGGCGAAGGGGATGGTAGAGTGTTGGAAGGTGTGGGATTCAGTGGGATGGCACTGACACATCCAGGTATGGGCACAGCGCCTTCTGCAGGGTCTAGCGTCACAATCATGGGCCACCATCCCGTGATTTCACTCAGCGGTTTGTCACCGGCCTCCTCGTTTTGAGCTTCTTCGTCTGAATCGTCATGATGCCCCTCTTGCTCTCTCGTGCGCCGTTTTGCTTCTTCACCTTCTTTTACACTCGCTAAAGCAGGTGAACGCAGCGCATAGTTAGCCAAGAATTTGATCAGTGTAGACTTGCCGGCACTGGCAGGACCCACGACCATCACACGCGGGCCTTGTCCAGCGGCACGATATGGATCTCTGGGGTCAAGTGGGCCATCGCTTTCAAACGATGGTGGCACCTTGTGAATGTTAACGTCGAATTCTTCAAGCTGTTGCAAGAGCGAGTGATCTGTACGTAGCTGCTCTCGTGCACGGAGACGAGCCCGTTCCAAATTGAGGTGCAAGTTGGCACCATAGGTATAGAAAGGCGACGGCTCATCGGCCATATATTCAGTAGAGGCTTGACCAATGATTTCAATTTCAGCCCCGCCCCAGGTGGATATGGCGAATTTGGCCTCATTGCCAAAGGTGTACCAGCGCTCTTGGGTACCAGCTACCAGTGGTGCGCCAAACACTTCTGCATCTCCATAATGACCTGTAAGTGCATTTGAGACAAAGCGTATGGCCACGGTCTCGTTCGAATCCAGTTCGATGCGGTATTCTGAGCGTGGCGGAAGTTGCACACGCCGCGAAGCCTCGCCAGACATTGAGGATGGCCAGGATCGACGACGCAAAAGTGGAGGCGTGGATCGCACGCGTTTGCAGCGCGCCCACCAGGCAATCGATGAAGCGCAAGGGAGATTGGCCAGGTGCCGAGTCGAGTGGGAAGCGGACCCACATAGACTCCTTTACGGATGGGGATAATGACATGGATGCTCAAGCTGAACGACAAGGCAAGACTCGTCGTGGACGTGTTATGACTGAAGGGTATGATTCGGACGACTCTGATGAGGGTCCCAGCAAGTCGCATCGGCGCGGATGGAAAGACGGGGCAGAAGGGAATGCTGATGACGATGATGATGACATGTTTGCGGATGCTAAGAAAAAGGAGGATGAGGATGATGACAGGAAGGAGCCCCGATTCTTAAAACTCTCTGACATTGACGGTCAAGAGTTTGGAGCCCGCACACGCATGGGTGATGAGGATGACAATGATGAGCTAGATCACGACGAAGATCCTGAATACGAGCTAGAACAAGCGATGAAGAGCCAACAGCATGAAGATGCCAACGCTGATGCAGAACGCACGCCGCCAGGCTCGCCGCGGTACGATGGCGTGCTTGGCGTCAAGAAGCAAGGCATGGGCTTCCGTATTGAAAAGTTCAACATGAAAGCAGAGATGGCAAGTGGTCAATTTGATGAAGATGGCAACTACATTAGAAATAAACGAGATCAGTTTTCGCAGAATGACCGCTGGCTCGAAGGCAACTATACGAAAAAGTCGATCAAATCCGCGAGCGAGGCGCAGAAAAAACGACAAGAGGCTGAAAAGGAGCGTATGAACAAGGAAATGGCCGAATTTCCCACGATGGAACATGCTATGAAGGAGCTGGCAGGGTTTATGCAGCCCGGTGAGGCTGTGTTAGATGCGCTGCATCGACTAGGATCACAAGCAAAGAGATCGAAGAAAGACCAGGAAGGAGCGGAAGCTAGCAAGGCGGCATTTGAACACTTTACTGATGTGACAAGCATCTTAATGAATACTTTTGGTCAGATGAACGTGTACGACGAAGTGTACGAAGGACTGGTTCGGATGGTGCGCCGAGCAGGTCTTGTTCCAGAAGATTGGGATCCATCGCGGAATACTCAAGGGGCGACACCTGGTGACCAAGTGTCTGGCGAGGGAGAGGCGATATGGGAGTACAAATGGACCCCCACTTACTTGGCCCAAGCGGCCAAGGCCCACGGCACGAACGTTGATCCTGAGACAAAGGTATTCGGCCCCTTTCGAGCCTCTGAATTGAAAGCTTGGGCCGAGCAGGGTTTCTTTGGTACATCCATGGAGAACATCCTTCTGCACCGCTCCACCGCCGAACCGACCTCCTGGGCCTCGTGGGCTGAGGCCGGATTGTAGTTGTAGATACGCACCTCCATTAGATATGTCGCCTCTAGTCAGGCTCACTCGGACCACTGCTACGAGACGCTAGGGATATGTTCTGGCGCGCCTTGTCCCGTTTCTTCCGTATAGGAAACGCCAGGTACATTGTTGGCCACGATTTAGAGAACAATATATACTATGAATTGCCATCCCTTCACGCGACAGATCCACGACGAACGCGCCGGTACGTGCCACGGAGTAACACCAGGGTGGTGAAGTGGAAGTCGTGTCCTTATCCCAGCGACTTTAATCCCAAAGATATGCCGATTCAATGGGACGCATGGATGCGTCATACGCGCAAGCAGCCGCCCACGATCCAAGTATGTGTATGCGTATATGCTCATTTCTAGGAGCTCTTAGAAGACCGTGAGCGGATACGGATTGTTCAGCACAACGCCATGGTGCTTCAAATGCAGGAGCAGGCACATAAGGCTCAGGTGGAAGCTAAACGTGAACGCGAGCACGAGCATGCTCTAGAGGAGCAGTCCCGTGCCGAAAAGACATTCTCCTCCTCCCGCAAAGACGCGGAGCAAGGTGCCGAAGAGACCGTCGAGACGGCCATTGTCCACCCCGCACGACGACGAGGATAGAAGCTATATAGACATGCAAGGTGTATTGGCATGTTACTTACTATGGCTGGGTCGTGCCGACTGTCAATGCAGTCTTAAAATGACCCATTTTTATCTAGTGGTTAAAGTGGGCTTCCACCTCCACCGGCGAGTACAGCTTCTGATCCAGCGACTTATAGTACTCAACGACCTTGGCAGCCTTCTCTGCCACATCCTTGTCGGTCATGTGGAAGTGCTTGTAAGCCTCCTGGTAGGGTGCCGAAACACCGAACGAGTTGATGCCGTGGTGGACATGCGCGTACTTGCCCCAGCCCAGCGTGCTGTAGGCCTCCACCGACAAAATCGGGTGGCCGGAGGGAAGCACCGACAGGCGGTAGTCGAGCGGCTGCTTATCAAAGACACTGAAGCAAGGCATCGACACCACACGAGCCTTGATGCCCTGCTCACGGAGCTGAGCGGCGGCGTCACGGCAAATCGAGACCTCAGAACCTGTCGAAACCAGAGTCACAGCGGCATCACTGTCCTCACTCAGGACGTATCCACCCTTAATGGCGTTCTCGATCGAAGAGCCTTCCAGCTGGGGCAGGTTCTGACGGGTAAGCGAAAGCACCGAGGGCGTAGTAGGGCTCTCAAGAGCCATCTTATAGGCTGCCGAAACCTCGTTTCCGTCCGCCGGGCGCCAGTAGTCCATGTTGGGCAGCGCGCGGAGAGCGGCAGCCACTTCGATAGGCTGGTGCGTAGGACCATCTTCACCCAGGCCAATCGAGTCGTGGGTGGCCACCCAGATAACCTGGAAGTGGGACAGCGCAGAGAGACGCAGAGCACCCCATGCATACGTCACGAAGTTCAGGAAAGTGCCGGCAGTGGGGATGTGCATACCGTAGGCATGGAGACCGTTCAAGATGGCGCCCATAGCGTGCTCACGCACACCATAGCGGAGGTAACGACCAGCGTAGTTGCCAATCTCCAGAGTCGGGTTCTGGAAGTCTGTGGCCTCCTTCCAGCGCGTCAGGTTCGAGCCCGTCAGATCTGCCGAGCCACCAAGAATCTCAGGCACCACCGAACTGATTTCCTGCAGAACCATCTCAGAGAGCTTACGGGTGGCCAGCGGCTTGTCGCTGGGCTGGTAGCGAGGCAAGACCTTCTCCCAGCCCTCGGGGAGCTTGTGCGCAGCGCGACGCAGGATCTCGCTGTGTTCCTTCTCATACTTCTTACCGTATTCTTCGAACATCTTGTTCCATTCAGCGTGCTTCTCGCTACCACGCTTGGCGTACGACGCGTATGCTTCGGCAACCTCGTCAGGCACGACGAAGCTCTCCTTAGGGTTGAAACCGAACTTCTCCTTCAGCTGTTCAATGTCATCCGCCTTGAGGGGCGAACCGTGCGTGCTCGCGGTACCCTGGTTCTTGGAACCGAAGCCAATTGTCGTCTTAAGGATGATCAGCGTAGGTTTTTCCTTTTCGGAGTGGGCCTTCTCAATAGCCTCGAACACGCTCTTGATATCGTCATCACCATTGGTGATCGACAGAACGTTCCATCCGTACGATTCAAAGCGTTTCGGCACATCCTCCGTGAAAGACACGTTGGTGTCGCCATCGATAGTGACACTGTTGTCATCGTAGAAGGCAATGAGGTTGAACAGCTTCAAATGACCCGCCAGCGAGGCAGCCTCCGAGGCCACACCTTCCTGCATGCATCCATCACCGAGGATCGTGTAGGTGTAGTTGTTGAAGATCTCGAAGCCCTCCTTGTTGAAGGTAGCAGCGGCGCTACGCTCAGCAATCGCTAGACCGACGGCCGTCGCAAAGCCCTGGCCTAGAGGACCGGTGGTCACTTCAACACCGTCAGTGTGGTTAGCTTCGGGGTGGCCAGGGGTCTTGGAGTTCAGTTGGCGGAACGACTTGAGGTCGTCCATGGACAACTGGTAGCCCATCAGATACAGCATGATGTACTGCAGCGCACAGGCGTGGCCGTTCGACAGAACGAAGCGGTCACGGTTGAGCCACTTCGAGTCCTTGGGGTCGCACGTAATCACACGGCTCCAAAGCAAATGCGCCAGCGGGGCCAGACCCATTGGGGCACCCGGGTGACCCGAATTGGCCTGGACGTGTGAGCAGGGATGCACATACCTTGGCGACAATATCAGCCGCTAGTGTACCTATATGTGTTAGCGCACCAGTGAAATTGCAATATTTACATACGGATCGTGTTGATCGCTTTAAGGTCAACGTCAGTGGGCGTGAAGACCATGGTGGGAGACGGGAGCGGGAAAGTCCGCCACACCGGGTGGTGCCCCGCTTAGCCGATGCGGTCGGGTCACCTCACGTGACTCACGTGACAGCTTGGCGGCGCCGGTGAGTCAGATACACCAGATCTTAGGAAGCCCCGCTCTACCATGAATCCCGTCGGAAAGTACAAGGGCTATACGCCTGTCCATCTGCCTGATCGGCAATGGCCGAACAAGATACAACGGGAATCTCCTATATGGCTGTCTACTGATCTCCGTGATGGCAACCAGGCGCTGGCTAACCCCATGACGGAGGAGCAAAAAGTGCTCTTCTTTAAGAAGCTAGTCTCCATTGGCGTCAAAGAAATCGAGGTGGCATTCCCTTCGGCGAGCGACACAGATTTCGGATTTGTTCGCCGCATCATTGAGGAGGGCCTTATTCCTGATGACGTGTGGATCCAGGTGCTGACGCCTGCGCGCGAGGAGCTAATTCGCCGCACGTTCGAGTCGGTGAAGGGTGCAAAGAATGTGATTATCCATATGTACAACGCCACCTCTCCGCTGTTCCGCGAGGTGGTATTTGGCAACGACCAGGCTCGGACGATCGACCTGGCGGTCAAGCACACGAAGCTGGTGCGGGAGCTTATGGACCACTACACCCAGCCGGCGAATGGCGGTACGACTTTCCGCTACGAATACTCCCCGGAGACCTTCACACAAACGGAGCCGGACTTCGCGATCCAGGTGTGTGAGGCTGTGCGCGAGGCTTGGGGTCTGGCCTCCTCGGACAACCGGCTGATTTTCAATTTGCCTGCGACTGTTGAGATCGGTCCGCCCAATCACTATGCCGACATGATCGAATACTTCTGCCGGAACATTAAGGACCGTGATACCATATATGTGTCCTTGCACCCCCACAATGACCGTGGCTGTGGCATTGCGGCGGCTGAGCTGGGTATTCTTGCTGGTGGCGATCGCATTGAGGGCTGTATTTTCGGCAACGGCGAGCGCACTGGTAACGTTGACCTGGTGACCCTCGCGCTGAACCTTTACACGCAGGGTGTGGCGCCAGGTCCACTAGATCTCTCGGACCTGCCGTCTCTCATTGAGGTGGTGACTAGCTGCAATGATCTTCCCGTGCACCCGCGCCACCCCTATGCGGGTGAGTTGGTGATGACTGCTTTCAGTGGCTCGCACCAGGATGCGATCAAGAAGGGCTTCCAGGCACAGCAAAAGCGCCGCGAGGCCGGTGACACGATCTGGAACATGCCGTATCTGCCTGTGGACCCTGCCGACCTGGGTCTGACATACGAGGCTGTGATCCGTGTGAACAGCCAGAGCGGCAAGGGTGGTATTGCATACCTGCTCTCGCAGTCTCTTGGCGTGGATCTCCCGCGCCGCATGCAAATCTCGTTCTACCAGGTGGTCCAGGCTCTCGCTGAGGAGACTAGCAAGGAAATCTCAACGAGCGATATTACTGAGGCGTTCCTGCGCACGTATCATGTGCCTGCGGCGCGCCACGGCGGCAACGAGGGCAAGTTTAGCCTCCGCAGTTTCCGACTGAGCGAGGCTGGCGCACAGATCTCGCCCGATGGTGCGAGCGTGTCGCAACAGCGCATCTTTGAGGGTGTCATTGCGCGCCAGGGCGAGCCTGTCGAGGTGCAAGGCACCGGCAATGGGCCGCTGTCCGCCCTCTTGGACGCTGTTGAGAAGCACTTTGGTTTGAGTGTGAACGTGCGCGAGTACAGTGAGCATGCTCTTACGCGTGCGAGTGCCCTTACGATGGGCACGGAGTCGGGTGCGCGTGGACAAACGCGTTCCCAAGCGGCGTCGTACGTCGAGCTTGTCCGGCAGGATGAGAGCGAAAAGCTGGGTGCTAGCAAGGCCCAGGGCTTCTGGGGTGTGGGTGTCGATGTTGACATCACGTCAGCTGGTCTGAAGGCTGTACTGAGTGCCCTTTCCAACGTGCCATAATGAATTTCCACCGATCATCGTCGTGTCATAGAGGCTTCGAATCTGTCTAGATCTGACCCGATCTGTGGACTTTGCCATCGGTCACAGCCCTCCACAACTGGACTGCTTTGGCCATGGATAAGCGGGCCGTCGTCGACTGGGTGCGCCCGTACGTGCAGGCGTGGGGCCTGCACTACTTGCCAGAGCATTTGATTTCTATCATGCGATCAATCCTTCTCTGGTTCGCGATTCAACTGCTCTCGCATTCCGTTTCGCCCAAGCTTTTTCCCAAGTCGTTTGCAAACATGTCGCCTCGGACTCGCACTTCTTGGGATCTGCACATGGTTTCGTTGGTCCACTCCGTCATTGTTGCACCAATCGCCTTGTACTACTGGCTCCAGATTGACGAATCGACAGACCGACTATGGGGCTATGACTACACGCTTGCGCAGGTCTATGCTCTGTCGCTGGGGTACTTTGTTTGGGACGTGATAATGTCTCTGCGCTATGAGGGCTTTGCCTTTGTACTGCATGGTATCCTGGGATTTATAGCGGCGCTACTGGTCTACAAGCCTCTCCTCATGTTTGACGGGCTGAGCGTTCTTATCTGGGAGCTGAGTACGCCGTTCTTGAACATTCACTGGGCTCTGGACAAGCTGGGACGCACAGGCTCGCGTCTCCAGCTAATCAATGCCGTGTTTCTGGTATTGACATACGTCTGTGTCCGCCTACTTCTGGGCGCCTATGCGTCGTACCGTCTCATTGAGCTCATGTGGGCCTCGGCCTCAACGGCCCGGCCGGTGTCGATGTCTTTGCGGGTGATCTACACCCTGGGTCTGCCTATCCTCAACTTTTTGAACTATATGTGGTTCTTTAAAATGCTACAGGCTATCCGCAAGCGCTTTCCCTCCGAGGGCGTCAAATCCAAGGCTTCATAGTGCATTACCAGGCTTCACCGCGCTCGGCACTTGTCTGAACTCGATGGGCGATGTCGCGTTCTTCCTCGAGCAGAAGCCGGACTAGACTCGCAGGCTCATCGTGTCGACCTTGAAGCTGTTCCAAGAGCGCACTCCGCTGCTCTGCCATTTCAGTACATAGGCGGCACAGAACATCACGCATCGGCCTTTCATGACGGCTGTCTGGCATGCCATACGTGACTTGTTTCCATTGGCGCGCAGCTTCCTTGGGGCTATACACGCAGCGCAGTCCCTGCTTTGCTTGCAACGCAGCTCGGGCCCTGAGCGACAGCCTTTGTGTTGTATGCTTATTCTCCATGGCCATCGACAAGAGCCACAGGGCCATGAGGAGACGGTGCGATACATGCGCCGGAGCTGGCTCAGGATGCATCGTATAGTCGCTGGGTGAGCAGATGCCAGACGTACCCTGAGTACCCCTCTTCCTTGAGCCGCTGCACCTTCCATGCCCCCTCGTCACCTTCGGCGCGGAATCGCTCGGCAATGGCGTCGTCGACCGCAAGCTCGGCATGTGGATTGCCGTCCCAAGCACTAGCGCCTCGCAGGGCATCCCTCGGCGCTAGCAGAAAGCCATACTCGGTCAGCAGTGTGGCATTGGTGTGCGGACCATAGGTAATGCACACTTCGTCGCCGGCCTGCAGCCCGCACTGAGCCGGCGCACAGAGCTCCATACCCTCCGCCGAATAGCGCACCTTACACTGCTTCCCCTGCACAAACGTGTGATTGGCCATATCCAGGAGCGGCGCTAACGTGAAATTGTCCTCGTGCCTGACGTAGCGAAGGTCCACATACACGCAGCGCGAGTTGACGCACAGCCAGCCCCATAACACATCGGCTTTGCGGGGACGCACGGCTGGAATCCCTGGACGACTGACGGATGCCCATATGGACGCTCTTGTCGCCTCATCAAGAGCGTCGAGGCGCCGCCAATCAGCCTCGAACCGCGCCTGTACCTTGTCATGCAGTCTGGCGGCGCGTGGTGGAAGCGCAGACAAAAGCTGCGTGTCTCCATCCAATGCCCATGAAAGTGGCACCGTGGGAAACGCCGACGGCATAGAAGCAAAGAACGCATCACGGTCGCTCAGCTCAGTGCTGGGCCCCGCCACCCGCGCGGCGCGCCACTGCGCAAGCACGCACGCGAGGAGCTGGTGTGTAGAGAGCGGTCGCGCATTCGGGCACGGCTCTTCTGCATGCCGTAGAGGGGCCCATGGCACAGGGCGCCCACGTGCCATTTGCGATGGGTTCAGCAACACCGACGGCGGCAGCCGTAACACAGTCTCGCCCGCCTGGACGGCGCCTGTAGTGACGAGTCCACGCCCGGCTGTCTTATAAGCGAAATCTACATACCTGGCACCTGATCCGACACGGCCACACGCAGTGTCGGCGAGCCGGACGCGCGCGCTACGTACGCCGCCAGCGCCTGCTCCATCGCACCCGGCTGTGTGGAGGCAGCGTGCCCGGCGTGGGGTACGCGGACGACTGTCCTCCGCGCTGACTCAGCCGGTCGCTGTGGCTTCTTGTTCCCCACGATGACCACTTCCAAGTCCGTGGCCGATGACCTGGACGACCTCGATGGTATGCATGTGGCATACTCACTACAGATGTACTAGATGACTTTCAGCAGCCGTCGTTGCCGCTGTCGCGGCCGGAGACCGCTGCTGCGAGCGGGCCGCCCGGCGATGGGGCGGCCGAGGCCCAGCAGCCTGAGGACCCCCTGTCGGACGAATTTGTCGAGGAGCTGACAAAGAACATGGAGTCCTTCATGGCGCAGCTTGGGCAGCGCATGTCGACGGCGCAGGATGTGCCGCCGCCGCCCGCGGACCACCCGGTGAGCGGTGCGGGCGATGCCGAGAGCGGCGCCGCGGGCGGTGTGCCGCCAGCTGAGGACGAATTGATGAAGCAATTTGAAAAGATGCTATCTGGCAACCTGCCCCATTCGGAGGCAGAGACACAGGCGCCAGCGGCGTCTGCCTCGGCAGAAGGGCAGGGCGAAAAAAGTTTCCAGGAAGCGGTCCAAGCCACGATGGCGAAGCTGAAGCAGTCAAACGCGAGTGCTGCCAACAAGAGGACGAGCGATGCCTCGAACCCTCTTGGCTCGCTAGGGCTCGGTGGCGACTCGGACCTGACGCAGATCCTCGAGGCGCTCTCCAAGGCGGGCGGCGAGGACGGCGAGATGCCGGACCTTAGCCAGATGCTCACCCAGATGATGGAGGATCTTATGAACAAGGAAATATTGTATGAGCCACTGAAGGATCTTCACCAACGCGTACGTGCTCGAAGCCTTACATGCAGTTCCCCAACTACCTGGCGTCGCCGGCGGCGCAGGCGCTCGAGGACGCCCAGCGCCGGCGGTATGTGGAACAGCATGCGATCATGGGCGAGATTGTCGCGGTGTTCGAGACACCAGAGTACAGTGATACCGATACGGCGTCGCGCAGGCGCATCTCGGACCTCGTGTCGAAGCTGCAGGAGACCGGCTCGCCGCCGGAAGAGCTCATGGGCGACATGCCGCCGGAGCTCGCGGGCCTGAATGGTCTTTTGGGCGACCAGGGCGACGACCAATGTACTGTGATGTAGCACAAGGCGTTAACCGTACTCGGCAAACGTGCCATGGGGATACTCATGGCCAGGTACGTACTCGACATTGGGATCGCGCTCCTCTGGCGGCGGCTCTGTGCCGGGCGGGAAGGCCTCCGCGCCGATCTCGTCCCACAGCACGCGACTGTACTGCGGCGCCATCACTTCGAGGCCCTCGCTGCCGCGACGCACACGCACATGGCCCGTCGGCGCATAGTCGTCCATGTCATCATCACTCGCACTGGAGTACGAGTCATACACGACCTCGTCGTGCGGATAGTGTGGTGCAGACGCGTGCCAAGCGGCCGCGGCCTGGGGCTGCGGCGCGTCCGCGTGCGATGCTCGCAATCGGGGATTCAGCTGCTCCTCGCCGTATGTAAACGCAGAGCCCGTCGGTCGCACGGGCCGGCGGCGCACGCGCGGGTCTTTGGGAGGCCACAGGAATTGCGCCTCGGGCCGCGTGCCGGCCACGGGAAACGACGTGCCGTCCTGCAGGGGCTCCGCGCAGGGCCACAGCCAGGTCAGCGGTGATGGCCCTAGGACCTGTAGGAGGTTGGACCAGCAGCCCAGGTCGAAGGGGAATGCGATATAGGGAATCTGACCCCGCCGGATCTGGCGGCTCACGCGGTCTTTCTCCCACGTCTCAATGGACGTGGTGTTGGTGCATACGAGCACGTAGTGGTACATGGTGAGGAACGTCACGAGCAGGGCCGGCGGCAGGCACAGGATGTAGTTGAGCACAATCATCACGGCCTCAGTGGTAGACGGGCGCGGCTGGGTGAGGGGCAGAGACGTACCATCAAGTCGTACACGCTCCAAAAATCGACGACGCGCAGCGTAATCATAAGCAGGTGGTTCCACGAACCCAGAGAGACAACCGTTGTATACCGCAGAAAGTGCGCGTACGTGCCGTGTCCCACACAGTTGCCGATCCATGGGCAGTGGTGATCCATCCGCAGCACGCATCTGCGACACACACGACAGTGATGCGCGCGTGGCGGCTTGAACGCCCGGCAGTGGTAGCAATAGCGCTTGTAGTCGCCATTGGATGGTGGATGCCAACTCATAGGCACGCCGCCAGCGTCCGCGCTGAGGCAGTACCAGTACGCCACATACATATATATGCCGAAGAGATTGTGCACGAGCAGCACCGCCCCTAGCTGGTAGGCCGTGAACGAGGGCGTCTTGCGATAGTACGGCCACATGATAAATATCTGCGGCGTAATGTGCAGGAACACCATGAGTGCTACGACCGCAACAACCCTGTGGTTAGGCGACCCACGTACCAGTACACCTCGGAGGGGCGGGGCGGCGCGCGCGGCCGGACGGGCGGCACAGGCCCAGGGTACGCATCAACGACATGTGCGTCAGTGCTAGGTCCATAGTCCTCAGGCGCTGATGTTTCCAAAGGGCTCTCGGGCGATACCAGCGGCTCGCCCTCCGAGGCGGCAGCGTACGCAGCCGTCGTCATGCGCCAAGGACGGCGCCGACGACACCCAGGCGTGTGCCTCCACATGACTCGCTCTACGGTCCTAGCTAGGGGGCTGTGCCGCTGCATTCTCGGCCTTCTTGCGCGCGAGTACAGCAGCAAAGCCGCCAGGGTCACCCATGCCCGGCATGACTGCCACAGGCGCAGCTGTCGCATCCGGGGGCGTCCACGATGGCTTCTCGGCTGGACGTGCCGTAGGCTTGGCACCGACAGGCGGCTTGGCGCTCGACGGCTTGGCTGGCGGCGGCGGGCGCGGTTTGGGGGCGTCAGGCACAGGCTCCAAATAGTCCGCAGGGGCCCAGCCCTCGATGCCATCCTTCTTGACGAGCCACCATCCACTGCTTTCCTTGTCTTCCAGCTCGACGACGTCGCCTCTTGTCAGAGGCAGCTCGCCCTGCTCCACTGTGGCGAAGTCGTACAGCGCGCGGTAGCGCGGTAGCCGAGACGGAGGAGCCGCGGCAGCTCGTGCGGGTGCAGGCGGCGGTGCGGGAACCGGCGCGGGAGCTGGTGCTGGCATGGGAGCCAAGGCAGGTGCTGGCGCAGGCGCCGGGGCAGGTGTAGGCGCGGGTGCCGCCGAGCCCAGCTGCGTCACAGGTGGCGCCAGCGTCGTGCCCCCAAGGTAGGAAGGAAGCGCAGGTGCCGCACCAGTGCGGCTGGGCGGCACAGGTACGGCATGCTGGGCGCCAGCGACAGGCGCCAGCGGCACGCTCCGGGCGGCGGGGGCGGCTGGCGCAGGTGGTGGCGCCGGCACACTGCGAGCGCCGGGTGCTGGAGCACTGCGAGGCACCGGTGCGGGTTGGGGCCGTGCGCGCGGCGCGGGCGCTGGACCTGCACGTCCTGCAGGGCGAGCGCGCGTAGTTTTCGGCAAGATCCGCGCGGGTGGTCGCGAGACGCTGTTGGGCGGTTCGCCTGAGGCCACCGACACGACACCGCTCTTGTATACGTCGCCTAGCGTCACAGACTCATCCTTGCGGAAGGCGATAGTCGCCTTCTTGCGGCCCTTGCGCACATACTCCAGCTGAGGCGCAATGGTCACGTGGATCCGGCCGCCTGTCTGCTGGAGCAGACGACTCACGAGCTCGGTCTTGAAGTCGCAGTGGAGCAGCAGGTCGCCTTCATCGAGGCCGGTCTGCAGTACAACCCAGTCATCACGTAGGTGTGAGAGGCCGATGCCGCGAATGCTCGCGAGTGGAACGACGCGCTCGCATATCGTCTGTGGCCGCTTATTGACGAGGTGTGTCACGAGGAGGTGCACGGCGCGTGCTGTGACAAGCAGGAAGCGGGGGCTGCGCACCGATGAGCGGCCCAGCCGCGACACAAGCAGCTGCGCACGTGAGCTAAACACCACAGGCTCCGACCCGAGGTTCGCGCTTGTGCGGAGCAGGCGACCCTCGGCAGACGAGCCGTTAACGTCGAGGTAGTCGCCCAGGAAGCGACGCATGCTCACGAGACTGAAGCGGCGCCGCTCCTTGCGGCCAGCAAGTATCTGGTGGCCATAGTCGCGCAACTCAACGAATTCGTGGCCCTCGCGGCTGCGGCGCCATGCGCGCTGGATGCGGCGGGCGCTCTCCTCGCGGCGGCGCAGGTAGGCACGCCACGCGCGCTGAATGCGCATGGCCATGTTGTGCCAAAAGCGGTCGCGCATCGTCTCGAGTGCAAACAGTGTCTCTGGATTCTTGATAAAGCCTTTTGTGACACCGAGCTGCCACTCTTCCCGCGCAATGCCCGTATCGAGGAAGATGCGCTCGCAGCCGCTGCGTGCGTCGCCCTGCCAGATATAGTCGCCTGCGTACGACGTATGCGGCGACAGCAGGTAGAAGCGCTGCACAATCTTCTCGAATGTGTTGCGATATGCAAAGCCGGCGCGACGCACGCGGATGTTCTCGCGCAGACCGAGGTATTGGATCTGGTGAAGGATGGCCGCCGCGTCGTACTCAGTGGGACTTTTGTTTTGGTTCGGCTTGATCGTGCGGATGTATGATGGCTGCGCGCGCATCAGTGTGTCGACAAGGAGGTTGGCGCTTGCCTTGATGCGGTCGCCTGCGCTCGGCGGGCGTTTCTTGCTTGTGGGGTCGGGGCGGTCCGGGAAGAGCGACTGAAGGAAAGCATTGGAGGAGCTGTCAACAAGGTTCAGAATATCCTTCAGCAGCGCATCCTTGTTCTTTTCGGTCATGCCATTCACATTGTACATTACGTCGCCAGCGTAGTGGCGCACGAGGAACTTGGAGCCACGCGCCTCAAAGTGGGGGTTGGAGGCGAGCATGGACGTCCGCTGCACAAACGAATTGTCCGCCGCTGACGAATCAGCGTGAGCTGTGGCAACAGCATCATTAAGTGCGGCAAAGATGCCAGGCGGCCGCTTCTCTTCAATCAGGTCGCACACGATCTTGTTGTTAAAGTACTGAATCGGAGTCCACTGGATCTGCTCCTGGGCATATTCCTCCTGTTCTTTCTTGAGCGTAAGCTCAATAAAGATCTGCTGCAGCTTTTCGTTCACATAATTGATACACAGCTGCTCAAACGAGTTGTTCTCAAAGATTTCGAAGCCGTAAATGTCCAACACACCAATCACCGTGTCCGCACCGCTACGCACGCTCAGCGACTGGTTCACTCGTGCGACAATCCAGTCAAATAGGTTGTTGTACAGGGCCTTGCTGAGCGCATCGCGCACAGCGGCCGCCTGCGTTGGATTCAGCGGCACCTCGTACACCGATCCGCGGCGTCCGCCACGCTGGGTCTCCATGATGCGCTGGGTGAGCGCGCGCTGCACCGCTGCAGCGTCCACATCAAGCAGGTATGCACAGAACTGCGTCACATCGGGGTTGGCAATCTCTGCATCGCCCTGCGCGTTTTCCACAAAGCACACATTGCCGAGCCACAGAATCGATGCGAGAACGCGGAATAAGCTGGTCTGCTCGTCCTCTGACATCCCGATAGTGCGCATGGCCTCGAGCGCCGCCGCAAAGTCGGCGCGATCGTCGATACCTGGCACATCGAGACACCCGCTGTTTGCTGTGTACGCGTACGCCTCGGGGCCCTGCAACCCAAACATCTCGCGCTGCTGCGGCGAGGCTGCCTTGGTCAGCTGGTAAAAGATGTGGAAGTTGCGCTCGTTGCGGATCTGGCTGACGACGCGCGCCTTCTCCAGCAGGTAGTTGGTGATCGTCGCACCGACCGGTGCGCCGTGTGCGTCAAACATGATTTCGAGGTACTTTCCATGGCGTGAACTGTTGTTGTTGCGAAGCGTCTTGGCGCACCCAAAGCTCTCTAGCAGCGGGTTCGTTGCCAATACCATATCCTTGATGTTGTTGATCCCCGACGCGTGGTCGTCGCTGCTGACTGCCGCAATATACTGCATAATGCGCTTGGCCGCCTCCGTCTTGCCTGCGCCCGACTCACCCGAGATAATGACACATTGGTTCTCCTTGTAAGCGCACATGTTGTAGTACGCGCCTTCGGCGATAGCATATACATGGGGCGGCATCTCGAGGCGGTTCTTGCCGCGGTACGAGCGCAGCACCTCGTCTGTATAGATGCCCAAATCACGGAAAGGATTTACCGAGATCAGCACGTTGCCAATGTATGTGTAAATTTCCGCATTGGAGAAGCGCTTGTGCAGATTGTCATTAATCGCCTCGTTAGTGATCTGCGTCAGCAAAGTCATGTCGGAGACACCCGCTTGTGGCTTCTTAAAGCCTTCGCGCCAGTCTGCCTTGGCGATGCCGCGCTGCACGGCCGGCGGCGGCGCCGAGCCGCCGGCCTTGCGCGCACCTGCGCGCTTCGAGATCACCATCGTGGGTGGCAACTCCGCCCGGCGCGCGCACGGAGGCGATACGACACGTGATCAATCCTCCCGGCTATCGCAGTCGCATCGCACGGTTCCTGCTCCATCATGGCTGCAGTCCAAGCGCTTAAGACGCTCGTCGTGCCGCCGGCATCAGGTGGTATGCCTTCAGCGACTGTGTTCCTGCTGCATGGTCTCGGCGACTCAGCGAATGGCTGGATCGACGTGGCCCGTATGCTAGGGCGGCAGCAGGCGCTGCAGCACATCCGCTTTGTGCTGCCGACGGCGCCTGTGCAGCCGGTAACGGTGAATATGGGCATGAAGATGACGTCCTGGTTTGACCTGTATTCGCTTACGAGCCTGGAGGAGGGCGAGGACGAGGCTGGCATGCTTCGCAGCGTCGAGGCCGTGCGGGGACTGGTGCAGCAGGAGTTGGATGGCAGTGCGCCCGGTCTCAATGGACACAAGCTGCCGATGAACCGTATCGTTCTTGCGGGATTCAGCCAGGGTGGTGCGATCTCTCTTCTCCTAAGTCTGACGCAGCCCGAGCAGCTCGCGGGTGTGGCGGCGCTCTCTACATGGCTACCGCTGCACGCCAAGATCCAGTCGATGCGCCCACCGACGCCTCCGACATTCCCCCTCTTCCAGGCTCATGGCACCCTTGATCAGATCGTCGAATATCAGTTTGGCCAGCGTACCTTTGCGTTCCTGCAGAACGAGCTGGGCTTCCACTCGCTGGCCGAGTGGCACGAATATCCGATGCCGCATTCGGCATGCCCCGCGGAGATACGCGACCTCGGCGCATGGCTCGAGCGCGTTGTACCTTTGTAACGCAACGGGTATGAGAGCTACAAAACATAGTTGGCATGCATGAGCGTAGGAGACGAAGCACGGGTCGCCCCCGGCGTCAACGACATGCGCGGCCCTTGGCTGGGCACCTTAAACAGGTCAGAGTCGCGGTTCAACTCAAACGTCGATGCGTGGCTCATGCCTCCACTGCCATAGCCAGGGGGCAGCAGCGACGTCCAGAAACTGTTGTCCAGCACCCGATTGACTTCGACGCCCTGCGCCTTGGCGTACTGCATCGCATCCCAGCCATGCATATTCAAAAAGTGGTCGTGCGCCGAAGCAGTGCTCGGTGGCAGATCGTGCATCGGCGCATGTGGCGCATCCTGCGGGACCGCCAGCGGCGGCGTTGACCCATGCTCTAATTCCAGCCTCGTCGGCAGGCTGCTCTTGGTACGCATCCCTTCGCTGGCTGCTAGCTCCGCTGCCAGGGGGTTCACTTGCAACGGGTTCACCGTCATGGTTGGCGCCCGCGGCGAAACGAGCGACGGGTCCATGTGTTCCGTAGGGGCATGTCCCATTGTGTGCTTCATGAGCTTGGGGTCATGGTGCACCGCCGGCGCCTCGTTCGGCAGCGACACCGAGATCGGCACAGGGTCCGACGGCGTGCGTGCCGACGCATCCGCCTCTGACTGCGAGCCCGTAGAATCTTGTGCCTTTTGCTCATGGCGCGACTGCACAAGCATGCGTAGGAACGAGGCATAGAGCGCTGGCGTGTGCGATGTGTCCACAGCAGCCTCTTCGAGCACCTCAATGGTATAGTTGACTAGTCCAATCACTTCATCCTCGTTGATATACCTCGCAAATGTCGGACGAATCAGCTTTAGGAGGAACACACAGGCATAGGCCACTGCGACGAACGTGGGGTCTGGCGCGTACCGCAGAATCTCGCGCATCCCATATTTGACCGTCGCAATAATCTCCTTCGCGGCATGCACGCAGCGCACGAGGTACTGCGGCTTATCGGCGGACGCGCCGTCTGACGGGCGCTCCAGAGCGTACTGTAGCCCAAACGAATTGAGCACTAGCACCGCATAGTTGTAGCGCAGTGGTGCCTGGCGCGTAATATAGTACATGGACCGCGTGCTCAAATCCGCATCGTCGCTTGGCGGACCCGCCTCGTGCAGCGCAAGCAGCATCGACACCCGCATTGTGTCGGCGGCCGAGTTGGCCGGGTCCATGAGCAGACCGTGCACCCCAGGCATAAATGCCTTAGCTCGCTCCCGTTCCTTGCTCCTCTGCTGCTCCGTGGTGCGCCTCTCCGACTCACCGGGCCGCATCATGCTTTCCGGCTGGGGGGGCTGCACCACATTCGACTGAGACATGCGGTCTATCGCGAGCGGCGGCCACGTCCGCGTCATGGAGTCGAGGCCCAGACGGTACCAGAATTGCATCGTCTCATTGAGCTGCTCATTGAACGATGGCAAGATGGCCGGGTAGTCCAGATCCACATTTAGCCCGCTCGGCGTGACCGTGGATGAATAGAGGAAGTCAAGCTGTCGCGTCTGCACACGCAGCAAGTCCACGAGCGCACAGATACCGAGGTCCCACGGGCGACTGAACGGCTGGGTGCACCACTCAGAGGCATGGCGGATCAAAAAGTCTTCGCGGATGCTGTACGGCTTGCCCATTTGTGCGCTGAGCGTCCGATCCACACAAAAGCAAATGTACCACGTCCGTTCCCGGTTCAGCACATCGCGCATCTTTGCCTCGTCCGCCCGGGCTTCTGGCGACATGACGTTTTTGCGGTGCAAATTCAGGTCCTGTGCCATACGGATCGCCACACCAACAAAGAGCCACGTCCGGTCTTCCTCGTATCGCTCCACAGGCTGGTTGTAAAGCGTGAGAAGCAGAAAACCCTGCACAATCTCAGGCGATTTGAACCCGCGGCTCATGACCTCAAACGCACTTTTGACCGCACGGCGCTGGCACTGCGAGTACAGCTCAGGCCTCCGCGTGTAGAACTTGGAGGCCACAGCACAAACACATGTGAAGAGAAAAGACGAACGTTGGCACACAAAGGTGGGTGTATGCCACTCGGGGTCAAGTAAAAACATATGCAGGGAACAGTGATGGAAAAAGATACGGAAGAGCTCAAGCACCTCTTCGGAAGACACGATGTTCTCTGTCAGTAGCTCCGGCGGTGAATCCACCCCATTTTCAGAGATTCGAGGCGCCGATGCAGACCCTGGGTGGAAGTAGGTCTCATTCGCCACACCAATCTGCGGACGCGGCTCATCGCCTGATATCGCTTCTGCATCACCGGGGCTTAAAGATTTCGTGCTCCCATCGGGGCCGACTGACTCTGTCGTCGCAGAACGACCACGCTGTTGCCTGCTGTTACTGCGACCACCCTCCATCTGGTTCCGCTGCAAGTTCTGCAGACTCGCTTCGGCAAACAGGCCGAGAGGGTTCAGCGTGTTGTCAGGCAGCAGGGGCATGTGCATCGCGCCCATCTCCGCTGCAGTCGCACCTGGCGCAACTACCGGTGATGTCTCGGGACGGTTCAATACCTTCTCCATTACCTTCTTCAGAGCATATTCGTTGGTGGGATCCATAAGACGAGAGCATAGTGTCTCATTAAGCATGCCCATCTGCTGCATGAACTGAGTCGTCTGCTCGGCGATAGTCCGCACCGATTGGCTCTTATTACCGTTCCGCTCTTCCGAGGCAATAAGCTGCCGCATATGCGCAGCAAGCATGTCAATTGCTGCTGGGGGTATGCCCAGATCAGCACTCGACTTGGGCAACGGGGGTGAGGCAAAATGGGCCGTACCCGTATGCATGTCAGTTGGGAGACCCAGCACAGTAGGTACAGGCCCTGTATTTGAGCCTGTCGAAGGCATTCCGTGCATGTTTTGCAACAGTGGCACGAGAAGCTGCTCAACTTTTTTCATTCCTTGCTGCAAGGCAGCCGTCTTGCGGCGCTTGTCCGACTTGCGCCCACGGTTACTTTCTAGGAAAATGCATTCATGCCCACTGCGTGCGCACCGCGAGCATGGTCCACCATTTTCAGCGCCCTCACACTTCATCTTTAGCCGATGACAGTTAGTACACGCTCGCGCCCCGCGCGTAGACTTTTGTTTTATGGTGCCATTCTCTTTCTCAGACAACTTCGTAGGGAAACCATTCCCTTCCATCGATGCTGCTGGTCGCTTGGGCAGGGATGCATTCTTGTCACTCTGCATCGAGTCATCCAAGTGCGTGGACCGTGCCGTACTTGAAAAGTCTGTACTGGCATCGAGATCGGACGCTTCCAGATCGTGCACACTGGCATTCATACCATTTGATTGACCTTGGACTTCGAAGATCATATCAGCAAGGGCCTTGCGATATTCAGAGTGGTGAATCAAAGTACAGTTGGATGCGTGTTTGACACGCCAAAGACCCTTTTGGGGCAACGAATACACAAAGGGAGCTTGGACAATGTCCTTCAGAGACCTACTGGTAGGTCCTTCTTCTGCAAGTCAAATTGAGAAGTGCTAACGGTCGCGTACAAGCACTCAACGACGGGTTCTCGTCCTGATACTAGTGCGGGGACGAATTGATGTGAGCGTTCCTCTGGAAGGCAAAGACTGGCCAGCTATATGCAAGTAAAAACGCTGGACCCAATGCCTGCATGATATTGGACGAAGTCCGATCCACACGCAGTTCCTCCTTGTGGGGAATTCTGTCGGCGAAATTATTTTCACGAAGAACACTCGCTCCATCTTCGCGGCGGCGGCATTCCGTCGCCAAGCTACATCGTCCAACAAAACACACTGTCGGACGTTCAAGCTTGTACCATCTTGGGTTTCACGCTATAGAGCACACGTCCCTACACAGTCCCACGCCACACAGGCGTGCGATCCGCCATAGTCGCACAGGAGTGCGATCATAAGGAACTTTTTGTGGGATAAAACGCAACAGAAACAGAAATCATTTACTGCTGCTTAGCCTGCTGGGCCCTGATCACGTTCTTCACGATCTTCGACTCTTCCACCAGGAAAGCACGCACAACACTGACATGTTAGTTTGTCTTCAATACATACCGAGTGCGGACGCACGCGGCGCAGCGGCTGCCACCGTAGGCACGCTGGACAGTCTTCTCGCGCTTCGACACAGTGGCGTAAGCACGGGGACGGAGCGCCTTCACACCCTGAAGCGCAGCATGGCAGTCACCGCACTTGGGGGCGGTGGGCAGCTTCTTCAGGTGCAGGTAGCGCAGCTGGCCGCTAGGAGTCTTGATCACACGCCGGCGGTTCGACCGGGTGTTGTAGGGGTTGCGCTTACGCAGAGTCAGCCGCTGAGCCATCTGCCCGTGTTAGTACTCATGTTGCACGAGGACGAGACGCCGTGCGAGGACTTGGCTTGGGCAGCGTAAACAGTGATAGACGATCAAATCATCTCACCATTTGACATTGAACGCAGGCACCATGGCGCCTAATCTTCGAGCGCCTCGTCCACTGTCGTACACACCTTTGGTATACAGCAACGGTAGGAAGCTAGGCAGGGCGTTAAGACAATGACCCGGCGGAACAAGGCCATACGTCACGTGATGGATATAGTTCTACAACTACATTAGTCAGCATGGCATGGTGGGGTCCAGGTCGCGCCGCCGTCGGTCGCGGTCGGTCGGCCGGGCTGCTGTCGCGTCATAGGATGAGTCTTGTGAGCTGGGGCCACAGTGTGTATCGCTGTGCGAACACAACTAGGGCTGCGCTAACTTCTCTATCACTTGTGCGATCTATTCACACTCGTCGAGAACCCGTCTCATTGCATGACGATACCCAAGTCTCGGTGCTGGACTTTCCCCCTCAGCCGCGTCCAACGCGCCCCTTGTCGGCCCTGATGCGCAAGGCCAAGACACTGGTATTTACAGGACCCAAAGGAGAGATTGTCGTTCCTCTCCATCATTTTGTTAATATGGCATGGGGTGAAGATGCACAGTCTAAGAAGCGCACGCTCACCTTCTCGATTGAAGATGAGAACATGAAAGTCCAGCGGGGTGTCTGGGGCCTCACGCGCGCACTGTGTGCTAATGCCATTAAAGGTGTTCAAGAGGGTCACGAGGTAACGCTTCGCCTCGTTGGCGTTGGTTTCCGCGCAAGTGTCGAGGCAGACCCGTTGCCCCGTAAGCATCCACTTGAAATCGAAATGGAACGTGGGCGTGGTCATTGGTATGCTCGGGACCAAAAGCAGACGGAGATTGATCGCGCAAAGCGTCTGGTCGAGTCATCGGGGCCAAACCAGCGCCTCAACCTGCGCCTTGGATACTCGCATCCTGTGCTTCTGCCGATTCCCTATGGCGTCAAGGCTGAAACGCCTTCTCCAACCGTCATTAAGCTCACTGGTGCAAACAAGGAACTGCTTGGCCAATTTGCACAGACCATTCGTCAGTATCGAAAGCCGGAGCCGTACAAGGGCAAGGGCATATTTATCGGCGACGAGCAGATTAAACTAAAGACACCCAAGAAAAAGTAAATTCATAGTGCAGCGCTCCATACCAAATCCAAGCGTTCATTTACTGTACCGAGCTCAAATATGCCATGTCTACATTTCCAAGCTGCATCTACGGCGAGTTCGGATCTCGCGCTTTGCCTTTTGTTGGTGCTGATGAAGGGCTCATGATAGCCGTCAACTGCACCTTGGCACGCTCGATGAGAACTTCCGTCTCATGCAAGGCGGCCAACTTTTCTTTTAGTCGAGCCTCTGTATCAATATCCAGCGGCGATCTTGTTGGAACTGAACCGCTAGTAGATTCAGCATGGTGGGTTGTCGAAACCCAGTCTACCAAAGGGTATGGTAGTTGTGACTGGTGCTTGGATGCAAAGTCGGGTATCTTAGCAGGGTCGAACAAGGGAATCAGTACTGGGGAATTGGTTGTTACTTCGGGGGCCTGTTTAATTGCTGCTTGGTTATAACGTTGAAGAGTGGCGCGGCGGACCGCCTCCCGGACGCTTTCATTGGAGGTATCGGGCACCTCCGGGGGCGTTTGGTCCACCAGCTGATCAGCTAACTCAGGTTGCACCTCCTTTAGGAAACTGTGGGCAGATTCTGCTGCCGTTGACACTCCCCTGGTCGCCTCTGAGCCTTGGAATCGACGAATTAAATCTTGCAATGTCTCCTGAGGAGCAGATTGGGATTCCTGGTGCGTCGATGACTGCCGTTGCACTTCCTCTCGAGCAATAACTGGCGCAACTTCATGGTTCCGTACCTCGTTTTGCCGGTTAGACGTTTGATTTGTGGCATTATCCTCCTTCAGTACGTCCATGCGACATGTTGGACATGACTGTTGACGCTCGAGCCAGGAATGAAGACAGCGATGATGGAAAACATGTCCGCAAGGGAGCTTCCGCGGAACATCCATCGCGGATTCTGTACCAAATACAAATTCTTCTCGACAAATTATACAGGTACGATCGCGCATCTCGGAGAGTTGTTCATCAGAGACTCTAGGATACTTGTTCTCCATGTTCCTAGTGGCCGCACGGAAGCGGAATAGCTTGAGAGTTTTGGTATATAAGGAGTATCCTAGCGTGAACATAACACGAGCACCATGATAAGGCAAAAGAATGTCGCCATTCACCGGCGCCATATACAGGGTCGCCACAATGCTCGCGGGGTAAGTGATGAACATGGCAAAATCGCGGATGAACTCCACGTAGAACAACACACGGCTTTTTGCTTCCCATGGCTCCTCTTGGTGTGTATCATACACATTGCAAATATACACAACAAACTGCGCAGATAGATCCAGCTGATTCAGTATGCCATCGGCCAGGAAACAGATCAAAATTCCTCTTGGCCCGACATCCTGCAGCACAACCAAGAATGTCAGAGTCAAAAAAGTAGAATAGAAGCATTGCAACATCAGAAATAGGGACACCAGCCGGACATGAAAAACCCTGGGTATGCTAGGCATTTGACCCATCTGCTGTGAGCCCTTCTACACATACCGAATCAATTCTGGCAGTGAGGAATTTTTGAAAGATTTCCATATAGAACATAAGTGCACTTATAAAAAAGTATCTCAAATCGAAAGCAGGCAAGAATCGGAAGAAATTAAAGAGCCACTCGAGCAAAGCAAACAAAAAGGAATCCACAACAGCCTGCTGTTAATCAACACAGGGTACACACATCCACCTCGGTTTGACGAAGAGTGCCCAAAATGATACATTGGGTAATTCGACCAGAAATAAGAAGCCCGGCAATTATAAAGTTTACCGCGATCTGTGTCAGTGTACATGTTACTCACTGCCAAACAGCCGTTGCTATTGTTGATCCAAGAGCTGGCCATGAGAGCATTCTCCTGCTTATGGAGCGCTTTGTAGATCATCATACCCATACATATAGAAGAGAACAGTCCATATACTGTAAGAGATCGCGCAGTCAAAAGAGGCGCCATCTCAATCCTGCGTGGCATGGTGTAGTGCGGAGGGAACGTCAATGCACATACGCCTGATGTTTAATTTAATTTCAAATTTACCACCCCAAGCGTGAAGCTGTTCACTTGTGCACGGTGACATCGCGAATTCTGGTGCAACTTTTGCCGACATGGACTTAGCAGGCGACGCCGAATATAATGCAGAGAATCCACCTTCTATGAAGGGTGTTATTCTTGAAACTAATAAAGATCTATGCAAAAGTTTTCCGGACGCCTGTGCTGAATACGGGTTGGACGAGTTTAGCTCATCGTCTCCCAACGAAGAAGATGACCGAATGCACATATTATCTCAACAACTTGCGAAAACTGCAGTGAGCGTACGTCATATGTACAAGCAGTTAAGTACGTATCACTGTCTAACAATGAGATCGTGCTCGTGTTTATTCGAGCGCCAAGAGCGTCTTGATCATAACCAAGGCAAGGGATAACAATCTTGTCCATCTTACTCGCGAGCTCACGATTTGGCTCATGAAACTTAAGCGCAAAGGTCATGATCGTGGCTTAATTGTATACGTGGACGAGCAGCTACGCCATTCAAAGCGGTTCGATGCAGATGGTATCCGGCAACAGTATCCGGACCTGTTCGAGCCTCTGCGCCCTACCGACTGTCAGAAGAAGACACACCAATGCTTCAATAGCAGCGAGGGTCAACTGCGTTATTGGAACAGCAGGATGTGTACGATGCAGCCTTATTTATTTGATTTTGTCATTACTATGGGCGGCGATGGTACGGTCTTGTTCAGTTCTTGGATTTTCCAGTCCAATGTCCCTCCTGTGATCCCTTTTTCCTTGGGATCCCTTGGGTTTCTTACTCCTTTTTCATTTGAGAATTACAAACCTACGCTCGAGCATATCCTCAACAAAGGTACGAGACTTCATATGCGCATGCGTTTTCGGGCAACAGTGTATCGTGCTATGGACAATCTTGACGCCGCCACCGCTAAACAAAGGAGAAAGGCTTTGCAAATGGGAGACTCTGACTATATGATTCGTAATATCTCGAAAAGGGGTTGGTGCGCGGTCGAGATGCATCCTGGGGCAGATGGCTTGGAAACTCCGGATCTACCTGTCCGGGACGTTCACTGTTTCAAAACGGTACCTGTCGAAACATTTGAATTTCTCAATGACCTGGTTGTTGACCGTGGTCCTAGTCCCTACGTAACCATGCTCGAAGTATTTTCTGACGACTCTCATTTGACAACCGCCCATGCCGACGGGCTTTGTATCGCGACTCCTACCGGCTCTACAGCTTATTCACTTTCTGCAGGCGGATCTCTCGTTCATCCCAGCATACCGGCAATGCTAATTACACCAATTTGCGCACATACATTGTCTTTCCGCCCTATGCTCGTGCCAGATACCATGGAATTGCGGATCGCAGTTCCTTTCAACTCAAGGAGTAATGCATGGGCAAGTTTTGATGGGAGAGGTCGCATTGAAATTCGAAGAGGCGATCATATTAAGGTCACAGCTTCACCGTACCCCTTTCCCACCGTATCTCCTGATGATCATCCGAACCCTTGGTTTGATTCAGTGTCGCGAACTTTGAATTGGAATCAGCGGAAGCATCAGATGGGTTTTGTGACACTGAAGAGTGATTCTTCAAAGAAAGGTAAAGGTCAGCATGATATCGACCTTGCCGACGTGGATTCAGGAGAAGAGAGCGACATTGAGACTGACCTATGTCCCATTGAAGGCAAGGAAGCGCAAGAAGACGAAGAATTTGACATCGACGATCATGTCCCTTCTGTCGGCACTCATCCACTCTCTTTTTCGGGTTATGTCGGTTCAGCACAACTAGATTCTCGAAGCGACTCGTCATCCACAGGTGCTGTCCCCATATATCAGAATAATCTAAGCATATTTTCAGGAAGCCAGGATTTCAGTAATAGTCGAAGTCCTGATCGCTACGGTCCTTCAGGTCCACCACCAGCACCTGGTCCACTCTCGGATCGCCATTTGGCAACCGTGGACTTCCGACTGCAAGACAGTATATACAAAGATCATGCAAGGTCTTTCGGTGTAAATGGTATTCCATCCAATCCGTAGTTTAGACAATGATCGCCGAAATTATTTTGGCTTCAAGTCATGTCATTGTTGGCCGGAGTTGCATAGTTTGGCCTAGAAGGGATAAATCGGACCAATACAAATCTGGTCTGACTCGGACATTGGGTTATTACACTAAACGCACAGACCATGCGACGCCACAGCCACTGGAAGTTCAAGATTTTTGTCCCACTTATCCCTTTCATTCCTTCTGAACCACAGGGTCTGTGTGAAACTTACGCTATGCTCTGAGGCTGATTTGATATACTGGAGGGTTTCAAAAATGCAACAGAAACTATCATCTAATGTGAACACATCTACTCTAAACCACTCAAACCGCCGGCGATCATCGGAGCTCCCGGGTATTCGTGACGTATTGGGACATGAACTGTGCTCCGGTGGACCCCGAAGACGATCTACATCTCGAGAATTCTTACTTGGATCGTATCCTAAAGTTCTTTCGATTCCTTCATCCCCAGGAAAATCTCATGGGCTGCATGGGCACTCGAATCCCACACACGTACCAAACCCATACAGCTTGAAGTCAGACCTAACAGAACATCACATCCCCAAGGATCGATGCATGAGACATTCTTCCTCTATATCAGGTATATCCCTTCCGGCTATTCTCCAAAAATTGCGAATGGAAGATGATGCACCTTGGGAGAAAAACCAAAGTTTTTCTTGTGGTGGGGACGGCATGTCTGAATGCAGACGGCATTCTTGGAACCATTTTTCTGACCCGTCCAAATTTTCTCTGAATGCATATAATTTCAGCGCTACACCTGATGGACTTCGTATGTCTTCGCCCTTTAAACCATACCGCCTAAGGCGAAGAGATCCACGGTTTGGGAATTCCACGCGACTGGAACCCTACGTTGAAGCTGAACCCGCTCCCTTTGAACGATCAATGCCCATCAATATCCCTGTTGATATTGGGTCAAGATCAAGTGATGACTTATCTTCTCACGCTTTGAGTCGCAGCTACTCATCCTACTCAGCAAGTTATACAAGCGACAATTTCCCCCATACACCGGGTCAGGAGGCGACCGAACTACAACCAGTTGATTTACGTATTACATGGCCCGAAACAGGTTCAAAGCAATCACCTGTACAAAAGTCAGATGTATTTTCTTCAGGACCGACATCTGATATACACTCTGTTGATGACCCTCGCTCTAAAACTCCAGAAGGAATGCATCACCAAGATGACAAAGATCTCCATTCACCGCAAAATGAGACCGGCTCGAAACAGCGTGGCAAAGTATCAGGAACGAATGGAAAGTTTGAATGCAGATATTGTAACAAAAGATTCTCCCGGCCATCTAGTCTGCGCACCCATATCCATTCACATACTGGTGAGAAACCTTTCCGTTGCGATGCTCCCGGTTGTGGTCGTTGCTTTAGTGTTCAGTCAAACTTGCGCCGACATCAGCGAAGCCACAGTATTTCCTCTATATCACCTGTCAAACTCCAGACCACTTAGAATTTTTTGTGCATAATAGTACTAGGTAGCAGCTACCAAAATGCTTATTGACTCTCCAACCATTTGTCTTTGGTTCCCTGTCATGGAATGTGGAGGGTCATGTGCCAGGGCAGAAATCGCCCAGCCACATCGTAGACCACATCGGAAGGCCGTTGCTCGACACTCACTTGAGTGTGTCGGGGTGCTTTTATAGGTATCATCCAAAACAAACTTTTCCAGTATGAATGAAAAACCAACAAATGCGATGAAATATTCGCGTCGTCAAGTCGTGGAAACCATCACGCAAACAAGGTCGCAACAAGCCGACCCCTCTACTGTGGTGGAAAACCAAACCTTAACTTCGTTTCTGCCTCCTCCGCCTCCGACGACTGCCCCGAATCCTCGCCCCGAACAAAAGCACACTGATACTGGCGCTGTTGCTGGAGGTGTCGTTGGAGGTGTCGTTGGTTTGGCCTTGATTATTGCTGCTGTCTGCTTTTTGCTCTTCCGATGGCGTCGAAACCGCAACAAACGTGCGCTTGATGATATGTACGCGGAGACAGGTGTGGGAGGAGGAGGAACTGATCGTCATGCTCGAATGCGCGGGACACAGCCTATTGTTAGCGATCATGCGTCCACATGGAACTCGAATGCCTCCATTCCTGCTGATCCAGAGATGTATCCGCAAACAATGGGTCTCGAAGCGGATCAAGAACCTTTAACATATGCAGCACCTATCCACTCTCATCCCGACCAAATTACTGACAATGTTGAGAACACAACTCATGCTGATTTCCCGGCTTACGTTCATGAAGCAGAAAATGGTGTTCAGCAAGACTCCCACGTCGACGAGATCGCACCCCGCCAACCCGACTCTTTAGCCCCTGAAGAATCTACGAGAATGCCTTCTACAGGACTCGGCGAGCCTCTTCTAATTAAAACGGGCTCACTTAACAGGAATGCCAGTCAAGACATTGAGAAGTCACCATCGTCTGCATTTATGTGGTTACCTCGCCACAAAGTATATGGTGCATCTCCCGCAGGCTATACCCCCAGTGATGCCAGCCCATATCCCACTAATTAAAACGTCTCGTACTGTATAGAACTATTGAGTACAATATTATAATCGTCCAGTCATTCGTGCAAGGTTGTCTCCTTCAACTAGGATGCAAGGCCCCGAATAAATCATTTTCTTTTGCAAATCTGTTGGTTGTTCTGAAATCCATTTCACTGATCATCAGTGGCAATCTTCTCACATACCCACAAGTGCATCGGCGGCACCAGGTTGAAGCCAAAACCCGGATATGCGTTTATCAGAAATAGCATCCTGCAGCAATTTCAAAGAAACAGAAGGTGGTGTTATAATAGAAACTCCTGTAAGTGCTTCATATGGATTGGGTGCCTGGTCCATTACGTCGCCCAGTGTCTTGGTGGCCATATGTCCCTCAATACTAGATTGACTAGGATGGACTGGTGTTACGTTCAAATGCCTATCAATATACCAGCGAAGAACCTTGTTCCCAAATTTATTCCGGTCAGCACTAGCCCCTACCACGGCATATTGCCTCGCGCGAAAAAATTGGTGCATGGCATGCTGCTCTGCTGGTGACACCATCGTATCAAGAGCCACGTGATGTGGAGTAGATCGAAGGTGTCACTTTAAAAGTAATCCCCTATCTGCGTCGTTCAGAATGACCTTGAAGGACAAGGTTATAGCAATAGCACAGTTATATGGTGTAAGTATATCTGATCATGGAGAATTGTCCATGATGCTCAGGTCTTTCGGTGATGAGCTGCGTAGCGGTCGTCTCCGTCATGAGCTCGGCCAATCGGATTTGCCTGTCTTGTGCACTCAAGCTTTATATCAAGCAGACACAGAGCTTCATATTGAGGCTATACGTGTACTTGCTAATCTATGTATTGATCACAGTGAGTTTTTGTAACTTATATTAGATGAAAACAGACTTATTGTGATGCACACTGGCTTGCTTTCAGCTATCCAACACATTCTATCGCAACTCCACTCAAAACCAGCCTCGGATGCACCTGTAACAACTATACGACTAGGACTTATGTGTATTGGCGCACTTTTAAATTTACAAATGGATTCAGATTTGCCTAAGCAACAAATGAGAACTATGGAAATGGTTAACACTGTCGTTGCTGCGATCAGTTCATTTCCGTTTGTGGAGAGCGCCAGTTTTGGTCGAGAGTGCTTTGTTGTGGGATTGCAAGCAACAGAGTGGGCATTCAGGCTTGTTGAAGATCTACTCAGTGATAATGAGGCAATACAATGGACCACGGAGGGCGCGTTTGGTCTGTTCCGGCCCATTCTGGATCTCCAGCAAGCCGCTGACATGGATATCAGCGAAGATATCGTTGAATATCAAGTGTCCATGACGGATAGTATTGCCTCTATTCTGGATCATGAGTCCAAAAATCCGTCCTTCTGCCTTGCGCTACTACCAGAGTCTGGCGTGGCACCTTTCCGCACCCTTTTAACTCTCAATAAGGAACTATTTATGCCGTCCACATGGCAATCGATTTCTGATAATGAAAATACTTCTCTCGCTACCGAAGCACAGGAAGCTCTAGGTCATCTCAAAAAGGCTATGACACATGCTATCATTGCCACCGCTAGTGAAGACACGAACGTGAATAAAATTTGTCCGCTTGATAACGGCAAACTTATGGTGCCACACCCTTATCTTGATACGCTGCAAACCTGGCTAAGTGACCAAAATGAAGACACAATGAGATCCGTCTGTACCATTTTGACTATTGGCAATTTGGCACGGGATCACATACGAAGTGTGGCATTAGTCGAAGATCTTCGAATTCACGATTTAATTGTGAAAAAAGTTCAAATTCATCCAGCTGATGTTCACATTGTCCACGCTGCGATAAGTGCATTATCGAATATGGCGATTCCGGATCAAAACAAATATCCGGTCGCCTCCTCAGGCATTGTGGCCTGCGTGCTCGTCTATCTTGATCCCCTACATGACTTCCAGAAGCAAATTCAACTTGGGCTGGCAAATTTGCTTAAGAATATCTCTTCATCAGTGCAATATCCTGATATTGCCCTAATGTTACTCGATATAATTCCTTCTTCATCTCCTGGTGCACTTCAAAAATTACAAGATCTCTGGTTACGAACCGACGACCAAACGCTTCGAATGCGCATCGCTCGCATATTCATTATGCTTATCCGTTCAATGTTTTCTTCATCAGCTGGCGAGCATGGATGTCAAAGGATTAGATCTATCTACTCATATTCTTTGGAAGAAGTTAACCACATGTATAGCGCCGCTCGGGCGAAACTCGCTCATCCAACCGTGATCAACGCAATGTGCCATTTGACATGTTATTCTCGTGATCAACCCGTCTTGACAAGTGAATCACTTTTGGGATTAGCTCTACTTGGGCAAACATCAAGTATGTACGCATGACTGACATCTAGATGAGCTGATCGCTACGCATCTTTCGAAATCATGGATACTTCCTGACGGGTCGTCTTCAAATTGTATCACCGCGATGGCACATGCTATGGACAAAATGCCCACGCAAATTGGAACGAATGCATACACATTGTGGACAATCGTGGATCGATGTCTTGAACCTAACAATGATTGGGTCCGTGCGACGATCGAACCATCCGTGGCACGTTTTCGTCAACGAAAACTATCTCCACAATTGCGCCAGTAATGAACCAGGAACGTGCGCACGTGCCCCTAATCCTCTCCCGTGGCACGTACTTATGCAGCGGAGTGCAACAGCGGGAAAGATCTTCCTGGTCCCAAAGACCACCTAGCCGTGAAGACATTAGACTTCTATCATCCCTACAAATAATTATCACCTTGTAGCCAATTACCCCTTTAGCATTCAGCTTACTGCTTGTTCACAGAGCCAGCAAACGAACCAGGCAGTGTGATGGCGGCACTGTGGCGCTTGGCGAAGGTATGAAGGAAGTTCGTCAGGTGAGGCAGACGCTCATTTTCGCCGCCGTGGAGGACATTCGGCTCCGTAGCAGCAAAGTCGCGAAGAATAGGGAAGAGAAGCACCGAAACCCAGGTCATCTCCCTTCCAAGAAGAAAGTCTGACTCCTTAGAAATGCGAAGACGACTCTGCGTCTTGTGCAGAAGGCGCTCAAAGTACACGAGAGCCTCAATAGCAACAGCAAGGTTCTCTGAGAGAGCTGTATCGATATCCGCGCGCGTAGCACCATTGTTGCGGAGAGCGAAGAACTGCTTGACGTAGCGATCCTCAACCACAGACTGCAAGTAGGTCTTGACAACCGAGCATAGCTGGACAATTTCCGCGCGAAGCAATGCACTGTCAGCGTAAGTGCGACTGTCAGTGCCCTTCAGCTTAGGGAAAAGGTTCACGTTGGGAGCAGCCTGAGTGCCATGCTCGTTGAGAACCTCATCAATGTAGCGGCAGATGGCACTGACTTCAAAGAGTGAAACCTTATCATCAGTGGAGTAGAAAGCATTGGGACGGTGAACCAGCACGGGGATAGTACCAAAAGGAGAGAACTCGCTGATTTCAGGCGAATTGGGCATAGTGTGGTGGTGAATGTACTTGATACCCAGCTCGTTAAGAGCAATCAGGACCGTTTGGGTCTGAGTCGAAAAAGAGGTACCAAAGACTTCGACAGACCCAATGTTTTGCGGCGTTGTGACAGACTGAGGGACGTAAATAGACATGACTGGATCCCAGTGAGTATATGAACTTAGAAAAACATTGTAGATCAATTTCAGCGCCTTTTAAACTTTCTTGGAGATGCGTCGGAACTACGCCACCGGTTCAGTATTTTATTTCAATTATCTCAGCACCCCAATTGTGGCACGTGCGTGCGTGATTATTCTGACTGTTGTTTCGCCGCATATTTGGGACGATTACCATCTATTGGATCGTTGATTTGCCAAAGCGCCGTTACTGATCATGGCACGCGCTTCGGTCGATCCTCGCCAAGACACGGAGTTGTATGTTTTCAGGAACGATATCAGGGCTAACTTTAAAGTCATGATGCTCTTCGCGCTCACGGAATTATTCCACCCAAAGCGCCATCTCGGTCGCCATCGCCAGAGCCTGTGGGGGAGGACGAAGAACGCGCAGAGCGAAGATTGAAGGCCACTGTCAATGACATCGAGGAGGAACTCGAAACTGCAGATGATGACGAAGAAAGGATCCTACAAAACTTACGCCAACAGCGTCTTCGCGAGCTTGCAGCAGCTAGCTCAAAGGCTCGGTTTGGCCGAGTATACCCTATTGCCCGTCCAGATTACACACGTGAAGTAACTGAAGCTAGTAAAGTGGGCTCAACAGATGCTGAGAAGGATGAATCTCGTCGTGGCACTGGTGTCGTATGCTACCTGTACAATCCTAGCATGGAAACTTGCAAGTTAATGTCAGGATTCTTAGACACTTTGGCAGAGCGCTATCCGGCAACGAAATTCGTCAGCATCATTGGGAGTCAATGTATCCCGAATTATCCGGACCATAATCTGCCAACCCTTCTTGTGTATCGAAATGGAGAATTGCGTCGTCAAATTATAGGGCTACGAAGGGAGATTGGTCTTGATGGCATGAATACGAAGCTTGAAGGTCAGTACATATTTCTGACAATCTAGATATTGAGCTGCTCCTTATAGCTGTAGGTGCTATTGAACCCATCAAACCTGGTTTGAACTCACGGTCAAAAGAAATGAAAAGTTACGACTCAGGTGAGGAAGAAGAAGAGAAAACAGGTATTCGTGGCAAGGCTGAGGACTCGGATGATGATCTCGATTGGGATTAGGGATGGTCCACAGAGCTGAACACACTTTTTCTTCTCCGAGTGCATTTCAGAAACTGTCGTAACCAATTAACTTTAACAGCATATCCATGTATGGTGTAAAGGTCCATACTTGTTATTCATACAGGCTGATACTCTTCTAGTGTGTCTGAAAGTCGAGCCGGGCTCGCACGGATCCCATCGTATTAGTCAGAGTCATTCACGTAGTGATATGCTTGGCATCTCCACTACGTGTGGCCCAAGGATTGGAGTCACGATGGACTCCATGCGAGGTCACGTCAAAGTGCTGAGGCATCACATACCTTATAATGACCATGAGAAAATACCCCCTGTAAGTGTGAATGCAATAGACGCGTTGATTGATACATGCTCGTCCCTTCACGTACCGCCTAGCCTTGATCGTATTGTGTCTTTGAAACAGAAAATATACCAGGTGCGGAAAAGAATAGATGAAGTCAATCGACAGCAATATACATCTTTGAATAAACTCTCACGGTCGATTGACCAAGTATTCCCGGACAATGTTGAAGATCTAATTCCTCCCGAGTTATTTCAAGACCATGCATGTAAACAAGCATTAGACCTGGCTGTCTTTGAGTATCTTACGCGCACGGGTGAAAAGACAATTGCAAACAAGTTTTTAAAGGTACGCGCGGTGTTTTCTTACAAAAGTGTAGCGAGATTTTGCCGCATAGAGCTGAAGAGGTGGCGTTCCAGACCTTGCAAGATTTGACCAATGACTTGAAAATTGGTCGTCTTGATCGGATCCGGAAGTGGGTAATGGCACATCATGATGAATTAGAGATGCAGCAAAGTTCACTTGGATACATGTTGCACCGTCATGAGTTCTTGCGGCTGGCCTTGGGACGGGATATACCTCTTGAAACTTCGGATCTCCATTTCAACATTGCCTCCTCTACCAATGTCTCTATGGCTTTCAACTTCGGACGGCATCATTTCCGTCCATATTTCAGTACAAGTCTGGCTCAAATCCAGCAACTTTTTTCCCTTTTACTATTTATTCCACGTATTCCTCTGGATAATCAAGGTTTGCGGGGAAATGAATACCCCAATGAAGAGGCTATCTTGACCCGCATTCCCGATCGGTATCGTGATTTGATCAACATGTGCGATGACGAAGAAGCCAATATGCTGAACTTATTTCAACGGGATTATTGCGCAGTATCAAACATTCCGTTGTTTGACCCGCTTGAGATCAGTGTGAGTGTGGGTGCCGACGTGGCTTTACCTCGTCTTGTAAAAGCTCGCAAGGTGATGCAGCAACAAGGGCACGAATGGAGTCAAGCTGATGAATTACCAATCGAGATTCCTATCCCTCAGGGCTTGAACTATCACAGTACATTCATATGTCCTGTTAGCAAGGAGGTGGCCACAGAAGAGAACCCGCCGATGAGACAACCGTGTGGGCACGTTGTATGTCTCGAGGCTCTACAGCAAATTGGTCAAGCGCGAAAACGGATTAAATGCCCTTATTGTCCAGCTGAATCAAAACTTTCGGACGCTTGTCGCATGTACTTTTAGTTCTACGAGAAATTCAGTTTCTGGAATGAGCGGTAGTTAACATACAATAAGGAAAAAGAGCATGTTCATAAGAACATGAAGGCTAGTCCACACCAAGGTGGGCACAAGCTCGGGGTACAGACGCATCTCTGCTAGTCCAAGATGAGCAGCATGAACGCCATAGAAAATATTACAGAGCAGGGGTCAGTGTGAGCATACTTACTAAGGCGGTGAGGGAATTAGACAATATTTCTGAAGCCCATATGGCCAATGAGCCCATCATTGTAAGTCGGTAGTTGTAGGGGTCATTATCATCAAACGCAAAGAATGGATACAGAGGCTGATTGATGCCGAAATGCAGGAGAGAGAGCCAGCCGAGAAAGGCTAGCATGGTGGTATGCTGAGCAATATTTCGGAGGTAAAAATACAAGCTGATTTTTTCAACATGCTTCTCATGCGATAAGGGCCGTGAATTGAATAAATTCAGAATCTTAAGCCAGTATCTCGACATTGAAATAGGATACCATAGGCAAACCCATGTCGAGCTCAGAAGTTGGATTAGAGCAAACTGGTCAAAGCTCCGGAGCCTGGCAAAAAGGTTCCGATAAAAGATGAAGTAGATCATAAAATAGAAGTACTTAAAAGCAAAAAGTAGTGGTCGGTTCCGAACTTTCTCCGACATGATCCACTGCACGATTGCGCTTAATATGTGTACAGTGAGCATCCAAAAGGCGACATAGAGTGTTCCGTCGATGCCGGTGTGAGGAAGCGTTTTCATGTACACAATTGCATAATATTGGCCGGCCAATAAAGTCACCAGAGAAAGACCCAACGACACCATGAACCACAGAAATCGACGGTATGACGAAGGGATGAGTCTGGTGTGCCCCTGCGGGGCAAGTGAGTGCTGAATATTTGTGCCTGTCAGACGATACCGCTGTCGTCCACTTCGACGTAATCCAATAAAACATGCAAAGGCCGGCATAGCCATTGTTCCAAATGTTAGTAGTACCCATTCAGTCTTGAGTTGCCATTCACGCTCTCCATCATCTCCCGGACCTGAGTGTTTCTGGGGGTGAATTGGCATGTACTTGTGTACAAGGTATCCCGAAAATAGGCTCATCAACCAAAAAAAGAAGTAGGACCACTTGGCGCCGAATTTTTTCGGCCACCAATTCAGTCGATAGAGCGTAAAGAGCTGTGTAACGAAGATGAGCGCCACAGCCACGTAGCATCCAAAGTACCAGAAAAGAAAGAAGAAGAAACTAGTGTCGTGAACACCGCCATCACTGTCAATGTCTGTAGGAAAGGGAATCCCACACCATACGAGGACCAACATGACAGGGATCCATATTAGGACCAGAGTGCGCCTGGGCCCACTGCTAAGAAGTTCGTCGATGGCGACACTAGTCGGTCGAAACGCATGTTCCAGACGCAGTCTCTGTTCGCTTATTGCTGGCCTTGATCCCGAGTGAAGTGAGTCAACGCTATTTGAGGCGCTTCGCCCGCCCATGGAGCGATAGCCCACGGGGTGCAGCACATGTGAGCGAGAATACCGTCCTGGGATAAATTTTCCGAGCTTTGATGATGGAGAATGGCCCATAGTACCATAGTTCATGGGCTGAAGGGACTGATGTCGCTGGTTGCGTCGGAAGCCCCAAAAGACATTCCCTTCATCCTGGAACTCTAGATGTAAGTCTTCTCTTGACTGTCTATGGTACGGTCGAGAGTTATGCGAAACCGGCCGATCATGTCGATTCCAAAATGCATCATGAGCGCGAGAATCAAGCCGGGGAGAAGGCGGAATACCTTGAGATGCCAACGAGTTTTGCCAGGTGAATTGCGGGTCTTCTTCATTTATTTCCGCATCCGAGCCACTACTCTCACCACTTCCATCACTGCAAAACTCCTCCGTCTCTGGTACTGTCAAGAACGGTGTTCCGCTTGTCGACGTCACCTCCGCCATGGGTACTCGTAGACAGTCACTGTGTCGAGCGTTGCCGGCGATGTGGAGGGTGTGAGCAGCGTTGCACAGAAGGCTAGTTTCTGCATAGGTGAATTTTGTCGGAGAGCTATTCTCACTATACATCCGTCTTCGGTGCATCGACTAAATCGACAGTTTCACCTTCAGGATTGGTATCAGAATGCAAAAGTTGCGCTGAGCTTCTCATTCCATGAGTGCGTTTCCACGGTTCATGAAGCGTGTCCGCAGCACTGTCCTCTAAATGCTGTGGTGGTAGCTCGTTGCTAGGTCGAGGGACCATTTCGACTGTTTCATGAAGTGGTAGAACGCTGTTTGTGCCCTTGACATTCAGGTATAGGGTGTTGCGTGCCAAATTCCGAATTGGGTTAAGCGCGGATGCAGTGCGAGAAGACTGAGACAAATCAACTGCTTCGACAGCACGCACATCTTCGATTGTCGGTAGATCCACGAGCGGCTGGGGTGCCGGCATTCTAGTTCGCCGTACTGTGGGGCTTGTGCTGCGATATGAGTCCAGGTTCTTCCTCGTTCGGAAGCTTTGGGGCTGTGTCGGAGGAGTAGAGGTGTGAGTGGAAGAGGAGCTTTTTCGACGCATTCTTGACGATGCATTTGTTGTAAGAGGGTCCATAGGATCGTGCGTTGATGAGGTTTTAGAAATATCGCCCAAGTCTTCTGGCAAGGACGGATCAGATGTGATAGGGCCGTCGCGGTGCTCCTCTGCGAGACCAAGCATTTTCCATGCACGGATCGAGCGCTCAGCCCAGCACTCTAGCACGGGCCAGTGTGCAAATTCTCCCACGAGTTGAAATTCCACGCCTGCCTCGCCACCGCGGTCACCAGCGCCGGCAAAATACGACCTGTAACCGATCTGGTCTTCGGATGCACCCGAGCTTACCTCGTCGGCGGCATGCATCACAAACGTGGTACCTGCCTCGAGCTCTTCGGCAAAGGACTGGAGAAACTTGGCCCAGCCATCAGGACCGTCACATCCATATATGACAATCTTCGTATCAAAATCGCGTCCAAATAGAATGACCTGCCCTGGCTTGCCTGGTCCTGTCGGGTCTGGGTTCAGATCCACGCCCATGTAGTTGCCGTTGCCATCCGCAATGAGTGGGATCCACCCGGGGCACGAGTATTCGCGGCGTACCCACTTTGTGGGGCAACTGCGCATATGCCCCTTGAGCACTGGATTCAGTCCAGTTTCGGGGTTCCTGTCAACATGGCGCCAAAACTGCCACTCTCGCAGGATATCGTCAGTACCAAGGAATGGAAGTCCGAAGAACAATCCGTCTTTGCATGACGCATACGATTCCACTTCTTGACCATCGCAGCAGAGCAGCCACTCGCACACAGCCGCAGGTAAGGCCTGGCCCAGGCCGTGCTGTAACGTGTTGATCTGCTCGATTGTGGCGGGCCAATTTAGTGCATCGCGCAGCTCTTCGTAGTTTTCATCACAAAAGCGCGTGATGGTGCGCCACGCTCGCGCAACGGGGCTGCCTTGGCGGATATCCGAACGCGTATACAAAGGCAGAGAAGGGCCTGATACAGAATAATCGGGTGTAGATGTGAGACGCGTAGTCGATTGCATGCCTTGACTTGCTCTGTTAAGGAAAGGGCCAGAACCACTGGCGTGATAGGCTTGAGATAGATCAGTGCCCACATTGCTGCCAAAAAGCCCTCCTGACCGCCCCTCAGAGCCGAAGAACTCATGAAGCGTCGCCAGAAATTGGCGCGCCATTGTTGATCACGCAAATACTCCCTAATCCAAGGCACGTTCGCGCTGCGACGGAGAGTACGACCCACCCCAAGACGCGGTCGTCGGACGGCTGTGACAAAACGGCGCGTCGATCTGTGGCACGTGGTTGGGAATTATGCGGTGAGACACGTGCCAGGTGCGGTGCAACTCCGCCTGGCGCGTGCGTCCGACGATGACGCTTGGCTGGGCGGTGTGGCTACTGTGTCTGTGTGCCGTGGTTGCGCCTACGTTAGCAGCCGACGTCAACACATCAACTATATGGGGTACTTATCGTCCACAGCTCTTTTTCGGATTGCGCCCACGGGTGCCTCGGACGCTTGTGACGGGCTTGGCATGGTTCTCAACTGCAGACTATGAGCATGCATCTGTATTGCGCCATAGCGCCTCGGACAACGACGGTATCGAGTCTTTCAAGTGGCTATACCATGATGGACGTAATTTTGGTGTCCAGGAGATCATCGATCGCAAGTATAACTACCGCCTTGAGACGAGCTTCGTCAAGGCTGGGCACGAGCATGGCCAACCAGGCCACTGGGCGGTGCGTGTGCGTGGTACGGTGCTTGATGATAGCAAGCCAGCGCAGCTTTCTACCTTTTTCTACGTTGGCAGCGAGGACAGCGAGGCTTCCTTCACCATTCAGGGCGAGCAATTGCATGGCACAGAGCTTGGCGGCTTTTCTTTGCGCACGCAGGAGCACCCAGGTCAGACGCCAATGAAAGCATTCACAACCATGCGTGTGCCCAGCCACAATGTATGGCGTGGCCCAGACCATATCCTGGCGGACATGCGTCCACACCTACAGGCCATGGCACGCTCCCAGGAAGTGTGGCCACCTGCCGCCGAGGCGATGCAGCTGACGAACAATAGTGAGACCCAGTCCAACTGGTATGCACTGCAGCGAACGTACCGCGGCAACTTCACGTACGATATCATGCTGGACAGCGCGCTTTCTGACCTAGATCGCTGGGACTCAGACGCTGTGACGGCCGCACTGGAGCAGTACAAGCGTGCATTCGATGCGAAGTTTGAAAAGACGTTTGCGTTAAGCTCCTCATTCTCGCCCAAGCAGGTCACCTACGCTCGCGAAATTCATGCACAGCTGCTGGGCGGCATTGGCTATTACCATGGCACGTGCCTCGTAGATCGCCGGCCCGCCGAGGATAATGGCCTGGTGCTGCACAATATGGAAGATGCGCAACCCGAGGAAGAAGGGCCATATTCGCTGCTCACTGCAACGCCTAGTCGCACGTTTTTCCCGCGCGGCTTCTACTGGGACGAGGGTTTCCACCTGCTGCAGCTTGGTGCATGGGATGCGGAGCTGTCGATGGAGCTGCTCGAATCGTGGACGAGCCTCGTGGACAGCGACGGCTGGATTGCTCGCGAGCAGATCCTGGGTGAGGAGGCGCGCAGCCAGGTTCCTGGCCCATTCCAGACACAGTACCCGCTGTACGCGAATCCTCCCACTCTGGTATGGGGGCTCCAGGCATATGTGCGCGGGCTTGAGACGCAGCTGGCTGAGGCACAGGAGAATGTCGAAGGCACGAGTGGGCTCTCAGCACTTGAGGCGGATGCTGCGATGCTGTCGCGTATGTACGAACGGCTGCAAGCACTGTACGAGCCGTGGCAGCGGCATTATGAGTGGTTCCGCCGCACACAGCGGGGACAGATCCGGCAGTGGGACCGCAAAGCAACGGCGCGCCACGAAGGTTACCGCTGGCGCGGGCGCTCGTACACACATGTACTGACGAGTGGCCTGGACGACTATCCCCGCGCTGCGACGCCGCATGTGGGCGAGCTGCACGTTGATCTCCACGCGTGGATGGGCTCGTTTGCGCGGTCGATGCAGCAGCTCGCCCAGGTCCTGGGCCAGGTGGACGATGCGCTCGAGTACGGCGAGCATCTAGAAGATATTGCTGCCAATGCCGTGGATCTGCACTGGAATGAGCAAGACGGCCTCTTCTGCGACTTGTCCGTGGACAGCGACGATGTGTCGTACTTTGAGTGTCACGCGGGGTACGTGAGTCTCTTTCCCCTAATGCTGCGTCTGTTGCCGGCCGACTCGGCGCAGCTTGGTGCATCGCTGCGCCTCCTGCGTGACGAGACGCAGCTCTGGTCGCCCTACGGGATCCGCAGCTTGAGTAAGCGCCATCCTCTCTTCGGCACCGAAGAGGACTACTGGCGCGGCGCTATTTGGCTCCCGATCAACTACCTGCTCCTAGGCGCACTGCGACACTACGCCACAGGGCCTGGACCCCACGCGGCTGACGCCCGTGCTGCCTATGTGGATCTACGAAACAACCTGGTCAACACGGTGCTTGAGGTATGTGCGGTACATTGACGCTAGGAATATGAGCGAACCGGGTATACGTGGGAGCAGTTTGATCAGGCCACCGGTCGCGGTCGGCGTAACTACCCCTTCACAGGCTGGACCTCGCTCGTGGTCCTCATCATGGCGGAGATATACTAGGCTTGATAGCATCCAGGCGCGCCTGCAGCTGCGCCAAGTTGCGCTGTGTAACCGCCGCATTCTCGTCCAGGCTAGTGCCGACGCGCTCAAGCACCGAAAGCAGCTCGGTCTGCTTCGCATGCATGTGCTTCTGTTCATGCACAAGCTGCTCGAGCCGGCTTGCGAACGTGGCGGCAGCCGCATGCACTGGGGCCAGCGACTGCAATCGCGCGAGGAGGGCGGGCGCCAGCGGCACGAGTGGCGCCAGTTTGTCGTGCAGGGCATAGAGCGCCTCGATCTTTTGCAGCGTCGTCTCGTCAGTGCGCGCCGCGAGTGTCTGACGACGCTCGTCAGCCTGCTGCAGCTCAGAGACAAGCAGCTTGGCACGCGCGAGTACGGCGTCCAGGTGTGATGGGTGTGCAAGTAGGGCGAGCTGCGCCTCCAGCTGGCGCACCGTCGCGAGCAGCGGCACTCGTGTATCGGTCACGTCGGTGCCAATCCGCCGCTCAAGCGCTGCGACGCGCGCCTCCCATGGCGCATAGTCACGAGGGGGGCTGCGTGAAGGTGCCGCTGGCTCGGTCGTGGGGGCGCGCGGCGCGGCGACGCTCGTCCCTAGGGCGTCGATCATCAGTTGCGACACGTGCCATGGATCGGTGGCCTGCGCAGCTTGCTCCTTGTGTGCTAGGTTCTGCTGCAGCTCGCGGACCTGCGTGAGCATTGACGCCGCAGAACGCGGTTTGGACTCGGCAGCCTGTGCGAGCTGCGCCTCGAGTTCGCGCGCCTCGTACTGCAGACGCCAGAGACGCGCGAGGGGTGCCTCGACCTCAGCCGCTGTACCCCGCAGCTCGTACGTATCGAAGCCCAACAATCCGGGGCGCGCGCCTGCGCCCTCAGGCACCGCAGCGCGAAAGCGCGCTTGCGCCTGCGCGGCATTCACACTTGAATGGTCAATCGCTGAATCGGCGGGATCGGCCTCCGACGTGGCCGCGTCGTCATGCACGCCTTCTGGGCGCTCGGGCGGATGTGTCTCGTATACATCAGGCGCTGTATCCTGGGGTCAGCAGCGCACACGCACAATGTCGGGCAGCCCACTGTACTTGGACATGGTGGAACGCCGCCCGCCGCGTCGCGGCGCGCTGCAGCGTCATGCATAAGTGTTGGGGAAATAACGTAGGCATCTATAGGTAGGCGCACGGCGCGCAACAAAGAGCGTACATCGCTCAGGAGCTGTACAGAGGAGACATCAACGGTGGCGTCTGGACCCGGTGTATCGCATTTTCAATCGTGCTGCCCATGCGGCGCAGGGCCGTGCGCGGCGTGGGCGGCGCCATGGGTTGAGGCGAGGGCTGGCCCGTACCATAGGCACCATAGTGCACGGAGAGCTTGGTCATCGAAGCTGCGCGAGACAGCGTGTGCGTCGGTGGCGGGAGCACGTTTTCCTTCGCAGGAGTGGGTGCCGCATTAGCAAACACCCGCGCTGCACCGATACGACACGTCATCTCGTCGTTGAGGTGTCGTTGGTGCTGCACGTCCTCGGCGACATGGCGCGTCAGCTGCTCGACCGACAGGAAGGCGGTGTGGCACAGTAAGCACTTACGGCGCTGCACGTCCGCAAAGTTCAGCAGACGAAGAACCGCGTGCGGTGGCAGGGGCATCGGCGCAGCGGGCGCCGGCGAGACAGAGACGGTCGCTTCGCGCGACATAGGGACCGACTGGGGGGGCTGACTGCTGCGGCGCACAAAGTACGTCGTCCCGTTGGCCATCACAGGCGCGACCGAGGCCGCGGGCAGGTGAAGTGGCGCAGCGACCGGCACCGCGTCCAGCCCCTCTACGCTCACAGACGAGCGCGGCGACGTCGTGGCGCTGCTGCTGGGCGAGAGCGCTGGCGTGTAGGCGCTGGCGTCCCAGACATCAAGTCCAAACGCCTCGTCTTCGTAGCGCCACAGCTGGCCGGTGCGGTCAGTAAAGACGTAGGCACTGCAGGTCGGGTCGTACGGGTCCGCCTCTTCCATCACAGCCATATCGCCGTACGATGTCTTCACCGGTGCCTGCTCGGGCGCGCCCAGGATGCCATGCGGCAGCAGCGCGCGGTTGCGCAGGACCTGTAGTGCCGCTTTGGCCGCGTCAGCGTCCTTGTACACAACAAACACACGACCTGTCGACGCACGAGTGCGGCGGTGGCGCAGCAGGAGGACCTGCTCCACTTGCTGCGTCCGCTCGCAGAGCGCCGAGCCGATGCACTCGGCGCTCACGTCCGGGCGCACCTGCGTGAGCAGAAGCATGTCGGTGATGCTTGCGGAAGCATCGCGCAGGCCGGCGTTCTCGTTGGCCGCGTCGACCTGGTCATTCGGCTCAGGGACATCGCCGTTTTTCGCGCGACGCGCACGCGCGCGCTTCAGCTGCTCCTTGCAGTGGGGAGCGTTGTGCTGCTCGTAGTACGAGATGCCACCTTGCGGGCGCTCGCTGTTGCTAAAGTCAATTTTGATGCGCTTGCGGCGCACGGCCATGTGCGTTGACGGGCCGAGCCACTGCTCAGGGTTGTGGATGAACGGTGCATGCGTGTACACAAAGAGGCGTGCATCGTCCAGCGTGTCAAACTTGACAAAGCCAAAGCCTTTCGAGGCACCCGTGTTGCGGTCGCGGATCACCGTCACGTCCTGCGGCGGCGGCGCGAGGCGCGCCTGCACCATGTCAGCAAGCGACGTAATCAGCGAGCGCAGCTTGTCGGCATCGACATCAGGATCAAGGCCCAGGACGATCACATCGCGCGATGGCTGCGTCGTGTGCTTACGCTCACGCTCCGCCCAGCGTGCCGCGCGGTCCTCCTCCGGGCGCGTCTCGCGCATAAGCACCGGCGACGGGGACCTGCACCGCGCATTGTCAGCAGCGATTGCGTCGTCGGCACAGAATCGGTTCTTGCTGTCCATGGTTGGGAAATGCGTCACAAATAGACGGAGTAGAAGGGCACCGAGGAAGATGCCATGACGCCGACCATCCTCGCCATCTATAAAGGTCGTGCGCGCCTAGAAGTTCGTTCAAAGAGCTTCTATGTTCAGGTCCACCGTGCAGCTGGTCCCTGACGCTGACTAAGCATCAACCACCGTGGGGTCGGGAGCGCGCGCATCAGAGCGCCCGATATGGCGGCGCAGGCAGGTGCCACTGGCTCGCCGGCACGGAAGCCCGTGCCGATGGGCTCGCCGGCGACCGCACCCGCGTCTGTGCGCCTTCGTTCGTTGGAGACGGCGGTGCCGTCGCCCCCGGAGGGGACGCGCCAAGGACTGCGCAAGCTTAACCTTCCGACGGTCGGTGCCACCCAGGCCGCCGCTGAGGCCGCCGCTGCGGCGATGAGCTCACCTTCTGTCCCGCGGTTGGACCGCAGCGCCTCGCTGGGTGTCGCTGAGACGGTGCCCGTGGATGCTGAACGCACGCGCTATTTTCGCCGTCTGTCGGCGCTGCCGCCCGTTGCGCCACACATGCCTGACATACCCAAGCCTGTGCTCAAGTTCGTGGACGCAACGCGCGGGATCCTGTTCGCCTTATCACAAATATACAGTGCACTTCACCAACACATGGCCGTGTCCACGGATGAGCGCTTGGTCGCGCACTTCCAGCGGGTGCTAAGCATTGCCGCGCGCTCTATGAGTGCGCTGATTGCTGTGCTCGACCGCTGGGACCATTCGTCCCAAGCAGGGATGCACGAGCCCAGTATTGTTCGCCATGTGCTGGACGCATGCAACGAGAGCGTGCGCACCTTTCGTCGCGCCGTGTCCATGCTTCACACGCAGCTGCCGCAGCTGGGTCAGAGCGTCGACGTGCGCTTTACACGCACGCTCCTCCTCCTCTTGTATGGGAGCATGACTGAGCTCAAGAATAGCGCCGACATGATGCTGCCCCAGGCCGAATCGGTCGTGCCGTTTTTGACCGCGGAGCTCGCGCAGCCTGCCGATGCTTCGACGCTTGCTCGCGAAACGGTGCGCATGCGCGGTCCCGGCCTACAGGACGCGTCGCTCTCGCAGGACGCGGCAGATACAAGTGAGTACGACGTGTCTGTGCCGTCTACCAGCACGCCGTTGTCGAAGCGCAGCGCGCGCATACGTGCTAGCGCCGGTACGCGGTCGCCGCGCGACCCACGCAAGCCAGCTGCGTCGCCGCGCGTTGTGCCTGCATCGCCCTCTAGCTCGTACGTCCTGCGCTCGAAGCCTGGCGCTGTATCTGTGGAAGAGCTTGATGATACTCTAACGAGCCTCTTGGCCCAAGTCACTGACCATGCCTTGACAGTGTGGACGGAGCTGGGCGTCTATGTCGATGCGTGCCTCCGGCAGGAGGACGACCATGACGAGGGCCGAATACGGCGCCTACGAGACGTGCACGAGGCATGTGAGCATACTCTAGAGCACACGCGGTGCTTGCAAGCCACGCACGAGCGCTTTAGCGACGACCATGTCCGCACGACCGGGGCGGACGTGCATCAGCTGTGGGAAGAAGCGAATCAGTTTGTGCGAGTATGTATGCTATGACTAACCCAGTCCATCATTCACATATCGACGTTGGTGCGCGCGGTCTCGGTCAACCATCCGTTCCCGCGCGACCTAATGCGCGGCGTCGGCGACCTGAACCAGGGCTGCTCGGCGCTGGCCATCCACCTGCACAAGCTCGCCACATAGTATGGTCACGTGACGATAAGCCTGGCGTCGCGGGGGTCGGAGGCGACGGCCCGCGACCCACCGCTCCCCATGGAGGACGCACAGCCGCGCGCGTCAGCGGACGATGCAGAGCATCCTTGGAGTGAGGAGGAAGGCGAGGACCTCATGAAAGAGTCTGGCAACATGGTCGGGCTCGACAGTAGTGATGACGACGAGGATGACGACGACGAAGAGGAGCAGCGTCGTATCGCCGAGGGTTTCATCGACGACAATGATGAGGAAGACAATGAGACGTCACACAAGCGAAAGCGGCGGCACCGCCACCGCGAGGTGGACGAGGAGCTCGACGAGGACGATCTGGCGCTTCTCTCTGAAAATACGCGGCCCGCGCAGGCGCCGCACAAGCGTGCGCGTGCCGAGGGGCAGAGCACTGAAGAGCTCGCGCATATCTTTGACGACGAGGACGCTGCAGGCGCGGCAGCCGATCCGTACGACGACGAGCTCGACGACTTTATCGAGGACGACGAGGACGATGCGGAGCTGACGGGGCTCGACGAGGAACAGCGGGAGGCGCGCCGCCGCGAACGCCGCGAAGAGCGCCGTCAGGCGCGCATGTCGGGTGCGCGCGTCGATCCCCGCAAGGCGGGCGTCGACCTCGAGGCGTGGGACGAGGTGCACGACATCTTTGGCAATGGCGAGGACTATGCTTGGGCTCTCGAAGAAGAGGAGGAGGCACCTGAGGCCGCTCCGAAGGGGCGCATGGAGTACAAAGACATTTTCGAGCCTGCCCAGATCCGCGAGCGCATGCTCACGGACGAAGACGACCGTATCAAGCAGGTCGATATGCCAGAGCGGCTGCAGCTGATGATCCCTGGCGAAGAGGGACTGCAGCTGCTCGAGCGCAAGCTAAGCGAGGCAGAGCTGGACGAGGCGGCACACTGGGCCTCTACGCGCCTCTCGCCGCGGTGCACGGCCGAGTTCCTCGACGACATGGCCCCCCATGCGCGCCTGCGAGGCGAGTGGCATGCCTGTGTGCGCCAGATGCTCAGCTACCTCCTCAACGACCTGCTGGAGGTGCCGTTCCTCATGCAGCACCGCCTCGATGAGCTCGAACACACACAGGACAAGGTCACGACGACGCTGCTGGTGCGCCAGGAGCTACTCACTCTCAGCTCGCTGGGCATCAAGTACAAGCAGCTGCTGGCCCGCAAGGAGGCGCTGCGCAAAACATTCGGCGAACTGGTCGCCACGTACCCCCAGCCGACGCCCGAGCTCGATGAGGCGCGCGTCGTCGTTGATGACCTGGTCACGCAGGCGGCGACGCTCGAAGAAGTGACAGACATTGCCGAGTGGCTCGCGGCGCGCTTCGGCGAGCGGTTCCGCGAAGCGACAGCGCTGGCGAGCCGTCACGAGGCGCCGGTGCTCAAGCGGCCCACGGTGGTGAGCGAGTATGAGCAGCGCAAGCACACGCCGCTCGCGCAGCTCGCGATGCGCCTGGGCCTCTCGTCATCGCAGCTCGCAGCGAACGTGGCCGGCGGCATTCGCCAGCATGTGCCGGACGACGAGGCGGTCCCCCCGCTCGCTGTGGCCGAGGAGTATGTGCACACCGTGCCGGGCGCGGTCGATGCCACGGCCACGCTAGCGCTTGCACGCACGCTGCTCGCACACGAAATCGGCAAGGAGCCTGCGCTGCGCCGTGAAGTGCGTGCGCTCTTTCGCCTCTCGGCGCTCGTGGATGTGGAACCGACGGAGCGCGGCATGACGGCCATTGACGAGGGGCACCCGTACTACCACTTCAAGTTTCTCCGCGCCAAGCCGGTGAGTGCAGTTCTGCAGAATGCGTCGCAGTTCCTGCAGATGGTCCAGGCGGAGGAGGAGCGCCTCGTGACACTCACGCTGCGTCTGCCGTTCGAGACGGCGACCAAGCTGGAGCGCCGCCTGCAGGAGCAGTTTGTGAGCGATGGCATCAGCGCCGTGTCGCAGTCGTGGAACGAGCAGCGGCAGGCTGTCGTGGAGGAGGCGTGTGCCGCCTTCCTCCTGCCGCTGGGCCGTATGTGGACGCACGAGTGGCTTGTGGAAGAGTGCCGCGAGGGGCTTTTGCGCTTCTGTGAGCTGCGCCTCACACAGCGCGTCGAGGGCGGCCCGGTGCAGTCGGCCGGCATGATCAGCCGCCAGGCCGACCCGTCGCTCGAGGCCGCGTCGCGCGTGCCGCGTGTGCTTGCGCTGTCCCATGGTGATGGCGATCCGCGGCGCAGCGAGATTGTGGCCGTGTTCCTGGACGAGCGCGGGCGTCTGCTCGAGCGGGCGACGTTCGATACGCTGCGCCCGCCGCGTGCGACGGACGAGGGCGTGGCGCACGATCCCCGCGCCGCGTTCATGGACCTGCTGCGCCGGCGGCGCCCCGATGTGGTCGTGGTCAATGGGTTCAGTCCGCGCACGGCCGACCTGAAGGAGGAGGTGCGCGAGCTCGTGGCCGCTGCGTGGGAGGCGCGCGTGCGTGACGAGGAGCTCGATGGTCTTGCGCGCGAGCAGGTGCGCATGGACGTTGTGAGCGTGTACGACGATGTGGCGCGCTTGTACCAGCACAGCGCGCGGGCGGCGAGCGAGTTCCCCGAGCTACCGGTGCTGGCGCGCTACTGTGTGGGGCTGGCGCGCTACGCGCAGTCACCGGTGAACGAGTTTGCAGCGCTGGACGCGGACATGGTCGCCGTTCAGTTCGATCCGGCGCAGCGCCTGCTGCCGGCAGACCGGCTGCGCACGCATTTGGAGCGCGCGATTGTGCTCCTCGTGAACGACATTGGCGTGGACATTCAGGCGGCGCTGACGGACACGTACGTGGGTGCCATGCTCCCGTTCGTCGCAGGCCTCGGTCCCCGCAAGGCCCATGCGCTGCTGCATGCTATCCGCACGCAGCTTGACGGTGTGGTGGTGAACCGCGAGGTGCTGGTGCGCCGGGGCCTGCTTCCCTTCCATGTGTGGAACAATGCTGTGTCGTTCCTGCGCATCGACCAGGAGGCCGCGACAGACGCCCTCGACGAAGAGGCGCAGCCAGATGTGCTGGACTCAACGCGCATCCACCCCGAGGACTACGACTTTCCCCGGCAGATGGCGCGGGACGCGCTCAACAAGCACGAAGAAGACCTCGAGGGCGAGCACCCGAGTGTGGCATGCCTCGAGATCATGCACGACGCGCACCCGACCGAGAAGCTCGCGGCACTCGACCTGGACCAGTACGCGGCGATGCTGTACGAGCGCCGCGGCCTGAAAAAGCGCCTCACACTTTTGGCGTGCAAGCAGGAGCTGATCCGCCCGTACGACGACTGGCGCCCGGCGCAAGCGCTGCCGACCACCGAGGAGCTGTTCACCATGTTCACCGGAGAGACGCGGCGCACACTCTCGGAGGGCTACGTCGTGCCCGCCGTCGTGTACCGCGTGGAAGAGGGTCGCGATATGGAGGGCTTCTTGCGCGTGCGCCTCGAGGCCGGCATCGAGGGCATTATCGCAGGTCGCGACATTATGCCCGGCTACAACTCGCGCGATGTGCGTCTGCGCCGCCTGTTCCGTGCTGGCCAAGCGCTCAACGCCGTCGTGGTTCAGCTCGACCTGCAACGCATGCGCGCCGAGCTCAGTCTGCGTGCGGAGGCGTTTGAGCACGTGAATCCGGCGCAGGGCCGCACGCCCGTGGACCCGATGTACTTCGACCACGAGCGCGCGCACATGGAGAGCGAAGCCGCAGACGAGCGCGCGCGGCGCCGCCACCAGAACCGCATCGGCCGCCGCGTGATCGACCACCCCCACTTCCACAACCTGAATGCCGCGCAGGCGCAGCACTTCCTCGCGACGCAGCCACGTGGTTCCGTGGTCGTGCGCCCGAGCTCGCGCGGCATGGACCACCTGGCTGTCACGTGGAAGGTGGACGACGGTGTGTACCAGCACATTGATGTGCTGGAGCTTGACAAGGACAACGACCATGCGCTTGGCCGCATCCTGCGTGTGGCAGACATGGGCTCGTACGCAGACCTCGACGACCTGATCGTGAACCATGTGCGCCCCATGGCCGCGATGGTTGAGATGATGATGAACCACGAAAAGTACAAGGGGGCGGATCCCGCCGCGGTGGAGACGTACCTGACCAACGCGTCGCTGGCGAACCCGACGCGCTCCGTGTACGCGTTTGGACTGAACAAGGAGCGTCCAGGCTACTTTGACTTGTCGTTCAAGGCGAATAGCAGCGCGCCCGTGCAGACCTGGCCCGTCAAGGTCCTACCTGGCGCCTTCAAGCTCGGACAGGCCACGCAGCTCGCCGATGTGGCCGCGCTGACGAATGCGTTCAAGACGCAGTACATGGCACAGGCCAATGCGGCGCGCGGTGGACGCACGCCGGGCGTCCATGGCGGTATGACGCCTGGCTACTACGGCGGACGCACGCCCGGTGCGGCGTACGGCGGTGGTGTGACGCCACGCACCACGTATGGGATGGGCAGCATGACACCAGGCGCCTACGGCGCGCCTCCCCCCGCGCCATATGGTATGCCACCCCCAGGACCGCCGCCCGCGATGCCCTCCCGGGGCCCTTGGTAGCTGCTGGAATCGTAGTATACAAACACCTATGGCGTATCGGTTCGAGGTGTGGCGGGGCGCACGGCTTGTCCTGTCGTGCCGGCTGCGGGCGATGCGTGTTCCGCCGGCCGCAGCGGGGTCCAAGTCGTGCGCACAGGCTGCACGGGCGCACTGGCCGGCCGGCTCATGCTCGTTTTGCCACTGCCCCACCGCAGATTGCGGCGCAAGGGCTGGCGAGGCGGCACGCCAGGGGGCAGCGCTGTGGGCGGCGGCGGCATGGGCCGAGGCGACACAGGTTCCGACTTCCGTGTCTCGGGCGATAGAGACCGCATCGACACAGGCTCCTGCTTGATCGCAGAGAGTGCCACGGACAGAACAGGTGCCACATCCTTGTTCTCCGCGTCCGTCTCAGTCTTCACTGGCGTCTCCGGCGCATGTACAGGCTCGCGCTCCTCCGCCGCGGGCGGGGGCGTCGACACAGTAAGCTTCGTGGGTGGTGCAGCACTCGACGCACGGCCATTCGGCCCATGCCGCACTGAGCGCCGTGCAGCGCCGCGGCTAGGAGGCTCAGGCGCTGCAACGCGGGCCTGTCGTGCCTGCTGTCGCGTGCGCCCTTCGACACCGCCCGACCAAAAGAGCGCCAGGTTCGACACGGACGTGCGCTCGGGGCCCGTCGTAGCAATTTTGGGTGCATCGGCACGACGAGGCATGGTAGTGGAAGACGCGCCCGAATGCGATACTGAGCGAGGCGCTTGCACTCGGCGCGCCGGTTCCTCGGGCGGTAGCGCTGAGTGCGACGCAGAGCGACTTGGCGTGCGCTTGGCCGGCTCGTCCTGCGTCGGACGGCGCACCTCCCTCGACGACTTGCGCCCCTGCGTCTCATTACCGCGACCAGGTGGCGCTCGCTCACTTAGCACTGTGATGCCATGGTTCGTGGGGCGCCGCGTGCGCCGCTCACCTTCAGGCGCACCCCAATACGACGCGAGCACATCTGTGCTCGCTCCATGGCCCAAAATTTTGGGGCCCAAGGAGCTTCTGTCGCACGCATCGTCACTATCGTCGCTTTGCACCTCCAAGCGCCGGCGCCTCGGTGCATGACGAGTCGGCACAGGCACAGGCGATGGCTCACGCGATGCCTCAGGCACCTCACGCACAGGGCTAAGCTTGACAGGCGACGAAGGCGCTGCTGATTCGCCCTCCTTCGGCTCGGCCAACTTGCGGGGTCGCTTGGGCGGCGCCGTCGGGGCAGGCACGCGCCGCTTCAGGGTACGCGCGATGGTCGTCTGCTCCGCGGGGTTCTCTTTCGGGCGCCGCTCTGGCCAATCGCATTTGTATAGCTTGTAGTGGCGCTCACAACGTCCACACTCATCGGGGACCCACCATTTTTCAGGGGCGCGGAACGGCGCATGGCACGTCAGACATTCACACGCCGGTCCGGTCGCTTCAGGGGCAAGCTGGTACGCGATCAGGTCTGTCGGAAAGGGTATCGAGGCCTGCTCGCGCACAGCATGCGCCGTATGCGAGCGCAGCATCCGTGACGAATCGTCGCTTAGGGTTTCCGGGTCAGGAGTCGCGTCAGGCTCCGGCTCCATCGGCTCTGTCGCATGTGCGAAAAAACCACGGCGGTGCCGCTCACATGTGGCGCACATGCACTCCTTGTTGCCCCACTCAAAGTAGTTGTCGCCATAGTAGGTAGTGATCTCCTCGTTGCGCTTAATGGGCCGGATGCACCGGATACTCAGCTGGTGTCCTGAGCGCCGAAACTCGGCGTTCGGATGGCAGTCGTGGTTGATAAAGCGCGCCGGGCCCAGCAAGAGTTGGCTACATTTGCGGCTCGACGAGCGGATAATGGAAAAGTCGCGCTGAGGTCGCACACGACCGTCCCGCACGTCCGCCGCTCGCGCAGTCGCTGCTTCTTCGCGCAGAGCTTCGTCTTCGGCCGCCGACAGGTCCTTCAGGGCAGCGGTACAGTTGGTAATCAGGTCATTGGGCTGGAACTCACGCAAGGCAAGTACGCACAAGTCGGTGCGTCCGGGCGCCAAATGGGCAGGGGACTGCGATGTATCAGAGGCAGAGTCCCGCGCGCGCAGGTGGCGCAGCCGGGCCGTGCGGTAGCGGTGAGTCACAGCGTACTCAAATCCTGCCTCCGGCAGGTAGGTCCGCATGTAGCGCAGGGCATGGGATTCAAAAACTTGGCGCTGAGCCGGTGTCTTGCCAGATATATGCTTGTGGACCACGGGAAACGAACAAAAAGCCGCCCAGGCCTTGGACAGATCACGCTCCCAGATGACATGCTGACGTATCAGCTGCGCCATGGCCTCTCGATCGAACCGCATGGGCCGGAACGCTGGGTTCATCTTGTGGGTCACAATACCTGGATCAAACTCCAGCGAGCTGCACAGTTAGGTAGAGGAACATACTCCACGAGCATGCACGACAACAAATCATCGTCGGCAGGTAATTCCTCCATCCTGGATCTATAGAGCCAGAAGCAAGCGCACGCGTCTACGAAGATCGCGCGGCTGCCGTGGGTCGGACGGTGTGCACGGTCGTTGCTTGTCGATCCAACCCTGAGACCGCGCGCACGGAGGGCCCGATTTGTAAGCGTGCATAGCCCGATCAGGCGTTCGCCACTAGCAACGTTCTACTGGTAAAAGTCCATGCGGCCGTCGTCGCCCTTCTTGGCCATTTGCTTGAAGGCCTCGTCAAAGTCGGCCGGCACCACCACGTAGCGGTTCTTGCGCACAGCCTGCAATCCGGCTGCTTGACACACCGAGGCAATCTCCGCACAGGAGAGCTTGTCCGGGCGGCTCACATAGTCCTCCAGATCCACATCGGGGCTCAGGTTCATGCGCCCACAGATCGTTTGGAAGATAAGACGCTTCTCACGACGGTTGGGCAGCGGGAACTCAATTTTGCGGTCGAGACGTCCAGGGCGTAGGAGCGCTGGGTCGAGCGTGTCGGCCCGGTTCGTCGCCATGATCACCTTTACGTTGCTGCCCTGGTCAAAGCCATCCATCTGCGTGAGAAGCTCCAGTAGAATACGTTGCACTTCCCGGTCTGCGCCTGTCTGTGCATCGAAACGCTTCGTCGCAATCGCGTCGATCTCGTCAATAAAGATAATCGAGGGTGCGTTCTCGCGCGCCAGGCGGAAGACATCGCGCACCATACGGGGACCCTCACCCAGGTATTTTTGTACAAACTCAGAGCCGACCACCCGAATAAAGGAGGCCGTCGTTGCGTTGGCCACAGCCTTGACCAGCATGGTCTTGCCTGTTCCGGGCGGCCCGTACAAGAGCACGCCCCGCGGCGGATCGATACCGATCTGCCGATACAGATCAAACTGGACCAGAGGCAGCTCGACAGCCTCACGGATCTCCTGCTTCTGGACATCCAGGCCACCAATATCGTTGTAGGTCTCTGTGGGGCGCTCGCTCTGGCTCATCATCACAATACTCGAGTCCGACTCGGGAGGTAGCACCTCGACCAGCGAGTTAGAATGCCGGTGAAGTGCTACGCTGCTACCAGCCTTGAGAAGCTCGCGGTCGATTGTCGATAGGATACGCACGACGTAGTTCGAGCCTGTCGTTGAGCCGACAATCCCGGTCATCTGGTCAATGGGCTCCAGGAACTGGCCGATCACGAGCGGCACGGACTGGATCCGCTTCACTTCTTCTTGAGCACGCACAAGCTCGCGCTTCAGGTTGCGCTGCTCGTCTTTCTGCACGGTCAGCGTGGTTTCTTAGATTGACACCTACCACATACTCCTCCATCGTATTCAGAAACTCGAGCTGATGCTGCAGTTTCTTGTAGTAGTGATACACATCCTCTTTTTCATGTGTACGGCTCGAGCCGCGCGACTGCGATGTCGACGCATAGGCATCAGTCGGCACAATGCCAATCTCCTCCATTGTGCTGAGGCAACCTTGAACTGCGATCGGTGGCCGCGTCAACTCGGAATGGAGGTGTGTTCTTCAGTTCTTGGAAACACGCAGATCGACTCACTCTTAGTGTATACACCGCGCCCATATACATTGTGTAGACATGAATGGACGTGACTCTGTTGGCACATATCGAGTCAGTATGAACGGCACCCATACTTTCCCACTTGCCTGCGGGTGGCAAGCCGGCTACGGAAAGGTGCTAGAGCGAAGTTTCGTCCAAGATTATGGCACGTCAAATCGTGGCGTGCCAGCTAGATGGTCCGCCATCGAATGATGTAGGACACACAGATTTGTACCGTCTATATACATTGATACCCGTGGTGCTCCCAAGGGCTCGCGGGGGTCATGGCCCTATCCCGGCCGAGACGTGGCTCGTGTTTCGCGATCTACCATGACCAGCAAAGGTACATTGGCGGTGCTGGCATGTGGTACCATGGGCACGGCCATCCTGTCAGGCGTAATGGAAAGCCAGCGGGCGATGCAGGAGGGGGCTAATATTCCTGTCGAGAGCGAGTCTGGCCACCCTGTGCTGCCGGAGCGCTACATTGTGACGGTGGGTCGCCCCACCACGGCTAAACGCCTCAAAAGCATGTTTGAAAGTGCAGGACACGACCATGTCGAAGTGCATACGCAGGAGAATGTGGTGGCCGCCCGCGAAGCAGACTTTGTGCTTCTCTGCTGCAAGCCCCAGCGTGTAGGTGAGTTTCTCAGCGAAGAAGGTATGCGTGACGCGCTGAAGAACAAGATTGTCGTCAGCATTGCCGCTGGCGTCACGATCAGCAAGCTCCAGAAGTATTTGGATGCATCGACCAAGGTTGTGCGGGCTATGCCCAACACCCCTAGTAAGATCCGCGAGGGTATGACAGTGATCTCGAATGTCGACACGCTCTCACAGGACGAGCGCGACTTGCTCTGCTCCATCTTTTCGGCAGTCGGTCGGTGTCACTTCCTGGATGAAAAGCTATTCGATGCGGCTACGGCTTTGGCAGGTTCAGGCCCTGCGTTTGTGACGCTATTCCTCGAGGCGATGACCGATGGCGGTGTGATGATGGGCCTGCCGCGCCCCGAGGCCCTGGAGTTGGCAGCTCAGAGTATGTATCACGGTGCTAATCCCAGCGATGCAAGGAGCCGCTCGTATGGTTCTACAGTCTGGTACACACCCAGCTGCTATTAAGGACAGCGTTACGACACCTGGTGGCTGCACGATCGCGGGCCTCTTGCAGATGGAAGATGGTCGCCTTCGCTCGACCGTAGCTCGCTCGATCCAGACGGCCGCAGAGCATGCAGCAGGACTTGGTAAGGACTAGAGGGTATGGAACTATGCAAGAGTGGATAGATGACGTTCGAGCCATAGCTGAGTCGAGAGAGGCGTATCCAGAGGATCGTGCAAGAGATTTAGATCGGCCCAGCGCTGGTCGAGAAGCTGTTGATATACATATTGGGGGGATAACTTCAAAACAATATGATAGAGCCACAGACCTAGCCATATGCCGACCCCAAGTAGAAGTACATGGACTAGCAGGAACCAGCCCGCATGTATTGCAGCCGGCTCGGCAGACGACTCTTCCGACGCCTTCTGCGTGAGTATATCCATGAGCCTGTCGGCCCATCGCTCCGCTCCTCGCGCAGAGGCCCGAGGCGGCACTGGGAAGGCCGTCGGCAAGGGGGGAAAGAGACGACTCCTCGGTGATCGATAGGGTAGGAGCTTCAGATTCACAGGTTGCCGGCCCAGGTGCCTCTTTCGAAGCTAGGGCGTCGGTCAACATAGAAGCCGCTAGCGCTGGGGAATTCGTAGCAGTCGGTGTCGTTGCCTCACGGGGTACCTCCGCCACAGTCCACTCGCCCAGCGGGTCGAGGTCACGAGCCAAAACAGAGAGTGATTCACCGGTCTGCTGTCGCAACTCGTGTAGTTCCCATTCGAGGCGCTCGCGCACCTGTCGTGAGGCATCCACCTCATCTTGGAGCTTCTCTGCATCCATGTGGGCGGACTCCAGAACACTTACGGTGGCTTCTAAGTGCTCCATGGATTGCCGTTGCGCATGACAAGTCGCCTGTAGCTCCTGGACCTGTAGAAGATAGGCACGGCACGATGTACGTGCACTCTCCAGCTCGACCTCCTGCTGCGCCGCACCAGCTTCCTGCTCCTTTTGCAAGTGGGAAAAGTGGTTTACCCGAGCATCAAGGGCCTTGATAGTGCACGCCTGCGAGGCGCGCTCATGTCGGAGGGTTGTCAGTGTCTCTTCCAAATGATGCAATTGGCCCTCGAGGTGCTGGGCGTGTTCCCGTACTGTATGGAGCTCACGCTGAAGTGTCTTGACTTGGCGCTGCAGCGCTGCCCTGTGAGAGTCGCTCTGTTCCTTGTCGACTGTAAGGGAGTCATGCTCGTTTTGCAGGCGCTCTAGCTGGTCAGAGACGCGCGCGAGTTTCCGTATAAGTCGTGAGCGCACGGAAAATCCGGCTACATCCGAGTCAGATTTTGTGCTGGTCAAACGGCCCTGTGCAGAGGTCCTGTCAAGCTGGGCGCGCGCCTGTGATGCATACGCGCTCTTGTGCTTCATCGGGCTTTCCGGGCCCATATCGAGTGTGGTGTCCGGCGACTCCTCGTTTGTATCGAGCAGAGAGGGTACTGACGTTTCCAGAGAGCTGTCGGCATCCTGCTCAAGGGAACGCACCATACCAAGAAACTCTTCCACGCCTACCATAAGCTCCCCATTGTTCGACGCAAACGCGGAAACTTGGAGTGCGATAGGAGCCGCCACCACGGGCGAACCACACTGCTTTTCATATGAATCGATCACATGCATCAAGTCCTTGGCCTGCAAAGTCTCGCCTCCGTGCTCTGCAAAGAGGGTGCGCACGGCATCCTCGTTGCAACCCGACATACCGGGCGGGCCGGAGTGGAGGACGGCAGAGGGGCGCGCCGACCGCGTAGACAGCGGTCGCGCTTGGGCCGTGGAGGTTGCTCACGGGCATTGTCCGCGGTGCTTGCGAGCCATGCCGCAGCGGATCGTGTCCGAGCTGCAGGTGCTTGTGGCTGAAACTCGCCGCAAGTATCCTGAAGTGCGAGCTTCTGCTGAAAAAGTACTACACCAGCTGCAATCTGACACGGATGGGACCATCGTTGCATTGCGACAGTGCCAAGATGTGTCTGATCATCCGCTCGTCCAGCCCATCGTGCAAGCGTGTGAAACGCGCTCTCCCAAAGTCATACAAATTGCGCTGTCACTTCTTCATCGAGGGATCATGCTCCGTGCTATCCCAGAAGCGTCCCTTGTGCTGTTTGTGGACACGCTGCACACGCTGCTCACAGCTCCAGGGCGTGCGGATGTGGACGTCCAACTAAAGATTCTCCAGACAGTCTCTGCCTTGCTGCTAAACTACGAATGTGTGACATCCAAGCTTCTTTCTCGTGCGCTCATGCTCTGCTTCTCCTTGTACGAGCATTCGCGCGTCGCTGTGGTCAGCTCGACAGCGGCCGCCACACTTCGCCAAAATATCATGACCGTGTTTGATAAAGTACACAAAGAGGACCGCATATTTGACGCGATTGAGAGCGAGGATGCAGCAGCGCAGGCGCCGCTGCCTGCGTATTCGGCGCAGCTTCCTGATGGACCCGTGACACTGTTTCCTTCGTCGTCAGACGCGTACCTTGTCCTAAACGACTTGTGCGCATTAGCTGATGGGGAGCCCGCCTCTTTTCTGCCACTAACCACGCTGTCTAAACCTTTTGTGCTGGAGCTTCTAGAGAGCGTCCTGATCAACCACGCATCACTGTTTTTGCAGGCACGGCACCGTGAGCTGGTGTATGTGCTTCGCAGTGCTGTGTGCCCCTTGCTACTCAAAGCACTCACTGATCCGCCGCCCTTCTCTGAATATGTGCGAGTCATTCGTCTTGTGCGTCTCCTGCTGCGTGAGTTCAGCGAAGAGGTCGTGCTAGAAATTGAGATGCTGTTGCGGGCCCTTCTCAAGACCATGAACGACAGACATATATACTGGCAAAACATTCTTGCTTGGGAGACTGTACGTGCGCTCTTTAGCGACATTTCCTTTCTTCAGAGACTGTGGCAATGGTTCGATGGCCGCCAGGATGTGCCAGAGCCGCCCCGCGTATTCGCGAGCCTCCTGACTTCTCTCGCGGAGGGCACCCACAAGGCGAGACAAATGTTGATGGTGGACGCAGCGCTGGCCGCTGCCTTTGAGCAGCGGCCGAGCGTAGCCGCGACCAACACACGGAAAGTCAGCAACTCTTTCTACGATGCGGCTGTGGCCGGCGTGCGGAGCGCTGCCGAGGGCCTCTTGAGCCCCCGCTTAGAAAGTCTGACTACGGAGAGTGTGCCTTCGGTCTCTCTCCTGGACCAGCTTGACAAAACAGACGCACCCCCGATGGCGAGTGCGGCAATCCCGTCGACCTATATGCCATGGCTCGTGCTTCAGTCGCTCGTGCACCTGGCCCATGGTTTGGCGACGCTCGCATCCACACAGATCCCGCTGCTCGCTGCCAGTACCCGTACAGTCAATGAAGGTTTGTCGTTCTTCCTCACGGTGAGCGGGGCCGACAAGTACTTTGAACAAGCTCTTCAAGCACTAACGAACCTGACGCAGGCTGCTGGCTCTGCCGCATTCAATAAAGAGCGTGATTTGCTTCTCGGTACCCTATGCGACTTGGCCGTGCCCAGCGCAGCATACAGTGGACAGGCTCTGGGAGCACGAAATTTGGCGGCCCAGGCAGCCCTCGTGCAACTGTGTATGGCTTTGGCCGAACGACTGGGTGCGCGGTGGCGCCCTGTCCTGCAGTGTGTGTGCCAGGCACTGGCCTGCCTGAACCCGAAAGAGACAGCCATGAATCCGGCGGAGTTGCCAGAGAGACCAAGCTCGCTCCCTGTGCCTGATGGCACATTGCGCTACTTGTCACCCCCCGTGCTGGAGCACTTGCCAGAGCAGCTGAGGAGCGTGGTGGAGTATGTTGCCTCCCTGGATGAGGCGACGCGCACAGACTTTGCGCAGGTGTTTGCGCGCCTCCTCAGGGACCGTGTTTACGATGCTTTGGAGTCGAGCGCAATGCCCGCGGTAATTCTTGCACAGTTTGAGCGCTTCATCCGTGCTTGTGCACCAGCTGTAGCCGTGGACTTACCGAACGGTGTATGGCCTGCCCTGATGGAACTGCTGACCATGGCGGAAGACGCAAATTTGGTGGGAGGTCGTCGTATCATGTGTGCTCGCGTCCTGGACGAATCCTTGCAGCAGATTCTTCGTGTGATCCCTCAGGACAGTGAGGCTAGCGTGCGGCAGCGGGAAGTCCTTGAGGCACTGGCGCTCCAGGGCACGATGAAACGGCGCGTGCTTGCTACGGATGTGTCGCTACGGCGCCTAGCTCTAGACACTTTGCAATATATTCTTGAGACGCATGCGCATGCACTTGTGGATGGTTGGGCTACTGTTTTTTCTACATGTAATGCCGCTGCCAAAGATGCAAGCGCTATTCATGAGGCTGGTACACCTCCGGTGCCTATTTTGCGCACGGCGTTTTCGTGTGTCCAACTAGTTTGTGGTTCGCACCTGTCCTCTTTAAGTGATGATGACTTGAGGACCTGCATGGCCACGCTCTCAAGTTTCAGCCTGCAACGGGAAGATGTCGCCATGGCACTACGTGCCAATGGCACCCTGTGGGACTTAACGGAAGACATTGAACGACGCCAGCAGGCACATCAGGCGAACCTGTGGCTAGCTCTTCTCCAGCACTGGCGGGATGTCGCCCAAGGTCCGCAGCCGGATGTGGCTGCGGGAGCATTGGCCAATCTCTTCCAGGTTCTGGTGCAGTACAGCGCGTCCCTGCAGCGTCATGACTGGTACAGTGTCCTGGATGAAGTGCTCATGCCCCTTGTTGAGGGAGATGCACCTTCACCGCTAGCTTTTGAAGGCACGGCGCGCATTCTAGTGATGGCCAAAGACCTGCGTTGCGCGGAGGCATGGACTGGCATGTGGATGCGGTGGCTAGGTCGCATACAGCAAGTATTTGCGACAGGTCCGGACAATGTGGCGCATGCAGCTATCCAGGCACTCTACGACATTCTTGAGGCCCGGATAGAACCAGCCGCCCTATGGCGCCCAACTTGGACGTGCATTCAGGACCTCTCCGGCCTGCGTCATAACGCATCACTGGCTGACTTGAGCACTATCGTACAGCTGTTGCAAACGTGGCATGCACAGCGAGATCGTTCCTGGCATGCCAATGACAGTCATTTAATGACCAAGGCCTTGGCCGGGTGCATGCAGCGGGGAATGCAGTGTGATATTCGCGCGTCTACGTCGGATCTGCGACGTCTCGCGTCACTGGTACAACAAGCGTTGGAACAACTGTTGGCTGAGGACAAGGCTCATGAGCTTGTCCTTCAATGTGCCCGACAATGCTGCTCTGCTGCACTGGATATCATGGAGAAGGAGCCGCTTCCCGCATCACGAGTGCATAATTTGTGCATGGAATTGGCAGACCGCTGGCTGCATCTATGGCAATCCACGTACCGGACCGAGGCAGAAAAACCCGTCTTGTATGCATCGGCTGTGCCTGATATGCTGGTACTTCTGCGTCAGCCGCTATCGAAATTCCCTATACCTTATGTCCCAAACGTGTGGCGCTCATGCATGAGTGTGCTTACCGACGTCAGCCAGGCGAGCATGAATGTGCAGCTTGCCCCTTCGCCGCTTCTCAAGTTCTGGGAGACTATGTTTACTACCATGGCGACGGCGCTTCAGGCTCCTGCACGGCAGCGCCCCACGGACGACGAAGATATGTGTATCTGGTACCTTCTCCAGTCAATCGAGCAGGTCCTAGGCCGTGCAAGTGCCCAAGCCACATTACAACACAGCCTGACCAAGTTTGTTCGCGAGATCCTTCCTGTGACGAGGCTGTATTCATCGCGTGGCTCACCTCACTGGCCCCCGCACTCCTCTTATCGTGAGAGGACTGCGTACTGGGTGTGGACAATGCTCTTCTGTCTTTGCTCTAAGGAGGATGGCATATGGACGAGTGCCATTCTTCCGGTCTTGTTGTCCCAGTGCGAGGACGTCCTGTATGCGTACGCACAAGATTTGCGTATCCGCGGAGCCATACCCATGCCGCGTGTCCGCATCGAAGAAGTTAACTTTCTGCTACAGTCCCTCCTAACTCTTCGGCTCCCTGCTAACAGCAGTGAGACTGCCGGTGCTGTGTCAGATCCCTCCGTGGTGCACCTGTTTAAACTTGCACCATTGATTGACGACATTGCTACAATACCCTTTAGTACATGTGCTTCGCCTCAAAAAGCATGTATCGGAACATCTCTACCGCCTTTGCCGTGCGAAGGCAGGGCCGGCGTGTCCGTGCCACCCACCACGCCCCAAGCATTAGCGCGCGAAGCACTCCAACTGCGCACGTCGTGTATGACCACGTGATGCGCACGGACCTGCGAATTGGTGCCTGGCGGACAGAACAAAGAACTCGAACCATGGGGCGGAGACAATGAGTAGTCCAAAATGTTCTATCAATTCTCTGTAGTGGGAGCTAAGAATACCTAGGATGTGGTCTGGGCTTTGCATCTATGCGGCTGTCATGGTACCGGCCATGCTCACAGCTTATGTGGCCTATGTTGTCATCACAACTCAGCTGCGGTGGGCATCTTGGCTTCGCGACATCCCAGGTCCTGAGCGATCCAGCTGGACAATGGGGAATTTACCAGAGTTCTTTAGGCGACATTTTATCTCGGTCTGCCGCGAGTGGGCCCAGACGTACGGTGGCGCGGTCAGGTGCTGGGGCATGTTTGGCGTACGTTGCGAACGCTAATAGCAGGAACCTAGGCTGCTGCTCACAGATCCCGTTGGTATTGACTATGTCTTGCGAAAACGCGTATATGCTTTCCCAAAACCTCGCCTATTGCGGCGAGTGATCGGTGGCATTATGGGAAAGGGTTTGCTTGTCGCGGAAGGCGAGGCACATAAGCGCCAGAAACGAGCCATCCAGCCTGGATTCAGCCTACGAGCCATACGACGTCTCATGCCGGTATTTCAGCGCCATGCACGCTCGTTACATGATTACTACGAATCACTCACCACAAACGAAACAACCATGATAGATGTCTACGCTTTGTTCGGTGCAGCAGCCATGGATGTGGTGGGCGAAGGTGCGCTGGGCGTGGATCTGGGTATTTTGGCGTCAGTACGAGCTAACCCCAATGGGGCTGCGTACGCGGCACACCCATTGACGGCATCGCTGGACCGTGCCCTTAAAATGGCCTCAAAGCCGAGTCGCTATACCATGCTGCTCGATATGGCCACGACGTACTTTCCTATACTTGAATGGATACCACTCGGTATATCTTCGTCAGCATTTCGCAAAGAGGCTCGGTTCATCGTGGATGTGGCTGCTGAAATCGTCAAAAATGCCAAGTTACGGCTTGCAGAGGAAAGCAGTACAAATGAATGCCCCGATATCTTGGCATCTCTACTCCGTGCGAATGCAAATAATTCACAGAAAACGATCAAAAAAGCATCCTTGCTGGATCGGAATACGCTGACAGACGAAGAATTGACAGCACAAGTGTCCACTTTTATTTTCGCTGGACACGAGACGACCGCCACCCAACTTTCATGGCTCTTTCTTCTCTTGGCCCAAAATCCTGATAAACAGTCCAAGTTACGAGCAGCCATCCGTTCCAAGCGCGCAGAGGTAGGTTTATCCCCAAGAAGATCTCCCAAAGACGCTGGAAGCGAGGAATTAGGTCATGACGACTTAGAAGCCATCACCTACCTCGACTGGTGTATACGAGAGTCGCTTCGGATACAAACAGCGATTCATTCGACTTCGCGAGTTGCCACAGAGCCAGAGTGGATACCTTTGTCGACGGGTCGACACGTACAGGTGGATAAGGGCATGATCGTGTTGATCCCCATGATATCCATTTCCACATCCGCGGACTTATGGGGACCAGAGCCCGAAAGCTTCCGTCCAGAGAGATGGTTAGATTCCATGTGTGGGCCAAAAATGTATCCTGCATATTACAGCTGGTCGTTCTTGGTGGGCCCACGAGCCTGTATCGGAAGTGCCTTTGGTACGTTGAGATATTTTTCGCTGACGACTAGCGATGGCAGAAATGAAGGCATTTGTGGCCATGCTACTCAATCATTATGAATTTGAGTGGGATGGGCGTTACATCGTTCCGAAACCTTGGCTTTTATCGCGGCCCTACGATGTGGCGCATCAGAAAGATGCGTGTGTATTACGCGTGCGACGTGCACCATAGGTCGATGCTGAGTGGAGGTATTACGTATGAATCCCATGGTAGGGTCAAGACAAGGTCTCACTCGGCCAACCTTCATAATGCTTGCTCTTGTGGTTCCGCGTGTGTCCCGGCGTGCTTTCCATTTGGGGCGTGTGCTAGCTAAGGAAGTTCAATCGCGCGCTCCTAATGGACCCAATCCATTGGACGAGCCGACGCTCGCTCTTGTCAAGCAGCACTGGAAGCAGGCGCGTCTTGCCAAGGATTCGGACCGCGCGACCCTCTTGGGTGTATGTGTGTGGTACTAATAGAAGGGTATTTTGACGGACTTGCAGTATGCGCAGAAAACAAAGGCGCAACCTAACCAGAAGCCGCCTTCCATCATTAAGATGCTTCAAAAAGGCATCAAAAAGCGCACGGATGCTGCTAAAGTTTTCCGTAACGCCAAACCTGAACCGCGCGTAGACCTGGCCGAAAAAGAAGAACGTGAAATTGCGATTCTGCAGGAATTTCTGCCTAAGTAGTATGTTATTCACTATTTGTACACACTTCGTCCACTTTTGGTGGACAAAAGCTCCATACACGTACATCACCGTCATCACTGCCGCTAATAATCTTGTCGTCCCCCAAGGCAACTGATGTGACAGCGCGCCGATGGCCCACCAGCGTCGTTTGACACTGTCCCGTATCGCGATCCCAAATTTTGACCGTGCGATCATGACTGGCGGATACGATACGAAGCGTGTCTGCATCCACAGACCACACGCCTTCAACGTGTCCAAACAAAGAATGGAAACAGCGACCGGTGCGAATGTCCCAAAGCTTAAGTGTATTGTCCAATGAGCCTGATACGAGTACAGGTCGCTTAGGTTTGCAACCTGACGGTATTGCTTCTGTATCTTCGGGTTGAGCATCAAAAATATGGTCCTCCAAATCATCCATGGTAGGGTTGGCTGGCAATGGTGGAACAAGCTGTGCCTCTTGGAGTCGTTGCTGCATACACATGAGGGGACCCGGAATCCGCCTTGTGCCTGAGCTGCTAGGGCGCGTCGCTTTCGAGCCATCAGAATGGAAGAACTGTTCAGGAAGATTATGCAAGCCATTCGCATATTGCGTGAAAGATTGTGAAAGAGGTATAGTATCCTCTCCCTTTGGTGGTATCTCATCTTCATCTTCATCATTTAGATCATGTTCGGTAGAGTCTGTTGCCCCCAGCACTTTCATAGAACCCTTGGCGAGCTTTCGTACAGTACTTGTGTCCATCATAATAATCTTGAGTGATTGGACCTGTCCGACATGGCCCTTGTATATCATGATGCACTCACGACGCTGCAGGTCCCAAAGTCGAATAGAAAAGTCATCAGAAGCGGAGAAGAGGAACATTCCCGGAAAGGTGTTGGCCTTCGACGGACCGGACCAAAGCTGAAGCGAATTGATCCAATCTCGGTGTCCATATAATGGGAAACATTCGCCTGTATGAAAGTTCCAAACACGGATGCTGCTGTCCGCACTTCCACTGACTAGCATATTGTCGTTGAAGCACAAACTCACGATGCCTTCCGTGTGCCCTTCTAAAGTCCGAAGAAGTTCACCTGTACGCCAATTCCAGATTTTGAGAGTGCGGTCCATAGATCCAGTAATCAACTTACAGTCGTCAAACTGCAAACATCGCACACCGCGCGCATGGCCCGTCAAAATGCGCATAGTTTCTCCAGTTGCTAGATTCCATACTCGTATGGTGCGGTCATAGCCTCCCGTGATGAGCACAGGGTAAGGCAACTGAGTAACCTTTTCACGGAACGCCAAACACATAATCGTCTCAGAGTGTCCTCGTAAAACTTGAACGCTGTAGCGCCCATAACGCCAGTTACGTTCGATAGCCAAACGCTCGCAGTACACAGCCTTCCAGGGTCGTGTCCCAGAGGGACAATGTGGCATGCGGGCCCGCTTTTTATCTGGCTCCTCAAAGCCAGGGTCCTCAGATTTGCGCACGCGATCCGTGCCCTTCCGACGCTCTAGGGCCGCTGCATTAGCAGCAGCTGTAACGCTTCGACGCAGACTCCCATCTGATACAGCAGACGCAGCTTCACGGAGTTCTTGGTCGCTAGTCACGACAGATGTAGCTGGTATACGACCTTGGGCCTGCCTGCGGCTCTCACGCAAGCGAGGAAGACCCCAGCCACACTTTTCACACTTGCGTTCAATGTGCTGCTCACACATGTTGCGCCAAAGGAGGTCATTGTCTGCTAACGATCGCCAGAGCTTGCTCACTTGAGCTGCTCGCCCTAGACTGATAGCATCCAAATAGCTAAGCACACGTAATGAGACTTCGCGCGGAAACAAAGTAAAAGGGTCAATACGAATTGCCATGGCGAGCTCAGACGAAAGCAACGAGAGCTGACTGAAGCAGCACATCGTCAAAATGCCACGCAAAATGAGCGCACGCCGAGAATGCGGCGAAGACGAAAATAATGACCATACAGTATTCACCGCTTCCTTCTCTTCCAGAGAAAGACCATCGATCGACTGTAGGTTAGTATGTTCTCATGCTTATGTCCCGACGCCTCTATAGCCCCAGTCCATTAGGTATGCAAACTGTAGCTTCAAACTGCGCGAATTTCATCTAGCATGATCATTTTCCCTCAAAATGAGAGTCAGGTATAGCAAGCCGTGTGGGATCGAACAGTTACTTCCTGAGTACATGCATATATCACGAGCAGAGACGCCGGAATAGATACGTACCTTCTGAAGACGAGCATTCGCTCCTTCATCAGCCATGCGTTGGTGTCGCACGCACAAGTTTTCTGAGCGTGACAGAAGGGGCAAAGGCCCCGTGCTGATATTTTCTGTTCCAAGGGATGTTGATGAAGAACACTTATGTTGAGCTTCTGCATCGGTATCACGGGAAGAATAGCCATAAAGGTACAAAGGAACACTAGTCGCATCCTTTAGACCCTCATCATCCATGCAAATGTCGTCAGTCTCTGTGGATGACGCAGTGTAGGGTAGCGTTGATGTTGAGTCTATTCCCTTGTCTGAATGTAGAACATCCGTGGTCTGATCTGAAGTTGACATATGGCGGCTGACAGTCGATCTAGGCACAATGTCCAAGTAATTGTGCTCCAGTTCAAACAAAATAAGATATAACTGCGTGCCAGATCCCGTTGCCACAGCACGGGCTTGTGGCGTCAATCGTATAGTCGGACACGTATGCGTATTGGTAGCATCATATTGCGCAACAGATGACTAATCCGCCAACGCAACCCTGCCACACAAAACTACTTCCAGAACAGCAACAGAACGCAGAATACCATGAAACCAAAAAGAGGCAATCAGGATGCTTTTTCACAACTACAGCATGTGCTGCCATAGCGTGGCGCCAAGCTGGTCACGAGCCAGGCAGGCAGGAATACTACAGTGTAGGGAATAGGCGAAAAAGGAACTTAGGCCTGGACCTCCTCGACGCTCTTGCCCGACTTGCGCGCAATCATAACCTTACGGTCCTTGTCCATCTTGATCTTGGTAATCACAACGTTCGAGGGATGAACAGGAATCTGAACAGTGGCACCGTTCGCCTTCTCCTTTTGGAGTCGCTCAAGGTGCACAACCCACTTCGAACGGTAAACCTGGACAATGCGGCCCTCCGAGCCCTTCGACGAGCCACGCACAACGCGAACCTCATCGTCCTTGCGGATGGGAACAGCGCGAATCTGGATGTGTTAGTATTGTTCTACGCATGGATGCCATGGAAAGAAGTGAAAGTGCAACAATATCCATAAAATGAAGCGACGCAAAAAGCTGAGTTTGGGATCACAAGTACCGAACCTGTGCACAAAGGTCAGCTTGATTTACCAAAAACATGTAAATAGTGCGCTCATATTGTGGCCATTCATTTCGATGGAGTATTGTGTGCACTTCACACTTCGTCTGGGGAGGCATCGTCTCCGTATATACGTACGCCGTGCTCAGAGCGCAGGTCCTTGCTCAAGGGAGCAGACATGATCTTGCGGCGGATGTGACCGGGGGCATCAAAGTGGGCCTTGCGGTTGACGCGACGCGAAGTGCTGACCATGATGCCAATATACCTTGAGACGTAGGTCGTAAAGCACGATCCGAAGACGAGCATACACCTGGGGCCCACGCCTCATGTAATTTATCACGTGATATATTCTCAGCAACTATACGTTGAGCCTCGCGCCATGTGGTACCCATGTGGATGAGAGGAAACGAGATTACCTATGCTTACTTGATCTACGGTTGAGGGCAAGCACGGATGCATGGCCAGCCACACCAGCCGCTGCACAAGGCACCAAAGAGCTGAGTCTGCTTTGCTAGCATATAACTCAGAAGCACTTAGATCTGGGAGTAAGATATGCTTGTGACATACGTAGTTCGAGAGCCAACGGAAACCCTCGCCGTAGCCTTGGCGCATGACCACTGAGCACATAAACAACTCGATAGGGCGAATATCCTTGAGAGGAACAGAGCCCTTTCCGGTAGTCTGGAATAGACCCAGAGACTGGCGAAGCTCTTCCTCTGATACAGCCCCAGGTGCATCGATCTTGTTGCCAAGTACGAGGAAAGGTACCTTGTTCAGCTCCTCAATGGCCAGTAGAGAATCAAGCTCGGCGCGGGCCTCCGGGAAACGTTCAACATCCTGCGAGTCGACGAGGAAGACAATACCGTCCACCTCGGGGAAATAGTCCTTCCAGAGACGACGAGCTGAATATTAGAAGTTGCCATCGAAACGACATACCTTGCTGGTGACCACCGAGGTCGTAGGTTGTGAACTTAACAAGACCGATAGCTAGCTCCTCCGAGGCTGAATGTTAGCTTGATTTTTTTGCTTAGATTCAGTACATACTAGGGTGAAGCGTGGGCTGGAGCGTAGCAAGACGGTCATTCTTAAGCATGTGCAGGAGTGTCTGACGGTGTTAAACAACGAACGACTTACTGTCTTGCCAGCATTGTCAAGACCAAGGAAGAGAATTTTCGCATTCTTGTGAGTTAGACCTACAGTGTTAATAGGTAAAAAGGGGGCAGTGTAAGTATCCGTCCAGGTACACGAGGGATAGCAACATACCCAGCTGCGCAAGAATGTCCTGTTGGTGTGTTAGATACCGCCCATTGAGAAACCCCTCATATTTCTATATATGGGGCATAATGTTTACGAACCCAAAACCAGTTGATAATGAACATTGTATAAGTGCCAACAACCAACGCTCAAATGTGTCGATCAGGTGGATAGGGGGTCCGGGCGACAGGCGCGTCGGACCACCTAAACCACTCGGCCGAATACATGGTGAACCTCAGCATTCGACTTTGGGGGTAGCCAAGTGGATAAGAATCCAAGTGTGCATCGTAATCGCCATCTATGATGTACGTGTCATACTTTCCGTCTCTTGACATGTCAGAGAAGCTAAGAGAAAATGAAAAGGTCGAAATGAGTTGACCGAATGCACCTATTCTAGACTTACTCGTAGCTTTTCTGCGGGAATAGGTTCGAACTGGTTCACGTCAATCCCTTTGTTACGCAAAGCTGCCTCGGCGCGCTGTGGAACGAGGTGCTTGATTAGATCAGGTCGGACAGACAATTCCTCGCGGGTGAAATCAAAAAGATCCGGCATAGGGCGGCCATTGGACAAAATGACATCTTCCTCGCGAAGTTCGTCGAAGAAAGGATGGCAAAGAGCTTCCACCGCAGTTAGTCGAGCATGAGGGGTGTATTGCAGTAGGTTTGTAATTAGATCAATCGCATCTGCGGGTGTGCGAGGGCGGAAGATCTTGGGGAACGGATGAGGACGGATCTGGGGGAATTTGTGCTCCATGTAGTTGGGGTTCATAGTCTTAATCTGTTCGCGAGACGGTGTACCAAGCACCTTGATGATTTCGACGAGCTGGTCAATGCCGCTTTCTCCTGGGAAGAGAGGCAAACCCTGCATAAGCTCTGCCATGACACAGCCAGTCGACCAGATATCGATGTTGGTAGTGTAGTTTGTAGCCCCGAAAATAAGCTCCGGAGCGCGGTAGTAGCGCGAGCAAATGTAGCTGACATTAGGTTCACCCGGTACGAGAATCTTGGCAGAGCCAAAGTCACAGAGCTTGAGGACGCCGGTACGGGGATCAAGTAGCAAATTCTGCGGCTTGATATCACGATGACATATTCCCAATGAGTGAATGTACAGTAAGCTGCGCAGGATCTGGTACATGTAGAGCTTCACAAGCAGCATCGGCATTGTTTGTTTGACTTTGGTATAATGACGTGTCGCGCGGTAGACAGTCTCTGGGACATAATCGAGGACAAGATTCAAGAACACCTCGTCTTTCTTATCGCCGTTAGTGTAAAAGAAAGCCCGAAGGTTGACGACGTTCGGATGAGTAAGGACGCGCATGATTTGCAATTCACGGTTCTGCATAAGTGCGCGACAAACGTACCTTAAAGCGCTTATCCTGAAGCACTTTTTTAATCGCGATGCTGTCACTTTCGTCCGTAATTTCCGAAGCAGGGATCTCATGGCCATCTGGGGCGTAGCGGACAAGGCGGGCCTGAAAAACGACACCAAAGCTGCCGTTACCAATGACTCGGCAGCCGGTGTACGCAATCTCCCGCTGTTCGCCTGTCTTTCCATCAGAAGCTAAGACTTTGACAACCTTGCTTGGGTTATCCATTCCTGCTCAGTTAGTATGTGGCACAGGACTTGAACACAAACCTTGAAGTTTCATCCCGTTCATCGTGAGTATATCCACCCTTTTATGAACTTCCAGAAATTAATGCTTTTAGACGCAAGCTAGAACAAAGAAAGGGCACCTGGATACACACGCGGTGGATCAACGGCTGGTAGTACAGGCTTGGACCAAAATCTAGATGGACAAGCGGTCCGGCCAAGCTCATCCCGCGCATGTACAATGGCGTGGGGCAATTCGGCCGAAATCCGGCTAGGTCAGGTATTGCCCAGCCACGTGGAGGCAATCCAGGCCGTAGTCACGCGCCAGCGCCGGAAGGTACGATACGCGTATGCCGCACGGACAGTATGCTGTCGGGCGTGCTGTCCTGCGCCGCGCCGTGCGCGACGGAGAAATCGGGGCGCCGAGATTCTCCCATTTAGAGGCCTCTTTTCCGCTTCGGCTACTGTCACCAACAAACTCGTGTGAGGATGCGACACGGAATGCGGCTGCCTATGGAACAGCGCCGCAAAAAAGTGTGGGTGTCTTATTCATGGTAAGCTTTGGTGGGGGACTTGTGAGTGGCGATCATATCGATCTGGACGTGGATGTTGGCTCAGATACACGCCTTCTTATGCTCACGCAGGGTAGCACCAAAGTGTACCGGGAGCGCCGACATGGAGATGCTCCTTCTCGCGCTGCTCGAGCCCCAGGGCTGACTGAGATATCACAGCAGTATATCCGCTTCATTGTGCGTGAAAATGCCACGCTGATCCTGCTTCCTGCCCCGGTTACGTGCTTTGCGCGCTCGCGCTATGCCCAGACGCAGCGTTTTGATCTCCGAAGCAGCACGTCGTCGTCGCTCGTGCTGCTTGATTGGTTCACATCGGGCCGCCTTGTGGTGGATGGACCGCGAGACTCGACAGATATGCAACGCATCCCAGAGATGTGGCACTTTTATTTATACCACAGCCGCAACGAGGTGCGCATCGATGGTAACGTGTTGGTCCGTGACCGGCAACACTTGGCACAAGAGCTGCCCGAGGTGCTAAGACGAGATACAAAGACAGATCTAGCACGCCGTTGTGATCCTTATACATGCTATGGCTTGCTGGTGCTGTACGGCCCAGAATGTCAGGTCTTGTGTCGGGCTCTTGCGGCAGAGTATGACCAAATCCAGCAACCACAGCCACTGCTCCGCTCCGGAGGCACACTCGGTGCCTCCCACATTGCGCCGCCCGACGTGTTATGGAGTTTGAGCCCGCTGTGCTCAGGTGCGCCTGTGCCTGGCAGCGACCGTAAGGGGGCAGGTGGTCCAGACAGCGGGGTGGTGGTGCGGCTCGCAGGCGTAAGCACAGAATCGCTGCGAGCATGGATGCATTTGCGCTTAAAGCCGCTTCAGCACTTGATTGGCGATGATTTGTACCGAGTAGCCCTGGCCTAATGTACAAATAGGTGTTAATCTTTTGCGCCCTGGTCCGGAAGCCGCTCGATGCGGAATTGCCGGCGGGCTATGTACATGAGCGGAATGCCTGGCACTTGGCGCACCCGCCGGCGAAGTTCGCGATCGCATGTGGCCACAATGTAACACTTGTGGCTCTTGATGCGCTCAATGATGCAGTCGTCTGCATAAGTGCCCTTGTGAGTGCATTCTAGGCGCTCAAAACGGGGGTCGCGCGCTACGCGAAGGGCGATCCTGTACTTGGGGCCCAGTTTCTCCAATTCAGAAATGACGCAAGTAGTAATACAAGGGATGGTCTTAGCATAGAGACAGTCCATCATGCCCTGTACAAGCTCGAGCTTGTTTTGCAGACTGAAGTTGATAAAGTTTGTATCTACCAGGACACGATAGGGCGGTCCCAATGCCGAGTTATGCTGGAAGAACATAGACGATGCCGCGACTTCAATGTGTTTCTTTTTCTCTTCTGCCTTCTTGGCGTCCGCTACAGCCTTGTCTTTCTGGTTTGTTTTCCTGCGTGAGCGTTCATACAACGTACAGTCGGTTGTCATTAGGGTTCAGGAGGCGTTTTACCTCGCCAAACTTCCGTACCTGCTTTTTCTTGCCCATGATTAAAGCTGTCGTTGTATGCGCGCACTGCACGCATGCGCCGGTCGGTGGCAAAAAAGTGTGAATCACGTGATATAGAGGGTCCATGCCTGCCAGCCTGCCCGCCTCAGGACGAAGTGCGCCGTGGAATGGTGCAGCGCGCTGCAGCTACGGAGGGTGTATGGGATGGATAGAGGTACAGTAACAGGATACATGATAAACTAGCTCGGAGATCATATGCAGCATAGCAAGTCGAAAGATGCGCGAACAGCAAAAGGCGGAGTACATAGGTCCCACGTCAGGAAAGGAGCAGTGCATATCCGTGATTGCAGCTCTGCGCATCCGCATACATTTGTTGTGCTGCATTTAGAATCCATGCACCTTGACATCCTGCTTGGGGATGCCCTCTTCGATGCTGCCCATTAGTGGCTCCACGACGTATACATACAGGAACATGGAGATCTTCTGACGCTGGTCGCCCTGGAGCTGGATAACCTGGCCGAGCTCCTCGTCGTCCACGAGCGTACCGTTGCAGGCGAACTCCTTCTTGAACGCCTTCAGCAACTTTTTGGGGTCATACTCTGAGCGTTAGAGCGCACCTAGTGCACATACCCTTAGGAAGACCCTGTAAAGTGGTCAGCGTCTTACGACCGTTGCGCTGCTGGATGCGGATGTGCACGTAGTTGTGCACTTGAGACACCTTCTTCTTCTCCTCCGCAATCTCATCCGTAGCGATTTGATCGTCCACGTCGGCAAACGGGTCTATCATGTATAAGTTTGCACGTTGCTCTCACGTACCGTAGCTGGCCAAGTTCTGAATGCTCATACGCTGTCGCAGAGAAATACGCCTTCGAGTCAAAAGCAGTCAAAAAAGGCGGAGCCCGCTCCAGTGTGAAGCGGGGGCACGTGATTGAGCACAGAGGAAAAAAGGGCGCGGCGCTTGGATCAGCGCGCCATGGTGAACCCGGCGAAGCGCAGCGTTGTGAAGCACCGGACGCGTTCGGACCTGTCATCGCGCCCGAAAAACACTGGGTTCCATGTTGGTGCAACGAATGTGCCGAATGGCGCCTACATTGGCCGAGGTACGCAGCTCCGTACTGACCGATAGCCAAGAAGCACAAGGCTGAGCTGATCCACAAGGCCAAGGTGAAGAAGGCCTACTACCAGATGCTCAAGCACGACCAGCGGCAAGGGGAGGACGCATGCAACCCTGATACGGCACAGGAACTGGGCCGTTTTGCGTCCGAGACGGCAGACAGCGACGGCGACGCCACCGAGGCGCCGAGGCGCCGTCCCGCCTCTGAGGAACCGAAGGCCAAAAAGCTGCCGTATTTTTACCGTCCATCCAGGAACAAGGCACCCAAGGATGCCGCGCCACCTCCGCGCACGCGGGAGCAAGCCCTGGAGGACCGGGCGGCGCGCCAGGCCAAGTGGCACCGCCCAAGTCCCAGCCGGCTGGGCCGCCAGAGGGGCCAGCCGGACCTGGGTGCACGTATGGAAGTGATGCTAGAGAAGATCCAGCGGCAGCGCGCGTAAAGATACCACATACTGTACATTAGCAGGTATATAAGCTACAAAGTAGAGCGGCTGTAGTGCGCGAGGTGCGTGTGCAGCTCGTTGACCCTCGTCGCTTCGGCCTCCAGCGCATCGATCGATTCATGCACATGGCTGGCAAGAATACGCCGTTGGGTCTTACTCATCGTCGGCTCCATGTCCTTCAGCTCATCAGCCAGCTCACAGTACAGCGTCTTTTGGTGGAGGAACTCGGCACGGTGCTGCTCGAACAGGCGCTCGAGCATGCGCACTTCAGCGTTTGTCAGCGATGCCGGTGCAGGTGTCTGGCTCAGGCGGCGGAGGAGCGCCTCACGCGCCGCATCATCTGCTTCTCGCTGGCGCAGACTCGCATGGATCTTGGCCTTGCGCGACCCGTGCGCCTTGGGCGCCATACCCAGCGCATCGGCCACTACGCGGCAAATTTGTTCGTAGCGCTCCTGCGTCGTGTCTGAAGCCACAGAGTCGTCGAGAGTCTCTTCGCGGGGCGCTACGCTCGCAGCGTGCAGCGACTCGACAGCGTGCGAAAGGCGCGCGAGCTCGTCGTGCAGGCGCCGGAGGTGAGCGGCCCACGGCGTGTCGCTCTGGGCGGCAGGGCGCTGCGTGTCGGTTGGTGGGCTCGAACGTGCTGTAGGCGTCGGTGCGCGCGGACGCTCAGCGGGCCCATCCGAGTCACGAAGTTGCCGCTGCAGACGCGCGAGCTGCCGGCCCTGGTCAGCGACCTGGCTCTCGAGGGCATCCAGACGCGAGTGTACACCATCCATGGGCTGTGTAGACGTACGCATGCGCTCCATGTCTTTCTCCATCGACTGGATACAGGCTGAAAGGGCATGGAGTTGGGTATGGGCCCACTGCAAGTTTTCAGGCAGCGCACTGGGTGGCTCCGCGTAGGTTGCGCGCGTGCGCTGTGCCTTGAAGAGCGCGTCATTATCGTCGCTGTTGACCATGGTCTCTGCACTCGAGTGGCGGCTGCCGAGGGAGGGCGAGCGGCGCTGCAGCGGACTTGGTATGCGCGCATACACACCCGGCAGTGATGCGCGGGGACTCGCTGGGCGCGCAGTCATATCAGCACTCGACTCTCCGAGACCAGCCATGTGCGAGATGTTGAGGCGCGAGTGCAGGGACTCACGCAACGAGGGGCGCGCATGCAACTTGGCCGGGCGCGGCGTGCGGCGCTTCGGCGTGGCCAGCAGAGCGCGGTGGTTGCCAGGCGAGCGCAGTAGGCCTGCTGCATCCTCGTCGTCTGACCCCTCGCTCGACTCAAGCGGCCATGCATAGTCGGGTCGGTGCGCCGAGGAGCGCAGCGTACTGCTTACGGGGCGCATGCCGCGTGAGGCGTAGGGGGACAGGAACGATGAGCTCGGGACACGGCTGGGCGCCTGCAGGTACCTATCCAGCTCCTTCTCAATGTTGCGCCGCATGGCCTCCTCCTCAGAAGCCGGGATGTCGAGGTCGTCACCCAGCGGCATGGCACGACGCACGGCGGACAGAGGCGAGTGTGTTGAGGCGCGCCACGCGTGCCGACGCGTGTCACGTGAACCGAAGTGGCAGGAGGGCACGGTGCCGCTCGGGGCTCCGGCGATGACGAGCGGTCCGCCGAGGCGTGTGGCGTTCGTGCACCCCGACCTGGGCATTGGCGGGGCAGAGAAGTTTGTGGTAGATGCCGCCGAGAATTTGCAGAAGCTTGGGCATTCGGTGGAGCTAATCACGTCGCATTTTGACCCAGGTCATGCGTTTGAGCCGACGCGCGATGGCACGCTGCGGGTCGTACATGCTCGCACGCACATTCCGCGTTCGCTGGGCCACCGATTCCACCTACCCATGGCAATTTTACAACAGCTCTCGCTTGTGGCGCAGGTCGCCCTCGCGCAGCACGGCGCATGGATCGCCGATTCGTGGCCCGCGCTCTACGCGACGCTGACACACGTCCCACCGCACACGGTGCCGGACATCTTTATCATCGATCAGCTGCCCGTGGCGATCCCCCTGCTTAGGATGTTGTGTGGACGTCGCGTCATCTACTACTGCCACTTTCCCGACACGAAGATCAGCGCATCCCTTGCCAGGCAGCGCGGCGTGCAGGGGTGGCGTGCGTTCTTGCGCAGCCTCTACCGCCTCCCGCTCGATGTGCTTGAAGAGATCACGACGCGGTGTTCGGACGCCATCCTAGTCAACTCACTATTCACGTCGCAGCATTTCCACGACGCATTTCCCCGTATTACGCGCACACCGACGGTGGTGTACCCGGGTGTGGATGAGAGCGTATACACGGAAGAGCGGGTAAGCGCGGAGCTCGCCGCATATGAGGCGCAGTGCACGCAGGAGCCGTCGCTCTCAGTGCTGCATGTGACGCAGGCGCTCCTGCGCGCGGACGACCGGCCGCTGTTCATCTCGATCAACCGGTTCGAGGCGAAGAAGAATATTGCGCTGGCACTCGATACCATTGCACGCGTGCGGACGCTGGGCGGCAGAAACGTGCGCCTCGTGTGCGCAGGCGGCTACGATCCCCGCGTGCGCGACAATATTGACACCCTCGAGAGCCTCAAGGCGCGAGCGACCATGCTGGGCCTGCGCCATGCGACGGTCTGGGGCTGTATGCCGAAGCACGAGCCTCCGCTGTCGTCCAACATTGACGACCTTGCGAGTACCGACGTGATCTTTTTTCCGTCGTACCCCGGCGCACTGCTACATGCACTGCTGCAGGCGCCCAGCGCGCGTGCCTTACTCTACACGCCCACTGACGAGCACTTTGGCATAGTGCCGCTGGAGGCCATGGCGTGTGGCCTGCCTGTGCTAGCCACCAACACGGGCGGCCCGCTCGAGACGGTGGTTGATGCGGCCCTCGATGCGTACGGCACCCCGCAGGTGAGGGGCGCCACCGGCCTGCTGCGCCCGCCGAATGCCGAGGCATGGGCGGTGGCTTCCGCTGCGATCCTCGCGTGGCCCGCCCACACGCGCGCCGCGATAGCCGAAGCTGCACGCACGCGTGTGGCAAGCCGCTTCTCGGTGCGTGCGATGGCCGTCGACCTCGACCGGGACGTGCAGACACAGTGCAGCGACCCGGTACCGCTGGTGGAACGGCTGCAGGTGCTAGGGGTACTGCTCATCCTGGTATGCTTCTACGTGGCACTGGTGGATAGGCTCGTGCAGGCCACTACCTAAGCTAGATTTCCGTCCAGCCCGATTGCCCCTGGCGCTCGCCGGTCACGAGCGTCAACACAAAGACAAGCAGGTTTGCAAAGAAGCCCATACCAAAGCCACGGTACAGGCTCCGTAGGCCGCCGAGTCGGCTGTAGCCGCCGCGCGCAATCGTCGCTGCCTCGTCGACGCTCCCCTCCGAGTCCTGGTCCTTGCGCCGCGGCACCACCGACGTTTCCTCCGAGACGATGCGGTACACGGCCTCCGCCACGCCGCTATAAGGCACCGGCCGCGTCTCGACACAGGCCCGGAGGCCCCGCCGCGCGGTGTTGGCGTTCGGCACGGACAGAACTCCGCCCAGGCGATCTGGGCGCAAAGGCTCGTGGTATTGCAGCTGCAGGCGCCGGCGCACCGTTTCGATCGGCAGCGTGAGCGAGAGCGATAGTGTAGAGAGCACCAGCTCGGCGAGCGCATATGAGATGGGCACGGCACTAGGGTCAAGGTGCAGCACGTTCTCGATCAGCAGCGGGGCGCCGAGCGCACAAAGCGGGCGGAACACATAGTCGAGTACAGTGGGAAGCAGCAGCGCGGGGTGCAGGTACGTCGTCCGCCAGCCGCCCTCCTCCCGCAAGATAGTGCGCAGCGCATCGAGGGGGCCCGTATACTTGCGGTGCTGGGGGAGCGTCGACTGCGCAATAAGGCGCGTGCGCACGAGGTCCAGTGGCGACACCAAAATGCCTGTGACGAGGTGCGATGTCATGAGCAGGGTCAGCGTCGTGATCGGCTGCGGCGAGAATGCAATCGGCATGGGATTCAGCGCGGTCGGTGCAAAAATCGACAAGAGGCCCGAGATCAGCGGCTGCAGCGTGGACGTCGCGAGGTCCAGCACAAACGTCGTCAGTGCGCCTTTCCAGAGGCCGAGCCATCCCTCCTTGCCGCGCGCAACGGCCTTGATCATCTCCCACACGCCCCCCTCGACCACAGGCGGCATAACAAATTCGGGGCGCGCCCCGTCATCGTGCCGGTGACGCGGCACGACATAGCCGCCCGAGTCGACGCGCCGCACAGGTTCTTCCGCGCCGCCCACGCTCGGCAAGTCCGCATCGCGGAAGTACTTGCCAGGCTCGTCGTCGTCCTCCCACGGCGAGCTCGTCTTCTCGGGCTCGTCGCCCCACGGGTCCTCATGCTCCGCGGTCGACGAGCTGAACCAGCTCGTACGGCGCCGCACCGACGACGGCTCGTGCAGCCTCGCCCATACGTCCTCGCGCGGCACCCACTGCACCTGCAGGAGCAGCTTGCCGACCTCGAAGGGCATCGCCAAACACGTGCTGGTATACTGCAGCGCCCCACTCACCAGCATGCCAGTCACCATTGCTCCCACGGTGGTGCGATCCGACTTGAGCGCTAGAGCCGCATCCGCATCCGCCGACAAGTACCGGTTCGTCGAGCGGGGCAGCTCCAAGGACGCCGTGCCCTCCAGACCGGGGGCGCCTCCAGACCGCGACGCATGCAGATTCGGCGACGACATAACGAACTGAAAGTCGTCGCGCGGCTTGTGATACGGCCGTAGCCTGTGCCCACTTTGGGAGTCCATATCGCCTTTCGCACGCGCAGATGCGATCCTAAGGATCGCCACCGAGGCACGTCCGTGGCGGTCCACACGCGATGTGGAGGACCTACTAGGTCAGGATAGTGGTCTATAGGAGTGGGGCCCTCGCGCGTCCGGCCTGCGCGCCGCTGGGCGATGGCGCACGCTGGGGAAGTGGGGCAGTGTGTCGCATTGCTTGCGCACGCGTCGTGGCTGTCGCTTGGGATGGTGCGCCGCGCGATGCGGTGGAGGGCCGGGCTGAACGCGGCCGGTCTACGAGGGCGGCGCGGGGCCACGCAGCCGTGCGGCGCCCTCAGCCCGCTCAGGCGCCGGCCGCGGCGAGCCGCGGCCGGCTGGCCGCTCCTTTTCCTGTGTCCATGTGACTTGACGCATCTCGTCCACGTCGTCTTTGGTGATCGACAGGGCCGTGGGCGGGCGACGCAGCATGGCCGTCCACCGTGGCAGGCCACCAGCGGCCGCCTCGCCGAGGCGCGGCCGCTCGGCGTCACGTGGACAAATTTGCGACTGGCTGCCTCACGAGCAGGGCCCTGGACCTGGCCCTCCCTCTTGCCGAACATCATGGGTCGTGGACGCGCATATAGGCGGGGACATGGACGTGGAAAAGCGCCTGGGCGCTCCAGCGGTGGTGAGCGACGTGCTGACTACACGACCTTTGAGCAGACGAGCCCCAAGTTCGAATCGTACTACCAGGGCCAGGGTATCCTGCCGGCCGACGAGTGGGAGCCCTTCCTCACAGCGATGCGCGCGCCGCTCCCGACGACCTTCCGCATCACGTCGGGAAAGCCAACCGCGCGCCAGCTGCTCGACGCCATGCAGAACATCTACGTGCCCTTCCTTTCGAACGTCGAGTTCGAGGGCGAGAAAGTCACGCCGCCCACGCAGCTTCCGTGGTACCCCGAGGGCCTCGGCTGGCACCTGGATGTGCGCAAGAATGTTCTGCGCAAATCTCCCGAGTTCAAGCGCTTCCAGCAGTTCCTTGTGCACGAGACAGAGGTCGGCTCCATTTCGCGCCAGGAGGCTGTCTCGATGCTCCCGCCGCTCTTCCTGGACGTGCAGCCTGAACACCTCGTGCTCGACATGTGTGCTGCGCCAGGCTCCAAGACTGCACAGCTGATCGAAGCCATACACTCGCCCCTCACATCTGAGCCGGACGCCTTTGACCCCATGCCGCAGGGCGTGGTGGTTGCGAACGACTCGGACACGAAGCGCGCTCACATGCTCGTGCACCAGGCCCAGCGTCTGCCGTCGCCGAATCTGTGCGTCACCAATGTCGACGCAAGCAACATGGCCAACATTCAGGTCGCGTGGAAGGGCGCCGATCCTACCGACAAGGTTCGCCTGCGCGACCTCAAATACGACCGCATTCTCGCCGATGTGCCGTGTTCGGGCGACGGCACGCTGCGCAAGAACCTGGCCATCTGGAAGGACTGGACGCCTATGAATGGTGTCGGTCTGCATGCGCTGCAGCTGCGCATCCTCCTCCGAGGCCTCACCCTGCTGCGCCCCGGCGGCCGCCTCGTCTACTCAACATGCTCGCTTAACCCCATTGAGAACGAGGCAGTGGTCGCAGCGGCTATCCGCCACTTCCAAGGAGGCGTGGAGATTGTCGACTGCGCCGACATGGTGCCGGCCCTCCAGCGCCGCCCGGGTATGACAACATGGAAGGTGGTGCCCGGAAAAGGCCAGCATCTTGCTCAGTCTGCACCGAAGGAGTCCGCCGAGGGCGAAGCCACCGAGGGCGAGACCGCCGAAAAGGCCCTCCCTCCTATGCCCTGGGTCGAGTCGTGGGATGCACTGCAGGCCCTCGATGCTGACCTGGCAAGCCGTACGCCCACGAGTCTTTGGCCGCAGGGCGACGAGGACGCCATGCACATTGAGCGCTGCATTCGTGTCTACCCGCATCTGCAGAACACTGGTGGCTTCTTCGTCACGGTCTTAACGAAGAAAAGCACGACGCCCGATGAGTCTGTGTCGATGGCGCCCGGCATGATCCGCGCTATGGAAGCTATGGCTACGGGTGACATTCCCGTCAGCAAGCGCCCCGCCGACGACGAGGGCCCAACCGAGGCGAAGCGCATCAAGTCGGACGCCGAGGCTGGCACCGAGGCATCGAAGGACGACGCGCTGCCGCCTGTCGACAAGCACCGTGCAGACCGCGATGCTAAGCGCCGTGGCCAGGCGGACGGTGTGGCCATTGGCGCAGGTGGCATGCCCTACCGCGAAGATCCGTTCGCCTATGTCGACCCAGCGAACGCCGATGTCCAGTCGTGCATCGAATGGTTCGGACTTCACAACTTCCCAACGGCCAACCTGCTGGTGCGCAACCCTGAGCGGGTGCCGTTGCGCAGTGTGTATCTGACGTCTAGCACCGTCCGTGCGATTGTGTCAGGCGGTGGCCCCGGCATGGGTGTGCATCCGACGATGAACCCACTCAAGGTGCGGCTGTTGAACTGTGGTGTCAAGGTATTTGGCCGGCAAGAGTCGGTGAGCAAGGCTACGCAGGCACCGAATGCTATGGATGTGAGCGGAGATGCAGCTGCGCGCCGCGAAAATGTGTCGGCAGCCTTGGCATGCCGCTGGCGCGTTGTGAGCGATTCCTTACACTCGATGCGCCCATACCTGAGCGACAAAGTGATCATTAAAGCAACGCTCGCTGATCTGGCCTTCTTCATCAAGGAATATTACCCTGTTCTCGACAAAATTCCTGGTGAGGTGGGCGAGCGTATTCGTCAGGCAGAGATGGGCAGCTATGTCCTGGACATTGAGCCAAGTGAGCATAATGGCCACAAGCTTACGGTCCGCCTGTGTTATCCTGTGTGGCGCTCCGTTGCCTCCGCTAATCTGATGCTGGACAAGCAGGAGAAGAGCGCCCTCTCGTTCCGCCTTTTTGACACGGATCTCTCAGATCCCGAGGGACAGCGCCAATTCTCAATGCACCCTCAGGCCCGCAAGAAGCAAGCTGAGCTACAGGCGCAAAAGGCGCAAGAGACCGAGGAACAAGATGGCCAGGAAAATGCTGTACCGACAGAATAGGAGACATAGGTCCAACGTAATAGCAGTAAGACACAACCAGCTATGCTGGCAGTTCTTGATGTGTACAAAAATATATCGGGAAGGAGCGATAAAAATGCGCCAAGGGGGAATCGAACCCCCGGCACAGCTAATCATCGAATGATGGCAAAGCTGTATTTTACCACTAAACCATTGGCGCTGGCTGTTGGACATGGCGGGGCTTTAGTCACTTTATTGTTGGTTCCATATGTAGAGCGATGGAAAAACATGCGCCAAGGGGGAATCGAACCCCCGGCACAGCTAATCATCGAATGATGGCAAAGCTGTATTTTACCACTAAACCATTGGCGCCTTCGCTGATCGTCATGGAAATGACATTCAGTCTTAACTCGACGTCATCTTTCTAGTCCCCCATTTACCTGAGCTTACTGTGCTCCGATAGTTTACAATCTAACGTCGGCCTACAAACCAATCTCGTACATGGCCCATCATGCGAGACACAAAACCTAAATGACGGTCGGTTAATGACTGCCCTGCGCCTAATCGAGACTAGAGCTCGATCAGGACTTACCATCGTTCCCCTTCGTCGTCTCCGCGTCTGCGTGGGGGGGGTTGGTATCGCTGGGAGGAGTGCTCTTTTCGTTGGCAGTTTGAGAGGCTTTTCCCTCATACTCGTCAGCGAATTGTTGGAGCAGCTCCTTTTGCCGCTTGGACAGCGACCTGTTGTCAATGGGTATAACAATGCCACGTACCTTGGTATCGTAATGTCGAACTGCACCATAAGATCGCCGTTCACATCGTAATTTTTGCGGCTTCCAAGACGTGGCACACCGCGTCCGCGCAAAACCATCTCATCGCCAACCTGAGTACCTGCGGGCACACGTACATCCACCTCACCGTCCAAGGTGGGCACACGCACGCGACCACCAAGCACGGCCGTGTAGAAGGGAATGGTCGCAGGATAGAACAGATTGGTGCCTTGGCGGCGCCAGATACGACTGGGAGCCACATTGATCCGAACGAAAAGCGAGCCTGCTGGTCCAGTCCCCATAAGAGGCACGTCACCCGCACCATCCTGGCGGATACGGTATCCGTCATCCACACCGGCTGGGATGTTTACCGAGATCGTGCGAGAGCTCTTCACGCGACCAGCCCCTGAACAAGATGTACACTCGTCCCCTGATGCAATCGAGGAACCAGTTCCATTGCAAGCCGGGCAAGTGCTTGCCATCTGAAAGCCGCCTTGGATAACGAAGGTGCGAGTGCCTGTGCCTCGGCAGACATGGCACGTAGAACGCTTCGCATTCGCCTTCAATCCGGAGCCAGAGCAAGTACCACAGTTTTCAATCGGATGAATTGTGACAGTGCGGCTAGTACCCTTGCATGCCTCTTCGAATGAGATGTTCACGCTGGCATCAATGTCTTCACCACGGGTCTCCGCGGTGAAGCCAGCACGAGCGCCACGGGCACCGCCAAAAGCACCTCCAAATAGCGACTCAAAAATGCTTTCCGCACTGCCGGGACTGAAGCCGCCAAAGGGCGAGGCTCCCGCAGCCCCGCCGAAGGGATCAAAGCCTCCTGGGCCATCAGCAGAACCGAACTGGTCGTACGAAGCGCGCTTCTGCTCATCACTAAGGATGTCGTAGGCGGACTGTATTTCGACAAAGCGTTCCTTAGCGCCAGGCTCCTTGCTCGTATCAGGGTGGTACTTTTTGGCAAGCTGGTAATAAGCATTCTTAATATCCTTTGCAGACGCATCGCGTTTCACCCCCAGGGTTGCATATGGATCTTTCTGTGCGGCACAGTGCGCAGCACTTGAGTGGAAACCACGAACCCCTCTACTGGTGGCTGGAGCATCCGTGCTCTGAGCTGTCGGACGACGACTGAGTTGCGCGTACGACACCGCACTGAAATTCCGCGGGGCAGGAAGCGCTACGCTTGGCACTGTAGAGCGCATGCATCTCCCTGTCGTATTAATGATGCCAACACATCGCTGTCCAAAGTGCGATCCGGACATAGTACACGAAGAAACTTGTATCGCACCCAGGCGACGAATGGTGGCGTTGCAAATATAATAATCGCTTCGGCCACTAATGGAAAGTTCTTTCTATGGGATGCACGCTCGCCTCCACGTGGCACTGTCACAGCTGGGCACCCGGGCCAAGCTTGAGCGAGGCAAGGAAGGCGTCCGAATAGCTTGAGGTAAGATCCTCCAAAGTGTACACACCGTTCACATTGCTCGAACACTGTGTGGAAGGCCTTGTCGCCGATCTAGCGTGAGTAGATATAGGACATACATAGTACGGGTCCATGACCGTGGCACCATCGTCACTGTGTGAGTAAAAAGTGCACGTACAACGACGAAAACAATTGCACTCTGCAAGTAAGTATGTTATGCGTACGATGCCTTAGAACCCTTGGGTTGGATACGCTGTATGTTCTTGATGTTGTTGGTGCTTCAGTGTTAGTCACTGCATGAGTACGCACTCCATGCCAAAGATATAGTCAAACTTGTGGAAATCGTCCGGCTGGATGGCTCGAGCCAGATGGCTAATGGGCACATTGTGTGACTTGCACACGCGCACAGTCCTGAAACATGTTAGAACATGGACACGCACCGCATATCAGGCTCTTCGCCTTCGTGGTAGTCAGCTGTCCCACAGCTATCGATCACGCCAAAGTGCTCCTCCAGGGCATGCTGGTGCACTTTGTGCGCAAATACTGCCTCTGCCATGGGGCTACGGCAGATGTTGCCGAGACAGCAGAACAGTACGTTTAGGCGCCGTGTTTCACCCATCGTATCGGCAGTTGAGACGCGAGTGTGTGAAATTGGCCCGTTTTTCTTCTCTACTCCACACACTCTATGGCTCGGAACCTAATTTCGCCATAGCTTGCAAGAAGCCCGACGGTGTCAAGATCTCCGTACTGCCATAGGTAATTTGCCTAGGAGCCGAGGTACCCGGCGCGATCCCGCCTGACGTTGCCACTGACCGAGTCACGTACTCCTGCAAGTTGGTGGACTCGACGTGGCTACCTCCACCAACGACAAACACAATAGCATGGGCGAATGGCTGCCGGGCCTTGGCGCCGCCTGGCGCCATGCCGGTACCCCGGCCACGCGGCTGCCGAGGATCAATATATAGATAATCGTCCGTCTCTTGCAATGCCTGAGCGCTGGCACTCGCAGGATCCATGATCGACGAGACCAGGCGCGTAATCGTGAAGTCTTTCTGAATTGGCAAAAAGTTTTTCACGCCCGCCACCAAATTTTCCAGCCGACTATCCTTCAATTTGTCCGTGAGCTAAAAGTCAGTGAAACATGACGTACTCGACTGCTTAATGAGCTGAAACCCTTGAACAGCTCGTTGCCTCCTGGCACCGGTGCAGGTGTCGGAGCCGCAAGGGAGAAACGCATGATTTCGCGCGCCTTTTTGGCGTACTGGAGGGGCGCCAGATCCGCACCCTGTTGCTGCAGTAGCGCCTCGAAATCCTCCACTTCTTTGCGGCTCAGCGCGCTGTCAGGCGTTGACAAATAGTACACGAGGAACAGGCGCATTTTGTCTTCGGCGTTCTGAATGGCCGGGTTTTGCAAGGCCTCCATGATGCTCGCCTTGCTCTGTCGAGCAATTGCCTCCTCTAATTGGTACAGCTCATCGAGACCTCGAGTCTTGATACCCTGTAGCAGGGCCGTGGCGATGTTCATATGGGCATCAATGGTCTGCTTACGCGCCGTCAGCTTCGGCAAAGCAGTGACAGCTGCCTTAAGATGGGATGCATTTGACGATGCATCCAGCTGCCCCACTTCATCCATACTGCTGATACCTGTAGAGCGCATAATTTCATTGGCTTCCTGCCGATACTTGTTGAGCTCATCGTCAATGTCCTCTGCCACCTGAGGGAACGGAATTTCTGCGTTCTTCGCCCAGAAGTAATCCTTAGCATCCAAATCGTACGAGCGCTTAGAGGCGGCTGGCTTTTCGGCGTCGTGCACAGTCACTCGATTCAGCTTGGTAGCCAGAACGTCATACACAAGGGCCTGATAGGTCCAGGAGTGGGCAATCATTGGAACCAAGTCAATGTGCCTGTCCATAATGATCAAAATAGGACGCTCTTTGGTCCACGTGGCCGACGCACCTCTGTTCGCAAACAAGCCCGTAGCGCTGCGTGAGCCCGACGTCTGCTCACGCAGCTTGCTTTCGAGCTTGCGTGCCACTAATTCAGCAGCACTCCCCCGCGGCGCACGAATGATGGGGATGGTGCCGATCGTAGCCATGACTGACAGCAAACCTGTCGCAATACGGTCAGTTTCTTTTTCGACTTGTTCCTGATCGCTCTGGGAGCAATGCAGCTGCTCGTATGTCGTCGAAGTCTGACCACCCTGAGCACCGACACCTTTCGGAAGAAGTTGGAAAAGTTTGGGCTGCAGCACAATGTAGTCAAGGAACTGGTCGTACACCTGGCGCACCTGTGCGCCGCCCCCCCCTTTAGCGACGGCCTGAGCAAACTCTTCAAGCACTGGTCGCGGCAAGGCGGATGTGAAGTTGACATAGATAGACTCATACAGTCCATTACCAATATCCTTGGCGATTCGAGCCACGTTTGCGCTCGTGGGCGACACAAAGTACACGGCCGGCACGTCCGGCAGGGCCGGGCGATCGGTGTGAAGCTGCAGATGCAACGTCACACCATTTTCACGAAGATCCTGCACTCGCAAGCTAGTCGCAAGAATGTCTGTGCTAGTAGAGTCCATGATCAAAACCTTCCACACAGGTGGCGCTGCCGGCCCGCTTTTGTCACCCTGCTGTCCGGCAGAGCTCGTATGAGAAAAAGCTGGGTTATTGAAATTCAGCATGGACAGTAGAGAATGAACCTGCGCCGAGCGCAAAGACACGACACCGGCATTGGCACTGCTGTGGGCTTGTGCCCCTCCTGATGCAGCACCAGGCGCAGGGGCAGCCATGGCGTGTGTGTCGTGATGCTGCCACTCTGTCCTTGACCCCGAGGCGGCCACGTGGTCGACACGTGGAGACCGACCGGTTAAGATTCGGTGTGCAGCGGCCGTGCGAGCTGTGCGCATACCATGCCGAATTCACAGACCACCTCTCATTGGGACGAGCGTCTTTCGCAGCTCATAGATGTGCGCCATGTTACTGGGTGCGAGTTCAAGAGTCTTTCTGAGGTATGCTTAGATATTCACATCCCAGACACACTGGACACCAGCCTTTGGACGTTCCGTATTTGGAGGCACTTTGATTGCGCAGAGCATGGAAGCCGCGTATAAGACGATCGACGAGCGAATGGAACTACATGTACGTATATGAAAGCTCATTTAGGAATTTCACGTAAGTCCCAAGCATTAATGTCAGGGAAAATTTCTCCGTGGCGCAGATGCCCAGCAGCACATTTACTACTACGTGGAGAAAGTTCGCGACGGGCGTTCATACTCGACGCGTCGCGTCGATGCTATGCAAGAGTCGACTCTGCTATTCATGGCGACTATGTCGTTCCAAGTCCCTGAGCCAGAACAGCCGCAATATTTCGCGTCCCCTCCCAAGATAGTCAGTGAAGGAGCTTTTGAGCTTGCTAGGGAGATGCCCGATGATCATAAAAATGCGCCTACAGAGGTGCTACCCCCTGAAATGAGTCGGCCTGGATCACAGCGTTATCAGCATGCCTTGACGCACTCAGTTGACAGCAGTCACTACCAAAAGCTGATATCCCAATGGACGAATGAGCAGGAGATTTTTCTTCCTGTGGAATTCCGTCCGGCTGTGCCCAATATGTTTCGAAAGGATGGAAGAGTGCAGTTCGGTTCAAAATTAGCTTACTGGCTCCGTGCGCGGGGCGCTAGTCCTGGACCTGCAAACCGCCAGCGTGCCATCCTGGGCTTCCATGTCGATCAATTCATACTGGAAAACATAAGGGCTAGCGTCAAGGAGAGTTCTGTGGCAATGATGGCAAGCCTAGACCACACCATGTGGTTTTATAATGACTTTACTATGGGTCAATGGTTGCTAATGGTGGTACGTGGAGACGCTGTAACATTAGGCTGAAAACCAAGCCACGAGTAACGGTCGAGCAGTTGTTCTGGCACGCATATATCGCCGGGATGGCGTCTTGGTGGCAGTCGCGGTATGTTTTGCAGGCTTATGCGTACAGATGCAAGAAGGTGTGATGCGCTACGAAGTGCCAAGCAAATTGTAGTTGTGGAGGTGAAGGCGAAGTTTGGTTACTAGCATGACACGGTCCATTGCCGTGCTTGCGCATGTTCCTACGTATGAGGAATTTCATGTATGTATGCCATAGCCACTCATGTGAGACAAAATACTTGGTACCCAATATACCAGTTGTACTACCTGCTGCGATGACCGAGACATGGCCTGCCAGGGCTCGGTATGAGGCCGGCGGTCGTGTCGATTGGGAAGCACTCTCGGAGGACTATGGGGAACATATTGTCCCTGCTATCATTGGGGGAGAGGAGAGAAAGGATATGAAACTTAGAGATGCTATATCGCTCATGAGATCCGAGACCCGCCCTATCTATATTAAGGACTGGCACCTCGTACGGTCTGCCACAAATGCGTCACAACCACTCTCACTGCGCCTGCCTTATACCACACCACCCCTTTTTTCCGATGACTGTATGTGCTATTTTCTCATGCCAGGGATGAACAATGTGACGCCACCAGCCACCTCGAGCTCGTTTTCCTACAGTCCTGACGCTTGGGTAGCCACGGCATCTAACAGACTGGAATCTGATGATTTTCGGTTCTGCTATGCGGGCACTGCAGGATCCTATACTCCGCTTCACCGCGATGGTAAGCCGTCACTCCCTGTGCTGACTAGAAAGTCTGTGCGTGCCATACTGTGCTGATCCAGACACCTCGTATTCGTGGTCCACGAACATCGCAGGCCGTAAGCGTTGGCGCATGATTGCCCCTGAGGATGCAAGTTTATTGCGACGTACGTGCTTCTTTCTGACCTCAGAATTCCCGGATCGAAGAACATCCGAGCTGGCGTCAACGTTCGATACTATGGAACGGCTGTACGCACTGGATGAGCTAGGTCCTTTTCAGGACGGGAAGCAAGGGTGGCCTGGCTGGCATCATGTGCGGTTGCGCACTTATGTCGTGGAACAGGAGGTAGGCACTCTAGGTTGGACTAACAGCAGCCAGGGCAAACCATCTTTGTTCCATCTAACTGGTATCATCAAGTTGAAAATTTGACTGACTGTATCAGTGTATGTAAAGCTGACGGCTCACGCCTAGCTCAATCACAACTGGTGCAACTCCGTGAATCTGACAAGTATGTACACGTCCATGGAGGAAGAGGTCCGCATAGTCGCCGCTCACGACAGATCGACGATGTTACGGCCGCTCTGAGCGACGTTCGCGATATGCTCCACGGACAGAGTGGATGGGAGTCGGAATTCACAGCATTGGTGCAGCAGGTGGTGCAACAAGACGCAGGCTGGGCCTGGGAGGGCTTTTGGCGTATGGTCCATCACAATGTGAAGCATCCATCGTGTGACGTATGTTTATTGAAAAACCTTACGACAGCCCCACTTGCGACCTAGCGTGCTCGACGTTCGAGCATGCGTGCAGCGTTTGTTGCAGCGCTACGCTGGGCGTCCGGAGGCCCGCTGGCTCGCGCCCTCCACGCAATCCGTTATTATGCAAGTTCGCGCTTGGGCGGATGACTAAGCATTGTTCTTCGTAGAACGTCGACGATCCAGGCGATCTAGATTTCTTTACCATTTTGACCTTGTCATGTTTCCAGCCTCCGGTCCCTACAACTCGATGAATAGCTACAATGCTCCCTACTGGGAGACAATGAGGAGGAATGAAACTCTGCCACACTCCTCCTTCGCTTTTGACTCCTATGGTACCGGGTCGCCCTCTCTTCGAGATACAACGCCGGACGCCTCGTGGTCGTCACCCCGCTTCCACTCGCCTGGCATCGCTGCCCCGGCTTGGTCCCCACAGACACAGTTTTGGGTCTATTTAGATCCAAACGGTGTTGTGCAAGGACCATTTCCTGCGACAGCGATGCAGGCCTGGTATGAGCAGCAGTATCTGTATTCGGAGCTCCTTCTTCGTCCAGAGGAGGAGACCGAGTTCCGCCCGCTGCACGTGTACTTGGCTGAGGTGGGTGAAGTTGCCAAGCCGTTCCTTGTTCCCCCCAGGAGGTTCGCCCGGCAGCGTGCGCCCCTGTCCAAACCGTCGTCCGCCGTCGGATCGCCTCTCGTGTCTGCAAGCAATTCGCCTAGGCCTGCCGCTGCAGCCGTGCAGACCGAACGGGCACCCGTTCAGCCTGAAGCCATACATCCTGGATCGGCTGCGTCGAATGTCTCCGCCGACGATATTGCCACTACCATGCGTGTCATGACGCAGCTCCAGTCGGCCCTGAAAGTTGCTGCTACGGACGATCAGACTGCCCAGATTGTCCAATCCGTGCTGACATCGTCTCTCCCTCATGCGAATGCAGCCGGACTACAAGCGATCCTCACGGCAATGCAGGCTCAGGCGGCCACGGATGCTGCTAATGCCTCACAGGTGCAAGAACGTCTGGACAATCACGCGGTCCCATCGACTGTGGCATCCGATACCCCAACTGTTGCCCCTGCTGAACCGTCGCTGCCCCCATTGGACCCTTCGACTACGTCGCCTGTGCCGACTGTGACCACCGACCCTGTAGCGCCCTCCGCAAGCGAGCTAGGCAGAACGTCGATTCGGGACGCGACCGAGTCACCCCCGGAGCAGGTACCGACTCCTGGCACCAAAAAGAGTACGCGCAAGGACAAGAAGGTCGCGGAGAAGACACCCAAAAAGGATGAGGCGCCTGCCAAGCCTGCACTGGAACTACAGGCCTCGTCTACTTCTCAGGAGGCAGAGTCGGGTACACCCAAGAAGACCACTGAATCAGACTCGTCGTCGCCTGCCCCCCAATCTAAGACTTCTGTGGCAAAGCCAAAGCCGGCGCCATGGGCGAACGTGCCAGCACAGTCTTCTGCATCGCCGGCGCCCAGCCTGCGCGATATTCTCGAAACAGAGCAGCGGGCGCGTTCCGCGCAGGATGTCAAGATCCGTGCCGCCAACTCGGCTGCCCTGGCCAAGGCCATGGCACAAATGCAAGTCTCGTCTACGCCTTCTACTGCCTCTAAACCTGCTGGTGCTGCTTGGAGTACGCCCAAGACGACCCCTGCCAAGTCACTCTCGCAGATCCAGGAGGAGGAAAGTGCTCGCGCTGCCAAGGAAAAAGCCAGTCAAGCGGCACGCCCCTCCGCCTACAGCAGCTCTGCAGCACGGGCACCTGCCGAGACAGGCTGGGTCAAGGTGGTTTCGCACGGGAAAACTACCCCTGCGTCGAAAACGGCGCCTGCAGCCAAGCCTGCCGCTGTACCTACGGCCGTCCCAAGTCGACCTCCTGCGCTATCGTCTGTGCCGTTTTCCTCCGATGTGCCCACGCCTGTGTCTGCGCCGGCGCCGGCGCCCATTGTGCAGGACGAGGATGGCTGGGTCACGAAAAAGTCGAAGCACCAGGTGCGCCGCGATGCGCTATCGCAGATGAACGATGCCATTCCCCGTCCCACCGGCACAGCGGCAGGGGTGGCGGCTGCGCGGCGCGTCCCTGGGTCGTCGAATTCACCCTTGCCTCCCTCGGCAGAGTTCCTCCGGCACTGCCGCGCGCAGCTCAAGGGGCTTCGTGCGAATGTGGACGACTTTATTGAAATGCTTCTCTCATTCCCTCTTAATCCGTCGCCGGAGGTCAACGACATTATTGCCGAAGCTGTGTACGCCAACAGCAGCACACTGAATGGACGCCAATTCGCCGCGGATTTCGTCGCCCGTCGCAAGGCGGATGCGTACCGCGCTGTTACTCTGTAGAACTCTGCATACTAGAAAGAAGGTGCAGGGGTATGAGTCGGTGCGTTTGGGGCCGGAGGGGTGGGCGCAACTGCTGGTCCCGTGGTCTCTGCCGAGGACTGCGGCCCAGCCGCTACGGCTGGTGCTTCTGCCGAAGCGGCAGGCGCGGGCGCCTGCGTACTGGGCGCGGCAGATGTATCCGCTGCGACTGGCTTGGACGGCTCGGGCACATCCATGTCCATGGCCTCTTCCTTCCAGATGCGCTCGCGGCGGTCGCCTTCGCCCTCGTCGTCCGAGTCGTCGAACTCATCTGCTCGCTGCACGCGCTTGTCCTTAACAGTCTGGCTCGCTCGCACGTCTGGGTCTTCGTTGTCGTCATCGTTGTCGTCCAGCGCCATGTCATGGGCCAGGCGCGGCTCCACATGTCCTTGGACTGACGGCGCATGCGCAACGTGTCGCAGCTGCTCGAACACCTGCTCCTTGACCTTGTCGAGGTAGGCTTGCGTGTTCATATTCTCCATATTGCTGGGAAGCACGTCGAGACGGTACTCGGGGCCAAAGTATTCGTAATACTCGTTCACCGGCACAATGGGGCTCAGCTCGTGGCCCGATGCAAGGCCCGTCTCGTACGCCCAAGCTCGACTGACGTTGCGCATCGTGTAGCCACCACCGCCGAGCAGGAGCAATGGCAGGCCAAAGCTCTTGACAAACTCCACACACGCAGCATGACCCCGCATGCTCAGGTTGAAGCAGCCGAGCTTATCGCCAGCCAGCGAGTCGGAACCGCACTGCAGCACCACTGCTGTTGGCTGGTACTGTTCCATGATGCGCTGGATAATTGGCTTGAACACACTTTGGTATGACTCATCTGTGATACCGTCGCGCAGAGGCACATTGCATGCGTAGTGCTTACCAGTGCCGTAGCCCGTGTCGCGCAGCTCGCCGGTGCCCGGGAAAAATTCTCCGTATTTGTGGAAAGAGCAGGTCATTACGCGATCCGTCGTGTAGAAGGCTTCTTCAACACCGTCACCATGATGCACATCAATATCAATGTACAGGACACGAGGGTGGTAACGCAGCAGCTCCAAAATACCTAGCACAATATCGTTGACGTAGCAGAACCCGCTGGCCTCGCCCTTCTTAGCATGATGCAATCCACCCGCCCAGTTGATGGCAATATCGCACTTATCTCTCGAAAGACGCGCAGCGCCCTCTGTTTCATCAGCATGTCACTGCGTACCCATCGATCCACCAGCCGAAATCGAGCAGTACTCGAACAAGCCATCAAACACAGGGCAGTCGTCGCCCACATTGTCTGTCATGAGTCCATCGTTCACGTACACCTAGCCTGCTCGCGCACATAGGCGTCTAGATTGTCCGGCGTGACCCGGTACAAAAAGTCCACGTAGTCGTCTGTATGGAACTGAGACATTTCGCGCTTGGTCGCCGGTTTCGCACGCTGGTGTAAGTCGCCTACACGTACGAAAATCTCCATCTTTTTGTACAGCCCATAGTTCATTACCAGAGAATGGCACATGCGTACACGCATCGGTTTCATCGGATGACCGGGCCCGTAGTGGAAATTCCCAATGTCTGAATCGAAAAAGTAGCACACACGCGACGGGTGTGTCGAGCCCTGGCTCGTCGGCTGCATCAGTGGCGTGCCGCCCGCCTCATAGGTCATAGTCCCGGAAGAACCTCCAGCAGCATTGGACGGCAGGAACGTGGGATGCATCATCGTAGACACAATGTCACCACCCTGCAGCTCAAAGGTCGGTGCCAGCCTCCGCCCACGTCCTATCGACCTCTCCGCGCACGCTTACGGCCACGTGACACCCACGAGCCCGGGTCGTCCCCTGGCACTAGCCGCCCGCACGTCCATCACGATGTCGAGCCTTCAGCAGGCTGGTGGCCGCTCGCTCATTGCTCTCATCGCGGATGAGGTAGGTGCACTACAGTAACACCAGGACTCCACGACGGGGTTTATCCTCGCTGGCATTGGTGATGTGAATAAGGAAGGCGATAAGAACTTTTTTGTCGTCGACAACAAGACGGCAACTGGAGATATCGAGGAGGCATTTAGTCGCTTTACGAAGGAGCGTGACGACATCGCTATTGTGCTAATCAACCAACATATCGCCGATAAGATTCGCCCTCTAGTGGACAAATACAACCAAGCTTTCCCGGCCTTGCTGGAAATCCCCAGCAAAGATCACCCATACGGTATGCGGACTGTTGCGACTAACCGCAGACCCTACCAAGGACGGTGTACTGAAGCGTGTCCAAAAGGTAGGCGATTCTGCTACTCACTCTCTAGATCTTTGGCGAGTAAGAGCCTCATGTAATAGAAAATACATTGTTCATACCAATGCTACGAAACTTCTTTACTGGCCACCACGGAGACGCAGCACCAAGTGTAGCGTGCTCTCCTTCTGAATGTTA